GAGTTATAGCTCGGTCACTCCTTCTCCTAACGGGCCCTGTGTTTCGGACAGTACTAGTAAATAGTAATGGTAGCTAACGGTTCACCTAACGGGACCTGCACACTGAACAGTAAGTACTGGTATTTTTTTCACTAACAGTACCGGTAAAATCAGCTGAAATTCGTAGTAAAGAACACTTTTAGACTAAACACATTTTACCTTTTGCGAATCGCCCATTTGATGTCATAATATTTCCTACGTTTTCTCCGAAATGTTCGAGAAGAGTATTTTTTGCGTTTAGGGACTTCGTTCCAATTTCTGTAACAATTATAAAATACCGGTATAGAGAAACTGCCGGTTTGAGTTTAATTCGTGAATTTTCAAGAGAGATGCTGTATTAGTTAGAAAAACATAGTAGTAGTGTACAGTATGTCCTTTAGCATATAATATTTTAAACGTCATTTTAATAATCTAGGTGTTGTACTGTAAGATTGAAAATGGTGGTAGTGTATGTAAATGTTGTTGTTGTTGTTGTTGCATAAACATACATATGTAAATGGGTAATGAGAGGTCACTTTAATTCAAATCTTCGATTACGAACATAGCAACAGTTAAATCTTTGTCATACATGCCGAATGCTGATTAAAATTACTATCAGTAAAGTAAATTACTATCAGTAAAGTAAAGTAAATTACTATCAGTATCTCAGTAAAGTACTGATGGACTTTATAAAAGTATGGAGATACTTAGGTGGTTGAGTTTTGCCGAAATGATTTATTCGCTGTGTTAGTAGGAGTTTTTAGAAAAGTCTGGCCGGGTTTTGGAATATGGGCTTTCAGATTACGGGAATAGTTTTCGCTGATTCTATACGTACGGTTAAGCTGGGTTGGTGTATCCCTTTTGGTATTTTTTGTGATAATATAGATCTAGAGCTAGATCTAGATAGATAGACTAGACTAGATAGATAAATACTGTAGATAGACTAGAATCTAGATATACAATAGTTCGCGCTCGTTATACAGCAACCTTTACAAATGTAGACGGTCGAATAACAAAATCAGCCGCCAGTAGTGCTGTTTCTAATAAAAATGCTGCACTCGCTCTTGGATGATGTTCCGGTAATTCGCAGTCTTGTCGTCATGGGCTTGCGATGCTGCTTGCTTCGGCACGCATGGATATTGCTGTAATGTACGACAGGTCCAGGGTGCTGCGGCGTGTTGTCTTGCTTTTGGCAACTGTTGTCAAAGAGATTACGTTTTCTCATAGCATGCGTAAAAACTGCACGGTGATCTGGCGAAGTGCGTTCTCATAGTCCACAAAGTCGGTATACCGGTTAATCAAAATCATTATTTTCGGAGGACTTTAAATGACTTTATTAAACTTTAAACTTCCTTGCCAACCTGAACAGTCGATACTAAAACACTCAAAGCTTCCTTGAAGTCTGAGGAAGTGCAGAGTCGAGTTTCAGTATACAAGCAGGCTGGTTACTTATTGCCGGTATGCCGGCAGCGTATAGGTACCGTAATTATAGCCAGCTTAAAGCAGAATATAAAAATTTAACATGAAGTAAAATCTGAATGATACCAAAGCTAATGATTAAGTACTGAAATTCTTCATTGTCGAATTTCTCCCCTTTGAAACCTTTTTAATCAATTACTGTACTACATAAAAACAGTAGTAGCTATAGTGTCCTGTTATCAATATTAAGTATGGCAAATATGTACTGTAGTTATGGTGTCGGTGATATTAATTTAGCTTTTTAAAAAAGCGTATCTGTAAAAACTGACATAACGAAGTTTTCTGGACAAAACGCAAATTTTTCCAGTTTCACGGTGTTTAGTAGCTCACTCTTGGAAGAAAAGGGAAACTGTTCTTGCGTAAATCGGGATCCCGAACCTAATCCAAGAGCAGATAACTTACACTAATAATGCTAGGTCCATACTTCAGTTGTAAGAAAAAGTTGTACAACAAATCGTAGTCTTAAAATGGGAACTACGACTGCAACAATCGTAGTCGTAGTTTCCAGGACGTTGTAGCAATGTTGTTCAATTTTTACTTTCTGCAACACTTCCCGGCCATACTTCAACCGCAACAAAAATTTAAGCCGACCCAGCAGAGATACGATTGGCGGAGATAATCCCGCTTTTTACATTTATTAACAAGCGGAAGCAACATTTTTATTTATTACAAAGGACACTCCAAAAGTGAGTTTCTCCATTATGTATCTCCCGACATAAACGCCTTTAGCTCTTATGAACCATATTTTAAGAAACGTCCTTCATTAACGAACCAAAGTAAAATATAACTCTACCTGACTACAATCAAATGGAGAAGAACTGCCGAGAAAACTGTCAAAGGTTTTACGCACTATGCCACGTGTTTTACGTATACCCAGACAGTTTTTATTAATCTTCTTAACTTTTTTCTTTTCCTTTTCCCAGTTCTTCATTGAATCCTTCATTAACGAACCAAAGTAAAATATAACTCTACCTGACTACAATCAAATGGAGAAGAACTGCCGAGAAAACTGTCAAAGGTTATACGCACTATGCCACGTGTTTTACGTATACCCAGACAGTTTTTATTAATCTTCTTAACTTTTTTCTTTTCCTTTTCCCAGTTCTTCATTGAATCTTTTGATTCTTATTTCCCTAGTTAGTTTACATAATTACTTATACAACAAAAAATATATCGCATGTTTATTACTTCACATGGCAGCGAGGCAAAATAGGGAAACTTAGTTTTGGAGCCTCCTTTGTAATATCACACGAAAATGTACAGAAGTACAGCATACCAATCATGGTCGCTATCATACCCAAAAAACCAGTCCAAGATATACCCAGACTTATGCAGTTGCTATAGGGTCGCAGGATATCGAGTTTTCTAAAAATTTGTCGGTACAGTTATATAATACAGAGTAAGAAACATGTATTTGATGTTACTAAACAGTTTGAACTTTGAAGTATTGTGCAGTACAATGCAGTTTCTGGTTATGGTAATCAGTTCATAGGTGACATCATAATGATAACAAGTAATTTATGAGTATTATTGTTTTAAATAAGTATGCATGTAGAGCTGCACACATATACACATATGGTAATTCTGACAAAACTGCCCATTGGCCAGTTTACTACGATTGTTGTAGAAAGGAAGAAAAGCCCCTCCCTCCTACAACATCAATCTACAACAAATTTTTCGTCGCGCAACTTTTTTTCTGTAACTTTCGCGTCCATACTGTCGAGAATTACAACAAAAATTGCTACAACAAAAGTGGCTCGCGTACATACTTTTTCTACGATTGTTGCAAGATTTCTATTGTTTTCCGAATTACAACTGAAGTATGGACCTAGCATAAAAATATGTATTTGGTTACAACCGTTACACTAAAGTGCTGATTTACACCTGTTACACATCTAAATGCATGCTTTTACACTAAAATGCTTGGGTAAAAAATTGCGGGTTATTGGTTGACCTGTCTTAAAAAATAAAACAGTGGGTCAGAGATGACCTTTTCATGGATTTTTAAAAGAATCTCAATATGTAAATTCACGCTGAAAAGCGGAAAACTTCAAGCAGAAAAACGTTGTTTACTTCTCGAAATATTACGAGGAAGATCGACAAAATTAAGGAGGAAAATCGATGAAAATTAATGAATGGTATTCGTAAAAATATCTGTGTAAGAATGTAATATTTGAATGTATTGGTGGAGGGAGATGCAAGAAGGGGAAAGTTACTTTTGGAACGCCCTTCGTAACGAGTCCATATATGCTGCGCGTGCGGATAAACACGGGCGTACGGATAAACACGGGATAAACACGGGCGTGGCTGCGTGCACGACTGTCCAGTGTCCACTCGGATGTTGGCTGTTCACGGAGGTTGTTACCGTTCTCGGGTGCTGGATCGCACAATGTGTTAAAATCTTTAGATCAAAATACGAGTATAAAGATTCAGTCGGTGGATTCAGTGGTTAGTCGCACGGCTTTAGAGCGCAGCTGGCACCGGTCTGACTTCCGTCTTTGACGAGATTTTTATTTCACCAGTACTCGTTACTTCAGTAAATTCAGAATTTCATATTTAAATTTAAATGGTAAACCAGCAGTGTTCTCCAGTCGCAGGCGCCCGCCCTTCTTATTCTTAGATGGGTTCCGATTGCAAGGTGCTGTACGAGCTCGTATTCATTATGGCTTCCTAAATTATAATAATGCAAATGACATTGTAATGTTGTATGATGATACTTTTGTTAGCTGCAGACGGTGGCGCTTTTTTTATATTGTATTATGTGCCACGTCGCGGCAAGTCGTCCATCTGCAGTTTGCTTAATGGATCGTATGCTCTATAGGTTAGTAGGTTGTTATGCGGTTGTAAGCTTGTAAGTTCAAACTCGCGGGGTATAGCTTAAATGAAAGAGGAAACAATTCTAAGATTTTTGGTTTACACTGTGTGTACAGCCAGTGCAGGCGCATTTGATGAATTAAATATTAAATGTCAAAAAGGTCTCAAAATGTAAAACTATTAGCACAACGGACGCGCAGTCTGGACCTGCTGTTGCGCTGACTTTGTATGCTGACTTAATTTCCTTTGAAAAAGTTCTAAAAACCTCACTACGCAATTATTAATGAAAACGGATACACTAAAAAATCCCAAAATCTTTTGCTCTTTCTTTAGAGCTATACCATGTTGATCTGACAGCACGAAGAAGTGCAGTCTGTCATAGCAGTCTATGGAGCCTGCGATTACTACAGACTACTGCGCTAACGAGCCGCCTGCCCTCCTGCGACGTCACCGTTGACGCTCTTACGCCTTCTCTTAGTTCCGCCGTGGAACAGCCAATAAATAACACCTTAAAAATATTGCAGCCAATCTTGGCACTGGGAGTCGGCTTGTCAAAAACCTGAATTATGCCATGAGCGTACAGTATTTCATCCAGGGCAACAAATATTCTGGATTATTCTTTATGAGAAGAGATCGGTTTCGTAACCTTTTGACCTTAACCTTAACCTTTTTGTAACCTTTTGTAACTTCTTGATTATCACTATGCTGAAGATTGTATTTTTTGTAGTTATTATTTTCGCATCAGTGTATTTTGCAAAATCGGATGATGGCGATAGGAAGGAAATGAACGTGGATCCCATCCAGCTAAACTGTTCATACGACACCAAAAACTCTTGGACCAATACTTCCGGCAATCCTGACAGATATTTTACTGCGCTTGTGGTTGTAGCATCACTTCTTGTATGCTCCATGATTATCAATGTCATTTTGGGAATACAAGTAGCCAAAAAAAGTAAGTAAAAAGGAAAAAGTAAATAATAACGTAGTAAAATGCACTTACGTAATATCATATTTTCTGCGCCTCCATCGGTACTTCGAGATTTCTGGACAATGGTTACTTTTTCACATACATTTTAAACAATTGGTCATTGGCAGACAATTGACAGGGATTACGGCAGCCAAGCTCTGTTCCCTTTCTCTGCTCTTTCATCCATGATCAGCTTTGTATTTAGGTACAGCAGTGTTAACATGAATAGCAGTTTAGAACTGCGATCAGCATTCATTTGCAATACGTCACACGGGGAAGCCGCGCGGTAACCAATTGTTCGGAAAGTACAGTATGACTCTGTATGAGGGATCATATTTTGTTAACAAAGCCGAAATTAATTTGAAGCAGTAGGGTCTGTTATTACCGTGATAATCATGAATGAAATAAAGATCCGTTTCCTGTTAACTTATTATCCTGATGAGTGCGGCTGTTTAATTTAGGATTGTAAAAATCCATGGGTTTATCTGATAAGGAATGATATATATCCGTTATTGTGTAGAATCTGCACCCAGCAATTCTGTGGACGAACCACGACGAGGCCCAGCTCTTCAGAGTTTTCTGTCAAAAAACAATCCAGAAAGAGAAGAGGAAACAGCATTTCACCGATGATAGCCTGTACCAGGTAGTTTTAATAAACCTCGATTCCACATGTTTTCTGTTCACCGATTTGATTAACACTGCGAAACTAGCCAGTGGATTTGTATTTATTTACCCAGTATTTAGCTATTTATTTGTTTGAACAGGGCAATTTTTTATTTACTCATGTTGTGAATGCCATGAACTTCTCGCGCTACAATAAATTTGTAATGGGAAAATGTATCGGGAAATTGCATAAGATAGTATGTTTCCTGCGGTAGGCATCGAAGCACCCGGGCCGGACGCCTCGCTTGGTCACCGAACTCGGATCGAGAGATGATCGATCGATACGACAGGAAGCAGGCGCGATACAAGCGATGGAGAATTTACTGATGAGCGAATACAAAAAACAATCCAACAGTCACAAAAGAAACATTACGTTATAAATTTAACAAGCAGCGGAAACCGGCGGCCGAATTACAGAGAATATTTCATCTAAATTAGCCGAGGCTGGTGTCGTTCCCAGGATGGATGCCGCGTTTCCACGTTGGATCTCGATGTTGAACCTCTGGCGCAGATATTCCGTTGCACGTAAAAAAAAGCGATGGAGTATCCGCGTCAGCGTATCCGCATGAAAGTCTGACGCGGGAACGCGTCCTCTGTCATGCATGGGAACAGCACCAGCACCGGCTAATTTACATACAACAATGTTCTTCGTGATGAGGCCGCCTATTTCCGTTGCTGGCTGAGACTGTGTAGTTATTGGAAGCTGCGTATTTTATTGATTACTTGTTGCTGTTTCCAGTGATTTGTATAAGTTGCAGGCAGAAGCACTTAATAATAATTATGAATGCTCTTGAGTTAAGTTAGACACAATCAGCGCTTCAGAATGACTAAATTTATATGTTAAAAGTCGACCAACAGGTTCCAACAGAACCGTAAATAAAACAAGAAAGCCGCGGAATGTGTACCTGAAGTAGATATAATGGAAACCTGGAATAAATCACATGACGGCTCTTATTAATAAAACGGCACTGTGAACGGAACACTATCATTTCGGAAACCATTATTAAAACAAAAGAAAACATAATAAAAAATCAGAAAACAAAAAATAAGAAAACATAAAAAAACAAAAGAATACAAGAAGGCATGAGAAATAAGGAAACCATACCCGGTTCTATTCGAGAAAAAAGCGCCCATGTCTTCTTCATCCAAAAGATGTCCTTTGGATGGGTGTTTTTTGAGTTTCAAAAAGCCATAATATAGTTCCGTAGACCAAGTATTTTAGACGTGAAAATGTACATAAAAAGGGGCTCCATAAGTATACTAAAACATGCCGTTCTAAGACGGCGTGTTGCGCTCCGACGATGTCTAAAGCACGTCAAAAAATTGCTTGCCGTAGAAACAGGGATAAGAAATAAGAAAACATCAGCATAACATAAAATAAAATGGAAAACATAAAAAAACATCGATTAAGATTGAATGGACACCCCTGAACGGCAAAACTCAATACTAATATATAGTATCAAGTAATAAAGAAGACAAAGAAAAGGTCTCGGGAAATTGCACCTAATCACACTAATTATACCTTCACAGGATGTCGTAGTGTGAATAATCAATCGATCGACAAAACTTGCGTCTTGAACAGGATGACAAACGATTATTTGTCACGTACTGCCCGCTTTTTTGGTGTTTACAAGGTAATCTCCGTAATTAAATCTGCCCGATGGCTTCGCGCAAATTATCTGGTAAACATCAAAAAAGAAGGCTGTACGTGACGGATAATTGTGTATCCTGTTTGAATAATTACTTCCAGGGAGATTTCCAGTTTTCTATGGATCACGTCACGTCTGATGCCCGTGGAACCAGTGAGTACTGCATACAGCGGAGAGCAAAAAGTCCTGATAAATATCCGATTTTACCATTAATATGCGGTTAATTACTGCTATTGTACTTACAGGATATACTACCCGGTGTTTACCCGACAGCTTTGTCACAATCTATCTGTATACGTAGCGGAAGACATAGTCGTTCCGCAGAAAGGGAAACAAGAATGCGCAGTAATGGCATACCGATTACCGAATAGGGAGATCCAGTAGCGCCGTATGTCTGCGGAAATTAAGATAAATTTTTCTCAACTTTACATATGTATGTAGCCCAGAAGCCTATTGAACCGGAAGCTTCTGGCTTAATTACTAACCTGCATGGGAAAGAAGGCGCGCTCGGATACAAGCGAGGTACGAGAGACTGAGTACCTGCACCAGCGAATGAATTGATATCAGTTATCAATGTCACAGACACAAAACTTGTGTGATACTGATAACCGATGTCTAGTGCCACCTGGGGCAAATAGTAATTTTTTGTGCCTTGTTTGTACTTCTGTCTCCAGGTACAGTGCATAATTCTCGATATGACTAACGGTTTAGTACTGTGGAACAAAACGTCAGTAAGCGGAGCGTAAACAATGTGAAATCATTCATTTTTCAACTAACTGTCAAAAATATACACTTTTAATATTTCGTGTACCCGGGTGGATAAAGACATAGGTCATAATGAGATTCTGCGTCAAAATATTTCACCAATAGGCATCTGATACCGTAGAAGCTTCGGGAATGATGAAAATATTACGGGTACTAATCAACAATTTGTAATTGACCTTTAAGTTTGGATGCATCCAGAGTACGAACCTACAAACGTAAGAAAACCGTTAGTTTTGTATGAAACATGCGGTGTAAACCAGGCCAGAATAACTGGAGAAAGTTCAAGCTACTATGTACCGGCCAAAACTTATAATTTACGCCTTTATACGGAAATACAGGTAGGGCACGTTCGGGAAAAAATAATAATAGTAAAATTTTATTCGTAGCAGTGTAAAGTTTAGCAATATATATTGTGTAAGATGAAAGGTAACACGAATACCTTGTATACTCGTTTCGTCAAAATTAACTCTTGTTCTTGCTAAAGTGCTTTGTTAACTCTGTTCGGTGCTCGAACTGTTAAATGTTATAACAGCAGAACCGCATGTAGTTGTCATAGTTGACCAGAAACTTTCCGGTGAAACTTAAGTTTTATTTTTGGTGATTCAGCGGGAATGCGTAATTGTTCAGTGATGTTTGACACTAATAAATAATTACAGTCATATAGATATGAAATTATATAAAGACAGTCAAGTAACAGAAGCCATACGCAGCTTTAATTTAATGGTGCTGTTCCACCCATCAATCTGGTCACGCATACAGCCACAAGGCTCACAACTACAAGCGTATTTATTATGCTGATTTATAAAAGCTGTTACAGTAACCGAAGTACTGCTGCCTTGACGATGGTTATTTAACATTCCTTTTGTGTCTCCAGATCGATTACACCAATATCTAATAATTATTATAGTTGAATCGATCACGGTTCATTTTGTTGAAGGCGTACATCATTCTAGGAGACGCACGGAATCCCTCACCGAATTGGTGGCTCTCCATACCACGGAATGGCATCATTCCGGACTCCATTGAATTTGGCCCGAACTCGCCACGACCGTGATGACCACCACGACCACCTGGTCCTCCGCGTCCTCCACGGCGACGTAGCAGGTGTATCAGAAAACGGATGATTCTTTTGCACTTTCGTTCCTTACCACCACGTCCACCGCCGTGATGTCCACGCCCACCGCGGCGTCCTCGTTCTCCACGTCCACCACGGCCGTGCTCCAGTTCGTCATCACCACCCTCTCGGCCACGGCGTCCGAAATTCTCTTCCTCATCATCATCGTCGTCATCATCATTCTTGGGTCCGAACGGTTCGTCATCCTGCTCATCGTCATCGTCTCCGCCTCGACGGCGCGGTCCAGGTGGCTTACGCTGATCATCATCGTCATCATCTTCATCACGGCCGCGAGGACCAAATGGGAAATGCGGACGTCTTCTATCACCATCATCACCATGGCGCTCATGGGGTCCGAACGGGAACGGTGGCTTCCGGCCACCATCGTCTTCCTCATCGCGACCGTGAGGTCCGAAGGGGAAATGCGGTCGTCGGCGATCTTCGTCATCGTCATCTTCGTCATGACCATGTGGTCCAAAGGGGCGAGGTCGTCGACGGTCATGGTCATCGCCTCCCCGCGGTCGATGGGGTCCGAACGGGAACGGTGGTCTCCGGTCATCATCGTCATCGCGGCGTCCTGGGCCAAAAGGGAATGATGGACGATTGCGTCCATGAGGTCCGAATGGGAAGTGCGGGCGGCGCTCTTCATCATCATCCTCGCGTCCGTGACCCGGTCCGAAAGGGAAACGGGGTCGGTCTTCCTCATCATCATCATCGTCGTCCCGACGGTGTGGTCGGAAGGGTTTGCGATCGTCATCGTCGTCATCATCTTCACCGCGACGCGATCCCATCATGCCGCCATGCTGCTTCATCATGTTCATCATCATCATATGGCGCATCCAGGGATACATCATCATTTTTCCATATCCGCCCATTCCATGGTCCATCCCGCCGCCCATCATTCCGTGATGCATTCCGGACATACCCCAGCCGTGTTCCGCTGGCTTACCGCTACCGTACATGGGCACATCATTGTCCGACGGCTTCTGCATGTACACATTGAGGACGGGTGTACCGGCACTGGAAATTTGTCGCTGCAACTGCAGGGCCACGGGAGCAGGCTGCAACGGCGGTGTGGATTGAGGCGTTACATTGTTGTCTACCAAACGTTTAGCCAGACCTACCAGAGTTTGCAACAGTTGGGGAATGGTCGGCGTCGATGGGACAGAATCAGTCTGGTCGGCGTCGGCGCCGTCCTGGGTCACCGGGACATTGTTGGTCATGGGCGGCGATGGCTGTGGCGGACCCTGTTGCGCGGCTAAACCGGCAACGAGGCCGCAGAATATAACAAATTTAATTGCAGCCATGTTGGCTAATGTTTTCTTTCGATTTTCGAGTGAAAACTAAGCTGCTGGCTGCTAGTGCAATGCCGGGTGTTTTATATATACGCAACATATCTCGGTTGTGACTTCGACGTCAAGCGTTTCTTTATGTTCATAAAGCAGTAACGCTTTGCTTATTGACAATATTAAGAAATTTTTGCTGTTATCAGCGTAAATTATTGTTTCGTGAAGGTTTCTTTCCTGGATTTCAAGGTTGGCCGTTGAAAACACGGCGTTCTGCCGGGTGGAATGTAAACTTTGTATTCGGCGTAAACGACTGGGCACTGACAATGGCGGTGCGGCAGTGAGAAAACATTGACATGTTGACTTAGCAGAAAACACGTTCCTCGGCCTGTATGGCCAGATGTGCAGTTTCATCGCGTGAGGGAAACGCTGCTACGCAGGCGCGAACGGGTGGATGGATCGGATTACAAGAAATTATGGGAAGGAGGCTTGTTAAGTCTTTTCAGGTGTTTCTGCCAGATCATTGTGGTGTTGCTCTTTTTCGGTGCCGATTGACGGCGCTGTTGTCTTTTTTTCTAACAGCATCATCAATTTTCGTGTCATGAAGTATGGCTTTTCCGGTGATCCGTCGTTTTGTTCACTGTCTTCCACTACACGCAAATAAGCACAACATTACCAACTTTTATCAAGAAAAACTGCTGAGGAAATTTTGTGAATGATATTCCATGCTCGGACGCATGCTATTGTTCTCTCAAAAATCAACTTACAAAAACAAAGAAATATTGTGTCCACGGCCATTTCGTACACTTGTAGGAACTGTGTTTCAATAAAATACGTTCCAACAACCACTGCCTGAAATCAAGAGAGTTGACTAAATTTCAAGTTTCGTCCACTCTCGGTGACGATTTTTTTTATGTTATCACAAATCCCTTTTGTAGATACCGTAATGTACAGTATGCCATTTGTTACTCGTATTTACACTAATTTTTAAGCTACCCTCATACCATTGTATGTTTAAGCCGATTACCGTATACTTGTCCAGTGGAAGAAATTACAAAATTAATATTTCTCGCTTAGTATTAATGTTATGTACGGTACACAAATTTTCACTTTCCATTACTCGTACATTGTGGCATTATTATTGTTATAATTTTTTGGAAACTTTGACTTTTGCCTATACCGTCGAAATATGGCTAACTCGCAAAGAAAGCACAAAATGTCACATACAGAGTACATTGTAGTCTCTGTATACGTAATAAACGGAAATCAGCAGCTTTCAGCCTTTGGATTGATTTACATACCGCAACTGGAATAGCGACATAGCGTATTTCCGGAACATCTAATCCAAACACGGATATACGCTGCTGGATGTAGTAGTACGAAGCTGCACCTATAAGTTTGAAACCGGTTTTGCTAGCGATTATAATGCTGTTTACAGAAACACAGAGTGATATATATTTATGTTTTAATTATATTCCGACGTGTTCCAGTCCGAAGTCCTGAGCCAATGCTGTCATGCCTCAAAACACTGCTTACCACCATAAACGGATAAATTTAAAAAAATATCAAGCATTACAAAAACTATACGTATACGAATAACATCTTGGTGAACGCAAACCGCCAAGAGATAATTAATGTATAGTTTTGGTTTTAACAAATTCTTGGTGCATATGTACCTAGTAATCCAGCAATGACGGCCTTTCCAAGTAACAATATGAAAGCTGTTATACTGTCCAGCGCCACAAATCTGCCGAAAAAATGGAAAATTTGCAGTCCTGCATTTAACAATTTTTCTTTCCGTTAAGTATTTTTACGAATAATACTCGTATCTTTACATGGTGATATCAACTTCATATTTAATGCTCCGTGCATGTAAATCTCTACCTCTATGCATGAATCTTGCTTTAGTGCAACAAACTCTCTCATTAATGTCCTTACCTCAGAATATTTCGCATCAGTAGGAAGTAAGCCTCCTCTGCCGAGAACAAAAAACTTTTTCCATAAATAGCAATCTGCCAATCACCCCAGTCATTACGTCATGCTCAAAATCAAAACCTAAAGGTAGTCTTTTATTAAAATTCCACCGTACCACTATGTACGCATTTCGATTGATGAATCTGAGAAACTTCTCCAGGCACCATAGACAACACAAACAGCACCTAGATTAGTAGATAACAGCAATATTATAATGCAAAATAATTTGATGTGCAGTGATAGGGAATTATTATACTCTTAGATTTCAGAACTTCTAATGCGGCATTCAGTGCAACTCACTTTAAAAGGGCACCGGTCTGATTCCCGCTAAAGGCTTTGATGTTTTTGTGCATGCTGTTGATCAGTCCACGCACGATTCGTATGACTGTCACAAGCAGAGCGCCGAACGCAGCTGACCCGAGATGAAATCTGGAAGGAAATGGTACATCCACGTACAGAGTACATGCTTCCAGGAAGAAAACCTATTTCTTAAAAACCATACTGCCGCAAACCAACCTACAAGTTCGCCACAGGGATGTTGTAATCATGCCTGTCGGTAAGCGGCTCTTGTCCCACGTCCAGTAATAAATGGCAAAGATTCCGGCCAGCGTCATATCCGAGGCAGCTCCAATGAAGAAGATCGTCCAAAGCATAGTGAATAAGTTGCCCACTTCGTAAGCGCGGAGGCCGCTACAGAGGATGCACCGAACCATTTTCAAGTACGGTAGAATTTATCTCCATGTGAGTAGGCTTAGTAGTTTGTATACTTCTTACGCCGGAGGATAATACGATGTAAACCTGCACTTTGCGGTGGAATTTGGATAAGTGGTCTCAAAATTCTGCCCAAAAAAGCGATTGATAATAACCATGCGTTTTGTAGGCACATAAAAGGGGGTGAATTTACGTACATTTGGATCACAAGTATCATTTTCACGAAGACCGTCGACATGTGCCTCATCCGAAACAATGATACGCCCTTCCAGGACGTACGATGAAATCAAGTACCTGTGTAGAAAAGAGATGTCAAAAGCGAGGTCAAAATCAAGGGCATGGTTTTTTGGTCTGCATACAAGCCTATGGCGACACCCCATGCCAACGTAGCAGCCTCCAAAATACATGGAAAGAGCGGAAAAAGCAGCGCTGATTTGATGGAACTAACTGCTCTGCAAAGCATACAAAAAAACTGCAGTTGCCAGTTCTTATTTTCGTTGCAGATTTATGTGCGATCTCACTTTGAGCCTTCCTCTAGCAGCGATATCGCAATTTTGATCCTTTGGCGAAGGTGAAGGATGACCAATACAATTACAGCCAATACAATACACACAACCGAACCTACAAAAAGACCTCAGTTAGGCACGTTTGCTGTAACTTTTACCGATGTGTACCCAGCGCCAACCAGAAGTCCTGTTTGGTCGCGTAAGTTGATAGATCCAAAGTGAATACCAGTCGGCCATCCGTTCCACCGACGGCCTTCAGCGTTTCCGCCATGTGAAAGCAATAATAGGCGACTAATAAAAATTATAACATGTATACACTGAGACGGCTTATTTATGTACGCCGAAGCTGTCGTACAATAGGACAACATTGACAAAAATCCGACAATCGCCAACCACACCAGCCAGCTGGCCATCCATTTCATCCCCAGAATCCAAATATACGCTAAAATTCCCGCCAGCAAATAGCATCTGCAGAATTCGTTGGATTTAACGAAAAGTTACACAAGTTCACGTTTTGATCCACTTTAACAAACTGTAGCACTCACACTAGAATAAGCCACCAAATGTTTTTAATGTCGTCAATAGCGTCTGCGAGGAAGAGTTGTGCTTCTCCAACTGTCGCCAACCATTTACTGCCGTTAAAAGCATCCTGATGAGTCACGGTTTCGTTCCTTGCATTGCTTGTAGTGACTAAATTATCCTCCTCAAATATTTTGAATAGACTTCCGTTCTGCAGTCTTCCCAAACCGGGCAAACAGCGTCCTCCCACCGATCCACTGGGAAAATAATACGATGCACACTGTTGCGCAGAAATTGCAGATGTTAATTCCTGCAACATAATTTTGCGATATTCCTTCTTCTGCACACAGTGGCAAAGAAAGTCTCGTCAAAGTTTTCGTACCGTCACGTACACGAAAGTTCTGGATCTGGCTGACATTGATACTTTCAGAACAGATCAGCCGTGCTGTGTCAATCTTACTGGGTGATGCAGCAAATTCCATCCAGGAAAATACTGATGTCGGACATGACTCTACGCATTTCTACTAAAAAAGCAAGTGAATTTATTTTCAGCTGGGTGAAGTGAGATATCAAATTTAAAGGGTTACCGTTTCCGTCAAGCAGCCAGTAATGAGGACGGTGGCGCTCATACATTGTGTCAAATCGAAGTAAAACAAATACGGCTTCCCCCTACAAAAGGTCACGATGGCGACCCTACTGAGGCTGACGGTAAGTGTTCCAAAGTCTACTGTAACATATTGTGTAAGATATATAATATGATTCATACTGCGCCAGATCTTTCCCACAGATTTGTCCGCGGCTGTCGGTCGGATACATGATCCGTTCAATGACGCCGTACTGAAGTGCTGAAAAACCGCTTAGCGTCCATTAACTTACGTACGTACAGTATATCTATGCGCATTCTGCGTTGCAAAAACTGCGTCGGCAAACGTACCAAACACGGAAATATATATCCAAAAGCCAATAAATAGCACAAACACAATCAAACACAGGACGTCAGTGCACTGCCTGTAAGATTACAAACAAAACTTCATTAGAATACAGCGAATTAATAGTGAACTGCTTGACATCGCGTACCGCACCTGTGGTTTACCGGTCCTCGAAAATCCGGATCAAAGGTGCGAGATTCACCTAAATCAATGCTGGTTACTATCAATGTATCGAAAAATTTTGAGCACCGTTTGAACATTACAGTTTTTTGGGATTTAAAGTTTGGAAGAGTTAGATATTACCACGAGTAGTGTTCTGGCTCATTTGCAAACTCCATCTGGAAGCGTGTATTTTACGTTACTCTTCAAGTGCGGTTTCAAATACCTAGACTGCGCGCAACAACCTCCTGCTTGGAGTTGACGACTGGTAATTGAGAAATTAGCTCGGCAACTTTGGTTTTCTCCGCCTGCAGTGAATCTTTAAACGAATGTTTGTGTACTTCAACAGCGGGGATTTCCAGGACATTTTCAGCGTCTTCAAAGTCGTCTTCAGAACCTCGAAATCTGCTGTTGAGCTGTCCGGACTCCAAATCCTGACTACCACTTGCTATGACAAAAGCTCAGGTCATTCGAATTTGATTTGTATTTTTAAAACGGCATATTTATATGGGCTCAAAATTAGTACATAGCAGGGAAATGAATAATTCAACTGATGGTCGAGTATTTCCGTTCTCACCATTGAAATTAGTGCTTTCCTCTGTGTTCTCCGGGAAATTAATAGACATCGCATGTATTCGAAGGTTAGGACGTTTGATTTGAAATTTTGATCATTTTCAAAGATATTCACTAAAAGTATCGCAATTCGTACGAAAAACAGCTATGCAACTACTACTAGCAAAATACACATTTTTAACGATTACTATACTAAACCTTTCAAAAGTTATGAGAAAATTGAGAATCAAGAATACACATGCGAGAGGTCACGCTCGAGGTTTGACGACGTAAGTTTTTTCAAACTATTTAGTATAATCGGGATTTCTTCTGTATATGCATTTTGTCCAAATCTTATCGGATGAATTATAGAAGCATTGTATTCTGCCCTATTGTTGTTGTTGTTGTTGCATAAACACACAGCGTAGTCCTTTCAGCGTAGGCTCTATATGAGCAGCCTTTTAGGTTGTTAGTATTATTATGGTTGCCAATCTACAAAGTGTCTCGCACCGATTAAAATTTTTCCTGTTATGTTGTACAATCATAACAGAACTCACCACTCACCAATCGGGACGAGACCATTCATTTGTTTCCCCCTGTCTCCAGTAGATAGACTGAATTGTACTCGTAGCTTGTAAATTACTCGTGTTTTAAAAGTTCAGAAAACCCAACACGATATTTTCTGCGCATTCGAATATTTAAAATTACCACTTACAGATTTACAAGAAGGCCTGGATGCTATGCATAATAACACTTCCACTGATTGTATTTCTGCAATTGTTTATTGACGAAATGGCTCAGGTACAAACGGCGATTTATGTAACAGCAAACAATTGGAAATAAATTTTTCGTTAGCACTGTACATAAAACAAAATTGCTACAGCCACTGACATCAGCGTTGTTACTTTTGAATTAGATAAAATGGTGCTGTAATTGCACAGCTCTGTCTTGCATCCACAATAATCTATCTGCGCGACAGAAGTTTTCACGGTGTTGCATCTGTCATCAGCCTGACCGTTATTAGGTGAGCAGCTCCTTTGTATCTGTTCTGATGTAAAATTATAAACAAATGTGAAATGTAATTAATGTGAAATTAATGTAAACTTATAAACAAATTGATAAAATGGTCAACTATGCAGTAATAACGAAGTACCTATGCAGATTGCAAACTCGATCTTTTAAAAGGTTGTTGCGCAATAAAGATGGCTTACTGTTTCCGTTAATGGTCGTGGTGACCTTTGCACAATGATTGTTTGGTCCAGTACAATCCAGTGGAGTCACTGCAGTATTATCAAAGGGATCGGAACAACTAGCACCAACACAGTGGTAGCACTTTATTGCATGAGCTAAAAACACCGAAAATTTCAACTATTACGTACGATTTCAACACAATCAACGTTAGTAGCATGGACCAGCTGCATGGAGATAAGAATGCAGATGTATGGTGAACCGAGCAGCATAATTTGCATTCCCGTCACGCGTAATATTATGATGTTTTTTTATTGTCTCCAGCGCGCTCTGATAAAAATAGTCAAAGCGAAATAAACTGTACCCAGCTGTTAAACTGCCTGCTACTGTTTGTGTTGAATACGTACTATAGTTATGCACTGACAATAATTACGAACATAATACAATATGTAGATTTAATCATCTGCATCCGGTGCTCTATTATCATCGTATTTACATATCGTTTAAGTACTGTACTTAAGTTAAATAATTATGATACACATCCACAAAAAGTTAATGTTCTCGAACACATTGTGCACTAATTTACGAGTACTTGTACGCGGCTGAAACAATTTTGCACAACATTATTAAACAGAAACGAAACGAACGATTTATTATGAATATTGTGAGCCGATTCTATCTCGGCTCTTGGTCGCACAGTATATCTTGTCTGTGCGACCAAATTTGTCGCCACGAACTTCAATAAAGTTAAGTTAACCAGTAAGAGCAGGCAACCACCAGTGACACCACCACACCAGTAGAATAAAAAAAGCACTACAAATAGTATCCAAATATGAGTGTAAAACTTACTACCAGATAAGTTAGTAATGGTACACGTCATTCAGATTTTACGGTAAAACTCTGCAAACAAAATATTCATTCTGCAACCACTACAATGCATTTACAATAAATCACTTTGGTATTATTTTCTTTATTTATGCTCGTACGTATACCCACCGGGTTGATAACAAATACAGGATAGCAACGTAAAGAATGAAGCTCGAAATACCACAGTCTCACTGTACAGGCTCATGGATGGATCAAAGGTAGAAAATACAATTATGCAAAGCAAAAAAATGGTTTTATTTAATCGGTTCGGACTGCAATTCGCAGGATATTTAATACGGCAAGGCTCAAGTGTTTAGTATGACAGCTAATAAAAAGCAATAAAAACGTTCAGTAAAGGATTAAAGTTTATCAACATTCACATGTACACGTACTTCAGAACTTAGTTATCAATCTTTGTTACAAAATATTGACAAGTTTGATATCACAAAGCTTAAAACAAAACAGTGCAATGGACAGAAAGCACAGGTGGAAAGGGTGAGTTAGTATTTCCATACACACTGGAAGCGCAGTATTTCAGCGGTGAGTTACCAGGGCGATTTTGCCATAGAATGTCTAAGAAAAGAAAACGTTGGCTAGAATTACATCATGTGTACCTATCACTTTGCCAACTGGCGTAGGTACTTTCTGATAGCAAGAACAAAAATACGGACAGCATTATAAATACCACAAGTAAAAAGCGGATCATGGGGATCATGTTGGCTAGTCTTTAGCGTTCGCTTTCTCGTAATACGAAAACATGGATTAAATACTATATGCGCATTAATTCGTCTGGATCAGAGATCCTCTTAAGTTCATTGTTATTGTTTTTCATCACAGTACATTTACTTCGTAGGAACGTTACGTATTAAAATAAAATGGACGCTTGCAGTTAAACTGGACCGCCGAAGCATCGTCATGTCGATGCGAAAATTTCTCATGATCAGCTCTAATGTCCATCAGTAATGAAAAACCGTTGAGACGACCGAGAAACAGCGCACCGGTGCCTCCCACCGAAGAAGCTCCTCCCCGGCGCGCCAAAGCTGACAGTGCTCCTGCAGCGGCTGCGGTGAATTTTACTGAAGACACACCGCCAGATCAGCCACCAAAAGCAGCGTCATTCGCCGCTGACGAAGAAAACGCCACATGTGCGATCACCAACAAGCTTATCACAACCAACAAAGTCCCGTCGGTAATATTGCCGGAAGAAATTCCCTTCGCCCGCTTAATCTTACGCCGTGACCGGTCGACACATTTTTTCGACATCGGCCGCGCCGTTCTGAGTATGCATCTGAACGAGCGTGCTTGCGACTGCGCGGTGGTGTGCGGAAGGAAACGCCACTTGGCCCACCGCGTGGCACTAGCGGCACATTCCAGTTATTTTAAAAGTCTTCTGTACTCCACGGGAGACCAGCTACCAGTGGACGTACCAGCCGACGGTGTGCAACCGCGAGCCATGGACGACATTCTGACGTACATTTACTCGGGCGACATCAACATCAACTTTGTCACCGCGATGGATGTCATGGCCTCGGCTCAGATACTGCAAATGAAAGGCTTGGCGGAGAGGACGTGTGATTTTGTTGATCTTATCCTGTCAAGTGAGAATCTCATGACAACCCTGGAGGTTGGTACGTAAACAAAATTACTGTAATTTCAATTATCGTTTGATCGGGATTTCACCAATCCTGTCAAGGTGCTCGTAAAATTAACTTGAACACCTTTTCAGCTGGCCGAGCGTTCTGGTGCAGAATCGTTGTATGCCGAAGCGTATAAGAGATTGGCGCTTAATTTCTACTCGCAAACGAAAATGACGGTTTTTCTTCTCTGGGACGTGGACAAAGTTTGCCGTCTGCTTGGTGACGATAATATTATTATCGAGGTGAGTAGCAGTTTTTCTGACGACACAGCGCATCAGTGAAAACGGTTGTGCTAGACAGAGATGCACATATTCATTGCCGCGATGCGCTGGATGAATTATCGCCGTTCGGAACGGAAAGTCCATTTCAAGCGCTTAATGGAATGTGTCAGATGGGTATACATGACCACCGAGGAGGTACTGAAATGCGTCGATATGGAGCAAGAACTCGTGCGCAGTAACGATGTCCGCCCGGTGCTGATCGATGCAACTTGGTAATGTTGACTCGTTTTTATCGTTTGCGATTGGACAGAACAAATTACGTTCCGGTTTGTAGGTACACAACCTTGAAATCCTATGATGTCACGTGGAGAGACTATCCCATACCGTTGCCTCGAGTCAGGTTTCTGCGGCACGAAGATCCACAAACCGTTGTCAACCGAATTCGGGTTTCCTTGGCCAGCAATCGCCATCCGTCTTTCGATACTTTGTGGCCAACACGAGAAGCAAAAGTAACAAGCTTCGCATCCAAGTAGAATTTCCAGTTACAATTTTTATGGTTGTAGCATCGACCCGGCTCTGGACGGTCGAAGATGCGGAGTTTACCTTCTCCGGGACCACACGGCAACCGGTTTTCGAATGGTACGCTGACATCAAAAACCACAAAATCCCACCGCGTCTACAGAAGCGAGAGTGGTGATTTCGTGATGGAAAGCGCGTATGCAGAGGCTCCTCGGCGCTCCTCTGTCCGGCGTGGAATATTTCAGCGGGGAGAGAGGTCCATCAAAGCGCCATTATCACCACCGGGTACGCGACCGGCTTCTCCTCCTCGAAATATACCACGAAGAAATGTTAGTCGCTCTCACCGTGCAACTCACGATGGGATCGCTGGTCGCAAATCGCCTGGTATACTGCAGGTAGCGAAAGTCAAGCTACAGCAAATTCGTCATAGCGCTCCGACTGTTCCTCCTCGACCTTATAAAAATCGGTAGCTTTTTGGGCTTTTTATTACAAATACGAAATACTTTGGTAGGCGTTGTCGCCACACATTTTATTATCATGTTTGCGAGTATTGCCGGCAACAAGAACGTTGCTTTTATTTTAACTTTGATGCGTTAATACATATTTTGGTGCTGTTTTTGAGTGTGTCTTTTATTAAAAGCAGAAAGATCTGGCGGCTAACACAATTTACTTTCGTAGTAGATATGAAATATATTTTACACTGCAAAGCGTAATCTGCGAACGTCGTCGTCGGCAAAATTAATCTTCACAACGTACTGGAGACAACCTACTTATATTCACTGTGCACTGTTAGTATAAAGCGGTTGCGTTAAAAGTTTACACGCTTCTTTATGCTTGCTCCAATGCTTTACTTGACATTCACGACGACAATACCACTCGGCTTTACAGCTTGAGCATTTTCTGGATGCCGCATAGCCGCACCATGCACATTTTGCTGGCTCAGGAAGGATCGGATCCATAGACTCCGTACTGTAAATTTCTGACATTCTGTAACATAAAATACCTTCTGTCTGTGGGAAATGTAATGCCTTACCTTACTTCCAGTTAAAATAATAGCTTAACACAACAAATGTTGAATTCTGGGATCTACGAAAGATGTTCTAAAAGGTTTGCAAAAAAATTTGTTGCCCCTACCTCGCAGCAACCATTTTCAATAGCCGATGGTCATTACATGTCACATTCACGTGACACTGCGCTAGGTGATCCCAGCGATCCTTATAAGCTGAAAATAAAGCTTCTCTCACAACTGGCGCCTATAAAATATTTGGATTAGCATCGACCGGCATGGTTTACCACTAAGTTTTGGATTTAAGAACGCATACTTGCTCAATAATTAATCCTTTTTTAGGCATAGGTGTCTCCATAAATACCAGCATGTCTAAGCATCGTTGAACGTCGACTAATCCGGGGATCTGATCTAACAACACTTCAGTCAATAGTGGTCGGACTTTTAGCAGACGGTTCTTTCGGTGCTCGTTCAGGTAATATTTTCCACGGAATTCCGATCCTAATATGCACTGGTGCAGAGCCATCCACATTTGACCTTCCGTCTGCGTCAAGCAGATGCGGTCGTCTGGAGCGATAGGCTTCCACTCGCCATCGATAAATTTATGCATCTGATCACCATCCATAATTTTCCAAGGGTTGCGTTCGATTAAGTCAGCGAGAAAAACAGGCACATCATGATGATCACAGATCCGGCAGACAGCACTCAGTGTAATGGATGGAGCATGTTGAATTAAATGACAAAGAATACCAAGTGATTTGGCTGAAAGTATCATTTCAATATCCAGCCGCTGCTGGAGTAACTGATGATGGGCATCGTCAGGTGTGTCCGATTTTTTTGAGATCCTGGATTTCTGTTGCTGGAAGTGTTTATCAGATCTCCTGCCGCAAGAAGAGTAAGTATCTGTATAGGAAAAGTTAACCCGACCACAAGGAATCATTCCGTGCGTGAAAAATAAGGCATGCCTAGAAGACGGTTTCTAGAAAATTCACCCTGTGATCATTTTAACAATATTTGCGTGGCAAACGTCAACAAGGTCAGTCGCTCTTTCATCAAGATTTTCGCAGAATGTTGAGCGGAACGTGAGTGATTCCAGCAAACTGGCAATGGTGACCATGCTGTACATCTGGAAATAAGTTCTTCTACAATAACCGTTATCTAAAAATAAAGCCAAGAATACGAAAACCAGTAGATATAAATAAGGCTGTCTGCTGAACGGAAGTGTTACACCACGGGCGTCAATATATACTATACAAAAATTATGGGCTTACGTCTTACCACCATGTAAGTAGGGAAACTTTGAGCATTTTTTGACTGAACGAGATGTGCTACGATTGGAAAAACGCATTCTTTCCACAAATCGTGTAGAACTAGAAGTTCTACCAACAAGGGTGCCTAAATCACGGCATCAATTTTGAATACGCACTCCACTAAAACTTTTTTCTACTTTATAGTGTGCAAAACATGACTCATACCTTGTCGAAGAAAATGAATTTTTCTTGAACCGATTCTTCTGCTTGGATTCTTGCTTCAACAAGGGCCTGCATATTTAACTTCTCCAAGATTTCATGCTGATTAAACCACCTATCAATATTAGTATTTGTCATCTAACAATTATAGAAGAAAATAATGCAGCACCTAAAGCTATTTAAAGCAGAGCCCAACAAACGTAGCGGGAAGACCATAGACCACAGTTATTTATGCACAATGCACATGCTGCAATAGGTTTCAGCACTACTAGTGACTCTCAAAAATCATACCAAATAATTAACGATAGTAAGCCATTTGTGCGATGGCTGTTCCAAATTACTGTAATTACAAATATTTACTTCAGGGTTCCGATATCCTCCATCGAAAGCGAACACAGCGATTCAACATAATTTTCTATTTCATGAAGCGACAGAAAACTTTCTCTGATTTCAGATTGATGCATGACGGGAAAATAATCCGAGAAGTATTTACGACGACTTTAGGAGAAAATGATCTGCAAAGTATTCACAATACACAACTGCTCGGTTTTGTAGTCTTACTCGCCATAAACTTAACAACATTCTTTAAGCGAGAGCATCTCAAAACATTCTAAACGCTGCACTAACCACAAGGTGCTGTAAGTCACGGAATTATACTGACGCAAAATTAATGCTTTTCGGGTAAGATTAGTCTAGCTTGTGTAGGCTGATAATATTGTGACGTCAGTTTACACAATTACGAAGTGAATTCATTAAACAGCTGCAGTATAGAACGGTTGCAAATCAAGGAAGTTCTAAAATTTGAAATTAGGCAGTTAAGCCGACAACATTCTTAGGCTCCCATAAATAATTTGCGTTTTCTTTGTAAAATTATACACCGTGGTAGCAGCGCTCGTAAGCCTCTGGCCCACAGTTTATAACCCCTTGGGACTTTTTGCTACTGTAAGTAAGAATGGCGTTGTTTCATTTTAAAGTTACCGAATTGTTTTAGTTTGGTGTAGCTATGGTTACTGCACCGTACCAGAAGCGGTGGCGGAGGATAAGTTGACCTTTCCACACTGCCATTTCAAAAAACGATCTCTGATGACCTTTAAAGGACAAAAAATGCAGGGAATAGTTTTGCAACGCAGAACAATGCCAAGTAAAGTCTCGTGGGAATACCAACAGCAATGCAGATCTCTTTCTGCGTGTCCGTATGCCACTGATTCATTGGAATATCAAGCAAGACTTATACTAGATCGAGTGGAAACCACACAATTTAATTTTGGAAACCTCTGTAGGATCGTAAGTTTATATAAATTACCTTTTAATTCAGAAATTTCAATTGCAGAGTTACTTCTTAATTAGTCTTTGACAGCAATTTCGACTGCTAAAACTTAGTAGCAAACTCAAACTGAGACAATTATTTACTGCGTTTTTACTTTTATGATAAAACTCAGTCTATCCGCTGCAGTAATTTAGACATCACCAAAAAGCCATAAGGCACATTTTAAGAGCAGTATAAAGGTCATTAGCAGAACCAGAAGTTTGGTAATCTGTATAAAGTATCGCATGTTTGTTTCTTTGACTCAGCTGGGAAAGCTTATTTGTTTCGACACTTTAGATGAATTTCCTCAGCACAACAGTGACAATGGCTTTTGATGGAACGATAGCATTGCCACATAAAAGTTAAAGACAATTATTTTGAAAAATATTTATACATATTTCTCGCAAAGTAATAGCGAAGCTGTTTTTTGCTTAACTTCGTGGTTTGTTTATAGTATGCGTCCTATTCGCGGAGAATCGGTGAAATTAGGGATGGCGGCGACGAGCTTTCCCGTGCCTTCTCCCAGTTTACTGAAGTCCAGTCATGCTGCTGCCCACAAACTAAAAAAGCCATAACGGAATTCGCACATGCGCTGGCCACTGTACAAGATTACGAGCAAGCTAGGATCAGTCGGATTGAAGCAAAGGTCATATCTGGTGCGATTTAGCTGGTGTGTTAGACAATTTCTTTACTTTCTGTCCTCATCACTGTCTTTGGTATCTTGCAGGGTTCGCAAAATATGGATTTCTTTGTCATACAATCAAGGATGAAGTGCAAAAGGGCCTGCATATTCGAGAGCGGGAGCAACGACAAACTGAGCAGTATCTGCGACTTCAGTCGGACATCTCCCTCAGCGAGCCGAGGCGACAACAGAAACTGGAAAGCGCTAATATGGCAGCGAATGATAGCAAACGGGCACAAGAACTGCTGCAGCGACGTTCGGATAAATTTGAACAACAAAAGCTAGAAGATATGCGCCGGGTATTGCTCAACTTTTGTGAGATTGAGATTGCTTATCATGCCAGAGTGATAGAGTTGTACAGCCATGCGTACAATGAACTGTTGGATGTCGATATCGACATGGATCTAGACACTTTCCGCATGGAGCTGCAAATCGGTCCAAATTACATGACAGCTTGCGAAACCATTGACGAACTGAAGGCAAACTTCCAGAAAGAAGGCATTGCCGATGGAATCCCAGTAAGCTCTACCCATAGCATGAAGAAGCCAGAAGACGAAATATTCTCGGATTCAAATATTTCGGCTGAGCCGCTTGACGGAGACGATATTGTGAAATGTATCCGCGGGAAGGAGAACCAAACTGCTAGATGTGTAGCATTTTTCGGCGAACCCGAGGAAGAGTTTTCCGACGGACCGAGTAATATGGCTTTGGTTGGCAGCAATTTCGAAGAACGTCAGGTTTCTTCACGGACATCTGTCCATCCCGGCTCAGGTTCAACTTTGCTGCACTCAAAACTAAGCTCTTCACAGTCGCTATTGGAACAACTGGCGACCAAAGATAGCCACAGGTCATACAAGAGTATGCGTAAGAAGGTATCCAGCAGAAGCTTACCGTCGAGTGGGCGTAAACCAGAAGATCGCAGGGACATCGCTACTGGCATGAGCAAAACCGAGAAGTTACTGCAACAAATTTCAACGAGAAATTTGGCGCAGCTGCATCCGAGTTCGGCTGCTTCTTTGAGAAAACAGCCATCCAGACCGCAGCTTCAGCAGCAGCAGAGTTCATCTCAATGGTATCCGTCGGAAGTGTCCAATGGGCCGCGAACCAACCTCAGTAAAACCAAGAGCGACATGAGCAGCACTTATAAAATTGCGCCTAATACTACAGCCTCGGTGACGACTTCGAAGATCGCGGATGCAACACCGAGTAGACCGACTGACGTGCGAGAAATTGCAAATATCCGGAAGGAAGATGATAACGAGCAAGATCTTAAGGCAAACAGCGATGACGGGACGTCGACTGCGCCACAAGTGAACGTCTCAGTAAACCGTAATGATAAACCGCTGGTTTCTGATCTAGCACATCGTCTGTCTGTTAAGTCGAGCAAGCAGTTATCGGAAGTGGTCACGGATAAATCTGCATAGACTGCAAAATGCAAGACTTAGGGTTAGTAACCGTTTATTTTTTGCATTTGACTTTGTCATCCTGTTTCCGTCAGTGCTGCAGTTAATGCTTGAACATCAAACTTAGTTTACATTCAAGCATTTGGAGTAAACATCTACAAGAGATTGATAGAATTAAAAAGTAGAATAAAACATCAAAATCGTAAGCCGCATTAGATATATTGTGCTGGAAAATCTTTAGCCACTTTTTTCGCATACACATTCGATATCCATTCAGCGTACACCGGTAAGCATAACCGAGCGTTGTAGAAGCAAAACGAGTACTTCAGCAACCTAAAACCTTAAGTAATTGCAGTGCGCTCAACCAACCAAGTACGTAAAAACTCGGCGAGTTATTCAGTAAATCTCGTAGCAACTAGCGAAGTATTCGAGGTATTCATCATCACACCGTTGTTATCAAACTTCTAGGAATAAGTTATATTAGCTTTACAAAATCGAAGGAGCACTCAGTAGTAATCGTGTCAGGATTACCCTTTTTTTGCTTCAGTTCTTGCAAAGTTTTCGTTGAACCACCGGATATTTTGCAATGTTTCGTTAAAAACAAGTCCCTAAAGTTGCTAATCTTTTGCTAATCTGATCTAACTTTGCTTCCTACTCGTGTTTTCGTAATTGTTTGCTCAGCTCTTCTAATTCTGAATGGGGAGTCTCAATGCGTAAAGTGAGAGAACAAATAAAGTATGAAGAAAATTATCCTGCAGCGAAACAAAGTACTAGCACAAGAAGACCCTTCGTATTTTTCTGCGTTTGCCAGTAAAAGCGTTGATGGTCTTATTGGCTTATGCCCTTTTGATGGCCTCTATCCAAAGCATCCGGTAAGAATCATTGATCATTTTCGAATTCATCATAAAGCAGTCCGATAAGTTCTGCAATGCACAGGCTTTGACACTCTGCAAAAACCTCAGCAGTCCTTCATCCTCAACAACCGAAGAAATACCATCCAAGGAAATTGAAAGTTTATTTTTTGACTGCAAACCATCAAGTCCAGCAGAAGACACTGAATCATGCAGATCCTTGTTTAGCTCCGAGCAATCGTTATCTAAGTGCACGGAAAACAGCAGCCAGATCCCTTTGTCAAGCATTACATCGTTGTCGCCGCCTTCATCCCCTAACGAAAAACCCTTCGCTGATCAGATCAAGGCCGCTTCATCTTCAAGTAGCATAGACTGGGCTACCCACTTCAAAAGAGCAGATTTCGGTCCTGAATATGGCTTCCGACCCAGGCGAAAACTGCTGAAGTACAGCTCTCAGAAAAAGGGCTGGTCTAAACTGCGGCTAACAAAGGTCAGTCTTTTTCTACCACAAATTTACATATCACTTTTGAATCAATTTTTACGATGTCAAGCTACAAAAAGTAGCATATTAGTCTGGCGATTTGAACGTGCTTAAAAGCTTCCACACTCGCAGTTTAAATAAGATATGATTAAGATTTTGGTGTTGTCTTTATAGATGCAACAAGATAAACATATGAATGAAACGAAAGAAAAGAAGCGCCCCGGTCGTAAACCAGGAAGAAAGCCGAAAATACCGTTGCCGGAGAAGCCTGTGAAAAAACCCAGAGCCAAGGTTGATGACGCCATCAACTGCATTTGCATGTGTTGTTGGGATATTGGGCCGCAAATCGAATGTGAGCAATGCGGTAAATGGCAGCACATTATGTGCGTCGGTGTCTCTGATAACGACACGGATGGATACAAATGCCACGTATGCGATGCATCTCGAAAACTACCTCTTGCCGATTCCGAGGAAGCGTACAGAGCGTTCACCGCGTACGCGATGTCACTACCCGTTGATGGTAAAAGTAGCCTATCGCTCATTCTGGAAATTACTGATTACTCACAAAACATTCTTTGACATATCCTAGGAAACGAGGCCAGTTCATCTACAGCAGTGGAAAGTAGTAAAACGGATTCGCCAGCGCAACCTATTCCACCCGAACCGCTGCGCAAACGTGGATGGAAACGGAAGCAGGCGCCTGATAAGCATGTGGAGGAAGTGAAACTTCCTCGTACTCCTGAACAAAAGAAGAGCGAGGCCAGCGTAAAGCGGCTTCTTAAGCATCCCCGACTGTTTTCGGAACCGGAGAAAATAGAATCTCCAACAAAAATGCAGCCGCCGCTAAATTCTGTCCGAACGAGCGGAGGCCACTCTGTGGATGGAGGCGTTAAGAAATGTGCTGTTGGCAAACCCGCTTTACGAAAAAGCGATGGGCGGACTGACCGGGAAGCAGTGATAAGACACGGCTCTAGTAAACTCGATCAGTTGTTGCTAACCAAAAGAAATAAGGAAAATGACGAAAATACGAGTACTACTCAGGCAGCTGCAATACCGCCACTCAGCTGAACGTTGAGCTCTGATAAGCCGTTCTCTTGTGTAATTCATTTAGCTTGGTGGAAACAGATTGTTGGTCTATTATGCTAAAATCTAAAACAAAAAAAAACGTTAACGTTTATTATCAATAAATGAGATGGTGATTCCAGAAAGAGACAAATGCGATCAGTGATACATAAATTGGTCAAGCATCAAGGAGTAAAAGTGTGATAGTTAAACAGCCAATACGGCTAACTACCTCGTAAAGTCAGAATTGCCCTCCGATTTTTTCTTCCACCTTCAACTAGTTTTATAAAATTTTAAATAATGCTGTGACACGTAAAAATACAGTTTTTAAAACAAAAATTTAATTTGCAAGTAATTCAATTCTTATTTCTTAGCTTGCTACTCTAGCGTGAACCAGTACATACGTCATTTCATTAGCTGATATACCGTAATCATGAATTTTTGCTTATACGGTGTTACAATGAACACCATAATTATGTGATATGAATGTAATTAAGTTTATATCAATTTTTATACTTAATTGAACGAATATAAAAAACCTATAAAATTACTACTTTTTCCTGCAATAAGGGTTCCAGAGGTTCAACAAAGCGATTAGGTATGATCTTGGAAGCGTTATATACAATCTTATATTTGTAATATTACTCGTCGAGCCACATCAGATTTATTTGTTTGTTAAAAGTTTCACTTTTGCGAAGTGCTCCGCCGTCTTACACATCTATATTGTATGAATTTCGTATACACAGCTGGCTGACTGATAACAATGTTCAGCTTGGAGGAAGAATGCTGCCCACGGGAAGGGACTATGCAAATCGCATTTGCGCCGTACGCAATATTTGTCAGGAGAACGCCCTTAAGAGTTTCCGGACGGACAGGCTGTCGGCGCTGCGAACCACTGACGCTCTCCGGTCGACGTATCCCGTGTCATTGGTAAACAGGGAGCACTGTTTTAGAAGCAGCGTAATGATATCGAAATCCACTTTCTAGATGTAGTCTGATGTGCCAGTTTTCAGAATGTCAATAGCCAAAATACATCAAGCTAAGAGCTGCCGAACTATCAATGCAGAATAAGCGAATTGACCTACCGATAGCCGCTCTTTATTTTACAGATATTTACATTGTAGGCAGCTTCCTGGATATCAGGAGAAGAAGAACTAATTCAATCACAAGATGACGAATTCCATTTAAGAGATAATTCTCACACACCGGAAGAGTGCTGGGATAAGGTCCGCTTGGTGGTTTTACATGTTTTTCCCTCTCCTAAAACTCCTGTTCGCTTACTGTTAGTTCCAAGCTACTAATGTGTTGTTGTGCAGTTGCGCAACTATATTACTGTTGATAGGCCCGCCATTTACTTCTGCTGGATGCCAACTTAGGAGAATTAAGCGAGGACGAACTGGACGATGCTCTCCTGTTAAGAGAGGTGTGATTCGATGTAGTACACTTTCACTTTCAGCATTTTACATGCGAATACGCTGTCGCTGTGTATCGATTTATGAAATATCTCGCCAATTGACAATGTCCTTACAAGTTACAGGAAACGAGAATCTTATTTTATCGTTTGTCGGAACATGTTTTTGTTTTTAACGCAGGAAGAACTGCAAGCCACAGAATTAAAAATCCTGGAACTGGAACCTCGACGACTAAAACTTAACAAGAAAATCATCCTGCGAAGACGTGAGAAGGACGAGCTTCTACAGCGTCTCAGCGATTTTGAAAGAAGGTAACCACAGCTTTTACAACTTCACGTACTGCACGGCTGTGGAAAACGCTGTGTCAGTTACAGCGGCAATCACTATTTCAGCCGAAAGCCGAACGCAGAATTATACCATGTAAGCGCATCATATAACGACACATACCAGTTGTATGTGATGTCCCTCAGAAGGCATTCCGAGCTGGTTCTCATGCTGGACGAAATCGATAAGGTAAATCTATTGGTGCAAAGTTCTTGTAAGTCGGCCCTCGGTAAAGTGTTTCGTGCGCTTCTTTCAGGTGATGCAAAAGCACTGTCAAAACACCTCGACTTCCGGCACGACTACACCAACGATGGACGAGTTCATCGAAAGCATCCAGTCAAGAATCCGCAGTGAACACACAACGGAATACGAAGCGGAAGAAATGTGCTGTCAAACGACCAACGGTGGCTTGGATGACGTTGGTGACCTTTCAGTGGAAGCGTCTGCCTCAAATACCGTTCTTCCCATTTCTCTTCCGAAAGCCGGATTAATCTCAGTTTTTCCGCAGTCACTGGTAAGCGCTCTGATGCCCGATCTAAGCTCAAGATTCAATTACAAGTTATTTCGTAGAATCAGAGGCAGAACCGGATACCTCCACTGAATCTGATGAATATCGATGACAACGAGGAAGCCACGAGCAGGCATCCCGCAGTTGTGTTGGAAACACAAAAAGGGAATCCAAAACATTCATCGCACAACGTGTCAGCGACGTTTCGACGCAATCGTCCCGTAGCGACAAAATCGAAAGTTACCCTGCCCGTCATCTCCAGCAGGTGTCGGACGCCGGCTGCTTGTGGAGATGCGCTGAGTGACAGTGATTTCTAATTTTGGAGAAATTGAAATATTAATAAAAATATCCATGTTAATGTCATTACTTCCGTCAATGCTGAAGTTAAAGTATTTATCGCATGAACAACGGTGCCTTATAAAAAAGCCTCACGATCAACATTTACCAGAAGGAACACGCTCTGATACCGTCTACTAATTTTTAACAATTAGGAAAACATTGCACAACCATAGACTGTTCACCGGAAAGCTACCCATTTCTTTTGGCCTTGTCTACGGTTTGTCCACAACTTTTCCTGTTGCGGTTATATCGTCGCTGTCCAGTGAGGATTTAAGCCGGTTCGTTTTCGAGTAAATGTTCATTAGGCTCTTAGTCATATAATATGGCCGGTCCTCGGATCCGTCGTTTCGCTCCAGGTCTTCCACTAAAGTTAAATCCAAACATTCTCAAAACGGTAGAATAATACTAGTATTTGTCGGATAACATAACATTTGCTAACTCATACGAAGAGGCAAAAAATTAAAAATTCAACTTTCGTTTCTGGTGCAATTTAGAAAGTAATAAACTCTGCAGAATAAATGTGCAACACAAATGCAGCATAACACTTTTCGAGTTAATACGGAACCTGGTAAACTGTAATGTAGACATTTTAATCGGGCGAAAGCTGTTTTTAACTTACAGAAGCATAACAACATGGTATCCATGGCCATGGTATACACACCGAAGAACATCGAGGAAATAATGTAGCTGCCGATTACAATAGTCTGTAAATCCAAATTCAAAACAGATAATTATCTCATTGCAAATAAATTACGCAAGTGTCCATATCCCTTCCAGTAACTTACCACTATGGGGACATAAATGAAGTTCAAAGCGGGAACATATGCCTCCAGTCCAGGGATTTGGTTGGATAAGAAATAATAAAATCCACTAGCCAGGGCTCCCACAATTACCAGTTTTCCAAAAAATAAAAAGAATATGACCACACTGTCAACGACTATAACCCTGCAAGGAAGATCATATAAAAATCAGTATATAAAATTCTGGTCGTGGTACGAGTGCAGTTAACATCACGCCAGGAACCATACCGTAATGCATTCCGCAGCAACAAGCTGAAGGCATTCTTGGCCGAAGTGCAAAAGTTTGTACCGAAAATTGCCATCTGCAGTCAAAACACAAAATTTAATTATTGAATTTTAAAGGACAAATTGGGAAAGTATTCTCAATAAATAAACCCCGCTTACCATTATATAAGCATACTTGTTGATGTATTTGATGCACTTCTCCAGACAGTAGAAACAACAAGCACAAATTCTGTATTTACACCGAACAAGGCTGTACTGATCAAGGTCATCAAATTACCCCTGATTGAAATGCAATCTCATACAGGAAATTTTACCTACTTCAGAATGAACCTTGTGAACCAGTTATCCGTCTTCTTCACTTTCTTCTGGATATAAAGGAGAATATAGCGCAACAGCTTCGTTATGGCCACCAACATCGATCCCAGTGCAATCGAACCGGTATGATATCTGTTTTCGAAACGTACACCCACTATGGCTAAATTGTATTCACACCATAGTACCTGAAAATTCTTACCTTAACGCTCGGTACAAGGCAGAGGCCACCGGAAGATCGGGAATATCATCTGGCTTGTTGAACGCCCAATAGTACATGGCAAATGCCCCAGCCAGTGTCAGCTGACCCAGGGCCGAGAAGAAGCAGTAACCCCAGAGCAATCCAAAAAAGTTGTAGATTTGGTAGTAAATCAGATTCCTGTACAGATATATGGACAATTTTGCTAGCATTCACTCACACGCGTAGGAAACAACGTAATATTCCACTCACGGGTCTTTTTCAAAATACAGAAATTTGCATCTCGCTGTCGTGTTGGGATGGTTCTCACGAAACGTCTGTAATACAAATAGTCTGTCATAGATTGCCAACGTCAAGTATACGTGTACAGTTATACTGTATTTTACAGACTAGCTGAAATCATTTGTCTTTCCTTACTTACATTCGGGTCACATGTTTCATTCTCCTGCAATCCTGCAGGCGCATTCACCGTAGAATTATAAATGGCTCCAATCGGTTGACCAGTGGCCGTCAGCCATCTGTGTGAAGTAATCAGTTGAAACATAACAAACTGCGTTAATTATTAAATACGTACACATTGGATGACCTACACAGAGCAAGCCAAACAGGCTCCGATGATCACGAACTGGAGTATCAGAGGGAAAAGTGGAAAAATCAGGGAGGATAATATCGTGCTGACTGCCCTGCATCGAAAAGGCTGAATTTCACAAACGCCATATCACAGAGCTGCATTTTTTATCTCTTACTTGGAGCTCGTTCGGAGAAGCGCCGTCGCAGTCACAATGCGCTTACGAAGAAAGATGACAACCAAGAAGAAGATAACGAAAACCACAAAGGCAGCGATTCCTGCAAGCATTAGAGTCAGATACTCGCCCAAGGCTTTCAGCCTTCTTAATTAATGGTATCCGATCGGTTCTACCGAAACCAAGCCATGTGTTCTTGTCCGTCAGAATATTCCTTCTACTTTGATAATTTTATCACTCATTCCAGTTATGTTGTTCGCACTGCCGCCCTTTGCCACATTTTCCACGATATTTCTGACTGTTAGGTTACTTCCGGTATCTGTAGTAGTGTTTCCCGCTGATTCGTCGATCGCTGCGTCGATGGCGGCCAACCGCTTGTATTGCTGATAGCACATATACACGGCTGGAATAAAGTACGAGTAGTACCATATTCGTACAAGTATACAGATAAAAAGAGGAGAATATTCAAAATTTAGATGACGTATTGTATACTGATATTTTTGTGACAGCACGCGCACTGAACTGGGTACTGTACAGATACACACTCAACACGTGCTAATGGTAAGACACATGAAATTGTCTAATAATTCATCACCAGTCGTCATAAAATATCATAACTTCTGAATGAGGTAAATCAAAGTATTATTTTAAGATACAGCATCCTGCTTACCATACACTAGGCCGCCGAGAATTCCTACAACGGACAGGAAGATCATCGGTTTTGCAATCCAGCGCAGCGCAATGATCCACACCATGGAGATGATGACCGAGAAAGCCAGCCCGCTAGTAAGAACACATGGTATACAAAGTTGAAAAGGTACTGATTCCACGACGCACAGCTTAAGCAACTCAAATCCTTACACGACGATAACTCGCCACGAGTTTTGAAAATCCACCACCACCTTCTTGAAGTACTCCTGCGTTTCCGCGTAGAGATGCACCCAGGTGGAGGCATTGAAGACGTTCTGCACACTGATGGTCTGGTTCGTGTCCACATTCAGCGATCCATCCGCCTCGGAAAACATGGCCACCGCGTGTCCATCGGCGCTCTCCTTCAGACCCGGCAGACAGCGCCCGGCAATGGGTCCACTGGGTAGGTAGTACGCTGCGCACTGCTGATTCTTCACTAACAGTGTCACGGCATCCGCTTGCTGTGGTTTCTGCAGAAGCGGAGGTTAAGTAAAGTGTACAGGTCGTGCACCACATGATGATCCGCTGAAAAGCAATAACTGTTTCATGAAAATAACTGCCGTACCAACCGACAATCTTTTCAACGAATCCAGTTCCACACCATCCTGACAGATTAGCTGGCTGAGATTCAGCGGCTCAAGGGGGGCGGATATGACGGATTCCAAAAGGGTCAGCAGGGTGAATGTAGTGTTGGGACAATGGGTGACGCACACCTAAACAAACGCATGTGAGCCGGTTGGTAGCGTGCAGGATGCGAGGAATAATCGGTGACACTGGACATACGCTCTGGGACATGCAGCCGGTAATGATCACGGATGGGTCCATGCATCGTGTCAAATCGAAGTACAGGAGGTACGGTCTTGTTCTATCAAACAGATTACATGAACCAAAAATGTTTTTACAACGAAAATTAATAAGAAAATAATGATGTAAATCCACGCAGTTCAACGGAAACAGTTAAGACTGATAGATATTGCTTACAGGGCATCGTCTTGACCACACACTTGGCCGTGGCTGTCCGTTGGATGGATGACCCGGGCTAACAGTCCATTTGTGAAGGCTGTAATGGTGCACAGGAATTAATTATGTACTGTATTGTACAGTACACCGAAAGAGAAATACAGTAGTAGCATCTTATCGCGCATGCTTACTTTATTTTTACTCGTAATGAAACTATCAACAGTTCATACTTTACCATAGTAAGCAACGAAGCCCCATCCCACGATGTACGCGAGGAAGACCACCAGACAGGGAATGTCCGTGCAACTCCTTTGTAAGACGAGAATCTGCATGAGGTCGATCTAGTATACGGTTATCGCATCAAGCGCAAATAAGGCATATAGTGCGAAATGCGAATGCTGGACAGATTGATCGGATCACAAAACGCAAGTAAATTTTCTCCGAATTTCTACACTGACCGACGTTTTATTGGTGCGCGCGCTCTACGATTTCCGGCTGTGCTGGCAAACTGCAGGGACTGCCGAAGCGCTGTATAATAAGCACAGTCATGAATATTTCGCCTTTTCAGTTCAGCGCAGTGTGAAAAGACTACTAGTCTAAGCCATAAGATATTTATTGAAGGCAATGTTTTTGGGTTGCAGTATCGTCGAATGAAGCCCAACAATTACTACAGTAATTAAAAAGGGAGCCCCAGGTCAAGGATAGACTACGGTAGTATAGGACAAATCTTACCAACCCGCTGTCGTGCTGCCGCTAAATCAGCAACTTTACTTTTTGCCATAAAAACTGAACCATTATCTCATGTAAAAACTGACCGATATGCACTGTAAAATTCAATTATAAGGAGCATTTCCTAAACAATTTAACGTTTTGTAACCAAAAATAATGAGAACCAACTCGCTCCAGTTCGTAATTAAATGATTAAGCAAAACTGCAAAACTACTAAATAGACCGGCTGATGAAATTGTAAATCGCAGCTGCGGAAATCACCGTTCGATTTTCATCGCCAGACGGCAAGTCGAGAGTGCTACAGTTTAACAAGTACTGTACTGTACAATTCTTTTACTGTTAGAATAAAGTAGTTACTCGCTTAATTTGAACACTTTCCATTCAGTAACTGCATTTCAACCACTAACAATTCTATTAATTTTGTTGCCCAGCAACAAACCTAAGCACCATTCATATAGCATAGCACCTTAAAATTTAATGTAAAGTATGTTCATAGCAAGCCGATAATTTGCGGGCTCGTTTGATTTTCCACTAAACTTGTTACACTATTCAGATTCCATAAAAAACCAAAACCGCAACAATACCAGTTCGATTGCCCCAGTTTAATTTTAACTCAAACAACGAACACATGAGAAGATCACATTTCTATCGACCAAGCAAACAGAACACTTTTAAAAAATTGTTTCAATATTTTTTAGAGAACAAAAATTTTCTATTATCACAGACTGTTAAAAATGCAAAAATTCGACAACAGCAGTAATGACGCGCCAAACAGTTACCACAGTTAAAATGCAATCACAGCAGAGAAAAAAACAGCTAAGCACCAGCCTGGCTTGTGCTGTTAACTCTCCAATCATAAGGAACAAAGATAACTTTGGCTTCCTTCGACATAAGCGCACGCAGCTGTACCTCCTTATCGTCATTCAACCAACCGGAAACCCTGGCCAACATCCCCGTCCGGTCGCTGCCGAAATCTTGCTCGTACCACTGGAAGATTTTTGACAAGTGGATTTCATTGCGTGTCCCGTCCAGCACGATATTCTCCGCGCAGAAGGCTTTCGCGGCGCCGTTCAGAGCTGATTCCAAGCTGCCGGTGTCCGTTCCACTGTAAACGGAGACCCGCGGACATGCCTGTGCTCCGCAATTTAAGCAGAAATGAATGCGTGGATCACACTGGGACAACGCCAAAGGAACTCGTTCGTCCTTGGCATTGAAATAGCACCTGCAGGATATTCAGTTAATTACAACTAAAGATAATTTTAAATTATAAAACTAAAGATTCATCAAATTATCAACGAATTATAAAAACCAAAAACAGCACATAAAAATAAACAGGTTATAGCAGCTATTTTTTATTTGCTTACAATTTACTGACTCAAAAGTGGTTAAGAAAAAATGCATCCACGTGATACATCATAGTTAATGATATAGAGCTGATTACTGTATACGGTGGATGCAGACTCATGCAGTTGCCAGTTTATCTGTATGTAACGTAATTTTAAATAAGCAGGAACTCAGAAAAGGCAAAAATAAGCAATCAAATTCACTGAATGTCAAAACTGATACGGAAAGATCGCATTGCCTAATTTTTTTTACGCACCTGCTCCAGAGATCACGCGGATGCGGTCTATTCCCGCGCAGAATCCCGTGCTCGATATCATCCAGGGAAAATGTTAAACCGCCAATTTTATACTCAAAACTCCGCCAGAAATCCTTGACGTCTAACATGCTGCGCGGAATGCCTGTATCACGGGCCGACAATTCTATCAACGCATGCATTGTCATTAGATTGTAGATGTTTATGAAAAAGGCTTTCCGCAGGCTCTCGTTGCTCACACCAGACAAAGGTGTCAAGGATGCCTGCTGCAGTTCCACGGCACAATTCACAAACTCAACAAACTGTGGAGAATTCTTCATTCCCAGATAATCCATCGCTTTACCGTCAGCTGATAAAAAACATCCTTGCAGGCGCCGCATGCACTGCTCCAGTCTTTCCGCTAGTAACAGGATGTTGCTTGCTGTGGTCGCTGCCTCCGAGTCCGAAGTGGGAGAAGCTGTGACGGTCTTTGGCTGATTGAGGATATATGGGGATGCAGATTTTGAAAACCGAGTACCCATTCTTGTATCCTGCAGCCCACATCCACTATCTGACTATCCCGATAGGAAACCTGATATGCGAGCAATAAAACTGGGAACTAAACGCAAGCAACACCGTCAACACTTCAACTCCGAGATTCGCTGATACGAACAAACATCAAAGTTTCAAACCAAACTAAACCCAACTTTAAACAAATCAATGACAGATTTATAATGTTCTTGAATGTTGTTCGTTTGCGGTTTGCTGTTTGCAGTACAAGACAGCCAAACACCTCCGCAGAAAACAAAAGTTATACAAAGCAAAGAGCTGCAAAAGGAATATCCGAAAGAAACTGAATGAAAGTTCAAAAATTATTTTTTTTTCAAATAGTTCGTTTTATGTAAAGGCAGTAAAGCGTACTGTAAAATTTTAAAACAGTCACAACACCAAGCGAAGGCTGATGGTGAGGAACGAGCCACCAGGCAGTACAGGCACAAAGACATACAGCACGTACTATACCTGATTATTATGTAATTACCAGCAGCGTGTCGAAGCTTTGCCCAACTTAGGAACTTGCATGCATTCAACACACAGCAGAAACTGGGGCATATAGTTCAGCTCTCCAGTGTCTGCACAGACACAGAGCACAGCCTATTCAACGAGCTTGATCACGAAGAAACTCATAAACAGGTTTTCAAATTTTACATTTTCTTGCCATTTCTGGATGGCTGCGAAATTTTCGGAAAATATCGTGTTTTTTGCATCGTCATTCAGGGTTGCTGTTTTGAAAATTTCGCCTATTGCTTGTTAAATTTTGTAAGTTCGAAGGAAGCTACGAGTTTAACCCTAATTGTACGAAAGCATACGAACACGAAGTACGCTGCATCAGTGGATAAAACACTTGATCCTTTCTTGGTCTCGTAATCCGACCAAGCTCTGGTTACGAAGCTCTTGCCTTGTTGTGTCTTGATGGCTCCTTGCTTTATTTGCAGTGTGGATGTCAATTTCCATTTGATGATATCGAAGGCAGCTTAAAGATTGATCTTCGGGTATTTTGTTGTGTTGTGTCCTATCTTCCGTGAAGATGCTCTATGTATTTTGGGTGGAACGGGGCATCATCATCACGCTCAACGTGGATGTGGCTGTTGACACGTGAGTGTTCCACTTTCCTTTTCCAGATAATCAGAGCGCGTTTCGTAATTGCTGCTAGCCGTAATGAGTCGTAATCCTACCCGTCCCTGTGGCTAATCGGGATGTTTTTTTTTAATTTAAAAGCAATCTTATTTTTTTATAAATTTAAATTCAGATTATTAAGATAGTGAGACACGTAGGTAGTCACTAGCCCGAGCCCCGAAGCATATATTTATCTGATGAAAGTTAATTAATTTTTGTGGTCAGTGTGGGGAATCTGAAGAGCGTGTTGTCGAACCCGCAGAGAACGGGAATACCAGCCGATAGTCAGGTGCTGCTGATTAGCGGAGGAGATTGTCTGCAAGATGATAAACGGGTCGCCCATTATCAAGGAACGGGAACGGTAAAAACAGCCAAAAAATATTGAAAAAATTTCTCATGCGTCTGTCGATGTTGAATGATTTGAATTCCAATTTTTTCATTGGATTCGGTAGGATACGAATCCCATATTTCTTTTTAATCGGGCCGCCATCGAAGCTGATCAAGTGCCTGAATTCTCGGCGGAACACCTTCCTCATGTGCCTGGTGAGTGTGATCTTGGTTGGGTTTTCGGAAATAATCATTCTTATTTTTTGAATATGTTTTGGAAATTATTTACCTGTTAATAATGCGAGGGTTATATAGCTGCACCGAACTGTTTGAAAATAAAGTCGTCAGCTGACGATTCAACCAAATATCAGTAATTTTTTACGTTAGCCATCGTTAGTAGTTACCGGAGTGCAAAGTTTCAACTAATTTTAGACGAACGAGAAGCCCGGGAAAATATGGAGAACGTCCTTGCCTTGCCTACCAATCTCAACTCTATTTCCATTAGAACGCAGCTGGCGCAGGTATGCATTCGTCACATTATTCTTGTAATTCTTGCTTTTCGATTGGTCTGTAATGGTCTTCATGTGTTCGTTACATAATTACATTTAATCTTTTTATTTATATATTTTTGAGCTGTTCATCCCTTCGCCGCTGCGACACATTCGTTGTGCGCCTGTAGAGTGTACCAGTTTTCATTGTGAACAATAAAGTATTTAGTGTGTAGAATAATAATTAGTAACTAAACTTACAACCAGCTTTATTAAAATAGTAACCAGTATACACCCAAGTACGTAGTTTGCAGATTAATTAGGAGAATATTCGAATTTTAGCAAGGAAATTTATATTAAGATACTTATTTCCAAGTTAAATGCAGATATTTGATGAAGGGTTTTTACAATTTCTAAACAGTTTTTCGGTCTTGTTTATCTGCAGCGTGAAGTAAGTTTGAGAATGATGGTTTGCATCGTTGTACTCTTTCACTGGATGTTGTTGCTGCCATTATGTCATTATAGTTGTTGATTTGTTGTAGCAATACCACGAGTATGCTCGGGAGTTGAACAAACAATGCACCACCCTTGTGCAGGAGCAGCATCTACAGCATCAAGGATGGCAGGCTGTGATGGCCAACCTGGAAGATGTTATAGCGTAAGCTTCGTGGATTCTTTGATGCGATGCTTCTGACAACGTGTTTTCATATTTCTGTATTACCCAGGGCATTTTTGAAACGACTGGAACGCTTCCGGAGCGCTTATGTGGGATATCTGGAAAAACGGGACGAACATGTCGTCAAGCTCGACAAGTAAAAAATAAATGACTCACGCTTATGTGGTTAACTGGAAATGATATGTGTGGCGTTAGGTTAACCGAGACTATGGAAGTTCTCGGGAAAATTACCCTCTTTCCGTCACTTTTACGGCTGACTCACCAAGACAATGAGAAGGTCTCTGGTGAGAAAGATTCTAGTGGCGATACCGAGACCGTCGATGGACTGAGCATAGCGAAAAGCACTGTAGAACCGTGGAAAAGTGACGAAATCACTGTGCTTGATTGGATCAGCGCAAAGGACCCTGAGCATAGTCTGCATGCCGTCGCCGAAGGATGTCGGAAAATTATTGAAGCGGTATTTTGTTTTTCGATACTCGCTCACAGAAACATGAATAGTGACTTTGTATGACAGTTTGACGAAGCTTTATTGGAAGAAGTGGACCAGGAATCAAAGGACGTAGTGGAACCGTGTAATAATACCACAATGAAGGAAATTAAAGGATTAGATCAACGGCTGTACGGCCTGGATCAACTGCTTTCCGAGGCGAAGAAATTGGTTTTGGAACAGAAGGAAACTGCGGAGGTGCATTGCTGTTTTGCGTTTGACGAAGGATTGTGCAGTAAGCTGTGTTTAATCGTAGATACTTTTCAAATTTCAAAGTCGAATGACTGGTTCCGGTGCAAAAGATAACCAGATGTTAAAGGAAATGTCGGATGCCTCCACCGAACCTTTTGCTCAACTACTGCGAGGCCATGTAAAATTGTGTGAGCTGCGAAGACGATGCTTAAGCGCTAAGCAAGAGCTCTGCAAACATCTTCATTCTCGCCTTAAGTATGTTCATATTCGGTTCTTCTCCTATCTTTGAAGTCGTTTTTAACAGCCATGTGCGTTAGGTGGGTTGTGGTTGTGGAAAATCGCGTGTCGGAAGTGGATGATAAAATTCGGATTTACTTTGAAAATATTCGACGGATAAGGCGGCTTCTTCTTATGGTGGATCAGGTCAATTCTTCGCCGCAGGTTTTCATTCTGGCCGTTATGGAGGTGTTAAGGCGGAAGCGGTACGCACGTGAATTCATCCAGGTAAGCATACAATCCGATATCGTCGCTCTTATCAAAAATTCTTGAGTAAATTACCGTTTTTGTATTTTTTATATAAAATTTGTAGGGAATCATTTATTAGGGATTAATTTGCCGTTTGAATTATTTTTTTATTGAAATATCTTTCATCATTGTTATTTAATCGCTTCCTTTGGTGATTTAGTGGGCCCGCGGTGTATCCGAGAAAGCAGTTGCCGTACACACAAAAGAAACCGACGCTCGAAAAGGCTTTCTGGCACAACATGGAAAGCATTTTCTTTTGAGCCTCTTTCCTGGTTTGGACATTCTCCCTCCACAGTTTGCGGTGAGTCTAACATTTTCGAGTCAGGTAGAAGTTATTGCATTATCTTGTTGCGCGATTGCAGCCGAGTCCCCCAGTGGATTTCGACACGGCCCTTCCGTCTCTTACTCCCGATGACTTGGAAAACCTGCGCCTTAGGTTACCGGAATTCGAGGAATACTTACGGTACATTTAAAAATTTCGTAGGAATCTGTCTTTATACATGCTGGCTGACTTAGTCTGTACACTGTGGTAGTAGCTCCCAGGACGATCTACCTTTCCGGTCGAAAAGTACGGAATCGGAAGAATCTTCCGTGTTCTATTCAACTTTATCTCCGGAAAGCGAAGGTCCTGCCAAAGATGGTACACTAGAGACAACTGCTGCTGCTTTCTCGTCCAGTATTCTGGATCGAAGAGAAGCGGAACTGGAAGAGATGCGGAACCAAGTTGACCACCTTAAGGGCATGAGCAACACCGCTCAGCTCTCCTTGTTCGCTTTAAAAAGAATCTTTGATGTGTTACGAAATGATTTGACAACATTCAAAGAGGATTGCTCTTCTGGACTGAACGAGACGCTCAGTGACATGGCGGAGAGATGGGCGAATATGGAAACGGTGAATACGGCGACAAAGGAGACGTTGGAAAAGCTACAACAACAGAACATTGACTTGACCGTTCAAGCAGAATCCTACCGCCTACAAGGGGAAACAGCACAAAAATTATTATTGGAAATGCAGGAGGCATTAAAAGAGAGTGAACGGAAGTTTACGGAACTTCGCGATGAAAAGGATGAACTGCAACGAAATCTTGACGGTTTGTTGCGGCTTCACTTTCATACTTTTATTCTGTTTCATATAGTCGATTTGCGGCTTACAGATGCTGAAAGCAATGTGAATCTTCGTATAAAAGAGAAGGAATCCAGCATCGTGGAATTACAGAACCGGCTAAATGAGAAAGAAGCGGAAATGGAGACGCTGCGTGCGTTGCTGGAATCGAAAGAGGCCGCTGAGCTCGCCTCCTCGCCGCCTGTGATGAGTCCATTGCCGAGTTTTATCGGGATGGGTGAGATGCCGCGACAGGATTCGCTCACTGGTGCCGCTATGATGGATTCCATGTCTATGTCGGTTGCGCCGGTGACACCCGGGGCTTGTCGCTGTGTTGGACCGTGCACGTGTCCCAGTGGCAGCCAACCGCTCACCCGGCAGAAGTTTGTGCTGGGAGGCGGGGCTATGGGTTTGCAGTCGCCACAAAGTGTGATTAGTTTATCGTCGTAAGTTCTTACTCCATCTTTAATGGGATATATGGATGGAAAATTCGGAAAATCCCTTTCTTGTAGATGCAACGTTGGCGATTTGGTGCTGTTCGTGTTTAACTGGGATTTCCGCCAGTTTGCGGCTTACTTGCCTTTCAAGCGGTCTCTGTATCTTTTGCACACCGACTCACAGAGTGAACTGGGACTATCGATTCCACAGCCGGAATCACAAGGTCGCAGCTGCTGGGATGATGTTGTTTTGTATATTAATAACAATGATTTTCTGGTTTAGGTGGCGGTAACCCAACAGGAACATCTGGAGAAATGCGCACCTGGAGCGTCGGTGAAGTTCTTGGGAAAGAATATGTTCTCACGAAAAAGGTACATACGGTTGGTGTTTTTATTTCTAGGAGCATCTTCTTGCGTTGATTAAAAATTAGTTATGAATAGTTCTACTTTTAATATTAAATTTGTTTTACTTTTATCATATAAACGGGCTAATGTTTCAATGTTATTTCAAATTTTCACATTTTTGGGGCGGTGATTTAGAAATGTTTCCTTTCAATGTTGATTTTGTAAGGACAATATTAGAACCATTTCTGCCCGAATAGTTTGGATTGCTCGTTGCAGCGAAAGTATGCTGTAGATTTAAAGTTATGTTTGCATATTTTTATAATGTAGGTGCCCAATCGTTACGGACTGAAAATCGGTACCAAATTCTACCGTGTCAGAGCGAAGGCCTGGTCGGTGACCGGCATGCTAGCCGAGCCTAACAGCGAACCGGGACTCGGCACGCGAGTGACCTCCGCCGGCTCCTTGCCACAGCCGCCGGTGGGCGGTAGTTCATCAGCTTCTCTGCAGTCTGCCGGACAGATTGATGCCCAGCCACACTAACTGGACATGCTGTGCTGCGAATCTTTTGTGGTGTTAACTGGTTTCTGTGATGCATAAACGTAGCCGCCCGGGGGAGGATGAGGAATTGTGCTTGTGTTTGGCGTTTCGGTTGTCGGGGTTTGCCATGTCCGTTTGTCAGAAATGTTGCTTTCGACATGATGGACGCTGATTTTAGTTGTAATAGTATGGGAGTTCGAGTGTTTGAATCGAAGCAAAAAATGTCGAGTTAAATGCGCTCTTGGATTTGCTGTACTCGATATTCTTATAGTTTTGTCAATGTATTCGACACGACAATCACTTTGAAATACATAATGATAATTTCCAGTATGTGTACAGCGATACTGGATATGATATCGACGGAATTATGTTTTATCATCAGCCTTTTTTTTCATCGAATCTTTCCCTGTCATCTCATCGTGTAGTTTCAGAAGCTGGCCGTCCAGAAATTTTCACGTTTGAGTCGGTTTGACTATGCTAGTATAAGGCTATAAGCTACCTTCACTTATTGAGAACCTGAAGCGGCTAAACACTTTTTAACGTTGTCACTTTACAAGGTTTAACCAAGGATTTCTTAACGTTATACAGTTTCTGCAGGTACCAAGACAGTAAGACGTAGGATATAACCCCTTCAAATAAACGAGATTTGCGCATCTTCACCATACATAAAAACATGAATTGCCAATCAGAATATTACTTAAACCAAACGAATATGGTCTACAGAACAATGTTGGAAACTGCGGCATTGACAATACAGATGCCGCATGCGGCATCGGAGCAGTTGATTCTGCAATAATGAGGTTGTACTGTACGTAACCGGAAAAGTCGCTCTATGTATTCGGGCATTCAGGACTTTCCACAGAAAAAATCATTTCACGTAGTAAAGCAATGCCACATGCTGCTTACTGCCGTACTGTTGCTTGTATAGCTATATACATTTTAAAAGTTCGTACGTATTGCCACATAAATCAAGATAACACCAACTTGATAAATCAACAGGTGGTACTTCCCCAACAAATTGCACGCAAACCGATAGATCTAGACTGTACACAAGCCTATCGGACTGGTTCTGTCAAATCGGTTGCATTTAACTTAGACTGACATGTTCGGGTTCTTGAAGCGTACAGGTCCTTCCTGAATAAAATATTATTTTATCTTTACTCTGTTGCGCTGGATCGAAAGAAGAAATCCCAAATGGACGTCCGTAGTGCGTATCTGGGATGGTTATTACTGCTTCCCGGATGTTGCACAGGTACTGTGCATGCGTCTGACTGGTCAAATTCGAACTGGCAGTCAGCGCTTTTAATCACGCACTATAGTTAGCGGCGATTTACTGGACTGATTTATATAGTCGGTATACAATTACAACTAATTTGTGGTCAGTTTTTGCACTAAACGCAGTACTTATTTCGTACTTATGTTTAGCATCCAGCTCGCCCAACGGCAGCGTATCGGCTTGCGAAGTCGGTACAGAGCTGTCTAGCTTCCTTATCTTGAACCGTTGGCAACCGGAAGAATCTGGATCACCAGAGGATCGATACGATGTGGACTGCCCTGAAGCAGCAAAACCTACGGATTTAAGTTTTGGACTAAGAAATATTGCTCCTTCTGCGCAAAACCAGCCAGTTCGTCTGAAGATTTTCGACGGTGCCTTATTCAAGCCTCAGCCGTTATCGTCGCTTTCGGCTCGACTTCTGTTTCTTCATGTATCGACTTGCCGGTCATCACGCATTACCGGCATACTTCCAAAGATACATGCCTCGAAACTGACCTTTTTTGGAATAAAAAAATGCGATGGAATGATTTTGCACAAGGCAGACTTCTCGTCCAAAAAATCACTAACGACAATTGCATTTTTCGCATCGACTATTCGTACCATGGAAAAGGGCACATTTTCCGATCTGCCAAGTTTGTCGACACTGGCCTTAGAAGCGTGGTGGGATGGTGACGAGAGCCATAATTTCTTACCAAAATACGTACGTCGAAATCTAATACAGTTAGTACTAATAACAATCTAATACCTAAGTAACCTGACTAATCGCATTCCCCAAGCACGTTGACAGCTGCAGTAATGTGTTTGCATTAAATATATTTATATACGACGAATTATAAAATTAATGGCCTTTACAGAGAGAACAGCTGATGAAATTCCATTGTAACTGCGAATATCAGTGGTTTCGGGATTGGATTACCATGAAACGGTTTGGACAGTCACCTTTGATTGTGGATGACGAAACCATATATTTTCCCGTCAACTGTCGTGCGCTAACCGAATCGTTGAACAGCGTGGACTGGAATCAAACGTCTTACTCGATCCTTACCAGTTGTTAATTTTGTAGTTCTTAAACCGATTCTTTTTAATACTGTTTCTTCGTCGCCGATAATCGCCGGCATGCAGTACCTGTGTCTGACTCTACTGACGACTGCAACTACTGCACTTTGTATGTATCCATTCCCTTGGAAACTATGTTTTGTTCTCTATTATTTTACGCATAAAGCAATGCTTACTTCAAACGTCCGTCATCAGCTCATCTAGTCTAGTCATTCCATCAAAATCGCTTTATTTCTTCGAGATACTCTTATGAATCTTTTAATATACTTCCTGCTCGCTTTGAATTCATGTATTCCTAACACATATCGAATTTTCTGCGTACTTCATGATTTAAGTTTGGACACACCCCGTTGAACAGTGAATAAGCCGGATCACTTCATCACTGGTTTTGGTCACCAATCCCCATCTAACGGTTATCCATGCGAAATTTATGGTTGTCCTTTTCTATATTTTTTCATCTGAGTTTAAGCCCTTTTGCCTCAGCTATACCGTTGTCCGCAGTGGCTAACCATTCTCCGAATGGTAGGACAAATTTATTAAATATTTAAGACAGAATCGACACATTCCGTTTATTTGGACATAATATTACACGGTGCCAAACAGATTAACGTCTTTTATCAGCAAATTCTGTTCGTTAATCGGGCTCTGTTTGATAAACTGAAGCTAATATTAAAAAAAATTTCTACCCAGTAGCCAAAATATTAAACAACCAACGAAGGCCGTTTGGTTATTTAGGTTTTTCTACTATCATTCTAACTGAAACAATACCATTTATTGAAACTGCTGATGCTGAAGATGAAAGAAATTTTTGGCGATTCGCTGGGGATGACTGTTTTGTAATACAAGGTTATTTTTTCTTCCTAATATGTGCAGGTGTTGCGCAACCTCCACAACCTATAAAACAACCTTCTGGCGCAGCGCTTCCAACCGGACAAATTCCCCACGTTCAAGCTGCCAGTGTGCCTGCCGGTGCCCTCAACACCAATGCACTGAATGTGCCCCAGCAAGCCGCACCGGCCGCTGTCGACTCTTCGGCATATGAGGTCAAACCCGGTGAACATTTCCCTGCAGTACCTGCTCCATATGTGCCCGAAACACATCCCATATCGGCGGAAACTCCAATTCAAAACATGCCGAATGCAGCTGGAGCTGGCGATTCAAATCTTCAACCACAGATGGCTCTTCAGGCAGGTCAAACGCTGGAAAATACAGAAAAAGTTACGGAAACTGGACTGGTTCCGGTTTCACAGCCGGCATCCCAGCTATCCAGCAACGAAGCCGCTGATCCAGCCGTGGCTGTGGCAAACCTTAAAAGGATGAACTACAACATGCAACAAGCAGGTGCGAAATGCAATAATTAATAAAGCATGTCATATTTTTCGAATTTTTGGCCCGTTTAAATGTGACCTCACGACATCTCCGGTTGATGTGTGGGCATTGTAGAGCAACCCGGATTTGCGCAACAGGTGATTCAGCCCGCACCACCACTATTGGCCAACCCCCAACTAAGCGGCGCTGGACAATACCAAGTATGGGATGACATGCAGTCCACTGACCAGCAAATGGCACCAGTGCGACAGAACACTGGCGGCAAACATCCTTGGAACCTCCCCGTACCCCCGCCGCCTCCGCCTCCCCATTACGGCAACTTTGACCCGAACCGACCCCCAACATTTGCGCAACACCCCATGCCTCTACCTGCTCAATTTCCCCCGCCACCGCCTCCGCCTCTCCCACCGGCATTCATGCCACCCCCATCGACAATGTTTCCTCCACCCTTTGCTGGCCCACCGCCACCCAATCCTTACGGACCACCATTGTCTCCACCGCCGTTAATGGGATATCCTCCTCCACCATCTGCTATACCGCCTACGTTTAAGCCGCCAACGACAACGATGCCAACCAAAGCTCCGTCGTGGATGCAAGTGTTGTCGAAAATTGATCTCAACCGAGCGGATGGACTGTACACACAAGAGGAAATTGATCTCAAGAAGGCGTTGTACTACGCCGCAAGGGCAGTTGAATTGTGATAAATTCTCAAGCAACTCACTTTTGGTAATGGTGGCTGGTGAGAAAAGTGCGCCGGACGCGTGTGTCTTGAAGGATGCAACGTCAGACAGCGCCGCTACAGTTATGCCGGTGGAAAATTAGGGTGATGTTTCATTGTTGTTAGGAAGTGGTGGCATGTTGGTTGTGACAAGTTTTACGCTGACATCATGATTTGTTCCGTTGCGAGAGATCCTTTAAGGCGAGTCACGGCTCATGAACCAAGAACATATTTTACCGGAATATTGACGAAATATTTTATTGTTCCAATAATTATTTTTCGTCTTCCGGTTAACATTGAGTTTTGATAAGAAAACAATGTGTGAATCTAAGACATCAGCAAGGGTTCCGGGCTTGCACACGTCGTTTCTCAATATAAGTAATCTTTGTTTGAGCACAGCATGTCCCTTTCCATGGTAAACGTGTTACCAGTAGTTTTCGATCTTCGACCAGTTCGTTCATGGGGGGATTGCCATGAAATTTCTGCAGACTTTGTGGAACAGGGAGAACAAACCTAAAGAAATCAGCCATAAAAAATAATCATTGTTTTTAGTTTCGACTGGCTTTGGTCGATTAAGATTGTGTTTTCGTTGTAGGTATATTATTAGCACGTTCAAGAAATTCATTTCCCTGTAAATCCAGTTGAAGAAACGTTCAATTCCTTACCCTTTCTCTTTTTTCTGGCTGCAGTTCTTGACATATCTTTTCCATTCTATCCCGATGCAAGGTTTTAGCGAAATCGCGATACACTGCGGCCATGTCCACGTCATCACCTGCGCCAGTCACTTCCCGCTTGGGCTTATGACTGGCTGGACACCCTGGCTCATGGTCAGCCTTGTCTGGTTCGTATTTATTTCCTGTTTGTTTAATAAACTGCTTCACTTCAGCCAGTGTATGAGGTCGTCCATCCAATGAAACCGGTTCGGATGTTTCAGTCGATTTTTGATCGAATTGGTTATCCCCTTCTTTCCTTCCATTGGTTAAGGAACTCCTTAATGCGGCTACTGTCTCCTTGTTCATATTTTGTCTGTTAGTTCTTTCAGGTGATTCGCGAATACTGTTTAATGCGGGCATCTTGATCTGTTTGATGTTCGCCTGGATGCCAGGTTGCTTATTGCTAGTTCTGCCAAAATGGGATTTTTCATAATCGCGTCGCAGCTTCCAGTAGACCTTAACCGGAACGTTGCCCGGTTGAATCTTCTGAATGGCGGTGTCGGATGGATGGTCCAGTTGGTAATGAGCCAGCATCTGATCCGTTTCTTGGCTCATTGTCTTATGCAACTTCGGAATTCGATTAAACAGTTTATCATCGATCTAAATTCACAGCCGTGTTAGAGATTGTCGGTTTATTGTTCGTGACAGAAAGCAGAAAATGTGGTTAAAGGGCACGCGGCTCACTTGACCACGTCAAACTCGTAATACAGCAAGTCATTTCGGTCTCACATGGCGCACAACGAATGGCGGCTTGGTCTGACTGGTCGTGCCTTCGCCGTAGAGATAAGTGTTACCAGCTGCACCTTTTCCTGTGATATGCTGCGCCTGCAGCTCTTTTGCACAACTATCCATTTGCTGCAGCACCGCCTCATACTGAAAATCGGAATTAAATTTTTAAATCCCAGGCAGGTAACAATGATGTGCAAATCAATAATTAGAAATCGTACGTAAGGTGTTGGAAACTCCATACGTTTGGTATGTCATCTTTGCCAGCCGGGAGTTCGTAGTTTGCTCTTCCGGCACTAGGCTCAGTACCTTCAAAGGCGGAAACCCCCTCTATCGGCTTTTCAGCAATCTCCCGAATATTCACGAAAGACTGGAATTTCAGACGAGGTCTGAAACACTACCAACAAATCAATGCTGACACTTTTTAATTTTTGGTTTGTGGTACTGTGATGTCTTTTTCGGTTTAATGTACGTAAGTGCAGTTGTAATCATTCTTTCTATGTGGTACTTCTTTACGACCAAAGTAAGGCTCTTTAATTGCTCTTTGGTTATGACCGGAATTAATATTCAGAATTAACATATATTTATATTTTATATGACTCTAAGCAGCCTAACTTCAATAATAATTATCTAAGAAGTTAATTTTCAGAAGTACGATAAAAAACCAACAGTACTTACAAATCCTTCTACGCACGTTCTTAGTTCTAAACTCTGGCCTTCGATTTGGTTTATGACGGAACACGGATCAACATCTGAGCTTAAGAGACAATTCCCGGTGCTGTCGTCGAATCGAGCCACCACTTGGCCTTCTGTTTCTTGCGGGCTGCGGCGCAACAGTCGTACAGCCATACGGTCATCTGAACCACCAAGTACGTAGTAAGTACAACGACAACTATAATTCAAAACAATAATAAATTGTCACGATAAAGTACAATTAGTTTGGGACAATGCTTGGCAAAAAATCATCTAAGACAAATTAGATGTAGATAGACTATGCTCTCGCGCAGAGAATATACAAGCTCACTCATATTATTTCATTCTTTACAATCGACGGAAGCGCTCTACATTTTTTTCCTACGGACTTTATAATATAAACAGTCTGTAGAAAAAAATGTGTGGAAAAAAAGTAAATAAACAGTCTGTAGAAAAAAAAAATTTCCTCTTGGATAATGACTGTTTAGTTAATTAATAATCAGTTCGTTAGCTTAGTTAGTTAGCTTAATTAGTTAGCCTGCTCTGAGTCAACAAATTCTTGGGTTTCTTCGCCAATAAATTTATTTCTGGGCTAATTTATATAAATTTATTCTTGGCTAATAAATGTTTCTATGAACCTCGTTGACTTTCTAAGATCTTTCTAAAACAGTTTTTTTTTTCTTACGATATAACTGCTCCAGCGCTCGCATAATGGTGCCATGTTTGTAAGTCTGCATTTCCACACAAAAAAGTTTAGTTAGCCCAAAACAGAACAGATATGTACGGGTAACTGGAACAATTACCCGTTTAAATAGTATACGCTGATTGAATAGTAAAGGAAAATCGAGCGGAATTTCACTTGTCGAAGCTTTTTTCCCAAGAAGTTCTATATCCAAACTTGCCAAAGTTTCGGCCGACAAATCAGCAGCTGGGGAGGACACCTAATAACATTGTAAAACCTTGCTGCAATTACTGACGTACGGCGTTAGCGAAATGTCACCTTGTCCACAAGTAATTCAATGCTGATTTGGATCAGTTTTCCCATAATATTTGTCGTATTCGTAATTCCTTTACTGAGACATTGTGAAGTTCGTTGTTTTACTTAAACATTCAGAGTTCCTTAGAAACGAATTGTTTTTCTTGAGACGTCTTCGCTCGTTCATGGAAGGGCAGTGGTCAGCGCAGACGTACACTGAGAAGTTAACTTTTGAACAACTTGTGGGGTTTTTGCCATTTCTTGCTTCTACACTCATGAGTGGTGGTTAAATACTACTGAAAACATTCGTGTCGAAAAATAGAAAATGGTTGAAAAGGTCATACTGGTGATTTTGGCTATATTTATTCCACCCCTGGCGGTGTATCTCCTGAAAGGTTGCAATCAGGAGTTTTGGATTGATCTACTTCTGACGATTTTTTTGTTTTTTCCAGGTAAGTATTGCCAAAACTTTATTATAAATAATTACTGACAACAGCGATTTGCAAAAGGTCGCTTACGCGCTTTTGGATCTTTTATGACACTATTCAATCTTCTAGCCGAGCCGTACCTCTTTACATAATCATGTTGCTTCTGCAAACCGGTGATGCTTCGAATATTAAACCATGACTGTTTCAATTTGCAGGGCTTTTATATGCTTTGTACCTGATATTAAAATGAATGTCCAGGAAAGATGACATGAAATCGGACAACTAGAATCCGATACTAATGTCTTGTTTAAATAATATTTTATTTGTTGGCGCTATTGGCTCCTGGCATCGAACTCGTTCTGGTGCACGGAAGATAACGGGAAGCACACACCGGACCAGCTGGATTTTTGTACTGTACGGTAACTGCATGCTGAGGAAAATTGCAGCGCGATTGTTTGTTGCTTATGCAAATGGTTTGGTTTGTTGAATAAATGATAGAGCATTTGCCTCATTCTGCTGATTGTGAATTACATTCTGGACGATTATTTTCTAAATTTACTGTTTAAGATACATACGTGTACAGCACGTGCGTACAGAGTCTGTACATACTGTACCTGCAAGTTTATTTGCGCATATAGTCACCAAACATGTTGAAAAATTGGTTATGTTGTAAGTTCACATTTTTACTGCAGCTGCTCCGAATAGGTTTTCTTAAAACTCCAGTTACACAATCGGTCTGTTAGGTAATTACCAACACCTCTTGAAAAATAATTCCACTTAGGGTACACATCGACAATCAACTCATTAAGCAAAATTAGGCAAAGGTACGAGCCATAAACGGAACAACATTTAATTCCCTTCATACGGTGGGTATGTCCCAGGGTGCTGCCAGTACGTGAATGGGTAAAACATGAATTGCATGTCCGGGTCTTCCTCCATCTGACGATGCGTAAGTGGGCAGCATAGCTTTTTGTGTCCAGAGTAGCAACACATCAACAAGTTTTCACCAAATGATCCACCGCACAAGGATTCTGCCAACACATAGCGATCTGGTCCACAACTGGAAACGCAGAATGGTGGCGAGCCGTCCCAAAGACCTGCAATTGAAAGCAATCTGAAACGCATGTTACGTGGAGAACTATTTTGATTTCTTGCTGTTTGTAAATAAAAATGGTCCAGATAAGTCTGCAGACTGTTGTTCGTAGGCTTCCATAATATTGTAATTTGTTGGCTGCTCCTGATTTTTAATTCAGAGACATTCACCGTGAATTTAACCCACCCAAATTTTTGGTGCATTCCACACTAGCTCTACATCAGTGTCATGTTTCCGCACTGGACTGTAGCTCAACTACTATTTAAACCGGGTTTTTTGTTTGGACCAAAGTTTGGTGGGCCATTAAGTTTAGGCAAAGAACCTTTGTGCGTAGTATAATGCCGGGTCTCAACTCTATACGCGTAAAATTACAAACGAATAGACCCACATACAATCTTTTGATTGTGTCAAATTTGATAAAAGTAACGAGCGATCCGTGTTCGCCAAAACTCCAGGATTTGTTTCCCTTTGATGAAAAAGAAAGACTATAACGATGGAAAGACACTTCCTTGTTCTGATCGCAAGATTTGCCATGGATAATGATAACACTTTGCCGATTACACTTAAGCAGATCTATGGTAAAACTGTAGTCACAGGTACCTGTGGGTTTTCGCAACTCGTCTTTTGGCTTTGAAAGACTGGAAGATAGATTAAAGGGATGTGCTGTGTCAATGTGCCATGTGTGTCCTTCATTGTTTTGGCACATATACTGTACCGTGGCGAAATTGTAAAACGATTTTTTTCGAAATTGATGTGGAGGCGGCACTTACGGCACTTTTTACTTCTATGGCGCCGCTTCCCGAAGTTGGTCCTAAAACAGCCTCTTAATTCCTTAAATCAAATTTTTCATAATCGTTTTCCTAACATAACTAGACGTGAAATTCTGAAAAATATGCTATTTGTATCCTTTATTAGAGCCTGTACCCAGGCAAAAATCGCGCAGTACTTAACCACGCAGTAAAGACGAGCTATGCACAATAAATTTAACACACTCAAAAGAATGCAGATCACAGATAGGGTCAGAGAAAAATCACTATGTCACTGTAGACAAAGGACGAAGAAGGCGCACTTTTAACAACACCCGAGTTTAGATTTCCGGCGAGGTTTTGCATCTGCCAAAAAAACGCAGAGTTCAGTTTATGGGTTTTCATCGCCTCATAAAGTGACTATTTTAATACCACGGTGTTATCGACACAGCTTAATTTAGCCCTGCTGTCGACTAACCATTACTTTACCTTTCGGTTCGCACAATGCTAACCGCATGGCTATTGCTGTTACGGTTCACAAGTGTACAATAATGGTGTTGACCGCACGAGCTTATGAAGGTGCATTATCTCAATACTCGGTACCAACCTCGACCTTTCGATTCTGCCGCTGTAGGTGGTGGTTCATCTGTCATAGGGGGTGCCACCTCGACAGGTTGGTGACTCTCCTCAACGGCTTTGTCCAAGGTTTGTTCCTCAACATTGCCATCGTTCACGTGCACACGTGCGTTGCTATCGCTTGTGATGTCATGGTCACTATGTGGTTGTCGTCCAAGAACATTCGCTACGGAAGGAGCTTTCGATTGTGCCGAAGCTCTGGAATAGTAGGAAGCCACACTAGTATTGGATATGACATTATTTTCGTAGCCATTCAAACGGTTCTCCTCGATCGCGGATTCTGACGGTTCGACACGTTGTGACTGCTGGGATGGCGATGTTTCCAGTGGGGATATGCTAGTTGACGATTTGTCAACTTGTCTCATTGATAACGAAGAATGTTCTTTGCTTGCCTTGTTTCGTGCCTCGGACGGCACAGGTTGCACGCTAATTACTGATTGATTGGACGCGGGGTCCTTTAGATCCACCAAGCTAGCCGGATGGCCGCCTCCCAACGCCACTGATGTCTGAGACGGGCCGGTTACGTGAAAAGAGTGCAGATCCGCATTATTGATAGAAGTATGAGAGCCATCGGCTAGCTGACCATCCAGGGCGTTCTGCGGTAATATAAATCGTGCAACTTTTTGTGAATAGTATGAAAATTCTAGACTTATATTCCAATTTAACGTACTACGGATGCGTTCTATGTTGTTGCACTATTGCTCAAGTCTCTTACTCTAAAATTGCTAGCATTGGACCATCCGGACATTTGACTGGAGTGGAGGTCTTTTTGACTAGATGTACGCAAATGTTTGGATGGCTTTGGCGACAAAAAATGCGAGCCACCTTTGGGTAGTTGTAAACGTGATGGTTCTAGTGTGGTCACCACGGTTTCACTTTTTGGCTGCGACAGTGAATGATGAGACTGATTAGTTCGTGAATTAGTTTCAGCCAGCAAATGCTGACTTCGTGCTGTTGGTTCGGCTGTTACTGATGGCACGCCATGAGGTTTCTCGTTTTCATGGCGCATGTGAACGAGTATCTCTGATTCTGGGTCACCAAACTGATTGTTGTCGTGTTGTTGTTGTTCGTGCGCCGAATGCTTTGAATGTGGTGGGAGATTGACCGAGTGGAGATCTATACGTTGGTGTTCGCCTAGCCCTGTCCCAGAAGTATGCAACCTTCGCTCTGAACCGCTGTGAGGTTGATTTTCCGGGACAGTCTCTGCCTGAATAGTCATGGGCTGCTCGATTTCGCTATGTTGTCCTGTATTACTCTGGTTAACTGACTTCCGCTTCAGTCGGAGAATAAATGTTCGTCTTCTCTTCATTCCCACGCTGGCCCTTGCTGCTGCGTCTTTGGTATATACACTTGGATGTTTAGCAGACATTGGTAGGAAATGATCATGCCGACCGGCAGGTTCGTAATTCAACGGATGGAATTTTTCGTAAGGACCAACAGCTACGTAATAGCCGTTTGGTTGCAGATCGGTGACATGCTCAATCGCGATGCCGCTGACAGTATAAATGCTGCAATAGGGACCGTATGATTAGTAGATTTTTGTAGCATCATTTAATTCACATTCCATCGACTGTTATCGAGTATCGGATACCTTTTCACCGTGCCACCAACTGGTTTAACTCGATCAGTAATGGAGTCCTTTGCGCGTGTAAGATTCCAAAGATCAAAATGTGATCTTAACTTTGGCGATGTCGTCGTGGGAATTTGTGTAAATCCAGCCATTTTGCGTGCGGCACAGAAGTCAAGGCTGCGTAGGCTCTTTTATTGAACAGTGGAACAGAGGCGTCGTCGCCGGTATGGCCGAATACTGTAAAGTACTGGCGGATCTGCAGCGGTACATTTGCGCCTGGCAAAAGAGTTGGTTGAAAAACCTTGCCGTTGCTGCTCAATCCCGCTGGAAGTTGGTTGCGGTTGAAACGTGCCAGTTCAGATCACCATGTTTTGCGCCATTTCCACGTTGCATTCGGTTTAAGATCACCAATGTTACTAATTCCGGTTCCCGGCGGCGCAATACGATCCATTATAACGTCCATCTTTGAACGTCTGCGGACTTTCGTTGCGTTTTTCGCCTCGCTTTTTCGTTATTCAGAGAACGGTCCCATTATGCTGGGTTTCCATTTGCTGCCTTATGTGGCTCGGAAACTTCCGGAATTTTAACCGGTTGTTCAGTAATTTCATCCTGCGTTTCTTGTGGATGACCTTTTTCCACCGAATGCGCCTTAGTGTTAAGATTCTCAAAATGGGTTACGGAGGCTGTTTTATGCAGCGCCTGACTGGGTGGAACTTGACTGTCTAACGGTGCAGTCGAATGCAACTTTTCCAAATGTAGTTGTGACCTCGTCTCGTGCAGAGCGTGAGCAGATGGATTAATGGAGGAAGCGGTTTTCGCACTCCCAACAGCATGGTGTCTGGTCGGCAGAACCACATTGCTTTCAGACTTTTCATTTCGTCGGTTCTGGTCGGTCGTAGCGGTTTGTTTAGGCAACTCCGAATACTCTGAACGAGCTGCATCGTGTACGCTGGCGTGCGACTGCACTGAGGCTGTTTGCGGTAGATTTTGCGTGGACCATTGCGAGCGCACGACTGACGGCTGTCCATGGAGGCTATACTTTGAGGGCTCATTATCTGCTACTGAATGAGCGGACTGGACTTTAGTTCCTTCATGATTTACTGAAAAGTTTGAACCAGTAACTCGAGTCTTGGAGGCAGTGAAATCGTCCTGAGAACGTGCTAATTCTGCAGCTGATCTATGATAAAACAAATTAGAAACTGCGGATGACACCTCTTTGGGTGGATTCCTGCTGTCGGCAAGACTGGTAGCAGATACGTCTCCTCCTTCGTTACGCAAATCTTCTTTCGACACCTCCAAAACAATTTGAGGCGGAAGGTTTTTCGAAGCTGGTGCACTGTGCGATTGGCTAGGCAACAAAACTGGCTCTTTGTGGTGGTCTGGAACGCCATGGATCATCTGGCTTTGAGCCATGTGATCTTTTTCCTAATAGTACAGAATGCGCGGAATACTGCAGGATGATACGGAAGACATTACGCACGGGTTTTCGGTGTGCTCATGAGTAATAGTACAATCTTCTAGCGACTAAAATCAGTAGTGTTAACATTACAAGTTAGTTAATTATCTTAATGTCAGTTGCGTGTCGTACTCGTCTTCATACAATCTGTCGTCTGGATACAGCGAAAATAATACGTGGCGCATTTGTTTTGGTTCAACATGCTACCGTTTTTGGGGATTTAAAAGTTAACGAATTTGGATAGAATCTGGGAAGCATACAAAACCACTACCTTTAATCCGCAAGCATACTTATGAAAACTAGCAACGACAGCAGACTCCGGAAGGCCAACAGGCATAAAGATTAACAGAAGGGCATTAAGCAAACACAAAAAGAACTTAGCCAAGTTACAATTCAAACCCTAAGGAGAACCGATCGAATTGAACAAAATGTCAGAGCAGTCAGAGGAGAAAACTAGGAAAGTAGGAAAGAAGCAATGACCATAGGCCAACCCGAGAGGGAGCACAATGAGAACTCCTACAGTAAAAGTTCAAAGCATGAAACCCTACCCTTCATTTACCCCACAGCTTGTCGCTTTCTGAAGCGATGGTGACTGAACGAGAACGGCAAACTGGGCAAGTGCGCCAAGTTGCCAAATTTCCGCAAACCCCATGTTAGTACATCCGCGGTTTTCTTTGGTACACTAATAACGGCTTTGACACCACCCATCACTTTCTTCCCCATAGATCGTGCATCCCAATCCCGAGTGGACGCGCTATCGTCGTTACGCGAGACATCCAATGGCCGGTCTGTTCCCCCTGTCGACATATCTTCACCAGCGGACCTGTAGCTAGCTTCTGTTGGGGCCTCTGTCGGTGGGGGAGCAGGCATGATTTCCATCTGGATGGCCCGTGGAGGCGGTCGCTCACCCGGACCACTCTTAGGGTAACATGTAGAACCTTCTGGCAAGAAGCATTCTATGGAGCGCTGAAAGTTGGTATGGGATTCCGCTCCCGGGACGTCCACCGGTTCCATAAGGAAGTACTCATCTTCCGTAGCCAGCATCTTCTGTCGCTGTCGGTCGACATACAGTCTGCGAATGTCGGTTAAATCTCGACGTTCACAGTTTTTTGTTCGCCATGCCGTTTCAACTTCATCACAGGCAGCTTTCGCGGATTGTACTTTATTGGCAAAATCCAGAACATCGATATTGCTGACAAGTCTTACGTAGGTTTTCAGTTGATCAGATACGGCCAAGAACCCTTCTGCAAAAAAATTTTTGTGAACGCTGCCGAGATTCACCTCTACAAGGAGGAAAAAACGAAATAAGAATAAATAAGAAATAAGAAATACGAAATAAGAAAGCAGATTGTTACAAAGACACAAAGTAGCAGCTGGTTAAAAGGTAGCTCGTAAAATTTTACTGAAAGGAAGTTTTTCTTTTCAATAATCAATAGTAACTGCAAAGTGCAAAGTAATTCTCGTCATCTTGTTTAGATGGGTCGAACTGACGTTTTTTATGGATCGAACTGGTATGGGTCGCACTGACATTTTTTTTAATTTTATGAATACTATTGACGCACCGGTTCTGCAAGTGACCTTGCTCAACTCTTCTTCCAGGCCGCGCAGCGCATCCTTGTAGTAACGGACCTTGTTCATGAGATTGATTACTTGATTTTCCAGGATATCCTTTAAGCGGTTTCGTTGTTCGGCTATCTCGGAATACATGACCTCTCTGTCGAGCTGCATGGTACGAACACAACCTTCTAAAGCTTTGACCCTCTTTTCGTTATACTTCAGAACTTCTTGTTGCTTTGTCATGTAGCGTTCCAGTTCGCGTTCCACCACCTCTCCCAGTTTACCGTTTTGTGTTGATTGCGAGACGTAAAGCGCTTGGTATTTGTGCAATTCGCTTGTCAGATTTCGCTTCTCTTTTTCGACAGACCCGTGTAACTTTTCCAGAGCTTCACTTTCAGTACTCAACATTGTTTCTCTTTGTAACCAGGCCATGGAGGAATCATCCAGCAGACCCTGTAGTTTCCCCAGTATTATGGCATAATCCTGAACATATTTCGTGTTAGTTGAAATTTTGTCCTGGAGATGCCGGTCAAAGTCTTCGCGCAGATCTATAGCTCCTGCAATGCGCTTCCGCTCCCTTGTCAGTTGTACATAATTTCGACTCATAAGATCGACACTTTCGCGCAACGCATTATCTATTTCACTGGTTTTATTGCGCAGACATTCAAGTCTTGAGCGAGCATTTAGTTCTTTATCCGCGTAGAATTCAGCGTTCATGGCCAGACGCGTGTTTTCTTCGTCATATCTGAAGGAGACGTCTGTGACAGTCTGTGTACAGATATAAGAAAATTGCAGCTTTCTAAATAATCTGCCGACTCACCCACCTCGTTTTGAGTGATTCCCGGTCATTGATGCCCAGTACTAAGGTTTCTATTAGCGAGATCAGTTCTTCGCGGGAGTATGTTGGACATCGATTTGGATTAAAAATTGGACCAGGTTCATCTAAGGTCATCGACCTAGTTGAGTACAGATCGGGTTCCTTTTTTTCTGATTCCTTAGGACACGGAATGCGAGAAGACACCTTGGATCCAAAGTAGGGATCCGAATATTTAGGTTTCGTACTGGTATCCAGCTCAGAGCCTTCTGGGGGAAAACTGCGTAGTGACACACATGGACGACTGCCCGTTGCCGATGTTTGTGATGGTGTTCCAAAGCGATCTGGAATCTCCTTCACTCGTACTGCGCTGTCAAACCTTAACTTTCGGCTCGACGTGTCACCCTAGTGGATATCAAAACAGTATTTCAGTTCTAAGCATTTTGTAAAGGGGCAAGAATTGTTACAAATTGCAGCATCATTAATACACAGCAAACGACCACGTACGGTTGGGCTGGGAGAGCGTTTAGGCGATCCTTTCGGTGAGCCATTAGGCGATTCTGTTGGAGACTTAGCTCGGTCTTCTTTCGCTTTCCTGTCGCTCTTATCTTTTCCACCTTTTTTATCTTTTTTCTTGTTTTTACCATCTCCTCCACCTCCAAACCATCCACCTCCACCTTTTTTCTTATCAGTCTTCTTGGACCCGTCCCCCTTTTTCTTTTCTGTCTTCTTGGGTTCATCTTTTTTCTTGTCATCCTTCTTGGGCTTGGCCTTCTTGGCCTTAGCATTTTCGGATTTTCCCTTCTTTGGGGCTGATTTGCCTTTCTCTTTTGATTTCGGTTTTGGAGTTTTTGCTTTTGCCATTGTTACAGCAGGAAAAGATAACTGTAAAATTTAAACTCCGTCGCAGTGCTTCTGTCGAGCGTAAGCGTCGAAAAGCAAGTACTGGTACGCTTTGGGACGAGGAAGACGTAAGCACTTGTTGCTAGTCTGCAGAATGCCTATGTCCATCCCATGGCCTAATCTTGGTGCATGCCGCTGGCAGGCTTATTGCCAAATGCCAATCGAAGCAAGACTGCGCGGGCTGCGCTTTCGCTGTGCAGGTAGGTGACACATGTGCAGTTGTGTACAATGAAAGTGAATAAACCTAGCGAACAATTTTCAAGAAATAAATACACAGTCAAATTAAACATACACAGTTCTATGTATTATTTTGAGCCGCGCATATATACATATATATGTGGTGGTAACTCAAATAATCAGTGGCTTGGGTGGTGCGGCTTAAGTGTTTCGTCACCTTTTTTTAGCGACGCAAGTGCAAGAAAAGGTTAAGATTTGTGCATATGATGTGTGGTCCTTGTATAATTCGCACTCTATGCGATCATACGTCATATAATTAATCTGGTACATAAGACTTCTATTTCGTCCAATTCATTATAGTGAAGCAAAAAGTACATGATATGAATGTGCAAAAGAGTACTGTACTTAAACCGGAAGTGCCTAAGTATTACTCGCAAAAAATCAGCTGGTCTTGCCTTAGTAATTCACAATCACTAGGTAGTCATTATTTACGACCACACAGTCCATGCTGAATAAATTTATGTAGCATATAATTAATTATTATATAGATATACCTTTGAGAAGTTAATGCTGTACAAGACTACAAGTACTCGTACGTAATATCGGTAAAAACGAGAGCCGTTAACATTGCGAGGATAGGCTTAGTATCCGCGATCACCCAAAAAACTAGCGAGAATTCGCGATCACCGTGCCCGGGTTTTGCAGAACAGCCAGTCACCAGCCAGCCACCAAGGGAAGGCAGTCCAGTCCCGTGGCTGTGTGGAGTGGCACTGGACTGCCTTCCCTTGGTGGCTGGCTGGTGACTGGCTGTTCTGCAAAACCCGGGCACGGTGATCGCGAATTCTCGCTAGATTTTTAGGTGATCGCGAATACTAAGCCTGTCCTCGTATGCATATCTTGCGCGCAACGCAAGTACGAATAAAGTCAAGAAGAGAGTGCCGCACGAGTTTGGTGTTCGATTAGATTTTGGGATCTATATCCATAGCAAATTATCAGAACTGATCCGCTGCTAACTACAACTTGCGCTCTAACGGATAAGATTATCATATTAATTTTTTTTTAAGATAGTTTGTTTTTAGAAACACTTTTCGATCGTCTTTCTTAATTAAGCGCAACAGATAATAATTAATGCAGTTAACAATTTTTGTTAAAAAAGTTAATAGTTTTATAATAAAATTAATAGGACTCCGGAAGTGGCAGCAACAGGTGCTTTTTCGGATGTTAACCAGTTTCTGTAGTGTTTGTCTGTAGTTGTCCTGTCCGCGTTTTGTATCATTATAAAACTGAAACTTAGAACAGAGCAATAATAAACAAAATTAAGTACAACATTCTGAATCAAACCAGCTGAGCTTTGACCGTCACTATTTACACTCAAGCGTCAGTTACAATCTGGCAACCATTCCAGAGCAGCGCCGGTAAAACACGATAAGCTTCGCATTGACCGGAAATGTTATTGATTATGCACTTGTGGTGCTGAATTATAAACGCCGCGAGAAATATAAACTCATACTTTTAATTGCCTACGAATGAGATAAGGACACGCGAGATAAAGAAACCGACGGAGAATCATAATTTTGTGCACCTGAATTGAATTTTTGGAAACGAACGGACAACCTGCCGCGAATATTCTTTACAATATTGATTTGCATGCGCAATATTTTAACTTGGTTATTAAGTGCGGCGTAAAATTTGGTATAATCTTCATGACAATGCTGTCACGCTCGGAAATTAACTTCCCTGGTTAATCCAGATTGGCCTTGAGTTAATTTTCAATGATCCAGAGCAAATCCCTATTTTTTAAAAATATTATTGGACTGGATTGTGGAAGACAGTATTAATAAAATGTTCTTTAGTCGCATCCAGATGCGCAACACCTTTAACTATGTGCGACAGTACTGGAAGATTGTAGCATTTATATCCGTACCTCTGCTATGCTTGATATTACCTCTGGTAACATGGCCAACCGAGGTAAGAAAAACCCAACGGAAAATTATAAACAACCGGACAATCAATCGCATCCATTACAGAGCGGCAAGGGAGCTTATATTCTTCTGGTCACTTCAATTTTTCTGGTCTTCGAAATACTACCGCTTCCATTGACCATCCTGTTTTCTATTTTTCTCATGCCAATGATCGGCGTGCAAACAGTTCCGGAAATATCTCGCTCTTTTACCAATGTATGTACCTTAAACAGATTGAAGCATAACTCCCGATATTATGTATTAAACGGAGTGCGGTATTCTGTTCGTATTATATCACGAACCAAATTTTTATGCTGTAATTTAGGATACCTATTTTTTGTTTATCTCCGTGCTTGTAATGGCAATATCCATTGAAACGACAAACACGCATACGAATTGCCCTTTTGACCCTTCGACGCATTGGAGTAAGCCCGTCCAGGTGCGTAACCGCTACATATGTCATTCATGCACATATGCCACATGTATTTGTCCATCGTGAAATGATTAAATGTGTAAAGCTATTTTGTTCGGGTTTAGTTAATATCTTTTATTTTAGGCTGATTCTTGGCTTTGCGGTAATAAGTGGAGGATTATCAATGTGGATGGCTAACACAGGTAGCAATCGCATGTAAAACGATGTTGCTCGTGAGTCCTGATGTACATTTTTGTCCGTAATCGTACAACTATTTAAATGGAAACAATCTAGTAGTACTAACATTTTTGTAGCGGTAACGGTGATGATTCTACCAATCGCAATGGCCGTTTCCGGAACGCTGACTAGTCCGGTGACCAAGGAAGACACTCAATCACTCGATGCGGAAACTATACCAACGCCCGCCAGCAACAGCGAGGTCTCTCAGAATGGTGATGCATCTATGGATCCCTTAATGAACAAACGCGAGTCCACTTTGGTAGAGGTAGCAGAAAGCGTTTCCGGCAAACCTCCGGATCAGGATTTCTCCAAAGCTTTGCAGCTATGTGTGGCCTTCTGCGCTAATATCGGTGGAGTGGCTACACTGATCGGATCGCATCCGAATATTCTTTTCCGAATGACTTTAGAAAAGTACGTCTGCCCACATTCTTATCAACGAATTCCAGACAAAGGTAGCTTACTTTGCTAGGTACTATGGAACGGAAACCGGCTTGAATTTCCTGACTTATTTTCTAATTTGTGGTCCTGTCGCTGTTGGGGCGTTAATCCTAACCTGGATTGCTTTATGCTTACTCTTTGTACCGGGATGGTTAAAAAGTGCAAACTATCAGGCCTCTCCCGAGCAGCATAAAGCAATGAGGAAGAGAACGCGCGCTATTCTAGATCACAAACTCAAAGAACTGGGCCCCATTCGGTAATTTCCATCAGCGTTTTCATGTCTTGAATGTTCTATTTTCCATCGTGGTTTTGGTAATTCCAGACACGAGGAAGTCTCTGTGTTGATACTATTTGCCGTTTTATTGGTGTTATGGTTAACGCGCAATCCTCAGTTCGTTCCCGGTTGGGCGGCGCTTTTTAAGCAAGGGTAAGATAAGAGAAGACAACGGGCAACGTAACGCGAAACCGTATCCTACTTGATGCTGGTGCTTATAGTTATGCGACGGATTCGGTCCCGGCACTCTTAGCCTGTGTGCTGCTTTTTGTGCTGCCGGCTGATTATAAAGACTTAAAGAAAGGGAAATACCGGCCGTTGCTGACTTGGAAACAAGCTCAAGCCAAGCTTCCATGGGATTTGCTGATGTTTGCCGGCGGTGTCGCAGCCGTAACACATGTGGCCGAGGTACACATTTATTCAAAATGCCTGACCAACGCTGTTGAAAGAAGCCGCTTGACCATTGCAGGTGTCAGGTTTGATACGATCGATAGGAAGCTTAATTCCTGATCTGCATGGAATATCGCCTTGGATTGTCGTAACCGTCATCTGCGTTTTGGCCTCCTTTTTGACAGAGTTTACAAACAACTCCGTCATATGTGCGATTTTTGTTCCCGTGCTGGCAAATGTGGTAAGTCGGAAACGACACGTACGTTTATGTTGCCGGAAGCATGCTTAGTTGACCAAAGAATTTGTTATGCTCATCTAGGCCGAGGATTCTGGAGTCAATCCGATTTATTATATGCTGGCGGCCACGATGGCCAGCATGTTTTCATTCATGATACCCATTTGCTCCTTTCCCACTATTATCGTGTATGGCTATGGAACAGTTACGATGTGGGACATGTTTAGAGCTGGAGTTGGACCAAAGATTGCTTGTATCATATTTCTGGTTATCAGTCTTGAACTATTTGGATCGTTAATATTTGATGGCAAGAATCTTCCTTTATGGGCGCAGACTCGATTAGCCGCCCGTCATAACATCTCCAGCGTTCTAGCTATGACTAACAATACCGTCTCATAAGGTTCTGTCCAATTACGGTACGTTGTTTGTATATCAGTGTAAACGGATGCTATTTTTCACACGGCAGTTATAAACTTCAGCTTTTAAAATAAGCAAATTAATGAACTCCAAGTAGCTTTTCTGAAGCCTAACTTATCTCCGGACCAAACGCCTTTGACTTGTATGGCAGGGACGATACTTGCCGTGCCATCACGAGATTTATTCAAAACTGAACCGGCGGCACCACAACCAAACACAGACATACTCTACTACTCTATGAAATATGTAGCAGAAATAAAAATATATGCATCAAATTCTAACCATAGACGCACGGAAGCCAGGAGATACGGTTGATTCCGAACCTTTCTTCAGCAGCAGTTTTGTCAGCTCTTCAGACATCTGCACGGCCATCTGAACAAACAAACGCATCACAATAATTGCGCTGCGACACCCAGTATAAACTCCGTATCAAAGATACACCTCATACTTCTTAAATTTGTCACTAACCTGTTGAAATAAGCCTGCTACTAATTCCATCATATCGGGTCTTCCATTTAGGAATCGACTTATAGTTGAGAACAGAAGACGCTCCACATCGGTACGGACATTAATGTCAATATTAGCCTGTTGCCCAAATACATGAGTTTAACGCTTGTGGAAAGAGTGTGTAAATGAGCGTGCATTGTTTTATCTGTACTTTTATCTGAGCCACGTTGTCCGGTTGAGCCTGCTTGATAGCTTTGTGCATGGCGTCGTTTTGGCTGACAGTTCGTCCTAACCGTTTACGTTGTTCCGTAATTTCCTCCTGTAATTTCTTTGTATCTTCTTGGTCCTGCTTCATGCTGTGCTCGATTTGCTCTCCCAGTTGGAGCATCTTTTCCTTCGTATTACGAAGATTCTAATAGCATATCATGTTTAAGCAAACAGCATACCGGTATCCAGTTTATAGCACTATGACTATGTTTAACACATTGTACCAGAATCAGTTAAGTATACGTGCTCATCTTATGCATTTGATACGTACATTGATTTCTTCCTGATATCCGTAGGCTTGGTTTTCAAGGGTTCGTAGTTTCCCTCGCAAAAATCCGATTTCATTGTTAACAGCATCGTGCTTTTGCTGTATTTCGTCTGTGGTCAAAATTCAGTATGACGTTATGTGGGTACACTGCTCAATATGAAAGTATTCACAGTGTGAGCAATCTTTACTGATAACCCCGTACTGGTTTCTGCAACTTGAGAAAGCTCAGTCTTCATTTGTCCGGTCTGTTTCTCAAACTTCTCGTAAAACTGTCTCAGTCGAAAGTTATCCTGCATGACTTTCTGTATGTCTTGAATAAGCTGTGCTTTCTGGTCGTTAACGGCCTGACGCTCCCTGGCTGCCTGAAACAGCATATATTTCTCAGTTGTTATTAATCGGTACCGAAGAGTAAAATCCGTTACCTTCACAAAAAGAGCCGCTTGAATCTGTACGACATCTCGAGCGGCGTCTTTTTCATCCTGATCCAACGCAACCGGCATGGTGAGCAGTTCAAATCGAGTTTTGATGCCGCGTTGATGATTCTCCATCTCCCGTAGCATTTTGGTCAACCAAGTGCGCTGTTCGTCCATGCGTTTGGTCTGGGCTTTATACTGTTCGCGCTCCATTTGGATCATTGCCATGCGTTCTTTAAAAAGCTAGATCGCACCAGAATATCCGAGTAAAGACCTACTGTGATATGACCAAATTGCATTGTTTCAGTACTTACACCGCCCAATTCAGCTTGCCGAATGGAAATACTTGTCACCCTGTCCAGTTTCTCTTCTGCTTTATCCGCGATGTACCGAAGCTTTAATCGTGATGAACTAAGCTCGGCCGCTCCTTCCTAACAAAACGGAAATATACTTAACACAATTTCGCCGGCCCGCTATTAAAACGCTTCAGCCTTACCACTTTCCGGCTTTGCGCTCGATCCAACGTTCGCTGAGTAGTGTGCAGATACAGCATAACCTCTGCTAAGGCTGTCTCCTTTTTTGTCTTATCGGTTTCTTCCTGATCAACAATTCTCTTCAGTGATTTGATCATTTCGTCTTGTTTCATTATCCGACTCTGCATCAGACCAATTTCTTTCTGGAGATTGTCCTGCTTGGCACTCAGCGTTCTCATATCCCCTAACGGTTTCTCAGGTGGCCCGACATCTGTTCCCTCCATGAAAGAGATTCGCCGGTTAAGCTGCGTTATCTTATACTGTAGTTCGTACATCTGCTGGGCTTGGTTGCGAGCCAAGCCGTTCTTCTGCCTTGTTTGACGCTGCAGACTGCCCATGTACACTTTGCTGCCTTGAATGTTGGAAATGATAGCCTCCAGCAGTGTTTTAGCTTCCAGGTTTTTTTGGGTGTCCTTAAAGTTTTGATCGCGCAGACGAACGAGATTCTGTTCGGCTGACCGGACTACCATCTCGCGTTGGTCCAACGCTTTGTTCAGCTCTTGCAGACGCTCCTCGTCGGTGAGATTTTGGTCCGAGAGGTTTCGGCGTCGGCTTTCCACACCGGCTGTTAGATCCTGCCACCGCTTTATGTCTTCTTTTACGCTTCGAGTTTGATTACGGAGACCGTTAATACTAGACTGAATCAGACGTATTTCCCGTTGTTTTGCGGAGCAAGCGTTATCCATCACATGGATCTACGCAATACCAAAAATTAGTATAAGTTCGTGTATTTACCTATTATTTGGAGGAAACAATGGTATCACCTGATCCAAAAATTCTTGTTTCTTCTGTTCCATCTCAAAAACATATTCTCGCGCTTTTTGGGCATTGGACTCCGTGAGCTCCATCTTTTTTTGCGTTTCGTGGTTGTTACGTAGTTCCGAGTCGTAAAAGTCTTTCTGTCGTTGCAGAGCCTCTTGTTTTGCCGCACATTTAGCCTCCAGTGCATCTATTTCCTGCACACAGAATCGCATAACAGTACTCTGTATGCTGAGGCAACCACTGAACTGCAACTTGGATGAATGGCGAAAGACCAAAAACGCGTTCCAGAACCAAAACAAGCTGACAACTTTTACCGTTAATCAGAGCGAATAACCTGCGAATAACTGTATATAACTGAAATTTGTTACTAGTGACTGACTGGTGAGTTCTGTTTTTTTAACATCCGATATAACATACCTCCTGCTGTTGTTTCATGTCGGCATCAGCACCGGCTATTCTACTCTTGATTTGGTCCCAGTTATCCGTCTTTTCCGTCCGTTCTTGGATTACGCTTTGACAGTTCTCTTTTAGCCTGGACACTTCCAGTCGCAAACTCTTCACATCCACCTCGATGCCGGCTAGTTCCTTAGCCGTCTCCTCGTCTTCCAGAGCTAATCGGCCTACGCGGTACCGACACTCTTTAATTTTTCCTTCGTCCTCTAGCGAGTACTGCTTCAGCATATTGAACTCCACCTGGTGTTTTTCGGCGTAATTTAGGCACGTGCCCATAAGCTCCCTGTCCAGATCGATTTCCGTTTGCATGTCGTCGATTTCCTTCTTTAAGCGACCTATCATCGTCTGCGGAGGAAGCAGCGGTCAGTTGACACACCACAGAATTTTGATGAACCAACGTAATCGAAACTCCAAAAAGCATTCATTTATGAGCAGTATCTGAGAACGTTGGGTAAACGTACATTTTTCAGAAGTTGGGTAAACGTAAGTTGGGTAAACGATAATCAGTTATAATAATAGCGTACAATTTTCTGGCAGTACAAACTACGAAGTAATACAACGTGCACCTGATCGTTATCTAATCGTTGAACTAGATGTTGGATCTCGTTTTTAGTTCGCATCGTCTCCAGTCGAATGTGAGCGGTCTCCCGTCGCTTCAGTTCCACTTGCTTTTGAGCAGCACTAACTTCCTGCTCTTTCAAAGCCTTTATGCCCTGTACAAGCAAATATCGTCTATAATTTAACAATTTAACATAGAAAAAGTAACAAACAAGAAATTTCCAGAGAATGTTAAGCCCAGACGAATCCGCAAAGGTAGAAGTACCTGCAGTGAACGAAACTGCGTAGATAGAGTTTCGATATAATGTTTCCGTCGAAGTTTTTTCGTTTTCAAGAGCTCCATATTTTCCCTATACTGTTCCGCTCGCTCCAGCTTTTCGGCCAGCTAAGAAAGAATTTCTACGTTTTACTGAGTTCAGATGTGCCAAAAGACGGTTTAAGTGTACTTGCTTTTCCAGTGCAAGGACTTCTTCATCCCATAAACCGATGGAGTGCACGTCAACACCTACGCCACCCTCTCTGAGGTCGACACTGTGCGGATGACCCATGAGATACTCGGGATTATCCGAGTTGCGTCCGCTTTCCAGCAGCCGTTCATTCGTCCAGGGCGTTGGTTCTTCGGTTTGCACGGGCGATACTATTTGTTCCGAGACGGATGAAACGGCTGGTGATTTCTTGTTTTCGGTATCATATCTCCCAGACTGCTCCATGGTCGGAATAATGAAGGGTTCAACTGACATGTAGGCTTCCAATTCGAATAACAGGGCTCTAGAGCCTATACAATCAGAACTGAAGCGATGCGTATGGCAAGGCCTGCAATGCTAAAAGTTCGGGCAATGATGAAGAGGAAATGTCATATGGCGATATTAAAAGGGGCAGCATGAACGTAAATTCGAACCACCGAACATATGTAGTGTTGTAAATTGAAGTAATGTTACAATGCTGTTTTGTTGTTGCTGAAAAATTTCCAAGCAACTGTAATTACTGCTCACCGATGCGATGACGTAATCCATCTGCCAAAAGTACGTTCACTGCTACACTTGACCATTATTATATAAGTATAGTGAGTACGTTAATTAGAGGCTTTGGGTAGCGACTTTAAAAATAATAATAAAAATTGTCAAACTCCAAAAGAAACAATGCGGGTTTGTGATTTAACCTTTTCAGCTATCTTATTGATGCAATGCTGCCATAAACGTGTTTGATGATTTTATAGCAATTAGATTGGCAGTTATTTCCTTTGCTGCAAATGATTTTAACTCTTTCTAATTCCGATTTTTAAGTCTGGTTTCGACTTGCGATACAACAATTCGAATAGTAAAACTGCAAAAAAAACAGAAACCACTTCATATACAGTACTCGTATAAACTGGAATAGAATTGATTTCAAAAGGAACATCTGCATGAAAATTAGAACCTCTAATCTGCCCCATAATGCCCAACAATAAAGTTGGCACCGCTGTGAGAAAGCATGGAAAAGCCATCAAGCGAACCCTCATTCCCACCGATGAAGCCGAAGAGGGAAATCAGACCAAGCTTGGTGCCATGGAAGAGATCGAGTGGGGATGGCTGGCTCACGAGCGACGGGAGCGGCGTATTTACTGGTTCAAATTATGGGATGGGGTCATGGCTGCCGGCTCCGTATTGCACGTTACTGTCATATCCTTTTGTGCGGCATTCAGTCCGTACGATATTGCTCTGTTAATTTTGGGCTATGTTTTGGATGTATTCAACTGCGCCGACTTTATTGGCAAGGTCACTCGCTTTTACGCCCATGATCTTCGCAATCCTGAGATGCGGAAAGGAAAATCACGATTGGACTGGTACATGCACACCTATATGATCGTCGATCTCCTGGCGATTTTACCAACGGATATCGTCTGTGTGGCCGTAGCCAGCACAAATACAATGCCGGTGTTGGCGTTCCTTAGGTTGAATCGGTTATTATGTGGCTATCGCGGTTTCAGGGTAAGTGCTGATAGGAAGTGCATGGAAAATAAATTCCCACCTGAAATCTGTGTACTCGTATCCAAGCTCTGACTTATGTAGTACCTTGGATTTCTGGAGTCCCACGTCGGCGCAAATATGATCATTATACGCAGTATATACTACACGGTATTATCGTGGATGACTCTCCACATGACGGCTTGCATCTGGTATTTGATCCCGTGTTCAACATGGAGTAATATTCGCGACGGTATGAACCTCTGCTCAGCACCATCATGGATCTATTCTGGTGGCACGTCCGCGGATGACAAGATCACTCACCCAGAGTACAAGATTGCCGTTCCCAATCGTAACATTTACGCAGGCACATTCGATCATGGTTTGGGAACAACCGACTTTGTCCACATCAATGCAACGATTTCGGAGATCTACATGTACTCGTTATACTGGACCATTACTACCGCTACCACTACCGGGTAATATTCGTCACTGATTGCCTATCCTAGACTGTTCATTACGGCGTTTTTAGTTTAGGCGAAGTACATGGAATTTCCTTGAGCGAGAAGTTCTTCGCCCTCTGCACTCAGTTGGTTGGTACGCTCGTCTTATTTGGCATCATCCAGGGCGGCGTGACCTCCATGCTTACCAATCTTGACGTGAATCAGTTTCGCTACAAAATGCGTGTAGCCGCTATTACGAACTACTTGCGGGATCAGAATCAACCCAGTGAGCTAGTGCGAGAAGTGAACAACTTCTACCGCTATTTGTGGGAACGAAGCCGCGGTATGTCGAGCTCTGGACTCTTCGATCAGCTGCCTTTTGCCTTGCGTTCTGAAATCTCTTTGGAGCTAACTGGAAAAATCTTTGATAAATCACCGCTATTCCAGAATATCAACGCTAGTTTTCTACGAATGCTTAGCCTGAAGTTCCGTCCCATGCTAGCCTTACCCGATCAGATTGTCATGAAGAAAGGCGAACTGAGTAACCTCATGGTGTACGTGCAGAAAGGTCACCTTGAAGTTCTGAGCGATGATGAGAACGAAGTGCCGATACTTCTGCTGAAACCAGGCAAGGTATTTGGGGAAATTAATTTAATAACTCGTATGCCGAGAAAATACTCCGTCCGGGCAATTGCACACTGCGACTTAGTGATCCTGCGAACCGAAGATCTAATGGCGTGTCTGCAAGCATATCCAGAAATTGCGGAAGAACTACGGGTAAGTTTATCCGCTCGTACTGCAGCTGCTGTCTTCGCTACTATTTTAGCAGTTTTTTCTAGCGGAGGGCAGAAGAACGAGCAGGCATGAGTCAGCAACAAACACAGGAAGGTATTCTCGCCGGCAGCGACACGAATGAGTCAGCGCGTATGAAAAAGCAAGAGAAAGACCTGGCCACCAAACTGGAGGAGCTGACCCCGAAAATGGGCACCAATATCCGATCGTTAATGTCAGCCATGAAAATTCGGCGACCGCAGGAAAGACTGCGCGTGTCCGAATCGATGGAACTGTTCAGAATTCGAGATCCCATGGACGAATTGGTGGATTTCCATACGAGTGCTTTCAAAGGACGAATAATTGCCCGGTAAAACTTGGTTAAACACAAGCTGCATAATTTCCATCGTCAGATTTCAGTTTCCACAAGTGACAACTAACCACGGCATCTTAGGTACCATCATGCCAAGCAGACTTTCTTGGATTTCAGCCTAGATCCTGACGGAATATTTTTGTATTTTTGGGATCGCTTTATTGTGGCTATGATCTTGTGCACCTTCATTGTGGGTACATACTCAGCCTTTTTCAAGAGTTACAACAATCTTTTGGATGACACTGGTGGTGCCGGAATTCTTGTCCTCGTGTACTTCATCGATATCGTATTATACATCGATTTCGCTGTTGGTTTCCTCACCCAGATAATCACGCCAAACGGAAATATTTCCAATCATCGTGCTATGGCATTCAGTTATTTGGGGTCTTGGTCATTTTGGGTGGATGTTCTAGCCATCATTCCGATGGAAATTTTTACCGTGGCGTTGCAACAAGATCCCACCGAAAGCGATGCGGACTTTTATGAACGACAGATGCACTATTTTGGGTATTTGCGACTGAATCGTTGTATTAAAGCATTCAAACTTCCGAAATTTTTCGACCGGCTAAGCGATGAGCTGGCAACATCCATGGCCACCATCCGGACCATCAAGTTCTGTATCTACATCATATTAAGCAGTCAGTTGGGTGCTTCCATTTTGATTGCCGGCACGTGCTCACCGGAGCACTGCCCCACTGATCCGGCAGAATCATGGACCGCGGCCGATCCACCCAATATCACCATTGACTTCACTTTTGATTACCGTTATTCGGCTGCCATGTATTATGCAGTTACGCTTCTGACCAGTGCCGGCTATGGGGACATTTTCCCTCGAAACCTGTTGGAACAGTTTCTAGCCAACGTGGTCATGCTGATAGGAATGCTCATGTACGGCTACTGCCTGGCTGTTCTTACGGCAACTTTGGCTAATCTGGATGGGCCGCGGGTGGAATTTCAGGAGAGGCTGTTCGCTCTGAAGGGTTTCATGGAATATAACAGGATGGCAGAACTGGTGAAACGACGAGCAATTGACTCGGTAGCGCTGTTATGGACAATCAGCAAGGGTGAAGACATCCCAGGTGTGAAAAGCATGACTGCAGATTTGCCAGAGCATTTGACAGAAGAGATTCAAGTCGAGGATCTCATCCATTTGGTGGCTGGTGTTCCGATTTTCAAGAACATCGAGGAGAATATCTTAAAAAACTTTGCGCCGGCTGTTAGAAGATATTTGTTCCCGCCAGGCGAATACATAATTCAGGTAGTATTACTCATAGCCGGCAATGATTATCATGCTAGCTATGACAATTGTTTTACAGCATGGTGACTTAATTAACGAGCTCTTCGTGATTCGTCGTGGAGTATGTCAGATTTTTCATCCAGAACAACCCAGTATGGTTATCAGCGAACTATATCCCGGAATGTATTTTGGAGAAATTGGGTTTTTATTCAATCACAATGAGATTGTCAGCGTTAAAACAATCACTCACTGTGAAGTTCTAACCATTCCCCGTCCGGCATTTGATAAGGTGGCATCGTCTGTCAAATGGTTCTCGCATCAAATGAAAGTCATTGCACATGATCAAAAGTACTATGCCGATATGTGCGGCGCAGGTATTACGTTCTTTAACATATGGATTAATCATTATTATGAATTTTACAAGTTTACGATTGGCATTATCGTGTGTGGATGATTATGTTGCAGCACGACTAGCAAAAGCGTTATCCAAGAAGCGCCGAGAGGAGTCTCCCGTCAAAATGAGCGAGACTCAAAAACGGCGACTTCGCTTCCGCGATGACTTTAACTCATTGAGCGTTCACCCGTTGACCATGTATCTTTATCGCCTTTTGATGAACCGCACTATTTCTGTGGATGGACGGTTTCTCTATATCTGGGAGCAAATCCGTTTGATAGAAGCAACGGTCATTTTTGTCTTGGTTTTAATGCAAGTCACTTACCAGCTCTTCGATCTTTGGTTGTTCGTGATCTTATACCTGTGCGACATTTATGCGTTTGTGGACATTTACATCAAGTTCCACGTTCAGTACTTTAACGAGACCAACATCTTGGTCACACATCCGTATATGACCGCGAGGCGCTACCTGCGCTCCAGTTTTTGGATCGATCTATTGGCAGCGTTTCCTTTTGAGCTGGGCTTACTGATGACCGGCGGAGGAACACTTCTAAGAACGGACCTGTTACACGCTGCTGTTTATTTGCGAATGAACCGGATACTGCAAGTGTACCGAGTACCCCAGGCTTTCGCTTTCTATGTAAGGAAGATCTATGGTGTTATCGGTGCCTTTTTTTAAATTTTTTCTTATTATAGGAATCCGATATAAAAAAGGACCAGTCAACCACATTCTTAATAAAATTCCTCAACTATTTTATTTTGTTCGTAATGTTTGCTACGGCGATGCCGTATACAGTGCAGTGCACACCATCAACTTGTGGATTCAACGTTACTTCATGCAGTAGGTGCATCAAAGAGCATAAGTGATGGATAATTTTTACACAAAATTAACCCTACCCAACTGTCTGTTATTAGACACTACAACGTACGACAACGGATCAGTGATTTTTAACGAAACGTCAAAGGTCTGTATGGACTCTTCATATTTATCACTAGCTGGTATCAATAGTACGACGTTGCCCTGGGATCAGTTTGTCGGGGGATTCTACTGGGCCATTACTACTGTAACCGTTGTTGGGTACGGCGACATCCGTGCCACGAATGAGTCGGAACATTTCATATTCCTTTCCACCATGATTGCTGGGTATATCTTCTTCAATTACATCATCGCCAGTATTGCTGCTGCACAAGCCAATTCCGATGCGCGACGTTCTCGCTTTTTCGACCGCTTGAAATGTATCAAACAGTATATGCACCACGAGCACTTGTCGAAGAAGTTAAAGCACAGAATCGTTCGATATTACGAATATCTGTGGCTACGTACCCACGGAATTGATCCGCAGACTCTGATTGCCGGTTTGCCGCCTTCTCTAACATCGGAATTAGCGTTGCAGCTTTACCGCAAGGTGATCGAGCAAGTATCAATTTTCAAGAACACACCAACTGGTTTCAAGAAAATGCTGGCGACCATAATGAAGCCGCTGTACGTAATGGAAGGGGAGTATGTCATCCGTCAGGATGATGTCGGAACAGATTTGTTTTTTATGTACCGAGGCAGCATTGAAGTGCACTACAGTAGCGGATTTAAAGCGCCACAGCAAATTCGTTCAGGCCGGATGATTGGAGAAGTTGCCTTTTTCCGTAATGAAACGTCCCGGTTGAGTTTTCGGGCAGCGGAGAACAGTGACCTTTATTACGTTACTCGAGCCGAATTCGATGCAATTCTAGAGCACTTTCCTGATGTTAAAGCAAAGTTGGTAGAAGATATTCTTTCCAATCTCACGGCCGAGGATGACCAGAAGAATGCAGCTGGGAAGACTGCTGCTCAAGCCCGGCGTCATCGATTTCGAGATTCATTGGCTGCTGTGCGGAAGAAGAAAGTACCCACTAGTCAAAGGTTGCGCTTGATGACTAAACATATTTTCCGATCGGACGACAAGTACATCCGATACTTCAGCAAGTATTTTGTTAATATGATTCGCATGATTCTATCGATGCTAATAATGTACCAAGTGGCGTTTACTGATCGGTCATATGCAGTACACTACGTCTTAGAATCGGTATTTCTTATCAATATCATTGCGAAATTTCGAACTGGCTTTCTGGATGAATTCGGAAACGAAGTACTCAACCCAAAGAAAATTCGCCAGCGTTATTTAAAGCACGGTATTTTGGTTGATCTGTTGATATCTTTTCCATATGAAGTCTTCAGTTTGGCTGCACCAGTTGACATTCGCGGAAAAGTATGGGCATATTTGAGACTGCTTAAAGTACCGCCAATGGTGTACCGTGTGCTGATATTTTTCCACGGTTGGTTGGCGGAGTTAGATATCAGTATTCTCTTTGTCCGCTTGACCTATTCCTTCACGCAACTATTGTTTTGGCTGCATTTCTTCTGCTGTGTGGCTTATTACATCGCGTGTCCGGATGGAAACTGTGATTTTCAGAATGCATGGACAAATAAGGTCAACCTGGAAAACAGCAATCCCGGTAGCCGCTACATTGTCACTTTATACTGGATCACGACAACCGCCACGACAGCCGGTTATGGCGACATTGTCCCCACGACAAATTTAGAGAGGATCTTCATCTGTATTGTCCAAGTGGCGGGAAAGTTTTTGTTCGGTATAATTGTGGGGGATATTGCCTCCACCTTGGCCAACCTTGAGGTCAGCCGGCAGAACTTCGAATCCCGCTTTCAAGCCATTAAGACTTACCTGTTAGACCAGCAAGCTAATAGCACAATCATCGACCGAGTACAAAAATATTTCGATTATCTGTGGAAAACGGACAAAGGTGTGGATGATATCAACAGTGTTCTGAATGATGCGCCATTCTGCTTGCGAGCGGAGATCTGTTTCGCGGTACATCAACGGGATCTGCGAGAAGTAAGGCAAATATTTACCACTGCATATACGCAAATTAAGTAGAGCAACGTTTTTTCAGCTACCACTTTTTCGAGATGCATCGGATGCGTTTCTCCGGATGATTAGCACATGTTTGCACCAAGTGCAATTTGTGCCCGGGGATTACGTTATTCAGCAAGGCGATTTAGTGGAGGAGATGTACTTTCTCCATCGCGGCGAAGTGGTGGAAGTGGAGAGCGGTGTGGAGATTGGAGTGTTGCGGAGAGGAAGCAATGTTAATTGGCAGGCGCTGCTTATCGATTGGCCGGCTTCTCGTACTGTGCGAGCCACCGACAACTGCGAAGTCTATGTTTTGACAAGAACCGATCTTGAGAAGGTATGACTGAATGTCATGCATCTAACTAAAGCTTTCCGTAAGGAATTTTCGCTTAGGTGGTATCGAAGTATTCCGCTCAAATGGGCCACATATGCATGACGAATCGAATACGATTAAGGGATCTTTTGGAAGAAGAAAAAGTGGAATTGGATTAATTGAAAGTGCGGTTATGGGTGGATGTTATTTCGGAGCAACTGCACCTTCTTTCACAATTTTACTCTTTTTGCTTGTGTTTAAAAATTTTATCACTGTAATGCACGCAAAAATACTAATAAACGAAACTGATTTTTGTGAGAACTTTCTTTTAATAACACAGTAAGTCACCAGCCATACAAACAAACAGAGCGAAAACGACTGCCAGTTCAGGGATTCCGTTTGTCTTGGTAGATGGCAGGAAAGGTTCTTTTCTGCCAACGAAAGAGCTCTTCCTTATAAAATTCCATTCGTTTCTTCTGCTGCTTCACGGCTGCCTGAATACGTAATCTTCGCCATATTAAATTGCGCCTGGTCTCGCTTTCGATGACATCAGATTGCACACCTAAATCACCAGATATCAAAAATTTTGCAACAATAACGGTAATATTTATTCATACAATTATAAATAATATAATTTGATGCCACTAATTTGCAACGGAATCAAACCTTTCAAAGCACCATTTCAAAATAGTGTGCTGGAAACTTTGGCTTTTTATTTTTAATTCATCATTCTTTTACCGATGTCATTGGCAACTGCCTGGCGCTCCTGCAGCTCACATGACAAACCCCGCATTGTCGCTTCCGCATTGTGTCGCTCGTTTTCCAGCGCTACCAACTTCTTGTACAGCAGTTGTAACTTATATTCCAGTAAGTCCAGGTTTCTTTTGAATGTCTGGGCACAAACATAAACTATTAAGTTCTGAAAATTACATTCCAAATAGCTGGAACACGTATTTTTACCGCTTTTTGCTGTCTCAGATTCTGTTTCAACCTTAGATAGGTTTGATCGCGATACTCGTTTAGGTCCTTCCCTACCATCTGTAACAGGTCGGATTGCAGCTGTTTTAACGAATGAGAAAACGAATAGCTAAATTCTCACGTTGCGAATCTCTCGCGGAGCAACTTGACTGCTTATAAAATTCCTTTCGTATTGGTAATCCACAATCTTCTCCATTTGCACTTCTCTTTCCCACTGAAGCAGCAGTATAGCTTCCCGAAATTTAACAACTTGTTCCAAGACTTTCATTTTTTTCCGGCACCCGTTCTGCAACAGAAACATAAACTAATTATATACGGTAACGTTTGAAAATTAATTCTGCACCTGTACTGTGCTGCTTATGCAGCTACTAACCGCAAGCGTCTGCTTTACCTGCAGCTGCAAATTCATGTTTTGAATATGCTTCGGTTGTATCAAGATCACTCGCTCGTTAAATTCCTGGAATGGTGCAAGTTCGGCCTCGATTTGCCCATGCGTGACAGTAAGAACCAGATCCGTATTCTTTTCTAGCATTATTTGCTTTCTTTCGACTTCTCCCAGCTGCGACTGCGCATTCTCAACTTCCGTTTGCAATGCTCTCTCTAATTCTATATAATCGTAATGCAAGCCCTGATACAGTTCTAGCTCCATATGCTTCAACCAGAATTCCATTTCCGATTCCATCTTTTTGCGACGATGTTCACAGTATCTATGCCAAATTCTGTAATCAATATCCTCTGGTCTTTGCTCGGGATCTTCAATCATCCGTAAACTATGGTAGAATTCTTCTGTGACCTTTTCTTTTAGCTCAGCAGTACGGGGGCGACACATCTGTCCTTCAAAATATGTCGCCTGTTTTAATCCGCGAAAGAGGTGTGGTCGCTTACGATACATGGACACCAGCCGTTTTCCATCCAGATCGGAAAGGTCATGTAGCTCTCGCTTGATAGAAAAGTCCAGTGCCGCATCTTTGCGAGCACAGTCTTCGTATTGTTGACGAATTATCTGCATCATTTTGTGAGATCGGCTGCCGTTCGCTTTAATGTAGTCAGCAAGTTTGGTGGTGGTTTCCCAGCGGTGTTGTATGTCGGCGGTCCAGGCTTTAACTTGTTCCAAATGAAGAAGGCGCTGTCTAATATACATAGCTCGGAGGTCAAGTAAGCTAGCTGCAAATACTGCCCGTTCTTTTAACCCTTGCAAATTTTCCAAGTCTTGTTCGAAAGTTGTAATCATTTTATCACAGGACCGCGCTAATTCATCAGGATTAATCAGAATTTCTTCTACTGGCATAGTGATCTTCGGCTGATGGGAAGCGATACGCAGAGCCGAAAGAGATTTTCCAAGATTTACTGAAAATAAAACGATAGCGTTCACAGTTTATTTTAAATTTTACTTTTAGTCAAATCCCACCTGCGTTGGCTTTGGCTCGAGTGCGTGCTGCGTTGGCTGCTGCATTTTGACGGGATTGCATAATTAGCGGATAGTTTAAATCATTAACGTCCAGAAAGAACGGTAAAGAAATTTGGGTCCGCTTCATACGTTCTAGAATCTGCTCGTCGGTTACTTGGTACAATTCATGCCCGGGATTCTCGTCGCTGGCTAGTGCAAATTCAACTTTTGGCATGTTAGGATGGTGCATTTCACTGGCTTCTTTTGCAACGGCCTTCTGAATTAACTCGTAGTTGTGGTGCAATGCCGACAAGAGCTGGACTTTGTCGTTCAGAAGTGTATCAAAACGCCGGTTAAAAGCTTCTTTGATCAGTATTCCGCTCGAGCGCAGCAATAGCAGCTGTTCGATCCTTTGGAATCTGGATGTGATCGTGTCATCGTCGTACAATAAGCTAAATAATTCTGCCTGCGACTCGTCACCTTTGCATAACAATTGTATGGTCTGCTTGACATAGTCGTGGCCGCTTACAAACACTGCGTTCTCGTCCATATTTTTCATTGATTCTCTGTTGTCTTCATTCGCGTTTGTACCACGAAAGTGGTCAAGATATCGACACAAATAGCGGTGCGATCGTACCCTTTCTTCCATTACCTTCACGTTCGGTGCGCGTTGGCGAATGGGAAAATTTTTAATGGTGCGGTCACTCAGTAATCCATGTAGACCACGCAGCTTGGTGTCTAAGGGGTTCCAATAGCGTGCTAAGAGGCGCTCTTTATAAAGCTCCTGCTCGATTATCTCCAGTGCTGCACGAACTTTAGCATCTATTATCTCGCTTTCTTGTCTTTTTTTTGAAGTTATCCAACCAGGATCTAGCAACTCAAAAGATACTTCGGCCAACCGTTCCAATCCAATTTTCCACGTGTTTTTGGTATATAGGTCTAACAGTTTCTTCTTCAGCTTTGCGTATTGTTCCTTCAGACCTTCAGCGTGGAGTGAATCTTTCACAGCTTTGTCTTCCAAATGTAAGCGTGTTTTAATCTCAAGCCATGGCTCCTCTTCTGCTTCCGAAACGCTTGAAAAGACTGGAACGGGAGAACTTAATGGCAGAAGGAAGTCCCTATCAAGAACGGAAAGTCCACTTAAAGCTTCCAGTTCTATGCGAATTTCATCGGTTTGCTTAACCCAGACATCGGTCACCAGTTCATTGACCACAGGCAGTGAACGACAAACCAGCCTCCCTTCAGCCGTTAACATGAACACGCGATTTCTTAAACCCCGTTGTTTTATGATCACCAATCTCGGAGTGCCGGTAAGCAGAGTGTCGAACACCTGGAGTGTAAAATTCTCGTCGGTTAATCGGATTTCCGTGGTTCCTTGTTTGTTACAGGTCAGGACGTATTTTGCACCAGGAAACAATTTTAGGTGACATATAGGAAACGGCAAAGATTCGGTTAGTTTGATTAAATCAGGGGCCTTCATCCAGTCAGTAGTAGAAGCGTGTGCTAAATGCTTTGTAGATGTCACTAGAAATGCGGACGTTGGGCTTTCAAGCTCTATAGCTACCACAGGCACTTTCAGCTTCAGTCTGCGAAGATTCAATTTGGTGTCATCGAAATCATGCAGGGGGCTGGCCAAATAATCATCCGGTTGTTGTAACAAGGCATTGGTCAACTGAAACGTTACCACATCTGTTGCTCCTTTTTTCGGCTTATCGGTCAACGTTACTAGCACAAAGGAGCCATCGTTAGAATAAACTGAATGCACACCATCCACCGCCATGGACATTTTAACGATTCCCATAACATTCCATTTTCGAGATGGTAAACCAGAGAGGATCGTTAGCGCCATTGGATCATTTTCTCCAACAGCGAAAATAATTTTTCCTGTAGAATTGTACAACAGTTTCACTACGGCAGCTGAAAACAATCGCATTTTATGAACCATCCGGGGGAATTCGCTTTGCGCGGATTTCAAACAGTCCACAAAGTACAGATAGCCAACATCTGTGCCGAGGCAGATACAACGATAGGCTGGACAGATGGCGGCGACCGTTACTTGAACGGATAACTGAAGGCTCAGTAACGCTTCGTTGTCATTGTTCCAAATTTTCAAAACGCCGGGTTCTTGTATTGATAAAAAACAGCCATCATGGAATTTTTCCAGGTACGTGTAAGGAGCGATTTCATCCCGACTAAGTAGATGTTTGTCCAACGTGCCGGATGGATGAAACATCATCAGATCGAAGTTTATTGTTATTCCCAGCCACTGCGCACGCGACGGACTGCTCCAGATTTGTGTGAAATTTTCTTCTAGTCGAATAATGGGATTATGGCTGACATCGGTCGGAGAATGCTGCTTAAGCACGTCAACGTCGCCATTTCCGCTAAGCACCACAGTTCCCTCTTTGAACGACAGAATCTGTTTTACTGGTGCACCGTAGTCCTGCGTGTAACTTAACACATTTGGATGGGCAACGCCGTGGTGCAGGTTGAAGTACAATAGTTTTCCCTCTAGAGTACCAATATACAGTGCGCCATCTACGTGCCAAGAATGACATGTCGGAGTGAATCTTTTCCGTCCCAAGACTTCATCAATAAAGCTTTCAGACACATTAGGAGGCACCTGCGCTATCGCTGCCAGGCCCAGAAAGTCCGCTGGATTGGATGAATGGACGCTTTGGAAAAGGTCACCAATTTGGCGTGCTTGAGAGGAATCATCGTACGGGATTATAAACGGTCTAAATGCAGCGGTATGTAGAACTGTTGTACAGTGCAAGAAGGCAAGGGACTCGTTACCGTTCGCAGGTCACTGGAGCACCTTTGTCCTCTTCCGGCAAGCCGTGATCGATTGTGAAAATTCTGATGGATGAATCGCTTGTTATACAGAAATCCCGCCAGTTGCAAGGCGAACACGAAAGATGCAGGTTTGGGCTGTACAGATCGCGCTGTATATACTTGGAGACGAATACCTGAGTGTCCCAGTTCCTGCAAAAAATTTCTTTTAATAGGTTGCTCCAGTATCGTTAAAGCTGTAAGGTGGCAAACCAGATCGTTATCTGGCATTCTGGTTGTCCAGTGAGTATCAGCAAAAGTTTGGTGTACGTAAAGGCAACATCCAGAAGTTCACCAACGGTATTATCTAGAATAAATGACAGTATGATTGGCAATCTCTAGAAAACAGCTGTAAGAGAAGCTATCGGGAAGATTATTACAGCAGGAAAGGTGTTTTACATTGTGCATTATCCTTCGGAAAATGTACCGTCTATCCGGGACACTTCAATGAATTCCGGATATTTATATATGAAAACCAATGGATTACGCTGAAGTGCCGTGAGCGAGAAAAAGGCCTTCCCCGGAACAGTCCTGAGAAAGCCATACTCTCGAAACGGTATATGAAATAATTTATCCTTAGGCTTCTGTCGAGGATGCAGATCTGATGTGGACAAAAAGCGCACACACTGTCCGCAGGTATAACCGAATTCAGTGTTGTTAACAAACTGCAAGTCGGCACCGAGCGGTCCTTTGACGAAACTGCAAGTAGTGTCAGTTAACGACCGCCGAAAGCGAAGTCCAAAAAGTTGTATTCGATTTTACATGGTAGTGCCCACTGTGTCCGGACTTAGTGTCATCCCGGTCTCTCCCAGTGCAGACGAATTTCATCAAATGCTAGGCATGTGGATTTAAATCAGCTGTGAACAGGAATATCGACCATGAAGAGGCCGTCAAGCACTGCACCTATGATACAGTCTGGACTGACAGATATTTTAATTAATCATTTTCCGGGAGTGTGAGAACTATGTAGTTGGCTTCAAAGTTCATTTACATTTCATGGCCTCAAGGGATTTTTGAAAATAATTCAAAGATAATCCAGTCCTTATATGGACTTCAAAATATTTTTCACTGAATGAGGCAAATATGTGCGTGCTGATGGTGATGGTATCATGGGAAGTGAATTTAGGATTGTACAAAATTTCAGACTACACTCCGTGACACTCGGTGTTTGCAATCGATCTTGTGACTGTCTAGTACGGTTTACGTCGTAGCAACAGTCATTTTGTGATTTTGCTAGTGTTCGTTGATTAAGGAAGCTTCAATGTGCGCGAAATTTGCTTCTTTTGAAGAAATTAGAACATTAGAGCCGAGGTCCTCTCAGATTCAGTCATTTTGTTTCTTTGGATGATTGTTCGTTTTGAAACGACTGAAAGAGTCGCTTCCGAGATAGTGTTTGGCGATCTACGCTCTATGGCAACTGAGGTTCCTAAAAAATCCCGTTACGACAGCTGACGCTGGTATAGTTGAGCATAAAATACTGTACTATTTTATTCGATGCTCCTTAGAAAATCCCAATGTTGCCAGTCCATGAACGGTGATGAACAGGGATCGACCATCATCGAGTTATCGAAGTACCCGAGTTTCCCTCCAATCCCAGCGCGGCTATGCTAGTAACGATGGAGATCCTTATCCGGGAGCAGACATTATACCCTACCAGTGCCCAGCCACCCCCTGTACGCCCTGTGGAGGCGCTATTACCTCCGCTCCATCGGCCAGCATGGAGACCAGCATGGGGATGCGTATATCGCGGGTGCAAGCGATGAAGAAGCGCTTGGATGATTTAGAGCCAAAGGTCAACTGCATTGATCAGAAAATGGATTATGTGCGCGATTCAACAGATAAATTACGCGATGGGCTTCTGACCAGACGCAAGGAAGTTGAAGACTTAGAAAAGGGCCTGATTGACCGGGTAGCGCGAACTGAACAAAAAGTGCAAAATTTTTCAAGGGAAATCAGTGATTTTAAGGTAGACTCGGAAACTGACAATGCGGCCTTGCGACAGTCCGTAACTTCGCTCACGGCCGAAGTTGCCTGTATGCGCACTTGGGTGCTGGAAAATCTGCGACAAATTCACACTAAACTCGACGTCAAAGAACAAGAGCACAGTCATTTCAAAGGCCATTTCCACGAGCGCCTTAGCGGATGTGAGCAAGGCTGTGCTATGCGAACCGACGACTTGCACTGTTTAAAGGCTGAGGTGGATGCCAAATTTGCCGCAATCAAGGAAGCCCTTTCTGGACAGTTTCCCAGCCGATGGTCAAGGTCGTCGGATGGACGCAAGTCCAGAAACAGCAGTTATGGCCGCAGTTACGATGGCCGAAATTCCGGCGTAACAAGCGATCGTGGCAATTATCACGAGGGCCGTAATTCCGGTTTGACGTCAGAATGGCAACGGTGACGCTGCAAGCGCGCAACATTACTTGACTACTTTGAAGTTTTGTTTACATATTACAAGATGTAGTCGAATTCCCGGGTTGGCAGTTCCAAAGTTACTGGACAAAGTGCCCGTAGTGAATGTCGGGTTGTTTTGTTTTTTAAATCTTTGTTATTTTGTAAAGTGTCATGTTACTGTAGAAACAGTATAGCAAAAATGAGTGCAAATCAACAAAATGGTGCTACCAGGTTATTTTTAGCTACGAATGAAGTTAATACTTACTATACTACGACAGTGTTGCGTATTCATAATCTTGATTAATTTGCGTAAGTTGTGCGCCAGGGTCACCCTCTGATCAGTGATCACCCTTGTAAACTCATATAGTTTAAGTTGTCCATAGTCATACCGAAGATATTATCAGAAATTTTTATTGCGCGTTCTAAAGTTAGTTTTAGCCGTCTGAATTACAGATTATCGCTCTTAGTCTTAAACCATTGTCCATTTTATGTTAACAATTCGTCGCTTGATCAATACACATTTCTCTGACTCGAATCCATCCATCGTACATGTGAACAAACCATTTACAAAATTTGTTATGTACAACAGAACACCAAGTTAAAGACGATCATATCGCTGACACGACAATGAACGTCGAACCGATCCATGATTAGCGGCGGTGGTAGTGTCTTCTCGTTGCCGTCCGAGTACATGGGACATGGCAAACGCTACTCGGTCCCGTTCATCCATGACCCGCAATCCGTTATTATCCGCTTGCTGGGAGGCATCTCTCGTTAGTGCCATTTCCTTCGCCACTGAGTATGGTATGTGGTTGCTTTGATCGACCGCTTGGTCCTTAAAGGTCTTCCGCGTTACCTCATTCTCCTCGTTCTCAGGCCCCGGGCGGACTAAGTAGCAGGGACAGTCGAATTTCTCCCGGCACACTACCGAAAGACGTTGAACGTGCTTATCCTCCTCCGTCTTGTTGAATTCCTTGAGAGCATTACCATTCACTGGACCTGTTTCAGTTGCATTGTGGTCACATTTTGCCTTCGGCAATACAGCCGATGTGACCAGTTGTGAGCTCACCTGCGTTGGTGATGGTGCTTTCTCGGTGATTCCTGCTGGTGCATGTAAACTGATATCCACAGCCTGCTCCATTCTCCGCTAGACTGTACGTTGAACGTATAGCAAAAAGACAGAAAGAGAAACAAGGCCTTCCATGTACTGTAAATTTTTAGGAAAAATAACGACGGTGAGCGCAAAAGAAAGAAGTTGAATTTGAAGCAATTGCGAAAGAAGTAAACAGGGGTTGCCATAGAGATCGTCTTTTTTTAACAGGTAGAAACAATTCTCGCGAACCAGATACACTAGCAGAAGTAAGAAAATAAGTACCACATTACAAAAAACGTCGTGGTACGTGGAAAAAACAAATGATTTAAACGTAAGTACTTCTGTCTGCATGTACTAGCACAAACAGTATAGGTACCTTGTACATAGCGTAGTACGGCTTTTTATTACTCGACTCTAGATTTCGAAGGAAAAATCTATAGATCGTTTCTATTAGGTAGGACCGTAGGACAATCGATACTCGCACTATAATTTCAGATCAGAAGATGTAACTGCCTAAAATTTATGTAATTGGTTAATTTTTACTGAATCGATAAGCAACTCACACGAATGCGTTCGTTTAAAGTACTTAACACTACGTATGAACATGTTTTCCGATTAAGCGATTGTTCTCATAATTTTTCGGTCGTTTGGCGTACACGTTTTCTAAATTGGTCACCGGTCATCACCCATGGGGCGCGGTGCTTTGGTGTCAGTTGTTTTTTAAGACACCTTTGATAGATTCTGATGGTTTATGGACAGAATTGCATTAACTGAAGTTTTTGCTAATAAAAACGATTACATTCGAAAACTTTCTTATGGAAATTAATGTAGCCGTGGCAGTTTATCAACACACATACGCGAAGTGAGCAAAATAATATCCGTAAAAATCGAATTGCAAATGCAACTGTCACAATTGAGAGCGGTAGTAACCAGTTTTTAAAATTGATAGTTATCGTTTCGACGAAAAAGGTCGACTAGCATCCTGTATCCCAAAAATAATACGGGAATAACAAGCTAGTATCATGATCCCATCATGTTCGTACGCTTCTTATTAATAGCGATACTGCTACGTTTCTATAGTAAACCATGTTACAAAGAAAAGAAAAACAAAAGCCGAAAACATTAAAGATTCTGATGCTTAGGATTTATGGGCTAATAGGTAGAAGCGGTTTGTTTTTTGTATATGGTTAAGCACTTATAGCTTTTCTTTGTAACACTCCTGATAGGGTGGCGCTAACAGTGCTCCATAATTAGTAAACCTCGCTGTGGCTTGCCGCTCGACGGTAGCTCTTTTAATGACCTTAAGTCCTTGACCTTGAATATGCTTAGAGAAAGCAGGCGCAGCGGTTCCGTAGATCCTTTTGAGATTCAACGTAAGGCTTCTGAAACGGGGTACAAGTATAAAGTTGAACTTCCACCTGGTTTCAAGTGCATCTTGGAGGATCTTGCTCGCGAAGTCGTGCAGAAAAATCCAGCTGACATAAATCAGTTTTCTGCCGATCATTTTAAACGAAAGCTCGAAGAAAGAGCAAGAGGTAGTAACAACCGAATCTTAGAATATTATTAATTTATTATGATTTCTAGGTTTGTTTTTCTGTAGACGTCGGACCATTTGGGTTTGAAAACTACAATGCCGACGAATCCTGTCAACCCTGCACAACAGAAGGTGTCAGAGCATCGATCATGTACTACATCGCTACATCAGATTTCCAAACCATCTCTGGGTTTATGACTATTGTTAATAGGTTCGCACTCGCAGGTTAAGCAAGACGATGCAGTTAGAAAGGAACCAACGGGACCTCGGCGTACGTTTTGCATGGTATTTGCATTAATAATATGTGCTTGTATTAGAAGCATATGTCGTGCATGTTCATAGTTCCAAACAGGCTACGTTGACACAATAGAACACGTCATTAAGCAGGGCTGTTTGTTACTTAACTGAACTCAAATGACAGGATCCACGCGCACGGAATCTGTCCCACGGAAGACTGTCCAGTATGAAAGGAAGCCGACATCTCAACCACAGGTCATTACTAAGAACCTGGAGCCTGTCACAGCATCTCATCCAACTTGCAGAACGAGTGCTTATCTAAATCTAGCCGCCGGAGACAATGCCTCTTTGAGTCGTGGAACATCTGTAAAGGACCATGACGTCATGCGTGCAACGCGTCCATCTCGGCCTTCTGCCGCTCCAGCGAAAGCCACAAGAGACAGTGCAGTTATTGATATAACTACAAGAAAATCCTCCCAGGCTCCCACTTCTGAAAGTGAGGGATTTTCAAACACCGAAGACAGTTTACCAAGACGATTTGACGGAAGCATAGTGTCCAGTTTGGAGAAGCGAGGAAAAAAGACCAAATCGATTGAAGAAAGGAAATCAATAGTGGACGATGTAAAGCTCACCCGGCAGTCTATGCTGGTGGCCGATGGCCCAAATGGGCCTATTCCTAGATGGTCTGTTGTTGGGAAAGAACCTAAGAACAAGGTTACTCAATGTCCGCAAACGCCGGATCCTTGCCGAAACGTCCAACCACGCACCTGCAAACGGAATCAGTCCAATCTTGACAAGCAGAACACCAAAAGCCTGCTCTCATCAGCGACTGAACAACAACACTGGGCACCACAATGGCCACGAACGTCACTAAGCCAGTCCTATGACCAAAAGCAACTGAGTCAGCAGGAGAGAAAGCAGAGCGAAATGAACTCACGACAAAGATCATCAACTGCTCAGCAGTCTCTCGCTCAGCAATCAACCGCAACCCAGCAAGACAGAAAGCTAACGGAAACGGATTTAATAAACACAAGGCAAAGGTCATCGACTGCTCACAAATCACTTGCGAGTGAAACGCCCGTTCGCAGCTCCGTCGTTGCCGACAGAAGGAAGTCCTCGTTTTCATCCAGCGAACGAGGATGTATGATCACTGAATCACAACATGATCTTAGCCAACCACGCTTTTCACAATCTGTGCAAAAGCAGAGCCAAGCAGTAAATAGGATGTCATCGGTTGTTGAAAACTCTAGAGAAAACAGTATGTCCGAAAACATGCGAAGACCTAGCGGAAGTTCAAGAGGATGCAAACTACCACCGAACTTTAACGAAAGCGAGATGCCACCACCACCAGCAACGTTGGCATGCCCTACAGCACTAGACCGTGCACAACAGCCACGAGAAACGGATGTTATCGCAGAGTTATTAGAGACGCGAAAAAAATCTAGTCTGATCTACAGTGGACCGCGTGCGTCCTCTCTGGATCAACCAGAGTCTTGGCAGGTGGAATCCCGCCGCAGCTCGTCGCCACAGGCAAAAACCAGCAAGGTGATTAGTATATCACTCTCGTGATATGATTGTCATATTAAGGGTTTATATCACTGGCTGCAGAATGATACACAAAAGAAATCGAAACGGGATAAAGAGATGGAAAGCTACAATGATAGGTATGGTGGACCACACGAATCGCAGCAAGATTTGCAGAAACCAAAAAAGTCCGGCTCGAAATTTAGTGGATTCTTTCGGCGGAAGAAAAAATCAGAATTTGGTGGCGAGGACGCTGTGGCCGCGAAAGTATTGTCAAACTATCTGAAATCACAGTACTGCTTAACTTCATAACTGAAAAGGTGTGCAAATTATCTGAAAGGTGAAGAAGTCTTCAGGGAAGCAAAAACAGAAATCTTCGCGGCAGTCCTCCCTTGGTCGGCGCTCTACAGTACAGTCAGGACGCGAAGGTGAAGAAACATCGCTGCCGGCTCCATCACGTCAGAGTACAGATAGTACATCAGGGACACCAAACAAACGATTCAGTCTTCTTACTGGACCACGTGATTCCCCAGAAGAATGGTTGCCATCTGTTAGCACGAATACGGATTCGCCACATGCAACGGTAGTCACGATAACTGAGAAAAAGATCACTAGATACGGGAGTAGCACCGCGGATGCTTCTGATGATGGCCTCGAGGCAAGCAAAAAATAGTACTTTCACCCACAGTGGTAGCCAGTGTGTCGAAGTTCAATACTTTGTGCGGAAGGGTTCTTTCTAGGCACCAACAATAAGAAATTTTCTAATAGCCATATTGAACTGATTTGATTGTAAACTCGAAACGCTGCATTTTCAGAGCGATATCGAAGATAACCGGAAGTCAAAGAACAACAAGAAAAAATCGGCGAAAAAATCAACGGATGGCAAAAAAACGAAAAAGAAGTCAAAATAAGCCACGTCCCTGACTGGCGGAATCCAAAACGTGCTAAAGGGGCATACTAAATGTACTCCAGGACCGAGGCCTTTGAAAAATGCTCGTACATCAAAATTTGTTGCAAATGTGTCGGCCACACTGTTACCAAAAAGTGCAGCTGACTTAAAAGTCCTTCCTTTTCTTTATTAGCACTGGCTAGTTGGAATTTCGGCGCTGAATATTTCCTATCTTTTATCGTTTAGTTCATCGTTACAAGCAACAATACGGTGGTTCTACACACTTTATACCTCTCAGGATCTTTTTACAGTTTGCTGATCGTCTGGTTGGAAAAATATTAATGTGTGTAAATTTTGCTTGCTGACGGTTACTGTAATTAATAATAATTCGTATACTTCCTCTCCCAAGCTAACTTGAGAGAACGAGTGGTGGAACGAGTGCCTTTGCCTAGAAGAATTGTGGTAATGATTATGAGCGCTCGAATACTTACTGTAAGCGTCGTTAACGGTGGCATGTTGGCGTGGACTCTCGGTTGTGCCGACAGAGTGTGCACTAGTCAGTTCAAACAACAAGCGCCACGCGGTCGTCAAATATTTACGGTCACTAATCACGAGCAAATTCTGCACAGGGACACATTTCAATACGTACGAGTATTGTTTCGCGATATTGGCCGTCTTGTAGACAGTTTTCTGTTTCTTTTTCACTTAAATACCGATTTGCGGCTATAACCGGTTGCGCAATCGAATCAAAGAACAGGGAGCGTTCTCAAGGTCTGTAATGAAATTTACAGACTCTGGAGCTCTGCAGACGGGGAGCCGAACCCTCCCCACTTGGTAATTAACGCCTTTTTAATGATGATCGTAATGTGCGACAGTTGCGCTAAGCACGAGTACTCGTGGCAGGCCCGCGCTCAAGCTCGGACTTGGACTCGGACTTGGACTACTAAAACTTGGACTTGGACTTCACTTGGACTCTAAAACTCGGACTTCACTTGGACTCTAAAACTTGGAGTTCACTTGGACTCTAAAACTCGGACTTCACTTGGACTCTAAAACTCGGACCTCACTTGGACTCTAAAACTTGGACTTTATGACTTAGACTTGGATTTGGGCGTTTCTCATGTCTTCTTACGTTTCTTCATGTTTTCTCAGGTTTCTCGGGTATTTTAGGTTTCTTAGCTTTCTTAGGTTTTTTCGGTTTCATTGGTCTTCATAGGTTTCTTAGGTTTCTCCGGTTTCTGAGGCTTCTTTGGTTTCCTTAGGTTTCTTAGGTATGTTGGGTGTCCTTAGGTTCTGAAGTTACTAACATTTCTTAGGTTATCTAGGTATTCTTTGGTATTCTGTGGAATCTAAGAAGCCTTAGGAACCTAAGAAACCTAAGAGACCTAAAAAACCTAGGAACACCTAAAAAACCTGAGAAACTTAAGAAACCTGAGAAACCTAAGAGATCTAAAACACCTAAGAACACCAAAGAAACCCAAGAACACCTAAGAAACCTCAGAAACCTAAGAAACCTAAAAAAACATGAAGAAACGTAAGAAGACATAAGAAACATAAGAAACGCCTAATTCCAAGTCCAAGTCATAAAGTCCAAGTTTTAGAGTCCAAGTGAAGTCCGAGTTTTAGAGTCCAAGTAAAGTCCAAGTCCAAGTTTTAGTAGTCCAAGTCCAAGTCCGAGTTTGAGCATGGGCCCTCGTGGCACGATAAGCGGTAGCCCCTCGATGGTAGCAAAGCATGCGTAAAGTAATGTAAGAGATAACAAGTAATAACAGGTATAGATAGGTAAGTACTTACTTGTTATGTTCTGTTTTATCTGTGCGCCTGTTGCGGTGCAGCATTGGTCGTCAACGTAAAAACAGTTTTTCGTTTCACAACAATGTGAGTACGACGACGATGTTTTCGTAACAGTACAACGACGATTCTGATGGTTTACATTTGTTGGAACAATGGTCCTTCTAAGGACTAAGCCGTATACTTATGCAACAACAACAATGTGAGAGCTGTTACTACTGCAGTAATGACGAACAAAACTGGTGTATTGGACATGTCTCATGCCACGCCATTAGAAGGAGTCTTAATTTAACATATTTTTCTAATAAGTTCTTAAAAACAATCGTTTGATTTTATATCGCAAAATTAAGTATCCCACGATGTCTACCGACGAAAATGATTCAACTTACAAGGAAGCAAAAGAGGATGTATTTATCACTATGGAGCGATATAAAGTGAAACTGCCAGTCGGAATAACCTTGATGCTTCAAGATCTTACAAGGGAGGTCATTAGGGAAAAGCCAAAGAACATCTTTTTGTTTGCTGCTGATCTGTTTCTGCGACGCATCAAAGAGCGCTCCGAAGGTCAGTATCAACCGAAGAAACTGGCGCTAAACCATGCAAAGTTTGTATACGATCGTAATAATTTAATCTTTTGTTTGTTTGTTCAAAAGGTCAGATGTGGGACCCTATGGATTTACCAGCTCCGCCGATCATGAGTTTTGTAAATATCGGGACAAAGAAATCCGTGATCACAGTGTCTCTGACGATAAAAGTAAAACTAAGTCATCAGTCAAACGTTCATCTGCAAAGAGTTTTCTTACGAAGCCAGGGAGCTTCAAAGACCAACAAAAGCGATCCAGTGAGAGACGCCCAAATCCATGTCAACTGCTCGGATCTACGCGTGATTCTACCATGGAGAACGATGATGTGCATGCTTCAATATTTCCAGTTCAGGCCAGGAAATTGACGAGACCATTATCCTTCGTTTCCGAAGACTCAGCAAAAGATCCCAGTCCAACCTTTCAAGAGAGGCGAAACGGGTCTCAAATTGCTAGGGACGTGACAAATCCTGATGGCACTCGCAGATCGGTTGGGATACAAGAAGCGCGTTATCTGGTTGTCCCTCCTCCAGAAACACTCCTTAATCAGTATCCACAGAATACAAGACAAAGATCTAGTACAAAATACTATAGTATTGCAGAAGAATCAGATGACAGACAGAGCAACAGACGTCGGTCAACTGCAAATGACAGCAGGCTATCTGAAGGTCCTGGTTATAGACGTTGGAAATCAACTGTTCTGGATTTGGAGACACCATCACAGCGGCGATTAACAGTTACCGAACCGGATCGGAGAAGGTCAAGAACAGCAAGTTTTAACCCAGAGGATGACAGACAGTCAAACTTCGGCCGATCCGACGAATCTACACCTGATCGAAATTCCAGATCGAGAAGCGTTGTAAGCGGAACCAGCGGCCCGCGAGCGAGTGTAAGACAGTCGACGGTTGCCTTCAGCGACCACCGGGCATCCCTCCCATTAAATGCGGGACCACTCAGAATTTCCGATCAGTCTGATCCCAACCGTCAATTGCGGTCTACTAGTATGGTCCCTACATCAGAAGCATCAGTTTCAACCCAGGTAACCATTCGCGCGCTTTTATATACTTTTACCCGTAACTGACCTTTATTTACAGACACCCCTGGGGGCATCGGAAGAGGGGACTCAAGTGGAGTCTCAGCCTGATGACGGCAGAAAAAGAAAGAAAAGCAGAAGCAGGAGATGCTGCTGATAAGTAAGGCTATTCGTTTGTCAAACAACAACAAACAGGCAAGCAGCTGCATTAAACCACTCGTAAACTAAAAAAAATGCACGTGAGCGTGCGTTGGTAGAGAGCAGCTTGGATTTACAGGGTAAAATTTTTAATTAGGGTAGGACTTCTGTCAGGGACCGTCAACTTTAATGGAAAGCAATCACACTGGATGGGGCTTAGAAGTGATGGAAAACAATTTGCGCAATCATGTCGGCACCGGTGTTTGGCAGCATGGTCCTAGTTTCCACATCGCCACAGCGATTACGATCAAAAAAGCCTTCAAAGCGACGTTATTCTTATTGTCGTTATCAAATTAATGATGCCATTTACGGTAGACGGAAAGATCGTTCACTCACCAATATTCCGATAGCAATACCGGCGCTTGCGCCAGCAGTAGGCAGCCCAAGAGGATTGCCGGTGGTTGCGTTTGCTTCAACGAGTGGAACAGAAGTTGGCGGGTGCAGTTCACCAAAGCTGTTAGCAAAGAAAGTCCATAAAATAGTCCACAAGAATTAACGGCACACGCACTCGAACGGATAAGAGGCTGCAATTTTCTGCGTTACCTCGCGGTTGTGGTGGTGGTAGTACTGATAGCGCTGGTTGTGATGGTATTGGCCGTGGTATCGGTAATATTTGCAATTTCAGCGACAGTAACATCAGATGTATTTTGGCCAAATGCTCGAGTGCGTCGTTTCAGGGAGTGTGACAATATGTACAGTATACTCAAAAATTGGACATAAGAATGTGTCAAACTAGCTGTCTTCATTTTGAAACACCATAAAAGATGAAAATAATAAAAAAATAATAATATAATATTAAGTAGTTAGTAATACGCAAGCAAAGCAGCGCGGATTAACACCACCTTCTCCACCGAAGGCTTATATGACATTACAAATTCAAAACCAAAGTTAGAAGACCATGATTTGCAATACTTTTGAATAATTTAGGAAGTATGACTATCGTCTATTGGCATATCGAAACCTGGCACTAAAAATCGACAAATTTTCAGAATGCTTTCGGGAGTAAGACGCAGGAAGTTCGTGTATACACTGTGACCTGAAACCTTTATCCCGCTGTATCAATGCAACATGCTGTTTCGCCAAAACAATAAATATAAAATCTGAACTAGATCAGCCAATTTTTGCCTTCTCCGTTAAGAACCTAGCAACCTTGCTCAGTTTAATACGGATACAACAGTCGCATTAGCAATTCAGCAGCTGTCAAGTGCTACGATATTATGAATAGAAAATGACTGATTTCTTCAGAAACGATTTGAGATTCCTGCTCATTTTTTATGCTAATGCGCAATAAGTCGCAAGGGCTGGATATGATAATAAATGCTCGTTCGGGAAATGACCTTATGGAATGTTAGTGCTTATTGGACCATTGTTAAGATTAGGATATCGAGCCAATGCTAATACCTTTCCAATCATGGGAGTTACATAGCACGCTATTGTTCGTGTTTATTGCCAGCCTGTCATGGGACTTGGTGCATTCAGATGATGCACTTACTAAGAAAGAAGTTCAGTTTACGTTCGTGGGATCGCAGATGTGCATATATGTGCACAAAGCCTTACTGAACACCTACACTACGGCCCGTGTGCAGTATGTTAACATACGGGGTTTCACCAATTATCTGTATCAGGGCATCAGCAACGCAACCTACTACAATCTGTCAGCAGCCCAAAACATGTCCGGGATCACCCGCTTTAGCCTGCTACAGAAAGGTTATTCGGATGTTATCATGGATGAATACCCAGTACCTCGCAATCTAACGACTCTGTATCCCGATCTGGAAGCTGTGCCTTCGTTCATGTACCAAGTGGCAATTATTTACAATGTAAACGCGACCGCAAATCCAAGCCTCAACTTGACAAGAGAGATGCTTGTTGGGATATTTAACAGAACTATAACATTCTGGAACGATACGCGGCTCAGGTAATGAAAGACACTTGTTGAACTGAATTTTAATTACTTAAGAACTTGTTTTTGGCACAGTGCAGCATGTAGCAGCGCTCTGCCAAATGCCTCAATTATTGTCTTCCTTATTGGACCACAGACCGGACTGACAACGGTACTGAGTACTGCGTTTTCGAAATTCGATCGCAACTGGAACCAGACATACGGAAAGTTCAATGCATTTGACTCGTCAACCCTGTATCAGCAGCAAAAGCAGGCAGCATTAGCAAAAAATGCCAGCGATCCATACAGGTTGGTATCCAACGGGGACGCTACGCTGGCTCAGATTTCCAACACTTTGATGGCGATTTCCTACACCGGCTGGGTAAATTATAAAGCGGCCAATAAAGCTATCGCCTACGCCGCATTACAGAACCGGGCCGGTCAATTCATCAAGCCGTCAATTACTGCGGCAAGTAAAAATGCATAGCGGCCCATGGATAATCACCGAAAAGACCTGCTATTAACTTTAATATTACTTGTTTATATTGCAGATGAATGCCACAATATTAAAAAATTCTACCCAACTGTATCACAAAAACCAATCCTCAGCCATTGATTTGCCACAGAGTAAAGCGTATCCACTGGTGGGAATGACCTATATCATCATGCGAAAAAGTCACTTACGTGCAAACATTGACTGCAATGTGGCGGCTGAATTACTCCGCTACTACCGATGGTTTCATCGGGATCCATCAGCCGCTGCAAAATTATCCAGTTCTTTCGAAATTATCGGTATACCGAACGCAACATACGATCAAACCATTGTTAATCTGTCCACACTCCTGACATGCGGGGATGACACTACAAACAAAACCGTTTGGGCTGCAATGTTAGAAGCCATTGATAGCGAGCAGGCGGTGGATTATGTATTCTATGTGTCCGTCGGTTTGATTGTGCCATTACTTCTATGCTCACTCATCGGCATTGTCGCCTATGTTGTCACTAAGAACTGTATCCTGATGCAAAAGGTCAATAAGGGCATTTACCACATAAATGCAAGGGAAATTACTTTCATCGAAGCATCAAAAGAACGGTATAAGGACATGCTGAAAATGCGGCCGTACCTAGATAATAATCTGAATACTGAGTTTATAACCGGTGAATACGGATTCTGTGTGGTGCTTTTACGACCGTTTCATATGGCCTTCAGTTCCGCCTGTCTGGGAGTGCGCAAAGAGTTGATACACATGCAGGAGTGGAAAACCCATGCCAATTTGGTCCGCTTTTTGGGTGTGACGGAAATAAGGAAGGATCGGTTTATTGTATCGGAACTAAGTGTGCATAGATTTTCTGCTCATTTCTGTTCACTTCATAACTTAGGCCAGTATGAACAACCTTGTTTTTAGGTCTCCTCGGTGATTTGCGCACCCTCCTCAGTAACGACACCGTAAAGATTAACACTCCCGTGAGTTTTTGTATGGGGCGTGGGATATCGGATGGGTTACGTTATTTGCATTCGCAAGGAATTGTGCACGGCAATTTAAGAAGTACGTCCATTTACGTGGAATCTGATTGGACAATTAAGATTTCCGACTGGTGTGCGAGTAAATTAAACCATTCTACCTTCCACCGATATAGCTCTGCAACCAGACTTTATTTGTAGGGAGTACGTTCACCTGTATTCCATGCAGAGTATCTTTGTGTCCAAAGAGCAAGTCTTCAAAAAACTGCAACGAGCTCCTAAAGATATCCAGAATATTTACTTGACCCCGCTGCTATGGACAGCGCCGGAAATGCTTAAAGCCATCCAGGAGCAAAAAGGGCTGCAAATCCACCCAAGCAAACCGGCTGATTGCTACAGGTTGTCCGAGCTGGAATCTAAACTGGCTTCCAAATAAAAAACATAACCTAGTTATCGTGTTTATTTCAGCTTTGGAGTGATTTTTTATGAGATAATGACCCGTAACATGCCATATAAATATGATATGGAAAGTGGCTCAAGTCCAATGTCCACACTACTCAAGATCATTAATACAAAAAAGCCGTTGCGCCCTCTTGACCTTGAGACCGTGGAGTCTTTGTCCGAGATACCAGAATCGATGTTACGGTTGATGCATTCCTGCTGGCACGTCGACCCTTGCGACCGGGTAACCGTTGATGGCATCAATCTGATTCTGAAACGCGTGGAAGCGGAAACAAAGCGAATGGCCGATCTTACCATTGTCAACACCGATTTCTTCATCGATAAGCAGAAATCGGACGTGAAGAACTATAACTCCGATTTGAAACAACGGGTACAAGATCTGCGCCGTGCATGTGAGGATTTTCTGACCCCAGCGGTTTACGAATCCCACAAACAGCGGATTCCCATTCAGCCTAAAGTGACCACAAAAGCTTACGTGATGCATATGACGATGGTGGAGTATGCGGAGCTCCTGGACCCGTCTCACGGAGAATCAGCCATTGCTCTCATTGAACGGTTTCAAGCTCTCGTTAATCAGCATCTGGCAACGGTACTGGACCGGAATATCTTTCGAATACATACCAGCGGAGATGACTGCACAATTATTGCCGGAATACCGACGGTGGAACTGGCTCATGCGGATGCTATTGCTTCAATGGCATTCGACATTCTCGCGTTAACATGGAAGGCAGTCATGCTTGATATCGATACAGATCATATTAAAATTCGTATTGGAATACACTGTGGACCGGTAAGAGAACGGTTTAAACACTAAGTTAGATTACAATCGGTATACTGAGAGCTATGGCTGTCCAGGTTCTTGCTGGACTTTATGGGAACGACCATACGGAATTCACCATTGTCGGCGAAGCCCGAGATATTGCCGAAGATATGGAAAGGCTTTCTGCGACATATCGGATTCTGATCAGCGAAGATTTTTTGCATGATCTGCAGAACTTCTCCGGCTATTCATACGTTCTCAACACCGATGAAAACCGAATACATGATAAGTTGACGACTTATTGGCTCCTAGGTCACGACAGTTATCATGACCAAACACCACTTGATGAAATGTACGCCGAATACGGAGTAATCGAAAACGGGAAGGTTCCTGCTCGCTCATCACAGAAGAAAGTGAAGCCTCCCGCCGCTGGAGCCGCCGTCCCATTAACCGAACGCGCACAGGCTCGACGTTCTTCGATTGCGGCCCACCGTGCTGCAAAGGAAGAGAACCGCGAGCGACCGGCAATCTTGGAACGGCGACATACGTTGCACGATGGACGACAATCACTGCGTGGTTCCATACTGGACCCGGAAATCCTTAAAAACCTTCCAAGTTTAGCTCAGCCCCATACGGAGGAGGCGGCCACATTTGATATCATGCAGTTGGGAAATAATCAGCAAATTTTAGTGGTTGATTTTTCACAAGAGGAAGCCAATCAGGAAGCGGCGTTGGGTCGGGTCTCGGCAGAATTATCCGTGATCGCCGAGACTGAGTCGGCGGTCTCGCAGATGCAGCCTAACAGACCTGAACTTCAACACAAGTCAACTGATGAGTTTTCCAAAGATACTGTTACATTAGGCGACAAGCCATCGTTACCACAAAGGATGGCTGCCGAAGCCAGCCAAACATCGGCCGACGGATTTTCTGCAGATGGTTCGCTTATTGAGAATAACATGTCCGTTACCGGTGCTCCAGAACCAGGCACCGTTATCTCTTCAGAAAATGGGACCAACCCAGAGCGAGATAGTAGGGAAACAATTGATGTAACGGAAAGCTTTTCGAATAAAGCGTTCAACAACGCAATATTAACAGTAGCTCCACTAGATAACGATGCCATCAGCGAAGGCCATTCTACAATGGAATCGTACAGCAACGCAAAATCACCAGACGAGCCTGGTAATTCGAATATTCGTTCACTGTCGCAAGAAAAACATCGATCAAGAAAAAAGAAGCGAACTGATAATGGGCTACTTCACACACACGTAAGCATCGATAATCCCTTGCCACATTTGTCTGGAGTTCTTTCCCCACCTCCGGAATTAGTCCGCCTAACACCTTCGAGAATGAGCCGTTCCCAACCGGGACAGGCACCATTGCAACAAACGGCTGACAGGTTCCAAGAAAGGGTACCATTTGCCGAAGAGACTCCACTCTTCAGGTTATGGAATCCGGACGATACCGACGATGATGGTGCTGGACCATTACATGCCAATACGTCTGCGGAAGACGGGTTATCGGCGGAGAGGTCACGCATGGATTCAGTGATTTCTACGAACGTATTTTCCGTGGATTCCGAAGAGTCCAATTCGCGATCCTTAATACAAGCACTGACCGACCGACGTGTTTATGGGGAATCCAGCGAAGACACAGGTGGATTTGGGTTATTATCTCAAGTAAGCCAAAGTTTTGTTTTGCTTGACCGTGATAACACATTTGTTTCCGGCGGTCTATCCATTCAACCCACAAAAACGGTTGATGGCAGCTCTCGCATCCTGTTCTTTTTGAAAAGATATAAGATATAAATTATGCATAGCATATGGCTTGCAGGAAGATAAATCAAAAAATTTTTTCCTTAGGAGGATGTTCAAGTACGACCTCCCTGGCCAACTCCTTCAAATGAAAGCATAACTCGCACTTACTGAAGCGGTGGCCAGTTAATCGTTGCAACAGTTTAATGCCATAATCTCCATACCCTGTGCTGTAAGGCAATCGGGCGCGTTACCGTGCGTATGTTCTCCTGATTTGGACATGGATACCTCACAGCAGACAAAGATGCTGACTGTTGCTAAAAATTAAACTAAAATTGCTAAAATTGCTAAAATTTATTTTAACTTTATAATATTTATTGCCTGCAGTGGCGTACTTGTTAGTTCTTATGGTTTACATTTATTGGCATGTTGTTGGCTCAATAACGACATTATTTTTACATTCACAAATTCGTTGGAGCTAGTGGCTACTAGGTAGTAGTAAAATTTAGATACCGAAACAGTCTGTAGGACATCCATCGTAACGAGCCTTTGAGTGACCACTGGGCTCAGGTAAAAGATACGTGTTCCAGTGCACGTTTTCCTATTAAGACAGCAAAAGGAAAACCCAGGTTTACTGGCTACAAAAGGCAGACGCGGAAACCCTGGCATAAATAATTTATTACCGTTAGTCACAGACGGGACGCGTGTTATTACAGGTATAGTACATTTTCAGCGCGCGTACGTTTAATAGCAATCATAACCCAACAATCACAACAAGGCGGTGTGGTAGTAGTGTCGGCGAGATTACATACAATATGGCTACAGTACAATACAATAGTTGAATACAATCTGGTAGTGTACGACTGCTACAGATTCTATAGATTTCCATCATTTGACTGAAAACTGCGAAATGAGCGTACAGCCAGCAAATACGATAGTTACATTCGTATTCACCATAGTCGCGTGTGAACAGTCCATACTGATTAATGAGTAACATTTTCCTGGTTCTCAAGCAAAAATTAAGTGCTTGATGTCTCGTTGCAGCTAATTAGATAAGTACTGAAAAACGCTGCACACAGAAAACTTTGGTTTACAAAAAATAGCTCAGATGAATTCAAGTGGCGTACGAAAAGATATATGTTCCCTTACATCGTCGCGAAATGTCGTGCCTTCAATCAGTTCTCGTTCTTTGTTGCTTTCCATACTGCGATCGCCGCAGGTAACAAACCAATCTTAATTACCTCTAAATTACCTTTCCGTAGTGCGGCGCTTGTCTTTCTCCACATTGTTTCACGCTGCAATTTTCTAGGTTGGGTGCTTTTATGATAATTAGGGGCTCCTGAGAACAAGCGGCACAGAAGTTATTTTGCTAAATCCGCACTACAAATTCGCGACATTCCGTTAGCAGAATTTGACGTTAACTCATCACAAATAGCGACTGACTACGTTTCGAATGTTGTCACAAGGCCCCTTGACGGGGGTTGGTCTGAATGGTCGCCATGGTCTGCATGTCAGGTACGTACTTTCTGAAGCTGATGCGGGTGTTGAGAGTGTTGACTGCAGTTGGACTGCCAGTTAGCAATTTGCATTTGTCAGGCTACTTGTGGATCCGGAATACGAATACGTAATAGATGGTGCGATAACCCTGCACCGCAGAACGGAGGAAAAGGTGCGTGGAGGCGCCGTCTAATATAGATTCTGATATAAATAACACTTTCTTGTATCGTATTAGTACTGTCTAGTAAATATTGTCTTCTGTGACCTTCCATATAGCGGAATTCTTCTACTGCTTGCGCTTTTTCGCTTTTCGTTTTAATTTTTCAGACTGTGTGGGTGATTTCGCTCGTACCGAGCAGTGCATCACGAAAGTTCATTGCCCCATCAATGGTGGATGGAGTCCTTGGGCACCTTGGGCATGCACTGTGAGTTGTGGAGGTAAATTATTTTAAAACGGTCCGTTCCAGGACACTCACTGCGTTACCGGTTTGTTTCGCGCATGCAGGCATGCAGCTTTTAGTTTACATTTAGCTTATCAAAATCTGCTCAACTATGCACAGAAAGTATTTCATTAAAATACGCTTTAGGTGGAACAGCAACCAGAACACGGCAGTGCAACAACCCGAAGCCATTCTATGGAGGCGTCTGTATCGGCAGTGCAAGTGAGCAAGCCAAGCAGCCGTGCAATGCTTTCACATGCCCTCCTGTACGAAAGGTGTCGGAAGGCGAGTAAAACATATCACTTCTGTCCTTTATGCCGGAATCATCATTCAACATAGTTCGAGAAGGTTTCGGCACTGAATAGTGTTCCTTATGTATTGTGTTCTGCAGAAACGAATAAACTTTTGGAAGATATAAAAAAAGGTATGGCCACATGACATCACACTTCGTGTACTAAACCTTACCCCTCGTGAGAGGCTGTAAATTATTAACAACCCGATATAGAAACATCAACGGGAAACTGGAAACATTAAGGAAAGACATGTAGCTTTACAGATTACGTTTTCCAGATTTCTTTGTTCCAACAAATTTGGTGAGAGAAGGCACGCGAGTGGCAAAAGTTCAGTGCGCATCCAAGCAGTTGTTGGATAATTTAATCTGGGAGCTGAAGCTAAGTGTACGACACGCTATTCAGTGGCTTCGTAACGGACAACCCTGGAAAGAAGACAAAAGTCGGGTGGAAAAGTCCAAATTCACACTTGGCTTTAACCGAGTGGCTGCAAGTGATACTGGATTTTATTCCTGTGAGCTCGATTTACTCGGCGGAGGAAAAAAAATTCTCAAGGCATTTTCTCTTATAGGTACAGGTTGTTAATTTGTTACTATTATCACCGTCATAAATAGCATATTCGAAGTATCACAAAAAACGAAAAGCTAATCATGCAAGTATTTCTGCGATACAAACTGAACCAAAATTAATAATGATGGCAGTTAAATTAATGAGGTCACCAACAATTATGCGTGTAACTGTGTATTTATTTAACGCTTACAGTAACTTTGTTACAGTGCTTTCGAACAAAACTAATCTGGAAGTTGATGTTAACAAGCCTTTTGATCTGGAATGTAACAGTTTAGCGCTCGGAGCGTTGTATCCAAACGCTAGGATCTCGTGGTACTTCAACGACACCCTTTATCGCAGCTTCAACGATACTCCCGCGGTTTTGGTAAGCGCCACGAGTTTATGTTGCCTGCTTATAAGCGTTATCACTAATTTATTGTTCGGCAATAGACAAACACCTTGAAATTTGCATATGCTACAACCAACATGACGGGAGACTGGGAATGCTTGACCTACGAGATTTTTGTAAAGCCGGAAGTGGAAAAGGAAGAGAAGTCGTTGTTTCAGAAAGTAAAGGATAAAATTATGGGAACGAAAGAGCAGACCGATAAACCGATCCATCCAAAGATACTTAATCCATTGATGAAGTTGGTGCCGACTCCAGCGCCCGTACCAAAAGTCATCCCTGGAAAAATCTGGATAACCAACAAAATTCGGCTGCGGGGTAATTTTTGAGAAACGTGTTTGCGACGACGATACCATAAGCTGTGACAGCTACGTCACCAGTTTTGCTGTGCTGGAAACTGTATACTGGAAACCATTTTGCTTTATTGAAAACTGTGGTAACATTGCCGTTTTCAGTAAATCCGCCTCCAGAATTGTCAGATCTCGTCAGAACACCTCATTTCATGGGCCTCTGCACGGGCGTGGGGTTGTTGGCCTTTGTCACCATTATTGCTTTAATAAAGGGCAAGGCGAAGTAAGCGCGCTTGAACAGTTACGGTACTCGTATGCATGAAAATACTTAAACAGGCTACTGAAAAAGGTTTGTGTTTTAGCAACATGCTAGATAATGCACAGGAAAAAGTGCACAAATTTGCGGAAATAAAACGGAGCAGCCGCATACGAAGCAATGAAATTGCAGAAGATATGATACAGTTTGACGACGAAACAGAGGACATGCCGAAAGCCGAAGTAACTGCGCCAAGCCTGATATAATCCAGTTACTATTTGAATAGTTTAACGTAAATTGTTTCGAGAGAAATCATAGCGCAACTGAATTGCTTTAGTTCCAAATGTTATTGGGAAAAATTCGCGTGAACATCGCTCTTTCGGTTAAAACCTCGGCATAATTGTTAATGTCGCGATCGTTAGAAATAAAGTTATAGTATAAAGTTAAAACTGCTTTAGCAGCAGAATGTCAACTTTCTTGCTAAACAGTTGCGAATTACAGCCAAAAATTGCTTGCCGGTCAACGGAAAGCCGCAAGGTAACAACAAGTGTGCACTGTGCACCGCAAAAACCGGTTCAACAAACTAACAAAATATTGCTTACTAAGGAAAGTTATCATTCAATCTTTTCGGCAGAACTCTCTTGCTCAGGCTGCACCACAGGTAACGTCTGCATCACATCGCTGCTTTCGGGATTGTTGCCAGACATCATAACAGTCACGATTTCTAAGACGTTTGAATGGGTATCAGCTTCAGGTGTACCATCGACACCGTTAGGTGAAACGACGATATCCTCTGCTACCGATTTATGAGTATTTTTTGCTTGATCGTCGGGCAATCCCGACTCAACTGCGGGTTCTTTGGATGCAGGCACGGGTCTCGCGTCCTTTGGTTTGGTTTGTACCGGTAGTTCGCCAGCAGGTCGTCTTTTCAGTGTGGCAAAACGCTCTTTGACACGATCTAAACCATCCATGTCGAAGAAGTCAAACCTCGATCTTCCCATGCTTTCAACCATAACCGAAGACTGACGTCTACGAGATCCAACGTTTTTCTGAACGCTTTTCTCGTCGCATAAATGCGGAGGCAGGCGCATAGTGTCGTCTTCCTCATTCCAGTCATCATCGACTTCGAAATAAAAGTGTTCGCATCCACTGTCTATGACCAACCGTAAGAAAATGCAGTGCTCTTCGGCAGGGTCTGATTCTGGGTCGATCAAAGCTTTCTGGGGATTGCCGTTTTGGACGGCTTCGGTGCATTCGCTTATCGTTATCATTGGCGCGTCAATGGTAAATTTAGGTTTTGGATAACCGCTATCGGAATTAGTGGACCCGTTCGAGAGAGCCTGCCACGTTTGCAGGGAAACAAAGTCATCGTTTCCTGTTATTTGTCGCTGGATCGCAGTGGGTTGATGACCTTTCACGATTCCACGGTGATCGCAAGTATCAATTAGGGAGCCACTTAACAATTTCAGGTACATTTTACGGTGTGGCTTACTGCACTGCTTCAGTCCCCTTATTACATCGGTGTGTTCTTCATCGACGACTGGAATTCTCAGCCTTGGTACGCTTGCTGACAGATTTTCAAGATTGGCAAGCCCTGTTTCCAAATGATCGACACGATCTGTGTGCTCTTTCCTGATTTCTCTAAGGCGGTTGTCACATGTCTTCAATGTCGTTGTCGCCTTCGTTAAGCAGGTAGAGATCTCATTGCCAATCATTTCACGAATTATCACAGGACTGAACTGTGGATGGAGCAGCTGTTTTATCTTCTTTGGTTCCTTGAATTTTTCTCTCCTTGTGATTGGATAATACGCATTGAAAAATTCCTCGGTTGAGATCGAACCACTAGTACTGTCTCCTGGTGAGAATGGCACCATTCTTGCAAAAACATTAGGTAAATGTTGGGATTTTGTGTCAATGTAATGCAGCCAGTAAAGCCGATCCTGTGCCTCGCGTTTCACTGCAATTGCATTAGTTTATGTACAAAAACATGCATGATACAGCAGCAACAACACAATACTCACAATTCGCTTTTAGTAACTTTTCTGTTGTAACCTTTTTACGGCGAATAGTCAACGTCGACTGATCGAAATGCTGTGAAGAGCGTATTGATCCCCTTTTTGCTCCGATTGCGTTCATCATAATCTGCATGTCACCAATTTCCGCATTCGCAGTCGACATGATCTGCGAAACTGTATTCCGAACCGATTCCCCTCGATGTAAGTTGGTGTCTTTGTGGAACAATTTGTAGAACAGTTTGTTTTTTCTCTCAGATAATTGTTGGAGATTCTCTACGTCGAGCATCGCATTCAGTCGGCCGAATTTCCGGCGCTGAGCAAAGAGATATCCCACGTCTAAGCGCATAGTTTTCTGTTGTGGTGGTTTCAGGTGACCGTTCTCGTCTTCGATAAAGGGCTCGGTTAAGGGCAGCACCCACCTGCTTATTGCGCGGGCATATAACGATAAGGGGGGGAGTAATAACGAAGCAATTGATGTCCGTCTCCATTCTTTCGTGATGACATGCCATGCTCTGTCAGCCGTTACCGGTTTCAAGATCATCGGAACAACTATCGTATGGAAGGAGGTTGGACGGGTTTCTCCAAGCTGCTGTATGAGCATAGCGAATCGTCGCGACCAGATTTCAACGGCGTCCTCTAGGAGACTGTAGTTAAAATCAGAAATGCGTCTTGGTGCAGCAGCATGTTACCTGCAGGGCTCAGCCGCATAATAAGCCGGGTATTGTGAAAGTACGCCAGAAATGTTTCGAATGCGGAGAAGAACTCGTAGTTTTCCATGGGCGAAATGAATTCGGTCATGGCTTCATACACTTGTGGATTGTAGATCTGCTTCACTTGGAATAGTCCTTTACTGTTGTTTTGTTTGAATGCACCCTGGTTGGGGGCTAAGGCTTTCTCTCGCTTGTTGTGTCGGAAAAAATCCAGCAGCTCACAGTTGGCATGATGAGCATTCTTGGGGTTCTGAATCTGGAAGAAGTCTTTGCGGATTTGCAGTTCACTGGGAGCTTGGCGTTTTGGTGCGGCAAGTGTGTGTTCGGATGCCGAACGACGGGAATACCGCTTTTGCACAACTTTCTCGATATGCTTCGGCGGCAGTATCGTTGGTCCGTCCGGCGGCGTCCATGTATCGGGATTATCCGCTGACATAAGATGCACAACAACATGGCATGCTCCGTTTTCATTTCCAGATGACTTATGAGTTTGCTTTACATCTCCTTTCGAAACAGTTTTCATTATTCAACTACTTATCTGGCGCATGCAGGCAATTATAGTGCTACCAGTAGAAACAGGTGGTTTTTCCGTTTTCGTAAAGGTCGTTAACTCTGCGCATTTCGAAGCGATTGTAATCTGATCAATTCGTTTAAGTTATGTTGCATTTTATCCGAATAACTGCCGAAGAAAACGCTGGTCGTGTTGTTATTTTGCATCAGAAAACAGCGTTGTTGATCATATTCGATGATTAGGCACCGCAAGGTTTCGAATTAAACAGAAGCCATACGCTGGCTGGTTATTTCGGTTATTCGTGGAAGCCCGTCATACTTTTTTTCTACAACACCTAGCAACTAGGCTAATTGTGTGCTACGAGGTTACTGCAGGTTTATAATTGTTGAACCTTAAGTTTAAAACTAACGCTTTCCTGGCATAACTTGCATACGAAAAGCGGAGCGCATCACAAAAATTTACGATTTATGCCTTTAATCATGCATCATGAATTCTTATTTACTTCCTTACTTCAAATCTGTTTGCATCAAGTCATTAGTACTACCGTAGCAAGCCTATTGGCAGTGTTTTAAAAGTATATGTAGCGTAAACTGGTTGTTTGAGCAAACTTGAAAGGTTTATCTACTTCTGAAACAAAGCTTTCAACAGATGAAACCACATAGAATGCCATTGGATAATGATCGGAGTATTCCGAGTTTGGATATTCCTGCAACTTTTCTTGCTAAAGCAAGACGCTGACTGCACAGCGAACAGGAAATTATACTCTGGGTAACTTACCAAAATCAGTTTAAATACAGTACAAACGGACGGTCAAGCAAGAAGAATTCGGAAGGCACTATCAGTTCCCAGATGCCTAGTGGTTTCATGGTACGGTTAATGGTGAGTGAATGAATAAAATCTCTTCTACCTTGCTAGATACAAGATCATCCAAGCCAACGTAACAGATGCTGATCAACGGTGGCTATTACGCGAACTACATCATTATGGAAACGTGCGACTTTTAACCCCAACAGCCGCTCTGAGCCATAACGTGCATCGTTCCAAATCCATATCAGCACTTGTTCCACCAGAAAACTGGCAGAATCTTGAGGCGCTGTTGAAAGACCACGGAGTGATCTATGACACAGTGATTTATGATTTTCAAAAATACATTGACGACAGCATGACGACTTCGGTACCACGAGGAACCCGGAGGAGAAAAAATGAACATCTGCGTTACAAACGGGAATTCAAGTCACATACGTCCAAACTGAATAAATATCAGACATATGACGAAATTGTGAATTACCTAAAAGCTCTCGAGAAGAAATTTGCCGGCATTATTCACCTAGGAAAGCTTGGTGTGACGACTGAAAAGCGCACTTTGTATGCGGTTCACGTAAGTGATTTGTTTCTCCCAGTTGTGCTGCGCAACTTTCAAATGGGTTGTTTAGCTAGGCCAGAGATTTCCCAAGCGTCCTCATAAAGGTCATCCGAAAGCGGTAATTGTGATCGATGCGGGCATCCACGCTCGTGAGTGGATAACCGTTTCATCGGCGCTGTGCCTCATTGTGCATTTGGCCACATATTACGAAAGCGATGCATTCCTGCAGAAGTTCCACTGGATTATTTTACCGCTGGTCAATGCCGATGGATATGAGTATTCATGGAAAACCGATCGTTTATGGAGAAAAACCCGTTCAAAGCCTCCAAACGCAGAAATTGCTGGGGATCGCGAATGTGTTGGAGTGGACCCCAACAGGAATTGGGGAACCCACTGGGGAGGTACAAATCTGCCAAAATTTGTTTTATCGATATAAAGTGGATACAATAAATCATCTGCTTCAGCCTTCAGGTATTCTGTAGTGCACTGTAAATCCCAGCTTGTTTGTAGAAAAAGGAGTACAAAGATATAACGTCTGCACTGAAGTCTATGCTGGGCCATATCCGTTTTCTGAACCGGAAGTAGCGGCACTCAGCGACATCATCGAATACTATCGTGAACATGTGGCACTTCATATAAGCTTACATGCCTTCAGTCAAATAATTTTATCACCATTTGGATATAAAGGCGAAGCAAACGGTGACCATAAAAAACAGGTACAACACATTAATAACTAGGTGTCAAAAACTGTCATGCAAAATTGCCGTATATAATCACAATGGAGAATAAATAAACGTACGTGCCGAGGTTTTGGGCGGGCGCCTTTTCTCATTGTTACTTATTACGAAGTTTATAAGAAATGTATTAGCGTTTTTGTTCTAGGCGCTGGTAATGAAGGCGGGTGTGGATGCCATAAAAGCTACTTCGGGGTTGAACTACAAATATGGTTCCATTTACGAAGCAATGTGTAAGTTGACATAGTAGTGGGTAGTGACTAAAGAGTTCCTGGCTGACCTTTAATTATGACGTTGCACACTTGACTTCCTTGCCTTAGCTTAAGTCTGTGGGACAAATTTTAAATTTTTATGTACTACACAACTATATACGTGACACTCATTTCTTCATAATTCATTTAGCATTAAAAGGCTATATTACGTGCACTCGTACCGTATATTCGTGCGCTTTTCGATCTAGACGCAGCTAGCGGCAGCTCCATAGATTTCATCTACGAAGCGCTTGGAGTTAAGGAGACGTTTGTTATCGAACTAAGGGATACTGGAAAGTTTGGCTTCGTCCTTCCCCAAAGAGAAATTTTGCCCACTTGCAAGGAGTCCATTGCGGCAATAATTGCCATGGCAAAAGAAACGAGTAGAGCCGACTAACGCATACTACTGTTTGATGTGTAGTTATTTTTGGGAACAGGATTATCCTACGGTTCCTACGTAAGGACGTTCTTCTTTCTGAATTGGTTGGACATGTCACAATCTGATGACATCAGATCGTATAGTTTTGTTCGTACCCGTATTATACTACAGCGGCCAGGAAGCAGTATTTTGGGTGATTTAGATAACCCAGGATGCTGAAAAGTAAATAAACTTTACTAATTACTATATGCTCTTGTTAACAGAATACAACTTATGTACAGTAAAATAACTACCACACAACTTGCTTATAATACAACTTATGTACAGTAAATACGTGGATACGCAACGTCATCCTGTTGGTACATATTAATTTTGCTTAATTTTCTATGTTTATGGAATCATGAATATTTTTTCGTTCACTGAAATATCGCGCAAGCTCACGAGTGCAGTCACAGTTCACAATTACAGCTTTCGGTGAGAGTTGTTTCCTAAACAGAAGAGTGATAATTCATTCATAAAGTGCCAAAGGCTTGCCCACACGTTGTATATGTTTTTAAACATTTTAATGACGTTTCAAAATACAGCGTAAAGCCAAATCTGTTCAGTACTTACTAAGTGCTGAGCGCGAATGCACGAAGCTACCTTTTTAACTTATAGTTAGGGTCTCCATCATGATTTTCACTTCCACATTTTAAGCCACACGCTTGCAATTTCATTTTCATAAATTCCAGCTCATTTTTATTTCGGAATTTATGGAAGCGAGATTGCAAATTTGGCGGCAGAACATGGAGCGCTTCTACCGGAAAACGAAGCTTTGCAGTTGCTTCTGTCTGAAGTCTCAATCAAGCAAATTCTGAGTATGGTCGTTCCTGCCGCTTGGCAGTCCAAATGGTCGCCATCTGGGAAAGGAAGAGCGCTCTACAATTTCAGCCGAACGTTTTTAACTCCATCGGGGAAAAATCAGTATCTGTCACACGTAAAACTCAAGCAATTTTAAGCTGGACCATTCCAGACCCCCGATCTTCCAAAACATAACGACTTCCGATTTTCCAAAACATATCGGGATAAACTTTTGTGCTTCTGTTGTTATGCAGCGGGAACGACATTCCACTTTGTCTACTTTTCGCTTATAAACTTTTAGGGTTTTACGAAAAGTCCTAGAGTGTACTACTGACTGTAAGGAACTTAGCTTTCTTAACACAATGTGGCTGTTGCCGCTGCTTTCGAAGGTTTTGGAGTTTCTAACAGATTTCGGTGATGTTGATTATACGAGTAACAAGCGAGTCGGACGCCTAATTGACATGCTTTCTTTATTAGTTGTTACCTTGACGACTTTAATTTCATTTGTTGGAGGCGGAACTATCCTTGTAAAGACTACGCTGTATACTGATGCAGCGACAGTAACAACACGTTTCTGATAAAAACTTTATATGTCAAACAGCCAAAGTGTCCTTACAATAAAAATAATATATTCTTAATTCCAAACACTGCCTATTCTTTTCTAGCCGAATGATAAATCTCTGAAATGCCGTTTCTCAACATTTGTTTTCGATTTAAGAAGCAAAGTGTGGTAGGCTACCTAGATGTTCCTTAACGACATTCGCTCCTGTCTGCTTCTGGTTTGTATGGGATCGTTATTTACCATAGGTAATCGTGGTAAACCTGCATTTTTATTTTAAATTTAAATAAATTTTGAATAACAGAAACAGCGGTAAGTACAGTTAAATTCGTAACAAATCCGCAAAACGGCGCAGCCGTTAGTAATTCGATATCCAGTGGTTCCCTTTGTCTGTTCGATGATAAATAATTATTCACCTTTGGATTGCAGGCGGCGCAATATCATGCAATTATTGTAATTTGAAAGACTATGGGAAGGGGGAGTATTTACAGATGTGCCCTTATTACTCCAGCAACAAGCAGGCAAATGCTGATCGCATCACTTCAAAGCAGTGCCCAACAAACTTTAAATGCATCACGTACAAATATCGGGGTGACGGTAAGTGCTTGCAGACTTACAAAGTCGCCGTTCATGTGAAGAAAACTCTATCGGTAATCAAGTAACGAAATCGTAAAGCGGTATAAAAATGATAAAACATAAACCTAGGCATTGAACAATTTCAGTAGTATGCCATCTACTGAGCAGATTGAGTGTAGATACGCGCTGAAATAACCTTCCAAATTATATTGTGTTTTCTTCAAAACTAATAATACGAGTATACAGGGTACTATAATATTTTACAGGTACAAAACTACAAATCGTACACTTGTTAGGAACTGAGTATTGTGATTTCTAATGTACGTAACTACGGTGCATGATATACTTCAACCCCTTCGAGTATACAAAGTAGTCAATCTAGAAGAATACAAATGACCAAAATCCTACTAAGCGATGCAGCCGCAATTCCAAGTTCATCCATACCTGTTTTCAGAAGAGGACGGCAGCAAGTACCAAACAATAATTTTCGATTGCGTTTATTATAACCAAACTTGTGAGAATCTGAAACTGGACTTAAAATTAAACAACCAAATGTTAATATCGTGTCAGATTTGTGGTCAACATGACTGCAACAAACCTAATGCAAGCATGGTGGACACACTCAGCGATTTGGAGAGCCCATCTGACTTCCCTGATCCACCCGGAAGTGGGACGAAGCTATCGTCCACTCTATGGTTTTTCCTGTGTATTCCGGCTATGTGTCAATATTTTGTTGTTTCTTTTTATTATTGTGGCGTACTCTACATCCTAAATTTAAGTGGTCCAGTTGCGAGTATGCACTGTTATATTTGATCCATTTTATTTTATATCATGGGGATAATTTTTGGTCTCCAAGTTCTTTTAATCTAAGTAAGCGTTATTTGCAAAGCACAAAGCATTCAAGTTTTATAAAATAAGCATGTTGTTATGCACCGGTCAACGGATGATGCACGTTCGCTTCCTGTACCAATATAATCATGATGTGCAGCCACAGTCAAAAAGCGTAGGTAGAGGGCTGATTAACTGCAGATATGCCACATTTCTCGGAACTTTTGAGTACTCATAGCGTATACAACCAGTTTTACCTTCTTTCGGACTTCAGAGAACTATTTCCCAAATCAAACTTCTAAAGGTCAGTTCTGAAGTAGCGAAAGGTCACGGGCATGTTATGTAATAAATCAACAGAGTTGCTACGGAGTGTACACATTCGGAGAATTAAACAGCAATGTTTGGGGCAAGCTGACGTAAAATCAGGAGCTGACGACAACTGATTTGGTTGTCACAAGTATGTGGAAGCTTTTAAAACAAATGCAAATTTGTCTGATATTCATAACCGTCATAAGTTTCGCCACCGGACAGGATGTCGTCGGACCGCCACAATGTCCACCGGACTATGTAGGGGATCCTGCCACAAACCGATGTTATGGTTTCCAGAACGGGGCCCCGAAAAACGATCGTACATGGGCGGAAGCCCAAAAAGCCTGTCGAGAGATTGGAGGAGATCTGGCCATGATGGAGCGCGATCCCCAGGCTGCGCTGAGATATATACGGAAGAAAGGTATCGGAAAGGGAATAAATTATGTGTGGGTTGGCTCCAACGATGCCGCGCAAAGGAACGCATTTACTTGGTTGAGTGGAGCACCAGTTAATCAAAAAGGAATTTTGAAATTTAAGGATACATTTCCAACGCCTCACGAAAAACCTAACTGGTCAGTAACAGTGCTATTGTGTTTATATAGAGTGCGGTCTGCAGTACATAAAGGGTCTTTATTTGCTACCTTTATTCGTGCCAAAGAAATGCGCTCTGACAGACTCTGAGCATCTGGTTGTCATATCAGGTTTAAAGCAACTGAAATGATTCGTCTGTTCAGTTTTGTTTATAATCATAATCAAATGTTTACCGCTGTTCTCTTACTACATAACGCTTGCCTTTTACTGTAAGTCTCTTTTAGCATTTCAAAGTTTTATGGGTACAATTTGTGTAGGTGTTTTCGTTCACAGAAACCGTTTTTAAAGAACTACCCATTTGATTAAATACCGCTGTTCGTTTAAATTTGTGGAAGCCTTTATTGAATTTTCAAGAAACGTCAACACCTCTTGGTCTACAGACGCTTTGTTTAATTGTAGGTTGTGTTATTATGTTTGCTTAAAGTACCGGTATTTTTTCAGCATATTTTTTGAATTTTCATCGAAAGCAGAAGAAATTTACATTCAAAATGCACCATGTAAGAAGGACAAAATGAGCTTTGTCTGCCAGATGCCAATGTTCATTCCGGGTCAAGGAGGAACTTATCCAACGGACAAAGGTTACTAACCTTGCGCATCTTTAACTTGGCCCACCGGTATTGGTTTAGCTAACCCTGCTACTCACACTTTCAGGTGGCGACGACAAGAACAAACCCAAACCGGTAGTCTCCAGTGCTGGCGAAATTGCTGCGATAATGCCGGAAACGGCCGGGGCCGCGAAAATTGTGGCGGTCAGCGCCGATAAACTCGTGCAAGCGAGAAGTGAGCTCATAGCGCAAATGTTTGGAGCCCCCATTCTGAGTGAAGATGAAATGGAGAAACTTTTGCCTCGAGGTCTCTTGGCGGCAAATATCAGCGACGGCGCTTTGAATTCAGCGCGGGCGCTGTTAACCGAAATGACCGGCGACTATATGCAGAAGTACAGGAAGAACAATGTTACCGAAGTAGCCAAAACGTTAACCGCGTATTTGCTGGAGAAAGGTCGTTCAATTCGGTGCACTTATGGGTGAGCTGTTAATACCTACCTGTCCAGCATACAGATGGCACAACAAAAAATTTCAACCTGTTTTTAGCATTTTGTAATGCTTGGTTCGGTTAGTAATATACTGTGAGGAATGTTCTAGGGTTAACGAAAAGCAGCGCCAAGTGGAATGCATCGCCGCCACGACCGGCATAATTGACAGCTGCATTAAGGCCACATCAGTTGATGGAACCATTGTCAGAGACTGCGGTCTCCCTGGCATGAAATTATCTGGATGCCACACCACCATTCAGGGTGTCGTGTGTTTGTGCAATCATGACCTTTGCAATTTCGCTGCGAGGAAATTGTTTTCTGGCCCTCTGCTGATAGGATCTTTTGCTGTAGCCATCAAACGTTACTTTTACTTGATCATGTAAAACATTTACTTGTTCTTTATACAGATAAAGTTTTATTTTGCCATTAATTGAAACGACTGATTACATACAGCCTTTACTCACAATTTCTCATTTTTGGATCTTATTGGCCTTTTTATCTTTTAAATTTTGTTTTCGATGTTTTGCTCCTGCCAGAGTAATTTGAAAGAATTAAAATCAGCAGATGTAATTTAGCAAAGCGACAACTTATAACGCAAAAAGGTTGCGACTGATTAGCGAACTGAGGTCATCCTACATCTACGGTTCCGAGTCACTTCCGACATCGCTTAAAATAGAGCGAGCTAATCATGCGTGATGTATGAGTGCAGTAAGTCACACCTCTTTGGGCTGTACCCTGTTATACACGTAAGGAGCACTTTTAACAGCACCAGTACAAGTACCTACAGAATACAGATTTCTGTAGATGCAGTCTAGCTCTGCATGCATCGACATACACGTACCGGGCCACTTCCCTTAACCTTATTGCATTAATTTTGCTTCCTTGTTGTTCTTTTACCGTCATCACTCTGCAGAAAATGATTCAAGGAGTAATGTGCATTCCTTTTCAAGAGGAGATGTTTTGGAAAATGCTCTTTGAATTGTTTTTTTGAAGATACTGTAACGGAGGAATAAAGTCTTCCGTATTTATAATATTCCGCATTTTATTTCAATATCTCTTGAAGGTCCAAGCGCCTTCACTTGTGAACGTGAACAAGAACATAGTTGTTGCTACTGCAGTTTAACCAATAATTTAGGATAATTAGAATAAAAGTATTATAAAAAGGTTTAAAACTTTGAATTTCTGGAACGATAAAATAAAAGTTGTAAATTATTATATGGAACATATACACTTTACAAGCCGGTCAGCTCATGAGAGAACTGTATCAACGGCAACAACAATCATCACAACACAACCACCTCATTTCTTTTTTAGCATTACGCTCCTTTTTGTTGGCTTCCGCCGGCTGTGCCTTCTTTTTGTTTTTTCCCTTTACAACGTTTTTAGGGGGCAGTTTCTTGATTGCAGGCTGCTTTTGCGTGGTCTTCTTGCCCATTTCCTTTTGAGCGATTGTTCTATGGTTGGAGACAATATCCCTGTTGTTTGGCTTTGGTTCAGGACGGTACTGCACTAATGGCACAGCCTGATGCCGGTTTATTTTTTCCTTTTGTGTTCGAGCCTCTGTATGGCCAGCACAAACATTACCGGTCAATGCCAGTGTCCCTGGCACTGCATTGTCCAGTAACTCATTCGGAATGGGCGACAAAGGTAGGGACTGGTGTTCTGTAATAAAATTGTGGGGAAGAGGTATTTCTTTGTCCGTATTACCGAAATTGCAATCTGATGATGTGGTCTCCACACTTGAGATTTCATCCCAACAAGACGGAGGTTCGCTGTAATTAGGACTGGACCGTTTGCTGCTTCTGTTCTTGTCGACACACGTAGGCGGCCGTATTCGCTTGCGACGCACAAATACATCGCTCGTTCGTACTGCGTGGGGCTTTGAAAAAGATGGACAGCAACTGACCAGATCGGTTGCTAAAACATCCGCGGTTAATGAATCCTTTTCCACTCTACCGTCACACGTGAAATCCGAGTTGCTCCTTTTAGGGCTTAGCAAGCTTCCCTTGGAAAGGATCAACTTCCTTTGAGCATGCTTTAACCGTCTCAGTCTTTCATGCCGGTATGCTCGTCTACCATCTGATTTCATGCATTTTTTCACGGCTTTCCTGAACAAAATGTCCTCCTTAGAAATTGCAAATTCATCGTATTTCTTTGTCGTGTCGTACTTCTTCGCTTCGTCCAAAGGGTTCCTCTTACGCCGCTTACGTATTTTCATAACTTCGTGTCGCAGTACGTCCAAATAATGGTTATGCGAAGCAGTGATTTCATCATGATGGTCTGTCATTCTCAGTTCATCGTTAGTTTGCCGGTATTTGCGCTTTGAAGTGTCCATGAGCTGCAGAAGCGTATTGCGGAATACGCTGTATGGTATCGGTCCCGAAGAAAGAAGGTTGTGGACACATTGGTCCGTTGCTTCGATCACTTCTAATTCATGCTCACTGTAATACAGTTCTCGGAAATTGCTGACAAGATTCTGCATTGCAGCGATTTTCTCTGGGCATTCTAGTTCTGTTTCCACTCCATAGTTTAGATCGTAGCTTATGATGGTGCGTTCGGGATTAACTAGTCCAAGAACCCCTAACAGTTCGCTGAACTGAAACCAGACGGGTTCGGTTACTGTGATCTCTGGGCGGTCGCGCGTCTCCGGAAACGTATAGTAGGTCTCCTTGTTATGACAATACAATTTGGCTTCTGGGGTTGATGGACCACTTGCTGGCTTATCGACCACATTCACCACAGGATGCTGCTCAGCTCTGCATAGCGTTGTTACAGAAAACCGTGACCGGAATTGCAAATGATGGTCAGTAAATCTCCTGTTCGGTTGGTGCGGTGCTGGTCGGTACATAGGACACTGGGCCGCGCCGTAAGGGTATGGCGAAGACTGCTGCGGCAGGCGAGACTGTATGACCGGACAACGTATGCCAAAATGATTGGAAGTCACCCCACTGCTGAATTGTGTGGGTTGCTGCTGTACATTCCTGTTCTGGGACACCAGCTGATTTACGACAGGAAACATCGCGGGACGACAGGAATTCACAGGCGGTGGCTCACTGGTACGGTATGCTCCATGGGACGATCCGAAAACCGGCCCGTATTGCTGCCTGACGTAGTGCGTTTCATAATGTTTCGTCTCCACGGGTATCAATGTTCGCGGCGATAGCCATTGGCTAGAATGCAGGTAGTTGGATGGATTAGGAAAAAGTGCACTGCAAACTGGAAGAGGCTGCATGGACGGTTGCGGGCGTTGGAATGGTGCAGGACCCAGTAAGGACGCCGCCGATCGAACTAAAGGGAAGCAACGCTGCGGTATCTGCAGCGGCCGCCCAAGAAATCCAGTAGGTCTTAGCGGGAGAATCGGTTTCTTGGTTCGGGGTACGGCTGGAACGACCACACTACAGGGAGGTAAACAAACTGGTGCAGACAGTTCAATTAACGATGGGGGGTTAGCAGTCGGAGTTGGTGCTGGTGGTTCCTCAATAACAGCCAGCTTGGATTCAACGCTACTGGATGGCTTTGGGCTAGTTGCGCGGATACTTTCAATGATTTTTGGCCTTTCCGTCCACGAGTTCTGCACGAGCAATTTTGAGTGCTCTTTAACCTGGTCATTATCACAAGAATGCACGGAATTATTGTCCGAATGTGAGCTTTGGCTCTGACGATTTTTCAGGCGCTTTTATTTGAACGCCGTCGGCGGGCCGAGTGACGGAGGTTACTCTCACGAGCAGCAGATGGCGCATGATGATCGTATATTCCACCGGCTCGCTTGGCCACTTCATAATCATAATTGGATGGATGGTAATTCGTTACATTTCGAACCAGTCTGTGCGGTCTTGACGCTATAACCCTAAACCCGCGTGATATTAACGACACCCCCACATCGTGCAGTTAATCAACGGAGCTTACAGGAATATATCCCGAACCACTTTCACTGTATCTGGAATGCGTCCAGAGATCGAGACAACCCGTTCTGTTGATTCTGAAATATTAGCCAATAAAAATAATTTACACGTTGTTTCAGTGCAAATGCCATCAATCTCACTTGGGAGCGCTGTTCCCGGGATTTGAATATTGCAGTCATGTCGGTACGACAGTGAATCGACTTGAATTCCACGAACGCCTGTTAAAAAGACAACCTACAGCGTCATCATGTGAATTTTCTTCCGTAGATGAAAACTATTTTTGGTGCATAGTTCCGGTGATTGGTTACCTATTAACATCCCAACAACGCTGTCGTGCACAAGATGTCTTGTACGAATACATCGTGAATGTACTCCGCCGTAGTATTCGTGTTTGAAATGATCCAGCGTAAAGTATCTCGCATTCCATGTCTCCAGAACACACAAGCAGCTGTTAAAGTGACCTTGTGTAAGAGAAAGGTCTCGTTGTACTAGCTGACGGGTAAGCTGAACTAATCAGCTTTTCTCACCTTTTAACGCAAGAATTCCTTCCGGAGAGTTTTGCTACAAAAGAGATACCTGAAGGCCTATTTCAGGTTAGTCTTAAATTCAGTTTAGAAATGACATACAGATTCGTCATCGATGACCGTATACTGAATTTTATGAGATCGCACGGACAGCACACCACTGTTCCCGCTTTTCAAGGCATGGCGCACAGCATCAAGCGATTTTGAATGGAGCAGAAATCGCAGTTCCACATCGTATTCAACCTCGGATGCTAAAAAATTGCTGATAAAATAAAACGCTAACTGGGTGAGAAATAAATTAGTGATACCTTTTTTTGCTTGAAGTCCATCTTGACGTTCGCGGACTACCCGCTGTTCCGTAGTTTCTTTTTTCCGGCTCGGGAACTCAGTTCGATCAGAAGCGATGTTACAACGTGTACGAACGCCATTTAAGGGCCGTACATCGCCATTCATATTATTCCGTGACACATTTGGGTAAACAAAGATCTTGATACGGTAGCAAAATAAAAACCTTTGGGTGTGCATCGCCAGCTTCTAAGGTCGAGCTGTTTATGATAGGCTGGTAGTCAAGGAAGCGTACTACGTAGCTAGGTACAGGCAGTACATACACAGTACAGTACTCTGTGCTTAATCGTATGTTATGCTGGATTTCTAAGAAAAGGGTTCACATGCAGGTAATCATGACAATGACGTGGCGCGGAGTGTCACGCAGCGGCGCATTGTCATGATCAATCGAACACGCAGAAGTCGAGCTGGAGCTGTTGATTCTGCTGGAACCGATGTTTTGAGATTCGAAAAAAGGACGCAAATACTGTGGTATGCCCAAAAAATTAAAGTTCGACGGAACATGTCCCATTTGTGACAGTAGTTTCTTCCAGAATGCTTGATTATTTTATGTTTGAAACAACCTACAGTATATGCCTATTATTAGCCTCTCTATACCAACATTTGTATAGACAGTACACCACGACGGCACGACCGCATCGTTCAAGGAAGATAATACTATAGTAGATGTACGGTGATCGTGTATTCTGCAGACGTAGTCACTTTTTTGTGCTACATGCAGTGCACAATTCCGATAGGATGAACTTTAGGCACCATCACTCAACGAAAACTACTGTTTATCAGCCAGGTTCTTTTCCCATAACGACTTTGATAGTTTGCCGACGTATTTGGATTACCTAAAAGCATCGCAGTAGTATGGCAGAAATCGTCAGAATCCCGAAGGAAATAGTTTTTCGAAAATGGGAACCTGGGAGCATATACACTGAATACATTGTCGTCAAGAATATATCTGAATTACCAATCCGGATTTCATACCAGTGAGTGTGTATTCTGTCGAAGAACTGATTACAAATCCTTTAATGCTAACAGACTCTCCCGTCCAAATTTGCTGGCACAGGATTTCGATTTGATTAAAATTTTACATTGAAATTTGGTTATTGCAATTTCAGGTTGACAATGGCTCCAGAATTCTGCGTTCCTTTCCCCAGAACCTTTAAGCTGTTCACGGGAAACACAGTTCGAATTCCGGTGACCTTTCGGCCAAGTAAAATGCAACAACATGTCGGCGGGGTTCAATTTGTGGTAGAGGTAACGAAGCGTTTTTGATTTTTCATTATTCGATGCCATTCAGAGCGTTGTTGTGAATAAGCACAATTTAAAATTAGGGAAAGGCAGAACGTTTTGTGAAGCTAATCGGAATGCTGCCAGCGATTTCCGTGGAACTGGAAACGACTCATGTCGCTTTTGAGCAGCAGTCGTGCTGTAGAAGAGTCGATAGGACAGTGTCGCTTTATAACAAAACGTAAAGATCGCTGTTTCCATATGCGAGAGGAGACACTAAACAGACATTTGCAGAGATCGGGATATCCAACTTAATGCAACTGTCGCAGCTCCTTTCTACATTTATCCTTCTGAACACACTATACCTGCCTTTGGAGCTGTTTCGTTGTGCATATCATTCCATGCAACGGTGAGCGCATCTTTGCAACGATGTGCTTACAACAAAGGTTTATACACTTATAACAAACTATATGTATGTACTTATAACAAAGCGATGAAAATTTTTAGGAACCAGTGGAATACTCTGAAATTGCTACGTTGTCTTTTCATGATGGGGGAGAACAGTGTGTAAAATTTATGACCCTCAGAGCCATCGGTAAACCGCTGGCATAATATTCAGTCTATCGTTTATACAAAACCACGTCAGAAATTAACAGAGTGTGCCAATGATGCCTTTCAGGACGAACTCCAAATCATGCTATTTTCCAACCATCACCAACTAACGATGGAGAAATTCTATTGGATTTTGGTGACCTTTCTGTTGGCGAAATTGCTGTACAAACCCTTACAGTCCGTAGCGCGCAACCGGTATGTTACCTAATCAGCGATTCAGCGGTCGTATTCTTCTCGAGTTTCGAACAGGCGCATCTAGGGTACTGTTGCATTAGCACTTTCGAGATGTGGAGTCCTCTTTACAGGGGATGGTGTCATTTGAAATGAACAGACTACCTGAAACTCTGATCCCATTCCCCTACTGCTGTCAACCCATGGGGCTCACTTCTGGAACTGTGCAGACAAAGAAATTGGGAAAACTTTGTGTATGCCACCTGGCGGAACTTTGCGTCCATAAAGCAAGACTCTGAAAGCCGACTTTTATAGATAAATTTCAATGGAAGGTATGCATGCCCAAGGATATGCGAGAAATTTGTCGTTCAGTCCGGAATGGACCAAAGCACGTACGTCAAGTGCATTGCCAGCGTCACTGGTGTGTGACCATACGTCAAGAACTGGAACTCTAATGCAAAAAACCGCTTGAAAATTCTAAGCGTGTTAAGCTACGCGTATTAGTGTGTTAATTCTACGATAAAGTGTACAGAATAATTACTATGACCTTCAATTTTGCTGACTGTAGGTATGTTTGGTTTTTGATAGGACCTTCAGTAATTTCGACCAAAAAACTCCTGGATTTTGGGGAAGCATTTGTGGGTAAAGCTAAACAAATGACATTTCTCCTAGAGAATACTGGAAAGAGCCAAGCGATTTTCCAGGTCGGTGGTAATAAGAGCTAACGTTAAGAAAATTGTAAGTTTAACTAGTGCGACCTCGCAGCGCTTCGTATTTTACGCATTTAAGGAGGTGGTAGTACCTGTTTACCTTTCATTTCAATTTTTTACAAGCCGAGTATCTACTGAAGCCGTTTTAATCACAAGACCTCAGTAGTTTTTGTGTAACTGCGCTGGTCTGTGTATTTGCGTAGAAGCCGGTTAATTACTGGAATTACCCTGCTTGCTTTTGTGAAGGTGATTGCAATGGGTACCGTTGATTCAGAAAGGTCGAGTCCCGTTGACAATAAGCTAAACCCTTCGTTAAGCGTGTTGCACAATTGTTAAGCTCTACGTGCTTGTCTAATTTTAGTTTGGCAGTGATCCTGCGGCGAGTTTGTTTAATCCTCGGCCGCCGAGCGGCGTGGTGTTACCGCAAAGAACTACGTCAATAACCGTTACGTTTGTGACCAATCGGCCTGGAGTGTTTCGCTCTACACTTTGTTGCGCAGTTTTATTGCAAGTAAGCCTCTAAAGTGCTTTCGTAAACCTTTATACTGCTCGCACTCCATATTCGGTTGTTTGGTTTTTAGGGGTTTATTAAAACTGATGTAATAGGAACTTGCCATTCTAGCACCATAACACCGCTGATACTTAGTCCATACCATATCCAGTTGTTCGAACATTTGCTACCGTCACATGAACCCCCGTTAACGCAAAGAGGGCCACAGGTCAAGTCAGCCTTCAGTTAGTCTCATTGATTTGGAATATTTGTTATGTAATTTCTGTACAGGCTGTTAAAGAACTAGTGGACTGTGGCCTTTTGCTTCTTCCTCGACAACAAGAGGAAAATTCCGTTCGGTCTGAATCGGTAATGTTCTCCATGAAACTCAATATGAGTAGTGTAACAAATAATGTACATGACTATTTTATGTATATTAGGGACAGAGCACCGCAGATGAGTTGCTGCCTTTGTCTCGTGCTAGTGGGAGTAATCGCAGGCTACAAGAACTGGTGGATGAAGAGAATTCGAATGTAAGTAGCAGCTGGGATTTGCTGTACAAAATAGACAGATTTTGATTCTGTGTTTTTTGCGGCCACGAAGACAATTTTTAGCAACGGAATAACCTGCAACAAGCGCGAAATACTTTTTGGATATGCTCCAATCAATGGTAGTGCCACCAAGGTAAAATTTCGTCAGATTGTCCAGAATCGCGAGCCGGCTGCACCTCACTTCGCGTTGCAATACAGACAATATCGATAAAAAATAATACCGAAGAAACCGTTTTGTTGCAATGGAACCCAGATGCGCGAAGTGTATTCCAAATTGTCCCAGATACGACGGAGATTGATCCATTAGGAACAATGGAGTTCAGCATCAGATTCACACCGGTAGTACAATGTTCATCTTTAGCTTTAAGACGATCGCTATATCATGCCAAACCGTAGGCTGCCATTGGAACATTTTTCGAGGCCCATCTAGAATGTCACGTGATGTTCAAAGCTTTGCTAGATTTTGGAAACATTCGAGACTATCAAATGATTCCGCCATGGATGTTCCGCGTCCATGTCGCTGGTAACGCTCCATCCAGTTGTGCAAAATAGACGATGTTTTATAGTGCTACCGTACCGTACATTAATAACGCCGTACTAATAGTGCCATCAAAATCTTAAAGGTCATTCGGCAACTCTCGAGCTCCGAGCCTTATTGCGGCCTAAGATCGAAATTCATTCAGAACTTCCCATCATATTACGAGACATAAGCAATGATGTCGCGTGTGAAACAATGTTGATCAGAAATCCAACGGATGATACGGTCTTTTTCTGTTCTGGGAAAAACACCAACGAGTAAACTAAAATTCTGTTCATGCGGTAGCGACGGTTTACTTTTTTTATTGTAGGAACTTGACCGTATGCCCTAGATTCGGAGTTCTGCCACCTGGCGCAACAAAGCTGTTAGTTGTCGGAGCTCGGATTATTCCGAAACTAATGTTTGAAACAAATTTGACGCTGTTGCTAAATGACAATGATGAGTTGCAAGAGGTAAGTACAGTAAAAGGTTTCGGCCGCTGCGCGTCCTGTTATAATTTTGGCTTATTGGCAACTATTTAGATTTTTCCGGTTGTGGCGTATAATGATCCTGAGGTTCGCATACAGTTTGCAAAGGATCTGCCCTTCCCTCCCACAACTGTTGGACTGGAGCTGCAGCTACCGTTTACTGTTTGCAATAAATCCAACTTTCCAGTGAGGTGGTTAAAACTTATACATCACAGGATACCCATCGGAAACACGCTCTTTTCTCTTTCTTGGTTTCAGGGTAGGATGGATCATGACAGAATGTCAAGAGAAAATTTTTGAAATCAGCGCAAAAGACTACCTTGTTGCAGCATCGGAATCGAGAGTAATTCCGCACTTCACCGAATTGTATGTGCGGTGCATATTTCTGATTGCTAATGTTTGTTCGTTCACTCAATAAGGCGTGCCACTTTACCTTCCGCCCGCAAAATTTACTGTACTATGAGGAGTCCCTCGTCTTCCGGGTGTCTCCAGTGTTTGCTGCTCAGCCATTCGAAACACATCTGTTGCGGGTGTCCGGAAGTGGCGCTATTGGTCACCTTTCGGTACGTTGTGCTGCTATTGTTTATGAAAAATAGTGAAGCACATGCACAGCATACTCGCCAAAGCTTGGTATTTAGTTACCGGATACAGCTCTCTCATTACATCCCGTTATTGTACGGGACACTCTTGCTTATACGATTCCGGTCATGAATCTGAATCCGTTTCGCCTTGTGGCTTGTTTGACATTTGACATACAACATCCTGATGGTACGAAAGAATTCGTGTCCAACAGCTTGGCCTCGGGTGATCGCAAAAGTATGCATGCATGAGTAGCACGACCCAGTGTTCCTGTCCTTGTTTATAATCCAGTTAAAGTGCAATAGTATGTTATCTAAAATAACTGTCTTTAGTATGTTATCTAAAATAACTGTAGTGCTTGTTTATCCAGTTAAAGTGCAATAGTATGTTATCTAAAATAACTGTCTTTTAGGTGAGTCACTTAGGACAAATCAGTGTCAGTTTGATTTATCGGGTGGGACCCACGAACTCTGCAATTTATGGATCACGCCAACACAACCCGGAACGACCACAATTGTCGTTTCCTCGGTACCATTACTTCCTGGTGAGCGTAAGACAGATAAGGTTTTTGACGGTACGGCAGCTTAATTGCTTTTTCTCAACGTTAATTTGCTTTCTGTTGCAAAACATTTCAGAAACCTTTCAGGAACACAGAAAAGTTCTATGTGAAATACTTGTAACCGCATATGAACCGAAGCTTCAAATCATTGATGGTGCCGGATTCGGTAGCCTGGGCCATTTTGGAAAGGATCGCCTGTGGAATCTACTTGGTCTCGAAAGGTAAAAATTTGCAACAGGGGCTTTGCCTGATGGCTTTAAATGTCAGCTGCAAAACTTTCTTAGGCTAAACGAACTGCTTGAACAACCAGTAACAACCAATGACCGCATGGAAGCCATTTTACAGTACAGGTTAGTCTGCCATTAATGCGCGCGGTCATCAAAACCGCAGGTCTGATTTACGTCTTCTCTCATTTAATCTTACTAACGTAAGCAAAATTATTGTGCATTATTTAAAAAACACATTTTCCTTGGCATCATGTTATCGTTGGTGAAGGGCTAGCACTATCCCACAAATCAGTGACCAGTGTGATGCAACTTCTATCAATCTCGGCACTTTCATTGTGGATGAAACGGCAACCGCGAAAATTCTGTTTTACAATCCGGGAGAAGTGCCATGTCAATGGTAAATTTTGAACATGTTATTGGTATCGTCGTTCTGCGACATAGTTGCCTACGTAGGACCTGTACTGATGGCGCACATGGACATTCGTGTTGTATCAATTAAAATATTTAACTTCGTTTAGGCGGCTGACTTGCTTAGAAGAGTTGCTACTAACGGTTTCGAAAGACTTGATTCTTGATCAGCTGCCTGAGGACTACGTGAGTACCACCACGTTTTACCGCAATGCTTGCCGTGATATGCATTAACAATATGCATTAACAATAGCATAAAGTCCGCTTTGCTCGTTGTTATTATAGCAAAAACTTAGAAAGTCAAAACTGGTGAGAATTTCACCCAGAAATGGAACCTTGTCACCTGGTGCAGGAGAAATGCTGCAGATTGTAGTTCGCAACGAAATTTCTGGCGATCATGTATTTCCCCTGTTTCTGACCATCGAGAAAGGGAAAATAATATGTGTAGGCAATTGTTTATAAAAAATCGGACCGGAAGTTACTTGCAAAGAGATATTCTTGATTTTTCCAGATTCATCTGTGTTTTTCGACAATTTCACGACAGGATATTGCGTTAACGATACATCGATCTTCGTTGGATTTCGGTCCCAACGCCGTGACAGACATACATCCACTTGAAAAGGTCACAAAAACGCAGTCGAACGAGTTTGCAGATAAAATATCTCATTGACGAGCATCCTAATAATTACCATTCAAATTCCACAGTGCTTGGAAGTTTTCAATCCCTCGGACAAGCCCGTAAGGTTTCGCCTGGTTCCCAATAACTCCGAGAAATTGCTCGCTGTATTTTTTTACAACACTGACCAGCAGACTATTCCTCCTCAAAAATTGATATCAGTTCCTGTATCGTTCAAGCCGCAAGATTTAGCGAGCTATAAGGTTTGTCAGCTCGTGTTTTTGCGTAATGAGCCATCAAGAGTTCATGGCTTTAACAGGAAGGATAAAATATATTTTTTAAGGAAACCGTTAACATCGTTGTGGAAGCTGGTAAAGCGATACCCGTAAGACTTTTCGGACACGGCTGTTCGCAAAACGACTACTGCGAGTATGCAAAAATCACAAGAGCATCTCGACAAATAAAAAAAGCACTCGAGCATGGTGGCCTGTCGATTGCCGAGTCAGAGGCATGTCAGTGAACATTGGTAAGTGTTCTCTCAGAACAATCTAATTCGTGTCTGGTTATAGATCCTTCAACTGTCTACATCATCGATACAGTTCGAATGCTTGCCAATGTTTGGCTTGAGTCGAAAGATCTGTTTTCTGACAAACCACTCTCAGCGTACCTATCGATTCAGCTGGGATGTTGTGCATAAGGTTCGTAAAGTAAAACGTCATTGATTTAGTCATTTATGTAAGCACATACAAATGTAAAGAATTGCCTCATTCCCTGCTTTGAATTTTTACGATATCCTTTACCGAAGTTTATTCTACTGAAGTCCGTTTCCCAGCATTTGCGAGTAGAACCGCAAACTGGTTTAGTGCGCCCAGGCGAGAAGATCCTCTTGACCATATCACACCATGCTGGGAACAGCGTCTTCGAATTCACGGACACTTTGACAATGGAGGTACATACAACAAGCTCTTTTACAAACTGAGATTCTAACAGGTTCAATAAAACTTTTGTGGATGCAGTTTGTAGACGAACTTCAGCGTTCTTACTACCAAGCGTGGCTTCCCAAATTCCTCGCTAATGTGAAAGAACGCTGCCTTAACTTTACAATCACGCCTTCCAATCCCGCTTTGAATGGTGACATAGCACAGGTTAAGTGTTTTGAAGGCTGTTGAATGCTACAAAATATGTCATAACTATTAGACTTTTGTAGTATGCTTTTTTTACTTCGAATTATGTTGAAACCTTTTTCGAGCGATGCTTTAACTAAATGAATTACTCAGGATCTTCACGCTGTTGAAGCACTAGAGAAGTTGTACCGGGAGGCATCAGAGAATTCGACAAGCGAACATAACATACTACAAGTGGAAGAAGTTGTGCACATGCTGAGAGTCAGACCAGATGTTCAAATACCGCCGCTGATAAAACCACCGGAAATTCATGGCATCCATCTGACATGCAGTGGTCATGTCCTTGGTCAAGAACTTTTCAGAAAAGTTTACCCGGGACAAATAGACAATTTCGTGTTGACAACTTCGTTAACTTCCGAAACTTTTACAGGTATGTGGTCCCCATTAACTGAAATGGTACAGTAAGTGTCTGTTTCCGTATCAGGTATAAGTCATCACCTTGTGTTGTAGCGGCACCATCTGCTACATACCCAGTTGATGCAGCAAACTTAAACTGCGCCACAGCTGCCCTGGTTGATCGAGTTGTGAAATCGTTTTTGCAAGATGAAGTTTTTGAAAAAGACATTCTTGAAGTTTTGAAATCTCCTGTTGACCTTTACTACAGCGATTTTCTTGGACAAGAAGACGCTGGCGACGAACGGAATCACGCAACGAGCCAGTTCTTTACCGAAGAACCTGGGAATGACCAGCGGCCCTCTAATGCAGTAGACGAAAGCAAGGATGATACGACTATAAAAACGCACAATACTGCCCAGTCATATCAAATCCATGAGTCTGAGGACGAAAGGCTCGACATTATTGCTGTTTCCCCAAGGACATTTGCTCATCGCCGAAAGGACCTTTCTATAAACGAGCAGAAAATGGCCAGTCCCGGAGTAAGTTAGAAAAATAATAAGAAAATACAGGGTAGTACGGTCTGGGTGTTCTACTCACTTCTGTTTTGTACGTTTTTTAGACATTCGACAATATTTCATCAGCGGAAGTCTTCCAGTGAGTATTATTTCGTGTATTTTGGCTTGTTTTACAAGAAATGGTTAAATTTGTTTTTTTTGCAGGAAGCCGGAATTCGCGCAAGTCTCCGACAAGGTCATCCATAACTTTGTCTGTAGTGTGCTCTGTGATATGGAAAATTTCAGTGTGGATACCTTTGGAAAGCCAAATTTACTCACATAAACTGAAGATCAACCGTGCGAATACCTTGGCTCATATATTTAATGCTCATGTATGTAAAAAAAAGTCCGTAAAAAATCATCTGATCATAAGAATATTAACGTTGCAAAGCAAATAAAAAAAATTGTCATAAACAACAGGAACGTTTCTCAACGAGAGCAAAAGCTGAAGTTTCAACACAAAACACTTCCATAATCAAAACAGTCAATTTTACACGATAAAAATTTAAGAAGCAGTTGAAACGGAATAGTTACACTCGTTGTGCAGCACGAAGCGCAGCAACTTTTTTGTTATGCTTGTCAATCATTCGGTTTCTGAAACGTATCCGAGCAATTTCTTGCTTGTAAAGATAATAACAGTATCCCAGAATTCCTCCGCAGATTAACAAAATCCCCTGAAAACGAATCAGCAACAATAAATCACGCAACCGGCAGCTGTAAGAAAATTTGTACCCCTACGATTCCAAAGACGATCCCAAGAATAGCTGCAAGTGGAAGGCCGCCCCCGGTTGCGACTGCTTTAGCTTTTGCTACCGCTTTCTTGACTGTAAAAAAAAGAAAACTGCTGACTACATCGCAGGCAGCTAACCTACTTTGATTTTGTGACATCTCGAAGCTTTGTCGTCAGTCGTTAATACACTGAATTTGTCGTTAATACACTGAATTTGCCAAATAACCTTTCTTCTTCACCGGTGCGGCGCGTAAGCCGTTGCTGTCGGTTGTGTCCTCGTAGATGTATTCATACTCATCATCATCATCCTGAATTCGTCACACACTCTTAAATGTGTAAGCTCTGCTGTTAGTCCGTTATTAGTTACAGATGGTCTAGATTACTGCCGAGAATGCGATCACATGAAAGGTCGTGTTTGCCTTGCTCACTACTAAACATTAGAAATACGTTTACGTCTGGACTTACTCGTTTACGTCTGGACAACGTTTTCCTGGAGCAGCACGGACGTGGCGAGCACACGGTGGCATCAATCAGCACCAGTCCCGTATTTAGTGTCTGACCATTAATCCATTCGGCAGTGACAGCATATGGAAGTTTGGCTGCCGCGATGGTGCCGCCTTTGTTGTACTCAATCAGCCAGCATTTACAAATCCACACATTTTCCAACATACCTAGGGAACGCGGGGGCAGATATTCAATGAACTCGCAATGCCTCTGATTTTTGTTGACCATAACATGGGGATCTGTCGACAACCACATGGCTTATGTTTGAGCGAAAGCCTTTATTCCACAAGAGTATTTATTTGCGTTAAAGACCAGGTCTTACTAGGTTTGTGCATATTTTGTTACCTGGTAGTCCAGTCAGTACAGGAAGGCTGTCAGTGACACTGGAGTTAATCGGTCCATAAATGCGCAAGTGCGCCGGTAGACTAAAGCGAAAATTGTTTTGGATCTCGCTTCTTAGGACCTTGGACTGGTTTTTTAAAGCGAGAGTGGTCGGATTGAAAGCCACAATTAATATCAGTATTCCAGCGAAACAAATACCCATCCCATAAATCCATTACTAAAATTAGGACCTGGATCCGCTTTCAGCAGTCGTTAGAAGGTGACCTGATTGCGTTGAAATTTGGGAACACGATTAAACGAAAGTCCACGCTAATCAGCCTCACGTAAAAACGTTCCAAGGTAAAAACTTAAAACGTAAAAAAGAACGTAAAAGCATTCCAGACTCTTTCGTGAGGGAAGAACATTAATAATATTATTTTGGTTTCTTTATTGATATGATACTGCATGTTGTCAGTCAGTTATTATTTTGTTACCTATCTTAAACTTTTGTACAAGTTCATAATGTACAAGTATCCAGGCGATGCTGCTGTTTTCACATTAGATTTTGTGCGGGAATTAAAAGTAAACAAATATTTTTTTTTATTTTGAAATAGTTTACTCACGGCGTTACTCATGCAAGTTGGCAGAAAACCTTGTTACATGAAAAAAAATACGGTATCAAAGAATTGTAGTATTTCCGTGACAGCTTAGCCGTCATAATTTGCAAGTGGATTTTACAACTTACCACGTTTTTGAACAGTTGCAACAAGAATACGCACACACTGGCTTTTAGCAGTAACAAGATTCATGCTTGGGATAAGGGAGAAGTTTGCTCGCAGTTTATTAGGAATTCTGTCCGTTGCCTCCATTGTAGGTAGCTTTGCAACGGTAGCACTACTGGACCTCGGAAAGACATAACTACCCCGGGAACTTAACAACAGCTTTCGGTGCTTCTTAAGTGTTTTCTTACAGATGTTTGTCTGGTGCGCTTTAATATCAGTGGAAGTTGGAAAAGGAATTTACATTCGTAGCGATCCTGACAGACTGCACGGTGGTCGCAACATGAAGGACCTCCAGCCGAACTGGGGAAACAGTTTAGTCTTCCATGAAGTAACAACCATTGTCGGGTCGTTTGTACTTCCGGTTGCTTTTATTATGGTAGCACAGCATCTCTATGAAGTCTTCTCGCTAACGGAACCAACGCTTAAAATTATCGTAAGATCCATGGCATTCTGATTATGGACGAACTAAAGGATTCAGTGAACACTATGTAATCATGCAGTTTTCATGCACAGATCTGCGTGCATTCCCTGATATGGATGATACTGTTAATGGCCTCGTCTGCGCGATTTATTGAGCAAATTGTCCCGGATCCGGAGTATCAGTACCGAATTCTACATAACACATCGGTGTTTATCAATGAGAGCTCTCATGATACCAGTAATACGAAGCAGTGGATCGCTTTCGTGGCTTCCATAGTACGATTTTTATGACGGCAGATTTTAGATTTTGTCTTTTATACTTTTATAAAGTGTTTTTGCTTCCAGGTTTTTGGTGTATTTTGCTCGATTTCTCTTGGAGCAGTCGCTGTTCTTTGTATACTAGATTTCACTCATATCATTGCAATAAATCGTATGTTGGATCAATGACATTATTTTGCGGACATTACTGGAACAATGGACATGCAAGAAAAATTGAAGGCATCTTAAAAAAGACGACCACCAAAACCTGTCATCCGACTTCGGTTATTTTATTTTATAGTAATTCGGTTTCCTGCCGGTACGCTTAAGGAAACATGTTCATACAATCTTAAATTAAAATAAACAGGTTCTGCTCGTATTTACATTGCCGTACAGGTTTCCAGTTTCTTCACAAGCACAGCGGCCGGAATTTTCCATCCAACAACCATGCATAAGGCGCGAGGAACGATACCGGTTTCGACTTTTTTAAGAAGATGACATCAGATTTGACAGGTACGGTTGCAAAACCGACTAGCTATATTGCATATTTCCTCCCACATAAATAATTTAATGACAATACCGACAGTGCGGATCAATGGTTTGCTTCTGTTTCTTTTTAGGATCATGGGCCTTCACAATATCAGCGTTAAAATTGTCAACAACCGTTTCGTTCTTTTTTAGAGGATGTTTGTGGGCTTTTGTTGTAGCTACGTAGAATTAAAATGGTTATAATGAAAAATTTATGTAAACATTGGGAAATTTTTCACTTACATTTGGGAAAAGGTTTTGATGAATTGTACTTCGCTTTCTGCTTTATTCCTGGTGCGGCGCATTCGATGTTGCAGATCAGGAAGCTGCTAAAGCAAATGGCTAAAAATATCATGATCCATAAAACCCTCATTGCTATTGACTTTTGTACCCGCACTAAGATTTCATTAAAAGAAACCAGTAGTATGATGTTGTCAAAATGAAACTAGATTACATGAAGCGCGATTTTTTTAGCAGATGACTGTTGTTAAACTGAATGTTAAGAAACTACAAAGTACCTTTTTTGCCTTTTGGCGTTTGCCTTAAGCAGTTACCAGAAATAGCTTCCGAATTCCAAGCAAGATACGTGTCTTACGGTATGTACATGTATTAATCCGTATACGTAACCGTGTAACGCTTAACATCCATTAATACCGCAAAATGTAATTGAAACATGATTATTAGCCACACCGAAATCTTATTAAGACTTGAAATCTGAAATATTCTAAATGGCAACTCAGCATAATCTGACACCCTTCCCGTCCTCCGTTTTTTTCTGTCCAGTTCAAAAGACTCATGTTAAGCCATTAGCGATTAAAAGTGTTAGACAAACCAAAATGTGATTTTTGCAAAGAAGCAGCAGCAGCCCTTATAATTATATTATATACAAAGCAGCACACTACTCTGTATACTGCCGCATTTAATACAAAGTTCACGAGTTGCTGTAATCAAGCTCGCAGCTACGCGGCTACTGTTTCAAACCTTTCTGAATCGCTCATCGAAGCAGCAGTTAGAAGAGACATTAAAATCTTGGTGCGTGTCGTATTGCCATTACCTAATGCTTTGAAGGATGCTTTAAAACCTTAATAAAGCTTTTTACTCTAGTAACGCATACATTATGCACCCAAAAGATGAGTACACCGTGGGTTTCACGGACGCATATTACATAGTAGAACACCGGCTTCGCCGTTAAAATGCAAAAAAAGTTCTCTCGCTGCACAAAATTTCTCCACTTTGCTCCGAGGCACCGGAAGCGGTGATCCGGGTTGGCTATCTTATAAGCGGGCGGCGGATCCGCCTACATTTGAATTTCACAAAGTAGAAAATCCTTTTGCTTTCTGGTGAATTGTGTAATGATGCTAAACGGTTATTACAGCAGGTACAAATAAGGGTTTGCTGTAAACATAAATCTGTGGATCATAAAAATTCAATTTTAACGGTCCTTGAGCATTGCACATTCACATTTACTCGAGAAGTAGATACGAAGTGCTGATTTATATGATTGTTTGGATGCTGCTACATACTTCAAAATGGATTTTTTTTTCGTTCTTCACCTTTTATTTTATTTCTTGATATGGACCGTTTTTGTCCCTGCGGTAAGAAAATTAAAGCCGATATGATACGATATGATAATTTGTAAATTTATTTATACTAAACTGGCTTTTTAAAACTTTTAAGTGTGCTTTCAGAATGTACCTGTTACAGGAAACGTCAAATTTATATACATACTACCTCGAATTTCAGATGGCCTCGATTAGCGTAGTAACACAATATGGCTCATCTTTCGATGCGATTGAGAGCCTGCGACCGAATATCGGCAACAATGCAGCAGTCCTACAACAGGCTGTTCGCACAGCAATACCCGGCGTCACTTTTCCCCAGTTATCCAGTATTCCGGTTACGTCTTTTAACTGTAGCAACATCCCTCACGTCGGGTTTTACGCCGATGTTGAGACCGGCTGCCAAGTTTATCGTCGATGTCGTGGACAGAGAATGGCATCATATTTATGTCCAAATGGAACGCTGTTTAACCAAATCACTTTAACTTGTGATTGGTGGTACAATGTAAACTGCTCCAGGTAAAAATGCAATCATCAAATTCAGCGTTGGATTAAGCCAAACGCTAACGTTGGCTATTCTTAAGTACGAGTATATACGTATCATGCCTTGCGATAGTTCTGCCGAAATAATTTATATGGCTCGTTTGCAGATCGAAACCATTTTATATGTATTCAAACATCCGACTATATAATCCAAACGAGTACTTATTGGACGGTCGAGCCGGACAAGCACCAGGAACTGGAAAAGCACCGGGCAGTTACAGCGGCAACTGGACGGACAGTGGACACAAGCAAAAGGTTACGAAAAGTGTGGCGCACAACCAGACTAAAAACTTCACACCAGGCCCAGTTTCAAGCCAAGCAGTAAAGACATCCACGACCACGACTAAAGCAAACAAAAATCAAGAAGTGGTGACGGTCGCCACTGCCGAACGACAGGCTCGCAAAGGCTCAGGAAACGAAGTCAAAAGAGAACCTAATGTACTAGTCGACTTTTCGGGACAGCCCGGTAAATCTTCAGCTGCAGGCACTGGAGAAAGTGAGTTGTTGAATACAACGAATTTCGGCGGCTATGTGTTCCCTGGTGGAGGCAGTTACACGGGCGATACGCCTGCAAAATATGCAAAGGGCGAAAACGAATCTTCAGGAACGTATGCATTCCCGGATTTATTTTACACCCATCCCAGAACAGCGGAGGGAGACAAGGCACTCGATCATGCTGGCGAAAAATACGTAACTAGAAAATACTTAAGGCATCGTTTGCTTGTACCGTTTCGGTTTGCAATCCACAGCCATCAGAAATCTGGGGAAAATATTACGCTTTCGACAAATTCAAAATTAGCATTTCGACAGCTGCGGAAATTATCTCGTTGAAGGATTACTGCTGATCGCAGTCATTTTTGTTGATATTTATATCTTGGAAATTATTAAATTATGACATCTTTATGTCCCATAACACTAATTCAACATGCAATAACAATAAAGTAAGAAAATTGACGGTGCAAATTCTGGAGGGCCAGTTTGGCTATAATAATCACAAGTCATCACACTTCCAGCAAGTAATTCTGATCCTTAACTTAGTTTATTACACTACCGGCACAGTATTCGACCATTTCCAAATTTATGGTGGTTTTATTAAAATGTTGATGACTGTTGATCGTTGGCACTTGTACACCTCACACCTTGTAACTACGATGTGGCCGGTACGTATTGGTCATTCTACTCATGCTAAACCGCAAAATTGGCCGTTTACTACTTATACTTGAAGCACCCCTAATTTAGTTGTCATAAGTGCATAAAGCGCAAAAGCTCACTGGCTTCCCGTTTACTCTTGCGGTTTCTTTGCTTATTGTCGGTTCGGCGGTAAACGTTCTGGTTGACAGCATACGACACGAGTACAACCGATATAGTAAATCAGTGAAAGTTATATTATGTTTACAACTCGCACCATGATGTTTTGCCGGTGTGGTAATAACCTTGATCATAATAAGCTCGTACGACCGTACCTTTGCAGCAAGTCGATAACGTCTACCGGAAGGGTGAGAATGTTTGTGTGATGATGCGATGCATTAAATATAATTACATGTTTGCAGTGTACCATCCTCAGGCTACTTAGCATATTGTTCTTTTTTAATGTGCGCATATTTCATGTGCGTGCTGTACATACCAATGCCTGTATATCCGCATCGGTGCACTTGGAATCCGTTCCCTTTATGCCTGAAACAGCCACGTAGTGCCTTTAGGTGGTTAATGCCGATAGACGGGATATGCAGCATGTGCATATAATAAATTCCAAGTTTTCGATGCCTATTTTTACTGACGCCGCATGCATGAACGGATACGGGAAATTGTAAAATAGACATAGCGATGCTAATGGAAGAAAGATTTCGTCGTCTTGTTTCAACCTGTGTCTACGTATGGGCTTTAATCATGCATACAGTAAGTACTGTATAGAATTTTCAGCTAGGTATTTTAGTAAGAGCGTTTCTGTAAGTTATTTAGCAGGGCAAAGAGAACAGCTATACATTTAAACCTTGGTGTGGCATTTGTCAACTATACCCTTGCGCGAAACAGTGAAATAAAGTACTGACTCTAATGGAAAAAAACTGCTCCATAATGCGCTAAAATGTTTTGGGATTTCAGGGTATGGTAAATGGACAATCCACGAGATCTTTTGAGTCGGCATTCGAAGCCTTAGACAGCCTGCGCCAAAACGTTGGACGCAGTGCAGTAAATATTCAGAATGCGGTACAAGCTGCAATACCCGGCATCACATATCCACAGCTTTCTAGCATTCCCGACACATCTTTTGACTGCAGTGAAATGCCAAATTCGGGATTCTACGCCGATGTGGAAACAGGATGCCAAGTGTACAGACGATGTAATGGACCGCGAATGAATTCGTACCTTTGCCCCAATGGAACACTATTTAATCAGATCGCTCTGACTTGTGATTGGTGGTACAATGTCAACTGTTCCAAGTAAGTTCAAAACGAGCAGTCATCAGACTCATCACTCTATTAACGTATGTAAATGTCCAAAGCGGAAATATTTTAGCTGTTACCCTTTTATTTCAGATCGACGACCTTTTATACGTTCACCAACGCACGACTGTATAAGTCCAATGAAACACTTTTCGAAGAACAGACAAGCGTACAACCGTCACATTCAACTTCACCCAGCGCTGAGAAAAAGATGATACACCCATCGACTAAACGATCCTCGAAAGCCACTAGAATGCATCCTTCGAAACGCACAACTTCAACTAACGTTTTGTCTTCGGCAAGGCACACGAAAGCAGCTGCTCCTGAAAAACGAACGACGCCATTACGAAATTCATCTTTAGCATCCGTAACGTCAGCTAAAATTGTTATCAAGAGCCTTGTTACAAAGAAGAGTTCCCAAAGAACGACGCCACATGTCACCACTACGGTGTCGTCCTTAGAGCCGCCACCTGCCGCACAACCCAGGTTCTTTGATGATCCACAGATGGTACCGGTCAGCACAGTTCAACCTGAAGTGAGCCAAGCAAACGGAATAACCACATTATTGGTCGAAGTCGTTACGAGTTCAATGCCACTCCTTACTAAAGATCTGAAGATCCCTATAAAAAACCTTTCATCTGCAGATCCTGCTTCTAGTGCACCAACGACACCACGTCCCATTGCAACCTCTTCCTCTGATAGGCTTGAAGTCAGCAGCACATCGCTTCCCCACGGAATATCCAGTTCCCCGACAAAAGTTGTGCTGACGGACAAGAACGAATCTGCTCCGCTCGTAAACAACAGCACGGCAAAGCCAGTAATAGCGTTGGAAACAACGATGACAGCGTCCCTACCAAAGAACGCCACAACAGGAATCTTGAACTATACATCGACAACAGTACCAATTATATCGTCAACTTTGGTGGCACATGGGAGCTCTTCCATGCTTGTTTCGACCGGTGCACCGCCCAAAAATGTCAGCGACAATGCAGTTGTTACCATTACCGGTACCACGACGACAACGGCGCCAGCTGTAGCTACAACCAATTCGCAGCGGCAGTTGACAATGCCAAATTCAACCATAAGTACAATATCAACGTTACAGCCGGAATTGACGTCCCGCCCCACCAGCCCCAGTACTATTTCTATGCCGCCGGGAAATTCTACCATCTCAACGAATCCAAATTTGTTGATCAGCAGTGACAGCACCACTGAATCAAGAAGGCAACCCAGAGTGGTTGAACAAATGGGATTTTTTAAATGTACCCAGAAAAATTTCGACAAAATTCAGACGTACAAATCGTTTCGTTTTCTAACTGTTTCCTTGTGTACATAGATAATTTTATGGTGAAGGAGGACGAAGGCGATAATTTTTAAAACCGATACCCGCATATAGCTTGTGTTTGTTTTGTTTTTATTTAGGTACATAAATTTTTTAGCATTTGCATTGGGTAAAAATTATATGAAAACTCCAGCGCTGTTCAAAATTAAAAAGCATTCAGTGAAAAACATCATTTGAAATTCTTAAACTGAAGTAATATTAACCACGGTAGCATTAATCAGAGTCACATTTGCTGTATCCAGCGCAAACTGTAATGTTGCATTTGCCGTCGAAATTAATATCGCATCTGTATACTGAGAGCCGTCAGTGGTTAACGTTAAATTGTGGTTGTCATCGTCCGAGGCGACACTGGATGCAAGTTCCGGCAGCATTGGCAGGGCTGTTGACATGTTCGGTTGAAATGATCCAGAAAAATCCCTCAGTGGTCCCAAAGTTAGCCGGTTAGCCAGTGTGGCTGATATTACAGTTGGCGCATCCGTGGGTGCACCGGTGGGTGCATCGGTAGAAGTGGTGTTAAGCCGGTCACGTAACGTTGATTGTAGAGCCAACAGCAGTGCGTTCAAATTTGTATAGGTAGGTAATATAGGTCTGTTTCCATCGGGAATAAAGGCGAATACAAACGTTCCTGTGTTACTGCCAACAGATTTCCCAAAAGTAGAAGATGCTGTTTCCAAACCGGAGGAAAAATTACGCGAGGGCATGGCGCCCAAAAGAATATCCGGAGAAGGTGGCAGGGTTACGCTGTTGGATGTACTGTCAGTGCGTAAAGCCTTCGTGGTAGTACCCCAAAAGTTGTTGGGATCAAGAGAGGTGTCATTAGTAGATGTGGTATTGCCGGCATCTGATGCGTTCATCCACATGTCCATATTAACCGGTAACGTCCATGTCTCGATACTCATGTTGGTAACGTTTCCAGCGGAGTCAGTCAAAATATTTCCAAACATATCCATAATAGCGGAATTGTTTGATATATTTGAATTAAACGGGCTGGAGACCGAATCCCCGATTTCCAGAGTGTGAATATTGGAAACGCTTGCGCTGGCCGCGATAGCCGATCCATTATTAGCCATTGCGGTGAGAATGTCCGTTAGGTTTACTACGTACACCGTTGATGACATGTTGGCATCAAGAGATGAATTTAAAATTGTCTGGTTTAGTTGTAGAACATGCACTTCTTCCGTGTCGTTTACAGTGGTGCCGCGTACAGCGTCTATCATCCACGAGAGCGTTGGTTCTTGATCGTTGCCAGTAGTGGAGTACTGGGAGCCCCAAAAGTCAACGGTATGATCGGTTTGATTGCCGCTGTACATCTGTCCACTAAACGTGGCCAGTGTAGGATCCGTTAGGTTTGTTGCTTGCATAGCATTACTAGAGCCATCCGGTTGGCTAGAGTTAAGCGCCGTTGCATTAAACGGCCCAGTTAATTGCCATTGAAAAGTTGGAAGTCCGGAGCCAAGTGGTGTCTGACTCGGTGACTGCAAAAGCCAAGATTTATCAACAGGTTACACATTTGAAAACAAATCTTGTGATTTCAACGTACTGATTTCGAAGAGTCCAGTCCTTCTGCCGTGTACAACTATAAAGAATGATAAAAAGCGCGTTACCCATTCGCACTTGCAGGTGGTAATGTCGTCATATCGGTCATATTGTTGCAGTTTTTTATCAAACATTTATTGACTTAACTTCTGAGAAGTTATCTAAATATTTCGTCATAAGCGGTGCTGTTTACCTATGTCGTCAAATATCACGCGCCATACGGCGCATGATATTTTGTAAATTAGCCATTTTTATCGTCACACTGCTATTGTGCTTAATATCGTCTTTTTAATAATTAATATTATTGCTTAATAATTGTGACGCGACAAACAAGCAAGTATTCCTGTGCAGTACCTTTTGAATCTGACCAGTTGGATAGATTGTGGTCAACAAATCGGAATTCGCTGTCGGTTGGATCTCGTTTCCAGAACTGTGAACCGGAATAAAGCCGACAAGTGCCCGGCTGACCCTCCCGATACGCAGTGTTGCTGACGTTGTAGTCGGCATCAAGATAGTGGCTACTGTTGGTACAGTAAAAACAATTCCAGCTCTGCCTGTAGTGGTCACAATCCCTGTTGAACTACCGACGGTTCCTGCAATGTCAACTCCCGAAAACGATGAATTATCGCTGCCGGTGATATTCGCACCTTCGATCATATCCGGCTCAGCCATTGTTGTTACCTCTTCGCTTGGTGTCACTGTCGTCACCTCTGCTCCTTCGGTGGCAGCTTCCGGCGGTTCGGTGCTTATGCTACCGGGTTGCTCCGTAGTACTCTCGGCTTCGGTAGTGGATTCTTCGTTTGCAACGGTTGAGACTTCGCTGGAGCTCTCCGTGCTGCTTTCGTCACCAGACGACATAGAAGAATTAGATGAACCCGAATCAAATAAAATCCCTTCGGTTGTAACATCAACTCCGTCGCTGGTCGTAGCTTCGGCGTCTGGAGAAGCCGTTGAAAATTCTGTAGTTGACTCACTCAAATCGTTTTCTGTAGTGGTTTCTTGGTTGTCTGTGGTATTTTCTTCCTGTCCGGTTGCACCACTTTCCGTAGTTTCGGTGTCAGCGGGAACTTCCGTTGTGCTTTCTGGATTGGCGCTGCTCTCGTCGGCACCGCCTTCCGTAGTCGGTCCATCATCGGGAGAGGAAGTAGAGCTTTCGGCATCCGTTGAACCATCTAGTGGGCTGGAGAGACCAACAGCGTTTGACCGATCATGTGCGGAAGTACCATTGTCGTATAGGAACAGTACGTGCTCTTGGTATAATCGCGGGTTTGAATACGAATAATATGAAATAGATCTAAAATAAATTCACTGATGTCAACCCAGCATTACCAATATTCTTTACAAGGACGAAGATGGGAAAATTCATACTTATCACAGTTTACATTGTACCACCAGTCGCAGACCAATGTGATTTGATTGAATAACGTCTTGTTCGGGCACAAAAACGAATACATGGGTGCGCCCGATAAGCATTGGCGGTAGGCTTGACAGCCCGTTTCCGGGTCCGCATAGTAGCCAGACTGGTTCACCTGATCACAGGAAAAAGAAGTCTCGGGAATAACCGACAAGGTTGGATACGTTGCACCGGGTTGTGCTGTGGACATAACTCGCCGAATATCGTCAATAGTCGACGTGTGACCACTCATTGCTTGGGTGCGCAAATCGTCTAGCGCTTCGAAAGCCGACAGTGATCCCGAACGCGTATCATCTTGTGAATATGATAGCTAAAATCACAAAATCTGCAGATGCATTTTGTATGGAAGAATAAGGAAGAAAACATGGTTGGCGTTATCGAACATTTAGGAGTGGCTTAATTTTCTGGCACTTTTTGATCCAAAACCATCGTAAATTAAGATGGTTTTTGAATTTGGAATATCGTTTGCGTTGTTAAGATTCCTAATAGCGGAAACGGTACGCATACGGTACGCCCACGTCGATTATCGGTATGTAAAATTCACAAATATCTCAAACCACAATATCCGAACCGCCAACTGTTTCACGATCACTTTTTTATTTTGTTATCAACATTGTAGGCAGTCATAAAGTTACGCAGGAGAAGTGCAGCATAGGATTTATGCTTTAAAGTAACGTATCTTCCTTGCGGTGTGCAATACAGAAAAAAATAAAAATTATAGAAATACAAATGGCTTCAGTTACGTTCAGCTATCTGTACGTTTAGCTGCAGTAGTGAATGTATTACTGTATACCGGCTGAATCATGGCTAATTTCAGCTTGTTGTCAGAAAAATTTTGGGATGTGCAGCGCACCTATTATTAGCATATTCGGTAATTTGGAAATTTTTTGGACTCGTATTGGTATGTTGTGATTATGCAACATCAAGATTCTTATGTCAATAAGCCTATTGTAAATTCAGGAAATGGTTTATGGAAATAATGCTAACCTTGCCCTAAGTATGCAAAGCGTTCTGTAAGCCCTCAGTCACAGCGGCTGGGTACCTCGATGTCGAACAAAGGATTGCCGGTTACATATGTGGCATGAGAGCCTGGATGGTGGCTGATGGTGACTCATTATTATATTTAACCGTAAAATTTATTTGTGGAAAGTATGGACGCTTTTGAAATCTCAATACTAAACTATAACTGCAGTTGGCTTTAACATTTCTTCTGAAAATTAATCAAACTCCAGAATCATTCGGCATCAGAGGCCTCTGTATTATACATTACAAGAAACAGCCTCGGCTTCGCCTCCGCGTTTCTTGTGGTCCCCAGTCTACGGCCGGTTTATTCAAATGATTTCGATCAGCTGTTTAGTTAACATCTTATTCCTTCAGCAAAACAAAACGGTCCGAAATTAGCGCCAAAACGTAGATAGGATAATAAGTGAATTTACGGCTTTTGTGCACTCATTTACATTGACTTGACGCATTCCCATTGACTCAGAAAGGAATCTATGTTAACTTTTCCATCCCGACTCTGAGTCTACGAGGTAGAAATTTTCAACGTAAAGAACGCTTGCAGTAGATGCTAGTGGTAGTTCGGTCACTCGTTCACCTAGCGGGCCGTGTGGCGGGTGCTCTGGACAGCAGCGGTAATTCGGTCACTTGTTCACCTAGCGGGCTGTGTGCTCTGGACAGCAGCGGTGACCGAATAATATATCCGTTGTAATATAGATCTTTACCTTGATATTTAGCAGTAATTAACGCTTTGCAGTTCCTTCCCGGCTTTGCATAGGCACAGATTTACAGTGTAGTTAATGTGAATCGCAAAACACACTAAATTTTGTGTAGAGCAAAACGATTTTTAGTTTTCTGCCAAAACAGTCTGCCTGTGTAACATATACAGTACACATTTCAGAAATGCAAAGCATGCATTTGTATTTGTACATACACGCGAAAACTTTAGTTTCTGCTTATCAAAAAACAAAATCCTGATTGAAATTAACTTTATATATTTGAACACGATGTGCCACGAACTAACTATACTTTGCTAAGACATAATTATTTTCGCGTAATTTCCTACCTGCAACAGTAATAAAAGTTCCATAAATATGACATTCCACATGGTTGCAAGCGGACAGCAGGTAGTGTTAGACAAAGCGGCCACAAGTCATAGAGGAACTATTATTATCGTTAGCAGAACATCCGTTCGGAAACACATATCGTTTCGGCGATATAAATGAAAATAGTTGCTAGCCCGTTAAACGGCGGTGATATATTCAACGATAAACCTGCTACTTTCCTGCTGAGGCTATGCGAAAAGGAAATTGACTTTTGTTTTGCTACCATTGTTACAAAGCAACATCTCATCTACTGTGTGCCTGCCAAAATGAACATGAAGTAAAATCAAATCCAGTGGTCGGTTTTGTTACGTACAATATTTTGGTGATAAGTAAGCAGTAGGCCGCTTTCGCCGTGTCGGCGGTTTTCCTTTGTTCATGGAACAGCATGGCACAGAGCTGCAAGACGCAAATGTAGCCTGCCACTGCAACAACCACTGTCCGCGCCGCTGCAGTGGCTGAGCTGCTTATGGTGTTGTTGTTGGGTGAATGGGTTAACCGGAAATCACATACAAGATGATCAGCGGCAACTTCTGTGTGGTGGAGTGTTTGTCTATATTATGATGGCTTTGACATTCATTTTATTTTAATCGCCATATGCCAATTTGAACAATACTTGCCGGCTGTCAAAAGCAATCCTATGAATTGTACTTGCAACCTATCAACTTGGGGCTTGTTCTCTTCTTAATACTGGTTGTTGAGACTGTTTATTACACAGTGCTTTTGCAGTTTTTACTGGTTCTGGTAATTGAAAGGATCTTACAAAGCTTTAGATAACTCGTGATACTATAACGTCACAGCTGTACACTTAATCGTTACAATAAAAACAACATTTTGTTATGGGTATCTGCACTGAAGCTAGAAAATAACACTGGTGTGACGCGACAGACATCAGCATAAGGGGACGGAAATTAGCAAATACAGATCAATTTTCTCCGGACAAAAGCTCACTTATCTTCTGCTCGGTGTGCAAGCCTGCACTCATGCTGGAAACTGGAAATAATGGAATACTTAATATTGCTTATGCAAAATTTTTAAAAATCATTATGACATAACGCTAAGTTACGAACTATGTGGTTAATCATTATGTGAAGCATGTACGGACTTAGATATATTACAAGCCCAGCACGGATGAATAATGTCTTAGGATTTCGAGCATGTAGAAAGGTTAACTGCATGTGTATTGAATAAGGGCACGATGTTTATTACAATAAGGAGGCACGAACAAAATAAACAGGCGTGAGCAGAACCTGTTATTTTTGCTAATTCGCAGTTCGCTAATTTAAATGACAATTCGATATAATAACACAGTAACAATCTGGGGATTTGCAAGCAGCCCATGTTAAGCTAATGGCCACCATGGTAACAAGCTTTTAAGTGACCACTGGACTGTGGGTAGTGGGCTTTCCAGAAAATTGATGATGCAGGAACACTCTCGACACTGTGAGGATTCTGTAGCACTTTAGAGCGTCTAGATTGGATGGGTGGAACGGGAGAACATTCGAGACAACGACAAAGTGTCGAGGACCCTTGTTACTTAGTTAGTATTCATATAATATAAAAATATTGACCTGCAGGTAAGCTAAATTTCTAGTCCAATTTAATTTTGTTACTTTTGAAGTTGTGCAGAAAATTTAAATGCTGTCTTTGCTTCATTGTTACTGGACTATTTCACATGACATGTGAAATACCTGGAACACATTGTGTTCCAGGTATAAAGTAAATTTTTGCAGTGTGAAGCAATTACATCTGCAACGTGCTACTACACGTGTGTGTGCTTGTAGGCTGCAAACTCTGAACTTCATAAGCAACCCTGCTTTGATAATAGCCTCATTAACTGCTTTTAACGTAATGGTGCTGTATTGGTCTTTTAGCTCATTTCATTGGTAACTCACGTTACACTAACCCGCAATTCCTCACTTTCAACGCGAGTTACTAACCAAAACGGTATACACATGTAGTTGTGTTTATTTCCACCATAAAAGAGATCCGGACTACGAATTTTTTTGTCAGTCCTGAAAACTACCAGCGCAGCACGATGGAACTTCGTAAACGCTGTCTGCACCATTACTTGTGATCTCGTCGCACTTTTCATACCGTAAAGACAGAAATGGCACATTCTGACCCAGTCTACTTGTCTGCTTATGACGTTCTTCGGGAACTCTCCATTCCCCCCGCGCCCGATCATGATAGTGGGAGAAGGTTGAGCACTATAACTTCAGAGCAGCTGGCTGCATTCGATGAGCCACCGCGTAGTTTTATGCGAACCACCTTAGCCTTAGAACAGGTACTATCTGCAGTTGAATTGATCTGCCTAATTTCATATAATCCTAACCACGATATGCCTAGAACAGTTCCACAAAAGATTCCGTCGTTGGCAGTATCGACCGAGCATGGATGTACAAAAGCGGTCGAGACAAACTGTCGCATTTGTTGGACGCTCCGCCTTGCATTTGCGGCGCCACGGCCCGACTGCTCGTGAACAAATCCAGAAAAGGCACACTTGCTATTATCCACGACACGCATCGCCATATTGATCCCCAAGGATGGAGAAACGACTGGCAGGTAGGGACACTGCAGACCGAAGAAATCGAGCAAAAAATGAAGGTCAAAGTCCCTTCAGTGGAAGTGGAGGAAGACAGCTACACCGTACGTGTAACGGATCATCCCGAACATAAAAACACATTGCCGAATCTTCAACCAGCATCCGTACACCAAATGATGGCCTTGCTTAATAACGCCGAGCAGCTGGTAGCAGCATGGTCTTTTCGCGCTGCAGATGGTGGTGATGCGTTGTATGATGACGACGTCAATCAGCCAATCCATATCCTGCGTCTGTTGCAAATTGTACACGAAGAGCAAATGCTGTACAATGCCCTCTTTTACGAAGTTATCCGCCAGTGCACGGTACATTGCGCTGAACGAGGTCACATTCTTTCGGATCTGCGAAGATGGTATGCGGACTTATTTAGTCAGATTCCTTCATATCTAATAAGTATGAGTTGAACAAGCTGCACACAACCAAAACGTAGTCAGTGAAGTGATTTTGTGCCTATGTGCCTACTGCCTATGTTTTGATAGACATCCACAACGAAATGTTGGTTCAGCGTTCTATTGAGCGCCGGCTGGCGGAAGTGTTTATCGGTTACAAACAATGGTGGAACGCCACTATCTTTCAGTTTGAAAAGTTTAAGGATGTAAAACCAGTCATCCAACGGCTTCGCGAAATTACAGACGAAGCATCAACACCGGAGCGATTAATTTCCCTCGACGAGAGCGGACAGCTTTTTAGGCAGTATTCCAAACTCTTTGCTGCACAACGTGCCAGTTTAGAGCAGGATCAACAAGACATGCGGTTTGAGAAGCAGATCTGGCAAGACGTAACGTACCAGTTAGTAGGAGAACTGGTGCACGATCCACAGTACAGCTTGTTCAAGTCCATCCACACAGCCCAGACGCAGTGGCACACAGGCGCACAGCAAGCTTACCAGGCAATTTTGCTAAATGACCAAAGAGCAATTTTGGAACTACGAGAGTTAACAAAACGCTGGTTGGGAAGTCTGGGTCATCTAGAATCGCGGTTACTCGATTACGACAAAGAGATGGTAAAAATTCTTGAAGATGTAGGAGACGAACTGCAAATGTGCCTCGATCTATTTCTGGCGCGAGAGTCATTGTATGACGAAGAGCTAATTGGTAATGTGCGAGGGTACTTTAAAAAGTGGAACCTTGGGCTGAATGGGATTCTGAATAAGTTCAAAGCAGACGAATCGGAACGCAACCTAAAATTTCTTCAGCAAATTCATTCCGATTTTGAAACTTTGGTATGCCGTAACATGTAAACTACCGCAGGCATAATTAGATTTTTCACTTATATAAATCTTGAATATACTTGACCGCAACTTTTTGTATTAATGGACGTAATATCAAGCTGTTTTCTACCTAGGTACATCGTGCTCTTTCTCTACTCGTCACACAATATCAAAGGGAACAGGACCGAGGCGCGAATTTGAGTCGAGTGCGCCACGAAACCGAGAGCGTCCGCATATTGAATGCTACTAAACCGGATTATTTTGCAAAGCATACGTCCATCGAGGATAACCATTTCCATAGGCTTTCGGCAGCTGGGCTAGCAGATTTTGCTCAGAATAGTCCCTTGACCGATCCCGAAAACTTCCCACTAGAATTAAACGACGAAGAATTTGCGACGTCCGTTGCGTTATTTGGGAAATCTGCAAGGTTTCAGGATGTTGCGAAATTAAAGCTATTGAGAGATTCTCAACTTTATGCCGGCACGTACACGATATGGAAAATGTACGAAGCGGTTCGGCTGATTGCTGAAAACAAAATTATTGGTGGAACGGGGATCCCATTAGAGGTTACTCAAATGGAAGAACGATTTGAGCACCTCCGAACCCTTACGGCAAACGAAACGTACTTTATCGGTCTGCATTTTTTTTTATTTTCCTCTGTTATTATAAAAATGTTCTGTGTGCTGCTTTTGGTAGGCGCTGAACCAGGGAGATTCCACAGCGCCGCTTATGCTTTACTGCATCAGCTGAAAGACTTGGCCAGTCGAATTAGAGATCCCGCTTATGTATTGGCCAAACAAGCTAAATATGCTACCACTACCATTCGGCGGTTTATAAATAATGCTCGGACTTGGTTCTTATTTTGCGAAGGCGGCATGGAAGCACGAATCCAAAATATCTTGCACGATATCGAATTTATATCAGAAAATATGCTGCGACTGGAACTGAAGTTGATGACCGCACTTGTTCCTGATAAAGGTTTTGAGGAAGAGCGGTATCAGCATCTGTACAAGAAGCAAACTGAGAAGACGATCACCGATCGCTTGGAGCAAGCAGTATTGCAGTATACCGCTGTCAGCCGAGAAGCCGGTAATCTGTCACGAATGTTAGACGAGCAGACTGCCAATGTTAAGCTCGGTCCGACTACCGGTACTGCGCCGCAAAAGGTTATCCCTTGGTGTGAAAATTGGAACGGGATAGTTTTGACCTTAATAGACCATGCTTACCGCCGCAACAAAGTTCACAGGAGCGATATATCAGCTTTGCCATTAATAAAGTACCTGCAGAAACTTCGAAGTATGGAAGAGAAAAATGAGAAATGTTTCAACGTTGACGACCTTTATCTGCTGATCGAAAACAACGAAAACAAGAGGGATTTTGTGGAGCTGCGACTGCAAGGGGACGAGGTCAACTTATATGTTAAACCGTTTTGCTTGTTTATGAACGAAAGAAGCGCAAACGACACAGACGAAAATTGTGTCAAAAAGCATCTATCAAAACTGACCACTGATTTGAAAAAGCAACAAATAATAAATGGACAAATTGAAAAACGGGTTCAGGATCTGCATTTGGCCATTCTAGAAGCGAAGCGATCCTTTGATAAAAACAAAACATTAGCGTACTACTTGGGCATCGACAAGCCTTTGAAAGAGACAGTTGCACCTCAGTTTACTGATGTCGCTATCGACGAAATGGAAGCTCTTCTAAAGACAACGCCACCGGACGCTTTGAAACAACAGGCCGAAACGGACGTTTTGGCATTACGAACTTTACCCAGCTGGGAAAAGCTGACCTGTGAGAGAGGGGAAAGCGCTGTGGATGGACCAAAACGCCCATTTGATTTCGAAAGCAGGATGATTAAACTTAAAAATGATCTGAAGGAATCTGAAGAGAAACTGCAGAACAAGCGATTTTTAATAACTCCGTTTATTCGAAACCATGACGAGCAAAAGCAGGTCTTGCATAAAAAAAGAGCAGAGCGGGAGGCGAGTAAAGTAAAACGGCGACAGCTTGGTAGAAACTCAAGATCGAGGAGGCGATCCAGAAGCAGCAGTGTGCACAATCAAGGATAAGCTGCTTGTTATTTGTTGCTTGCTGCTTTTTTGTCCGTGCGGCCGGCTGCCTGTTATTTGTATCCTTAAATTTTTAAGGGACGTACAGTTTTACTTGGTGAAAGAAACTAAATAAAGATGCAAGTGTATGTAATTTTGAATCCGAAGCTCATATTGTATTGAATGTGCAGTGCAGCCAAAAACATGCATATCGCTGTTGTTGTTGAATAGATATGCATCGCAGTCCTAACAAGGACAATTACCGTATCAGAAACAAATTTGCAACGCCACCGGACGCCACCGGTATCCAGAGTGTACCAACGCGAGTGAAATAGCAAACTGAGCAAGTCGCGTATTGTTTCTGTGGTTACTTGTTTCGAAATTTCAGTTAATTTTGCTCGACAAAATTACGAATAAAATACTGAAACTGTAAGCTACCTTTGTGAGTTACTGCTGTTCTAAATTTAACTTGGGGGAAGCTATCGAAGTTCAGAATGGCTGAAGTACCAGCGCCAGTTCAAAACACTGATGAACAAGGGGGCAAGTCTGAACCAAGCACAGAAAAAACCGGAAGCGATGCTCCACCTTCTGAACCAGATTCAACAGCAAATCCCAAAGTAGAAGAAACTGCAACCCCCACAACCGAGCAGGATAGGAATACCGTGTCTACGGAACCGCCGCCTGCGGAAAACTCACAGCCAGCAACGCCTACTGAAGTAACTGACACCAATCAAGAACCTAAACATGACAGCCCTCAAACCACCCCGGAAGGTCAAACAGCAACTAACGAAATCAAGCAAGAGCCCGAAGATGTTTCCAAGCCTGTTGGCCAAATAGTTGATGGCGAGACTGCTGAACCGGTTCAAGAAGGGTCAGAACCGCAAACACAGCCGTCAGAGGTGGACAATGAAGTTAAACCAGCAGTATCTAGCATTTCTGGAGACTCCGATCCATCAGGTGCTCCAAAGCAAGGCGAAGAAGCCACACCGATTAAAGTGGAAAAGCAACCTGCCATTGGTCAGCTGCAACTGAAGGAACTTTTGAGCGGGACATCCATACAGATCGTCGAACACGCTCAAAAGTTAGCAGAAGCCCCTCTGATTGGTACAATCAAGGAAGAGCCTCCTGTTTCGGTGCCCTCTCATGCAGCTCCGCAGATTCCGAATATTGTCGTTGGTAGCGATATCCAGTCTAGCGCCCCGGTTCTGACGGCGGAGGACCAGTACCCCGGTCCCGACCACGATGACCTTCCGTTCGTTCATAGACATCCGTCATTCCCTAATACCATCGCAGCAAGTGAAGATGAATCCCAAGACACTGAACCGTATGACGTCTACACTGTGCCGGAAGGAGCGGAAAAAGTAGACGAATGTCCCACTATTCTGAAGAGATATGTACAGTTGTATAATGACGACAAGCAGCCCGTTGCTCGCTACTTTAAGCTTGAAGATGAAGACAGGCTAAATGAAGCGGTAAGTGAGTCTGTGCACCAGTGGCGCTTGATAAACTGTACTTAGTAAGCGTTAACGGTTTCGTAATCAGGCTGGGTGGGATATTCAAGCGTCTTATCAATCAAAGCCCACGTGTTTTATACGCTCATCCGTATTGGAGAAGGTTCTTAGGGGCGTTTTAGAATTTCGTTTATCTCGGTATGTCGCGGAGGGCCTAGATCCAAAGAGGACTAAACAGCTGTTGCCAATACTTAGTGAAGATGTGGCAACCACACTTGCGCAATGTCGATTTTACAGGTAGGAAATAATTTCTGCTAAAGCTAGAGCATGATACTCTTTTATGATTTTACTTGATTTAATGTTAATTTTGTGCGAGTATTAAGATTACAACATCGTTTTCCAGCTACAAGTACAGCTACTTCGTGTCAATTATTCCAAAAAATCGTCAGGATGTCGTTATTTCCACCAGACAAATCTGGGATCGAACTACGGACAGACGAGTTATCGCAAAAATGGACAACCGGAAATTTCATGCATCAGTGATAGTACACTTCATGTTTCATCCGTAGGGAATGATGTCTCCTTTGCCCGGTTAAGGTGAGAAAAGTTCATGTACAGAGTACCAATACATATATTATTGCATCTACATACTGTACTTGAACGAATCATTGTTTTTCGTGCTTTGCTAGCAGCTAGCATTTTTTCTTCTTCAGCGGCTATCCGTTGTGTAGCAACGCTTTGTCACACTCCAACATCTTCATACAAACATCTTAAATCTGTCTTACACTGTATGTTGATGCAACAACAACATTGTCATACCTGGCAAGTGTAGCATCTCAGAATTTGGATATCTCTTGAGGAACCACAGACCATTCACCATGAGCGTACTGGATGATATAAAATATTCGGGACTAACCAAGAGACGCATTTCTGACCCCCATGAAGGACTACTTACGGCCGCCATCCGCAAAGTGCACACGCCTGGCCAGCCTACTGTGGAGCCTGGGTCGTTCCGATTTAAGCGCTTTATTGCAGTTCTACAAATTACCGTGGCAGTTTGGTGCATCTTATACTTAACCATATGTAAGTGCGTATACGTAGCATCGGTTTCCATCACGGTGTCAGCTGCTCTAATGACTGACAATCTTCTATATGTCATTAGATAGGATCATCCTGTTCACGGGTCTCGTGAAGCCTATTCCGTTAGTGTCAGGACTTGCACGAACGAGTTTTATCTTGTCCATGATCGCCACGGGAGTCACAGGCTATCTAGGAATTCGTGCGGCGTCAGTTAAGGCGGAATTGTACCATCCCACAATGATCCGGTTTTTCAATCTATTAGCATCATGCCTTTCCGGATTTTTAAACATCCTTAGCTGCATCACGCTGTCACTGGCGCTGCATCAAAGTGATATTTTGATTCTTTATTTCCCTGTACAAGCTGTGGAAGTGCCACATTATGGGTTCTTATTAGCATTCTCGTTACTGTGCGCTATTATCAATCTGGGAGTAGCTTACCGGTTTTCGTATAAACTATATACTCGCATTTTAGAAGAGAACGAAAGCAGGCCGAAAAGACACAGTATCGTTTCGAGATGAATTATCCATGATGTTGGTGTTAGTAATAATTAACCTGAAAATACTGGTAATCCTTTCCTGCGCGATAGATCAAATTTATTTTAATACCATTAATCGAACTTTTTCAGCTAACGCACTGTGCAAAGACAAACACAGATAAAGCAGCCGAAAAATCCAGATAAAGTAACTGCTCTCCAAAGGTCACTGCAAAACATGTTTTTCTCGATACAATTTTTGAGCGACATTTGCATTTACAAGATTTTTCCACGGCGGTGTAGCAAAATAAAAGGTTGGGACGCTGAATGCAGAAATTTCCTTAGGGAAAAATTTCTTTCTTATTTCTTCCTGAGATGCACGTGAAGCCATAATCCGGGCTATCGACACCATATTCTGTGCTGAACCAGCCGCTAATCTTCCGCAAAAGTCTTCCAGGACCGTAGCTGCACCATTACCAAAATGCGTCGGGCCGTTCGTGTACTCTTTACGCGCTTCCCAGTTGGCCTGACCGGATGACCTTTTACTTAGCCATTCCTGCACATCGGTTAATCGAGTATCATCCAATGATGTGCGCAGCCAGTTGGTTCTGGCAGTGCGTTCTTCGAGAATGCGCTTACTGTTATCGGCCATATTTTTGTACATATTTTCTTTTTCTTTAGCTTTTTCCTGTAACATTGCCGGATCAAAATCAGTCGTAACGTCCTTGGCTGCAAAGTAGCCCGCTTTCGCTGGATCCTGATCGAATAATGTGAAAGTCTGTGCAGGCGGTGCCGGAGGAGCGGCAATATGTTTCTTGACTCGATTATTCCATTTCCTGATATACTGTTGGAAAGAGGTTTGCTTCGCATGGCCACCGTCACGTGGTGGATCGGCTAACGAAAAGTCTTTTAGCGATGTCAACAAATCCGTTCGCAACTCGTTTCTGTCGGTCTCCAGCAGCTGGCGTTTGATGGCGTCTTTTTGGTGCATACAGTGGCGGAAAACGCTTTCAAAGGGATTTCCGTTCATTCCATCAGCTGCTGTGGGCTGAAAACTACCTTGCAGGTCCTGTAGCGGTTTAGATTGAGGTTTTTTAATTATTTGGGAATCAGTCAGATTATCGTTAGAGCGCTTTCGCTTCCCGATACCCATCACAGACAGTGGTTTGGTGGGCTTCCAAGCTGATACGATACTCAACGGGTTTCCCGGTGGTTCTTTCTCAGAAGGGCGGTTTTTGTACGGCCAGTTGCGTGACGTATCTGACACCGACTGCACATTCCTTAATCGCCGTTGAGTCTCCCCTGTGGACATGGCACTGGTTGTGTGCAACTTGCTGGCGGTTGTGACCCTGTGATTGATAATTTCCACAGCGTTATCCAAAGCACTAGAAAGTTCCCGGTCTTTTAACGCGGAAACGCTTGCTCGAGAATTGGGGAATAACTGGTGGCGAGCGCTTTTTAGCAGTCGATTAATGTGCGCTTCAACGAGCCGGTTACGCTTAGCGCTAGCTTCCAGTCTCAGCGCACGTTGATCCGTCCATCGCATCCAGTGCAAATAGTCGGAAAGAAACTGCTGAACGAACTGTTGATTCTTCAGCTGTTTTTCGGTGACAGCAGGCCAGGGCTCAGATTCATGTAGCTGGCATTCTCCATCATCCTTTGAATGTATTCCTGCCAGCTTCGTAAGGAACTGCAGTTCTTCTTTTGTGCGAGGCCGTAGATAAAGCGCACTGGAATTCTCGACGGCTTCTGCCAAAAACTGATGCTCAAATCGATGCGCGAGATTTCGTCTACGTAACGGAATAATCCCGCTAACTAATAGTTTAAAACAACAGCTGTTTAAGATGACGAGAACAACTTACCGACGAGGACTTCGAAAGCGTATCTTCCGGCCAATAACGCCCAGTAAGGGAGCGCACTTTCTCCGCGATTGCGACATTATTAACACCGGATGTCGCTTTAGCTTTGAGAGGGAACTAGACTTCTGAGATTTAGGCTGTCTTAGAGTAAACAAAGAACGGCTGATTCAGCAACCAATGGACATATAACTTTGGACAAGAAGAAATCTGAACATCCGCGCGCTACAGAGCAAATGAACGATTTACATGTAAATTGAATTTGTGCTCTGAGGCAGGCGCATTCATTGTGTTGGTCTCTTTTGTATTATTAATTTTATATTTTTGATTTAAATCTACTAACAATTACACAAAAAAGTTACAATTTGCTGCAGTTTCTTGTAACAATATGTTGAATAAGTCCTCGAAAATAAGAGCTTGTTGTTTAAGTCTGATTGGCTGGTTGGTGCCTGATCGTAAGTTAAGTTTGCACTTTACGTTAGCTTATTTTGCCGTTGTTAAGGGGCTACAGCTTACGGGCAAAACATCGTTTCGCTTCGCAGCAGAAATAAGCCAGCCCATGATGCTACATGGTGGTACAAGTTTGTCCGGTAATTTCTGCCGGTTCAATACAGCGAAATACACAAATTTGCGTGTTACGCCAAACGTAGTGTAGTGGCAATCGCTATAGCGCAAACTTCGCGCTAAATGTGTGCTATCTGTACCTTTACGACAGGAATTACCGGACAAGCTTGTACGTAGCCGTGCTTGATTAATTAGCCGTACCACTTGATAAACGCCGTACGATGGGTTAAACGCCTCCCGTGGTGGCTGCCCATTACACAGAGCCTCCGTAGAGATTTAACATTGTGCTATGCAGAGTTGCGCTGCAGTCTGCAATAGTTTCTCTGCTAGTAACACTGCAGTTCTTTACTCTTTTGTGTTCAATTTTAAATTATGAAATTGATTTCAATTACACTAAAATAAATTTTTACTAAGTACGATGGAGAATTGTGTGTTCGATATAAGTATAATCCTTTTCTGTTTCGTTTGTAAAGCTGTACAGCGCCTGTGTGTCGCTATGGACTATCGATGTACAGTACTGTAGCGTGTAGCCTCAGCTACGGTCTATCCATGGCGAACTTGTGAGCAGATTTTGCTGACTTTACTTACTGTCTTTACATTCGGAACCCGGAATGCCAAATCATCCAGCAACAGAACAGCAGATCGTCCAGGAACAGTACACCAATCTATTAAGAGAGGGAACTTCCGGAGTGGGGCAAAAATTCAGCAAGTCACCACAGTACAGGCTACACTGCAAAAAGAGCAATCCTACTATGCTACTCGAGTAGTATTTTGCCCCACTCCAGAAGTTCCCTCTCTTAATAGCTTGGTGTACTGTTCCTGGATGATCCTGGTTCCTAGTAAAGTCAGCAAAATCTGCTCACAAGTTCGCCATGGATAGACCGTGGCTGAGGCTACACGCTACAGTACTGTACATCGATAGTCCATAGCGACACACAGGCGCTGTACAGCTTTACAAACGAAACAGAAAAGGATTATACTTATATCGAACACACAATTCTCCATCGTACTTAGTAAAAATTTATTTTAGTGTAATTGAAATCAATTTCATAATTTAAAATTGAACACAAAAGAGTAAAGAACTGCAGTGTTACTAGCAGAGAAACTATTGCAGACTGCAGCGCAACTCTGCATAGCACAATGTTAAATCTCTACGGAGGCTCTGTGTAATGGGCAGCCACCACGGGAGGCGTTTAACCCATCGTACGGCGTTTATCAAGTGGTACGGCTAATTTTAACAGCATCGATTCCCTTTGTACAAGGTAAACTGGCATCGCTTTAAAAATTGTTCGAACAGGAATTCGAACTTTCAATTCTACACACTGGGTTCTCCGAATTGAATTAAGTCTCGGCCCGATTCTGGCTCCATTAAGTTCTGCTGTGTTTCACGCCATTTCCAGAGCAGTGACTGCAAGCAGGGTTGACATGTCGGATGAACGGCCATCTATAAATGGCGAGCGACGACTATCTATTCCGAAGCACCTAGGGTATACCCGTGCGCATTGGACGGTTCGCTGGTGGCGAATCATTGCGTGGATTCAGTTAACCGTAGCTGCATTGTGTATGGCTTTGGAAGTAATAAGTAGGTACAGAGCAGACTTGGGCCGCCTTTTTGCGGAGCGGGAAAATTCTCCGCCATTCCTGCCCCTCCCCGCTTTTTTGGAGGGCGGGAACGGGCGGAAGTTTTGAGTTTGGAGGGACGGGGCGGGGAGGAAAAAGTGTGAGCGGGCGGGAGCGGGATTATTATAAAAGCGGGCGGAGATCAAGCGTAGAATAAAATTTGAGATCATGTACTGAAATATTCTTACTGTTTTTTTATAGAATTTCTAACGGTTTTTGCAGCGAAATTGGTTGTTGGCTTCGCGCGAAAATTGGCAACTGGTGTGGTCTTTGAGCAGACATTTCTGAAGAAGAACCAACGGAAAAAAATTAAAAAATGAAAAGCACTGAAAAAATTTGTCCCATTTTTGGCGGGCGGGTGGCGTGAAATTAAAATGTGGCGGGCGGAGGTGGGAAATTTTTCTGTTACGGCGGGGCGGAGCGGGGCGGAAAATTTTTAGTAAGAGCGGGGCGGGCGGAAAGCGGAGATGTCGTTGGCGGCCCAAGTCTGGTACAGAGTAGGTGCCCAACAAGACTCCTACTGAAAAAAACTTAGGCTTTATTGCGTCTTTGTTTCCCTATTACATTTTATGCTGAAGGTGCAGGCCAGCTGTGCTAAAATATATACGAAGATTTACGGTTGCGAATATACGATAAAATGGGTGGAATTGGGAGGGGAGACGATCGCGCGACTTGTACATTTCATTAAACCTCGCGCGTGCAAGTACATTCACATAATGATGCATTCGAAAACTGATTTCATCATATCCATCGCTATTTTGCTACCGTAGTTTGAAACACAACTTCTGTAAAAAAGTGGCACGATAACACTCCACAGCAGCTTGGTTGACCTTTAAACAGCGCCGCTCTATCGCTCCTTTGATACTAAGTATTATAAATTTATGACGTATGGCTGTAACTGCTCCATAAAAACATTAATTGTTGTGCTGTAGGTGATGCACACACTCCACACGAGGTGACGTGGGACGGTCAGACGCCCTATCAGCCAGTCCAGCTGGTCTTCGTTTATAAAGACGCCTATGCGGCGTATTGGAGCAATGCCGTTGTTCTCGGAACTGGTGTCATGGGTCTCGTTCTGTATTACGGACGCGATTTGCTCAGGCGGGAAACCGAAGCCTTGCTGAAAAACATCTACGCACGTCTGTGCGTTGTTGCGTGCATATTCTCCGTAGTGGCAACTGTATTTACCGTAAGACGATGGCAAACTGTTTCCAAAACCTACTTAGAGAATAATGCAAGCGATTTGGAAATACCGTTTATCATGTCCATAGTAGCCTGCTTCCTGCATGTTCTGCCTGGGTCAGCTGGTTTGTTTGCTCCTATTTTGACCCTGATGTCCGTGACGTACAAACATTACCATCCACCCGCGGTGTCGAACACGGGAAAACTTTGCAACAGTAAGTTTAGCTCTGCACACCAGATTTTTCATACTACGGTATTAACCACCGACGAAGAAATCGTAAAAATTACAACCCAGAAACACTTCTGTAAAAAATTCCGTTATGTTATGATTGTGAAAGTATCTTTACAGATAGCGTACGAAGACTGCAGTACATTAATTAAGTCTTATGGTACTGCAGAAAAGATCGTCCTTGAGCAAGGCAAATTTCGTGATATCCACAATGACCACGGTATACAGTGGACACTAACGAAGCCCGTTGACAACGACAATGCCAACGTCAACATGCAAAATCCTCATCTTTTGGAAAATTTTCAACTTGTCTATCGACACCACAAGGAATCTGCTAATTCTCGTTGGCGCTCCCAGCTTCGCAAACTGCTTCGTCGTGCACGCGATCCTAACGCCATCAGCCGCATCACTATGCAGTCGTCCCGTTTGACCGGTGCATCGCTGCCTGCTCACCCGTCGACTTTTGACACTGTCCGCCACGACGAATCAGGATGTGTTGTTGAAGAGACTTACTCCGAGATGACATCTCAGTACACTGAAGTTTCAGGGCAGCCATCGTCCGGCCTGACCATGCCCGACAGCGCATCGGATGTGATTAGAGAACTGATTAGTGAAAACATGAAGCACCCAGACACGGATACTATCGAGCATAAGAACGAGGAAAATCTCAATCATTAATTTGGATTAATTAGCATTTCCATTCTGTTCCAAGGGGTGCTAATTGCTTGTGAAGAATAAACAAACATTATGGCTGCGTGCACGGGTAAACACGGGCATTGTTGGCTGAGTGCACGGGCGTCCTTTTGGTTCCGCACGGGTGTTGACTGCGGGCGCTAATAGTGCGGGTGCTCTCGTGTAAATGTACAGTGCTACATAATTATAGGAACAGTTACTAAAGAGCTCAATTCCGTTGTGAACTGTGGTGCTGATGACGGAAATCTCCATAAGCAGTTTAGAAAGATGACTATTTTGGGTCGGAATGCACTTTGCTCTAGTAGTTCCATCACTAACTGGAGATAACGCCCAATAGAATACGCACTTCCTAGTACTTACTTCGACTGTTCTCGTTAAATTATCTGGCGTGCACCAAGCCACCAGTCAGCCAAACTCATTTTATTGTGTTTAAGCAGTTTGGCGTGGCGCTCCGTAGTGTGGAGTAACACGTTGGCGTTACCTGTAAATTTGTATATTTCGCTGTATTGATTCGTCAATATTCAGAAATTACCGGACAGGCTGGTACAGCGTGGAGTTTTCGTACACTTAACCATATTTACAATGTTCAGAGTGTTCGAATTACTGATGGTATTGGCAATTGTGCTTTCTGTAATGTGTCGTTTCAACATATTGCCTGCGGTACAATCGTCCGGACTAAGGTCACATGTAAGTGCAATGAAAGAGGATATTGTAGAATGGTGCAACTGGAAGTGAGGAAGCCACTTACCTACAGCCAGAACTTAATGCTAATGTGAATGAGCTGGGGCCTGGAGTCATTACTTATTAGCATGTCTCACATTTTTCTGTCCGAGTTATGGAGGTAACGAGCGTCTTACAGAAAGTTAGAATACGAAAAGGGGCCTTAGAAGGCTACAAACGCAAGAGTTTGCGCAATCTAACAATTCGCAGCAATATGGGAAGCGTATGGGCTTTAACATTTTTCCACGTAGTCCTATTTTTGTTTCGCTTGGAAAAATGTAGCAGATTTTTTACGGTCACCTTATTTTTTTAATAAGGTCACACAAGGTCCGAAATAGTGTCCCCTTTGTCCACCATAGCAGCAAAAGTGTTTGTTTTACAAAATTTAATTAGGAGAAAAAAATTAATTAATGGGGGTTTCGCTCATGCACATGCCACTCGTATTGCATCTTCAATAACAGTCGCCAAAACACGTGAATGCGGCAGAAAACGCTGTACACTGCAGAACCTACGCAGCGCGGCTAACAGCTTGCCGAGAAATTTGCTATTATAAAAAGTCAGTAGTACAAAGGATAAAACAAACAGGATGGTTAGCAAATAGTAACGTATTACGGGAGAAAGCACTTAGTAGTTATCGAGTATCCATTAGTGGGTACGTCGATGATAGCCACTAACCAGTTTCACTCGGAAAACCTACGCTGCCTGATACGCTCGGTTTCTTTATTAGCAGCTTGTTTTCTGATTGAAAGTAAAGGAAAGAAACGTATTTTTTCTTTTTTATGTTTCTTTGCTTTTTCAGTAGACGACATTATCGACTCTGCCATGAAAAACCGGATAATCGACAAAATTACTCTGAAATTCCCGCAACAGCGAACAATACACCCGAGGAGTGAACCCGTGGTACGGAGGCAGGGGCTTGGAAATTCAATTGAATTTACATGCGAAGCCTCTGAAAATACATCTGAAATGTCAGTCCAAACTATATCTTGGTTGCATCAGGGTTCAAGGGTGTTTGCGCATGGTCGACCGTCGCTGCCAAATGAAACGAAACAGCTTTATCAGTTTACGCAACTCAAATCAGTGTTCATCATGAAGATTCTGAACATTTCCCTCCTGTCAAGCGGTGAAGTCATATGCACGGAGTTATTAGATAGAGGGGAGATGATGATTAAACAATATCTGCTTTTGCCTGAAGTGTCTCGCGCTAGCGATATCTTTGCCGATCGAATGCCGGCTTATAAAGTCAGCGAAGGAAACAGCGTCATTTTCTCTTGCAACATTCGTTTGCCGGTTTCGGAGCACATCCTTCAAAATATTGATAATAAGCTGATCTGGCGTCATAACGGGAAACTTCTTTGCATTCCGAAACAAGAACCCTACACCTCGTTTTCACCTCATGATTTCGAGGGTATTGTTCCCATTCCAGATCCAGTAGGTTCCCAAAATTTTACAGTTCGTCCCTATTACTCATTTCGCTTAAAATTTCGCAATACCATAAAAACTGATGCCGGAAAATTGGAATGTTTTTTTAGGCCTTATGAGGAGATTCATGACTGGATAGTGCAGTCTACCAGTATAATTATTACTGATGATTGGTAAATATTACCATGATTATACAAATGATAACATTTGCTGTATGTACTGATAACAAGCAAATCAGACATTCCTTGTAAACAATCTTTCCGAGCTTTGAAAAAATGTGCTTCTGTCAGTTCTGTGGTGGTACCGTTGCTATGTAAAGTAGAGAAACTTCGCAAAATAAGTATGAGTGCGCGTAGCACAGACACGTTAGTGGCCCAATGGCCACCACGATAGTGCACAGCTTGCACGTGAGTCCGCATGATGAAGATGTTCCGGATACGCAGATCTAGATGCTGGAAAAGTTACAGTCCTTTTACGGCAGGATAAAAGACGCCTTCTTTATACAAAAATACATACAGTACTCGTATCGCAGTTCGCTTGCTGGGATGCTGTTATACGCACTACGAAAACTGAAATTGATAATGACCAGCTTGTGAATTAGCTAAGGGGCCATCAGGCGAGCCGATGGTATGTGAGGCGTAGCGCGCTTGTCATTTCGATAGAACACAACATATCGCGGGGCGCGGGCCAGATGGACTTGCCGGCCAGTGCAGTAATACGAAAGTACATACAAGGTAGCCTCGCGCATCCGCGCTCGGCACTTAAGTACTGGATAGTATTGGCTTTGTTTTGCAAAGGTCATTATAAATATATAAAGGCTGACGTTCGGAATTTCTGACGTTCTGACAATTTTAATTTTTCACGTTCTGAATTTCTGATGTTCTGACGTTCAACGTTCTAACGTTTTGACGTTTTTACGTTCTAACGTTCTTACTTTATGACGTTTTGACGATCTGAAGTTCTGACGTTCTAACGTTCTGATGTTCTTACTTTATGACGTTCTGACGTTCTAACGTTCTGACGTTCTGACGTTCTGACGTTCTAACGTTCTAATGTTCTGACGTTCCGATGTTCTTACTTTATGACGTTCTGACGGTGTTACGTTCTGACGTTCATACGTTTTGAATTTTTGACGTTTTGACGCTCTGAAATACGTATGGACTTTTGCATGACGTAATAATATATAATTTTACCTAAAGAGCAAGTATTTATGCATCCGCTGTAGTCTCCGTGGTTACAGTCATTATGTTTTAAAGCACTTTTTATTGCTGTGCAGTGAATACTTCTTCGAGTGCTCTTTACGTTTCCTATACTTAAGACCTGATGAAACCATCTTTTGACCACTGGTTAATAAAAACAAACAAAAATCTATTGGCACACCTATGGAAAATATGGAAAATTTCAAGACCAAGCTGGACTTAAACTGACCACGCGTTGACGAGTCTATAAAAACGGCGCATAAATACGCTTTGGTCGGTAAGCTTGTATGAATATATATATATATAAAGATACATACGATATTCGTCTCACAACTGAGGTTGAACTAGATTAAAATGTTTTGAACTATAAGCGTTGTTTAAATGATTGGTTCATATAATTATGAAATAAGCTGTGTGCAAGAATGCACGGAAAGTTATTTTCCAGTTGAAGGCCTAGTAACTCCAGCTACTAGGAAGCAGGAAGATCTGCAGGAAGATGTCGGTGGTTACTCGAAATGATAATATAGATATTCTGGAATTACCATACAACTATACACGTAAGTCAGGCAAAAAAGTTGTTTCTCCGCCTTTGAGATCCAAGAAAAATTTTTGTTGTGAAATACCTGTATGCCATAAATACTAGAGAGATAACAACAACACCATAAAAAGTATTAATTTTGGAAATGGGTAATTTTTAAAAACTGCATACTTCCATAGTGCATGCAGATATGGCATACATCCAGGATAAATTTTCTTCAATTAGTTAAATTTGTTTAAAGCAGGATGGAAGTGGTTTGCCTAGCAGATGAATTATAAAATACATCTTTGACATAATCCGACATATTACAAGCTGAGCACGGATGAATATTGGCTTACGACGATTTTAAAAACTTTGTATTTCATGTGAAGTATATTGTTTAGCATGTGATTCAGTTTTTCGAAAAGTTAGAATGGCAAAGCCAGCCAGACAACTACTCAGGATGGTTGTTCGCGACGAGCGTACTGCGTTGTTGACCTTTTACATCTAGAGCTTGTTTTGTTTTTTGCTCGCCGGCTAGGTTTCTGTTCATTCTATTGAAACTGCCAAATTATTAAGCTACTCTAGCAAATGCAGCGGCCGGGGTGATCACCCAGCTCGTGGGACACAAGAAACGCAGAGGCGAAGCCAACGCTTTTCTTGTTGTTTGAGCGCAGTATAATGTGCCCCTGGCGACAGACCAGCCATGTTGGCCCTATGGCATCCATGGTAACAAGCTTTTGAGTGACCACTGGGCTTAGTATTTTGGAATTTGCGATAAGCAAGCGGCCAGTACCCATGCTATAGATACCATGACTCGGAGGCACTGCGTCATGCGTCTGAAAGGGATGCTTGCCTCTTTCGCCTTGCGAAAAACTGTACGTGCGATGGACCGGCCACGGGCAGATACAGGGCAGACCAAATTTTCCCTTCTCCTGTGATTCATCCATCGTTTTACCTCTCGCATGTGCCTGTGCACTTGCGGCCTAGCGATTGTCACTTTTGGTAGTCGGGCCCGTCTCTCTGTGACCATAAGTCCATGACCGTTCCTAGTAAGCACAGTCTTAATTGCTTTTTAATTACTTTCTATGACTTGTGCTCGCGATTTTCGGGCATGTGTACTAGTCCGGTTGCTTATCGCAAATCAGATATTGTGAAGATAGCAAACAATGACTGGCCTCAGCTCACCCGCCAGACCGCGAGGTTTTTAGAACACTTTAAAGCAGTAAAATTGGATGGATAGAAGAAGCTGAGATTTCCGCGGTCTAACGGGAGAGGCCAAAAACCTGCAAGAGAAGTTTAGTATTCATATAACCAATTCTTATAAAATACAGGGGTGCTACGCCAAGTTGGGCACTTTTGTAAAACACCTGCCAAAAATTTCTGTACGCTGTTTCGTTTTTGTATTTGGACTTTTCCCATGCCACTTTTTACTGCGAATCCAGAAAAACTAAAACCGGCGCCATTTGAGCTGTCAGTAGCGGGCCGAGCGTTGATTTAGGGGAAGAGGTAGCAGTCCTTTTTGGGCTGTTTACATCTGCCCTTCTAACAAATTCACCAATCGATATTTTTGCGCGAACTTTTCTGTAAACTGTTGAGTGACCCAAAAGATATTTGTCACGGGCCAGGACAAAAATCTTTCGCGTTCAGTGGTTGACTTAGCGCTGCAACAAGGGGTATGTCCCATAGACTTGTATGTTAAAACTGGCCTACCGAAAATTGTGGTTGCCTAGCGCATAAATTGAGAGAACCGAAAACTAATAATTTTCATGAATAAATTATAGGTCCTGTTAGTTGATTTTATTATGCCGCGAAATACTTGCCTCACAGGCGGGAAGATGGGAGCGCCAGAAGAGCGGAAAAGAAAATCAACAAAGCAGTAGCAACAGAAAGTCATGGTGGCTGTTGATGTTTGTTATGGCCGAGTGTTTTCGGCTTCCTATATGGATTGTAAACGTGAAGCTGACGCTTAGTGCTTTGGGAACGAGATTTCATCAGAAACGACTTTCTCTGGCATTCTGCGGCTGCACGGCAAGCTCGCAAATAAGGTCATCACTTCACATTGATAGTGCTTGCGGAATCACTGCAAAGGTTAGCTTGACTGAAATCGACCGTTGTCAAGCACCTCCTACCAGAGAACTGGGTGATAAACAACTGTGGTTTATCACCTTAGGACTACGACCTCAACAGAATTTTTAAAAAATTAATGGGGGTGGGGAAAGCTGGCACTCCATACGGGTTTAGCGGTATTTTTTAGCTGGTCTACTTTAGTTTTCCCCTCACTGCGAGTTGAAGCATGTTATAAATGTAGAGGCCTCTGGTTCAAAAGATGCCTAATACCTTCGGCAGTCAAGTAAAAAATATTTATTTATTTATTTAATGACGGCAGACATGTAGTAATTTTTTGAAAAAACTGCCCCAACTTGGTGTAGCACCCCTGTAATAAGGCCGAAGGGAAACTTGAAGATTGCACGATCTTTGGACCAAGTACTTTGTTGGCCCAAGGTTACATACACGCTTTGTTTCGTATCATTACAACGAATTTTTGTATATTGTATAAGTCAGTACAATAAAAAAATTTTATTTAACAATACTTTGTCACAGTTTCAATAAACAACTTGCGACATGGCGCATAATGTTTATTATTTTAAAAGCATTTGCAGGTAACACACTAAATGATCCAAGTAATCTAGCTTGGGAATTTGACTAATAACAGCGATAAAAATGCATTTTTCTGTACACATGATATGATACAGTAAGTAACAATAAGCAAGTATTACGTCTAACAAGTAAACTTACCATGGTCAGTAAAGCTCACCTGATATCAGAATAGTACAAGAACTTAAAGTTGATACTTGAAGAATTATAGTCTCTGTGCAAAGTCCCGTCATACTGCGTCGAAGTACAGCTTACAGTAGTCATGCGCGCTATTGTATGAATATGAGCGGATGAACTGCGGCAAAGATCACCTCACTGTGCTTTAGTAGTCTATTCTTATTTTTATAAACAAACATGTTATGTGTAAAAGGAAACTGTATTTGGCACAATTGGTTCCTCTGCATGGGCGTGAAAACTTGAGCTGATCACCGTATACATTTCAAAATCTGAACGAGGATAGCATTTTTTCCGTAGATGCGTATGGTATAGGCGAGCACGCGGTTCTACCGAAATGGCACAAAGGAAGCCGAAATTTCACCTCATTAGCGATGGCACCGTTGTCCGTTGCTAATTGTAGTACTTCGCGCTTTGCCCTGCGTGGACTTTACCGTGATTAAAAAGGGAGATATAAGATATATATGTCATATGATCAGAATGATTACATTTTTCAACTTGTTTTCAACGAGGTAATCAGCAGTGACGCGCACAGCGAAAAACTCTAGAATGATAAAGAAACATTTGTTATCTAAAAACTTATTTAGGCTTCCTTTGTTGAGTGGCGTAGACATTTTTAAATTACCCGCCCGGACTGCAAAACACTATCTGTAGTTGACGCTCAAGAAGTCGAAGAGGTTTATTGACAGTTAAACAAGTTACAGTGCGGCAACTAGTTCTCGGGAAACAAAGAAAAGCGGAGACCGCCATTTTGTTGTGCCACCCGGTACTTGTCTGCTTTGGATCAACTCTTATTTTTGTTGACAAATAATTGGGGCTTCTCGTCTAGTAGTAGCTTTAGCTTGTTAAGTCAGACAGCATATGTTTGTGTCACTGGTTTTTATTGTTAAAATTTTATCACATAAGTACTCATGACCGGTTCCATTAATCGTTAATTTATCGGAGCCATTCATGAGTACGTCTGTGATGCACAATTGCACACTTGGGTAGTGGCTACTGCAGTCGCTGTGAGTTGGGTTTTATTTAAGTACTTATACCGAAATTATAGCAATTGTTATGTATTTAGTATTTACTGTACTGTACATGTACCGCAGTACACTTTGAAGTTCGCTTTAGAGACCAACTGTCATACAACGCCTAACTTAACTAAAAATAATTTTTTGTAAAATTGCATATATCTGTATCTATACGTGTCTGTCGTGCCGGTTCGGTGCATGAATGGAAATAAAGCCTGCCGGTTTATTGCAAATTTAGGCAAATGTTGGGATGAAATACCGATTTTTTATCATTTTATCATTGTTTGAATTTGCGATAATGCATATTCTGTTGGTGAACATTAACTCTTCATAACATTGTGAGTTTAAGCAATTTTGCTTTTCCCTTGTGATCGCAAATGGAAGCAAAAAATGATTTATTCTATCAAGGCGTATTGAGCTAGAGCTGCCCGGATTCTATGGATGAATAACGTAATACTTATTTCACCGAAAGAAGCCTGGGAAATATATATATACGTATGTAACTGCTTTTTTAAAAAAATTGATATTTGTGCGGTGTGTGGTATATACATACGTTTCGATAAAACTTTTGGCGAAACTTTCACGTTTGGAATAGCATAATTACGGAAAAGCCTGTATTGCATTAAGGCAGTAAGTCACGGTTGATTTCTTTACCACCCTTTTAACCAATGCCCAACGGTGAACACTAACCATTAACTTTTTTTGTGTTTTCACGATAACTTTCACACATTTGTCGTCGTGAGCGTTTGTTTTAACACTCCTTGCGTTAGCACACAGTAAAGTTTGGTGTGGATTTGTGCTCGCATAAAATTTGCTGTTAATATCGTCTGATAATTATACTCTGTTGAATTTTTGAGCACAATCACGTCATAATAGCTTACAGGCGTCAAATTACTGTAGCTTCCAAAAATGCAGCCTCGTTACCTGAAGTACTGTACATTGAGCAATCCGATTGCACACAAGCTATTGGTATCGCCCTTTCACGCTTTTTTGTATCCCCGTTGTGGTCTCGGGTGGCAAAGCTCTTGTGATCTCGGTTGGCAGGCTCTTGTGATCAGTGACTGCCTGGAATGTCATCCGCTTAAAGACGCTACGTGCAGTAAGACGTAGGTATCTCTTGCGATAGGGCGTAAAGTCAATGAATAATTTAATCATACGAGTACGTGCATCCGGTTTACTTATAATCTAATGCAGTTTTTGCTAACTACAAGAGAAAAAAGTTATCCGGGTAGCTCTGTCCTGGGTAGCAAAGCAAAGATAACTGGAAAAGCGGGTTTACGTGTTAAGGGCAATTAATGATCGACAAATACTCCTGGAAAAGTTCAGGTGTATGGAATACTGAAACGGGAAGCAGCAAGTCACGTAGTAATAAAGTGATTAAACATAAGGATGAATTTCCTGTAAGATGGAGCCTTTCTGGCTCTGTATGACGTCTTCGACCTTTCGTCTTCGACCTTTTTCGCCTTTTCCTTCTCCTTCGCCTTTGTGTTCTTGCCTTCTGATTATTTCCACCGTAATTTATAGATAATTCACGAAACAGGAACCAATCGTACCGAATAACAAAAAGCATTAATTACACACTCACCAAGGCGGTCGAACGTCAATTCTCTATTTTGTGGACCGACAGCCTTACGTCTTATCGGTCTGGTTTCTCTGTGTTTTACCTTTTTAGTATTTTTTCTTGGGTTTCTAAGCTTTTTTGGTGTTTTATATGTTTTATTTTGTCCTGTTGTGCTTTCCTTATCATTTTTTGTTATATAGTTTCTTATTATTTCTTGTGTTTGATTTTCTTATGTTCTCTTATGTTTTCTTATGTTCTTATAAGAAAACTTAAGAAAAGAAGTCATACCAGAAAAGACGTCATATGAAGAAGTAAAATGTGACCTCATGCAAGAAGTACAGAATGAAGTCAAACGAAAAAGGTAAAATTACTTGCACAGAAAAGTGATATCAAAGGATCAAAGGGCGCTAGCAGTTTCACTGGACTGGCTGGGCTGGCTAGGCTGATATCGGCGGAAGATGAAGGTAGAAAAAAAAGTACGGCATGCGATATTATTTTTACTCGGTATCCATACTTTATTCACTACCTGACAAGGCCGATTGCGCCACACTTCCAGCTTTCTTTATTACTGTCGGTAAACTTTTGTGTATCATCGGGATTATGTATTAACGTCCGTCCTATTATCTCGAAGATGAAAGTCATTTTTCAAGCAAACTGTGGTATTATAACTAGTACAAAAAGTTTATAACTAGTACACAAAGCAAACTATTCTAACTTATTCTATTCTATTCTGTGGTATTATAACTAGTACACAAAGCAAACTATTCTAACTTTGTACAAAAAGCCATGAATGTTTTTCTCCAAAAAGCACGAATCTCGGTATGTGTCTTGGTTAGTGTGTAATTAGTGATCAACGCATGTTTTTCGATTGGTTCTTGAATCAACAACTTAATGTTATGTATCTGTGTCTGTACTGTGTGGCCTTGTTTTGCGATATCTCGTACAAATTACGGTTGAAAACTATACAAGGCGAGAGAAAGGCGGGGAAAAGGAGAAAAAGGTAGAAGGCGAAGGCAAAGGAGAAGGAAACCAACCAATAGGAGAAGGCGAAGGAGAAGCCGGAAGGAGAAGGCGAAGGCCACCATATATAGCCAGCATTTCCACACTGCAGATGCGTTTGTTGCCGGTGACAATTGGCATATTCCCGCATAAATTATTAGTCAATGCTTTTAGTGGGCAGCGAGACATTCAACGGTTCTTTTTTGGTTGTCCACCGCAAGATTTGGAAACTGAGTTTAATTTAACTTAATTATGGTTAAGGAGAGGTCTCGCGATCCGAAATGTGGCGAATGCGTTGACCACTGTGCTAAATGGTTAGCACAATGGATCGTAAACCCTGAGATATTTCTATCGGTATTATTAGGAGTCCTAGTCGCCTTTCTCATTTTGGGGATCATATACTGTTGTATTACATGGCTAATGCGCAGATATGGATGTCAAAGGGAGGCCGAACCGGAAGCCGAATCGCTTATGAACCCTGGAACAGGCCGGAATATCTCACAGCATCGTAGCACATATGGCACCTCTTCCCGAGACCGCAGAGATGCCACAGTTCTACCCCGTAGCCGACTGCTCCATCAAAACACCACTCCCCCTCCGCGATATGACACGCTTCTGTTGGCCAGCATCCCAGAACACGACAGCGTTAACGAAACCGAAGAGTCCACACCTGAGCCTAATTCAGTTACAGACCAAGCGGAAAGTATAGTGACCGGCAATCTGGACTGTTTAACCGCTTCATTTGTAACAGAAAATCATTCCGATCATTCTGTTCCAACACACCAGGAAGAAGACATCGAATGAGAACATTGGGACAGCAATTCATTACAATTAACTGAGACTGAGTTTCAGGAATCAATCAGTAGCAGTACCAGCTCATTTATAGATTTTGATCCGCGCCAAGAATATCGTCACACCGACACTTTAAATAGCCAACACTCATCTTCGCATCAACATCGCATTATGGCTTCCGGCGTTACAGACAGCGATGATGCGAGCACTACACGCCGCCTCCTACCCGATTTACCACACCGTCGACGTCGGTTACCAGATATACCCCGTGGATCTACCGGAACGCTGACACATTTCCAACAGGCCACTGAAGTGTTGTCACCAGGATTAGGTTAGTTTCTAGCGGTCTGTATCTGTATCAGAAAGGATGCGAATTTATTCTTTGGATGAAAAAATTAAGTTATAACGAAACCTTTTTGTGCTTGTACTGACCATAAATGCATGAATACCGTAAAATTTTTTACGCATAAAAATTGTTTGTCCTCACAGTGTGTATTGCTTTACGAAACATTAAATGTCATTTATTTCATAGCGGAACTAAGTGCTTCTTTACCTATGTCGAGCGGTTGGCGTGGAGGCAGTGGGGCCACTCGGACCGGAAGCCTCCCGGCTGATTAGCGAAGTGGGTAAGATGATGTGGCTGGAAACAGGCGAGAAACGTGCAACGGAGTTTTTGCGCCAGAGGTTCAGCATCGAAATTCTACGTGGAAACGCGGCATCCATCCTGGGAACGGCACCGGCCTCGGCTAACTTAGATCAAATGTTCTCTGTAATCCGGCCGCACGTTTCCGCTGTTTGTTAATATTAGGATGTGATGTTTCTTTTGTGAATTGTAAGCTTGCCTTTGTTTTCGTATAAAATATTGAAAGTACTTACTAATTATCGGTATTGTGATCTGGCATCGCGATTCGCATCGACCAATGTTTATCGGTCCCGGTGATAGGCACATTAATTTTCTTTAAACATGATACAAACATGGGAAATATTGCAGTAGCTCTCCTACTTAACAAACTACCTCAGTACGAGTATTTTAGATACATACATGCCTCGTAGTCACACAACGCAAAACATCTAGCAATCAGCGGCTACCAGTGACAGAAAATTGTTTAAAATAAGTAGTATATGCGAGTTGCAGCAGTTACAATATGGGCTCAGTTTTATTTGTTGTTCTTTAAGAAGAGTCCTGTTTCTTATTCAATACAGTTGTAGAAACCGACGAAATTAGAAATTGCTGACATATTATGCATTTACACCTGCAACTGTTGAAGTGCGGCTTGGAACTTTGAACTTCCCTCGGTGTGACACATTCTAATAATTTAGTAACTTGTTCCGAATTTTGAAATTCGGAACACAGGCCGCCCACAGACTACCTATAACATCATCGGCGTTATCGCTGACCAATCAAATAAAAGATAATTATTGAATCTAATAACATAACTGGGCTGGTATACACTGGGTACAAACACCCACTGCCGTACATATTTGAGAAGCAACTACCACAAAGTTGTTACCGGTCACGAGCGGCAAAGTGGTATTAATGACCCCTATGAAATTCAGTAACTTTCGATTGATCATTTTCATCGTTTTCTAGCTTGCTCTATTGTCTAATTGATTCAATTGGCAATAAACTGTTAACTGCGCATGCAGCAAACTCAACACACTGAATTTGTTGATTACAACTGTCCTAAACGGCTAAACGTGTACACGGTGTACAAGTCTTTATAAACATGGACCTGGCATTCATGCAAGCAGAATTTCCTATCTGCAGCCACAAAGACTCATGAGCGAATAAATTTGACGTTGGCTTTCTGTCAATTCTGTTCTCGGTAATTATGTTTACGAACATTAATATTTAACTGCAGTCGACTTCCGACAACGTTGCGCTTTCATGTCATAATTTACTCAATTTTGTTTTCGTAAACCGCCGGCAGTTGCACTCGTCAATAATTGGCAACATTTAATGTGTAAACTTCTCTAGAATAGGCGGTAGCATAACTTGAAGACTGTGTTTAGAAATATTATAGTAGTAGAAATAATTAATAATCGCGTAATCGCAAAGTAATAATCGACCGGAGCGTAGCGGAGGTCCTCTATATTCAGGATTAATACTTTCGTTGATTTCTGTCCGTTACGAAAGGTCGTTACGAAAGGTTGTTACGAAAGCCATTTCCAAAGAGTAAATGGAAGTGCATACTTATGTTGCTAAGTCGTAGTATTAAAATGTATTAAACAGAACACTAATGAAACGCTGCGCTTCGGTCCGCCAAATGCACGCCAACGTCCATTTTTCCTAGTAATAGTAATTTGCATCGCGTCGTGTCCATTGCAGGCAAACGGTGTACGTGTGCATGCGCTTAGGTACTGTTAAGATAATACAGTACTCGTAAAAATTTTATTGACCGGAGGTCCGGAGCGTAGCGAAGGTCCTCTATATTCAAGAGTAATACTTTCGTTGATTTCTGTCCGTTACGAAAGGTCGTTACGGAAGGTTGTTACGAAACCCATTTCAAAGGGTTTCGTAACAACGTTTGTTTGTAATAAATTATTAAAGTGTGTTATACATGCTGTACTTAAAGGAAATGCTGCGTTCCGGTCTGCCAAATACACGCCACCGTGCATTTTTCCTAGTTATTATAGTAAGGCTCTACATGGCTCCGTATCGTTACAGGAACGTGTGCGTACAGGCGTACAATAACCGTACCTACAAGGCACAACGAACAAAATCTAAAAACTGAAAAGGATAATAATTGTAATAATTCGGTACATAATACTATTATTGCACACATACATACAGTAAGAAGCGAATACAGTAAGGGGCGTTTCAGTAAGGGTTTACTTGGGGGCCGCTTAGTATAGGGACTTCAATGTCAAGCAATTAGAGCACAATAAAAGAGCAGTGGTTCACATTTTTGATGATAAAGTTTCTCCAACAACGCGTTTTTGTGGCATATTTTATTTTCGACTTCAATACATTGGACAGAGAAGCTGTCATCAGCATGGAAGTCCGTCGAAGGAAGCTTTCAGCTTACGAGCGTGTCGTTGGACTGTGTGAAAAACCCCCAGATACTCCTTCAAGCGAAATACTGGACAAAGAACTGTTCCAGGACAAAACTCGAAAGGAGAAGTTCTTTGATGCTGTTTTAGCGGTACTTTATTCAAAACTTAAAGCAGTCTATATTTGATGTAGACATGCAGAGAACCTGTACTTACGATTAATTAACAGAATGAAATTTATATTGTATACCACAATTTTTATCATACGTACAAAGAAACCATGTGGGATATGTGTGTTGTGCTTTCGTTAGTTGATAAACAACCCCATATTTAACGGAATCGTGATCGCGGCCATCTTGTTCAACATGATTGTCCTGATTTTGTTGACATATCCTGAATATGCAGCCAGATTTTCCTATTTTTTCACCGTCTGCGACTCCTTTTTTCTGGGTGTGTACCATGTGGAAGCCATTGTTAAGCTGATTGCACTGGGAAGGAACTACTTCAAAAACGGTTGGAATCTGTTAGACTTTTTTATTTTGCTCACGTCGTGGCTGGATTTCCTGTTTCCTTTCTTTCTTGGAGCATCGACACAAGCAACCAGGGTCCTTCGTGTATTTCGAGCAATGAGAGCATTACGAGCGCTGCGGATGCTACGGTATGTTGGTTAAAGATTATGCAGTACTGTTCTCTGCTATTTTTGTGTTAAAGGAAACTAAAAATAGCGTCGTTTATGTTGCAGAACAATCGCATTCCTACACAGTTTACAAACCATCGTCAATACTGTATTTTCGTCAGTTTCCTCAATGGTCGTTATATTAGTTCTGATGCTCCTCTTCATGTACATGTTTGCCGTTATGGGAAGACAGCTATATGCAGCGCCATCACCATATTACTTTGGTGACCTTTTCCGAGCAGTTACCACACTGTTTCAGGTAAGATATGGAGCATTCCCAATCGGATATTTATTTATACTAATAAGCCGTCTTGAATGTATTTTTGTAGTTATTGACCTTCGACAGCTGGTTCTACATGTACGATGACGTCACTCGATCCGATTCTAGTTATTGGCACTTCATTATTTTCGCAATATCGTACACATTAGTGGAATATTTTGTCTTCCTCAATCTATTTATGGCGGTGCTAGTGGACAATTTTCAATCACAGCTGAAACATGATGACATCACGGCTGAGGCTGACCTCGAAATTGAGGAATTCATGAAGGAAATCAAGACTGAAAAAGATTCGGAGAAGGATGAACAGGAAGAACAAAATGGTACTGAATGGCCAAGCGGTTATTCCACTTCGCACTACAACCCGTATTTGGAAGACTTTGGTCATCGACCAATGGAGGAGCGTATCATTTATGTACAATTCTACCGTTTGCTTTGTTCTTTGGACTATCATGCTTATATTCAGAAACAGAATTATTCGCTTATGCACAAGCTGCTCGATAAATGTCAAGATCCTAGGCTGCTACTTAATAGTCAGTCTGATCATGATTGATCAGGAAAAGTAAAACGACATGAAACAGCAAAATAACTGCATAACAGAATCTTCGACCTGAAAACTACTCTATAGGGTTGGTTCGGTTGGTGTATACTGTATAGTACGTGTGTACATGTCTGTTACTGAGGTCGGTGTGGCGATGTGTAATTCCGCCCAATGATGGCGCTTTTGTGCCAGCATAGTATAATCCATGCTTCCACTAATTATGGTACCAGAACGCTCGTTTGCAAAGGATTGCGGATAAGAAACCTAACAGAATGGGTATCAAAAATGCTGCATTTAAGAGATCTGGGTATCCGCAGTTTGATAAAGCATGTGCATACAAAATGATAACAAGGGGGCTTTGTATGAAAACGATGGTTTGGCCGGGGGGCTAGATGGTGCAGTGCGGCATTCCCAAAGACTGCAACCATTCATTGTAATAATAAAATTATAATAATTAACGGCGTTCGTATCCACAGTATGCGAAGTAAAACCACACTAGTATTGCAGAGAAATAGATGACACTTGCGACAAAATGTTGTTAAACGCCAATCTTTTGTGTAATTTGATTGCACTGATCAGGTTTTTTTGCTTTGCAGATAATGTGCAGGTAGGCACTGGGGGTTGTCTAATGCGGTACTGGGACTCGCGTGTCTTCTGAATTTGCGTTTATCGCACTACTTTCAGGTCTGATCCAAATATATTTTGCAAAATATTCAGTATTTTAGAGCAGGAAGAGTCCAAAACAACCAGGCAAAAAGACATCAACATGGAAATTACGAATTCTAGAAGTTTTAGCAATCATCTTTGGAGCAGTAGGAATACTTATTATTCTTTATATCACTCGAAGTAAGGTGCGCCTGTTCACATTACTGGTCTACTGATTTGCTCTTTTATGTAATTGTAGGGCGGTGGTGCTGTATTAAAGCCTGCCGCGGTGAAGGCTTTCTGAAAAACGAACTGCGGGAACAGATTGATGCATACATGCCCGGGATGAGGGTTGATGAAGATACAGGAAGAACTGAGTATTACGAGCCAACAGAGGAAGAAATGCGCGCGTTAGGAAGCGTTTTGAACACTATGCGCGAAATGGCACAGTATGTTGAAATGTTCCTTGTTTCTATCAAACGCAAATGATGCAAGTGTCAGCCTTGAAAACCAAATTTCAGGCCATGAGTCGAAGGGCCAGCGGAGGTCGCTTCTTCTATGTAAATCATCGGCGGATCACCAGGTTTTGCTGTTGGATTCGCAGAAACAGTTTCTTGATTGCCGATATTAACCGGAATTCCGAATTTTTCTTCGATTTTTCGTACATAAGCCTCTGCTGGTATTATTAGATCGTCGAATCTCTGCACATTGTCCTGCAACAAAACATTAGTAAGCAGCACCGCCGCGAACTTGCACTTGAATTTGCCTCAGTTGCGCAATTGTGCAACTATGTTATACATTCTCCTTATTCTTATAAACAAATACGTGTATCAAGCAAAATACTCGTATAAGTGGTAGAGAGGTTCGTCTCAGGAACTTACTGCGTTCTCCATGTTCATCATGACAAACACCCGTCGTAGAACCATTTCGCGTTCTATCCAGTTGAATTCTCGGACATGGTCGACTTTTCTCCCGCCCATGACAAATCGTATTGCATTGACAAACGCCCTTTCCATCGTGCTTCGCTCTTGTTCTACAATGCTGCCAAGCTGCCTCATTCGCATGACCTCGGCCTTGCCCACTGCGATGCTGTGTTCAAGACGCCGGATTCCTTCGTTCGCAACCCCAGCTGATTTTCCACAACCGGAACAATCCAATTAGACCGTTTTTCATACTTCTGAAGCTTTTCGTGAAAATTATTTTGAGCATTCTCATTCCGTCGGCGAAGAGTGCGAAGCTCTTGGTACAAACGATCCGTTTGTGCGCTAAACTTTCGAAGGTACTTTAACGCGTGCTGTCGCCGGTTTAGCACATGGCGCAACTTGCTATTAAGGGATGCTTGCTCAGCAGTAAGGTCTTTATCTCTTTGAAGCCACACATTTAAAGCGTCTTGCACTTTGCAGTGCTTATAAAACACAGCCATAGTCTCGGAATCCTCATTCTGCAGTGCCCTGTTGTAGTTCTCTTCGGTGAGGACCACCAATCTTTCGGCAGCCATGCTCTGCAGTTTCTGCTGTTCCATCTCTTGTAAAATGTAAACGTTTTCCAGCTCCTCTTCCTGCTGCTGAGAGCGATCTTTGATCACGTTTTGGAGAGCTTTAACACTGGCCTCTACGCGTTCTTTGTCCTCGGCGAAGTTGCGAACGAAACGGATTTCATTCCTCATTCGCTCAATGTTTTCATCTTTGTCTATGAGCGTAATACCGTTATGTTTTCGTTGCTGTAAATGCCGCCCGGTTTCTATGCTCTATCCCGTTACCTTTAATTACCTTTTTTAATTTCGCGACTCTGGCTTCTCTGCGTTTGCCGGCTTCCGCATTTGCTGCAAAATTCTGTATTTCCATCTCTTTGGTGCTTTCCGAAATTTCTTTAATTCGGTTTGTAGTTTCCTCATTTTTTCGCAGCAGCTCTCCAATATCAGCCATGGTTTGAGATTGTGAATTCTGCAGTTTATGCAGTAGTTTTTCTTTCATTTCCTGTGTCTTTTCGTATCGCTCTGTCAATCGACTAACTTCTTCTTCCAGTCGGGTGCAGCGCTCTTTCAGAACTTTAACTGACCGCTCTGAGGCTGCAGCAATCCCTTGTACTGTGTCAAGATCGCCCTTGCCAAACGAGTCGGACGAACTAGGACGGCTCTTCACTTCCGTATCAGAATCCGCTGCTCTTTCCGGTCTCGACCACGGGAGCCACTTGATCGGCTTGGAGAATGAAAGAGGAATTGGTGGGTGTCCATACGCGTCAAGCGCTGGCAGAATGTTGGTGTTTTGTATTTCGACTCTTGGTAGACAATCCACTTCGGCGGCCAGTGGTGGACATTCATGTTCAGCGGAACCAACAATCTCAGGCTCTGGACCGTCATCGTTTGGTTGACCATGAGTTGGTTCTGCGTTCTTTACCACATGAGACGTATAGGCGACTTCGTCTAATTTAGACAAAAATTCGCCGAAATCCATACCGGCAGCGGCCGCATACTACCAAGTTTTGCCTTTTGTTGAAGGTGACCTTTGGCGACTAGTTTTATATTCATAATGTGCTAGCAACCCTGGAAGCTACTGAACAACTTGAGAAACCTGCACACAGTTAAGATGTCAATCACCTAATAACTGGACTATGGAACCCGTACCAGTCGGGGCCGACGACCCGACGGATGCGCCACCTGCATCCGCTGGCGGTTCCTGGGCCGCAGCCTGGGGAACGTCTACGGGAGTGGATGACTATGTTCTATTTTTTCTTGGTTGTTTTACTGCCTATCATGTCTCGACTTCATTGCTTGGGGGTCCACGCATTGCAGAGGCCGTTCAAGCGTTAAATCGGGCACCCTTCGGTGTGCGCTTTGGGTTTTTCTTTATTTGCAGCCTCGTAGTTTTGGGATGGGTCGCTATACTGGAAACTGTTATACAGATGCTCGTGCCAGCCTATTTCATTTCCAGCTGGGGACTAGCCATTTCTGGAGCTTTTACATTACTAAGGTACGGCTGCGAGTGGCTAAACCGTTCGAAAGCTAAAGGTTACAAAAGGGTTTGCAGAGCTTATTCATTTCTTTCAGCGTTGGCGCTTTACGACTCCTTGTACGCAACACGGTGATTACATTAAAGATCGCCGCTGCCCTACTATTTATTGTGCTTCCAGTTGAAGCCATTCATTTTTATCTGATCAATAACTTTCGGAAGTGCATTCCGCTTCCAGTTCTGTATGTGGTCACACCAATTGCTATGATGCATTTTGTTAAAAACTACCTGGACAATTTTGGCCGCCAAGATAAAAAGGAGAACAAACGCATGGTGACTAACGAACCCTGTGGTTGCGGGGAATCTGGTGACGGGAGCAGGTGTGACGAAGACGAGCGGTGTCATATCGACGACGGCAGTTGGGCCAGGGATTTTGAGGCCTACAGAAGTTTGGGTCGATCGGAGCAGCAGAGGCTGGAGAATTTAGCTTTGAAGATCGATCCAGATTTCGCCAGATACAGCTGGGATCCGCGGTCGGCAATGTTTTATCAGCGACCACAACAAAAAACCAGTCATCGACGTTAATGTTTTCAAAATCACGGGCAGAGTAACTGGCAGCAATGCCGCAAAGTTGCGCCCTCAGGCGACCGAATTTGGGAGTCTATACAACAAAACTGTCGCTTGGACAGCTTAGAAACTATGGGAGGGCTTTGTTATGGATCAAAACTCAAGTAACCACTGCATGCGGCCTCGGCGGATGGTATCGTTCTTACGTTTTAATGTTTTTATAGGGTTTTTACTCGGTGAATAAATTTTTTAATTAAGTTGTGTCGCTACTCGATCGGATTGTGGTTTGCAAATGTTTTTTATATAAGTACAATTATAAATATCTAGAATTGCATAATACAGAATAATAATTATCTTTTCAATTTATGCTGTCAAGGTTTTTCTAAATCGTTTTGCAGACTGTGGTATGCGTATGATAGCGTTTCCGATAAAAATAAGTATGTATTATGTATGCATATATGTTTGCTGTCTATGGCCCGGAATAACGAGGAGAGGAGTCAGGAATAAGCAATACGGAAATAATAAAGAGTTTCGGAGCAATACGGATGGGTTTTCGTTTGTCAATTAGCGCAACCCTTCTAGAGCTCATCCGGCAGTTTCCATGGCCGTGATCATATGAAGCCTGAACTTTTTATATAGTACTTGAAAATTTGGTGTTTTCCAGGCATCATCTTTGTTCGATAATAAAATTCGGTAATCGGCTACCTCGATAATAAAATAATCGAAATAAAATTCGGTAATCGGCTAGCTCTGACTTTGCGCAAGCTTTGCGCTGCCAGTGCTGATCGTCACTTTACATCATGTTAGAATGCACGGGCGCTTGCAGGGCAGTTACAGCCAGCGCTGATAATTACATTGTCTTCTTCCTGGTTGGGCTGGGTGCTTATAATGGAGTAACCCATTTCTTGGGACATCCTCGTATTTCCGAGTTTCTTAATCACCTGCGATGTTCGGGTTTGTATTCGCAAGTGGGGTTTGGGCTTATTTGTGCACTGCTTGCGGGAGCCTGGCTGGTGGCCTTAGAGTACCTGATCCAGTTGATAGTACCTCAGTTTCAGATCTCCAATCTGGCCCTTATACCTGTGGTGTTTTTAGTTTTAGCCGGGTAGGTTACTGTCTCTTCTCCAGGATTAAATATAATTCAAACACATTCATTGCAAAACCAAGTCGGACGCATCATCTTACTACGGGCTTATTTTCAGTTTAGGTTTGCTCAACTTCTATGTGCAAGATAATTTCGTAACTGTCCGCCTTGCCCTCGCTATTTTGATGCCTATGTTACAAGTCGCAGCACTCCATTTTTATGTTATCAGCGAATTCCGCCAGTGTGTGCCATTACCAGTTCTTTATGCGCTTATTCCTCTGGTCCTTGTGACCATGATCTGGAAAACGATATCACGAGTAACAGTTAAGCCGCAATTGTGTCACGGCGCTTCCCCCGCCAGACACACTGTTAAAACGATACCAGTTCGCTCAACAGCCAGTTTTCAACGTCCACGGAAAGCGCAACCTGATTACTCACAGCCGTCTCAAGAGCCAGAATTTGATTACGCCCAGTTTAAGTGGAGTTACAAAGATGACCCGGTCATGAGAAAACGAGACGATGAGGAAGATGAGTAATGAAGTCAATTGCATTTTCAATACTATGTAATAGTATGTACTTAAACTTGTTGTGGCGCTTTTGGTTGGCGCTTACGTGATATTTTGCTGAAGTTTTACGGTGACCTTTTAAATAATCTGATGCATTTTTCGTTACAAAACCTGTCTACGTAATAATGATAAGTAAGTAAATATTTGTTCGTTTCAATGCAGTTCCGCATATTCTTTTTAAATTGATTAATTTTTTGTAAATATTTCTCTTCTGTTTTGATTTTAATAATTGTTAACAGTTCGTCTACTTGTACTGCTATAATACCATTAAGCAAACTGAAGCAAAGCAGCTAAACCATTGAAGAAAAAACTGACGAATTGAACCGGCTTATTGGATCGTTTACCCGAAAAGAGAATGAAAATACCCCTGGTGTTGCATAGTGCATAAGCCCCTCAATTTCGTATCATAATTTCTTAACTTGTTGTTGAGGCTAACCTTCACATTCGCATGCAGGTATCACTAATTTCTAATAGCAATGCCTGTAGTACATTTGCATAAATATTAACGTTAAGCAAGCATTAATAAAAACAACAGAAGTACAGCGATAGCACGTGCACTGAAAACAAATTCCAGCGTATATCGTACACCACATAAATACTATTTTTGGCACAAAACCCTAGACAAATTTACTAATATAGTTGATAACATACACACTGATAATAACAATTGGACACGAAATTCTCAATGAGAATTTCTAATACTGAAACGTAAAGTCACCGTGTCGTCAAGGAAACAAGTCGGTATTGCTAGCAGCGTTAGTAAAGTAAATAAATAGTAAGTAGTAAGTAGTCAAGCCATCCGCTGCTACAATTCTTATGTAAGCACTTGCAGGAAGAGTGGTGGCATAATATTCGAGCTTTACACTCGATTACAGCAGCAACAGCAAGGTGATAAATAAATTAAAAGAATAAAACTACATGCCAGGGACATACAGGTACTCATGCCAGGCCTGGATGTTTTCTTGCATAACTTGCGCTACGTGTAAGAGCGTATATCTATACACAGTACGTAATTCGATATTTAAAGCTGCAGACTGCAGTTGCGTACCTTTTTACTGTATATATATGTGTCACGTTAGTTTACTTACTTCGCTAAATTACATGTTTAATTGTTTAAATTATCTGTTTCGAAGTACTCGGTAGACTAGCTATCGATTGTTTAAAGGTCAGCTATCACCCTATTGGGCCAGTTACAAATTTCAGATCCGACATAAACAGTGAATGCCTGCCATTATTACTCTACGCATTTGTTTTACCATCAGGTTTATTTTAGAGCCGAGTAGTCGCGAGAAGCCATGTTAAAGTTTTAACGTGATATATGTTTTGATCTCCTTCCGCGCGGCGAGCAGAAGCATTACGGACGGGGATCCATTTATACGTACAATCGGTTTTGTGCTTCGTTTGATTACATTTCGAAGTTATGACCGATTTACTTGTTGTTATTTTCATCCTATCCAAAGTTTATTTCCAATGTTTACCCCTGTTTTGCTGGTCGTAATTTTTAAGTTGAGTGTGCGTGATAGCTACTTCGTTCGTATGATATTGATGATCTTTCTTTTTCAACTAAATGGAGAGTTTACCTTCTGAATGATGCAAATTATAGTCGCGATTGATCGCGATCGACGATCGAAAAACGACAAGAACAGCTGTCCGATACTGATATCTCGAGAAGAGGACTATTTGCAATGCATTTAACCAAGATTAGTTCTCCGGTTTTGCTTTTTTGAAAACAACTAACTGCAGTGCTGAGTACGGCCAGTATCAAGTATGATTCGGTGGCAGATTCGCTGAGATATGAACCGATCATCAAGAGTTTCCTCTAATGGACAAACCTCCAATCGCAATTCTGCCGATACTGGAGCAAGGAAGTCTTTACGATCTCTGCAACAAGAATCTGTGGCGCGGTTGTCGCAACCCAGAGCTTCCCAGGATAACAATATGATTTTTGCAGAAAATCATCGCAGTTCTAAAGAAAGCAAAGGCAATGCTGCGGCTGAAGCTGTGATTGCGGAACTTCAGAAAAAATCGAGCAAGGCATCCACATCTAATGCAAGTATGTATTTATCGCGAGTAAACGAACAACTGGTTCGCTCATTTATATAAATGCTTTCAGCCTTTAAAAGAAACCCTACAAAACCCAGCGTCGGACGACATGAAAACTCAAACGCTGTGGATGCTACGCACGGAGGGAGGCAACTAGAAAATTTGTCCACAATGCGCAGTACAAAGGATGCACTAGGTCACACTGAAAAGGCTGCATACGAATACAACAGCAAGAAAACCAGCCAGCCAACGGTGACCGACTTGCACGGACGTGATCCAAATGTTAATGCGGATGGCCGAAAAAGCAATCCGCCTGTACAGTTACGCAGCTCAAGGGAAGAGCGCGCTATCAAACGCATTCCTGTTGATGAACGAAAGCAGAGAGAAGGAAGAGCGTCGTTACATTCAAAAGAAGGCAAAGGTCATAACGAGTTCAACAACTCGCAGTTGCCCAACCGTTCAAAAACATCTGATGCACCCAGACAAAAGGTTTCAAATACAAAAACGTCCATGTCTTCGCGAGCACGACCTGCTCAGCCGCAATCCTTAACACAGTTTTACGACGAAGCGGAAAAGATTTTAGCTGCGCTGCCTTCGGAGGACGATGTATCTGCTGAATCCGATGACAGTCAGAAAACGTTTATCGCCAAAAATGGTACACCTAATGCTTACGGACAACGCTCTGATTCCATCAAAATTCGTCCCGGATTCCAACGGCAGTATAGTCATCCCAGTTTCCCGAGTGATCAGCAGTATCCATCTCCTTACAAGGATATAGACGATAGCAGTCGCGGTCGTAAACGATCATCCAGCGTGCAAAAGGAGGCCAAAATGCGGGTAAATACAGCACTGCCTGAAGATGTGTACATCCAACCTGAATGTTATCGGATTCCAGAGGATGAGCAAGCCGAGCGCGCCAAGTACTTTGGTCTAATCTTCAACTGTCTCAATGAATCTCGTGCGGCTAATTTTGCACAAAACCCTATTGTGAAGCATTATCTGAGGAAGCGTACCCACATGGACCACGACTGTACGGTGAAAGTTCCGCTTCGCGAGTTCATGGAATGGAAGATGGAGCTATCCAATTTAGAAGAGGAACTTCGTCGGAGTATTCACAAGCAGAAGAATCTCGATTTCATGTTCGCCGATGTTATGGGTAAGGTATGGCTACACAACATACTCCTACATGAACGGCTTTCTGGTTTTGTTTACTGTAGGCCATCTCTCTTTCTATCCCCTTCTATAAAATTTCGACTAGGCATGTCTCGTGTTAGTCCTTTAGTAGTTAGTCTTGTTGCTGCGTATTTGTAGTAGTTCTAACGCAGTGCTGTTTGTGCAGGGACAATAAACGATTTAACTGGCGTTGATGATGAGTTCCTAGACGAGTTGAACGCTTCGGGTGAACAGTACGCGGATATCCACGAAGAAGTTTTGGTCAGGCTTCTCCAGAAACACGAATGGCTGTTAACTCTGCGAGACGACTTTCAAGACTATCTTCGCATAATGCACAAACGGAACGTGCAACTGGCCGAAGACATCCGAGCTCGAGAATTCAACCGGCAGCGTCAGGCACGTGAGGTCACACGACTGGCAGCTAGCCAGCTCAAACAGTATACTGGTAAGCGGAATTTTGTCTACAAGCGAGCCTTGCTTGTCTTCAGGATAACTTTGACGCAGCCGAGGTGAAACGCGCACAAACCGATGGAAAACGTTTTGAACGACTGATGGCGTATCAGCTGGAGAAAGCGAGAAATCTCGATAAAGACAAAGCGCTGCAGCGACGAGACATGGTCGAAAAGGCCGCTTTAAGGCACGAGCAATATGTGCGGAAACAACGAAGAAGCAGCAGTGATGGACGGCAGAGTTTGTCAAAGTAATACTTTCGCGATCGTAGCTTTGTTCAAATCTTAATGAAGTCTTCTGAGCGCTTCATTTTATTCTTTATTAGGTACGACAAGATTAACAAGCCCTTCCGCCATGATTCACGCGAATTTCCTCCGCAAGTTGCCGCTGCAATATCGGAGCTGCTACCTTCTCCCGCCAACCCAAAGCGGTTTTCTTCAGGATCACTTCGGAGTCCCGTACAATCGGAGCAAACTGTTCCTCCATGGAGTCCTTCGAAGAAAGAAGCACCTTCAAAAATCAGCAGTAAAGATTCCTCCATTCCACCACGACCACCAGCACGTTTAAGCACACATCATCCAGAAGAGCCGCTACCACTGGAGAAGTCAACGCTGGAATGGGGAGATGAATATGACATAGAGGATGACCGTAAGTTTGAAGACAGCAAAACAAAATGCTTTATTAGAGTAGCGCATCTTGCTCCTGAAAATATCATTGAATATCTTTATTTTCTTGGAAGAAAGTTTGGGTTGGATGCACTAATTTGCTTTCCAATTAGATTTACGAGAGGCTCCAAGTACGCTGGACGTCCCATCCTTCGTATCAGATCTCACCGATCCAGACGCTAGCCAACAGGGGAGCAGTATTCCGCCATGCATGTGTATGTGGTAAAACACGTGTTCTCGTCCGCATAATGAAAATTAATTGCTGTTTACTAGTTCTGAAAAGTGCTGATGGATTACTTGATATGCCACATTGCGTTAGCTATTTCGGCGACTACACGTCTGCTGTCGATCGTGGTCTTTCCGAAACCGAGCCACCACCAAATACGCTGGCTCCAGTAATGGTACAAGATGCCGAAACCAGCACACACGATCTCCTAGAACACACACCGGTTACCCTAAAGAAAACAGTCTCGACCCTGCCTAGAGCGCCATCGAGGAGGATTTCTGAAAGTCGTCATCTGACGATACCGGTACAGCGCAGCGGTATGGCGACCCAGCATAGTGGGACAAATATTGCGCATGCCGGAATCCAGCCGAGTGCCGTCAGCGCCGCTGATGTGTCTCATGTTGGTGTGCAGCCAAGTAGCATGAGTGCAGCCAGCTTTACTCACGCCGGCGTCCAACCCAGCGCTATACGAAGCGATAACATGTTCGCCCACACTGGAATTCAACCGAGCGGTATCGTTGAGCCGAGCAGAATGCATATGGGCGTCCAGCCTAGCGGCATCGATACCTTCCACGCCGGCACACAGCACAGTGCAATGGAGATGTCCCGTGTTCCATCACAGCGAAGTATGCGTGCCGTTAGTCCGAAGGTATCACGGCACCATATCGGCGTGCAACCAAGTGCTGTTAGCGGACCCAGTACAACACACGTGGGTGTGCAGCCAAGCACTGTGACGGGACCTAGTCTGATGCATATGGGCACCCAACCGAGTGGTGTGAGCGGACCTAGTCGCATGCATATGGGAACACAACCAAGTGGCATCGACACGTTTCATGCAGGCACTCAGCATGGTAATGTCGATTTGCTCCCCGCACCTTCCCAGCGAAACATGAAGAATGCAAACCCATTACCATCTCGCTCTCGCCAACACATCGGAGTACAGCCGAGCGCGAGCACCCTTCAGGACGCAAGAAGCCGACAAGTAGCGCCAGATTTTGCTCACATGGACACACAGACCAAAGCATCACACCAAGGTTTAATACCACTCGGCTCCGAAAAAGTCCATGCCGGGATACAGCCCAGTATCGAAATGCGCTCCACATATCCCAATCATCTGGAACCGCCTTTCCTTGGTCGACATATTGAAAGTGGTACACAGCACAGTAATACAGACGTCGTCAGAGTTCGGCCGCAAAACACCTTGGGAAAGCAGCCAAGCTGGCAGAATCTAAGCCCACCAGAGGATGTTCTTGGTGGTGCGCAAAGGTCGTACGTCGGTACTCCCGGCAGCAAAACTGATCTTGGCCACTCCTCCAGTCAACAAGATTTAGGAATTCCTCATGGAATACAGCAGCCGAGTGCGGCGCATTTCGAACAGGCTTCACAGCTGCTGTCACCCCATGCTTATCCAAGTCGTATGGCACACAAAGCTCCAAGTGTGGAATCGTCGGTAGAAACAGCTCGAATGCAGCCCACGCAGTCCAGAGGTCCAGTTTCCCAACAGTCATCTATGCGTTCACAGGAACTCACACCCTTTCGTCCAGCGCCTCTATCCATGTTCATGCCACATGATGACATCCACGACAATAAGCTATCTACACGAGCCGATCTCGCCACTAGCCGTCAAGGTTTGAACATAAATAAATCCGTTTCTGAGGGGTATATTCCATCGACACAACAAACCATCAATGGGAAAAAGTATATCCTAATACCCACGAAAAGCCGAACAGCCGATGTTGGCACTTTCCTGTCGGCGCAGCTTTCGGCCCACGATCTGGCCCATAGCCCGCATGACGCCACCACCCAAACTGAGCTGTCCATATCCAGCTCTAAAACTGTCGTGTCTCAACGGGAACTTGACTTGTTACGTAAACGTTCTCCTGTACGAATTAGTCCTTCTGTTAAATCTGTCGGCGTATCGCCCCATGTATCGCCGCAACCATCGATAACAGAACTTCCACCAAATGGACTAACTATGGATATACCAGAATCCAAAAGTAAGCTTCAAACCAAAAGTGCTGAATCGTTCGACGTAAAACCAGGATCACAGGAAGACTTGACTCAAGCTTCAGAAACCAAATCTTCCACATCACCCTCGGATGGACCGGATGGTCTGCATATTACTGGTGGATGCCGGGTACTGGGCTTCGATCAGGCTGTCCCGGATCTTCCAGTGTGTCCACCCGATCAGGCAGAAACGGATTCCGAAACTCCGCCAATGGATGCGACAGTCTCATCAGCTGCTTCTATGGTGAAACTTAAACCTGATCCTTTGTCCATGTTTATGGCAAACGAAGACCACAAAGGTGACGAAATAGCCACCAGATCCGACCCACCTGTAGATAAAAGTAAAGCAGACATGGAGGAAGAAATGGTGCCGCTGGAAACAATCAGACAAGAGTCAGCCAACATCGTCGACGCGATTTCGCGAACCGCTCAGGACGAAACTGATGAAAAGGAAGAAGGTGACAGTGTCGTACCGGAGATCATCAGTCCCAGCAATACATCAGTTGAAGAACGGTCGGTGACTAACTTATCGAAACCAGCTTCTGAAGCTTCCTTTGTGAAATTGCAAGCCGATCCGCTGTCCATGTTTGCGCTAAGTGATCAGCCTAACGCTCTGACCACTCGAGCTGATAAAGCAATTGATAAAAGTGGATCGGCTCTCTCCTTCAGTGAAGAGGCACAAGCGCACGAAGAAGAGCAACCGGTTGCCAGAGCTGGTGCCATAGCGGAGGGATCATCCAACGCAGCAGAAACAAGGCAGGAAGCGGAGGACTTAAACAAAGCAGCTACTTCGGTCATTATTGAACTGCCGGAAGTACCCGAAAGTCTTTTGGAGGCATCTGAAAATGAATCGGACGAACTGCAAGGTCTAGAATCGCTGTCTGGGCTACCAACAGCATACGCCAATGCTCGGGCGGTTAGCTCAACCTACTCCCTTCCTGGGTTTTTGAAACATCGAGATGACGCCCCGCAGGTTATTTCTCCGAGACTGGCTGTTCCTTCCCGAAGGCACTTCAAGCCATCAAAGTCTGCATCTGCGCTTGATAAGAGCTCGCAGCTAAATCTTCCATCTGCTCATTCCAGAACATTACTTGTTCCCACACCATCCGCTGTCAGGTCATCGGATTCAACCGCTGCTTTAGGTAAGGAAATTGTGGATGAAATTACTACTGGTACTCCGAGCCATCACGAACATGATCACCTTCAAGCGACAACGGTTTCAGTACCGCCAACACCTTCTCACTCTCTCCTTACGTTGCCTCATTCGGCGGTATCAACTGCAGAGTCATCAGAACGCCTTGGGAATATTCTAGTTGATGACATTGTGCAACATAGCACTGATGCCGCCGGCCGAAGTCCTTCAGCGATGGAGATGGAGTCATCTCGTTCGCGTAGCGCGTTGCCATCTGAGAAATTCGTAGCTGTTTCAGAATCAAAGAGCACAGAACGTGGACTTCATCCGCTACAAGCCCATGTTCTGCCCACGCCTCTTCACTCCCATATTCCGTTAATTACAGATCCGGAGCTGGTAACTGACGTCAAATCTCATCCACAAGCATCCCGCTCATACATTGACCCAGAAGGCCGCCATCCCTCTTCGACGACTCTAGCTCCCAGTAGCAGTAACATCAGCATCTGGCAACCGCCCAGTGAAATGTCGATTGATGCATCAGACACGGTTATTGCACATACTCCTGTTGGTGTTAAAGAAACTCGTTCTTTCGTTATCCCGGTAGCTTCTGTCGGAAAAGTTCAGAATGAAAGCAAAGAACTACTTAAAGGTCACGAAGAAGATCAGCCACCAGTACACTTAATGGTTCCAAAGAAAATGGTGGAACCGTCTGTTAGTAATCTGAGTATTTGGGAACCTCAAAGTCAGATGTCACTTGCATCGGATCATTCGATTGGTGGCCAAAACAGTCAAGCGGCTTTGCCAGAAACTGGACATGATGTTTCCGAACCGCAGTTGTCCGGCAGTAGATCTCGTGTGGGCAACGAGGCCACAGTAAACTACGCAGATGCCCATTTAATGCCTCCTGAACAACCACCACAACCGTCCACCAGCAATCTCAGTTTGTGGGAACCACCAAGCCAGCTTTCACTTGCATCTGGTCATTCGCTTGTTAATAGCGACACTCCAAGCGGGCAGCAGTTAAGGGCAAACCAGGAGCCGTATCCTTTTGGCGAGACTCCAAGTCGAGGTCCTTCTCGTACACAAGTTGCTGATGACGTTTACCCTGGAAGGTCTGAAGTATCAGATGAGCTAAGAGCGGGAGCATTACAGCCAGAAGGAAGTCATTACTCTTTGACGGAATTTCCTAGCCAGGTATCCATTAATGAATCAAACGAAAGTATGCATTCAAGTTCGGCGCACGAACCAGGTTTCCCTGTTAAAAGTGCACCTTCGGTTGCTCACTCAACCAGCCGACAAGGTGACATTGTTCCATCTGTCTCCATTTTTCACCCGCCGCATACGGATGGGTCACGCACAAGACCAGACACCATCGCTCAGCCGGCTCTGGATGATATTCCCACATATCCATCGGCTGATAAGTCTGCCAGTCGAAGCGAATTTGAGCTACACGAAATACCAAGCCAGTTATCCGTAGAATCTTCTAGAAGTTTTGCCAACCGAAACCCATCTCAAGGATTACTCCACTCCGAACCGGAAGGAAATGCAGTCAGACCGGAGGCGATTTCTTCACAACACTTAGCACCCAACAGCGGGACAGCAATAAAATCAAGTCGCTCGTTAAATGATCAAGCATCAGCCATACGTCCTGTAGTTTCAACCATCCAGACATCGAAAAGTGCGGACGCTTCACTTGTACCGTCTGAGCACGCTGCAGAAGTCGAAAGTAATTACTCTCTATTTCCTGTACCTAGTCAAGTTTCGATCCAGGAGTCTCGGAGTGGATTATCTGTTGCTCCATCAAAGTCCAATCAATCCATTGAGCAGAATACTATGGATGACAATCGTATAGGTACTCAGGATCAACCATTTGCAGAACCGGACCTCACAGCTGAGAGAACTGACGAGAATGTTTCACATTCTGTTCTCGAACATGGCGGACAGTTTCATGGAGACGTAAGTCCCAACCAAAGCGAAATGGAAATGTACCACATCCCGAGTCAGTTGTCTGTGGAACCGTCCGGCGTTTCTCAGGGTAAAATACCTACAGAAGACCACAGTGTCATGCCTATGCCGTCAAATACGGCTCTACAGAGAACGTCTCCCAACCCACCTGACCATTTGCGACCACAAACTGCATCCCATACACATGTTGACACGTCACCATCACCTGCAAGTTCATTTGACCTTTCTAGAGTTGAAAGCGAAGCAGCTCGAATAGCCGCCACGTCCTCTGAAAGCTCGAAATCTGATGTGGTGAATGCTACGGATAACGACAAAAGCCCCAATCAAACGACCGTTCAACCTTCTCCTTCGCAGTCAAATGAAACATCATCCGAAAGTAGTCACTTTGACCATGACGAAAAGCAGCATTTTGAACAGTACCTGGCTTCCCATGACAGTGAAAAGTTGCGGCGTGATTCCAGCTCACTGCGTGAGCGCATTATTAGTCCCCATCTCCTAAAAGAGACGTCCTCAATGAATATGTCCAGGGCCGCTAGCCCTAAGGATACGCATGAAGAGTTGCCGCATTACGGTATGATATCTTAACATGCTTTTGGTTTATTCTCATTTTAACAACGGTAATCTGACAGTTATTTTATTCAAAAGGTGCTCGAAGGAAATCGTCTACCCACATGCATATGCCGTCCGGGAAAAGTGAGGACGACCTTTATCGGCACCAAGACCTCCACGCTTTACAGCGCACATACCGAGATAAGGAATACGGTAACTTTTTCCTGTTAGAAGTATTCGATCACTGTACTAAAGCAGAATCTCAGCAAAAAATTAAATTTTATTTGTTGCAGTTATTATTGTCAGCCAAAACTAAGCGTTTCTTGTTATTTTTAACATAAAATTGCGGTCATGTTGCAGCACGTTCGCCAAGTGAAGATGCTAAGTCTATTGAATCCAGGCCGGCTCCATCTACAGAAATGATGTCCTCTCAAAGTCCTTCGACTGACGTTTCGCGCGCAAACTGTGAGCGTGATTACATTGCACTAGTTCCTTATTCCTTATACCTTGCAAGCGCTTCAGCATTCGCCTTACATCTTATAAATTTGATCATATAATGTCATTAATGTACATTCTGCCTGCATCTGTAGCACCAATAAGAAAAAACGATGAAAGTTCACCGAATGAACAGCGAACAGATCAATCACCTCATTCAGAATCAGAATACACAAGCAGTCCTGAAGGTAACAATAACGCAAGCAGATTCCTTTGCAGTGTCTAAGCATATTCTATGGCTAATCAGGCACTCAGTCCGAAAAAGCCAATACGATTCGTCGTCTGCAGCGAGTTTGAATGTTAACGAAAACCGTCAGGATAAACTGCCACGAGCTGAAGAACCAGCTGTGACCACACCCTCTCGCCCGAGCAGTAGCCGGTCCGCAGAAAGCGGCCATTATGGTCGCAGCCCCTCGCCAGCGTCGTCCAGCACAATGTCTACCAGTTCGATTGACATATCTAAAATGGAGCAAAATGCCGCACTGGCTGCTTCTGACGTTAGCGGTGTTCCTCAGAACACACCTTCCACAACTGAGGACCCTAATGCCCCGTAAGTACAATATTTCCGACAGTACATTTTTTAAAATTATTCTTACAGTGCTGGAAATACGCAAGCGAATTTCCGCTTGGAATGTTTATGTTTAAAACGAAACCCCATAACAGTTGCGCCATTTGTAGTCACGAGGCTCACGCCGCAACAACAGATCGGAACGATGCACATCCGCAACATCAAACGGACATTCGCATCGAAGTTTTACCTGCCGAATCTGGCTCGGGACAGGTCAACGTAAACGCCCAAATCAAGAAGCAGGACACAAATCTGCTGTTCGCATCAAAGAAGCCATCGCACCATTCCAGCAAACCCAGTTCACGAAGCGCTTGTATGTTTCTAGTTTTGCGCTGCTGTTTTTATTTTACATGCAGTATGCGTTTCGTTCCAGCTGGAGGGTCAAGCGGGTCCAGTGAATCTGCGAACACGGCCACGACGGCTTCTGTCTACGGTTCTGACGTTCCTGCCGCCGTGTGGGGCTCCGAAAGCGATGGTAACTGGTACCCAATTCATATCATACCTCAATTTGTAAATATAATTTTTTATAGTATCCCAAGTGTCGATGAGTTCATCGCCTCCAGAATCCACGGGAAGCAGTGGCAGCAGTGCACCATCATCTGCGGTAGTTCATCTTGCAACCGGTACGTCATTTAATGACTTATAATATCAGGCCTATAATATGAACTCCCTCTATCTCTTCAATACTGTCATTCAGCCGACAACCAAAATGCTTCCGGAGGTTCACCCAGAGTGCGACCCAACTCGCCATCGAATGCTCGTCAGAAAGAGTCCACAAGCGACTCTGTGTATGTTTCAATTCAAGATATGCACACCAGTCCTCTCAGTCTGCATATCATATCAAACAGCGCGGGCGGACAAGGAAGCCCAGGTTTGGAGAGGGTTACCGTTGTCTCTGATACGCCAACGGAGAGGCGGGAAGTGACGGTACAGTCTCAGCCACATCATGATAGCGGCTCATCCGATCCATCGGAAAGGTCACCGTCGGATACTGAGTCTACTAGTGCATCTATTCAGGGTTCCGAAGAGAGAAGCGAACCACACAACTAACAGATTGGGGACGTTGAAGCTGGCGCCTAACGAATTCGCGGGGTGGTATATTAATGTTGTTTACTGTTCTCTATTTCAGTATGCTCTGCAGAATTGGAATATTGGGAGGTTTATGTGGTTATCTTTTGAGATATGACTTGTATAGTGATAGTGTAAGCGTTTGAACAGTGATTATGCTTAACAATTTTTTGCTTCTATAGGTATTAATTTCCGATGGCGTTGGTTGTAAAATTTAACGAATTCTTGGCCGATAATAAATTATTTAAGTATTCCATCATTTTAATTTTACTTCTGTCATCTGTTATTACTTTCACAGTTTAATTCACAAAAACTGGATCATACTGCAGAGAGTCAGTTCTTTTTTCACCCATCAGAAAGAACGTGGCTTATTCCATTGACTGCAAGGTCAGATTTAGCTGTTACGCCATCACATCTCGTCGTAATCACCTAAACTGGGTGGATGAGGCATCGTTTGCAACAGTTTACTGTTTGCTTCTTTCAGTTTTTCCAACAGCAAATCCAGTTTCATGCGTAGAACCTTCTGGTCTTCTTCCAGTTTTCTTTGGTGAACTTTTAGTTCCAAATATTTTCCTTCCTCCTTGATGAATTTTTCCCTCAACTTCTTTTGCTCAGCACTTTCCACCACCGGTGGCGTAATAAACGGAGTGCTGACCGACACCGGGTGACTTACTGTACCATCCATCACAAACGAAGTTGTGCTAATCGCTGCCGCGAAATTTTCCGCGGTAGCAACTTTCTTTCCATGATATTTTACACGCAACTGAAGGAGTTCCTTGTACAATTCCGGATATCCGTACTCGACTTCTCGTAGCGCCGTATTGCTCAGTGAATGACTCGGCCGAATAGTGATTAAATTGCTTTGCCGGAAATTTCTACCGTGTCGCCCAAATAAACATCGCTGATTTACGGCATCGACAGATTCTGAAGACCAGATTCGTCGTTCCATATCCAGAGGAACAGGATCGAACCTGACCTTTCTTTTCTTCTGGAGCATAGCCTCCGCTAAAGATTTCGATGTAACCAGTATCGATGCCTTCCTTTTGTAGTCAATGACGTTGGGCTGGCGCTTCTTCGTGACGGATGTACTAATCGGAACGATCTTTTTCCGATCACGAACCCCACTCTTTCGCCATAACCAGAACAACGCGTGCTCCACATCTTCTGTGACATGAGTCGAACGAACAAAAAAAATTTTGTGGGGAATGTTCAGACTGTTGAACTGCAGAAGATTCTCGCGCAGTAATAAATGCTCAGAAGATGCGATCCGGTCCTGCCAGTTGTAGTCGTGCGCTTCGGCTAACGGACTCACTAAGAGAACAATAAGAGGAACATTCTGCAAGCACGTTGTGGCATAAAGGTTACGGAATACCTGTCCCACCTTATCGGATACCAGAGCAATACTCTCCGTAACGATTATAACGGCATCCGCGCTCTGACCGACGAAGGCTTCGAAGCGCTCAGAAAAGACAAGGTTTGTCGATTTCAGCGCTGCTTTATTTAGAATGATGATGTCTGCGCTGGAAATATAGTAAGAAAGATTTTCAGTGTCAGTTTCATGGCGAACACTGAAAAAGGCAGCGAAGATTTCGTCATAAAAGGACGCAAATTGCGCAGACGCCGATCGCCGATCCAAATCTAACGTGATGATAGCAGGTTTTAACTGATAAGTTGGCGAGGGAAGTGGCAAGCAATCAGCTTTGACGTGCTCCACAAAACGGTGCAGTGGCGAGCCTACATACAAGTCAAAAGCTGCATGCTTGAGACGAGTCCACCTAGACCAAGACTCGATTCCTGAAGAGCTATAATCCGGTTGCACTCGTCGTTCGTATGGACCGTGACGAACATAATAGAGGTGGAGATGTTTTTTCTTCTCCTTGGGGTTATGGTCCCATTGATCGGCAGTGTAAATTTTCTTGTCCCTTCCTTCGTAGTAACGCGTGCTGCTCATGTATATGCTTTATATCTGGGTCGAGTCAATCTTTAGAATACTACCAACGATATCCTCAGTCTTACTGCAGCCGCTCAAAATCGTCAAGAAAAGCGAGGTACCGTATTTCAAGCGAGGTACCGTAGCTTATTAACTACTACCTAGGTTTTTCAACTTAACAGGCGCACTGGAAAACTTTCCCCGCTTTGTTCACCCATAATGTAGCCAAGTTAGCACATCTTGTTCCGCATTTAGTACAGTACAGTACTTACCCGGTATTTGCCACGAATGCGATACATCTGGCTACGAGTGACCTTTCTCTTGATACTCGTATGAATATTTTTCCTGCATTTATCTTTGTTTTATGAATTTAGTGTTAGCTTCCTTAAAGGATGCGCACAGCCCGCGCTGTTATCACTCTGTACTATAAAAACCTAAAAGCAGAGATGCAGCAAGTAATACGAGATACTCTCGTGATTCAGACGGTGTGTTGCTAAGCAGGACTTGTACGCAGCAAACTTCACAGTCACCTTGTACGGTTGGCTCAGCTTAAGCAAAGTTTCGCAATACAGACTGCGAATGCAACACGCGAGTAAGTACTGAAGTGCGATTGTGAACGGATCTGTAATTTTATAAGATCTCCAACTTTAAGAAAGGTTGTTTTTCGCAGTTCCTGCAGTTGTTCAGTTCTCAGTATCCTTTCAGAACGATTGGCAGATGATTCGTCCGAAAATCGCTAGCCTTCCACAAAACTGCACTATGGGCAATGAAAACGGTTGAATGTCTGTGGCTAATATGGATCTGGATTATTAGCCTCTGCAGCAGTTATGACAGCCTACAACATTTTTCTGACAGAGCGTCTCCGATCGTGCCAAATCAGGGACATGATTTGGTGTACGATGGATCTCGCACAGGATTTGGTGCGTTCATCAGTCGTAACGCCTCACAAGGGTCACCGCAGACTGGCTCAAAAGTTTACTCAACGCAAAATGTATCCATTTCGTGCATTGTGCCAAATGTTAAAATTATGGCAACTGTTCATGCGTGTCAGAAAACTTGGAAATGGTCGTGGCGATCAAGACAATCAAACATCACTTAAAACTGACAAAAACTGGAATCTCAGAGATTTATCCTCCACCCGCTGTTATTATTCCGGCTACGGCAAATCCATTCACCCAGCAGGTTAATAATTCTGTCGCTTAAATGGTTATGTAGAACCCAGGCTTTCTTCTGGTCCTGTTTTGAAGCAAACTCCATTATATTTGCAGTGCATGGTACAGCAGCCATTTTTAAGTCAAACTCGCTTGATAGTGGAGTTGTCATATCTGGCAGCGGAGTTGTACAATTCTCTCCGTTGGAGGCCAGTTTCGTGCCACTATCGCGTATGCATTCCTGGAGACGCGAAAGGAGCAATCATCCAGCCGTTAACAGTGAGCAGACGGTGCAAAGGGAATGCTTTTTCGTTACACCACTTGTGAATGTTGTGGAAAGCGATACACAGGTACAAAGCGCGTAAACGTAGAAGAACAGATGATTGAGTACGCTTAAGCCGTATATTCCTGCAGGACTCTTATGCCGAGCAACTGTTAATTATTTACAACAAAGTGCAAGCGTATTTGGACTTCATTGTGGGACATACAGCCCCAATGATCATTGTGGATCTTCCGGACAGCAATGAAAAGGGGCATTCAGGTGATAAAGAATCAAACGCTCACGTGCCGTCTCCAAATGGAAGTTGCTCTGGAAGCCGCTCCGTTTTGCAAATAATCCAGGGTTAGCGACACAGTGACAAATTAGTATACAAATGAAATGACCGGTGACAGAGGTATGTATTTTCACAGTAAACGTGATGGAGAACCGCATACGGAGCAAGCGATCCATAAACGCAGATTTAAAATTTGATGCAAGAAGAAACAGAATCAACAGTGCAAGAAGCAGGTACTGTCCAGATAGATTACCTTCGATTGGATTAGACAGATTTTGCATTAGCTTCCTAAAGTTGACGGCATTTTCGCATTGCAATTAATTAAAATCCTTCTGCGGTATGGAAGTGCCATATACTGAAGATCCACTTTCGTCAGGTCAGGCAGACTTCGGCATGATGACGATGAAACTGACGATGACGCCCATCGAAAAAAAGGATGGGCGATAACTTACAGAACAGCCCGTCCGTGGACTACGACCAGATCAACTACTGCATCTACGGACGGATCTGCCATATGGGAGATACTCTATACCGTGTAAGAATGTAGAAACTTCTTAGTACGGATCTTCTGACTGTGTTCCGCGTTGTACTGGTCTATAACTTCGTTAGAACTAAAGAAAATCCGTATGTTTAATGCTGGTAGACCAACGACTACGACGACGACAACCACGACCACTACGACAAAGACAACGACGTCGACTAAATCCAGTAGCACAAAAGCAGCCTCTACATCACAAAAGAAACTGAATGAGAAAACGACTATAAAAGGTCACTCCGACATCCCGAAAAACTCTGCGGTTAGCAGTCGACCGCATTCAGCTGAGACCATGCACACAATGCGAGTACAACCAAAAACTAACGCAAAAAAGACAGAAAGCAGCCACAGGCCAGTTACGACTAAATCAGCTATGCATGGGCCTTACGGCGGGCTGACTGTAAAAACGGTCCACAACCCCGTGCCTCTCATGTCGAAGGTCCCATCGACTAACAAACCAATAACGCATGAATTTGCCACATTAAGACCCTCCGGGAAAGTATACTGCTACTGCTTATAGCCCTCTAAGTGAAAAGGCGAAATATGGTTCAAAAGAGTCATCAGCCCATGGCAGAACAACCCAACAGCCATCTCCACCCTGGGCGATTCCGGCTTTCAAGGTACCAGCAGGACCTCCCACTCTTCCATCCATCGCTACAGAACACGATCCTCGCTATAAGAGCCACATCAAGCCTCCAACGATTAAAAGCGAGCCCAGTTACCGCCCCTTACGTCCAGCATCTGAGGCGAAAAGCCCTAACCCGAAATTAGCTGGTGTAATCGGAGACCATATCCCACATCCGGACCATTGCCCTACATGACGCCACGGCCGGTTCATAGCCATATATCGTTAGCTCCGGTAATTTACCAAACCGATTGTAAAAGGCATGAACTACTAAGTGTCATCCATACTTGGATAACTGGTATAATAAACTCAAACTTTTGCAGATTGAGAAACCAAAAGCAGAGTGGAGGGGAAAATGAGCTCTACAGAGAACGAAAACCGAAAACGGCACGGTTCACCGGTTTGGAATACGCTAAACCCTATGGCAATGGGCTCCATCTGAAAGAGCAATTCGAAAAAACGATGACCTACCATTGCATGGCAAAAGGAAACCCAGTCCGACTGATAGTAATGCCGGAGAAGCGGAGTCCCTATGGGCGTTTCCAAAAGTTAGGAAGCCCATCAGCAATCAGGAATTTCCAAAGCTAATGAAAACCGAGCATGGGATGACCGCGCCGAGAACGAAAACTGGTACATCACAAGGACAGGAACCTGAATCCCACCACGGGCAGAATATTATCCGAGGAAACGCAATGAAGAAAATTTCGCAGCTCCATCGGAGCACCTACTATTCCAAGATCACCTAAGCTTACCAACAATAAGGAACATGAAAACCATTTCCAGCAACCGGGCCACGGAAAAGGTTATAACCCAACCGGTAGTGAGATATCTGAGCTACCAATAGCCCCAAGAAACAAAAAGCAACTGCTTCAAAAAATGTAGCAAAAATTGCTGGTGGACATGGAAAAGATGAGATGGCTCGAATATCACCCAGCCTAAAGACTAAGACCTTTCCTGCAGTTCATGAATCTCTTAGACCGCTTCATCTGGGACCGTCTTCTTTAGGGCATGATCGTGGTTTACATGGTGAAGCAAGAGTGCCCACCGAGTCTTATGTCAAAAAGAAGCACCATGGCCCCTTCGAAGGAAAACGAAAGGTTGCAGTGAAAGAATCTGAATATCATCCAGAAAGTGGTCTGTGGTCAAAGAATAAGCTGCATGGTTTGATTCTAATGTTCACCACGAGTCTACGGGACAACCCTTACCAGTATCAGTAGAGCACGGAAAAGGTAATGCTGTTGATCGTTTACCAGTATCCACCGAGCACGGGAAAGGCCATGCAGTAGATCAGTTAGGGTATAAATCTGGCAAGTATGCACCATCACCTAACGAAGACCAGTCAGTTCTTGTTGGCGGGAATAAACCTCATCACAGGTCCAGTGTAGTAAAGGAACCGCTGGAACCATCAGGCCCGAATCGGCAGATTCAAAATAAACTACAGAAACCGCGTGGAAACATTCAAGAGATCCATCCCCATGAACGCATCAAGAACCCTTTCTGGTCAAGGCACTTCCAGGAATTTCCCCAAATATCTCATAGCCTAGAGGAAACCCACGCGAGAAAAAATCAGCAGCGTGCAAGGGTGCATACCGTGGAACCAGCTGTTAAACACAACGAAGAAACTGAACAAGGAAGGGTCCAAGCCGTGCAACATGTGCCCCATCGCACATTTCCCACTGAAGAAAAAACACAGGCTTTGCCTGCACAGCCATCAGCCACTAAGGATGCGGAAGAAGAACAGTCTATATATTTGCCAACTCGGCCGAAAATTGTCGGTCAGCCGTATAATCGTTTTGGCTATGGAAACCACGGTCATCGACAGCTTACTCCTCTTAACCCGTTCGGAGAAACAGAACACCAAAGCAAAGAAAACCAGCAGACTCATCCGGAAACACATGTGCCCGCTTCCGCTCCGCGTCCATTTCCTCATCCATCGGATCACGGTACAGGCAAAACTGAGTCCAAAAGTAAATTTCATCGAAAACTCAGTCATCCGCGTGCCCCGGTAACTATAAAGCCTGGTGAAAAAACCGATGCACAATCATTGTCGCACCAGGAAAAGCCGCCGAGACATGCCGGTACTGCAGCGTCTACCGGACAGCTCCACGGCATTTCGCAACCCGACGACGAATTCTTTCACAGGCGCTTATTTGGCGGCAACGGTGGAAGGTCAGCTGGACCGTTAGCGCATGCCGAACCAGCGGAAACAAGCAACAATTTTAAGCGTTTAGGTTTCGGTCATAACAGGGTGCTGCCTATTACACCCAGTCATGGAGAAACTCATCCATTGTTACCGAGCCAAGGACAACACTTCTGGAGTCAAAATTCACAGCCTGGCTTGGGGAAGGCTGAGACTGTTAGAGAAACAGAGAAAGGAGGATACTTGCCATCTCTGCTAGGCAGTGCAAATGCGGGAGCTAAGCTATTACCATATCAGGTAGCGTAACCTTTTATGCATGTGTGATAACTGATAATTATGCAGCCAAACCTATACCGTTACTTACATCTATCATATTGTGTACAAAGACGTGTTCATTGTGTACTTGTACAGAGCGAAACAACCAATGAGCAGCCTGCCAAAGGGCACCACATCCCCACAGCTATTCACCAGCAGCGCCATTCCCTGCTGCAGCAGCCCAGTTTACCCGCGTCACCTGGATTAAGAGGAAGACAAAGCAGCAATGAATTTGCGGAAATTCCACACAGTAAAACGGCTGGCATGCCTTCTCTGGGTGGTTATTTGATGCCATCGTTACTGGGCAAAGGCCGAGGGGATCTATTTCATCAACCGCTATCTGGAACGGACGAATTCAGCCCGAGGGCTTCGGCACCAGTCTTAACGAACCGAAATCCGGGTCATCTCAAAATACCTTCAGAAAACTATTCCCCTGGAACAAAGAGCGGGAAACAAACTGCAAGCCAGCAATCTCAGAAACACGTGGAGAGCCCTTTTGAGCGGCCGATCTATCACTTCGGAAATAGGCGAACCACAACCGAAGAGCCTTTTGTTAAAAAGCCGGTTGAAACAAAATGGAATCGCGTCGGAAAACTACCCGAACCAGTAGAACATTATGAACCACCTACTCGCAAGATAGTACCCAAGACTTTGCCGCCGGTATCAGAACTAGAGGAGTCCGCTTCTAGGTCACACAGAAGTGAATTAGGCAGCGGAGCACATAATCGTTGGCTGTATGGCCGGCCTCTTCATTCAAATTTCCAGGGTCCTTTCCGACAGTTGACGCCGCTTCAAGAGTCTGCGGAATCCGTTCCCAAACCTAAACTTCCAGGGAAACATCATAAACCGCCACATTATTTACCTGAGCCTTCTGTGCCACAATCCACCACAAGCCGCGTAGATTGGGTAACTCCACGACCGCTGCATTTTCGGACATCTACTGCAGTCACGCACCATTCTACAGCTCAAAGAGAAAACCGTTTAATGACTCATCACTGGCCAATCACACCGGCTAGAAATCGGGTTGTTACTCAAGGGAAAAGTCACCCACGACCAGTACTTCCTCTGGTTTCGACGCAGATAGTACCTTCCACACATGCCGTGTTTAGAACACCCAGACCAGTGGCCACCTCCCAGGTTACTGTGTTGGAAACCCCAGTTCGAGTTCGAGGTACAGTTCTGATGCAATATTATCGTTTTTAATTTTTTGCGTAAAATAACACACAGTGCTTTGTTAGTGCCACCAGAAGCGACTACGGTCACAACTCACACTAGTCCCAGGACATGGCGCAGAAAAACCAATAAGAATCGCGTTCCCATACGCAAAGCAAAGCCACCTACCTCTCCCCGGCCAAGTCCAGTGACCTCCACAGTAAGCCAACAGACAACACTCGGACAACCAGAAAGCCGACCTAAGGTCAAGGAGCCGGTTTACTATAAAAATCGTGGGAAGTCACGACAGCGGATCGAGGAGCGCTCTCGAAGCAGCGGGGACAATTCACTTGGTCCGGCACGAGAGAACGTTCGCCGCGGTCAAGGTGCCGGTGCAGAAGCGAGGCGAAAGCCGCACCGGGAGTCAGAATCCAGAAGAAGTGAACATCTTCCTGAAGAATCCGCAGCTAGGCAACCGCATCTCAGTGAACACGTTAGACGACCGCACGAGTTCAGTCCCGTGCAGGCGAATAGGCCAAACGCTAGAGCGAAACCGCCGGGACCACATGGTCCACATCTGCCCATCGAACATCAGCCTCGCAACAGCTGGACGCCACATGGGCCACCTGGTAACGGTCCACATCAACGTGCGAATACCCCGCACCGCAACTATAACAAGTTTAATAATCCAAATTTCGTCCAGAGAAATGAATTTCCACCAGATATGGTTGGTCACGGCAGACAAGAACCGCGGAGATCTTATAATAAATTTAGCAATCCAAGGGGCTTTGGACCAGCTACGCCCAGGCCACACTGGCGGTTCGTGTCCAGTAATCAGCGGAGGATGAAGCGCAAAGCACAATTCTCTGATTTTCCATACAGCTGCGACGCTTTTCAGAGTAGCCGTTTGGCATGCAGTATCATAGTTCTTGACGACTTACAGGACTTCGAATCAGTTGTTCGCATTGCACACAGTATCTTGAGCTTGCTTGAATAACGGCGTCGTGTGCTAGTTTCCACATTTTATTTGTTCACAAAAATGATAATTCAAGTTATTGCAGTTGTCGTGGGCCTGATCGCGTTTTGATCTTGGTTTAAACACCAAAAACATCCCGTTTGGGGAACTGTTAGACACTTTTACCTCACTTTAACGGGAAGAATGAGAAAGGGACGACGCTATAGTCTTTCGAAAAGAACAAAGATAAAACATGCTTCTAATCATTAGAGTTCTATCACAAAACGTTTACTTACCTACACTGTTACGGCTAGTAATAAAAAATACTGAATAAAAAATACAATAACCAAGGTGTGTGAGGGTCACATAATAGAAAAAGCAGTTATCACAATGTCCAGTTTTCTGGCAACAAAATGGAAACAAATGTACGCGGCCAGTTTGAAAACCGAGGAGCACGATCGACAATTGCAGCCACTTATGCACGTTTATGCCACCATTTATGACCTTTCTCACGTGCAGCCACCCGGCCATGTTCTTGAGTTGTCCCCTTATGTTCGTCGAAACGTTGCGGTTCCGGTGGAGCGAACTCGACAACCGGCCCATTGACAACCACCTCTACGGCACCGCTTGCCGTACCTTCTTCTGCAACCGCCCTTCCGCTTTGATTAGACCTCGTCGACATTTCCTCTAAATCCTTCTTGGAAGGCACAGTCTCTTCTGGAAACGGTACCATCGCATCGGATTCCTCATAGCTCTCGGTCTGATTGTGTCCCAGCAGGCCGTAGATGGCCAGAGGCCCCGTTAAGGTCGGCCTGCGGCCAAACTGAATCATTTCACCTAGGTTGCTGTCCCGTCGTTTGCTGGCGGTAAGAGGCTGAGATTGCGCTATTTCGGGCACAGTCTCAGGTAGTGACGGAACGAAGGTAGGAGAAGGCTCTGTGGAGATTCCACCGGGTTTTCCAGCTAAAGAATTGCGAATTAGTTCCTGAACCAAAGCCGGATTGGTGCGTCGGCGTTGGAGCATGTGCGTTTGGCTGTCGTGAATGTTGATCATCGAAAGGTCACGGCCGCTAGGCGGCACCAAGAACAGCACAGCGTATTCCGGATAGATCAGCTCGCCGTCCTGCAACACAAATTCACCGCTACAATTAGCCACAATATATGTTTTTCGTCACATTTTCTATGGTCGAGTCTCTAATAAGTAATAACCGTAGTACTACTGTACTGTAGCTACTGCGCCGCTTATATTGCATTATTATATTATTATTACGTTCAAATAAAACAGCTTCTCTGCCCAGGCTTCGAGTTCACTCCTGAATTACCTTCGAGCGAACTTCTTTTCGTCCTTGCGTAACTTGAACTTCCCGAAAAGATGCGGGGACTTTTCGTGGACCAATGATGTATTCGCCATCGTCGTCCTCGTCCTCACCGGTCATATCAGTGAGAGTTCCGGTTATCAGAAATATCTCATCGAATTCTTCCAAACCAGTTATTCGTACATGGGGGCGAACCAGACGAACAGCAGCTCGAGCCAAACGTGCCTTTTCCGACTCATACGTCGAATCCTGCATCATAATCATCCGTATAGGACGATGCGCCCTTAGTATATTTTAAAGCGCTATTACCGATATCGAGCCGGCTTTTATCAGGATATTCAGCGCCACCGCCGATGCGATGCGTCGCCAAAATCTAGCTTCAAGAGTCGGCAGAGTGGCTAAAGTCCGGAACAGAGATTCCATATCCAAATAGAGAAGCTGTAAAGCAACAAATTTGACTCATTCACAGTAAACAACCAGACATTTTTTTATGTATACTGGTTATTCCATCGGATTCTGGTGATTTTTGCATTTCGGTATGTACTCACATTGACGACCGTATCGCTGATGGCGTGTGACCTTCGAGGGAAATCCAGCGCCAGGCACTGTTCGTTCAGCAGTCCTCCCGCCAGCACATAATCTAACCGCATTTCGTCAGCACTGACAGAGTCTTCGGAAGTCGTTTTCAAGTTATCGGAATTGTATATCTCGCCAAGTTCCACATTATCAGAATAGAATTTCGGATAACTCAGCGAAATGACGCCGCTGATCACGACATAGACACCGTCTGCTTCTTCGTCGGCCGTCATCAACTGTGTGGCAGTATCGTAATGGCGCTCTTCGAAAAGGATTTTCATGACTTTGAAAGCTTCGATGTTTCCGTTAATCCATGGCACGTTCCATAAGCGATCCAAAGGTCGTACAACAGCGATGCTGTGCGGGAATTGGTGCAGCCGTTTCAAACGGTCCTCAATCGTCTTGAAACGTTAACCAAACTGGTCATTAGTACACAAACAAACGAATATTAAACATAAATCCTATAACAAAACGTTCTGAAAGATATGTTCTGGTTAACAGGATCAACAATCAGAATAAAGATTATGGATTTCCATATAGCAAAGTTACCGCTTGCAAATGGTTAACTTCATCCTCGTCTAGAATTCCTTGGTTGCGCATGTGTTCCACGGACTTGTGAAGATGGTTGAGGATAGACCGAATGGCCTGCCTGGTCTTCACCGCCGCTGCCACATCAGGGCGCTGTTCATTGAGTAATCCCATTTCTTTCAGTATGACCCGACAATCGACATCGGCCTGGACTTTGAACTTTATTGCCAGCGGTTTGTATCCAATCACAGCAGGGACCATAAGGGAACATTCTTCCTGTGCCACGATGAATGCTTTGGCCACATCATACGCCAGGAACAGATGACTGCTAATACGGCGATCCAAGAAGCGGACAATAGGTGGAACCAATGGCTACAACATTAACATGTACTATTCGTACATACGCTAAGAATACTTTTCGAAATAAAACGGCCGTGCAGTAAATACCCACTTTCATAAGCCGTAATGCTCGCCCGAAACGAATCAGCCGGAAAAACCTGAATATCCGAATGAGGCTCGCTGAGAAGGGTTTGGATTGGGCCACGCCCTTAATCTGTCCAGTGCTAAATTCGGCTAGGAAGTCCATCGTTACATCCACATAGGTCAACAGCAATAACAGGAAATCGAAGCGGTTCCATGTTAGAAAATATCCTTTGCCCCAGTAGCCCCGAAATCCAAGCCCAGTAATCTACAAAATGGCATAATCACATACTGTGCAGTGTACAGTGCGCACAAAATTTTAGCTTTCAAATAAACAAGTACAACATTGCCTCAGCTGCTAGCGAACGAGAAGCATTACCTTTATGATAGCTTCCAATGTATAGATTATGGTAAATCCCAGGTTGGTATACAAGAACACCAAGTGGGGAGTAATTTGCGCCGGGGGAAGTACCGTTGTGGTTGAATCAGTATTTACGGTCGAGTCACTGGTTACAGCCAACAAGGTTGTCAGCGTACTTGGTGCGAAAGAAGCAGTGGTGCTGGTCACACTCAAAGTGGAATCGGTCGTGGAATTTGCAGTGGTCGTATCTTGCCGGATTGTCCAATCAGCGATGGTCTCCACGACATTGAGCACAATGATGAAATAGATAAAGTACTTAAAGATGGCGCTCTGAGCAATGTTGTAAAATACACGTCGCCATGCTGAAGGGGGTGGTTCGACCACTTGTTGACTATCCTTATCGATCCAGTTATAAAAACTGGAAACCCGGTGTTTCTGAAAAGTGCGATCAGCTAAGCCGATTAGTTTACTAAAGGGATTTCTAAGGTCCAGATTCCCGAACAACTAATTGCAGGCATACAAATAATATGTGCGCGCTGTTGCGGCAGTGTTCAGTATTAATCTAACACCCAATCCATGTTTTCTTGCAGCTTGATTAAAAAAATTTTGCCATACTTAATATCATTGTACCTAAATAAAAGGTAGCGTGGTCGCGTTCCACGAAATACGTAATAAAGCCGTTAGCTTGCCTGTTGAATCTCACTAGAGTTGGAAAGATATTGATTGAGTCTATGTCCAGCAGAAAATCTACGATTTAGCCTACCATGGCTGTCCAGTTCTCATTTTCCAAAACTCTTTTAATCTCCTTCTGGCCGATTACACCTTTGTCGTCGTTCAGTACCGTTTCGGAAATATAGTCGAGCTGCTTGATTCCGCTTTGGCTAAGCGTTCCTTCTTCGTATTGTCGCCAATAAGAAGTCTAGATTATAATTTTAGTCATAATTATCAAAATAAACGATATGACATCTTTGACAAAGATACACATCTCCAGTAACAGTAACGTGCCTACCGCCAGTAGGCAGTAGGTAGTGGAGAAAGCGATTTAGAATTTACTCCATTCAATCAAAGTCTCGGTGACCTTTTTGGCATTAACCAGTCGCAAACGCCCGATGTTTTCCATTTCTTCTAATTCATTTGGCAGTGGTTCAAGCTGGACCTCGGCTTGGCAGTTCGGACAATTCACTTCCCTGGTCACGTAATGAATGGTCCACAATGAGGTCTATAAATTTTCAAGTCATCCGTAAAACACACGAAAACAAACATGTCTTAAGTTTACACTCATCTGCTATCTCAAAGACGCAATTAAGGTCTAATAATGACATTCTAGCCGTAAATTTTAAAACTATAGAACCTGACTCTGGAGTTTGGCAGTTGTGGTTTCTTTCTCGAACGAAATATGGATGTACAATATATGGATATAGCTTGGGTATCACGTTTTACCTGCCCATCGTCTTCGATTCCATAGTGAGTGCCTTCCACTTTGGTCAAGTCTTCCACTCTTTGCCAGTCGGCATCGGCCAGGTATCGGTCGGTTTTTAAAGCATCTAACTTTTGATGCCGAGTCAATAAAATCTGCTTGAGCGCCATGTGCATTGTGATCATTTTTGACAATGGTATGTCCAGGATTCCTGTTTATAATGCACAATAGGGTGTTTTGATGGCATATTACGAAAGATTGTGTAACACAAACTGAAACGAAGCGCACGAAGCGCAATAATAAATGCATGAACTTTAGATTCAGGCGCACGAAACAATGTTGACGAAAATTCGGTAAAGCACTTGCCTAATCGTTTTAAGAAGAATCGCATTGTCGTAGCATTAAAGAGCAATGTGAAGGCTACCACTCCCGCTGTATGGAAGAGTAAGCGGGATCTCACTTCCAGGTAGTCATCGAACAGATAATCCTTGGCACCCAGAATCCCCAATGCTAACGTCACTGCCCCCTTGAACCCGGCCCAGATCATAACAAAGGTGTGCGACCATGTGAAAACTTTGGCCCCAATGCCGAATCGCATGAGTATCGGTTTCAAAATCAGGAAGCTTCCCGCTCTGTTAACGCCGATAAAAGGTAACGTAAGTACGCATGTCTATGTACTCGTCTGCAGAGCACAATGAAAACAAACAGCAAAAATGACTCAAAAATCAATGGATAGTAATTTTATTCTACACATTCTATGGAAATGACAACAAACAACCATACTGAAAAGTCGAAAGTGTTTTATTATACTTGTATATGTAGTTTAAAGTGGTTATGTGACCAGTTAACGAAAATTCCATGATAACGTATCTGCCCATACCTGACCAGCAGAATGAAGATATTGATAATTATCAAGAGGATCCAGTCGTTCTGGGTGACGTGGTTTGTTGTCGTATCGATGATTATTATACCAACTAAGCTGAATATCAGTGTGTTCGAAATGAGTGCCACCAGTTCCCAAATACTAAAAACATGTTGGTGCTGTTTGTGCATTTAATTACAAGAATGTGGCTGGCCATTTTTGCGCCGTTACCGATTAACAAGGACTTCGACATCGGGACTAATACTGGTTCTGTGCGAGCTCATCCACAATCCCAGAACAGCAGTAGCCAGCGCTCCACTTATACCGAAACCGGCATCGGCACTCCAGAACACCAAGTACGGCACACTTAAGATAAGAATGAGTTCGGCTTCCCATACACTGCTCATTCTTGATAACAACTGCGTAAGCAGAAAGCCCACGCACAGACCTAACACGAAAAGATGAATACCCTAAACCAGACCATAATTCAAGCAAAGGTCATGGCGCCGGTGGCTGTTTTTCCTGCCAGCGTACAAACGTACCCCAAGCTGGACCTCCAAAAATATTCAGTGCAAAAACCTGAACTTGGTGTAAGATATCCATGGTGTCAGACTGTGGATCTTTCGTTAGATGCATAAGACTCTGGAATAGATTAAACAAAACCACGGCCGATGTATCGCTTAGCAGAGACGTTCCTTCGAGGACAATCATAAGGGACTTTGCCGTTCCTGCAAATAAAGCGTAAAGTAATTAACGAGACAACTGAATTACACAAATCCAGAACGGACAGTCTGGCAGCATCGGTAATTGGAGCAGATGCGTAATGAAAACACGATGCAAAAGGTAACGGTTACTAAACGATTCTTGGTAAGCAGTTTTATATTTTTCAAAAATATTTCAATAGCCAAAGCAAAATCAATTAGTTGTAGTTTCATCATGATACATGTACTCCTTTAACGACTTCATGATGAGCCCATGCCAGCGGAATCATGAATGATATAATGCAAAGTGGCGCTATCAAAATATTTCAAAATATGACTAAATTTGTATATGTTTTGTGGAAGCAGCCCGTCGGCCGGATACAAGTTTGGTTGTTTGGTCGACAAAGTTTCTTGTGTACCTGCCTCGTGTAATAAGGCAACTGCTGCTACGGGATCAGTTGCGCTGACTATCGCCGAGAACAACAATCCCGTCTGTATCGTCCATCCAGGAGTAGTAGCGAACACTTCCGTACTAATGTACGCCACCGCAACAATGTTGATAGCTGGAAAAACAAATGCGGCTCAATTTTTTACTCAGTTCAGTGTTTCTTCGTTAAATTCTGCCACAGAAGGTCGCGTCATAACTTTGCTATGCAATATTCATCGATGTACTTTACCCATGCCAACTGTTCCAATGAGCGCAATGTGCCAAAACAGTTTTTTAAACAGGTAGGTCTTCATGCAGAATGCTGCTTCGTAAATAAGAGCCGGCAGGAAAATCAGCAAGATCACGTTGGGATCTGTTTGCGCTATGCTGGAAAATATCTTGATAGCACAGCTTGGCTGCGCTGCGGCTCCATAGATGCATCCCAGCAGCAGGACGAATACCGTGTACGGAAGAACAAATCGGTGACGGGTTAACTTCAAGAAGTATTTCGCAACAGCGCCAATAATGAGGGTCAGGAAAATATACAGTATTTCTAAAAAAGCACTTGCATATAATCTTGGAAACATGCTTATAATAAGCCAGTAATGTGCAAATTTAGAAGACTGTTTGACGATGTACTGAGAAAGCTAACTGCCAGCATACCACAAATAGGGAGTCAAAACAAGTACGTACTGTACTGTACCTGGAGCATGTACAGAAGAAGCCGTCGGGCATCCATCAACTGTTCCATTTCCCTTGTTGGCCGTCGACCCAGCACTACGCTTTGCTCTGACACGTAATCGATATAAAGCTGTCGTCCGTCGTGTTTCATTGTTTTCTAAAGTGAAACGTATTTTACGCCATAAAGGCCTCCATTAAAAAATTTTAATATTAGCAGTATATGGGAATCTGACTCCTCTTTACTAAACTGGCGCATATCGCCAGAAGTTGCGTACAGTCGTATATAAATCATATCACATTTTAACCTTACGATGCAATAAATATCTCAATATAGTGGTATACTAGAATGTGCTTCTTTACCTCTTCTCTGAGTAGTGATATCAGAACTCTCAGAAAAATCTTTGGAAGAACTACTAGAATAATTAGCAAAGATTCCTTTGAAAATGCATAATAAAGCTGCTAAAGTGAAAAGTGCAATATATAGCTGTCCCATCGCAAAATACTAGAAAGATCCATGATTCAAATACAGCTTTTTAGCAAATTCTCGGCTTGACCCATGCTCTGCTCCAGTGCAATAATTACGTAAATACTTTGGTTTCTGGCATCAGTTTTGCGCTTGCAAAAACGGAATTCAGTTTTAGGTAAGTATTAATATCACTACGGAAACATAGGGTCCGAAAGCGAACACAAATTCATTGGCTTGTGTAAGCATTCTAATGTAAAAACACGGTAGATGGAACTCTTCTTAGTTATTTCGGAATTTGCGATAAGCAAGCGGCCAGTACCCATGCTATAGATACCATGACTCGGAGGCACCGCGTCATGCGTTTGAAAGGGATGCTTGCCTCTTTCGCCTTGCGAAAAACTGCACGCGCGATGGACCGGCCACGGACAGACACAGGGCAGACCAAATTCTCCTCTCGCATGTGCATGTGCACTTGCGGCCTACCGATTGTCACTTTTGGTAGTCGGGCCCGTCTCTCTGTGACCATGACTGTTCCTAGTAAGCACAGTCTTAATTGCTTTTTAATTACTTTTTATGACTTGTGCTCGCGATTTCTGGGCATGTGTACTAGTCCGGTTGCTTATCGCAAATCAGGTATTATCATTCTGTGAGCACTGAGCAGTGAGCAGTACGATTTACGGCACTTACACGAACATAAATTTAAAACCTTTTTAAATTTTCAAATACCTATTAAAATTTGAGCCTGAAGCCCGTTACTTAAAAATGCAGAACTATAAATGTTTAAATTTGCAGTGCGAGTACGGCAACAACCGCACTATGCGCTGATGCGATCAAGAAAGTCTGGATGCGGCCAGCCTAAACCTAATTACTGAATATATAGAATCTGTGTTCAGCTGTAGAAAAAGAAGAGTAAAGAAAAAGAGCATTGCTAGATGAAATATTATATTAAAGTTCACACGAGCTTATCATTGTTGTCCATGCTACGTACTCTACCTTCAAGAAAATTGCTAAAGTACGTTTTGGATCGAATCACGGGCCCAGGGGGTGGTGAAACGGAAACGTTGTTATGGAGCAAATACGCTCCAACACGAGAGTAAAGCGGAAAAATCCCCGGACTGCTTTCCCAAATGACAATAATGAAGGTTTAGAGTCTTCAGACTTGCTGACTTCAAGACAGCTAGACGAATCTACCGTTTTAAGGTCAAATTCCTCGCTCGCGCTTTGTTTTCTTTATATGCGATCCCGATCTTGTTTTCTACACTAACTATCATAACATTTGGTGGTTTTGTCGCATATAGCAGTGTGCAAAAAAGACTCGAACGGGGAGAGAAAGTTGATATTTTATGAGAAAGAGTGGCATATTAATACCATATGGTCCTGATATGGACTTCATAATCAGGATTATATGGCTACCTCTACATGCCTCTTGTTCAAGTACCAGATTGTGCAATGCATTGTGATTTTCATGACGCACCAATCTAGTAAGTTTATCATAAGCAGTTAGCATACCACAAGAAAGAAAGCGTCCGCGAAACTTAGAAGATGGTAAATTTTTGTTTCTAAAACCCGTCCAAACGTGCTGTTGCGAGGGCTATTCGCCGTGTACGTACCTACTGAAAATCTGAGAATAAAATTTAATATTAGAAAAGTACACACACTTATTCGCTAGTTTTTTTATAGATGGTTCTACGTGGTGCTACGCTTGCAATTCCGCACAGGACATCAAATGCTATGACCCCGCGAATGCATTTTACAGCGCTCCGGATGATTTGGTCGCATTTGTATCGAATTCAAGTAGCAAGTTTAGCGGAGTATTTTCGTTCACTTCCTCAAGCTATCTCAAAACTAGCGCCAACGGCAGTCAGACTATGCAGTTTGTCGAAACGGGAACCAAGATGGATTATTGTACCAATCACACGTACTCTAGGTGGCACAAAAGCAGCAACCAATCGGGCTCCAGTTTTTTGAACTTCACAAGCTGCCGTTATCGGCCAGCAGGTCTTCGGCTAGTGAACTGTGATACACTTCTAGCGGATCAACCAGGCACCAAGCAGTGTTTCAAGATCAAGCAAATTGGTAAGTCAAAAGTTTTGTGGAAAATAGCTACAGACATCAGACAATTTGGGCATGCTGCGACCGTACAGATAGCAGTGCCAATGACAGTAGTGGCGATTTTGCCATAAACCCACTATAGCAAAATAGCCGCTGTCAAACAGCCATGTCAAACTGGTGACCTTTTTTGCCTTTATTGTTTATTACCCCTTAAAAGCAAACTTACCTGCATATTGCTATATAACACCATCAGTTAAGGCCACCGCATTAATGGGGTGAACTTTCCAGTAACCACATTATTAGCATAACCAGCAAATATCAGAAAGTGATTCAGTAACTATCAGCGCGATCTTCAGTTTTGATTAATGGTGCACTTATAATTCTTGTTAATTGTTATGGAAAGTTTATATCTACCGTTAGTCACGGTATACAGTACGTGTTTTGACAAAATCCTAAGAAAATGTTCTGACTCGAAGAGGTCGAACGCTCTAACTATTTTGCATTAAATTCTCGACTTTCGAGCTGCGTAATGGTAAATTAAAGCTAATGGTAAGCCTGGACTTTACAAACAATTTTCGGACATTAGTGAGCTAATGCTTTTCGATAATCAATAGGTGGGTCAGTACGTCGGGCCATGCTGTTTTTATGTGCGACATAAAATTCTCTTTTGATATGCGTTCTCTCTATGCAAATCCTCTATCGCTCTATGTACAAGTAAAAACAACTGACAATAACTCGGTATGTCCAACACTGCAACCTGATTACGTATCTGAAATAATTAGAAATATATTGCCTACGTTAATGGGAAATATGTTTTTTAACTCCTATATTTTTTGCATGTCTTAGGCAAATTTAGCTTCGTCAGATTATAATCTGTCCACAAACGAATTGATCATGTTGTTGTAGCTGGAATGAGGAACACGGAAACCGTGGAGAATATCATTCGTACGTGCATATCCAGGCCAGTAGAAGTGGCTAACGACACCTGTCAACGAACAGTCAGTCTTGATGGGAAAACGGAAACAGTGTGGTGCACCTGTTCAGATACATTGTGTAATTCGGCGTCCACAATTAAATGTAAAAGCATGGGGCCGACAACTTGTTTCATGTTATTTTTTGGCTTATTAGTTTGTTTCCTAGTTTACCTGGCCAAGTAAACTTTCTGTTTTCTGTACCTATAATTAATAACAAATTAATTCAATAAACAGTACAACTGTAAAATCAGGGGAAAGGCTACACGGCTACACGCTGTGAAAAATACGACAATAAAGCGTCGATCCCATTCCCATACATGTTAACCCCGCTACTATACATTGTATACAATATCTTGTAGCACTTAAGTAATTCTCCGATACCGCTATTTCCGATAGAAACATTTGAATTATCGGAGCTATTACTAGTAGGCAAAGCGGTGACTTCCAATGATTTATATACAGTACTTATCGGACCTGATCTGAGGCCGGCGAAATGCTGAATTTTTTCCCGGTATACATGTACTTGGCAAAAGTCAGTATTTCGCCGTACGCTGTCCTGCTGCATGTTATAATAAATTATACCAGTAGCTCCTGGGTACCATGTTGTAACTCCGATATCTTCTACGAGTCCTGTGATTTTTTTATCTCTGTATAATTCATCTCATTCCCATGCAATAGAGGGAAATAATTATATTACAGATTATAATCCTCTCTAGCTGAGTTACACTCAAGGGAGTTGCCGGGTTCTAATTACTAGTAGCTTATACCGTCCCGGAATTGCGCTGAATGTAGATATATACCTAGTGTACCATCATGATCTCTACATGTACTGTTCCACAGGTTTTATTGAACAATTTTTGGAATTGTTTCACTCTTGCAAAATATTATAGCGTCTAGTATCTAGCCAAAGCATGGTTAACGATAAGCAAGAAGTATTCTGCACACTGTAACAGAGCTAGTGGTACAGCAACTGTATGTGTTAGCAGTCTAACCATAAGAGTCTTTGTGGTACGACACCAGAGGGCGGTTAGCATTTAACACTCACCAGAACGCTCGCTAACAAGCAGGGCCACAGACTGCTGTATTAAACAAGCGACATCGCGTTTATCGCTCCCTACAAGGTGCTAAGTCACTCTACGGCGCTACGCCATACGTGCATTATTTTGCGAGTTGGCGACTGTGGCAGTTTACTGAAACTGTGAAAATCTTCCCGCTTCTCACTTCTGGCTTTCCTAGGCTTATACAGTTTCTCAGGAGCGCTGACGGATAACAGTTTAGCCGTGATTCGTACATCTTGGTCTTTTGATTATCGCAGACCTGCAGGGAACATAAAACGGAAGAATGTTGTAGCAACTTGCAGTGATAAAGCACACTGTTATTAGCAAGCAGATCTGAACTACTCGATGTTATTCCAATCCTGCGATCGAGCCTCGCCATCCGCCTGAGTGGTCCGTTCATGGATTCTCCGGTACTTGTCGTGTCTCCATCCCGTAATCGCTCACTGTTCACCATGTCCTCCTCGGCCAAACGTCGCTGGGACCTGGCCTCGGAGATGGATGAGGATCCCAGTGACAGCGAGCAGCGTCTGCCTGCTCGCAAACGCTTATCCACCAGGCCGACCGTGGAGGATCCCAAGCAGCTGCCGCACAATTTCCCGGAGTCTCCCTCGCATCTGCCCGTGCTGGCCCACGGGGATCGCCGCAGAACCCCGACGCCCGAGGCCAGCAGTGTGCCGTCGGATAGTGGACTGGGTGCGTCACCCTCCGAGTCTCCTGCGCAGTTTCTCAACGCATCCGACAATGACGAACTGATGGATGTCAGCGTGTATAATCCCGAGTACGATGAGTCACGGAACCCCTTCTATTTCAGCTCGAACAGAGTGCTGTACGAAGCGCATCTGGAGAGAATGCGACGAGGAAAGGACTTCTAGAGAAGGTATGGGTATGCCCTTCATTCACACTGCGTAGAACTTGAAGCGCCTCGAAATTTTAAGGCTGCGCATTGTTAAGGGGGAAACCGAAACAAAATCATTTTTCCCTCTATTACCGATTTTTTGTGTGATCAGTAAATTGTTTTTCAATTTACAATCATACAGAGTGTATTAGGAGATTTCGTGGACATCGCGTTTTCACTTTGTCCCTCGGTACCTGAGATTAGCAGTTCCTGATGACTGCAAATCTGCTGCACTCGTACTGTTTGTCAAGTGAGAAATTGCAAAGCAGTTTTTTCCGTTTTCGATAATTTTCGTTTTGACTTGACATACAAATAGATAGTCCACCTGGGAAAGAAAGGTGCGGAAATATGAACGCTGTTTTTATGTGCTAATTCTGGATGATTCATTTACATTTCAAGATGTCTTTTGGACGCTGTGAAGGCTGTCCCGCTGCATTTGAGACTCCTATCGATAATAGAATAATATTAAAGAATAAAATTTGTTTTCAATTCAAAAACCACCTTTCTGATCTTTCAAAAACCACCTTTCAAAAACCACCTTGGCTGATCACCAGTTTGGATGAGTTTTTTCAGCCTTTCATTAATTTTTGCCAGACCGCTGGGATTTCTGTTGTATCGTGAATGTTGGCCGTGGAAATAATGAAATTGTTGTCTTTATTTAATTTAAATGGCTTGACTTATACAGGATTTTTTGTGTCTTTGATAGGGCCAGGAAGAGAAACCCTGGAATGATGGCTTCGTTCGGGATGAAACTGGGACATTGGTCTGGATGCAAATTGTGATCGTTCCCCGCCGCTGTGATCACTGAACGTGGCACTGTCTTCCGTGCACTCAAATACAGTCCGGGTTTTGTTTTCTTTGTACAGTCTCTCTCTCTCTCTCGGTTTTCAGTTTACGTAAGTTACATGTTTTCTCTTAACTGCTTTTGTTTTTATTTGAGGTACGATTCTATGATACGTTCCTCGTGCGCCGTCTGGTGGTCCAAATGTTTTTATTGTCTTAGAAAAATCTAGCAAAGAAAGTTGTTTACCGTGCAAACCGGAAACTTTGTTGTTCGTGCTCGAAGCTGCAGCGTTATTAAGTTTGATTAAAGGACAAAACCGGAAGCATCGAGATAAGGAAATCGTCTGACGGAGAATATGATGAATGACTTCTGGTGTAAATGGAATTTAATTGGCCTATGCAAACATGTACAGCTGGTTGAAGGAGAACTGAAGATCGTTTCATTTTCCTTTCATTAATTCTCATTTAAGTACCTTTCATACTGGCGATTCGGCGCTGTCTTCAGACGTTCGGGTTAGTTAGTCAAGGCGGGTGTCTGGAAGTAAGTATGGTCACTGCAACATCTGCTGGGCATTCTTTAGTTAGAAGTCCAGCTGCTCTTTAACCGTGACGACCAACGGGTTAGGGGGTAAATGGTTTTCGGTCTCTTTAAAAGTGCAAACAAGGCATAATTTGCCAGTATACTTCCTCGGCGGTGGGACAAACGCATAGATATTAATTTGATCAATATTAACCGTTCAACAATTTTGTAAACGGACCGTGAAGGTGTAGCACAATCAACGATTTAAACTTTATTGTTCTGGTACACCGGCAGTTTACCCGTTAAAAAATTATGAGTACATAACTGTTACGAATTGATAGCAGTTATTTGAGACTATTAAATAACAATATTGCAAAATGCGGTGCAGGACGTCAATTATTAAAGGATGTATAGTTCTGTACAAGGTTTCGTATTTGCCTTATTTCATGTTCTTAGAAAACCATGTGCCAATGTGCAAATTAGTACTTTCATATGTTACCGCGATATACTTATTTTGTGGTTTATACATAATACAATGATAAATTTCCCTTTTTTCCATTATCATAAATTATCGCAAAAGTCTGAACTCGTTGTAGACAAACAATGGATATCTAAGATGCACGCGGATCACTAATCACTTTTAATTAACTACTAATGCTAAGTAGGTAATACATACATAGAAGTATAACTGATTGTGGTTTGTGACCTAAAAAGACAATATTTTACCATTAATTAGAAAAATCTGGTAGTGCGCGACGTACCATACTGCGAAGTATGGTACGTCGCTGCTGCAGTACCGAACAGATATGTACCGTACCAAGTGCTCCAGCACATCGCCGATGATCTTGGCGTCAATCGGAACTAACATTGTCGCAGATAGCGCCAGATACGTCACGGTGCTCCTTCATTGCAGTGACCATCTGCTCACCGCTCGTTATCATCTCTTGTCGGCCTATTAGAATAGACAGAAGTTATGTTCAAATATTGAATGAGTGGGTTAATTAATTAGTTAATTAGTGGCAACACGATGACGTACGATCGCGAGCCAGATGCTCATGATATGCATGGGGCAGCCGCCGTGCATATATAAATTGGTATAATTACTGCAGTGTCCGCGCCGTCCATGAAATTAGGCAAAGGGCAATTGTGTCCTTCAAAGATCACGCTGGCGGCGGTTGGCTATAACATACACTGCTATATCTATATATAACATGATACACTATTAATGTCTATTATTATACACTGTATTACACGTACTTCAAGTACTGTATGTGTGTTATGCAACAATCTGCGTTATATTAAATATGTAGTTTAGATTTTCCTGATACACGCACAGATCACAGATGTAATCTAAACAAGCTCCCTGACCATAATAACTATAATTAAAATGATATGTATAACTAGTATATGTATGATTAAAATATGTATCTAAACAGTGAGGTGACAAAAACGACGGTAACAGACCAATTAGTTCAGTAAATAGTTTTGCAATGAAATGTTAAAAAGTGCATGTACTTGTACTGGTTTAGCAATAAGCATTATAAGCAGGATTGTGATTATTCGGATTATGGCAATTCAGTTTCGCTATGCCGGAAACTTTAAAAGTAGCGAAAATGTAATCAATAGCTAATAGCTAACACAACTATAAAAAATTAGTTGTATCAGTTGAGCAATTTATTAGTAGTAGGTTATACTAATCGTATTCTAAAAGGGCTGCGAAGGGCCAACTGCGCATTGAATACTCCACATCAATTTTGATCTCCGTACATTACAGTACTGTAGTGGCTCGCACATCTTGAACCACAGAGTTGGTGCGGGAAAAAAGCGCATCCAATATACACACTCTAACAGGGCCAAACGCGGTGTGCACTGATAAATTTCTGATGTCTCAGAACATCTGGTCTGGAGAACCTTCTTGAATATTAAGAAAATTAGAGCTCTAATAATTATTAATTATATTTATGCCCGAAAGCAGCCATTAACTTAGAGCTGTCAACTCGAATTCAAAATGTTGTGCAATACGTTCAGCGACAACATTCTACAGCTGCAGAACAATTCGAGCTCTCAGATACATTACAATTTTAATGACTTCTTGCAGATTCAGAAGGAGTATTCATCTTAAAATCAAATCAAGCATTATTTCATAGCCGTGCATTTTGCCCCGTTAGAGTGTGTATATTGGATGCAGTTTTTCCCGTATACCAACTCTGTGGTTCAAGATGTGCGAGCCACTAGTACAATATACTGAATAGCCTACACATGCTGCGCGGTTCTTCTGCTCGAGATGCAAAGTATTCCGTATGAGTAGTTGAGTACATTGTTCAACACAATACCATTGCAGGCATTGCTCATGCAGAGGCCATATCATAAAGTATTGAGAATAAAATTTTTGGGAATTGGCTGCCGACCGGACAGTACCTTTTGATGGCCGTCGGCACCGGTCAGCACAGGAATGTAGACTGAAGAATTTTCCCAAGCCCGAGTTATAATCGCGCCTGGCTGCTTTGGTTGCCGTGAATATAACACGCCATTTATATATGAAGAAGTTGATGTGGGATGCATGAGATTTCATAAGTAAGGGAAGCGCAAGGCGCAAATCATAAACGGTTGTGGCTATAAATTTCCTCACCGTTTAAATTTTAAAAGCGCAATTACCACCGGCACGTTCAGCCATCAACACACCCGTATATTTGGCAAAATAAAACCGGTATCGACGCTAAAATTTCTTTGACAGAAATGACATTACAGCGAGTACACTGTACAATACATACGCTACTCTAATGTTTTCAATGATTTAAATGGACATACTTCTATATAAAATTGCTGTAGTTCAACAAACCACATATCCGCCTGATTTCTTCTTTTTCACCTGAATATGCGCTGCAGTTGTACCTTCACTAAATTGTACAATTAAAGTGCCGCAACCATAATTTTTTTAATTTTAACAACATTAATTTGTTAAATATATACAACGTTGACATTAATTATTATTGTTACATGCATTGGACCCACTCTAGCATCTCCCAATAAACGAAACGCACTTCACGATGTTTTAAATTAATTAACACCGCAAAAAAAGAAGTGTTAATAAAATGAAAGCAAGAAGAGAGGCAGATTTATGCTTTTGTTACATCATAAAATTCCGTAACGATTCACTTGGCGTCATTAAAAATTCCAATCCACCTTCGGCTTATCGATAGCTCAGTCACTTTCTTATGCGTTCGCTCTCAAAAATTAACCAGTCCAAGCGCCCAGCGGACGTCTGTGGTATGTGCGTAAGTGACCGCCCCCCAGTCTCATCGCGTAGTTGCGGTCATCTTGAGGTGGAGAGATATTCCGTTTTTACGAGTGCATGATTATTTCCGACGTACGGCGCTGCTGCACCAAATCGTGCAATAACGTTTAAACGGTCCGCAAAACGACAAGGGCCGGTTTCTTTACTGCAGTGTATTTAGTTAATAGCGCAGTCATTTGCTCAGCTATAATCACTGGAATGTTTTTGGCCGCATTCTTTAGATAAAAATTATTTCTTAGTTTGTCAGCATTTCGAATGTTTTCGCAGTCTTTCTGCTACATTTGGTGCGAGATTGGTGCTGTTTCTCTTGGATCAATTCAGATTTTGCTTTTGGGTGCAACTACGAGTACGTTTGTTCAGCGGGATTGCCCTTAATCCATATGCTGGAGCTGGTAAGTCAATGATCATGTACTTAAAATTATATATTTTAACGAAGTTTCAAAGTTAAGCACCTATATCATGCACTATATTAAGTAACAATAAGTTTCAGACCTTCTGCGAGTACAAATTTCAAAGCATACTCTGCAGATATTGCCTGCACGATTCAGTTATTTAATTAATTATGTCATTTAGTTTAAGTACAATAACATTTTGCATAAATCACACTTCGGTCAAGTGTAAACATCACCAGAACGACTTGGTTACTAAAATGCTTCCCCGGTGAATATTTAGCTTTGACTTGAAGTTCAAAGGCTTGAAAAATTTTAGGTTTCGTTTTCAGTTTCGAAACCGGCATCCTATTCATGGTAGCTTAAACCTTAATGCTAAACATTCCTCGGCGCAAGCTTTATTAAAGTTACTTAAAGGTTAATCGATTGACGCCTAAGAAAATTAGCAATGCAATTAATTGCTGCATTGTTTCCAACATGGCTAGAAACCGTGAATGTGTATTTAAAACGAATTGTTAACCGCGTGTTTACAACATCTGAACGTTTAAACTGTTGTTGCCTCCAGTGCCGTATACGCAACCGCTTGTCACTCTGGCACATTTAGGTCTTAAAATCACTACAAAATACAACGGCTGTACAGTGTACTGCAAAATTATTACAATTGTACTTAACTTTTAAAAGCGGATATAATCTGATAATAAACCTGCCACAGTTTTTAATGGAGAAAAACAGAACTGATGCTTTTGAAATGCTTGCCGTTAATTCGTAATTCTACGAAACACACGCAACGGCAGTGTACCTGATTCTCTTCTAATAAAAAGTCGTTTAATTCGGGATTCAGCGGAAGTGCTCTTATTTAAATTTCCACGTGTTTGACAGCTCTCAAGACGTTTGAGTTATCGCTAATCCAGCTACTTGGGAACTAATCCAACACCTAAGAAGGTCAGGCTATAGGCGTCTTGAATCAAAACAAACGCCACTGCTGACCGGCAAAATAGAGGATCAGCTTTCAAATGCAGCCGTGTACAACGGTGCCATTGTCGTTGTATCTGGTGTTTATCAATTCGCATTCGTCGTGGTGCGCTATCGACATAAGTTTCCATATCATGTTACCACCGGCACCATCCATGAATCCGGGCAAATCTCCCATGAAACGTCCGGCTCTCACGATTTTCACATTAAAACTAAAAAAATTTGATATCCTGCGAATATATGCAATATTTTCTTTGGGTGTATTCCGCTTTATTCGGGTTATATCGTTCTGCTTCAAGCATACAATTATACGTACTAGCCTTCGGTTTTCGATGGATATTTTTAAAGTACGGGAAAACTGAAGCTTTGCGATAACATTAATTTTTATTAATATTCTATTGCCGGTTTTGGGATCATGATAAGTACCGTCGTGAGTGGATGTTTGCCCCCAAGGAGGGTCAGCAGTCTATTTTTACTGTTTAAATTTTCAATCATTTTAATTAGTTTCTACCAGCGCAAGCTTATTTTTATGTGAACTGGCCATTGCCGAATTAAAAGTAATATTGATAAGTACCGTCTCATTTACTGTGCAAAGCTAACCGTCGCTACTGTGCGCCCAGAACTTGCACATCATGCATTTGGCCGGTTAGGATCATTCTGTATTCGGAATTCACGTCAGAACCGGATTTTTTGTAATAAAAGTTCATGTCCTCTAATTAAACAGGAATCACCTTGCTGGTTGCTTCGTGCTGTGACAATTACTGACAAAAAATTGTAAACCCCTTAGATCGACCGCATGTGCCAGTGGCTACGGCTTGGTAATTGGGATTTTTTTCGGCGGACTACTTAAAGCGTTGGTCATCACTCAAAAAATTAGGTACCTTAAATGTTTCTTTTCTACACGTCAACCCACTGATTATTGCTATTATACAAGTTGATTATATTTGCGTACATGCAGGCATTCACATTTGTCACGAGAATGAAAGAAAAATGCACAAGAAATAACTGCCTCATTTCAAGCGCTGAATACCGCAAGTTAACAGCGCGACATGATTAATGATCAATCGATCTGTTTATTCGTGTGTGTTTTCTTTTGAGCTTCTCGTGGTAACCTATAATTAATTCTCGCTGTGATGGTACTCATTTATCATGACTATATCGTACTTCTACCTGGTACGTACTGCAAAAACCGGCAGCGGATCTGAGTAGTATTCATCTTCAACCTGATCAAAAATCAAAATTATTGTATTTACGGCATGCGATAGCAATTTGAATGTAGATATTTCCTAATCATAAGAAAATATTTTAGTCATAATAAGTAATAACACAGTCTGCGCTGAGTGTGCTCACAAAGTCACGCTTTACGTACCTGTATGTCTTCCTGCAACTTGGTAAGTGCCAAGTAGATTATTATTGATGTAAATTACCAAATCTACATAATTATACGGCAAAAACTTCTTTTGTTACGTTTTGTTTCGATCCTGTACGTATCTTTAGTTACAGCAGTGCACAACGGTATGTCTTCCTGCAACTTGGTAAGTACCACAAAACTGGCTTAGGAAACCGCAAAAATCTGCCATGCGATAATTTTGTGCGTTACGATTAATATCTTTTAGATACATCGTTATTTCATTACTAGCCATTAGTTGCAAATCTGTAGTTAAGCATTCCATTCGTTTGTTTTTGTTAAAAAAATTTGTCGTGATGGAGAGCTTATGTACATTATAAAAAATATTATCACTTAAATAAACTAAACTTTACGGATTCCGGTAACAATTTTGCACGCCAAAGTACCAGGTGTAATTAATATGGTGCAGCTGCTGCACATACCATTTCAGATAAATATCTTTGTGTTTAGAAATCAGTACGTATAAAGAATGGAACCAAGTTTTGGGTTTATGTGCAGTTTATGTACTTAACTGTAAGCGTGTTATAAAATGTGAAAACGGTGTCTGATCACTCCACAGACGTGAACAGTATGTGGAATGGTGCACTGTTTATTTGTTCCCAAAATTTGATACTGTATATAGTAATGCCTACCATTCCATACGACTAACTGTAGCATTTCCCAGCTTCGATTAGGTTTCGACAAAAAAAATTATTAATAATTGTTGTGAGTTTTGCCGTACGAGGACACGATCATATATGGGCATAATTATATGGGTGGATGAAAGAAATGTGTTCAGACCTTTCGCTGGTTTTTAATAACAGCTTTCAGAATGATTAATATCCGTTTTCATTCCAAATTCGTTCTGCCGCCTCATCTATCGTTAACAACCTACACCCAGCAGCACGATTCGCCTAATACCACATCCGATATTTTACGACACCAGCATCCGATCCATCCGCGTGCTTATACGGTTTTTCAGGACAGTGAATGCCGGTTAATAATAGAGCATTGTCGATTGTCTTGTCTATGCCAGAAAATGGGCGGATGTACAGAGGATAACTGGTTCACAGTGCAATATTTGTGTACGTGATAGGTTGTATTTATTGGTGTTTTTTTGTCACACCGCGATGCCTTTCCATTCACTCTGACAAGTGTAGACTGGAAATAAGTGCGAAAATTAACATCCACCGGAGTACGACGCAAATTGACTTGTTTATGATTTATGGCGAAATTAATCATAATGTAGCAAGTGCTGAATGTTTAGAATCGGAATCATGTTGTTAACACATATTTTCCGCATACTTTAGTCGTTAAGTATTATCACTCAGATTTATTCTCTTCTGGGTCAGGGCTTTTCTCACCAATGTTTAATAACGCCGTTTTACTTTACGTTGCACTTGCGACTTTGATACGCTTTAGGTACTTAATAGGTAGAACCGTAGAAGTATCAACAATTTTGTGTAGACAGTTTCTTATCCTAATCTTATGCACGCGCCTAATTTGTAGCATTTCTAACATTTCAAAATTAACATTTCCAAAATACCTGTAGCCCTAACAATTGTAAAGTACACCTAGCGAAATTTTTTATACCGGCTACTCCAAAATTTTGTCACTGTTGTACGGTACATACGTACTTGCAATATATACGTCATCGATCCGGACGATTGTAAACGATCTGCCGATCGAGTGGTGACCAACCACGATTTTTTTAAATACTTTGTACCTGTGTTTTATTAGCTTTAGTGCAGCCCGCCTATTTTACTTCACTTCTGTTTATTTCATACCTTTATGCTGTGCATTGTGTATCGTAGCTGATTAGTGGCATTCACGAAGACACCGCTGTAGGGCGTCTGTTATGGAATCCCGTCTTTCTCGCTAAGATGTTTGAGAATTTAAATTTTTATCTCTATTTACGTACGAAGTCTCTTACGGGGTTATCGAACAATATCAAATGGTTAAGTTACAATTGCAAGACGAGAAACGTTTACGACTTGTTTGTGCCGTTTGAGCCGATTCCGGGCAGTGTTTAGTGTGAATTGCGGCTTATCTGACCACATACCGCTGTGCATTTAGGAATTCCATCTTACCGTGTTGTTTGTTCTTACAGGGCAGTTTTGACAGTATAGTAGGCTGATAACATCGCCAACTGTCAACGCGCACATCAACAATCCCTTTGAGCGTTTGCCATAATACCTGTTCGCGATTTTCTCAACATGGATTCTCGACAACTATCAGTATCCGTCGGAGTACACAAGCGGCTTCCTCTCCCGACCTACGAGGAGGCGGTCAGAACCGGCAGCCGCGCTAGCGACCAGTTCCCGGTACACGGCGCCGGAAATTCGCCTTCCGGTTCAGCCAGTAATATCCCTGTAGCGCTGCAGAATCGCATTCTGCGTGATCGGGGAAATTACGCTATCTTATCGAGCGCAAGAGGAAATACCCCTATTTCCGGTCGGCCGAATCCAATTGCCGACTACAGTAATTCCTCCACACGGCCGAGTTTAGGCTCCCATCAGGACAATGCCCAGCAGCGCAGGGTGCGTTTCGTACGGGATTACATTCCACAAAAACCCGCTCGCAAGTTTCCTCCGATTTTCGAAAATCAGAACCTGTCGTCCAGTTGCAAAAATGTTTATACCAGCTGCGAGAATGTGCAGCGCAGTTTCCCTGCCAATTCCGCACGGCGCTCCTTCCATCATTATTTTACTGGACGAACCAACTCCAGTTTTATGAGCTCCTCGCCCAATATCCATGCCTTTTCTAGCGCTGCGGGCCGACAGAGGAACAGCTGTATTTCGTTAGGTTTGTGTATTATGTACTCAGCGATAATAAAGTTTAGATAGGTTCGCTTTTTTATCGGAGAACAAACAGTGTTTACCGACATGTTGATTGATCTCAGCCAGTGTTTGTGTGTTTGTTTTGTGCCTGCTGGGTAAAACACGGTGCGAGTGGCAGTTTTCTGTCATGGCTGTCAATCGCGTTATCGATAGTACAGGGAATTTATCAGCCAATTGTTTGGCGTTGCAGCCAGTCACACCGATAGCGGATAAAAGCTGATATCTGTTTTTCCAGATGACGAACACCTATTTAACCCGACCGCTGAAGAACTGACTCAGTATCGACAATTATTGAGCAGTTCGCGAGCGGAACTGGATTGTAACTTGTCGGATCAGTTGGGCACTTCACGCCGAGTGGCATCTGTTGATTCACTTGCACAACCACCTGTTGCCTGTGTTGTGGGACGGAATTTTCGGGATTCCGCGGGCGAACTGACTCGACCGGCGTCCATTAGCATGCCGCCGCCGATGAATGCGACCAAGATCCACACGAATGGATCATTACAGCACCGATTACAGGTAGGCTGGATAATTTTGCAAAAAGTAGGTGAACGACTTTCGAGTACTGGTATAACTGTGCGTGGATTATTGACAGTTTCGATATGTGCAACAGATGTTTATAATTTATTGCCTGCTCAGTTTTTCGAACGACAAAATTTTTCATAAATTTACTCAAACCTCCCAGTTCGATAGAGCTAACCGCTGCAGTACTTATTTTTGGCGAGGGAAAAATTTTTGAGAATATTTTTAGTTATTTTCAGTTGCAGCAAAGAGTGTTTATAATGCAGCATGGATTATTATTCGGTTTCGAATTTTTCGATTTTTTCTCTGTAAGCGTTTGCGGGCGGCGTTTTGTTTTTATCGTATTGAATTTCTGTCATTTCATGGTGCATTTGCTTTCTTTAGAAAAACGCAGATGAAAAACACCGTCTGTTTCTTTTAGCGGCATTCATATGAAAATGAGCGTATCAGAGCATAGTTTGCGTGAGCAGTACTTGATTCGTTATTCCGAGTCATGTTCGCGCATTTTTTTTCACGCTTGGTTAATAGGTCAAGTGAAATTTTATAAAAAATTGGGTTGGAGGACGAAATTGAAGATGCGAGCCTTTAACGTCGCATGCGCTTCTTATTATCTTTTTTTTCCACTAACTGGGTTTTGCGAAAGATGATAATACTAATAAGTTATAACTTATTACTTTTCAACATATTTTTTGTGCTAAATACGTAGGTTTATAATATTTAACAGCATCTTTATAATATACAGTGAAAGATAGAACTCAAAAGATTTTAATTTTTTGAAATTCGAACGGAAAATCCAGTTTTTGCAATGATAAAACATGAAAGTATTGAGTACTTTTTTGCGTAATAAAATCGTTCGTTTCAAGTATTGGTATAGATTCGTTATGAATTTTTGTCGGTCAAATGGAGCTCTGAGTTATGATAGCCTCAATGAAAAAATTGCCGAAATGGATGCGCATTGGATTTTTTAGCTACGAAATTACTGCGCTGATTTCCCATACTGAGAATTTAATACCACGATATTTTGCGAGGTTTCGTACCTCATCCAAATGGTGCCCTAATTAAATTTAAACTGCCGGGTCGTTTAAAGCATCCAGTACAGCCAAAATTAGCAACACTCGTGCGCTTCCGGTGTGGCTTTTCGGTTTGTGTTGTTTGATTGTCTATTTTGATTCAAAGAGGCCCGGCGCACTTCGGTTGATTGATAATGAGGAACTATCACGATTTTGACAGGGATTTATTTGAATTTTCACACTTCCTGGTGATTAACATGACGAATGTATTTTTACAACAAGCGCCGTCGCGGCATCGGGGTTGTTTACAAAGATTACCTATCAAACGACGGAATGTTGTTGTATTTTAGGCTCAACATCATCGCGATCCGGCTCCGAGCAGTACAATCTGCGCCGGCGATTTCTCGCGGATTGCATCACCTAATAACAATGGCACGCCACCTGTCGGTAAGCTATTCAACTGTCGACACAAACCTTGTTGACATGGTCCTTTTACTTTTGCAAGTTTTTTTGTCGTCGGCTGGCGGGTTCACTGGCTAGTGGTCAATAGACAACCGGTTATTGAGAGCACACACGCTGCACGGCAGATTCTGCATTGCAAAACGCACATGTGTTCGCGTGCTGACATTTAATCGGTCAAAATATAAGCATTTTAGGTCGGGATTGTTTATTTTTGATACATTTGTATAATTATTTGTTTTAATTGTACGATTACCGTGCGTCAAAAACCTTGGCGGTGAGTATTAACAACAGTGTCAATTCCACAAGTTCTCATTCAGAGACGAATTTCCATTCATGAATTAACCATTTCCATCCATAAGGGCACAAGATTCGTTTATTGTTCGATTTTTGTAGGAGGCTTAAGAACTTATGCTGAAGGCATTCGGAAATATTGGAATTTCTTTCAAATTTCTTGAAACGTATTAGAGTCCGATTGTATATCCACCTTGTTGTAAATTCTGAACAGGAAGACTTTGGGAAGTGTATTTAAGAGGGGGTTGTTGACATTTGAGAGCTCTTCTGTCCATTTCGCTGCCGTTGTAAAAGTTTCATTCGCATTTATTGCTACTATGGATTAGTCATAAAGTTTGCACTTGATGCCGATCGCGAGACGGTGAAGTAATCATCCGGTCAAATAGCAGGGTTGTTTTATTTACAACGGACTTTATTGGTTTAGATAAAAATTTTGTCTGTAAATTGTAATTCTCGCTGCAAGGCAAGATTGTCCAAACGTATGGAGAGAGTTGATTTTTGTGGGCGTTCTGTTTGTTGCTTCACTTGCCGTTTCATTAACATTACTTTGTGTTATATTTTAAGAATGCAATATAAATCCCTACAACGCGAACAGTTGTATGCTACGTGTAGTTTTCTTTTAAAACCCTGCTTGTTCAGTAATAAAAAAGGTCGAACTGCGCCGCGTCGTAATGCGGCAAATAAAAAACTTTCAACGAAAACTAAGGCAAACTGCCTTGTACTGTTACGTACAATCGTACATACGGTAGTCTGGTTTTAATATGTTTATGACAGTTTTGCGTTTATCTTGCAGCCGATCATGTTGCGGATGCTATTTCCGTTGATTCGGTAGCCACCGGTCACAGCGAGTCGGACAGTGGCAAGGCAACTAGTCAGAATTCGAACTCCGGTGATGGCAGCAGCTGTGACGCCCATAACGATGATCCCTTGTTTGTGCCCGAGGATTCATGTTTCGTTAGCCTGTCGGCTTCCGTCAATCACAGTAAATCAGCCGATTCATGGAAGATGTTGCCGGACGCAACACGGCTGCCGTGGAACGAGAGGTACAGAAAAAAATAATAAACTTCAACGAAAATATAGTTCGCATTTGATGAGATCGGTTCGGTGTGCTTACTGCATTTTGAGCGGTAAAAAGGCGGAGGCGGACTGGATTAACCTGGTTGCAAGTGTGTTTTGATGGGGGTGTCAGTGCTTAACAAACTTATTCTAGTATTATAAGGTTTTCGAAAGAGTGAGAGATTGGCGAAATTCTTTATATTTAACCTGATTATGATTGTGCTCGGTTCATTTCAGCAATTGTGTGCATGTAGGCTAAGCTGTTTCTCGAGATGATTAAGAATTCGGTATAACGCCGCTGATCCTAACCGCAGCACTGTTGACATTTCAGTGTTCATTTCGATAATTTATGTTGTTGAGCGTTGACGATAAATCCTCACAACATGTCAACGTATACACCAGCACAACATGAGAAACTGCCCAAAAAGCTTCACTCATGCTTCTTCGCTTGCAGTGACATTGCCAGTCTCCTGAAATCGGGTCGACTGCAGTCGTACCACGAAACGGGCCGCATCAGCGGCGATGTTGTCCCGTTGTTGGCGCAGTTCCTGAAATTCCCGTTTCTCCGTATTTGTGTGGAATTGGCGCGCCTATCTCACTGTAACCACGGACGATGTTCCAAACGCGATGTGCTTTTTGCCACGCAGCGAATCCTCTCGTTTTCCTTATTTGCCAAATGCAAGACCGCGTGTCTACAGGCAGCGGCATTTTATTCCTGCAGCACCGAGGATGGGAAGAAAGGGAAGAGCCTGCGGGCGGGATTGGCGCTGGATGTGGGAAAAGTCCATGGGTTTATGATTGAGCGGAAGTTGGGACGATTTGTCCATGATTTGGCCGCCGTGTGTCTGACAGCCGTTGTGCAGTGTGTGGCGGAAGAACTGATTTTAACGTGCCTGAAAGATGCGCATCCGGGCGAAAGTGTGGAGAGTTTTAGCGTCGAGAAGCGTCTTTTTAATGATCCGGAATTTTTCGGGATTTTCCAAACGTGGAGACACGTTCAGGTACAAGTTACAACTGAATATCTGTTTCTGCATTATTTAAATTGGCTGTTTTTTGTCAGCGTGCTCTGTATTACTAGAATTTTTTTTTCTTATTTTTCCGCTGCTTTTTCGTGCTTGCTGCAAATGTGATTATAAATTTTATTTAGGATCTCTGGCTTTTATCTGCCAATAGTGTATTTTTGTATTTTTCATCTTGTTTTTCCCGTTATTTTTGTGCTTGCTGCAAATGTGATTAATTTTGCTGATTAAATTTTTTAAACAAATTTGTCATTTAGGCGGGTCGGAATGCGACGGGGAAGACATTTTTGCCAGCTGGTTTTCCTCAGAATGCCTCCGCTCAAGTTTTAACGAGCGGATTTCGTGCGCTAAGTGATCTGATCTGTGCCATCAACGATGGATCCTCTTTGATCGAAGACTCCAGACGGGATCGGATTTCCGTCACAACAGGCAAACGTCCATACGACGAACTGACCATCTCACAGATGCACTGGTGTTCGGATGCATTGGCGTCGTTACATTTCTTCTTAGCTCAGGATCCACTTGTGGACTGCAGCGAAAAGTAAGTAAATCCGAAATCGATAAAAAAGAAACAATACGTCATTCTTAAACGTTGCTCTTGAAATGTTTTTCTGGGGAATTCTATTGACTGGAAATAATGTAGGTAAAGCGTGAAAACTGAGCTAGTACATCCTTATGTATTTTGTTAAGTGGCGGAGGTACTTTTCCGCACTTGAAAGTTATTAGTGGAGCGTTGCATGCCCAATCAAGGCCGTTTACGATTTATTTCGATTCTTCATGTGACCTTGCATTAGCATAAATCAAAACCCATGTCCTGTATAAGCTGTGTGTGTATAAATATCACACTTGAGCCGGCGCGCTTCCATAGGCTCGCACTGTGTTGATCCACGACACTTATATAATAACGGTTTTATCACGGCAGCTGTCTGTAACCTGTCAGCGCGCCATGCCTGACCGCCTGCATAATAGCGCCAATTTAAACCCATAGACAAAAGAGCATGTTTATCTTTACCCGTATCAGTGGTCAGGAGGAGAGAAAAAAGCGAGCTTGACAATAAGGGTGGATGTGCGCATAAGCATGAGCATTCATTGTCAGACGCCGGCGTCTAACTCTCTCGCGGTGTTTTGCAGAGACGCAACACCTCCGCTGATTGAGTGGCTGCGGGTGATTGAAGCCTGCAGCGCCCAGCGCCGCTCCACGATGATCGAGAAGGACGATGTCATGGAGGCGGCGCGCATTCTCCTCCCGTGCATAGACTATCCGCCCCATCTCCTCGGTCTCCATGACGAACTGCAGTATTTCCAGGCCATCTCCAAACCGCGCTTCCTTAACGATTTCAACCAAGCGGTAAGGTTCTGCCAAAAAAAGCCACGAAAAATTGCAAACAAAACAAATAAAATCACATTATAACTGCAGTAAATTAAATTACAAAGAAAAAAATATGTAGGGATTGACGCCGTTAATGGTGGCATGTATTCGTGGCGACTGTCACGCCGTGCGCACCTTCCTGACCACCGGAGCCAAGGTGAATCTCGCCGTGCCGGTGCAGTCACCGGCGCCCACAAACCAGAAGCCGTCGTACTCCCGCATCCATCCCGACATCCACCACTGGACGGCACTGCATTTTGCCGTGGCGCACGGCTACCTTAACGTGGTGAAACAGCTGCTGGACAACGGGGCGTCCGTTGAAGGCACCGGTGAGGCTCGGGATCCGCTGCCGGGTCCGCTCAGTGAAACACCGCTGCAGATCGCCGCCGCGTGTGGTTTCGACGATATCACCAGTTTGCTGGTGGGCAAAGGCGCGGACGTGTGTCTCAGCAGCGTCATGGATGAACCGTTGTGTAGTGTGGAGGCGCAACGGGGCATGCATGCGCCCATCGTCCTCGCAGCATCCCACAATCGCCGGTACATAATCTTTAATTTTTTTTGTATTTCCTTCCTTTTCCCCATAAATAACATGTTATCGGTTATATAGAGCCAGTTTGTACCGGATGTTAACATCGTTAACACCACTATCCGATGAAACCGTCTCTTTGGAGGAGATGCTAGAGGAAGTCCATTCGCGCTCCAGTAGCACCGTCACCACCAGTCTTTTACGCGGGAAATCAAGTAATTCTCACTTACCGGCTTCCCGCAGTTCCAGTAACCACGGCCTCTTCTCCGGTCGACAATACAAAGTCATCCAATCCGCGCTGTACCAGGCGGCGGAGAACGGTTTCCTTGATTCCATTGTCGAACTCCTGTACTTCGGTAAGTGCGTCAAATACAGTGTTTTCCGGCAAATTTATCAAGCGAAAATACTTGTAGGAGCACAGTGGAGAGTGCACACGTGGTGTCGCGTCGTTCCGCTGATGCGGTCCGATCAGACCTCCCTCCAGCGTGATCTCCTCGACGCCTACTTCACTCTGGCCTTCGATGAGCTGGTGGATTCGCCGGTGTTCCTAACCAGTGTCCTGCCGTTTATAATAGCGCTATCCACGCAGCTGTTTCCTCAGACAACGATCTCCGCCATACTTTCCCATTTATTCGGCGCGCAGCCGATCGCCCCCATTCCCACCAGCACCGACATGCACAACTACTATCAGAAGCTGCGCAGGAAAACGAATAAGTGTATCAATGACGCGGCCACTGGGGATGTGGTATTCCGCGTGGATGGTAGTGTTTTTGTCGCCCATCGGGAAGTGATCGACAACGGCGATTCGACGGTGCTGGCGGAAATGGCGAGGAGTGGTTCTCCGGAAGGAGTGGTGGTAGCGAATGTGGGAGCAGCGGAATTTTTGACGGTTCTGCAGTATCTGTATGACAGCGGGAAGGTGCAGCTGGAAGCCAATGTGGACAGTACGCTGAAGGTTGGTCTTACTGTGATAAAAGTAATTTTATCATTTTTGTGACTGTTTTAATCGTAATATATGTTAATTGATTGCATATTTCGTTGTAGTTGATGAAAGCAGCGAGACGGTTTAATGTTGTTGGTTTGGTGAAGTTTTGCGAAAGTGTTTGCTCACGTTGCGTTACCGTCGCCAATGTCTGCTACGTTCATGGCCAGAGCAGAGTAAGTTCTGTCTGAAAAGTTGTTTTTAATTACAGCTGATAGCATTTTATTGTTATTAAATGTCCTTTGTGTTTTGAAACCGTTGTATGTTATTGATTTTTTTCGCTTTTCTTAGGATCTCAGCGCGTACGACTTAGCATCATTTTGCGAAAGTGTTATGCTGCAAAATCTGCCAGAATTATCCAGGAAGCCCGAGTCTGCTAACTACGTGAAAGCAGCGTTGCTTTCCAACATGGAATGCGTGCCGAAATTGACCAAGATTTTGACTGACCGGATACGATCTCGAGCTGCTTCTCATATCCGTCGTGCCGTTTTGTGAATAAGTGTCCCGACTGGATTTTTGCAGGGGCACAAGTGACATTCCTGCGACTTAAAGTCTCTTAGTCACTGTTATTTAATAAATTTTCGTTTAACCTTTATGCGTTTTGTACAGCAGAAACCGGTTGTTTTTGTGTCGGTTCAGTATTTATGACGTTTGCAGAAAGTGATAAAAATATTGGTAACCACATGCAACATTGCACAAAAAAATTTATTGCTATCGTAATTGAGAAGAACTGTAAAACTTTGCGCACCAACCCTGACCGATGACTTCGTCCCACAGGAAACAACACTGACTTCCACAATAAACAGATACTGCTGAAAAACACCACACGAGAGCAGAAAAAAACACCCCTGGCTGGATGCACCACATCCACATGCATTCCAACTGTCGATTCAGGCGACAGTAAACCGTAAAAAAAACTGAAAACTGTAAAACTAAAAACCTTGATAACGCAACACCAGCATATCCGCCTCGTGCAACTTCAGGCCAGCGTTCCCGACGACGGCGTCACGGGCACTGTGGGGGAGACAATCTGCTGGTATACCTCCTGAACACTGCGGCTGCTGTCGCGGCTCAGCTTATCCACGGCCATCTCGAATTGGCCCTGTCGATCGCGGACGGACAGGGGAAAATGCAGGAGGCACCGGGCGGCGGCCAGCCGGACGGCTACCACCCGGTCGTCGAAGAGCGGCCAGAAACGCGCACCAAAGTACGCCGAGAAGGAGTCGAAACTGATGCTGGCGCGGGACAGGAGATCCTCGCACATCTGCGCGAACACCTGCCGCGTGCGGAAGTCGTCGCTTTTCAGGAAGAGGTTGAGTTTCTGCAAGAAGAAGGAGCGGGATTCCGCGTCGCGCTGCTGCTCAATTCGCTGGAAAATGGACGACAGCGCCAAGCAGGAGTTTCTCCGGACTTCGGCAGTTCTGCAATTAAGTCAAAAAGTTATTGAAAGTCAACAATGAAACACTTTAACGTAAGACCAATCCAAAAAAAATATTCATAAGAGAACAAAATTAAAGCAATATTCACCGATTCAGTATAAATGTTCGCAGATTCGGCGCTCCAAAATTGTAAGAAATGTTTCAGGAAAACCAGAAAATCACAATTAAGAATATATATATCAGAAAATCATGGTGACAGGTTAGACGTATTTAGCATTTACCTATCTTTGGCGAAAAACCACGCTCCATCCATCAAATTCCTGACTACCAATCTGGGCTGGAACAGCATCGCCAAGTTGGCAATCTGACCGGCGCAGGCATGGCGATATCGCCAGTTGCGTTCCTCATCCGGCGAAAAAAATTCACACAATCTCAGTAAATGCATGGGTCGCACTTCCGGTGGCAGAGCCTTTATAAAAGAGAATAATTCTCAATCATCGCCAGCCGCACGCTGTCCGTATCCTTTAGGAATTCATTCAGCAACGGCACCAGATCCACCAACGTATAGTAATAACCGATAATCTCGGCGATGCGCGGCAAGGACGCGGCCATCAGCTCGCGGGCAGTCTGGACGCTGCCCGTGGCCAGCGTTCGGTGACATTCTTGTAGTTTCGGCCAAAATTCTCGTCCCACGGTCAAAGCAACAGCCGGAAAATCCACAGCCGTCTGCAGATCAGCAAAAAAACAAATATCAGCATCTAATCAAACTTGCTTGTGTCAAAATAAAATTAAGAATAAAAAAATTCAGTCGAAATAAAATTTACTATTTTAAGCTGCTGTCTTCCAGCGTCTCGCATTGAAATTTTATTTTTGAAGTGACTGATGTAAATATTCGTCTTGACCAAACACTTAAAAATATCACATGGGTCCACGGCTTTGTTTTGTGCAACTGCTGTTTATAACTACTCCAGTCTGTGGCCGTACCTGAACAACCGAATCCTTATCCTCATCCCTGGCCTGCAGCAGAAATTCCTCCAAACACTGTCGATTGGGCAGAATATCCTCGATCCGGGTTACAATCTCCCCGATTCCCGCAGCTGTCGCATAACTCCCAGATCCCGCTTGCGGTGCTTGTCAATGGTGTAGGCCTCCACGTCGTAGTCGGAATGTCGTCCAAAAGGCACGCTCGGTGTCACGGGCGCGGACATGGGCGGGATGGTACTCCCGCTGGAGAAAATGCCCGAACTGCTGGTGACCGGCGACGATTCCGCCAAATCTTTCAGGGGATCTTTTTCGTTGCCGCTTTCGGATTGCAGTGGCAAGGATTCTTCCAGTTCTGCACTGGGTGGGCGTTCCGGTGACTGTTCGGGCGGTGGTGGGTCCATATCGGCGGACTCTTCCACGACAACATCGGCGGCGCTAGTAATGACAGCGGCTTCGGTGATTGACGGCAATTCGGTTTCATCGGGCGGTGAAGACGGGCGAAGTTGCAAGTCACTGCAAAGCAAAATGATGGAATCACCTTTTAATCTTTTTTACCAAAATGCGTTCAACACGCATTTTGTGTTTGCCAAACAAGTAGATGCTGCGCTGCAACTCCTATTGCACAAATAAGCGTTTGTTGGTCCCAAGTTCCAACCCAGTGGTGGCGATTTACTGGATGTGTTTCTACTGCGTACCGTTTACTGATTGAATTACAAAATTTTTAAATCGCTGACCGCCTGGCTCATTTCCAATATACCTAATTCTACCATGTATTAGAGCGTACCCGTCCTTATAAAAAAAAGATGCTTAAAAAAGCTTGTGTTTTTAAAATGGAAACGTAATATTCTACCTCGCAAGCGCCTCCGAAATTTCTTCGACAGGGTGCTCCTCCCCATCCGCGCCACTCAACTCGACCGTTTCCGGCAGAATCACCGGCGTCTTATCCTCCGTCAGCTCCACCTTGGGCAGCGGACTCTGCCAGAAGTAGAACGAATTGAACTTCGGATCGGTCCTCTTCTGCTCACCGCCCTCCGCTTCATTCAACGCCTGACTCAGACTGCTAATCACCGGGATCCCCAGCCGATTGTAGTAGTTCCGCCTGACTTCCGGGCTGGTGTTGTGACTGGACGACAACGCCGGACTGGACACACTGGCGGTGGGCGTGCGCTGCATGATAGTCCCGCGGATATTCGGACGACGCGGTGTTTCCGCTGCGCCGCTCTCCGATAGCGACAGACGCTGCTGAAAATCCTCCGATTCACTCAGCCGGTACGGCAGCACGGACGAGGGTGGATTGAATGCGACGGTCCCTTCGGGAGTGACTTCTAAGCGGGTCTTGCTGGGATCGGCGCTGGTGGCGATGATGCGGCCCAATCCCCGTGTGGCACAACGACGCACCTGGTGATGGTTTTAATTGCACATTGAGGTCATCACAGCATGTGATCCCATTATTATCGTACCTGCTTAGCGGAGTCGGATAAGAGAATGACAAAGACCGGATAGAGCTCGGTGAGGGTAAATGTCACCCAGCGCTTCTGGCAGATATCGATCAGCTGTGGAAACACATTGGTCGCCGTTTCCCGGACATGCCAGGCGTTATCCTGCGCCAGCTTAATAATCCACTGCTGAATTTTCCGGCAGTACTCGTCACTGGGATCGAATTCTTCCGCTTGCGTTATGGCAAAGTAACGCACAACTATTCAGAAATTTTTATTCAGCTATCATTTAAAAATAAACCAACAGTAAAAACCCACCAAAAGCCAAATTCTGGGCGCACGCTTGTCTGACTTGGGCAATATCATGCTGGCACAATTTATTAAATTCGGGTATGAACAGCCGCCTCACCGGATCCGGTCCCACCTTATCCAGCAATTTACAGAATAAATTCAGCGCGTCAATAATCATATCGGGCTGGCAATCCGCGTAGAATATCTGTATCAACAGCGGCACCACACTGGCTTGAATGGTCTCGCGGGTCATCAGTTCTGGAGCGAATTCCACGAGCTGCGCGATGGCCACCTGCGCCAAACGGCGCACATTGTAATTCTCATCCCGAATGCACTCGCCCATGAACGCCATCAGCCGCAGTTTCTTGAATGCCGGTTTATAACTCCGCACAATATTGGGGATCTGCTCCAGGAACGCCAAGCGCAAGGACACTTCATTATCCTGCACCAGGCGCTCAAACTGCTTCGCGGACTGGCTGATAAACTGGTCGGGATCCTCGGCATCCTTGATGAAGTTGACGTACTGCACGGCCACGCCGTTCCGACAGGCTTGCTCGGGATGGTCAATGTACAGCTGCAGGCGCTCGTAAGGGGAGAGAAAGCGCTCGTCTTTGGGAGCGGGTGCGGCGGGTGGCGGTGATTCCTCCTGAGTGGGGGATGACACCACCTTGTCGGAGATCTTGGGAGGCGTTTTCTCGGGCGAGCCCGATGGCGGGCAGGTGGTGACCACGAAGCGTCCGAGCGACGGCGAACTGGCCGTGGAGGACGTAGTGGTCGTCGTGGATGGAGTGGAGGTTGTCGTTAAATTCTGCGGCTGAAGATCCAGGGTGAGGTGGCCGTTGCGGCTTAGGTTGCGCAAGCGGCCTACGCCACTTCCGGCGGCAGGTGATCCAACACCTATATACAGATAGACCAATTATATTCTGCGTTTTTAAACATATTCCTTAAGTCAAGAAAAGCTTTCGAGAGAACTTATAGATACAAAAAAGACCAGCCTGTAAATAATTATCAGTATCCAGTATGTAGTATCAATTATCCAAAGTTTAAACTGGCGAATTCCAGTTAGAGACAGAACGAGTCCTTACTGCTTCATAGCCCTGAACAAAACTGAAATACTGTACATTCATAATCACAAGGAACATTCATAAGAAAAAAGGGTGCGTCCAAAAATACAAATGCTAATCACGAATTACTCGTATAAACTGGCAATCTGTAAACGTGAGCACCGCTTTTTCTACCGATAAACCCCTCAAATTACGGTAATTGTGCGGAACACACCCTGAAACAGAAGATGTGATGACGATAATGACAAAAATTAACGCGAATACAGGAAGATGTGTTGTAAATGACTTAATAAGCCGACCGACTCTATCCCTCTCTTAAATTTCGAATAATTTCGTATAACCCAGAACTACGTGATGCTTTTTTCCTACGCTATTTACAAATCTATTTTCTTATTTGTTTCACCGAAACGTGCCACACTGGCTCCATTTCATAATCATTATCAGGTTATCAAGCATATGTTCCAATAACGTACAATACGTAATACTATGATACAACAGCCTGCACCATTTCCCCAGCACACCTGTTTTCTGTTTTTACTGAACTCTACTTGTTGCAGTCTTTCCGTAGACTTTGCAAGGAAACTGCAGGTTAATCAATGGATGAAATAATAGTAATTTACCTATCTCAGTTAAAAGGTCGTATATCCGTTGCGCAAGTAACAAAGCGTCAGCCTGATTGCGAGGAGGTTCCTTATCTGCGGAATGCACAAGACACGGGATAGTTTACAAGCCAAAGCAATGCAATAAGCACGCGCAGGTACAATACAGTGCGGTGTTACTCGGCCATGGACGAAGCTCCAGTTTTGGTGTTTTGCAAGCACGCATGCAATTACTGCGATAAAACGAGTACAAAGGAGCCAGTCCATGGCCGAATGTGTTACGTGCGATGGCAGAAGACCCACAAAGACAGAACAAACCTATCATTAACACGCCTCGATACAAATTCCATACAGGCCAGAGATTGCCAGTCACACATGCGTCTGACTCCACATCAACTGGCACGCATGCAAAACCCGATAAAACTACGCGAAAAACAGGAGACAGACAGCACAAAACAGGCAGATAAACACACTTCGCGCATTCAAAAAAGCAATAAAGGAGGACACGGAAGCACAATGCGCACGAAAACTCTTTCGCGCTAATCCAACGAAAGCCAGAAGAATTTTAAAAAAAATTTATCCGTACACTAACAAAATTTTGGCAAATTAATCGTAAACAGAAGTATATATCCGAATTACAGATATTCACCGGTATTTCATCATTCATTCAAATCAAATATTCGTATAACAAAAAACTCGAAACAAATTATCAACAATTTTAAATCAGCGAAAAATGGCAAATGATACAACTGACAAAGAGCATCACGTCAGCAAATATTAAAAATTTGACACAGATTAACCAGATCAATATTGATTCAGCGATAAATTTTGAACAATAGCAAAACTTAGTTATCAGTATTAGCAAAACCCGAGAAAAAATCTGCCTACTTCGGAAGCGTGATATTAAATGCTAGTGGTGCAGTTCAAGGTTACTACCCATAAAAACATTCAGGTTTAAACGTGATAGGCGTCAAGACTCAAACCTTGAGATTAACAGTGCCCCTCAGCTATTTCAACGAGTTCTATCCATAAGAACCATAGATCCGGAATTCCTTAATAAAATAAATAAATCTTCATTACCTGAACTACTGGAGGCAAGAGAAGTCCCGGAGGAGACAATCTGGATGGGTTTGGCCACGACGGTAGGCGGCGGAGACGGCGCCGTGAAGGTGATGACGCTGTTGCCTTCGTCGTCCTCCATGTCGCCCAGGAAGCCCGGCTCACTCTCCGCCCCGCCCTCCCCATGCGTACTGCCCTTCCCCAGGGGATTACTGCGTCCACTGACCGACGGGACGCTGAGCTCTTCCTCAACGGCCGCGGGACCCTCCGCTGGCACTTCCGAAGCCTTCGATGACGACGACGAGGACACCTCCCCGTTCAGCATCTTCTCGTCGTAGGCGGCCAACGCGGACGCCACGTCGTCGCTCCAGGACGGTTTGCTGGGGCCAAACCAGCCCGCCACCCGTGTTTCCTCAGCATCCATCCGCGCATCGACTGCATTCTGTTCACTCACGGGTAGTACAGTGTCAGTCAAGTCATCTTGTGCTTCGTCGATATCAGTCATGTTCATATAATCACACCAAGGATTCAAAGATCAGTCTGTTCTTAATTCATGCGGTGCCTGAAATATGTTTGTGTAAAGGAAATCATTCAGCAAAGTAAGGTAGCCATGAAGGTAAAATCAGTTCTAAAATTTTTCAAGTTCTAACAAAACTGGAAAATGCCTAAAAGATTGCAATTGTGTGTCGAAACGTGATCATTCGTTGCCTCTTACGTGAGCATTTTGCAGTGAGCAGTGGAGCATCAACGCTAACTGATATACCGGGGCGGGGACACTTTCGACACGTGGTTTCTAAATAACAGCCATCTCAAGGGCGGATGGTTATTGTATTCCGATTTAGCTAGTAACTGCGTAAGTAGATAACGATAAGTAAATGTACAGAAAACACGTTCTGCATATAGATATACCAACTGCAGTTCTTGTACGGAAAATACGACCTTTATTGCGATTTTCGTCCCTTTTCATATTATATTACTTTAATATTACATTGTTACTATCATCACACTTTAATATTACATTGTTAGGTTTCTGCATTTGCAAAACCGGACAGGTTGATTAGTAGCGCAAGCAGCACAAGAACGTACGGACAGTAGCACATACACTTGTTAGAATTTTGGTTAAGGTTATTGGCCGCCGATGAGAAATGACCATGCACAAAAATCAAATTCCCCAGCAATGTCCGCACCCACGATTTTTGTAAATATGTGTATTACTTTGTTCCGGCCCTGCGAAATCTACGCACGGCCTCGCCGCCTCAGTGAAATAAAACACTTCAACACTCGTTGGCACAATCTGGAAAAACCAAGTCCCACTATCCGGCGGTGTATCATGTACGGATGTACAATATGGGAGAGTTCCGGCAACGCGCGCCGCGCGTCTCTTTTTGTTTACGTTCAAACTAAAACATACAAAGCGCACCTGCACATATACTTACAGTACTTTTGTGCTTCTCATCAACAGTAAGTATTTCTTATTAATAGTAAGTATATTTAGTAAGTATTTTTGTATACATTCTAACCACATACGAGAAAACAGAAAGCTTTTTATTGTAGCAGTACACCCAACTACAGCCACTAGTAAGCCACTAGTACTACAGCAACAAGATAAGTACTTACTGTAAACTGTTAGTTATTTATTAGTATTATATATTAAATTCAGTTCGTTTTACGGATTCTGAAGTTGTATTTAAATATGTTCTCGACTTAGCATCAGAATCTGCCCTGTTACAATTGCTCTTCCTATGCACTAATCAGCCCAATTAAAATGACAGCATGGCGAACTGTGTACAGTACTATACTTCCTAAATCCTACGGTATCCTACGTACTGTCTGAGATACAGTGGATTGGAAACCGGCTTTATTGATGGCACTGGTTTTCACTACCAACAAAACAGAAAAAGCCACTGTGATTGCCAATGCGCGTCCGGAGATGTTCTTGAGTTTTATAAGCAGTCCCAAAATAATTGTCTTAACACCAAGACAGAAACATGTGACGCAACTACCAATAACTGTGCTCGAACGCAACCGTAATACACACAGCCCAAGCCAATTATTAAGCGCACTCTCAACGTTGCGGGAAGTACAATAGACCGTAATTCCATAATTATTATAGTATGACGTACTGTGCTTCCTCCCCGGACCAAGTAAACATGCTTTTGTTTTGGCGACCTTTGCAATATGATAGCCAGCCCAGCTACCCCAGGTACCGGAAATCCGAGTGCGGTAAACGTAACCGGCCGGAGCACAGAGGACGATTAGAGCTGCTGTGTCTAAGCTGGATACCTTTTCATGCATATGGCATCTGTATTGGCTTGCATGATGTATTCCACCGTATTCCCAACTTTCCAGCCCCCTCTATGTTTGTTCTGCTGCCGTTTCCCCACCGTATTTCTGCAGAAGTGTTGTTAGCAATAAACCTACAGAACAACAACACTTCTGCAGAAATGTTGTTGTTCTGTTGATTCTGTAGGTTTACCAAATGTATTGCTAAGTTAAGTGTGTTATACTTAAGTACTTCGAAGTACCAATGCTTTAATACGTACATGCACAGTAACCTACTGTATCCAGAAAATACAGTTCTATGGGGCCTTTCGATCGAATCTTGCTTTGCTTTTTGATAGATAAGCAATAAGTGGTGCAGACGCATCTTTGCTAATGTTGCATACCATGTAGAACTAAATTAAACGTGGAATGAATTACGATCCCATAGTAGACGGTGAACGCGATCGAATTTGACTTCCGGCAAAACGCAAACTGGGCAGACTTTTGTATTCTATCTACAACCACGCAATCACTATTAAAGTTTTAATGGCGTTGTGTGTATACAGTACGTAAGCTATCCCAAATGAAACAAGTTCAAGCAACCCAGTTGACCGTCGCAAGTTGCAAATAAAAAAATGTTTATACCTCGCTAATGAGATCGCAGCACTGTGATAGTACACAGATGGCTTAAATAGCGAATAAATTAGCGTTAAAAATAAAATGTTTTTGTAAAAATTTTATTATTTAACAACGACATTTTTTGAGTGATTATTATTTAACAGCAACAGCGCCACACGCATCTGTGACCTGTGTGGCGGTTCAGGCCACTATTTTGGCCACCCGGCCGATTGTTGGAAGCATGAATTACGGACATATACAAGACTACGAGTCTTCGTGGCTAAAAATTTAAATTACATATTTAAAGCAAGTTGTTCTTGCCGGCATAGGTACCAAAATTTGTTTCGGCATACGCTATTCTATGCGGATTTAAATAATTCTGCGCATTAAAGCCGTGCAAAACGATAAACCACTGCACGCGCAGCCTGGTTTCCCAGCTTGCAAAAAGACTCATCTTGCTCCGTCCTTAATTATCGGAATATCTCCTCTACGACACCCCGACTGGATGAAAAAGGCGTTGCGGAAGCAGTTTAACGAAAGCATCGATTCACCTTTTATTTTTTTTCTGTATGAATCAGTTGAATTTGAATACGCATGGTGCTACACAGTGCACCTTGACAGCCGCAACCGCGAGCCAAATAGTTTCTTACGCAAGCTTCAGTACTTCCATATGCAGATGCAGACACATTATAAAATTAATAAAATATGCGGCTGTTTGCGTTATATGAACTGAAATACAATAAGGGATCTGACGAACCAAAATGCGTGAAGGTAATCAATGCCGGCTGCCGGTATCACCCGACAACGGTGACAAAATCTTTAATTTACCATAATGACATTCGTTGCTCGGTAAGGTTTTTCGTCGCTGTTGTAAAGAGAACAGAGTCGAAAGGCTACTCGTATCGAAAATGCTATTATTATAAACTGGATGCAGCTGCGTAAGGCGTTTGTACAATTTTTGTGATGCCGCTAACTTAATCGTTTTAAGCATTGAAATTGACAATTCCGCAACCTCAGTTCAAAATGAAAAAAAAACTCGTAAAGAGAAAATGAAAAATCTATAAATAGTTGAAAATCGGCCAGAAGTCACATAGGTGACAGGATCACAAGCCATGGTATAGCAAAAATACAACAAAAAAAGACGCGATAAAACATGGTGGGTACTGGGTACCTAATTTCTTGATTGGGGATAAAATTCTGCTCTGCCGTGGAAAGCAGTGCTGAATCTCAAAGTTGCCGCTTGCCACGCATAATCATGACAAAATACATACTCATACTGATCCACTGCGTAAAGGCGGATGCATGGGTGAAAGTGTATGGAAAAATGTAAAAGAAAATGAAGCAACGACATGCATAAACGCATCGCTTCTGGTTGGATGAAACGGAATGGGCGCGGGCTGACGGCGGACAGCCAATACGCACGCATCTCGGCGCTTAGCTGTACAAATCTCCATGGTCGGTGGGTAGTCAGCCGCACGGGCATCAAGCCAACGAAGCGAACGGCTCAAGCGGAGCGTAAGGACAATTTTCTGCCGTCTTTGGCTGGCAATTGGGTGTGTGGTATTCCGAAGGGGGCTCCGCAAAGTACCGCAACAAGGTAGTGTGTATTGACTGCACTGGCATGTTTAGGCTTTTTATATTACGGCACTGACTTTACTCTTAAGGCCCATTTCCAAATTAAACGCTTATGTCCAGTTGGATGCTTGATTATTTGCTTGCTTGGCCAAGTCAGATAATTCATTCTCCTCAAAAACACACATACAACACACAATCCGGTGGAGTGCGCGCGCGTGTTTTGCCTGCATCCCAAGCAAGCCTACACCGGCATATATCGGGGCGGTGGGCTGTTATTTTTGTATTTGGGAGCAAATTATCACTTGACTGATCAGATCCGATCTGGCGCAGGTTATCGTTGGCTGACGCGCCCGATAGCGGCAGTAACATCATTGTGCATACGTTAGTGCTTGGCCGTCGTGCATTACACTACGCTTCATTTATCCATGATAAGGTATAGCTGATGTGGAGTGAGTGGCAATTTTTGCGGATTACTTGCGCCCAACAAGTTGATAGCTCGTGGCTAATGCGGATCACCTTGCTTGGAAAGATTGATTACGGGGACGCCTAGTTGGAGATCCAGAGCGGGAGCGCGCGACTGACGAGGCGGCTATTACGCGGTCAATTTTCGGTATATCACAGCGGACGAGCACTTCCTCTGATTATATACCGTGCTACACTCTTTCGTCTCCCGTTGCCGCATTTCTTCCCCTAATCCAGAGAACTCGTGTGCGCCCTTTTCGGCGCGGCCCACGAAACTCAGCAACGTGGAAGAAAGGGTCACAGATTCCCGTGCGTTTGAGCGTAAGTTATCCTATAAGACGTTAGTGTCGCTTAATAAACTAACTCTAATCAATCACACAGAATAATTACCACTATGCGCAATTACAACATGCGTTCAGCATGCTTAAGCTATCGCCTTGTACACTTACCCCATCTATGGAGCGCTTTACATTCACATTCATGAATCGTCTTTTAGCATTTCACTATGAAGCCATAAAGGTAAAGGACTACCTTTTAGCTAGGTCGAATTTCAAAGCATAATTTCTAATAAAAAAACTTGTCTAAGCTTACTGTACGGTACCTGTATAAAGCCTCGAAACAGCAATGTTTTATCATCCTCCATTTCCCAAGCTAGCGAAGCAGACTGCTAAACATAAAAGGTTGCCGATGAATGTGCTAAAAACGTCAATATTGCAATATCATTTTGTATCTTTGTCACTCTGATGTTGCAGAGGCCAAGCATCAATCCATTAAAAAGTTTTATAGAGTTTTTAAATATTTTTATAGCGCACAGTAATCATGTATTTTGAAATTTCGTATAGTGCATTAACAAAGTCGCCAAGCTGACACTGAAAATATAAGCAACCGCTCGGATGGTACGGTGCCGGTTCGTAAGTTGTTTGTAGCATGGATACTGCTGCAAAAAAGCAAATGGTAATAGACAAAAGAAATATAAGGAAAAAATCGACAAGCAATCGACAAACAAATAATACCATTAGTTTGTTGTTTAATCTGGCAGAAAAATCTGTTTATTTCCGTGTACTAAATTTCGTTTCGTCATTATATATAACAAAACCGGGAAGACAATCAAAACTTAATTTACTACATACGTATATCGAAAGGCGGATCAGACGAAGGTGAAGACAAATTTTGTAATGTAATATATAAAGAAGCATCTGACTTTTCAAATAATTTTAGACCATCACCAATATCATCAAGATTTTGTGCACAAAGAATTTTTTCTTAACGGATCACATAATTTTAGAAAGAATTTGAAACATGTACAGACAATCATGTACTCGTATGTAAGTGTTCAAAACAAATTTGTAACCGCAAATGAACCAAGCCGTTAAAGAGGACATAATTACTATGTGAACGCAGATTAATGGTATATTAATTAACGCGGAATGTTAATTTGTTGGTAGGTTAATTTGCCCATCAACCGCCAAACCATCCCGTGGATCCATTCAACCCTCGTGTCCTCAGTCATTTCGCTAGCCCGCGCATTGAAATGCCGCACAAAGGTAAGACTGACACTTCATTATCGCCGAGCGGCCGGTCGCTCGGCTTAGAGTACTTGATTGCGTTAGTGAACTTGAGCGGCACTAGACTTTATTTGAATAGCTCTTCGTATTTGGACTATTCAGCAAGCGAGACGCAGACAAATAAACTTACCAGTTAGTTCATTCATTCCCACATAGTGCGCGCCATCGGCGCATACAACAATACAACAGTGTTTTTGTCACGATGTGGCCAGTGCCATTAGTATGTACCTCCAGGAGCGAAGCGATTACCAAGTAATCATCGGTGAATGTATTGAAACCCGCAATCATCGCTACGGCGGGGCGTGAAGAATAAATTCGTCAATTGAACACTGGCGAGAAATAAACTTGCCGTAATGTTTGAGCTAAAATCACAGTCCTCTTAACTAATTAAGATTTGCTATCCCCCATCAACTGCCCATCTCTGCACTGCACAGAATGACTGTGATCCATCTTGTAGCAGGAAACCCCGAACTGCGAAATGCTTGTGCATGTTGTGCGCTGTAAAGCACTCGGCAAGAAGCAGTGTTGCATGACTCGATCGCGATGGATCATGAGTCTGGTTGTGGGCAAAAATAATGTATGGGACATTTATTATCGCCCGTACAATGCTTGACATGTTTCGCTTACGCCGCATTAGATCATAATCGTGCTACAGTTGTAAGCTCTGGGGCTTGGGCGTAATACCTTTGAACATGGTCTATCTAATAGGGACTGGCACTCAGAAGTCGAAGACCTTCCTCATTCATTTGGCCAACTAATAATCCACACAGATGTCCATGTTTTCATCCACTGCAACATTTTCAAGTAAACACTTTTAAAATTAATACGTACATATACGGAGGCAAAAGTATGCCGCTAGTTTGGAAAATGGCGGTGACCTTTAAAATATCTGTTCGGTATGTTCTTTAGATCTGTTGCTACAACCTAAAACTGAATTCTGGGCGTTATAGGTTCGTCCATGCAGCTGATTTTTTGACAGTATCTGCGCACATAGTGCAACCTTACTTTTATTACATATATTGCTTATTTAATTGTTGTCATCACTTAATTAGTTGTTAGTAGGTGGATTGAATTACTGCTTGAGAGGGTCAGTCAAAGTTTATCTTTTTGCAACCCACAAACTTAATTTTTCGCACAAATTATTTTCAAAGCTTTTCCAGAACGCTGTAATCAAAGTTTATTCAGAATTCATGAGAAGCTTATAATTACCAACTTGGCAAGCATGCAGTTTGATATTCTTCTAATGGGGTCATTTTAAAATCCACGTGATTATGTGTGTTGCGTCTCTGGAAAAAAACATTAAGCTTCTCTCACAACTAAAGGGTCTTTACTGGATCCAGAACGATAGCCCCAGTTTACCCAAACGCTCCACCGTACAGCATCCGTGAAGCAGAATAATTCTCGCTTTATGTGTTAATTTTCATGTAGGTTAGAACCTGTAATTACTCGGAGGTGTACCACTTAGCCAACAGCGAGGGGCTAAGTATAGAGGGGCCCTCGTGGAAGTGTTTCCGATACTCACAACCACGAAGCAAAAACAACTGACAGTTACTCTTATCCGATCTTTCTCATGTTTTTATATATAAAGTTATTTAATTTTGCAGCAGCTATCGTTTCTGTCGATCTCTTTTTCTGCCGCTGCGGGTCACCTTACTTTGTTCTGACCATATTGCTCTCGTATTTTCAATTTTCCAGACATTCTCCTGCTCCTGCAAGTTTTAATAATCACTGTTTTAATTGAAAGGTCATTCAGGTATCAATCAGCTTGGAGGCCATTTTGTGAACGGGCGACCATTAAGCGACCAAACCCGGCAAAGAATCGTGGAGCTCGCACTGAGTGGAGCCCGGCCCTGTGACATATCCCGGCATCTGTGCGTATCCAACGGCTGCGTCAGTAAAATACTGGGTCGCTACTATGAAACCGGTTCGATACGGCCTCGTGCCATCGGCGGCAGTAAGCCCCGCGTGGCCACGGAAGACGTCGTTCGCAAAGTGGCAGCCTACAAAGCAGAAACGCCAGCCATTTTCGCGTGGGAAATACGCGACCGACTTATCGGGGAGGGTGTCTGCACACAAGACAATATACCCAGTGTAAGATTTCTTTAATCAGAAACCAGCATACTACGTTGCCAGCTCGTGAAAATTGTGAGCGGTTCTAACATAAAGTGATCCATGCCTGATTTAAGTGACCGTTACGTATACCATACGCTTATAGGTTTCATCAATAAACCGTGTGCTCCGCAACCTGGCTGCCCAAAAAGAACAGTCGACAATACAGCAGCAGCATCGCTCTGAACTCTTCCATGATAAACTCCGTCTCCTGGGCAATCCGGAGGCGGCCGGTTGGGGCTGCGCAGCCCATCTTGGAACGTGGAGCTACCCCAGTGCGCCACCGTCAGCCAATCCCGGTATCCCTCCCGCTTCCGTAATCGAAAACAGTGTAATCCGATCCGGTGCCAATGTGCCGACCGGGACGAATGGGCCTGACAGCGCCCACAGTGAATCAGTGATCAAGAAAGGTAAGAAGACAAAAAAAGCTTGGCAATCCTTATCCTTGTGTGTGACCAAAAGTGTCTTAAAAACAATAAAGATTTCAAAAACAGTAAACTTAATATTATCGCATTCAGTGAAAATCAAGCACTGACTTTTTAAAAGGTTAGGGTATTAAACCGCCCACGATACAAAAATTTTGATTCCTCAACCCAAAAATTGGGACTACAGTAATTCAAAACCATTGTTTTGATGACCTTTACTTTGCTCGCGCGGTACCAAAGCGCTTTCGTGCTATTTTATATCGGTAGCGCTTGAGAAAACTGTCAGTTAACTTTGACATTGTGGTGATTGTACTGCTTGTATGATATCTCAATTCCCAAGACCAACTTGATAACCGATGAATGCATTGAAAACTCCCATTTTGTCATTTTATCACAAACGAATTCCTTTCTATCGGTTATAGGTATCACACATTAGCGCTCATTGTACACGAGTTGAAAAATGCCGACACTTTTTATATATCAGCAAAAAGCATTTAGTACGGGGCGGGACATCTATCTTCTGGATAGTTATAACCGAGAATGAAAAGGGTGAAGTTCGCAGCTGGAGATCTGCTTGGCAGTCGCTGGAATAATTCTCCCTTCATACATTCTCCTCGGGTTGCCATCACCGCCTTCTTCTTTTACACCACACTTTCCCCGACCGAAATCACGCCCAGCGCCCATAAGAATAAAAACACATTAGTGTACAAGTACGGCGTACATTAATTTTGTGCGGATTCCAGCTGGTAGACAATACATGTCTGATTTTTATTCAGCGCAGCCAACCTGAGCTCCATATACCTCGTTAAAGACATATCCTTACCGCTGACAAAAGCCGGTACAAAAGAAGAATAATATTTTCCATCATAAAAGGTCTCGAGCATTACCAATAATCAATCTTTGATGCTTTCCTCATTTTCTCGTATCCCTACCACCAGTGCCAAGATTAACGTAATCTTCTTGGCTGGCGGAGAATGTGACAGGTCGACAGCAAACGCGCAGGCCTGTATGAACTGTGTACTGCACATCCGATCCGGCATTTGAGCTGTAATATTGCCATAATCAAGGCAATTTACTAGTCATGATATAATCGCCACCGTGCCTCTGATCCCTAAGCCGAGGATTGCCCTTTTGCATACGATAATTGCTCCGCAACGCCAGTCGAGAAAATGTCATCTCATCCAAACCTGCCGTTTGCCAGGGCCGTGATTGCATGAGTGACCGGTATTCTGGGGAAACCGGGATGAGAAGCAGAGAGAGCAGTGCCAATGGCAGTGTGTTGTGTGTGTGTCTTGATTCGATTCAAAACTGCAACCAGCTGTGACGCTGACAGTCCACGCTCAGCAAATTATCCATTCTTCGCAGTCTGTCATGCTAATCGGCGTTCCATGTCAACATTTTGCCAGTTGTGAACACATCAACATACCCACAACACAGCTACTCTTCAATTATAGCGTGCCTATTAAAGTTATCTGACAGTGTTGTTGAGTAATTGAAAATTTAATTTCTACCGGCAAAACAGGAAACGTTTTCTTCGATCCGGATAAGTACGTCAGAATTAAGGAGGGGTCAGAAATTTTCTATTGAGGATCTGAGTCACCTGACTAAGAATTCGCATTGAATATCCATAAATACATACATGGCAAAATAATTGCTGTTACTGACAATTAATTAAGAACTTATACATAAAATGAAACTAGGAGTTACGGTCTATAAGTTTTATGCCAGTTCTTCGATAAACTGTACGAAAGGGTGTTAAGCAAATAATGGTAGTGCATTAATAACTGTGTACATTTCGCCAGTAAGTATGTATTAGAGTGTATTAGAAAACAATAATTACGTGCTGCTTATCACAAGAGCAAATGAGTCAGGCCAGTTGATTAAATGCTGTTTATATACCGCTAAAAACCCCAGGAGATCAAACAAGGGGAGAATGGTCGGACCAAGTGGGAAATTATAGGGGCAAACGACAAGGACAATACCAATCAACACTATCTATGACCCCGCAAATATATTAATAGATTAAGCAAATCTCCCAGAACAATACCCAGTGGACTCCCGTAGTGCGCCACTCTTTAACCCCGCGGCTAGCCGGATCACGGCACAAAGACTATTGAACAAAAAGCCTACGCGCACAGCATTGTATGGCGGAGGAAAGATGATTTAGCATGTGCTCCAAATAGCCCGAGTATTCAATAACTATGCGGTGCTCCTACCAGCTTTTTTAATAAACTCATGCAGACGTCGACTGGCGCTGCAGTACACGAGCAGCAGCCGGCATGAGGGCCTGGCCTGGTTTAGTAAATCCATCCAGCCCTGCCGATACTAATCATCGTCATCATCATCTGCTCTCATTTTGTAGAACAAAAGATCCCATCAGGCGATCAAGCGGACACGCAGTCGGATAGTAACAGTTCCACAAATGATACCGATGCCCAAGTCCGGCTTAGACTGAAACGTAAGCTACAGCGTAATCGCACCTCATTCACTAACGAGCAGATTGAGGCGCTTGAGAAAGGTCAGTCTCGGTCAGCCTTGAAATCCCCATTGCACATCACTATCGTGTCTGTAGCGTTGTGTGGCTTGCTTCTCCAACAGAATTCAATGAAGGACATTATCCCGATGTTTACAAACGAGAGATGCTGGCCGAAAAGGTCAACTTACAAGAAGCCAAAATACAGGTAATTCGCTACTATTGAGTGTTGTGTTCGAATATGGAAGTAAACCGGCATTTTATTAGGTGTGGTTTTCCAATCGGCGTGCAAAATTCCGCCGAGAAGAAAAACTGCGAACGAATCGCAGACCAGCGGAGCCGGATATGAACAGCGGCGTTATTCAGTCGTCTAACGCGCCCGTTAGCGCACGCATCTCCACTACCGCCGCCAGTTTCCCATCTGCTAACGCAATGTATTCGCCATTGTCTCAGTCGATTGGCCATTCCAGCAGGTATGCATAAATCACCAGTCAAACAATGGACTTAGCACTCGGCATCATTATTTTCACCCCAAAACAATACTGACCCCAAAATGTTCAATGATGAGGTTTTTATTGCGCTACTGAATGGCCCAAATACGAGGAGAAATCTACGCATGTGGTCAACACAATTAATTTCGTTTCATTATATAGCGCATATGGAAATGTGGCCAATTTCCAAATGGCCAACAATCTCTCGGCGGCCAACTCCTACCTGCAACAATGTGATGCCAGCGGCTATAATCCGTACGGTGTGGGTGGAGTGGGTTCCTCATTAACGCGCACCTACGACCCCTTTGCCTACGCTAAATGTCCCGATCCTTACGGGCGCTTATCGGGCGCGTCAGCCACACAATACCAGACCTTCCCAGCCGCTAACGGCATCGCGCACCACCATCTCTCGAACGGTAGGATGCGGCATTACATCATTTCACGAATCAATTAGCGACAGCAGGTGGATAACAAACGTTTCCATTTCTCTGCAGGTTTAATTTCGTCCGGTGTCCCATCCCATGGACACGCCCTCTCCAGCGCGTCCACAGGACACGACACAGCGGGATGTGACCTTCAAGGCGCTACGCAATACTGGCCCCGCGTTCTGCACCCGGAGAGTTCCTTTCGGCCATGAGAGGAAATGAAGCATAATGCAACTATTATCAATGAATCTCTTTTGCATATTCCGATCTCGTGTATGACCTTTTCGGTATAGCATGCCGTTTTCCAATCTTTTATCTTTTATTGTCAATAAATTGCGAAACTACATGCCGTCATTAATTTTAACTGTTTACAATATTAAAGTTTTATTGTCCAGTAAATCGTATCGCCGATTAGATTCGAACGATAAAAAGTTCCGCCAAAACGCGACCTTTGCAGTGTAATTCACTTTCCCGCTTCGTACACGGCGCTCGTTTTAAAAAGATTGCCGACAATATGCTGCACTGCTAACAGCTGGAGATGTGGTTAATATTGATTTGAGAGAATTTTTAATATCTCAAGCAGAGCATTTGTTGTTGACGCATTATCCACATAAGTAGGAATGATCGGAAAAGTTGGGATCGGCCCGTTGGAATACAGCGGTGTACAGAATAGATTAGCTGCGGCCACGGAGCAGCGGCGCGGAAGACATTGCATTGAATCCAGCCAATGAAGCGTTCACGGACAGATAATGCATTTTTGCATCACAGTCATACACTGTGCGGCTGCGACTGCTGCTGAAGATGCTATCGTCTTTTAATGTAAAAGCGCCGGGATCGCAAATTCGCAATATCAGCGGCATCAGGCCGGGGAATGATGTTTGTGGTCCGGGCAAATTAACAAACTGGCTGCATAGGAAATTAATGATTATACCGCGCGCGGTCGGCTGATGTGTGCCGTAACATTTTGTGTCGGCCTCGTATTTGCACTGGATTTGCATTTTAAACCGCCGTTTGATTACGACTACTGCCAACACTGTGGCAGTTGTGGTTTCTGCGCCGCGCGGATTACCAGCATTTCCTTCCATGTCAGTGCATTAGACAGTCAACTTTATGACACTAGTCCATATTGCCCAAGAGATAAGTCGCTTTATCGACTGACCAAATCAAAAATCCTCCCGATGTGAATTGCATGATCCGCCAGAATCCACCAAATGACACAAAATGACAATTTTAGCTTGTCCTGCCGGTATCGCTCATCTCGGGAACTTTGTTCAGTCTGTGGTTAATTGTTATTGCTTTATTGAGCGAGGATTTTTACACATTTAACAGCGTTTTCCTGCAAAAGCGACTGGGAAGAGTTTTCCCAGGAAGTCATAAAAAAATACAATATGCAATCACGCGTTTCGGCGTTTCGTAATTCGTGAAGAACTCACTCAGACTTTATTCAAATCAGCCGTCGTCCACTGTGCAATATGGACATGTTTACACTGGTCACAGTAAATTGTTTGTCCTGCGCCGTCGTTGCACAATCGTCAGCCCCTCATTGACAGCCAATAAGGCGGAATCTGTAATGGTCATTGGCAAATTAACGATAATGATTGTTATACAGTAGCCATGTTGCATGTTCCGGCGCGGCTAACCTGGTTAGCGTATAATGGACCCATGTTATTACCGTAACCTGATTATCCACCAGGCAGTCACTTCTTCACAGATGGGAACTTGTGAGCCGCTAATTTTATTACCGGGATAAATATGGTACAGGGCCCTGTCGGCGGCTGGGTGCTATCACGGCAGCAGTCAAGTGAGGAAGGCAGCGCGCGTCCGGCTCAGGATTGGGCAAATTGTCGTGCTTGTCATGGATCCATCGGGCACACAAATCTAACACAGCAATCAGCACTTTTAATTCACCTGCGAGTAATTTAAGCGTTAATACGATCCCGCTATCCAATGAACCACTAATTGGTTACGGTGCGACATGTCGCGTAGCGGACCTAATGAGCGGTAATCAGATGCGCTATCGCTTTGTATCGCTTGTTTATCCGTTAATCATTGCGAAATATGCCATACATCATATCATACAGTTTTAAGTTCTTAAATGTCGTAGCACAACGGTTTCAAAAAATATAAAGGTTGAATCATTAAACTTTCCGTACCATATTTATAGAGTTAAATCATTGCGAAAAGCATAAACATAAATAAATACAAACAAACTGCACTCTATTGTAGCGCATTCTGTAGTAGAAAATTAATATTACGCTCACAATAGCTGGCAAGTAAGTCTTTTTTGTTAATATTAACCATCGGCATATTAGATAAACCAGGCCGTGCTTTTAAACGAATCCTAAAAAAACGTAACTTTAATAAAGGTCACATCATATTGCACAGGTGAGCGAATGTTTTACGTTTATCCAGTTTTGTTGGCTGGTATCAATAATTGCAATCATACTGTTATGTTTTTTAAACGGCATTGAACATTAATTCCTAAAAATCTGTAAGGCGCTAATGGGCTGGAAAAATCAACGACACAGAATAACAGCCGGTCTTGACGAGCGAGGAGGTACGAAACATACTATGAAGGTCTACTGTGTAACCATGTTGCCGGCATTCTAGCAGCTACTTGCATCCGATCACCTTTAATGGCAAAAGTGTAGAATTTGTTTCTAGGTGCACTGTGCATACATCCAGTAAAAGCATATACCAGTGGCGGCATGCTACTGACGGGATTTAGAAAATGAGAAAATTGCGAGTTATTTCGCAGACATGCTGGCTAATCTTGGCGTAGAGGTATACATATATCTTGGATTAACCGCAAGCTTTATTGAGCCAATCGGCGGCAGTAATTACAAAACACCGCATCACAATTATTGATGGATTTTGATCGCGTTTGTATTGGGCCTATTGGCCAACCTCGTCCTGAACTATCTACATGTTTATCCTCAATTATCCGAAGCGACTAATAATCTTAAGATTATCTTGATCCGTTGTTCGCTCCTGTACTTGCTGCGACCGAAGCAGCAGTAAGAAACCGAAAGTGCAAAAAGGTAAAGGCGGGATTAAATTCCCATGCTTCAGACTGTTGATATTCTTGGCCCACATAAACGTCCACGGGCCGGAATTTAAGGAGAACCGTATCTTCCCATTGTGGCATGATTGTGAAGAAAGTTGGTGAGAGAGATCATGGCTAATTAAGCAGCCTCTCCAGCCCCATTGACAGCACAATACACGCCGCATAACCCATGTGACAAGAGGACAAGAATGAGCATCATTAAGCAATAAGCACACCTCGTTGTTATCAGCGCGCCAGCCGCAGTCTGCGCGCCCGCTTGTCGACGCTGCTTTTCACACACACGCATACAGACACGGCAAATCCCCCCATTCTCCATCTCCATACACAACAAACGCGAGATGCATACGAGTATACACCCGCCGGCCGAACGGATCGATAGATCTTTATCTTCTTTTGTTCCTCATTTCAATTGACAAGTATCCTCACCGACCGACACTTTGTAATCCGCGGCTAAAAGATCTTTGTTGTCGCATTCAGCTTCGCGTCCTGGTCGCAGTACTTGAAAAGAAAAACACGGCCAAACCGCTAAGTGATTCTCCATTTGGCAATGAGGAAATTAACCGCTGTGATTACTGATTAAAAAGAGCGGATTGATATTCGACATGATCATTAGGAGCTGATGCGAGTGTGTATTGGTTGTATGTCGGAAATGGAATCGCGGGGTTAAATGGCCGAATCGAGATGTTGTTGCGGTGGAGAAGGAGATGAGCGCTGCTAATGGTTAATGAGGGCCGCCCGCTACGTGCGACAGTTAACCCAAACTGAAAAACTGACAGCGACGCTGCCGCGGCCTGATCAACGGACATCCTGCTGCTGTAATGCGGCACGGCCAGCTTTGTTCCGGCCATGCCGCCCCCGGGTTGCCATCATGTCGGCTTTGGATACATGCACATACACTTTAATCGATGCATTAAACGCGTACACAATGCCTAACTCCGCAAAACAAATGAATGAAAATGACGAAAATACAGCGTTCATAAACAGTACACGGACTGCGAATGGTTCAACTTGTGTTCTGGATTGCACACTGACCAGGCGCATTTGTAGCGTCCGTCCAGCATTACGTCAACAGGCTGTAAGAATAAACCGATTTAAAGATTAAGCACATAATCTGGGATCACAGTTTAAGTGCGGATATGAGTGCAGGAAGAAGCTGCTTTTTGGTTAAAGTTCCGCATATATTGTAGGCACTTACAAGAAAACGCAACTTTTATTACTGTAATCGTATAAGTTACAGACGATTTTCCCGCATCCGCGCCAATATTGTAAGTACTGTACTAAAATATTGATGCTTGATGAACCTGTAGTCCTACTACGGCAGGCGAAGTTGTTAATGGTATGCAAAAAATGTGATGATGATAATACTCGTACGTATTCATAAGCATGTGGTCAAAATACTATGTAGCTCTATTTTAACATGGGATTCATTGGCCGGAATGCCTGTGCGTAGGATCGGATCTCTTGTACTTATATATTATTTTATGACAGAAATTTTTTGGCAATGATTTCAGTGATTTGCTAACAATAAGTTTGGTGTCGGTTAACTCTGGATGCATTTACGTACTTAACCATCAGTCTAGCACGAGTACGTGTTCCATACTGTCCAGCACCAGTCATAGTGGAAATCGGTGGAATCCGGATACGGCCGACAATAACGACAATCCGGCGCCCAGTGCGAACTGATCCCTGATTCCTGTGCGCCTGTCCACACGGGCCATTTTCCACTGCAGCCCGCTGGGCGATTTGCATCGTGGGAAACATGGATTATTATTAACGGGTCAGCACACAGTGGAAAATAGTGCACTGCACAGCACGAACTAGATGTCGATTTAAAACGCAACGACAACTTTTAAGACGTAATTATTTTAATCTTAGAAAATGTCTCGAAAGGGCACATTAATTGGGCTAGTTTATATGTCGATAAGTGCACCTACTGTTCTACGAAAGTGCATATGTGCAGTTTCTCGAGAAACTTTATTTCGAATACAGCAAAAATATTCGTAGTGTACGAAAACAGGTCTTTTTTTACAGTCTCTGGGGCTGTCAAATCCAGACGATCAACATAGGAAGTTTAATTTGTGGTAAAACCGCAAACGCTGTAAATGAAGTGTCCATATAAAATATTTTACCGGTAAAATACAACGCTAATGCAGAACCTGGGTTCGTATGAAACCCAATGCGCACAATAATTTTATGGAGCAGTATGACATAATAATTAAAATAACAATCATTCGTACTTTTAATTATCAACTAGGATTTATCTGCACTTCAGTACTCATAAATTAAATAAAACGTTCCCATAAAATTGTACAATAAAAGTACGGATGAGCTACATGTACAAAACGAAACAATTCATTGTTTTATCGTAACAATTATTAGAGTGTTCCCGGCTTCTGCACTTCTTCAGTGGTAATCTTTTTACATGGGTCTGCAGGTGCAGGCGACCTACGACTCTACAGCAGCCTTGGAAATTTAAACACTCATACAGCTGATAATGAGAAAAATCCTAATGATATACATAAATGGTACAGTACCGAGTACTGGCTAACGACTACTCGTAGGCGGACTAGTGTGGTAAAATAAAAACTTGTCACAGTCATCATTTCCGTATCAATATGAACAAACACAAATGCTGTTGTTTTTAGTGTACATTGTATTGCCGATATTGTCAAATTCTGAAAACTATTTTACAATGAGTGCTTTGTTTTAAAATAATTTTTAGCCAACGGTTTATATGAATATCACACGCACTGACCATGGTGAGTGCTATCGTGTGCAATGAAATGATTTCCGACGGAAAAGCGCATGTCTGCATTAATTCAGTACGAGGTAGTCTTTTCATGTTCTTTATATTCAACGAAACCGCATAACCACAATAAATTAAGCGGAACCAAGCACCAACTGACGACACCAAATTAGGAGCGCAAGTAAATAAATATCAACACATAAAAACCAATAGACTCTATGCAACGCTAACGCTGACAACGTTAAAGACCTTGATATGGTAAGAGACGAACATTACGACAAACAGCGACATTTCACACCACTTTATATTTATCTTTTGGGATTTGGTTTTGCCCTCCGCTTTGAAAACATCAGCCATTCGATTCAGGGCGCTGCCGGCCTTAAACCATTCAATCTGCTGGGCGTTAAACGAATGGTTCAACTGGAAGGCCTCGTTCGAGCCGTCTGAGTGTTTGACTACACAGTCGACGGGCTGTAAGAATAAAAAACCACAGTTAGCACAAACCATTCCACCCAAAGAAAAAATTTAGTTTACGGAAGTCGAAATACTATACTCAACCAACAAATGCTATTCCATAATAAAAATTGGTAAAAATACGAGATGTCGATATGCGACAATATACCTTCCCCGGAGCAAACTCATCCAGTCCAAGCAAGGAAATTTTATCATCTGGTCGGATTTTATCGTAATCAGCGGGATCAGCGAAGGTCAAGGGGAGCATTCCTTGCTTTTTCAGATTGGTTTCTGTGAAAAGGTACATGTCATTGCTTCACCATATCAAACATCAGATCGTAATAATATCTCACAGAGGTTCTACTCACCATGAATACGGGCGAAGCTCTTAACGATAATGGCGCGGCCACCGAGATGTCGGGGCTCGAGGGCGGCATGTTCGCGCGAGCTGCCTTCTCCGTAGTTATCATCACCGATGGCCACCCATTTAACACCCGCCGCTTTGTACTTGCGCGCCACATCGGGTACGGCGCCCCATTCTCCCGACATTTGGTTCTTGATCTTATTGGCTTCGTTATTTTCCTCGTTTATGGCACTACAAACACAATCGGACGCTGTACATAAAGAAAACTGATAACAGCGTGCATAAACATTGCTGTAAAATACATCTTACTACACTACAATTTGGCAACTTACGAAACAGCAATCTGCATTTTAATGGAACTTAAACGTCCTTCTTTTTTAATTTTTTTTAAAATTCCTGACATTCTAATGCACATTCTCACCCGATGAAAAGGTTGTTGGAAATGTTGTCAAGATGTCCACGATATTTGAGCCAAGGACCAGCCGCACTGATGTGATCCGTGGTGCATTTGCCTTTAATCTACAGAATCGCATACGTTGCAACTAACCTGTGCTCCATTTTTTAACAACTTCCGGTCTATGCCTTACCTTGATTAGCACTCGCATATCTTCCAAGTCCTTTCCGTCCCATCGATCGAACGGGGACAAGAGCTGTAGTCGCTGACTATCGGGGTTGACAACTACATCCAGCTCCTTGCGTTTATCCAGACGGGGTGGCTCTTGATAAGTGTCTTCACCCGGATCGTAGCCTTTGGCGGGCAGGTCCTTGCCCTGAGGGGGTTGCAGAGTAAACTTCTCACCATTCTTGCCAGTCAGGGGATCTTTCATCGGGTTGAAATCCAGACGACCACCCAAAACCAGGGCGGTCACAATTTCCGGTGATGTGACAAACGCATGCGTACCGGGGCTAAAATAAAAATAAACTGGCTGTCGGGGCATTATTTTGAATTCGAGGCATTATTTTGTAACGGTAAGTACTGTTTTTGTGACGATAAATCACTTCAATCGGGAGTGACAACATTCAGCAGAATAGAAACTTACTTGGCATCATTACGTCCCGTGAAGTTTCGGTTGTACGATGTGACGATGGTGTTCTTGTCGCCCTTCTTCACGTCCGTGCGATTCCACTGTCCAATACACGGACCACACGCATTGGCCAACACCGTGCCTCCGATATCACTCAGCGTCTTCGCCTGGCCGTCCCGTGTGATGGTCGCTCGAATCTGCTCACTTCCGGGCGTAATCACGAACGTCACCTTGGCCTTCAAGCCGTGATCCAACGCCTGCTGCGCCACACTCGCCGCTCGTTCCATATCCTCGTAGCTGCTGTTGGTGCAACTGCCAATCAGGCCCACCCGGATATCCATCGGCCAGCCGCTCTCCTGGGCCCGCTTACCCAGCTCCGACACCGGCGTCATCAGATCGGGGGTGTAAGGACCGTTGATCAGGGGTTCCAATTTGTTCAGGTCAATTTCAATCAGTTCGTCATACTTGCATCCCTTGTCAGGACTCAGCAGCTCCTATGGGCACACAATCGTCAATTTCAACTTTCAAAGCCGATGCTATTATTAACAACTCTTAAGACAGCTACGTATCAGGATATAATTCATAGTTACAGTACAACGCTTAAATTTAGGAATAATGCGAAGCGATACGCCCTATTGGCAATCTCTCGTCTCACGTTAACAGAGAATGTGCCTGCACGTCGCAGATTAGTAGTTTTTCGCTTTTTTAAATTACCGGTATCATATCTTTGATAATTTTTCGTCAGAAAACAGCTTAACTGTTTTGCATACCTTCTGGTACTGTTTAGCAGCGTCGGCAATATCACCCCGTCCAGTGGCTTCCAGGTAGTCGGCCATACGGTGATTATAGGGGAAAATGGACGTCGTCGCTCCGATTTCCGCTCCCATGTTGCAGATGGTGCCCATACCAGTGCAGGAAATAGAGTCCACACCGGGTCCGTGGTATTCCACAATGGCTCCTGTGCCGCCCTTCACGGTCAGGATACCGGCCACTTTCAGGATCACATCTTTGGGACTGGTCCATCCGCTGATTTCTCCCGTTAATTTCACGCCGATAACCTGATAACAATCATCAGCGTCAATTTTATACTAAGGAAATTTCAATTCCGCATTATTAATAGATTCAACACCTTTGGACATTTCAGTTCCCAGGGCAGTCCAGCCATAACATCCACGGCGTCCGCACCACCGACACCAATGCATAATCCGCCCAGACCGCCACCGTTTGGCGTATGACTGTCGGTACCGATCAGCAGCAATCCAGGGAATGCATAGTTCTCCAGGACGATCTGATGGATGATGCCACTGCCGGGTTTCCAGAATCCCACACCGTATTTGGCACTGGCTGTGGCTAAGAAGTTGTACACTTCCTTGTTGATATCCTGCAACAGATCCAGTGATCAGTTTCTGAACAACAGCTGCCCACGCCATATTTGCCGGATACCTTTGCGCGCGACAAATCCTGGACGCCACCAGACTGGGCTTCGATCAAATGATCGCAGTGGATGGTGCTCGGGACGGCAACCTGCTCATAAATAAACATAACCGGGAATTATAATACATATAGGTAACTGTAGAGTGTAAACGAATGCACGGTTCATCTACTGTAGATACCGCAAAATTAGTCAATTGCACACTGTCGTTGAGAGCATACCGTTTCAATGCCACCGGAAATGAACTGCAACATCGCCATCTGCGAACAAAAATCACGTATTAATTAAATAGCTTATTATAGATTCCGCCGGTCATATGCTGTCACCTGGTGCACCAGTAATTTTTAACTATGCGCCTGTGATGCGAATCAAACATCACCTTACATTTCGTACTCGTACAATACATTAGCTACGATTAAATATCAGCTTATGGAGACAATACTACATAAGCGTAAAACTGCGCAAAACGTCCATATGCAGCTTCCTAAATTTTGTTACACATATACAAATAAGTTTTAAGTTTATACATTCACCTGCCGGATTTTCAGACATGTCACTAACAAATTCATCGATTTTATGCTGTTTAGAAAAGGCGCGGTGCCGAACAGGTTACAGATAGCTAAATCTTGCATAAATTTGTGATTCTCTTAATCTACTTTAATTAGTGATTGATTATCTTCACAATCAAAAATTAGATTTTCGCCTTTGTAGTGTATTATTACTTTTGAACTGCTTATGACAACAGCGTACGTAAATCGACGCACTTTGAACTTCGATCCCATACAAATGACACAATGACAGCCAAAATAAACACAAAAGCGGAAACAGTGATTTCCCATTGACGCCCCGGGCCATCGCAAAAAAAAAACACCATCCGCTGTTTACAATACGAGTACACCGCTAGCTCATAGACTCTAAGAAGTAGAAACTGTGACAATCCGCTGTGTCATCAAATCACTAATCACGCTGTTTTTCACAGCTTTTAGCACTACCGAACTCAAAACGCCGGAATTGCACTTTACAGTGTACAACTACGGAAGCACGGGGAATTACGCGAACTTTTTTTAAAATAAAAATTAAAAAAAATAAAGCAAATCAAAAGCAATTAAAAAATACGAAGTTTAACAGAAAGCTAGAAATGAAATATTATTCATCGAATAATTTACCTGCGCAGTAGCATCCTGCATCGCCACGCGATCCGGTCGCAGAAGCAGATAACTCTTCCCTCTGATAATCTCCTGCTTCTCCGGATTGTCCAAATGGGAATACAGCACCTTCTCCGATAGTGTCAATGGTCGGTTCAGCCTGTTTCACAAAAATAACCCGATAAACATCAATTTTCCCTCAAAACAACGAATGCTTGGCGCCGTACTTTCGTTTGACGATATCCAGATTCTTCAGCATTTTTTCATAGTCGATCACCTTCTCCCCGTCAAACTTGCTCATGTGCGGCTTAAACTGTAACAACCATATGTCAGGCAACGCTCTAAACCTTAAACAACGCGAAGAATTACCTTGGCCTGGGCTGCAGCATAGTTAATCTGGGATGCATTGAAGAAGCGTGACTGAATGCTCCGCAGAGCATTCTTCACGATTCCGCCCGTGTGCATCTTCTACAAACAGAAGCCTTCCATAACGATTTGCACAAGGATGTCAGCAGGCATCTTCCTTACCATTTTGGCGACAGAATGGTGGATGCAAGAAGGATATGAGCGATCCGAAACACGGGAGAATGTCTAAAACGTGGCGAACCCGTCACTCGATCCCACTGGCGATAGATAGCACAAAATTACGTAGGAATTACGACACACGGAACATTAGATCATAAAATCTGTAGAGAATCATTCGCAATATTCATTGGCCGATAAAAATAGATTCTGCAGATCATATGGAAAATCTCAAGGGCGTCGAAAAAAATTCTACAGTGATATTATTTCGGGAAATATTACAGTACTTTACGGCTTCTCGTACCTTCTAAACCGTAAGGAATGTCATGTGTAGTTGCGTTGTGGTACAGCCAGGCCATAGTCTACGGATTTAAACAGGGAAACGCTAGACTAACGGCAGTACGGTTCAGGTAAAGCGTGCCCGAGGTGCGGGAGCTTACGGTGCACGATTTTTGATTTTCTGGACACATGTGCACTGTGAACTACTCTACTCGTAGCGTCTTGTCTGGCCGAGGCCTAATCCGGAAGTCCATTTCGCGGTATCTAGATTCTCGCAGTTTCCAGGTTCCAGCTGCAAGTAGTTCGGCGTTTGAACATTTCAAGCTTTAATTATGTCATTTAGTCAGCAATTTCATGCCAATCTTACTTCGTTTCTTACCGTCACCAGCTTGTACCAAACCTGGTCATGAAAATAAATGATTTAGAGTTGAAAGACTGCTAGGGTAGACATAATATCGAAATTAAGAAACGCAAACTATTGCTGTGAAATGTAAAATTTGCCGATCAGGATATTTGTACTGAATAGTTCGGTCACTGCTGAGTCGTTGCTGATTCAAAGAAAGATTAAATTTGAATGATTTCATTGAATGAATACTCCTACTGCACAAAATTTCAGGTTCATAGTTGTGACGCTTATAAATGCGGCTGGTGTTAACGACCAGTTAATACTGGCTTACAAACATACACTATAAGGACTATACCGGAGATCCTTTTTTCATTTTGGTTATCGAAAGATATAACAGTTGCACAGGGGTGTCCGGAGGTCAACAGCTCTGGACGCTGCCAATATGAACACGCTGTGCACTTGGATAACTACAATCGGATTAATCTGGTCTTGGAGTGGAGTTATAGCCGCTATTGGTAAATGTACTTAAGCTGGTGCCTCCCGGTATAAAAATGCTTTAGTTGTTAGCCACGTATGCGTAAATATTAATTACTGATTTAGTACCGCGAATTGTACTAGATTCAACCCTTTCGCTAAATACATCTTCCGAAGCCGACGTACGTTTTAAGAGCAGCCCTTTGATTCGCCGAAAACGCACCTTCAATGCTGATACCCGAGTTGACCTGTGGACAATCCGGCAGATACCATTTTATTTTGACTCTTATTACAGTAGGTTATCAGCACTTGTTTTTATTTTTTATTATCTTTAGTAACTGTTTAACTGAAGTTACACATGAAAATTTACCAAAGTTTGCATACCTAATTAATGAATTTCCAGGTTGACTGTCGTAATACGGTTTGTTGTACTTCCGACAGCTCAGCAAGAAAAAGACCTCATAAGGACAGCTGCCAGTCTCGTATCCCGGCAGATTAATAACATCATCACTTTCTTTGAAGTCCTACCTGGTGATTACCGCTATAAAATAAAAATTTCACCATATGACAGTACCGGGTAAGTTAATTACCTTGTTTCGCAACTTCCCACCGGCTAACTAATATTAAAAAAGCTGTGAATAATCAGTGGTGTAATCCTTAATTTCAGAAAACTGCAAGTTCAGTGCTCAACGTATCCCGGATCCGCACAAAGGTCACTCCAGTATTACAACGAACAGACAATTACAATAACAAGAGGAGCTAATGGCTGTTTGGAGAATAATCAGCTGCGGCCGATTATGAAATACTTTATGGTTACACTCGGCCGAAGAAACGAGTACCAGCGCGGAGATCGCGATCAGTACATCACGATTCAATACAACAATGTTGCTTACCCGGTACAATCTCCCAAAGGCAAAAAATCTAATGCGGGATAACTGTTAAATTTTTTGCTGTTTCAGAACAGTTTTAAGCTTTACACTGCGGCGGATGCTGTTTGGTCACGATTTACCTACGATTTCTGCAGCATCACCAACGATCGTCCCACCAAATACGCAAATTCTGGAAGCGTTGCCTACACAGTCAACAATGGACAGCAGTATAACACCGATGCCGCACAGCTGAGCAACATAGACTGTCAGCTTATAAATATTTACTATGGAGGAACTCCATCAGCATGCCCTTCTTGTGCGTATACTTAACCTTAAGTACCGTACTGAGCGTTCGTCAGTAAAATTTCGCTCGTGTGCTTAATTAAAGGTAGCTACATATCTATGTAAAGGTTTTGTTCTTTCGGTTAGATGACTGCAGAGCTTCCGCTACAGTTACTACCGCCTCGACAACTACAACTACGACACCAACAACCACAACAACTACAACACCAACAACCACAACAACTACGACACCAACAACCACAACACCAACAACCACAACAACTACGACACCAACAACTACTACACTAACTACAACGCCAACCACAAGTACAACAACAACTACCACCACTAGTACTACGACGACAACCACAACACCAACAACTACTACTACCACATCAACTACAACGCCAACAACGACAACCACTACAACGACAACGACCACGACGACAGCACCGCCCTGTCCCGGCTTTTGTGCCACTGCGCCAACGGAATCCGCTTTCCTCTTTGGACCATTAAACGTGGTCCAGACCTATCTTCTGTTTTCGGGTACGTAGTTTGTTAACGTGTGTATCTCGGTAAGAGTACAAAGCCATGATAGGGTGAGTTTCTAAAAATGATAAAAATGAACGGATTCGTAATCGTAACCACGCATGCACAGACGCAAAGGTCATCCGCACGCGGTTATATAATAATTTTTATTTGCTCCACCAGGAAACTGTGTGGCAGAATATACAATGAAATGGGATGAGGGCAAACTGTCTTTGCAAACTAGTCCACAGCTGATCACCTCATACTTTCCGGCTGTCGGTGGTCCGACAATGCAGCCTCCAGTTACTCTGGCGTATATGACAATGGCATCTGACAAATTTACTTCTCACTACATTAATCAGGTACATACGTACCATAACTGCATTTCTGTTTAGTTTCTAAAGGACGAAATCATCACTAATTTGTAGGACGAAATCGATGAAAACATTACGCTGTAAATTCTGTAATTTTTTTCACGTTTTGCAGGACGCTTCGAAGTCTTTGGAGTGTACCGCGAACGATGTGACTCTTGTACCCGTCTGCCCATCTCCAGCTGGATCAAACGGTGTATTCCCAGCGTCAACAATAACTAGTGCTTCGGAAGAGCTAAACCAAGGCGACGTTAAAATTTACCAATATGTTGTAGACAGTACGTGCGCCGCTTGCTTACATTTAACTCTAAAATAATATCAAGCTGCAATATCTATATGTATAACTGCAGTACTATGGCACTATGTATATATAGATAGTGTCTACATTGTAAGAATAACTGAAATTGTTTTTTCTCAAAGGTTAGACGCGGATTTGCTCAGCTGTTCTATTTGAAGCAGCTATGTAAACAAAGTTTGTTGACAATTAGATAATCAGCGAGAAGTTAAGTTAATGGACGAAACCTTTACCACAACATACCAGACTACCAGCGGACTTCTCAGCGGGCAGACACAAATCGCCCGCATTACAGCCATCCAAGTAATGGACGATATGGTGGACTTCCACGGGAGTGCACTGGCCGTTTTCGGTGTGGGCAGCGACAACACAACACCGTATGTTGGGTTTGTCAAGATTCCGCTCCTGGCGGTGCCCTTTGCTCCACTGGAGCCTATCGAGGTGAGTAACACACCGCGCGGTAAACTGAGTTTTCCCCAGCATCAACGTTTTGCTCTTTTCAGTGGTCTAATGCACCAGTACTTTTAAAGAATGCTGTCACCGGCGTGGCTTGCCCTTGATGAATCTGCCGTGTATCGTGCACTGAAGTACATTTTAGTCTTGTTTAGGCGCCAACAGGAAACCGGACCACCGGCACTAATTTAGAGAATCATACTCATGTTTTTTTATAATTAATATTGTGATGCTGTTGACTGCACTAATCCCTTTTTTTGCCTGTTTAGTTAAAGTATTTTGCGATAGGAAATAGCAAATGCTCGTATTTTTGGAAACAACAGTTACTTCTGCCCGTGCGAACATATGTGACCTGTTACAATACATACGTACGTTATTTACGCTTGATGCATCAATCGTAAATTGTACAATCACTGCTAAGGCTGTTAATGCATTGCTAACGAACAAACGAATTCTTCATTCAAACAGAATCAAATCGGCCGTGGATCACAAGAAACGCGGAGGCGAAGCCGCAGCTGTATCTTGTGAATATAGATATTCGATACTTACGTATTACATGTATATCTATATGTTACCGTATATGGAAATGCATATACCGAACTGCTTTAACAATGATTATTCATTCCATGTTAAAACTGATTCTTTTCTTTCTATTGAGAGTTCATTTCCGGCCATGAGCAGAGATTCTCTTTTTGAATGCGAAACAAAGGTTTTCTATTTTGTATTTTCTTATAGTCAAAACAGTATAATTATTTCGTTTATAACAAGATTGCCTCTTTTGAGGAGGTGACCATGTGTTTGCCGAGGTGGAGGGTATTGCGCTTGCACCATTTTAGCAGCCTTTGATTGCGGTGGACAGAAGTTGTGGTCCCGGCGCCTTCCACTACAAATAACAGCACGAAATTGCTCCGCAGGTTTTCCAAGAAAACTTTTCACAAAGCAGTTCTTAGTCCTTACCGTCCCGCTGAGCGGAACATTGCATGACCCATCGAGAGGCATATCGTAGAAACCAACATACGCCTTTCCGTCGGCGCCGCTACCAAAGACGGTCAAAACCTGGTTATGGAAGCCTTCCAGATCCTGGATGATCTGAATGCCGGTGACCTTGGTTATCTTATTCTGGCCGTTGAGAAAACCAGACGACGTTTCACACTCCGGTTGGGTCAAGTCCGGACTGTCAATCAGCTTAATTTCATTTTGCGCACCTAGCAAATTACACCGGCAGAAAAAATTTAGAAACGTTGCCAGACACGAAAATAATACCATACTTTGCAAAAAAAGTGTTACCGTTTACTACATAATTCGCCATGTGTCCGTCGCCATTCGTGTACTGCGTGGACGCGCTCGTAGCGGTTGCCGGGGGAATGATGCCGCTGCTGGTCACTGAATTAGCACACGTGAAATAATCGGCTTTTTTGCCCTGATCCGAAACACATTTCATAACTTTTGACCCGCTCTGAAATAAAACTTTATGAACGTACAAATATGAGGAAAGCTGACTGCGCAAATCTGCTTGCGATCTACCTACTTGATCTTGGAAAAAGGAGGTGTAGGTGGTCTCGGCGTTGGCGTTTGTCAGATACGACAGTGTCACCGGGCCCGGCATGCCCGGTCCGCCGGGCGGCGGAAAGTACGTGGTGATTTTCTCCGGTTGGGACTGTATATTCAATTTGCCGGCATCCCAGTCCATCGTGTATTCCATCACACAACTGCCTGGAAAATCGGCGGAAATACCCAATATAAAAAAGACACCAGTCAACAAAAGTCTTACAAGCATACCCTAGTCAAAATTACCCGAAAACAAGCCTTGGCCAACGAAAGTTTTACAAGGGTATCAAAATTACCGGAAAACAGCAAGTATGCGGTGGGTTTCACAAACGGTCCCAGCAGGTTGGATGATTCATCCGGGACTGCATTGCAAAATGTCGATAAAGGACAGTCAGCGACTGTTGTCGTCGTCGTTGTCGTGGTGGTGGTTGTTCGCGTTGTCGTAGTGGGCGTGGTCGTCGGTGTCGTTGTGGCTGTGGTGGTGGGCGTGGTCGGTGTGGTGGGTGTTGTGGTTGTTGGCGTCGATGTTGTAACGCGCGTTGTGGTAACAGTGCTTGGTGTTGTCACTCCTGGTGTTATCGGCGGGAACGTCGGTGGAGGAATAGGCGTTGTACCGGCAAGAGCGGCCTGACGCGCAGCATCGCAGTCAACTACAAGAATTTTATTTGTAGACGTAGCTAATAATGTGTATGTTGCGGCTGTGATTACAAGATTGGCAAAATGATCCGTCACAACCGTAACCGGCAGTAATTAGCCGACAGTCGGTATTGGTTAACTGTGGGATCACAGGCGTAGCTTGTGGTCCGGTTTTGAAAATAAAGGCGGCTGTTCCCGGCTGGGCGAAATCGGTTAGGCGGTTGTGCGTAATGCTGCAGAAATCGTAGGGTAGTGCTCCCCAAAAAGCTTCATTTGGGGCATAGAGCCGGTATGCCGCCTATTCCACAATATTTAATCAATCAAATCACCTGAACCTCACATCATACGAACAAGCTCTGGGTATTACAGGATTCAGGTGGTAAATACGCAGTATTTACCGGCAAAACAACATTGTTGTTATTCATTGTCAGATAAAGGTCACGATCTCCTCGTTCATGTTCATTTCGCCGACCCAGACTCATAGCCCAGTATTTCATGACGCTGCGCTGCGAATCCAAACAGCCATTCGTTCCGCGGGCTATGACGTGGCGTTGCTCACTAGCGGAAGATAAACCGATAGCCATTCCTGGATAGGCACTGCAGTACGGCTCCGGAGTGCTGTAAACATGCAGGGCTTATTAAATACCCAATTAACTATTGTTGCCTATTTGTAGCATGCATATATATCTGCTTGTTTAACTGCGACTATTGCAGAAAGACAGTTTAATAAAGTAACGAAAAATATACAAGTATGTATTATAATCGTTTGTAGTGTTATAATCATTTGAAATAAAACGCACCCATCTTGAGCGTTGGGTGTTACACGGAGCTTGAAGCGGGTGTCGGTCGCACTGGTTTCCACGAATGTCACACAGCCGCTGAGGTCGTTCTGTATTCTCCACGCGGCAAGACGGATCATGTACTGTTCCGCAACAGCTGCAATGTCAGCAGTAATTACTAAGTATCTCGTTACTACAGGACAACAGTTTCAGTAAGGAAAACAGATTGTGGAAATGTATTTAAATAAGCGATGAAGTACAGTAAAAGCGCAGTTAATTCAGAATATGTATACTGAAAATGCAATTGTTCGTGAACGGAGAGCTTGACCTCTTACTGTAATTTGTATCCAGATAAAACAGTATCTGGTTCCTGTTTGGCCAACGGGTGAACCTGGTGTCGACATTCATAGTTCGCAAACGACTGCCGGAAAATGTTCTGGGCACGGTGATATTCGCATCCGGAAACGGCTTGTATCCTGTAGGGCGCGCGGGTCTCTTGCCCTGGATATTGTGACCATCTGCAAGTTCATCACAAATCTCCAAATAAGCAAATCAAGCTATATGCGTACTTCTTAAAGTTATTTCAGCCTTTTAGCATTTATAATTGTGGTCGGAACTTACCGTACCAGATATTCGCTTTGCATTAACTGAATGAGAAAAATATTCCAGCAGAGATGATAAGATCAAAATCCCGAACGAGATGTCGATGCTTAATGTATGCATTGCTTGGTAAAATTAACAATGCGACAGTTAACAGTCCACAATCACCAAACCGTTCTCGTTTCCAGAACGATACATTCAAGCCAAGAACACTCGTCTGTGGCATGTGCCTTGCACTGGTTCCGACTGATTCGGTGATCGCACTGAGAAAAACATTCTGCGTCAGCGGAAAACGAAAAGTGGACAGCAAAGAAAATCTGCTTTGCTGAAGTCTACATCCATATTTGATGGGACATGTTCGTCACCGCTGCATTGTCCTAGTGTGGTAATCATAAGCGCACTACCGGACCACACCTGTAAAGCTGTAATTATTGCACAAACATATACAATATAACGTGCCATGTAGGCTACCTGTAACATATATAAACTGTTTGTTTTTCTCCGGTACTAGTATTACACTTCTCCGTGCAAACTTAATTGCAAAGTATTTGTACCGGAAAGTAGCTAATGATTAGTTTCAGGCCTTTGAAAATGCGTTATTACCGTACATGATGTTCACATCTCTTTATCCTAATCGCTGTGAGAGTGAATTCCGATGTACGGCAAATGTAGCAGAAATGACCTTTCTTTAGAGGATTTGTAAAAACATTTAGATATTTAACAACAGAGCAACAGAACTGCTAATGACCTTTTATTCACAGTCGAATGCTATTTTTATAGTTCTTTGCTAACAAGGATAAGGCCTAGCTATGCGTGATCTATAATCTGCTAATTGTAATTGTAAATTGCGTTTACTTATTGTTAGTTCACAAGTGCAAGCTGTATTAGTTTTGTCCGGAATACGCCAAACAAAATGTTTTATGTCTTCACCACGTTTACAAAATATGTCATATGACAAATAAGTGCTCCTGCTAAAAACAGCAAATTTGTCACCATCAGTACAGTAAGTGTACTTTTTAAGCGGCAAAACACGTGAATAATTAGTTAAAAGAAGCCGTATTAGACTAAAACTTGATTTTCCCGTTTACAATTAAAATCTGACGCAACACTTTAAAAACACCACGGAACAACCAACGTCGTCAAACGCTATATGCCGTTAATTTCTTCGTGTGAACTGGTGCTCCAGGTATGGAGTTTGTTAAGTGTTAATTTTAACAGAACATGTCCTGCGGCTAACACATTCGCAGCTACGTACCAATCCGCAACTACTGTATTAGTGCATGTGAGTGATAATTTCGATAGGTTTAGCAGGTTGACTCTCATTTAAAGAGCCCGTCGTGGAATTTTTCCATCGCTCCCATCCGCGGAATTTAATCGAAAACAGAATGCGAGCGTGATGCGCCAGTACAATGTTGGAGAACGGTCTTGGGTAAAAAGCAGAAAATGCTTCCGGTTACCTTATGTACTTGCCGCAACTTTGTTGGCAGCTGTTAGTTTTGTTCTACTGCAATTGTATGTTTTTAATAATGCAAATCCCCTACAACGCGCAAAACTGTTGCGTTATATTTTCCACAATGGCCAAGTTTCAGAAAAGGCGAACATCCTTGAAATGCGCCAGAATGTATCAATATTATACTCGTATCATGTACCCGACCGTACCTATCCTATCCAGCCCAATGTGTGCCCACAAGATGGTAAACTTATAATTTGCACAAGAATCTTCTTCGTTTGCACGTGACATTTCCAAGCTGAACTGCTGATGATTGACTAATTTCCTTTTTTTAATCCATCGTAGTTACGGCAAGAGCAACATATATTATATACAAATAAAAATATGTACGAGTACTTATGATCATATGCGTATCATCGTATGTGGCTCGCTCCTTTTTAATTTTAACTTTACAGCGTAGAAATCGAAATCTGTTTCTCGCCTGAAGCTAGAAATTCGGTGCACTGCACTTTAAGCTAAAATTACGTACTACTGTCGTCACTTAAAAACTTGTATGTTAGTCAAAAATTTCCGATTTTTAGGCAAACATCCCTACCTAGTGTTGTTTATCCCATCGCGACCAGGTAACAGCCGGGACCGGGCAGCCGTACGGGAAACGTGGGGTCTGCATGCCCGTTTATGCAATATTCGTATCGTCTTTGGCTTCGGACTCATCCGGTCCCCGGAGACACAGCACGATGCATATGTGGAGAACAGCGTGTACGGCGATCTGATGCAGACCGGGAATGTCCTGGATGCTTATCGCAACCAGACGCAGCTCGTGCTGGCCTTCTTCCAGTGGGGTGTCACCAACTGTCACAACAGCCGATTTATCGGTAAAGCAGACGAAGACGCGTGGATTAATATCCACGAGTTGGTCAAGTATCTGCAGATGCCACTGGCTCCGTATTCGATAACGGGCCACTTTATTGACGATGCACCGGTATACCGTGACCCCGACCACAAATGGTAAAAGCTCTACTTATTAGTTACTTATAAGTGTGTAGTCATATATGAATTTGCTATCATTATATATTTTATTGAATTTCTCACTTTGGTGGCTATTGCCTATTAAAAGCTTTTATTAATTAACTAATTATCTGCTAAATTAAGTCTTAGTAATTACCGTTAATTACAATTGCAATAAGTACTTAGTCACCTACTGTACAGGTATCTTTCGGAAGAAGAATACCCTAACGCCACCTACCCGAAATTCCCTCTCGGCCAACTGTACGTCTTTCCCACTGCTTTGATACCGGAAGTGCTGGCCGCAGCACAGAGTGTCCGCTGTGTGTGGTTGGACGATGTGTGCTTTGGTGGACAAATTCCAGAGTTGTTACAGTTGTTATACCTGGATATTCCGGCCCGGGGAAATTGGTCGGTAGTGAGCAGCGTGAACTGCTCGGATCCCCGCATGTCGGATACGTATGCGTCTCGCTTTAACTGCAATTGTCCGGGGCGGGACTATGTGATCATAGATCAGACACCGGCGGAAGTGAAACGCAAAATTTTTTATGATCCATGCATGAGCATGTATCGGCAGTACAGTTGTCCGAATTTAATGGCATTTCCCGAAATAACGAATTTATGATACTGCAAAATAACCGAAAGGAGCTTTGAATAGATCTCGTTAGAGTTACAGTACTTGTGCAAAGTTCATCCGCAATCCTACGAGTATACTTCGTACATGGATTTACTGACCAGGGAACATTTTCCGCCTCCAAATTCAAAAAATTGTCATGTTTTGTAAAATGGTAGTGTACGATTGTAGTATGCTTAAAAAATATTTTAGCTGCCATCGTCAAAGGGCGTGGCAGACAACAATTAAAAGTTTGCATACTATCATATGCTGTGTAATGCACGTAGGTTATTCGTAATTATTATTATGTTAACTTTTTCCTGCAGCACCGAGGGCTTTGACAGCTGCGCTGTCGTGAAATGATGTAAGTAAAAGAGGCCCACTTGCGTCGGCTCGGGCCATTGCTGCCCGTGTGCACATTTTCAAAAATTTGTTAGGAAGTACAGCACAGATCTGTGTATTAGCAGAACAAAGCTTTTGCACAACTTATTGTTTACAACACAAATCGATGAAAATTTTCCGAAGATGTATATTCAGGCAGCAAGGGCCCGAGCCGACGCACGTGGGCCTGTTTTACTTACATCATTTCACGACAGCGGACAGCTGCAAAAGTCCACGGTACTGCAGGAAAAAATGCAACATAATTTAATTACGAACAACTTGTACTGCACTGCATTACACAGTATAATATGATAGTGTGCAAACTTTAAATTGTTGTCTGGCCACGCCCCCTTGACGATGGCAGCTAAAAATATTTTTTTAAGCATACTACAATAGTACACTACCGTTTTACAAAACATGAGAATTTTTTGAATTTGGAGGCGGAAAATGTTCCCTGGTGAGTTTGATTGTTGATATTTTTACGCGGCCTTGTCTAAGTCTGTCAGCTGGTAGTATTTTTTGTAAATGTATTCAAGACATGAACCGTAAACTCTCGTGAAGTTTGCTGGCATGGTCTGTTTCGGTACAAGATATGGCAGCAGCATTCAACTTATATTTTGGCAATATCTTCGCCTACTTATTTATACGACATTTAAGTCTTATTATCTGCCGGTGCCTCGAATTATTATTAATCTGGTAAACAGTCCTGACAAAATTGTTCAGTGCGCGTGCAGTTTAAAATCAAGGGACTGTTATAACCATAAAGCAGCCCTTTAAATTTGACTGGGACAATTCATAATTTGTCTAAAGACAAATTACGCGGCCTTGTCTAAGTCTGTCAGTTGGTAATATTTTTTTGTAAATGTATTCAAGACATAAACCGTAAACTCTCGTGAAGTTTGCTGGCATGGTCACAATTCATAATTTGTCTAAAGACAAGTCTTGTTCATATCCAGTACATACAAAGTGACATTTGTGTATCAATTTGTCTTTAATCAGCATACAGGGACACTGACATGGATTAGTAATTCAGTAAAAGTCGAAGTACAAACAATAAAATCAGTAGAAATTTATAAAAGACATGTACAACAGCAAAATAACGGCACAACAAGGTTCAGACATCCGGCAGCTGCTCGTACAAATGTTCCTTCCGATAGCTGCGGTCCTCATTGGCATCCTGCACAAATTCACTGACACTGGCATCCATCCCATCAATGGCCACGTTTAACGCCGCCCGCATATCATACAGCGACGACGGATCCCTCCGCCCCACCATCCCACCGTTCTCATACACCGGCTCCGACATCCTCTTGTCGCTATCATAACGGGCGATGCCCAGCGGCGCTGACTCCCTCCGCCGCGGTCGCCCATTCCCCACCGCCGTCCGCTGGTGCTCCGGATCTGAAAAAGACTTCTTTTGTCCACTGCTACTGGGCTTGTGTATCTTGGCGTACAATTTGTCCACATCGGCATCCGGGCCGCGGCTTGTCGAGGGCACCGGTTCATCGTCGGGAGGTGGATGACGGCCGGCACTGGTCGCGTAGGGATCAATCATCGGCGGGGAAGAAGACATGGGGAGACCGCCGATCCGCCCGTCGATCTCCGCGTATAATTCATTGTAGATGTGCGAACCCAGTTCACCGGATGCGACGGAACCGCCGTACTCACCACCCACCTGCAGAGATAATCGTAATTAATGCCACTGCCACGCTTGCTTGCTCGGTTGCGCACCTGAGCATAGAGATGACTCTCAGAGCCGGGTACATTACTGTACCCGTCTTCAACGGAGCGTCTGGTACGGAGATTCGACAGAGGAGCGCGCACCGTGATGCTGGTGTACGACATATCCGAGCGTGCTTCTGCAATCCATCACATTCATTATACAACCATCGGCAGCGGTTTTTCGTCAAACAATGCCTACCGCCGCGATAATCCGCCATCGCCGCATCATTGTCCATCTGCTGAAGAATCTGTGCGTGATTGTGCGTTGATGGGACAGATCGTGCGTTACCGGTTACGGGAGGCGCTTGTGCTACAGAAGGCACAGTCGCTTGGACAGAAGGAGCGCCAATTCGATCATATGGGTGGATTCTACGCTGTCCATTCGGTGCCTGCATACATATCCAGTAATTTTACCGATATACAATATATCATGTATTCACCCCATTGACAACAGGATAGCTACGCTTAAGTTAGATGTTATTATGAAACAAGAAGTTGATTTATTCACCCATACGGCTGACTGTAAGATTAATACCGACATTTACCAGCTTAAGGGCACGTTAACGATCGACGAAAAACTATCCACCATCAATCGTCTAACACCTACTGTACCGCTTAAAATGCGTTAAACTGAATTACCACGTAATGCGGCCGGTAATTTGGCTCAATGTAAAATTAATAAATCAATAATAAATGTCCAAACCCATGAAATATGCAGCAGACGTCTACAAAATTACAAGCACAATTTAGTACCTGGAAGCCCGTTTCAGCCGACGATCCAGATGACTGCGGATCGGTCGGTGAGCGGATGCTATTACCGTGGTCATCGTCATGCCCCACCCGCACGTCATCCAGACAAGCATACAGATTGGAGGCGCTCTCGTAGCTGGTCAGCTGACCCAGCGCCCTGGCTACATTCCCATCGGGAATCGCCGGAAGTTCACGACTAAGAGATGAATTTCGCCACGTCGGAGAGTGGGTGCGGACACCGAGGCGGTGCGCTGTTTCCGGATTAATATGTCCGTTACTACTTCCCTGACTGACAGTCGGCTCCTGGAAAACGATCATTGTCTTCCGGTACTATACATTAATGTGATTCAAGTCATAGGTAAACTTTTAACACACTACAAAAATCTGCATTTGCAACACGATGGTGCATAAGCAAATATTACCTAAAAATTCTATTTAAAATCAGAATTATGACTGGTTCGGACGTATGATTTGTTCGGCAAGCCTTACTACTTCATTCATAAAATGCCGTTCCATTCAAAATATAATTGAATTTTTTAGACTAATCATATATTTAAATTTTAATAAAAAATCCGTTCACCCAGTCAGCTTACCGAATACAGGGAGCGGTCGTGTTTAAACAGCAGTCGTACCGGTTCATGAAGACCGAAACCCTTTTTTCTGCAAGAATACAAATCATGATTAAATGCTGCAATTACGAACGTAAAAGCAACGCAGCTAACACCGCACAACTCGCAGTCCGCAATGTCACGGATAAACGCTTCCGAAAAACTGCTTCATTGTTAAAAAATCTCAATAAACAAACACAAAGCATACTCCGCAACTAAACAACACGACCATTGTGCAACAGCGGCAGCGTAAGACCACAATTCACAAACGATAATCCCAATCTATCATTAATATGACATTCTCACAAGGCACGACACAAACATCAGAAGCTTAAAAAGTCAGAACAAACAACGAAACAACTGTACTATCTACTCGCAAAACACACACGCACACTCGTGCATTGTTTCACTAAATTTCACATCAACCCATCAAAAAATATTGCGCTGCACAAAAAAGAACCCCCGAAATTCAAGCGATGTATTTCGACAGCGTGGCCCAGCTGTCAGTTATTCACTTATCAAGTGACAGTAAGTTGCCACAAGTACTAACAACGTCCACACCCAACAGTGCCAACACCAACAATTCAAACAGCCAGGATCAACCTTGGAGCAACAAGCACCACCGCAAAAGAACATAAATAAATACACTTACTGTTTGCGCTTGAATCCCACACAGAGAAACAGCATTCCACCCATGAGAATCACACACAAGAAACATCCACCAATGATGCCATAAACGGAAACAGTGCTCGATGAATTATCCATCGTATCACACGGGAAGCCTACAGACAATTCCAGAGAATCAGCAAATCAACGAATATCTTTCTGACAACATGTCCCGAAACATTCCACAAGGTTTTATGCAAAAACACAGCAGTGGAAAAATTAAAAAATGGAGGGAAAAAATCGTAAAACAGTTTTAAAACAACATTCACACGGAATTGAGACCGGAGAAAAATCAGAATAAAAATCCAAATTTTATTCAATTCAATGACTTGGCAATTACTTCATAACGATAAGTATTCAAGGGTACTGGACTCGTCATTATACTGCGTTAAGATTTGATTAGTGATCAAATAGCTAACGAGCAACTATTCCCTTCAGGTAAAAGAAATCCTGTTTTTCTACGGTAAATTCAGAAGCAACATGTTCTCTTAATTTTTACTGGGCTAAAACGTTTATTGCTAAAACAATAAGAAACGGGCAATAATAAGATCTTCAACGCTTTACAGTTTACTGATATAGTTTTGCAATATTTAATTTTTTACTTACGTAGCTAAATACGCAGATCCAGCCAAATCCGTAATAATTTGGTCAGTGTTTACAAGGCGACCAAGTGAATCATATGCGATTGCATTTTTGCCAGCAGTAGTCTGCCCACTTGGCCTTCCGGTAAGTTGAGAAATAAAAATAAAAAGCCCATAGCCGAGAGATGGACTGATTACTTATGTTCACGGGCCAGAGATCACATCAACAACATTTGCGCCCAAAATGCACCAGCGAATTAAAAGCAGCACTCCTCCGCTTACTCAACACTCGCGGCCGAAATCCGTCACAGTCACACAACTGGGGCTCTCTCTCGGGTCTGCACCATTAATACCAAGCACCGCATCATCTCTCATCCAAGTAAACTTCCACCATCATCAACAGACAGCTACTTAGGCTGTAAACTCACAAATCCACATCGTCACAACAGCTGCAGATTCCGCTTCACATTTCAAGTGGCTTCTAATGACGAAAGAAACGGCCGTTTACACGCTGCGCGAACAACCGCGCATTTCAACTTGATAACCACACGAGTGAGCGAAATAAATTATTTCATCTTGTCACAAATTGCTCTCCAGTCAAACATAATTTAAACACATACAGTACCGCTCGGATTAGTTCGAATAATAATCAAGGCAACAACTGAAAGACGCGAGTTTTTTAAAAGTTATTAGTTGACGGTTTGAGTCCGTTTGACCTAATTCTTATTAGCGTCTCGCAATAATTGCGCGACTCAGTCAGTAGTATAAGCTCGTTGCATCTGTGTTAACCAGGTGCGCATCGGTTCAGCCTTTGACTTCGTTACTACTGATTTAGCGTTTACTTTGCACAGGCTCCAGTTCTGTTTTGCGGCAGGTTCATCGAACCGTGACAGGTTCTTATATGCGGTATACGACTAGAATCATCGTAGCATATGAAACTGTAGTTTCGGTTTTGGTCTTCGATATCCGTGTAAACAAGAGTAATTTTTGGCGCCCGTAGAGTACGGAAGGGTCCGGCCGGTTGAAGGAAGCGGTGGGGCCCAACAGTCATGACATGAGTCATGTGACATGAGTCGAGTAACGATGCGTGAAACTTGTAGATGGCGTTGTTAGCCCGGCATCTTTTGTTACATTATGTTCGTAACATTATATAAGGCACATTACATCGGTTTCATCGGTTCTGAGGAGAAAACGGAACGGAACTGTAGTATCTAAACAAACGTATCCAATAGATCCTGCATGTGTTCCTACATATGTAGGAGCATTGCAATGTGCTCTTACATAGGAGGACATTGCAATATGCTTCACATAATGTAGAGCATACTGTACGAGGACAGCGTTTGGTAATTATTGTGGTGTGAAAAATGGTTGGAGCATAATGTAGGAGCATATTGCAGGAGCTTATTGTAGGAGCATAATATTAGATACAAGTATCGGGTAGTAAAGACAATATCAACAGAAATTGCTCTGTAGCCAATTTGAAAGGATAGTAGATTATATTAAAAGATGATATGTTTGAAAGAAACTGATAACGAAAGGGTGAATGTTGTAACAGAGGGAAGGTTGTAGGGGGTTTTACTGTAGTCTGACATAAGTGTATTCGACTTATTGTTCATACTTCATAGTTTAATGAAGTGTAACAGGAAGCAGAGTGTGTTGTGTGTTATGAGTTGTGGTGGTGGATGGTGATGGATTACTGTGAAAAAATCATGAAAGTTCGAGAAAGTTGATTGCTTAATAGAGCAGACCATGATGTTCTGATCTGATGGTTATGGATGCTTAGTAACAGGTGGTTTTTATATGGGAAGTAGGTTGCGATGTACATTAAAAAGTTGTTCGAGAAAGTGTTAGGGTGATTCAGTTTGTTGACTGGATTTTTTTAGTTCGGTAGGTATAGAAAGAAATCGGAATAAGCAGAAGTTGCCTGTGAGCTGTTATGGATTTGAAAAAGTTTGCAGTGAAGAAGATTTTTCTCCTGTTGGTTATTTTGTGGTGGTCGGTTTGGATTTTAGTACAGTGCTGATTCAAGCTGCCGTGTTTTGTTTGACTTTGGTCGGTTTTTTTAGCTTCTGTATGGGTTAGTAAGTTTTCTTGCACAGAGATCTGCGTTAAATTTTTTTAAGTATTATTATCCTTAATAAAATAATGGAAGGTGATTCTAATCGGAAGAAATATGCGTGAATACATGCGTGAATACAGAAAACGTAAAATGCAAATTGAGGGTAATTGGAGTAGGAAGATAATTGAAGTAAGTAATGATGAAGTAAATAGGTTTATGAAGCGCTAAGTATTTTGATTTGTATAATGTGTTTTATGCGAACTGTAAAATTCGTGATTTGGAAAATTTAGATACCAGTGAGGCTGAAATCATCATGAAAATCGGTTTTATGGATTAGGGCTGCTTTATTAGATACGAATAATGTCATACCGCTTAAGTGCACACAGGGTTATGAACGTGTTTTCCAGACCCAAAATAAATTATGATGGTAATTTATTCTGGGTCTGGAACTAAGACCCTGGACTAGAAAAAAGAGCTTATCTTTGTTATGGCGGTTTACCAGGTGATCGGTTTTATAATATTTCACCTGAAAAATATTTTAAATTACGTCTTTAAAGTGCAGACAATAGGCTTCAAAAAGATTGCCCCTACGTTTTTCGAGCTCTAAACCTCTATCAACGAGATTAGTTAAAACGGAAAATCAATAATGTTCTCAAAAAGGACAATTTTTGTATAGGAAAAGATTAGGTAACAAAAGTGTGGCTAATTATTTTTACCCAAAAATTTTGTACTATACTATTTTCCTGTTTATGTATTATAATGTTCATGTACTATGCTCCTATTCATGTACTATATTATTTTCGATAACAAAAGTTTCAATTTCAAAGCCATCAAATTAAACGTCCTATTTTTATAAAGCCATTGCCGGCATTGGTGTTATCACTGCCACTAAACAGACCGACCGTTTCATCCTGGATAAGGAGCTTTATTTGAAAATAATTCAACAATGAACATATAATTTTCATTCTCATCTGGAATTCTGTATGTATAGCAAAAACTTGACTACTTTCAGTCGATACTACAGAATTCTGTTAGAAATCGTGCTGTTAGAAATCAAAATTATAAACCTCCTGGAGGCTGCAGTTAGATTTAGTTGGGCTCAGTAGTACACACAGTTACAACATACGATACTCTTAAATTATTTATATAGATATTATTGTTTTTTTTTATGAACCTGCCGCTATACAATCGAGTGAAACGAGATTGGGCCACGTAGTGTATTTTGAATTCTCCGACTCACTGAGTCAGTCTGAGTGTATATACTTTCATCAGGTTTTTAACTTTCAAATAACTTTTAATTTCCATTTGCCAGCTTTCATTTGCAACTTTTGATTATATCCGAGAAATCCAGACCTTTGCTCCTTTCCGAAGGCTGTGGCTAAGCACACCGTAGTAGAAAACACCAAGTACACCAGTGACCAGTGCCAACACTGAAGTCGAATCCTTCCTGTTTAGGCTTTTAGCGTTTTCCTTTTACGGCCTTAATTGATTTCCTTCCTTCCTTCCTGTTATTACCAGAATGGCTACATTTCCGAAGGCTGTGAACAAGAGCATCTTTGGTAAGCCGCGTACGTAACCGTCAACGAAAGCCGTAGACTGGGTTTGTGAGATGCTGAAGCACAAGTTGCACAACCGAAATATGTCGAGTATTATAAATTATTCCTCATTTTACGTGTTTGGTTAGACGCGAGAAACGGCGTTCCCGGGCCAGGAGCGTACAATGTGGGGGGCACATCCAACATGCCGCCAAAGCCATCCCGAAAGAACTCTGGACTATTGAATGGATCTCCACGGTCCCGCTCGTGCGAGTGCGTGCTGCCGTCCTCGAAGACTGATGATGGTTATGCCTATACGCGTGAGTTTCTACATCGTTGTTAACTTGTGGTTCCGCTTAAAAACATCGGTGACTTCTTTACCAGTACCGATAAGAGTGTAATTCAGGTGGTTCGTAAATGCGATTTAAATAGCAAATACCTCGTGAAATGTTCAGTTGAATGGTATTTTGATACATACATTCTGGATATTTGCATCGTTAAAATTTAAATAATTTCATGGATTTTTGTTTAACTAACTTCATAGTTGCATGAATTTTCATTTAAATAATTTCATGATTTGTTCTTTGTCGTATTTTAAAAAATAAACACGTGTACGCGACGACGTTGATAATGTTTTCGCTCCTTATAATGGCATGATTTTTCAGGCAAGAATGCTCGCGCTGATCGTCCTCGTCCGGCTGCGTTGGAATCAGGATCGGGATGGAAGGATAGCGTCGACGAAGGCTTAGATTTGGATGTCCGCAGTATTAACAGCTCAGTAGTCGAAGTTAGTTTTGCCTATCCTTCTGGCGGAAAATCCAGCAAAGAGCGCTTGCTAGAGGATCAGATTGCGGGGTATGCTCAGCGTCAGGGCGATCTGTTGCGAGACGTTACTGCACTGCAAGATATCATTGCACTGCGTGACCGCGAAAAGGCTCAGGATCTCGAGGAGCATGCCAGAGGAGAAGAAGTTCTGCGAGGGAACATCGCTGAGTTGCAGAAGAAATTAGCTGACATGGAGCCATTGGGAGCTCGTGTGCAACTGCTCGAGACGCGGGCATCTGAGTTGGCCAAGGAGCTCGACGAGGAACGATCGAAGAAGAAGCTGGCCTGGGGGTTGCTCGGCGTTGGGTTGGCGTTGTGCGCGATGATGCACCGCAACGCGGTCCGCAAGTAGATGGGCGGATGTGATGGAGATGGTGCCGTACTGCAGGAAAGGAGGAAAAGAAGTAGGAAGTGTTGCAGGAATGGGTAATTTTGTTGTTTTCCTGTACATTTTGGAAAACGTGCAGTTATTAAAATATACGTGTTTTATATAAATTTTCTGTATTTTTTCGCGGCGTTTCTTTATCCAGGCGCCGCCGTTTTGTGAACAGTTGTGATTTATTGCTTATTGTACAGCTGCGGTCGTCATTGTACATAGTTTTTAACACAATTCAGACTGCTGTTTTAATGTGATATTATGAGTATTAAGAGTTTTTGATACATTCATCTGTGATATGAACTAACGCTGTGTTGAAAGCCAATAAAACGAAGCGTTATCATCTTGGCTGCAAAAAAGCAAGAAGTCTGAAGAGCCTTGCTAAAACTTCAATTTCCTGTGGTTAAGTTTCCTCGAAATAACTCGAATTGTGTTAGAGTTTGTGGAGATGAACGATAGCAATACTTATTTGTAACCACAAGTCCCCATACCGATAACAAACTTAATTCAGTATAAATCATTTTACTTATTTAAAATTTTGCTCATCGTTGTACTGTACAGTTAGCAAAAGTACTTAAAACTTTTCAGGTTAACGTCGATTTTTTGAGATCTTTATGCACATTACACGGTGTGCAGGTGTAATATCTCTTGATTCCAAAATAATTACTCGGTCGCAATGAAGCGTTTCCCCTTTTACTGTTTAAGAGTAATGATTTAATCGAAAATCTGACTGCAGACATTAATGCAAAAGACAACCAGTTAACCATGAGTTTCGCACAAGATTTCAACAAATAAAACTACGACAACAAGCTCGTAGCAGTTAATTAACCATAGAAAAGGAACACATAAATTTCAAAAACTGTATTGTCTTGGTTGACTAATCACAACACTCATCGTCGCGGCCACGCGGAGGATCGTCAATCAGTTTGATCATGTCGTCAATTCGTAAGATGGTGATAGCTGCTTCCGTAGCGAACTTGAGGCTTTTCACTTTCGACATGGTCGGTTCCAAAACGCCGGCTTTCTTGTTGTCGCGCACTTCACCGTTTACCAGATCAAGACCGTACCTGATAAGAAACGAAAATTCGTAAGTCAAAAATCGCAGAACTACGCGTATACGTAGAACTATCGCTGTGAATAACCCACTCATTAATCAACAGCATATAAACCTGACAATGTACCATTTGTACTGTACATACGACGAATGAATATAACTAGAATAACAAATTATGCGCTGAATCGGTAAAAAAATTTAATCCCCGCGATGATGACTCTTGCAAACTGAATCACTCGCGGATACACTTCCAAAAAGGCAGCACCACGCGCATTAAAAATGGTGCAAATAGGTATTTCGCTTAAAATAATGTATTGTACATTGTGCACATAGGAATAATTAACAGCGCGATGAAAAACCGGTTACGTGAAGCAAGCAAAGGAAATAAAACTGAATAAATACCATTTGAGATATTCGTGCTCCGTTTTGGTCTGCGCACTGTTGTGGAAGGCGCGTAGCTTGGCCACCAATTCCGTGGCGTCCTGCGCGGCGTTGACCGCTAACGTCTTGGGAATAACCAGTAAAGAACGCGCAAATTCTCCAATAGCCAGCTGCTCTCGCGAGCTCTGCAAGGATACGAGCATAAACAACAACTTTACAACAACAAACTCTCCAGCGTGAATACCAGCGTAGTGGCGAAATTCTCTAGGAAGATGGACAGCGCGGTCTCCACGGCACCTCCACCCACCACCACTGTTTTGGATTCCATGACGCGCTTCACGACGCACAACGAATCATGCACCGATCGTTCCATCTCGTCGACAAAGTAGTCGTTGGCACCGCGCAGGATGATGCTGGCCGCTTTGCGGGCTTTGGTGCCTTTGATCAGGATCAGCTCATCGTCGCAGATACGCTCCTGGACAACTTCATCGGCCTGACCCAGGAAGGAAGCCTCGAAGCTCTCCTCGCCTTCCATATTGGCCAGATTCATCACGAATGTGGCTACAGAATCAATCAAACCGTAATCAGTTTACATTTGCACAAGCATACTGATGTGTGCATTGGCTGTTGGCGAATAACGCTGAGAGATCCGTACAACCATCCATACACATGAAGTAAAAACATTCGCAATGCCAAAATTACCTCCGGTTGCTTTAGCGATGGCCTTCATATCCGATGGCTTAACGCGTCGCACACCCATAGCTCCGTTCTCCACAAAATACTTCAGGCACAGATCGTCAATGCCGCCGGTAGTTAAGATAACATTAGCGCCCGCATTCAAAATTTTCTGAATACGCTCCTTAGTAATATCCAACTCCCTGCAACATATCACTGCCATGAAGAAAAACTTAAAATCTGATGGTGCGCACCGCTCACCGTTTACGAATATCCTCAAGTTTAGCCGGATCCGTCACCAACACCTGAATACCGAACATCAGTTTCGCTTTCTGCAGACTGAAATCCAGACAGGCAATCTTGGCTCCGGTGATCTTCCTGGGCATCTGCTGCGAGGCGATGGTGCAGTTGAGCGCATAACCCGGCACCAAAATGCTTTCTCGACTACTGCGGCCGTGCGCCTTCAGAATGTTGACGGATTTGATGGGCACTCGGAAACCGCCTTTGCTGTCCGTGTAGCGCACCGCCGTGGCAGCGTCTACTACCATGTTGGAGAAGAATTCCGAATCTCTGCGAAATTTATGTGCAATGTGATGTATACATCCAGCGTAATCGAAGCTAAACGTATAAACGTACGGGCCGATCAGTTTGGATGACATGCTGGTTTTCGCCACACTGAGTAGCGTGTCCCGTCCAAGATCATCCGTGGGAACAATCAAATGCTCTTGGATGTATTTCACTGCTTCCCTGCGAACAATTATATCAATTTATTACACATATTTTTATACCTAAATTAAATTATTAAATCCAGTAAATTTGTTTTTTCTTTCTCAGTTTTTTATTTAATTTTTAATTTATTCGCATCTTTCTTATTATTTTCTGTTTAATTTTTCAAGGGCCAGTATTTGGTATCATGATTTAATTCCAGCCGCAGTGCACGAAAACTCACTTGCAAGCCAAAAGATAACCACTGATGATCGAAGTTGGATGGATTTTTTGTTTCACTAATTCGTCAGCATTGGCTAACAACTCCGCCGCTAGGATTACCTACCAATCCAATTCAAATTAGCTGCTTGTATCGTTAGGCATATAAACTTAATACGACGGATCAATGTGACTACCACAAAATGTTCAATCAACGTACCACCGATGTAGTTCCATCGCCAACTTCTTTATCCTGCAGATCAGCCAACTCGCACAAGATCTTCGCAGCGGGATGTTCAACTTCCAACAGCTTCAGAATCGTGGCTCCGTCGTTCGTTATCGTAACATCCTGTTAAGATATTCTCTTAAACCCTGGATTCATTTATGACCGTAAGAAAGCGAAGGTACCCCAATATCGTCGACCAACATCTTGTCGAGGCCCACAGGTCCCAGGGAGCTCTTGACGATATTGGCAATGGCGTTCACGGCCATCACTGGAAAACGGGATATTAGATTACTCCCGTCAGTCAATCAATCAATCTGGCGCACATACCATTTTGAGATCTCACTGTGTTTCCCGAGATGCGTTCTCCCTGGATCGTCAACAGATTATCCGGATTCATTTTCAGATCAAATTTGTAGGATTTGATAAACGGTGTTTAAGAACAGTTACGCTAATCAACATCAGCAACTTAACTCTAAGGATCTATAACTAACAATTAAAAATCCAGTCTCCCCAAATCCCAATTATCCTTAAAATTATATTCTGTTGTAAAAACAGAAAGCAAATTACAAAATTTAACAGCAGCAGATTTTTTTAACTTTTCCAATAGCTTTCTTGCTTCTGGCTTTGGGCGCCGGATGAGAGTGCAAAATGTGCAAAACGAGTGGCGCAGTAGCACAGGCTTTGAGATGCGAACCGCAAACGGTTGTTCTTGTCACTACTCTCTGGGCGGTTACCCGAACGACTAAATTTTCATCTATTGTCGACAGGAAATTCATTTTAGGGCTGGGAACAGGACGGCTAGATTGCCCTGAACCTGTAATTTTTCAATTTTTCCCTCCCTGAACCTGTCCTGTCCCTGAAACTCACCGTGCTGAATTACCTGAACCTGTCCTGAGCCTGAAACTATTCACCCTGAGCCTGACCTGAAATCCTGAGCCTGTTTAAGTTAAATAAGTTAAATTGTAGTTGTATAATTTTTTCCGTATCGGCACATTTCAAAAGCGATATGTAGCCAGTAGCGAAACGAGCTAAGCTCGCATTTCTTAGAGTAGCGTAATAAGGTAGCGAGTTTTTTATGCGCTTTTAGCGCGTGATGCACTTTGGGGCCATCACCCGCAGTTGTCAACTTACGGGCGCCAGGTTTCCCTTTCGAAACTTTGTGAAATTTCGATAACCTTAATTTTCTTAAAAATTCAGGTTCCTGCAGGACTAAGGTACGCCCTGTCCCTGAACTTTCAGGGAGTTCAACTGCCCTGAACCTGAACCTGAGCCAAATTTCAGGTCAGCATTTTACCCTGAAACTGTCCTGCAGGGACAGGATCCTGCAGGTTCAGGACAGGATCCCTGCCCTGCGCCCAGCTCTAATTCATTTGTTTGGCCTGGTGACTCGTGTAAGTCGTGTTCTCTATAACTTTATTCTTTCATCTCCACTTCAAAGACCTGCATTGAAGTGTGTACGGTATTCTTTTGTATTGAAGTATAGATATTCTTTATATAAATTTTACAGCAAAGATCTTTCAAATTGTTCTGCTGGTATATGATTTGAATCAGCTTTGTGCGTTATGGAAGAAAGAGCTGCACTCTCCAGTTTATGGCATCTGTAACTCGCTTGCGCTGGCTGAAAAGCTAGACTGCAGGTCGCAGGACTCAGCAAGAGCTGCTGAGTTTCTTTTAAAGCTTTCGTTTCATCGTTCTATCTCCATTCTTTTCGTAAACCCGCTGTGTTAAAATGAATCCAAATCAAAGACGTGGTCCAACCGGGCTGAGCTCCTACCGGGATCAGCAGTTTCAGGTAAAACTAGTTAAAGTACTTATCGTTGTTAGAGTTGTAGATGGTAGTTTGCTGTTTGCCTGTGATCGAGTACATGTAGTTCGTTAAGTCTGAAGATCGTATTAAAACGTATTATTGCATCGTATTAAAACGTTTGCACATTTCTGCCGGTCTGTTCTTTGCAAGCGATGTTTGCTTTTTCGTGGTACTAATGTATTATATAATCGGTTGTTCTTCGACAGGGATCTCTGAAAGAACAGGAAGAAAAGCTGAAAACCAGCTCCACTTTGTACATTGGCAATCTTTCCTTCTTCACAGCAGAAGACCAGATCTACCATTTGTTCTCCAAAGCAGGCGATGTTAAGCGTGTCGTCATGGGACTGGACAGGAACACGAAAACCCCCTGTGGTTTCTGCTTTGTCGAGTAGGTGGCATGCTGCGGGCGCTGCAGCTGATTCGTATTCATGCTTTTCGGACCCTTCGACAATTCGCTCAGCGCGCAGTTTAGTTGTTTCTGTATTTTTTTTATTTTAGGTTTTATTCACGAGACGATGCGGAGGATGCAATGCGTTTTGTGTCGGGCACTCGCTTAGATGAGAGAATCGTGCGGTGTGACTGGGATGCGGGTTTCGTGGAGGGTCGACAATACGGCCGTGGACGTCATGGCGGTCAGGTAGGCCGATTTTGCCGAAACTGTACCTATTGTTGTTATATACAGTACTTACTTAGATCGACTTGTGTTTCGCTCCACTCGACTGTTAGATGATGGCACAATAAATCGTACTTTCCATACTAATGCGAAACTATTGTAATCGTAAAACAATATCGAATGTTTTTTCTTTTTCATTTCTACTTGAATTTTGAAATGCTTTCTCATGCATGCTTCCATTGAATCGTTTTTATGGTTTTGTTGTAATTTATTTTTGCAAGTGTAGCTCACCAGTATATAGATCAGCGCAATGGAGATTTTCATGTTTTCGCATTTCTACTTGAATGTTACAAGGCTTTCCGGACTTTCCTCGTGCATTCTAGTGGTGCTGAATTCCGACTTAATGTTTTCGTTTGTTTTTATGACTTGTATATTTTATTGCTATAATTTGGAATGTCATGCAAATCAGCGACGGGGTTGCTCCGTGAAATCCGTACTGACTGGTCTTGTTGTACATATAGGTCCGAGATGAGTTCCGTGTGGATTACGACGCCGGCCGCGGTGGCTTCGGGAAGATGGTACAGAACCGTATGCTCGGCGGCGAAGGCGGTCCAAATCAGCCGCGGCGCTTTGAGCGCGGCAAGCGCAAATGGCAGGAAGTTGAACTGGACGACAAGGGTGAGCCCATTACGGATCTGCGACAGAAAATTCGTAAAATCCATCAGCCCAACCAAAACCCAGAAGAGACGACAGCAACGAATGCTGAAACCGAGCAACCGAAGGAAGGCGATGAAAGTCATGAGACCGAGACAGCTGTGAAGACGGAAACATCTGAAGAGGACGTAGCTACCAGTGCAGAAGCGGAAGTACCACAGACGGAGGAAAGGCAGGAAGAACCGGCAAAGGATTCACCCGAACTGGTGGATCAGGAGATGAACGGAGAACAGACCACGGAAGCGAAGGATGGAGAGCAGCCGACGGAGGGGGATGCGGAAATGGCTGAGGAAGAAAACTGGGAATGAAATTGTAGACTTGTTGACATGTTCTTTCACTTTTGGATCCTGATGGATACCATAACATTGTCGTACTACACAGATAAAAATCTTGTTATAACAGATTCCGGCTACGCTATTTTAAACGTTGTTTGCAATTTTTGGAGATTGAATTGCGGCATGGTGGTTTACTTATGTTAAGTAACATCTGTCTGGAACTGACTGGGACATTTACTGCAAAGCGTACATGGTTTCTAGTTTTGGTAATTATGGGAAAAGTGATAATAATAATTACGATAAAGTTGTATGTTATTCTTGAGGCATTAACACGTGGAATACAGACTACATAATTTACAAGAGAAAATCCAGTATCACACGGGATGTCACCGGACTGCGATAAGTTGAACATCAAACTTTTTTAAAATTAAAAACTGTCAAGCTGCGCCCAGCAAAACGACTGCCAATGACAACTCTGATCACAGCACAGCGGAAATTATTAAGCTATCACACTGACGGTATCGTTGACGGATAGAAATGGGGAATCTCTCCATTGTGACACATCGGCTTGATGCACTCCAACCGGACGGACAAGAATACCAAAACACATCTGTAATCCAAAACATGATTATTAAACGTCCAATTCCAAACACAGGAAATGAAGGTTGTCCTCACCTCTTTTCCTCTCAGTTTAATTAAGCTCTGCAGCGGTTCCGGCGTTCGTTTTCCACTGACTGGATCCACACTGACCATTTGACAGCGTGAGCACTTCTCCACCACCTCCATCTCGACATTTCCCATGCGTATCCGCCTCCATTCATCCTCCTCAAACGGCTCGGTGGTCTGTATAACCAAATTCGCACGCATCCGTTCTAGCAGATCATCGCGGCTAAATTCGTGCGGCATTGGAATCAGTCTAAACAAATGGTCGAGACTGGCGGTGCAGACAACCAGGAAGGGTGCGCTATTTGCTGCCGAGTGGGAACTCGATACCGACCCATTCCTGGCGTGATAACGCATCAGTTTGTAAGTGTCGTCGCATAAAACAGAGGACAACCATGGCGAGACATCTGGACCGCAGTCATAAGCTTGAACTCTGAAACAACAGCGTACTGACTACTACTGAGTATACCATTTCAGTTATTTTTATTGCATTCTGAAGCATCCTAGTACTTTTGACCGCACACGCGTCCATCCACGATTCCGTTATCATGATGTCCATTCGGCAACTGAAAATTCCAAAATTTCTCACGGTTTCCATTGGTTAATTTGGCAGTCAAATCCAAATCATCGATCCCTGATATCCCATTCCATGTTTATTAAGAAATTCTGGATAATCCAGTAATGATAATTTACTCAATACCAACCCGGAGCCGATAAGATAATTTTTCCATCGTCCAGATCAATATGAGCCGATATTTGTGCGAGTCTGGAATTGTGCTTCAACGTCATGCATGTGCCGCTGGAGTTCTGAATGTAGAACTTCCGGTCCAGCACAAAACCCTCTTCGCCAATCGGCCATTTGGAAATCTATCGGTAAGTAACACTGTATTTTGCGCCATTCACGAACAGCGGCACAATATTAGACTTACGGAGGCAGCTTTGCACGATTTAATGGGATACATAAACATTGCCGATATCCTTCGATTCTGCTGATCCAATGCGTTAAAAACCGGTCGTAACTGCGTGTTCTTTTCCTTAAAAACATCATAGATAACTTGGATAAAACGATTGACATCATCCACATTTGACATATAGCCGAATGATATCCGGACAGCGCCGGTTGGACGGCCATTGACGAGATCCACACTATCACCGCAAACATGGCCTGCCTACATGCAAAATATGCAGAAATATAGCAACATTGTAACACTTCAGATTCAGTATGGCCAAGCAGGAATTACTTGATAGTTTGCTTTAATATCCGCTGTTGTCAATCCCAAGTATTTCTGGCATGCGCCGGTATTGCAAAAACATCCAGTGCGCAGCTGGATCTTAAATGATTCCATAACCTTTTCCACTTCCATAAATCCAACATACGCCCCGCTGGCCGTTTTCAGATTGAACGTCACGATCGGGCCTTGCACCGCCTGATCATTGAAATCACCGTTTACGTAAATTTCGCACACAGGTTTGTCGCTATAATGCCGTAAATCGTTTAGGCATTTGTATGCGTATTTCGTCAAAGAGAAAGTATAGCTCGAAATGGAAATCATGCCACCGCCAAGCTTTTCCAGAGCGTCAAAGCCGTGCTTAAGGGAAAGAATATCGAGGAAATTGATAGTGCCATCCTCAAATCTACGAAAACCAACTTCATGCATGTAATTAACATGTATACCATGCCTGTAATTAACACTGCGCTGCATATAATACTCTTATATAAATGTGTGCTATATTACATAAAATACCAAACGGCAAACACAATTTGCGCTTGTGCGAAATTGAAGAAAAAACACTCGACGAAGATACAATTGTGGAAACGTTGCAAACTGATTCAACTAGCAAAGACTCGGAGTTTCTCTACCTCTGATGAATTTCCGATCGCGAAACATGAAATCGTTCCTCGCTAACCGCAATATCCACCGTTCCACCACCAAAGTACGTCTTCAATAACGAAGATTCAGCTTTTTTATGTACCAGTAACGCTCCCAGTCCCGTAGGATATCCAAATATCTTATAAAAGGAGAGAACAACGAAATCTGGCTCATAACGAGATAAATCGAGAATCCCGGTAGAAACTAGCGCAGCCGCATCCAGAAGAATTCTCCAGTTATTCTTCTGCAGACGTTCGATCCATTCTAGAGGATATCGTCGACCGGAGAAATTGCACTGTCCAGGATATGCAAAAAGCTTTCCACCATCTTCCTTCGCATTATCCCGCATTTCGCAAAGAGCGGCAATATTATCTGCGACAAAAACGCTTATACTGTTATATATACAATGTACTTGTACACTGAACACAAAGCTCTTGCAGTAGTGCTTTTCTATGTGCATATAGCCATACTGAATATAAGTGTGTGCAGCGTTTCTCTGCAAGTAACGATAAAATTTAATCACATAAAAATAATTTACCATCTGTGATGCAGGTGACGTTCGCTCCTCGTGAATGCGCTAATTCCCGCATTCCGAGAACGGAAGTGTGGATTTCGCGCAGATGACCGAAAATTCCATTTTGCCCAAAAGCAAAATTTTCCGCGACAAGTTTTAAGGATGCGGTAGCCCCACTAGTAAATATCACGGAATAACTCGAGGCATCCGTCTTGAAATGCGCCAAGATTCTGCAACCACAAAATCACCGTCAACAAAATGCTTTTTTTCCGTGGAACAATGAAATCGTCCATTGTTCAAGGTTGCGCACGAGATAATACTTTCCGGCTCCTAAGCAGCGAATATAAAAAAGAAAAGAACACTGATAATTATTATAGCAGCCACTTACTTGCGACGCAGTACGCCGATCTGAGCTGAAGTATGCAAACTCGCAGCATGACGACTGTGCGGATTACTCAGCAAATTTCCCGGGGAGCACATCTCCGCCATCCAGCCTTCCATCTGGCTTTTGGCAAACAAAGTGGCTCCGGCATGATCCAGGTAGACATTTTCTAACAAATGCCACAAAATGCTATTGCGTCTGCATTATACGCGTCATAAATTCAAAGCATCAAAAGCATGCACAAAATCTGCTCTTGAATGTAGTTGTGTTACTGCGTCGATCTGCAAAACGCAGTTTTTTATCTCACCGTCCAGTTGTGGGAATTCCTCTGCGCGATTGAAATGCAGTTCGGGGATCCCGTCTGTGCCATTCATAATTGCAGCAGCTCCAACTTTAACGTGGAAAGCAGCAGCAGCTCTAACTTTAGCCACAAATCCGATACCTAAAACTTCGAATCAAGTCGATCAGCTGCGAGTTGGGCCGCGAACACGCTCCCGCGCACGTTTCAAACGGTGAAATTCTATCACGCGATTATGCTGCATATATAACAATCGTCGGAGCTTTCTCATGATTAAGCAATAATCGCTACCATTCCGCTGTACAAACGCAAAAACAAACAAAGAACAGACCGGTATGCAGTATGCACAACATGACTGGCACAGTACAAAACGCACTGCCCTGCAAACACGATTTCTCAGGTCTGTTGCGTAACCTGAAGCGATTGATACAGGTAGGAAAAGTGTACTAGTATACAGTAAATGCAGACTTGTATAGAAGTACAGCAAATGCTTACTGAGTGGTTGTTTCCGAAGCTGTTTGGAAATGTTTGGTGAAGCTGTATGTAATTTTACATAATAAAAATTTAATGCAACTATTATGCAGTATATGTATGTAGTATAATTATGATATACATATCTATATTTAATTCTTATATCGTAGTATATCGCCGATATTCTTTTGTTTTTCAACAATTTTGTTGTTCTCTTTAATTTTTTTATCGCATCACAGCTGCAATAATCATTTTTTATCACATAAAATTTAGATTAATTTAATTATGTAATACACATATTCTATATATGCAGCATTTAATAATTTTTTATATACAAACATACATCTACACCGCGTGCCGGAACTTTAGTCAGTATTTTTCAGTGTATGTTTTTGCCCGAGCCAGTTAAACCATTTCGGCGGTCTACTTTCGTCGCCGCTCTCAAACACAAAACCTTTGCTAAACTCAATTGCTAACGAAGATTTAATTAATGCTCTTCCCAGTTCCGCTTGCTCAGGCGGTGAAGGGTAATACACACGCCCGGAAGTGGGATCCATCGACAGCAATTCCGGAATGAATTCAAGTGATAGCAAATCCCCTCCACCGTTATAACTCAAGCGCTGCTGTCCATCTTTTTCTATTAAGTGCGTGTACACGATAGGACGGTCATCACAGCGCACGAAATTCCTTTCGCGACCACACGGCGAGAGATAGGGAAACTCCGGATAGCGCTCCGGAGCAAAGGTGTTTACTTTTAAGCGCGATGTGAAGAAATGGAGGAATTTTTTCTCTTTAAAACATGAAGTGAAATTTTTAATTTTGGCATCGTCCAGGAATAACTACAACAACAGCGCAAAGCCACCACTATTTAAACATATTTAATGCACTTCCACCACTATTTAAACATATTTAATGCACTTCCGAGTACTGCAAAATTAATAATGTTATCGAGATGCGTGGTTTTTTACAGCAAGGGTTAGCGATAGCATTTTATCTTAAGATAAAATGCTATCGTGCGTGTACACGATAGGACGGTCATCACAGTTTTAAGCTTAAAACTGCAAAATGCAATTATCATGAATTATGCATGAGAAAACTAATGCGCAAAACCAAAACTCCGCAGTCCGGAGAAAAATAAATCGCAATTCCCCGTCCGCAACTCCGCAATCGAAAAATAAATAAAATAAACTCTGCAGTCCGGAGAATTGTTAAGCCAAATTTCTTAAAACTCACAAATGGTAAACTATATAAGCTGTCAAATCTTAAATGCTGCAGAACCCAAAGCGCAATCGTATTCGTACCTGTCCCTGGTGATCTATGTAGTAGAAATATTCCCGGATTTTTGGCTCTGGCGACTGGCCTTGCACGTAATGCAATTTCCGTAGACACATGCGGTATACCGGTGCCGTCCACGTTTTTGTTTTAGGATAATCTGCCTGGTTGTCAGAGTGATATTGATAGCAATGCAGTTTAGGCAGGAGTGAAATGGATGGGCCAGCGGTTTTGGATAGCGCTGCTAGCGGCATTGGTTAATTATGTCACTGTGAACGGATATTCGGAGTGCAGAAAATATTAAAACGGATACCGCTCTGCAATGAGTTTTACGCAAAAATAATTGAAACCAAAGGTAGCAACTGCAAAACACCGTACAGAAAGAAAACATGACAACAACTTTTTTCAAAAACAGCTGAAAATGGTAAACAGAGCCTGGGAAGTGGAATCAAAAATCAAAACTCCTAAGGTACATGCAAACTGCACGATGTGGCAGTTACTGACGTTTTAATAAACCAGTTGCTTTCCTTGGCATGCATTGGATTTTCGTTGCAGCTTTTCTGGTTTTACAATTTAGAAATCCGAATTTGTTTACAGTTTACTTTACTTACATAGTTTCCTCCTTTTTTTGGGATTGTCATTTGTGATTGTCTGTTCTCTTTCCAACCGTACGCGGTGCAATAATACCTATGTTTTCTTTTAAAACTGTCTCCGGGTTTGTAAACCGTTTGGTTTGATTGGTGGGTCTTGTTTTTGCGTGAACACTAAAATCGCACAACAATGCTGGCACTCCAGTGCGCCCAGCGTGTTCTCCTGGGAAGCAGGTCCGCTGCTCACAGCAGCGTGCGTTATAATAATCGCACTAAACGATTCCCGAGACCTGCCTCTAGGGACCATCTGCCACCGAATAAACGAGGCGATGCCCACTGGATCCGCAGTAAAACCATTAAGGAGCCGAATCATACAGGAATCAAGGCGATGAGTGTGGTCATGCCAGATGTTATTAAGATCTCCCGCGAACGGAGACCGCATCTCTTCGATCAAGACGGTCGTGCTCGGCGCTCTTTGCCTAATATGATTCCACCGCCGGAAGCACTAAATGAAGAATCCACTGGTGAACCGAAAAAATTGTCCGATGCCTCCGCACCAACAGATGCTATTCAAACCCGCGGCGGTGCGAGTGATCGAGGAGAAGCCGCAGTGTATGCGGAGGATGGATCTGTCAGTGTTCACGAGGCTGGCAATCGGATGGCCAAGGTTCCGGAATTTGCTCGGTAGGCAAAAGAATCACCGTCTATACAACAGCGTTACGAAATAGCATAACTGATGGTAAACCGCAACACCGTCACATTTTTGACAGCCTACAGTATATCTATATGTTGCGCGACAGGGTTCTTTGTACGCAATGACATTGCGTACGCGATGTACGGTAATAGTACCAGTTGAAAGGTGGAAAAAAGCAAAAATATTAAAATTCTGGTTAACGTGATTTGAATTCTGAGGACAAAGGCTATATTATGCTTTTTTGTTTGAGATATTGATTGTTTTTCTGATACGCTTTGTATTAATGAAACTGTGGATTAATGCAATGCGACAGAATACGTACGTAGTAGTACATACTACCGGGTAGTAATAATTATTGGGCAATCAAATGTGATATGAAACTCATCAAAAATTATGGTCTAGATGTCACTGTACGAAATACGACTTTGAAAACTTCACAGTCAATGAATTATTTTCCTTCGTTGTAGGTTTGCGGAATTTCGGGAAAGTCACTTGGATTTCGATCCGGCGAAACTGCACGTGGTATGGAGAGTGAAAACCATGGCCGGCCGTCAAAAGTATGAAAAGAAAATCATGGTCGATCTGCAGCTCGACCGACCCATGAACGAGATGGTTCTCATCAAAAACACGCCGGCTACAAACGCGAAGCTGTGGATGGTGAAGCATCTGATCCGCATGAAGCCCTTCGTGATTCCCGACCCGAAGAGTGTGCCGACGGAGGAGAATTACAAGGGCATGCTGCTGAAGCGCAACGGGGAGTTTGTTCCCTCCAAGTACTATCGTGACAATTACTTCCGAGCGGTCAATCGACCCGAACTGGAAAGATATGTCATGCTGACATCCGATAAAGAACCGTACATGCGGAAAGTGTGGTTCAAAGGAAGCAAGGATGGCAGTCTGCTCAATCATTGGTCCAGCGACGGCGCAGCTAATCCTACACGCGAGGGAGGCGAACTGAAGAAATTCTTCATTCCGGGTTCGGAAAATTGGGATAGGGAAAAACGATGGAAGGAGAAGAAGCCGACCGCCTACGACAGAGGCGGTGATTTAGCGTACCACAAGATTGGCAGTTAATAGTACAGTTGGTGATTTCTTGTTTGCGTTGCCGGCTTTACAGTTATCGATTGTTTTATCTGGCGCTACAAATCATCATTGTAATATAAATATACGAGTAATGTTTATCCGTGCCAAGATTTTGGTTTTCACCGGTTAACTTCTGTTCCCCTAGCCAATTTTCATTGAATAAATGACATCTTGAAACTTAGAATCTCCTCAGTGTTGCGGTGGGGTTGTAGGCCGGTCAAAATTTCCATCAGATCGTTCCTCAAGCCCATCGGTCATTTCAAACTTTGTTCCTTAGTAGTAACACAGTAACAAATGTCGAATGCCGCATGCACAGTCAGCTATAAAAACCAGCAGCAGTGGTTGCTGAGAGATTGCGGTGGTGTCCAGATTGCAACACTATTTTACCTATACTGCAATTCGGTCTGTGAGTCGGCTTATAAAATTTTTTTTCTGGCGTAGGAATATGGTAATCATCTTACTGCCAGCGAGCAACGTTGCCGGCGAGTAGTTGGAGGACGATGGGCAGCCTGAGAGGCATGTGGCCAACATGCAGGTTTTTAATACTGTTGCAGCTGCACCTGTGTGCGGGATGTCCGACTCAACCTCAGCGGCCGGCGTCCAACTCGGAGTATCCAGATTCCAGACTGTGAGTAACGTAAGTACAATACTTATATATGGTAACTGCTGAATCTGTTCTGAGTCGTTCAATCTCATTGCAGTATTTGGAAATCCTCTTATTAGGCTTTATTACTATCTTCATTATAATTATACAGCCTTCATCGCAACGTGTACAAGTACTCAAGATAAGTTTGATTACATTGTACAAGCATTATTGTCAGATCCTGATTGTCCGATCATAATAATACTCCGAGTGTTTTCATACTGATGCATCCTGAATAACTGGCTCACGTATAAAGCTTGATAGTGAACGAAATGTTGGCGGAAGCGTGGCAGAAAAATCGGCAGGATGACCGGATCATTCTGACGCGGCTGGCCCCTAGTGATTTCGTGACGGATAGCATAATTTACCGGCCGCGACTGGGGACAATGTGACCTTCCGGTGCGAAGTCTCGGATGGCAGTGACGGGCGCGATTTGTCCTGGCTGCACCAGGACCGCACTGTTTTTGAAACCGGCCGACCACGTCCGTGGCCGATGGAGGACACCTCGGGACAGCAATACAACTTCACCCGTATAAACAACACCCTCATCTTCCTGATCAGCAATATCAGCATGGCCTCCGGCGGCTCTGTCCACTGCATCGCCGCCCCCTCGGGCCCCGCTTACTCGCCCCGCCCGCGTGTCCTGCAGCGCTACTTACTGCTGCCGCTGATCACGCGCCGCGAGGACGTCTTCGCACCTACTAACCCTGCACACCTTACCGCAACCGAAGGCAATCACGTAGTGCAGTGCCGTGTCATATCCGGCTGCCCCTCCCGGAAAACATTTTTCGCAATCTACGCAGTCACATCATCTGGCGCCATAACGGTCGCGTCGTCTACGGTCCTTCGGAGGTGCCATATGGGCCCCTCATAGCCGCTTCCGGCATCCCCCAGGGTGTCGAGATCGCCCAGCTCAACGACACGCAGCTCATCAACCGGCCCGGACAGGTGACCGACGATGCATACAACATTTGGGCCGTCAGACGGGCCTCAGCTGGAGAAATGCAGTGCTTATTCCGGCCGCACCAGGTATCCACGAGTGGGTAGTGCAAACGACGACGCTGAGGGTGTTTGCCAAGAACTAAGAATCGAAGCGCGCAGATGCGCAGTAGTAGCGATTGTGTTTCCGTTAAATTTTCACTTACCTACAGATACAGTACGCTAGTCACTGTTGACTGAAACTACCGGTTCTTTCATTTCCAAGCTAATACAATTTCACAGTTGACATGCACTAGCAGAACTAGAAACGGACGACAAAGAGCAGCAAAACGCGATAGATAATTTAATTCAGTATGGAATTGAATTTTTTGCTCTCAAATTCTTATAATTTTCATGCTCCTCCCCAAATCCATTAATAACGTCGTACAAAGGTTACAGTATTAAAATAATGTCAATAAGGGCACGTAGTTAGCGGAAACTTCCGATTACGTATTAGAGGTGGTCCGTGGATAGATATTTCCTGTTACAATAAAATATTTTTGGAACGTGGTTGGTCAATCTTGAACGAAAATCTTGGCACAGATGAATCATCAGCATTATTATCTAAGCAGTGCAGCCATAAGTTTTGATATTAATTGTAAATAAAAATAAAACAGCAGAATTGTTACAACTGTTTTAAGGCATCACAAAGTCAGAATTATCGATTCCGCTTGTACTGCAGTACGTACAATCACGAAGTTTACTTGCTGTGACTTGAATTAGGAACTTCACAGTTGAAGTTCATGTGCATCCGAGTACATTCTGATCGTGAATGATAGAAAAGTTTTTTTTATTTATTGGTTTCCTACTTACACTTATCTTGTTCCCCGCGCTTAAAAGTCACTTAGATCAGTCAACTTGACAAATTTCTACAGAATTCGCACCGAAAAGAAATAAGGCAAACCACATGAAACGGTGATGAAGCAATGAACTGAATGAAGCAATCAAAATATGCACGAAAAATCACTAGAGGCACCTTTATGAAAAGTGAAAACAACCATAGAAAGTAATGGTGTTTATATAATGATCTACACGGCAAACGAAAAACATTCTTAACTTCAGTCACAGTGAACATATCAACGGTGCCGGAAGAGTATCACTCTCCCTTCCACATTTCAGTTAACCAGGACCAAAAGATCTAAACCATAATCTATTTCTTTGGGGATTTGAGAAGAATCAGACAAACGCTGTCCAACGACATCGATCACGCATCACTGAGGGGCGGGAACCTGGTCCGGTAAATCGCTACTAGCCTCACCATGGAGATCAGCTCGGCGCTTTTCCAGTTCCTTCACCCACTGCTGAATTTCCCCATTCCGAAATGTGCCTACACAAAATACACAATACAGTAAAGTAGACTACGAACAATCATTACCACACAACGTTTCAAACGTTCCGCGCTAAATCATGTGATGCATCTATTCGTCAAATGTCATCCACAAGATTAAACCATACAGTACTCTTTCATAAAATCAAGTACTAAAACAAAAACTGGGAGGTAAGCAGTTCGCTACCTCGAGTATTCTCGAAAAACTCTTGCAGATATTTCGGATTCTCTTGGCGGCGATGTTTATCTTCGTACTCATAGGCCTGGAGAATCATTTCAAACCGGTCCAGGTCTTTTACAGTCTGCGCTTCTAGGGTTTCTTGCTGTTCATACTCCTATGAAAAAATAAGCACAATTATGCGCTTCATAAGCTGTGCAATCAAGCATTCAACTGCATATATCGTATACTGATATTTTACACAACTGGGGTAGAAGCTGCAAGCACTGCATTGAAATTAGCCATATTATTTCGTTAAAAAAGCTAAATATGCTTTACTTATGCGCGGAATGTTATCCACACTTGTAGCTTTCATAATTCAAAGAAAGCAACAAAACACATTATACCACCGATACCGTCCGCTTGCACAGTATTTCCTTTCAAAGACGTACGTACATAGCAATCGCAAATAAGGGAGATTAGCTGTCATTTTTACCTCATAGAGTCCCATAATTTCCGCCGCGATCTTTGGTTCCAATTTCGAGCAGATAGTCTGCATTGCTTCCTGGAAAACACACAAGCAAACTGGAAGCTTTAAAGCGTAGTACACTATACGTTATTTTATCAAGAATTACATACGTTACATACTACTCCTGTGCACAATATGTACGCACTGTACTTCGACGCTAGCATAAACCAAAGGCATGCAAACCTATGAAAAGTTGCAAACGCGGAAGAATTTCCGAACACAACTATGCAAAGCGGAGTTATCATAATTCGTATTTTGAGCATTAAAACAGCTTTTGATTTTAATACACGCATCAAATAAGCAAATTACACTCAATGGCTACAATCGAAATTTGGCAACTAGCGAAAACATAAGGCTGTTATAATGTTATGCAGTGAGGAAATGCTACCCAGTAGGTAATGCAGTGTACTATACAAAATACGGATCATCGCAATCTATGCACAAGCTTCTCTTCTTTCGAGATTCCACAATGCGGTGTAATGTCACCAACCAATGCTTCAGCCATATCGTGGACAAGCGCAATTTTAACACAACTGCAATTCACGGCAGCAGTCAGATTACTTTAAAAATCACAGGACAAACACGAGGAATTTAAATGTTTCTTTTGCTTAACAAAGTGAAAGACGACAGCAGAAGATGCGATCATCATGAACACACAACAATGAGGAAAAATGCGGCGTCATGACAAATCCAAATCAAGTCCCTAAGCTCCATTTCTCAATCGCGGGGCAAATGTCGTAGTAAAAATGTTAAGCATTCCTTACCGATTTTTATCCGCGGCGGAATCGCCGAGGCACATGGAGCAGATGGCCATTCGGTACATGTGATCGGAAATGCTTTCCGGTTCGGGAATCTTGCGCAGTCGCCACCCGGTACGCTTCTCCTTCTACGAAATGGTCGAAAGAATTTTATTCTAATTTCGCTTCACAACGATAACAATAACAAAATGTATTTGTATTCCACAGCCATGGAAGGCTGCATAAAACCAGATGTCCGCGAACGCAATCGACAGGAGTTGCGACTTGCGCGGAATCGCAAACACGCAAAACGATGCCATAAAATACTACTGTGTTTCCTGGCAGACCCACCTTGAGATTTCCTATAATCAACAAAAAATCCAGAATATTAGAGTTCGAATCAGCCATTGTCGTTGTGTTTTCTTCTTCAGGAATCGTGACAGGCTCAATGTAAATATTCACTAAACAAAATTTCGGAAGAACCCCTCACTGCTCTGTAGCGTAGCTAACCCACTTAACCGAAAATTAACAAAGTAAAGAAATCCGAACAGTTCAAGAGCGAAACCCAAATAAAAGTTAAACGTAAAACGTAAAAGGTAAAACTCAGTTTCACAAAATCAAATGGTTCTACTTTTTCGTAAATTTCGTGTCATTCCTCGTGGGCTCTGCTCGGTTCGTTCCCAGGGAATACGTGCTTTTCATGAATTACGGTGTCGACGAAAACTGCAGTCCGGGAGGCGGCTATTCTAGAACGGCTTGCGCAACAGCCAACCGTTTCTGCAGTTTCTTTTAGGGTCTTGGACTGCATTTTGATTTCTACATCTAATATTCAGTCTTCGTTTTGGTAAAAATAATTTGAGTAGAGTTTGAAGTATTAGTCTAACTAAAAGCTGATTTCTGTTTATGGGTAGCCATTTCTTCATTTGTCTCAGCTGTTTTGGACGTCTTCCGGACTGCAGTAAACGCTGTTGATTGTTGAAGTTCCCGGTCCTTGCTGAACTAAAATGGGAACCGCGGCTGGCAGCGGCAGCCTGGAACGCCGGGTTCTTCCCATATCGCAACCCCTTCTGGATCTGTTCTATGATTTAGCGCAACTGGATCAGGAGAAGCAACTGGAAGCCACGAGTAAGCTGATCACGGCGCTGCATGAGACGACATCGAAGAGCGACATTGCTCTGGAAAGCAATGCCGAGGTGAGATCTCAGAGGATACCCATCTTCCATTCTTCCGTGAACTTTCACTTATGAAACAGCATCGGCAGTAATCTGGTTCCTTTTCAAGGATGCAATTTCCGAATCGTTGAAATATACGCTTCAGCGCCTGGTTAAAGGCTTGGCGTCGAATCGTGGCGGTGTGCGATACGGATTTGCCGCAACATTAGCAGTGGTAAGTGAAGAACTCGCTTAAAATGTTTATTTTCAGCTCACATTACTGTCATTACATAGTCTTTTCCGTTTGCTAGTGTTAATTTGTGCAGATTATTTCCTTATTTTTTTATTTTTTTAAAAAAAATTTATTATTATTTTTTTTTAAATTTTTGTTTAGTTTCTGCAAGAATTCCCACAAATTCGCAACGAAATGGTCTTGGTTTGCGTGGATGAACACCTGAAGGTGGAAGATATGAAAACGGACTGTCGCACAGCGGGTGTCGGTCGATTGTTCGCGTACAAGGCTCTAACCAGTTCGCAGCGCATCTCGTCCATGTCGGCCGTCCATGCTCGGCACATTGTGGACGATCTTTGCGCACTGGAGTCCAGGAAGTCCTATTTGAAAGCAGGCGCCAGCGACATTCTCGTGGAAATAATAGAAAAAGTAGGAGACGGTGTGTGACTTATATCCGAGTGCCTAAATTGTGTCTTCTTCCAGATCTCCAGCGAGACGTTTAATGGTAGTCTGCTTCCTCTGCTCAAAGAGCATTTGGCTAAATCTTTCGAAAACATGGTGCTGGACGATCTTTTTCTGATTCTTCGTGCCTTCCAGTACCACCGAGTATGTGCAGTAATTAATTGCAACTGCAGTTGTGCCAATATTGCAAATTATTTATATGCAAGCGTTATCGCACAGTTTAACGCTGTTTTAAATTTTGTTTTTAGTAAATTTTTCAACTGAGATATTTCTTGTTTACAAATTGTTGTACTGTTGTTTACAGAAAGCAATGGAGCCGTTGCTGAAACAGACGCTGGGCGCATCCGATCTTCTTTCCGCAACCAATATCGATGCAATATGCACTTTGCTATATAAAACGGACACCCACAACCTTCACCCGTGTGTTCTGGCTGTGGTAACAGCCTACCAAAGCGTCCCGGACCGTTTTCCCGCCTTCTGGACGCGTTTCGTTCAGATAGCGGCGGGTGAAGCACCCTTCCGCGCCAAATTGCCTTTTGACGTGATCTGCAAACTGCTGCCGTTCACCACCGACGCTAAAGCACTGCAGCTCTTGCTGACGCAGCCGTTCCTTGTGCTGCTGCTACGATATGCGGAGGAACCTCGCGCTGCTGAATCTGAAAGTTTTAAGGTGAACAGTGATGGTTTCCGCAGTAACTGTCGCTTTTTTTGTCGGTATTTATTTTTTGAAGTGTTGTTTTTTTACTTTAGTTTTTCTTTAACTGGTGGTTTGCTACAGGTTCTGCACGCCAGTGCCAATCAAGCCAAGATCCAGGTTTTGAAGTCACTTAAGACGTTAAACGATGAAAGGTTAACTCAGGAGATCGTAGATGAACTGATATTGCCAGATATGTTAAAGCAGCAGTTCCGGCAGTGGGCCGAATTTGTTCGGATTATTTTACTGCAGTTGGAGCCGGAGAAATGTTTGGATCCCGCGTTGAAGTTAATGGATTATCTCAACTGCCGCCGCTCTGATCCTTATCAGTTGCCTGTTTTGCGGATGCTGGGACATATTTTAAACAGAATCAGGACTGTGGAAAGCGTAGCTTTTTTTGAGAAGTTAATTGAATTTTTCGCCAAAAATGGTAAGAAACAATGTAGAAAATTTGGACGTTAGGTTTGCATAGAAAACTCATCTTTGATTCGCTTGTTGTAGCATATTCGAAAGCGGAAAATGAAGAAAAGAAAAAAGCATCCGCCTCCTTAGCGAAAGAGTTGGCTACCTTTCTCTCATGGATCCCCAACGAAAACCGTTACCGAGGGCGGGCGCGTAATGAAGATACGTCCATTGATACGGCGATTCGCATTAAAGTCGCCGTTCTGGAGATCATCGCTCAGGGCAGTGACTATGTGACATCCGATGGTGAAGAAACGGATCAACAGCTGAAACATAAAGCTCTTCACTTGGCGAAGAAAATGGGCAAACTGCCGGTTAATGACACGTTCAAATCGGTTCTGAAATTGATCGCCTTGTTTGCCGGTGGGCATTGGTTAATCTACCGTCCGGTTCTCGCGCGGGAGGTGGTGGAGGAGTTGAGTAAGATGGAGAAATCTTTACGGAAGGAGTTGACTGATGATGAAGTAATGTTGATCATTATGCGCTTTGTGGTGAGCATGCTGGCTGTGGAGCGGACGGTGTTTGATACATTTGAGCTTGTTTTCCATGCTTTGTGCCCCTTCATCAACGGTGAGGCGATTGCGCTGCTGTTGGAAATGGCAAATCCGCCGGTTGAAGAGGAAGATGACGATATGGAAGAGGGGAGCGTGGAATTTGTTTCCACGGATGATGAAGAGGAAGAATTTTCTGATATCGGTGAAGAAGACGGTGGTGATGAGGAAAATACGCTGACTGTCGATCGTGCTGCACTGCAACAGGTACAACTGGTTAATCATTGCTGATTTGTGATAATATTTCGTCAGCTTTCTTGGATGAATTGTTTAGAGTACTTCTGCACTTCTCGTATTATGAGGAATAGATTCATCTTTTTTACTGATTGTTTTAGAGATTAATTGTTGAAGGAATTTTCATTGGTATCCGTGCGTTACCGAAGTTACTCTTTTGTGAATTAAGTTATTCGGTTAACGCGATGTTGTTATAGATTCCTGGCATGGTACAGGATGACGCCGAAGAGTCCGAACCGGATTTGGATGATGAAGCCATGTTCCAGATGGATGCCGTATTGGCCAACATTCTTCGCGCACGCCGCTCAGAAAAATCGCAAGAAGACACCGATCCCCGCATTCGTGCCTTGCGGCTGTTAACCATTTACGCCACATTCGCCAGTGCTGATCCGACCATCCTGCTGTCACTTATCCAACCGATGATGGCATTAGCGGTAGAAAAACCACCGTCAGCGAAGTCATCGCAACGCGAGCAACACAGCCTTCTTATCCACTCTGTGGGAAAGATTCTAACGGGAATCAACCATCACAAACTGAAAGATGTGGAGAATGTCAGAAGTGAAGAGGAAAGATTTGAGCAAATTGTTGGAGGAATGCGTGGAGAGTGCGGGGAAGGTGCACAACCCAACGTTGCATAAAGCCTTCGTTGAGGGAGTACTTTTCGTTCAGAGGCTTCTTGTTGTGAAGTTTTGAAAGACGTGGAGTATGAAGAAAGAGCGAAAATTGTGAGGAAAGTATTTGCACCACTGGTGGTAAAGTTTGCAGAGACGCGGAGTGGAGAATTCTCGTTCATGTTGATTCGACGCATGATGCAGGGATTGGGACAGGAGGCTGGAATTCTTATTCCGGGTATCTTAGACATTATCACGGATTTCGAGGGAGCATTCGCTGTTATGCGACAGAGTCAGCTGGTGAGAGTTGTCCAGGATACTATGAAGCACACGACTCCCCGGGTCGATGAAGTCAACAACTGGTTGGGTCCGTTAGGGACGTCGGTGTTGCGCTTACTGAAGGAAGGCAACACGAAGAAGCGGAAGCTGATGACGGATTTGCTGGATTTTGTCCGGTTTGTGCTGCAGTGGCGACGGAAAGTGGTTAAACGCGGCGTGAAAGTGGACGAGATTGCGACGGTGTGGGATGTGGTGGGCATGCGAAAAGCCTGCCAGGAAATGGTGGGACGCGAGGAGATGAAGGCGAAGGAGATGAGTAATTTGAGGAAAAGGGTGGAGTTGGTGGAGAAGGCGCTCAAACAGGAGACAGGTGCTGGAAATGATAAGGATGAGCCCGAGAACGATGAGGAAGAGGAGGATGGAGAAGGCGAGGAAGAAGAAGGAAGCGCGAACGAAATGGAGGAATAATGGTGTATTTTTGGTATAGAATTATTTTTATGGTGAAAAGTTCGACGTAGCAGTTCTGATAATTGTTGGTTGTAGTTTCTCGCTGTGTAACGTGGTGTTTGAGTTTATTTTATCTGTAGAGTTAGGTCCATTGTTGCTCATTATTTATGCCTGTTGAGCAGATTTTGTTAATTAAAATTCAAATACGTACGTATTCTGGGTTTATTATTGTAATCCAAAATATGAGCCAGAGATGAGTAGTTTTTGTCATTAATTGCCTTTTCTCCTAATTGCTTGGGTTTGAATTTAGGGCCCAAGTTTGATTATCGAAGTGGATTTTCTTGGCTTTATTACTTATTTAAATTTAGTAGTGAAGTACTAAACACTTTCCATGTTTTTTTGCAAAATACTTTGTGACCGTGAATTTGGCTTAATTAGAAATTTACATAATATAACATAACCAAACAAACATAACCAAACAAATAGCAGTTAAAGTAATATGCATATCGATTTGTCAAATTGGTATGACTTTAATTAGCCGGAACTCTAGACTCGCTGTGTGCACGCTTTCACTACACATGAATCGCGGTGACTAAAGAAAAGACCCGCAAAGAATCTCTTAACGTAACATATAATTATCCTCACCCAAGATCATAACGACAATTATCTTTTCAATACATTGTACGCACGGCGGAAGCGGTACTTGCATGGCGCGCGTATTGTTGACCGCGAGCAAATTGATCATTAATCCAATCTTGCCGTTCCCAGGTTCTACTCCACTAATCATGGCACTGACCTACCAGAGTTCACCCTATTCATGGCGACTTTAGCTAGTGTTGTTCACGGAAACACTTTTGCACCACTTCGGTGACATAACTGTCTGCCTCAGAAATCACAATAAACGCCAACACCTAAAGCGCATTATGTACCAAAATTAGGTGCATTATACTCCGTGTAATTAATACGTTCCAGTAAAATAAAATTTTTGGATACCTTCTCCTTGGCGTAGTGCGGTTAGTGGCTCGAGTATATATAAAGACACCGGTCAGATCAACGAAATGCATCCTCAGCAAGTACCAATCGGTATCAAAGGTAAACAGAAAGTAACAGCGAACTATAAAGGTCACCCACCGCTCTAATCTAACTTTCTGTAATTGCTTATCTGATTTTCTCAATATCCTGGAAAAATGTCCCGATCCCTGTCATTATTTGCCATTTTCTTCCTAATCAGCTGCACAGTGCTTTGTCACGCCCAGTTTAACCGCCTCAACCGCACCCAAGTCCAGGCTTCCATTAAAATCAAGCCGCGTCCCGTTGGATCCGGCCAGATGCAGCCCAAAATCGGCAACGTTGCCCTGCAGCCACCGGCAGAACGGATGACGCTCCAGCGTGAAGATCCTTGGCGAGCGTTGGATACCCTGCGCGGCAGACAGGCCATGTCGACGGAAGACATTACCATGTTTATGATGACCGCTGTGCCCGGTACCGATTATCCCGCCTACAGCAACATTCCGGGTAATCCGTTTTTCAACTGTGCTACCAGTGTTCATCAGCCGGGTTTCTATGCTGATACTACTACAAGATGCCAAGGTACAAACTGCTTTATACGAAGAGCTTCTTTGCAATCAAGTATTACTGTAACTATTTTTATACAAGCTGTTACAGATTATGTAACAATTTTACTTGCATTGTTAAGCTTACAAAGAAGAACATATAAACTTAACTAAAATGCCATTAATAAAATTTTTATGCGTTTCCCAGTTTTCCGACGATGTGATCCCGACGGAAACCTTTTCAGCTATTTATGCCCTAATACGACGGTACGTATATTGTTAGAATACATTTGCTATACCTGATCTTGACTGGATGATAAACATGTTTACCAGTCGAATGATTACCGAGCACGCGCAACGAATCTCGACGATGCCGGAATTTTCTCTACGTTTCATTAGCGCTTAAACGACTTGACCTTCTTGTTAAAGGTTAGCCAACATTTGCTGATGTTTGATTTATTTTTGCAGGTCTTCAATCAGATCACGCTAACCTGTGACTATTTCTTCAATGTTGACTGTGCCAAGTACGTGTTCATTGACATTCTCTGGAGTGATTACGCAATCCTCTGTCACTTACTATCAACTATTAAACCTTGTACAAATTAAATGTGATGAAAGTTTGTAAGGGTACAAAGATATACAGTGAAACTTCTCTACTACGTACACCCTCCGTTCCTAGCTTCCTGAACGTTACAAAAGGGTGTACGTTAAGAGGGGTTTCACTGTACCACGTAGTTAATAATAAATTTTATAAACCAGGTGGTTTTCCTTAAGCCTGTTGTTACAGTTAAATTACTGTAGGACTTGTTTGTAAATAAGATGGATACTCTGCAGCATATCTCATTTTAACTGTTTGTGCATTTTATTTTAAACAGATCACCCGACTACTACGACTATTCTAACTCGCGTCTGTACCACGAAGGATGGCTGCTGTTGGGCAATTAAGCAGACGAAGCAAGACGAAAATCTTCCCACAATACTCAATTATCTTCTGAAAAACCGGAAGTACAAAATCCAGTTTTTCAATCAATAGCCGCGCGTACAATGAAAGTCGTGGAAATACAGCGATGCAACTGGTTTGTGCGATGGGGCTGGCAAGGCACACTTGATGGTCTCCGTGCGTAGCCAGTACTACTCTGTTTTTGTTTGCTCACAATTAGTAATTAGTGCCTTGGTGTTTAGCTAGCCTACTTATTACACGTAACCAAAGAATTCAATTGCCTCAACGAAATCAAACGAAATAAATCGATCGCGAATGAACTTGTCTGGTTTCTTCTGGTAAAATACCGTTTAAGCGGTTACGGTAACGCCCACTCGCATAATATTGTACACGTTGGTTAACCAGTGTACAATACATTATACATACAAGTACTTATACTGGTATACAATAGATGCTAGTATATGTATGCATCAACTATCAATGTATGTATTGCACAACAAACTTGTATGCATCGGAATTTTCTACGAAGATTTACAGTGATCCATCCCGGATCTGATTGTTTGGTCGACGAAAAGAAAACTTCGCTGTTGCATCACAGGGAAAGTAACAGCAGCAACTTTGCAAAAAAGGTCAAATCCACTAAAGGCATCCTCTTTCATTAACAGTAAGAACTCAGTATCCTTTTGCATCTACAAAGCTCATCAAGTAATGCCCTTGATAAATAGGCCATAGCTAAGAAATTTACTATTAATAACTCGCACCAGAAATTTTTTTTAATAGTGTACAGCTTCGAGATTGAAGAATTTGTACTCGCTCAGCTACTAACGCGACGATCAATCTTCCTCGCGTATTCGAATCGTAGCCTCGTTTCTGTAGTTTAATTTACATACTTGTACTCAGTGATTTAATGATGACCGCCCCTTCGGAGTGTTCTTCCTGCGCTGTTCGGGTACCCATCGAACTGTGCACGTGCTGCGATCCTCCGTGTAAGCGCTTCATGACCTTATGGAATACCTTCACTGCACCGTACGCCGGTAAGCTGCACCGTGCAGGCCCAGATATTCTCCGTGGTCTTCTGTGCCGGTTCGCCCGGGAAGTGCTCCCCGACGAGGACATGGACAGCACACGGAAGCTGTTGTCCAGCCACTTAATTGTGTTAGTACGGATGGGCAAAATAGCCACGATGCAAGATGCACTGGCGGTGATGCGAGTGTACAACACTGCGGTGGGCATCAACAATGGATCACCGATCTAATACGTAAGCTGCGGCAAACTAATCTGTTCCGATATATCGTACAATCAATCAGTTGCAAATCCATGGTCGCCGAAGGAAGTTGTCCTAAACGTCTTAAAATGCAGTAGCTGGTGGCCGGTAACAGTCAACATTTTGTTGCGTCGACGTCTGACTTTGTTTTGTTGTAGGATTTCAATGATGTACCGCATACGACCATTGACGGGCAAACTCTCGCGTACTAGCGGTTACCAGTTTGTTACTTAATGTTATGGACATCTACGCTGCATGCATACGCCCATGTATTAAAATCGGCAACGCTTGGTATAATTGGAGCAATAGTAACGCAACTTGATGTTTCCTTAGGTTTCTGTGACAGTGTTATCATAATATATGAGGGCGGTAATATTAAATTATTTCATTTAGCATTATTAATTTCTGCGTATACATCACGACCATTATTTCTTTTTGTTGCTGATACAACCTTTCACCTGTTCACTAATTTAATTGAATTTTTTGTTTGTCAACCTTTTGCGAAAATCATAATTCCAGCGGGAAGAAATCACAACATCCGAAATGACTGCTAACAGTTTTTGCCTGCAGATACCATTTGGTATATCAACAAAATCATATATAATATTACCTCACGTATACAGCGACTAAAACCAATGCATTCACAATTGAGATCAATAAATCAACAGCGTCAGTTGCATGCAGAAGTGTGCGGCAAATCGCCACCACACCGTCGCGATCATCATTTGACCACTTCCGGCTGTGACAATCCAGCTCCGGTATCGCCGGCATCATGGCTTCCCGGAATTAGGGTCACTCGGTCAATGATTCCGATCGACGGGTGTGTGTGGGTGGCATCCCAGGAGGAGAAGTGGCAGCGCGTGCGGGCTTACACTTTGGTACTTTGGCTGTTCCCGTTGTGGATGTGGGCCTGTGTAGACAGCCGGTGCGGTGTTCGATCGCTCGTTCGGCCGATGTGTACTGTCGCCGTGGTGTCTGCGCTGGAGTGGTTGTTGGCCGTACTGCGCTCCCGATTTCGATCGGGAGTACTCCAATTACTCTTACTTGACGGCCGACTGCTCGTGCTGACCCGGCCGAGATCTTCCAGACTCTTCAGGAAAGCATCGTTGTCAAGCGCAATCATTTCTTCGTGTGTGTCCTGAAAAGATTCCAATCGTGCAATTACTTGCATGAATGCCTGATTACCATGCCTGTAACTTTTTGAAATCGCGACTTCGGAAAAATTATAATTATATATGCTTCTAAACAGCAACAAAAAAATTTATTAAATCACAAAAACTTAAATTAACGGCTTAAGGATAATTGTATTCGTATACAATATACCGATAAATCAAATAGAAAAAGCTAGTGCTAACAACAAAACTTATACTACAGTATCTCGAGCGGCACTTCTGTACATAGTTATGTCGTAATAGTTTTTTCTGCCCAACTTTTTCCCAGATATAGCGATTATTAATTTTTTATTTAGTCTTCTATACTTACGCCGGGCCAGGTCATCCTGTCGTTGAATTGGTAGTTTGGTAGCGTTTTATCATCCCAATAGCTGCCATAATGACTCGCCAGCACGCGTAAATCCGTTTCCGCTGCATTCCACGTGGGGTGACGCCGCCGATAACAAACAATGCCGATGACCGCTACAGCAAACAAAACATATTGTCACCTTATGTTTACTGGTAGAAATAGCCATAAATCTCAACTCCGCGGTATTCGATAAAATAATCCTTATTTTACGCGGTAATTTCTAACTTTTTGCGGCATAGTATGGAATTTTAGTATTATTGCATGTTTCGGGTTTTTCTTTCTTTCAATAAGGATATGTTTATGCTGAGATTTATTGGCGAACAAATTTACGCATTCATCTCGGGGCTGGTTTATTATTCGTTTCGTTCCGGTGTATGCTCGTAGCATTACACTCGTAATACGCTAAAAATAGTATAAACAGACGTAATTGGCCCCGATGTTGAACGATTATTGGCAGTGTTTATTGTTGGAACCGGCGGGCGCTGTCTGCGGCAAAAATAAGCAAATGTACCGGAAAACTGGTAGATTAGCCCGGACTGCGAAATAATCATAACCGTTTAAGTGCTCATGTTGCCGTCCACTTCCGCAATAAACTTGCATTCAATTATACACATTTATACGGTGTACACCGGCTGCGATCTGCATCAACCCCCCGCAACACCTCACACCCACGTCATTGCGCCGTGCATCGCTGACAATGCAAGTATGGGTAATAAATGACCGGTACATGCCATCACTTGATGGTTGCACTGGCCCCTCGGACAAATGACAATTTATGGATGTCGACTACAAACACTTAGCCTGTAAGCACCGCAAGTGCAGCCAGTTTACATCAACAAACAGTATCTTACAGTAAACGTGAATACATAGGTCTACTATAAGCCAGATGAATAAACAACAAAATTTACTTTTAATTCGAACGTTCACAATTATTACCACGTATTATGACGATCATGCATCACGAAAGTGTTTAATTGTATAGTCGTGAACTTTTTTATATGCATGAATCCAGTATTATCTTATACGTTCTAGAATTCTTTACAGTTAACAAATTTTGGTTGATTTATTTCAAGCTGGAAACAATTTCCATTAATTTTATTGGGCAGTAAAATAATTACTACGCTAGTAACTCTTTGTCTTTTTCTAGTTGTAAAATTATTACAAGCTTGAGAAGTGTAATTTGCGAAATAAAGTATTGGTCATGCCCTAAGTATTCGTTTCCATCTAAGGAAAACTATTAAGTTGCGCAAGAAAACTCACCTGCAAGTGCCAGGGCAGTCAGGATCCCCGCAATGATCCCAATCAGCGCTCCGACCGTAATGCCACCCACAGAATACCCACTGTTCCCATTATTCTCCGCCATTTGCGCGTTAAGAGCCGTGTCGCCGTCATCTGACCTTTTCGGCGGTATCCTAACCGCCGGCACAACCTCGGCAGCCGGGGTAGCCGGTATATCCCTCCCGTCCAGCACATCCCGCATTCCCTCCCGCATCAGCAACCGCGAGGACATATTGAGCAAAGCCGTTCGATTGGCACGGCCGCCGTCATCCCGCACAAGCGGCGTATCCGCCGGGCCGGAAGTCGATCCATTCTCGGATATATTGCTGGTCGAAGTGTCTGCGGGTGCAGTTTCTGGTTCCAGCGCGCTTTGCTTGAAGCGGATACGATTCGGGAAACGCGGGGTCACCGTGGATCCCGGCGGGAAGGTGAGGCGCAGCTGGGTGGGCGGCAGAGTGAGGGCCGTGGCATCGCTAAGGGCCGACTGCTGAAAAAATACCGCCGAGACGTTATTTTGGCGGGATGACACAGCGGGCGGTGTACGGAGGATGAGGGGCACCGGCCGGGGCGGAAACGGAGGAACCGGCGGCTGAGCATGGATGCTGAGCGTCCCGGAAAGGGATAATACGGCGAAGAATGCCAGGAGTGGCCGGAAGATAATGGCACTTTTGGCTAAAGTGTCTGCAATAACAATATGTTGCGTTACGCCACTTGATTTTACTGGATACTGGAGCATTTATTTTATTTTTATAATTTAACGCGACGGTCGTAATTTTGTTTCGTATCAATTGTACTTATTTTTTTGTAACTATTTAATTAGAGAACGACTCTAGTGTATTATCAGTCACACCTTTCCTAATTATTGTGGAGTTACTGGTGACAAGCGAAAGTTGCAGGTTTTTAATAAATACCATTAAGTACCATATTATAATTGTATGCCGATACGCCCATACTTGAGAAATACGCTGTAATATCTGTCTATACATACAGACACAGTGTATCTATACGTAGAGAATATCGATCGTGATTTGTGGTTGCGTATGCATACAATCCTATCGCTCACATGGGAGCAGCTTACAGGCATTCAGTTACTTATTATGCTTTTTACTTCGCCACTTCGACCGGAAAATGAATACACCTGATTAAAATTGGTTTATGCTGTGGCGCCCGTGCGGAAACACAAATTCAATACCATCCAAACTGGATCGGCTTCCCAGGGCCAAGCGCATTTATTTCATATACTTATACTGTAGACATATTGTACATAGTTCAGTACTTTACATCGTTGCAGACACCCACATGATGTTGTGAAAGTGAGGAAAATTTATAGCTTACTAATGAGAAGATGCATTGCGGGATTCAAGATTAGCACAAAGCTGCAAAGTCTTTCCGCTGTGTTTTGTAGATCCTCATAAATCGTGCCGGGTGGTGATTTTTTATTTGCGTGGCAAACAATTAGTGCATTGAACATGGGCATTATTCCACAAGAAGTCAATGTCAATGTCTACAGACGTGTCTGCTGCCAAATAACCGCGGGCAGTATTTTCTGTCCATATTGAATGAATGGACTTCTCGAGTACTGATTCGATTTTTTACAAATGAAGCTGTAATTAGACAGCACTTCGTGAAAATACAACTTTCTAAAAATGAGCGGAAAATGCCAGAAAAAGACGCAAGAATCGTCATAAAATGATATATTGTATGTATTGAGCAAGATCAAGCAAACTGGGGATTTCACTCTATTTATGACACAATTTTTATGACTGTCGAAAACCCGCTCATGCCGGTGTTCACCGGAAGCATCGTAAAATTGCTCATATAAATTAACACTGGCTGTTCGATCCAGGTGTGTCGCATGAATAATGGCGCCGGTAAACATTGTTGTAATAGTTTCTGTTTGCCAGAGAGCGCCATAATGCGTAGGCGAAAAATGTGTTGCGCTCATCGATGAGCACAGCTAAGGTAATAAGGACGCGTTATAAAATGATACATCGAACCGGTTAAAAATACCTTTTTATATTTCTATTTGCCATCAACTGGAAGAATTTGGAAACTTTCCGTTTTCTCATCTGTTACAGCTAAAAATAAAAAATGCTAGCAGCCTTAAAGCCTTGGCAAAAAATTAATAAAGATATCGATGGTTTTGCCAAAATCGCTATTTAAAAATTGCGAGCATATTTACTGTAAAAGGAATCGAAACGATGATTTTCCTAGCGACACCAATTTTGTAACAGATTTCCTTAGATTGGAAAATTAATTTAGGTCTGCATAACAAATTTTTGGGAATATATTTCAAATGTTGTCTCGGAGCATCACAAGAGTATCAAGCTCAGCAATATCTTCCGCGTTTTACATACTACGCTAGCAGAAGCGTCAGTGCAGGAATGGTGTCACTCATTGGGTGAAGACAAACATTTCCGTAAGAAGGCAACGCAAACAATTTGGTCAGCTATTGACATTGGGCCGGTGCTTTATTTACCTGGCTTAAATCGATCGGAATCCATCCAGAAGAAATATGTATCCTCAAACGGAAAACACCCCGCCACGAAAAATCACCGCAACCCACACCGCCACATCGAACACACCGAAATCAAAATGTCTTTGATCACAGCCAAAAACTGCAAATCTCTCTACACACGGCGATGATTAAAACGACAAGGTTAATAAGGTAATCTTATCGAATTTTCCAGTGAGAGTGCACACTGCGCACAGGCGATAAAATGTCAACCGGCAATGAACATTTAATCCCAGTCAGCCGAGCAATTACCGCATCAAGAACGTGAACGACGATTAATTCGGCGACGGCGTAATATGTCGCCGTGTGTGATCGTCCTTTAATACTTGTACGTAAATGTCGAGACAAAAATAACCAACAACCGAATAACAAAACAATCACCGAGAATACTGCTGATCTTTGGTAAAAGCGTTTTCACCGGCGCGAATTGACAGTCTGAGAAAATGCTGCCGTGATTGAAGAAAACGTTAGTATAGAAGAGGTGATAGATAAATTGTTTCGAACCGGAGCAAAATCGCCCGCGGTACAGGCTACGTTGGTTGTATTGATAGGCTACGCATGCATTTGACTGTAAAATGGCAGAGACCATTTGTTGGCGGGCCTGCAACCGGAATCGTCGCAGCCGGTTCTGTTGCAGTTCGGCGATCGATGCCGATTGTTAGTTTTACGGCTGTACGTACGCTTGTATATGGATGCGGTATACAGCCCACAAGCTGCCGGCCGGTCGATAAGGCAGTCATGCGATTGGAAGGCTCGTTCTCGTCGGGAACAAGAGTATCGTTTGTGGGATAACTGCGCGCTAGCGTGACGTTACATCAATGCTGCAGTCAGTGTGGAGGAAGATGTAATTAATTGACGGGCCTCTTATTTACCGGATTCTTGTTTGGGTAACGGTTACGAAAGCGACCTACTTTACATGGCGCTCGATGATAAAGTCAATAAAATTAAAAGGCGACACACGGCTTAATTTTGGTACATTTACAACTTTACAGCACCTCGTAACATGACGATAAAGTATGTACGAGTACAATACATGTAGTCAACAAATTATTTATTACACACAACAGCAGCACTTTCGAAAAATTACTGTGCACGCTTAAGCTTCGCTAAATAAATTAATTCAGTTCTGTCGATATCGTTCAGCATCGTAATTTCATCCTGATTACGGTACATAAATTTAACTGATTCTGCGTGCACTTTCGTTTGTTGTAACAACCACTAATAAAACGGGGATTCCAAATTAACGGGCACTTCCACATTAAATAAAATTCTAAAACATAGTACGTGTATATAAAACTAATCAATAAAACTCTGGGGCGCACCCTGTTTAGCATTAAAACTTCGAGTGTAGTTTATGTATCGCGTTCACACTCGTGTGCACGCTCGTCGGGCATTAGTGATCGATATGGATTATGTACGCAAATGTTAGTTCGCACCTTTGTTGGTACGTAAAGCGGTAATAAATTGCCAAAGAAACAGTTTAGAACGAGTTCCTCCAGTCTAGTTAAACCAGTCAGATGACTGTCAACGTGCAACATAGTTATTATAATTATTTCCAAATGTTTCCTAAAGGTTGTTAAATTGGCCGGGCTTGTCATTTCAGACGTGGAAGATAAACATGTGCCGGAGTGATGTTTGGTTAATTAAGTCGCAACATTGTGTTCTTATTGCACGAGCGTTCCAGGTGAATGTGCAGGCAACATACGTACCGTATATAGCTATTATTCTATCTGCACACAGAATACTTTAGGTACAGTACAGTATTTGAATCCCGCTTCCGGCCAAACTGATAAGGTGTAGTTGTTATACATACTCTAATCCGGCATGACTAAAGTTGTTAAAAAATAGTACTCAAGAACAGTTTTTACTTAAATTTGTAAGTACCTGCTGCCTGTAAAGAAATATTTACGCAAATCCAGCTTGTTGTGTATAAGATATTTCAAACATTACGAAGCATTTTTTAAAATTACTATGCACCAGTCCAAAGGGTCTCAACACTAATACCAGATTTAAGCCTACTTAGCATTAGCATGCCGCATTTGCACGCTTCCAAGCATTAGCACGCAGCAAAAGTGCGCGCATTATTCCCGAAAGTTGCCAATATAAAATTTGATATTCTGCGTTTTTTTAGAGTCGCGGTATGGACAAAGGGCAGCTGCTTACTTTGCAGATAAATTATCAGTTCCTTAAATAAAATTTTTAGAGCAGATGTCTACGACCATACCACGTAGAAAACTCCCGATCCCGTTCGATCTCGGAAGGTAACCTACGTCGGGCCCGGTTAGTACTTGGATGAGTGACCGCTTGGGAACACCGGGTGTTGTAGACTTTTTTGGCAAAAAATTTACCCGAAAGATTACGGTGCCCGGCACTTCTTGCCTATCTTTGTTGACAATAAAGCATGCTTAAACTGTAATTGTTTTTTACAAAGTGCAAGCTTTTTCATGCAAATTGTCAGTTACGGCACATACAATACAAGTAAGTATCAACGTTATCTGTTGCAACTTCATGGATTTTCTACTCTCGTGGCTAGTACTGCATGCAGTACGCAATTTTAAACAGCTGGAGTAGCCGATGATTGGGGGGCTGTGCAGTGTGCACTACCGAGAAGATATGTTGATTACTGCGAAACCTGTAAAAGAGATGATGCGGTTGACAAAATAATAAAAAATAACGATATTGTATACAAAGATATAAGACTTGCTAAAAATTAGTAATGTTAGGCTGTGGCGTACATCCGGTACAGGAATACAAATCGATATCGTCGGTCCCATTGCAAGCACACATCATTTGCGTCGGCATAGCTTTATACTTAAGCAAATCGTTAATGAACATAAGCGCGAAAAGATAATGATTAGTATGATCGGATGTCGAAGTCACAGAATTTTTTTAGTATTTTTATTGCTTGGTGAGTTTTAATTCGTATGTGTGCTCTGAGGACTCAATAATTTTACAGAAATAAAATTTGCTGCATACAAAGTATTATAGCGTTAAAATTGCGTACTATTTTGTAATTTGTTATAACTACAGACTAAGTGCGGTCGTTTAGAATTGACTGGGTTATATAAGGTCGGTGCCGCAGGCTGTACGAACTGCAATTAACTGCTAATTAAAGAACTGCCAATACCTTTAAATATTTAGTTTATACCACGGCAACGTTGATCACTTGATCCATATCAAATTCTGCTGCAGTTGCCGTGGTATGGCTCGAGTCACTCGACTACGATGCTGTACGGAATAAAATCGGCACCGGCCGGATAAATCGAACAAGCAGCGATTTTCGGGAGAAGGTATTCCCAATCTCCGAAAATCGCTGCTTGTAAAAAGAGGTGTTCGATTCGTCGTTGCCAACCTAACAAACGACGGCATAAATGCACAAGTGGGCCAGTGTTGCATGGATGGACCAGTGTTGCATGTTGCAGGATACATATTAAATGCAAAACAATACAAGCCATTTCAGAACACGTTTTGCATTTTGCAGCAAACAAAGTTGAAAAGAGCGTCCGCTTTCATTGCAAAATAAGTACGGCGCGGCCTACAGGAATCAGGATTTGTGCTTTGGCAGTCCAACAGAGCGGACAGCCTTAAAACGAAGTATGGTTATGGTCACTTTCTTAGTTTGCGCAATGTAGTCGTTTCTTTTAAATTGGGAATTTAAAAGTTTGCATTCAGTTTAAGAATCGAATTAGCGGATTTTACTTTCTTTGTATTGTGAGCGGCACTGTTCATGCAACGGTAAATGCATATGGGTGCTTAAAATGATCAAGTACACTTCTGATTCTGACTTGCCGTTAATATTGTACGTGGTATCCCACTTATACTGTACGTACGCGTAACAACCACCTCCAGTAACAATTCTTGCTTGTGATAAAAACCTCTAAACTCTTAAATTTATTAATCAGCAGCATTTGACGCGGCAATGACTTTACGCACAAAAATAAGATTTTTATGATCAAAAATAATTGTCCGGTTCTGTACAATCATTGCTAGCTGTCTATTACACAGCGACACTCACAGAGTCGAGGCAGTATTACGTTTGCAGCACGCGCCTATGAATGCTCTACGAAAATTTTAAAGCTTGCTCTATAGACTTCCGGTTTCGAAAATTTGAAATCAACATAATATTATCTGTTCTTCCTGTTTAATTTATAATGCAGTAATTTCTACGTTGGATCTCTCTCATGTGCCTGGATTTTAATTTATCTGCAGATACTCACTGACATCAACGAATAATTGGAAGAACACGATTGCTTCCATAGTATTTTACAGCCTTTCTTAAAAACGAAGCAGAAAATTTAAAAGCAGAAAATTCATTTTTTAGTAAATACATTTTGAAAAGCGAAAGCTTGTATAAAGTTTACTAAAACACATTAATATTAAGATGGGCTAATTGCTGTATACAAATAAACCGTTCGTGTTAGCAGCGTTCTGGTATATAAGAAAAGCAAAATCTCTGTAATGAGAGAAGTGTCCAAAGCGTGACGACGGTTGAGACGCCGTACAAGCACAACTTATTCGCGCTGACATCCTCCCGGTAACAAAAACTTGAACGTAACCGGATTCTCGATTACCGGACGCGGCAAATCTGCCACTGCGTAGCTGCGATGTGCACCCTGCCAATTCCACAACAGCTCCCGAAAGGTAAACGCCTCCAGAAAAATGTCGAAAATATCTTTTCCGGCACAAATCTTGATCTGTATCTCTTCTTTAATTAAGAGCTGTTTATCGGTGACACGATCCACGTGCGAATACGCCTGCATTTTAAAGACAAAATCTTCAACGTTCCGGAAACAGAACGAACAATGCCAACCAGCATCCATCAACAACTGATCGGATGAGCGCGCCCGAAAGTACAGTTGTCCAGTGTCATTCACTCTGCGGATCTTGGGACGCCAGATGTCCGTCTCGGCCTTAAATTCGAATGAATACACGTAGTTGGTCATTTGCAGATGGTACGTTTCCGGCCATCCATTGCACATTCTGAGCATTGCCACGGTCTCCTTCCGCGGGATTTCGTCCACGTGGGTGATCAGCAGTAGATCTCCAGGACGGAGGTGCGCCGTGTTAGCCGACAGCTGGTTCATCTGGCGTCGCATCTCGGTTTCGTTGTCAAACGGATTCTGCCCCGGTTTGAGAGCGGTTAATGTCGTCATCTGACCGACAACCAGTTTCGTCTCGGCGAAAGCAAAGCGCTGTCGGTTGGCCGCGATTCCCCGCGAAGAAATACGGCTTGGGATTGCCGGAGAAGGTGCGGTTGGATTCCAGGATGACGAAGAGATCCACGACATCCCATAGCTCACGCAATCGTACTTTCAGAATGTCCAGTTCATTGCTGAATATTATGGCATCTACTACTCGGGCTGGTGCCTATCGAGAGCAATCAAAACAATTAAAAATAAGTGGATCAAACTATGCATACTGTAATATAAATATATATATATATATATATATATATATATATATATATATATATATATATATATATATATATATATATATATATATATATATATATATATATATATATATATATATATATATATATATATATATATATATATATATATATATATATATATATATATATATATATATATATATATATATATATATATATATATATATATATATATATATATATATATATATATATATATATATATATATATATATATACCACCACGGGCCGCTTGACACACCTGTTGATATTCGAGACCGTTGATTTGACAACGGCGTTTGGATTCATTCACTGTCGTCACTGGAAAAATATACTGCGGCCTGCGGCCTGCGGGACTAGCGTGAATTTCTCCTCCGGTCGATCCCATAATGGGCGTGTTATATAGCCCACATCGCGAATAAAATTGGTGGTCACCAATAAATAAACGAAGATGCATATTAAAAAAAATACCGAGACCAATGTGGAACCTAAAGCGATGTGTCCTCCATCGTCGACCTTTGCATAACATGTACATTTCCAAGTGATATTCATTTCGGAATTTTCAACATTTGTCGTGCTCTTCATACTTCACTATGTGATTAAAATTTTTGGAAGTGCCTGACCATGAGACAGGTGTGCGCTTGGTTTACCTTTCTGATAAGATCTTCAGTTAAACTAGTACTCTAGGGTAGAGTACTGTATTTTGCTACTCCGTTATATACTGGGCAATGTTTTGTTTATACCGTTTCCCTTCACTTGTGCCCTATGACGGGCGATAGTCTGGTTGACTGCCTAGAAGTTCTGCTGGTAAATTTGCCATTGGGGAGTTCTTCCGGCCCGTTAGTTACGGAATCCCGCCACCGGAATATATATCGCCGGAATATTACACGCTTACGTTTGGAATAAAATGACACTAATACAGTGGTTAACACGCGGTGCACAACATAATCCCAATGCACGCGGTACACCGGGATATACTACGGAATATTTGTACAAAATGTATACCAGTGAGAAATGGTATTGTACACGAAAACCTTATTTCAGTACAAGTACCCATAATATGAATTAAAAATGGCATTTTCACTGCAGGAAAGCCGAACATTCCGACAGAAAAAATTAAAATGCGGCAAAACATTCAGCGTTTTCTCGATAATTCCATTCGTGAATGATCGTGCCAGATGCTACAGTCATGCTCCTCGCTTGCTTTATGCAAACAATCAACTTTTTTATGATCGGCAATTTTAGATAAGCCAATTTACGCCGTTGCAATTTCATGAAATTTCCATCTGACTATTGTTTTCATATAAATTTTTGCCTTCCTGTTGAACATAATTATGTCCCTTCAGAGTGTACAGTAACTGCTTTGCTGCATTCTTAAAATGTTCCTTAAAATCTTAAATCTTCTTAAAGTGGATGGCACATTTTTTTTATTTTTGTGAGTAATCGCAGACCAGATACCTTAAGACCCTAGGATGTAGAACTAAAAATAATGCCACCAAAAATTTAAGGGCAATGGTTAAACGTATCGGTCACCTTAAACGCATTATTGACTTGGGGCAGCAGTTAATATACTCTGTACTGTACTGGATCGCAAGCCAAACAGTGCACTATGTGTCTACTTCCGGCATTCTGCAACTCAGAAAATAGTGTACGTGGTCAGAAACAAGCAGTTTTTTCTGACGCGTTATTGACCAGTTGGCAATTATAACGCATTATTGGTTCTTAAAATACACGATTTTAAAATGGTCGCGATTTTAAAACTGAACAAATAATGAGTTTTCTATGCTTTCGTCCATAGAACTGGTTAGCACCGATCGGTTCATATCCATCCAAGGTAATGGCTGGTTGATTAGATGGGAACTTGCATTAGCTGGTTAATTAGCTTGTTTACTTAGTTAATTAGCTTAATTAGCTCTTGAAGTCAGCCGGTTTCCCTTCGAGAATGGAACCAAAAGGTCTATCTGTGAAAGATAAGAAAAGGCCGGATGTGATCACCCTTATTCCGTGGAAGCGCGGAAAACCGTTGGCGGTGGATGTTACCTGTGTGGACACGCTGGCGGCCTCATGTATCGACCACTTCTGTGAATGTCGGCGCGGCAGCCGAACTCGCGGAAAGGGGAAAGCTAGCGAAGCATGCCTGGCTGCAACCAAGGTACGATTTCATTGCTGCAGCCATCGAAATTTACGGACCAGTGGAAATGGTTGGAAACGGTATTGCGACTTCCACTGACCAGAAGCGGGCGAAAGAGTTTTTTAAGCAGCGAATATCTATGCAAATACAGAGTACAACGGGGAAACGCGATTTGTGTAATGGGTACGATCCCCGATCAAGATAGCATAGAGGAAGTGTTTCTGTTATAAATGCTGTTTCGTTTTGGTACATAGTTTGTACTCGTATCATGATACTTATTAAAGGTTCACCGCTTGTTTACTACAAAAAATATGCATAAATCCCATTGGAATTCGAATTTACTTGTCTGCAGTTACTGGTGCAGTGCAGCTTCGGAACCAAAACTATTGTGTATGCATGTATCGTACTGCCGTAACTACAGCATACCGAGGTCACTTTGAAGTTTGAAGTATTAAAGTACAAAATTTTGAATCTGTATCTGTATTGTACTTGCCCTTCAGAATTTACGTAAACAAATGCTGACCGCAGTTTCACGGGATGTTTAGTTCCAGCTCACCTGACAGGAACAGTTAACATGAGCGGAAACGAGCAGCAAAAACCTTGCAAATGGGCAGTTTAGCAAAATAATAAGCGACAAGGCTTGCATAATGCAAGTGGCAACTACTGTATATATTTAGACTGTAAAACTGTACACCGACTACTACAATCTATGATACTGGAGCTCTAAAATTAAAACAATTGCCTAATAAAAGTGTTTGAATGGCGGAGGATCGGCGTTTTTCTTTCCCGACAAGTTTGTTTCAGTATGTAAAAATTTATTCATATAACTGAAAACTGAATGGTTTAATTTTGTTATGCAATAAATATTATTGCAAGCCTCAACACTGTTTAGTGCGCTTTGCTTAGTTTTTGATATCATGAACCATTAGCAAAAATAGTCTAATTTTAATTTTGACAACAAACAGCAGTACAAAGCACTGATAGCAGCTGACCCGCAAAATTCATGCGGCTGGGTTCCCATTTTGTAAAAAACTTAAGCTACAGTGTATATGAAATCTGTGGGTCGAAACCACAAAATCTGTGGGTCGTGCGTCTGTATGAGGGACGCTAAAATTATTTCCACGTATTATTGACAAGACAAAGAGTTGGTATTTACAATTTACTCCGTAGAAGCACTTAGCATTCGGAGGCTTGTCGTTGTTCCTGATGGACGATATGCTTTAGCATAGGCATTACATATGTTATATTATACCACGTAGTTGGTATGGATTGATGATTGTTAGGATTTCGAGCACTTAGTCCGCTTGAGAATCCTTCTGGCATATTCTCTTGGCGTCAGGCGCCGGGCAGTCAATTCTGCAAAGGTAATTACGTGCTCTAAGATTTATAGCATGTAGGTATTAGATTTGTCATTGGTGATCTCCTACGCAAAACTGCAAAAGTGACCAATGTTTCGCTGGTCATAAAAATCAGTTGAAAAATATTTTGCTGAATGCGCTTACTGATACTCGGTGCGATATCTTTGGGTGTAATCGCCGTTTTCCCGGCAGCGATTTCTCGTAAGACCATAGCGTCAAAAGCCATGCACGCGATTCGGAAAAACAGAGCCTGGACGTTCTCGCCGCTTTTGGAACTAACCGGCCAGAATTCGGCATTGAATTCTTTGGCAGCGGCTACTGCTTTTTCCTCAATTCGGCGGAAACTGTCAAGTGACTACAAAAAACTGCGGCTATAACGATATGTTCTAATTATTCCCTGGTGACGTTGAAGTAAGTACTTACGCAAAGGTCCTTTTTGGTGCCAACGAGAAAAATGTGCGGACTGCCGGTGTTGCCCTCTAAAGCATCGTTCAGCCAACGTTGACAGCTGTCCAAGGTCCCGCTCTCCGATAAATCAAACGTCACAACAACCACTGCAATTTCACAATTAATACGAACTACGAGTATTAACAGCTGATGGCACTGGCTGGCAGTATTTTACAACAGACTAATACTTACATCGGTCAACACGTACAAGTACAACTGACTGTGTTAATGCGTGTAAACAGAAAGCAGTTTACATAATTACGCTTATGTGCATAAAAAGCTTATAAATAAAAAGCGTTTACATGTTTACGCTTGATTTGGATGCTGACCGTAAGCTCAGTATGAAACTATTGACAGTCAGTATGAAACTTCACAACATATACCCGTACTCGTAGGATTTCTATTACAGATATGTACAATACGTACCATTAGCCCCGCGATAATATGACGCGGCAATGGATTTGAAGCGCTCTTGTCCAGCAGTGTCCCATCTAGCGAATACAAAAAAGGAGTTCATGAACTTTGTTGCATACCGCTAATATGCAGCTCTCCACCGGCTACTGCAAGCGCGAATTACATAATGCACCATAGAAACTTTAATCAAAATATTATAATAGTATCGTGGCTACGTTACACTTGTAATGTAAACGGAACCTCCAGGATGTCGAAACGTTCGACTTCAAAATCCACGCCGATTGTTGCTTTATAGTCCCGATTAAAGAGATCGTGGCAAAATCTGTGGGGAATATTGAAAATTATTTTTGATCGTTGATTACTATTTTTAATTTTAATTTTTTTACGAGAATTTTCCTTGATTTTAAATCCGATCACTGCTACTCTACTTGTAATTTAACACGAATTTTGGATGCCATCTGGTCAACATGTTGTTGTGAATAAAAGTCATTCAGCAGTTCTACCACAGTTCTTTATGCGTTCTCTGTGTACGCTTTTGCCTAAATTTTCGAGTACGTAACTAGATAAAGTTTTCGAAGAGCTTATGCCGGGTAACAGAACGCTGCGACCCGTTTCCCGAACGCAGCAGAAATTATTACTCTGCAGATATGAAAGATAATCATTAAAACAAACAAACCGGTTGGCTTATTTTGAACCATAGTAATTGGACAACATCGCGACATGCAACACTGCATGTCGTGTTGTTCTCCATTGAATGTCGTGTACCATAGCGTGCACTTCCGCCTTGACAGGCTGTTGACTGCTTATTAAAGACCGTTCTATACACGCTCAGCCAGTGGAACAAGCAGTAGTCAACGATCAATCGGCTTTTTGGCCCTTCCTCCAAATGTTGCTTTAACCGGCAATTTTCGATGATTTTTCCGTCGATAAAACTGAAGTTTGAATTACGCATATGCACTTACCTGTGCACTAAAGACGTTTTTCCCACGGATACATCCCCTACCAGGATTAATTTCGCAATATTCAACCTACAAGATAATAATAAAATTATGATTGACGATTTCTAAGAGGTTTATCAACTACAAAAAAGCGCAATAGTTGGATGGAAAAGATCTTACTCTGAGTCGATAGTGGTTTTCTTTCTGGGAGCAACAAGTTCGCGCACTTTGGATGAAAATTCACTGTTTGAGTACGGAGTAGCATCGTCTCTGTAAGCCTAAACAAAAAAGGTTGTTTTGTATCGACGACGTGATTATAAAGATGACGATCATGTAGCAAATGCAGTTTGAAGTTTTAAGAACTATTACAGAATACTGTCAAAACTTGGCAGTGAATTATGTGAACTTTATAAGCAACAGCATGACATTAAAATTATGTCAATTAAAGATTATGAGAGATAATTTGTAACAATGGTAGGCGTCGAATAAATTTTGAATTAAATTAAAGTGCACAGGCAGAAATAACGAAACGACAACACGTTTCGGAAAAATTAAAGGTAAAAGGCGCCAAAAAAAGTGCAAAGCAGAACATCTGCCGGTATTCAAAATTTACTACGGTTACTAGTAAATTAGAAACGTAACAGTTGTTTCAAAAGCCTTGTTAAAAAGCGCGTGATTTTTTAAAATGGCTTCTGGTTTTCAGTTATCGAGGTATTTCTAACAGATTGCCTGTACTTCTATGCACAATGTAAGCCGAATTCGAAGAGTCAGAAAAAAAATAAAATTTCCAAGATTAGAAAAAAATACACACATATTGAGTATTCGTAAAACAACGGTTACTTCCGTTTACTTACCCGGGAAAAGGAATCGATGCTGCGGTCTTTCTTGGCCTTGGCGCGAATCATGCTCCAGGCTTGTTCATTAATGTAAGGCTCATCCGTGTTGATTTTCGTATGGAGTTTTTTTGTCATGATTCTCAAATATTCCTCAGCGGGAGAATGTACACAGGCTCACGCAAAAAATCGGAGCGTCTGTTAACGCTCTGCTATCAAACCGGTATGAGTAATTCGTATTATTTGAAAAAAAAACAATAAAAATCTTTTGTCGACAGGTTGACAGGTTAGATTAAATTCCCATGCGGCTGTACGTGTTGTCTACCGTGTAAACATGCGTGTTATACAGCGATATGCTATTAAACATGTGTTAATAACGATTTTGAAAAATATGTGTACCGCAGCGGCTCTAGAATCAACATCTGCGAAACCTGATTTTTTACGGTGATTCACCTATCTGAATCAGCTAGAACGATGAATTGCGGCCATTCGACGATAATCATGTTCACTACGAACTACGAAGCAAGTGTGAGTAAACGTTTGGCATAAAATTAAGCAATGTTTTGAGCTACGTTGAGACATTCAAAGGCGGGCAGTGCTGTTTTTACCTACGCACGATAGAACAGCATGCGGTAAAATCTTCGATACGTTTTGGCTGATAATATTTTACCGAAATTCACGCACTGTAAAATTCATACAACATGGAGGCACGGTATCAAATTACTAAATTTAATACCGTAAAAGCATCACAATTAACCACATTGAATTAAAATGAAATCTATTTAACACTTGTTGAATCAACACTAAACGTATAATTCTAAAAAATTGGCATAGGTTAATAAATCAAAAAAAGTCTACAACACCCGGTGTTCCCAAGCGGTCACCCATCCAAGTACTAACCGGGCCCGACGTAGGTTATCTTCCGAGATCGAACGGGATCGGGAGTTTTCTACGTGGTATGGTCGTAGACAGTACTATAGTAAATATAAATCGCCAGAAGTGAAAACATAGGTAATCTTATAAATATTTTCAAGAGAACACGGAACTGCAGCTGCATTAGCTTTGAGTTTCTCGATGTCGCTGTTGAACTATCTGAATCGTTTAATTCTTTCATCGCTTTGATTAGTCGTGTTTATACGGTTCATACCTACCGGGTGGCTGAACAAAATGGCCGTCTGTTTTTTCATGGTGCGCTGGATACGTCCAACACTGAATTGACGTTTTCCTAGTTTCATTCGATAGAGCAATGCTTTTAACATAAAAAAGTTAAGTTAAATCAAAATTTCCACTAGGCTGAAATTTTTTATGAATTGTTTTGTAAAACTGGCTGGGTTTGGATGATGTCCTGGAAGCGAAAATCTGAAATTACCCGTTTCTAAATTAAAAATTCTTGCTATTTAACTAACGACATTAATGTAGCTTATTTTACTATTTCTGGTGGAGAGGTTGTTTCTCGTTTTTTTACTGTAAGGAACTGCAGTATTCTAGCAACCTTTGCTTGGCCAGTGCGCTGAAGAACAGACACTTTGCACGAGTAATTCTCGTGAAACAGGCAAACAAAGTTTTTGAGTGCAAATTTCTAACCAACGTTCTAAAAGCTTACCCGATTTAATTTTGTTCTGAAAGGGTAATGTGTAAGCTACATATTAAAGTTAAATCTGCATTTTTTTGTGCTACCTGTCATGCAGCCGAAAATTGTAACCGAAAATACTCGAAAATACCAAATAAAAAACCGGCATTTTTCGAAAAAGTCACAATGTGTCATGACTGCATAACTCGTTCAGCGTATGCAGCATGACCACAACTTTTTTTCTATTGAAAGTAAACGTATTTTACTAAATGAGACAGTTAAAAATATTCAAAAAGTCCGTAAGAGGAAGAAATGGCACAAGATTTTATGTTTTGCGAGCTGGGACACGAAAAATTTGCAGACAGTTTTATTTGGCATCATTGCAAACGAAGACGGCTTAATTTTTCAAAAACTTTGTTTCTGGTTTTGTGGCTTATAAAATTCTCTATCGAATGAGCCTAAACAGTTTACGGTGCGACAAAGGGTCTGCGAAAAACAAACGAAAAGAGGAGACGGCCATTTTGTTCAGCCACCCGGTACATAACCGTGTCACTGCTCAAAATGTACAGTTCTGAAATCGATTTATGTTTTGTAGAATGTCCATTAATTATTTGTTCCACATTTGCTAAAGTCTGCCCCCGCTTTCGCTTTGGTTTTGAAAGAGTTACATAAGCTTTAATTATCGACTGTGGGTATAAACTCACATAGGCAATAAATAAGAAATTAGTCATCTCGCACATGCCTTGTACGCTTACAGTCGGCACGTTGCTAATCCAATCACCCACATTCCAACTCAAACAAAAGAAAAACTTTTACTACTTAAATTAATTAGTCCAGAATGTACGGTGTCACCTGGATAAGCACGTTTAACGAGGAAATTAATCTCGCGTATTTCATCAAAATTCCACAAACTCCACTGGAGCAATGCGAGCAAGCAGTTTAATCAGGAATACCATGTTTTTTGATTGGGTTTATTACCCCTTAATTACATCTCTGTGTCATATAAAAATGAAAACAACAGACAAAATTTGTCAGTAACCTTCAGTACTTACTTCCCAGCTGTGCCAAACACAGTTGCAATATTTACTTTGCGTTCAGCGTTCGATTACGTTGACCTTTAACCTCTTAAACACTAACTATACGCTATGCATATTCTGGTAGCAGTCCTTGTTTTGGTCGTAGTTGCTGTGCCGGGTAAGGACCAAGACTCAATGCATTCACTGCCTTTATCCCACTGCCTGAGGAAATTAGTTTATCAATTTGAATTATTTCAGAGATTTCCGCCGGTTTCCGTGAGGATGGTGACTACGGTTGGTCGAATTTTGACAATGCATTCGGCCAGCTTGCTCCACGAGTTGCCGTTTACGATTACCCTGTTTATCGTCCTTTCTGGGGGCGCAACCGTCTGTATGCCGGTAGCCGACGAAGCAATTCCGCCGCAGCTGCAAATGGTGGTACGGTTGTTTAATTACATTTGTGATACTGCTACGTTATAACGACATAAAACTTTGGCATAACTGACTTTTGTACTTACTGTATATTACGCCTCCAAAGCCCAACACATCTCTTATGAAACAAACAATAATACAACGTAAAGCTAACGTACATACACTGTGTACCAAGCGAATAAATGCGCCGATAGGTGACCTTTGCAATCCAACTGGCCTGCACGAAAGGCACTGCATACAGTAATTTTTACAGATGCACAAGTGGACTATGGAACAGTGGATTCGGATAACACCGTTCTGACCAGCCGCGGAGTCGGCTTCGCAAGTGGCCGTAGTAGTGGACGCGGATACGGGGCTCGCATCTCATCTTCCGCTGCTTCGAGCACTGATAACAACAAGGACTATGGTGCTATCTCCTGGTTTTGAGCGGCAGTTACGGTTTTGGGCTGCTTAATTTCTCTAATAATGTTATAACCCACTAATGCGGCACTAATTGTGCAAAAAAACTAGCATTTCCCTGTCAGGGAACTATTGAAGATACTTGTGTTTGACGCAGTTCAGGAATAACAAATTCTTAGCTTGTACATTATGACGTGATTATTGCAATAAAGAGACTGCTTTGCGCTTATAAAGAGTTACTGCACTGTGTAAAGATATAATAAATGCACAATTGGTGACTTAAATTTCGCGAACAAATTCGCTTTGGTAATACAAGAAATATTAACCTCATCAAAAAAGCCAGCCGTGTCACATTTTCGTTAGTCTATAAAATTAACTTTCTTCTGAGCTGGAAGAATCTTCGTCACTGTTACGCTTGACTTGTTCTTCCGACGGGAATTTGATATGTTTGATGTTGAAATCAAATGTATGCTCCAGTTCCACAAGGATTTGTTCTTGTCGGGCGTCCTGATTACGCGCAATAATTTCTTGGATGCACGTTTCAAAGTCAGCTGAGAATAAGTTCTCCCGGATACTGAATTCTTGAATATGATGGCTCTGCGCTAGGGCTTCCTGAATCTTTCGCGCCACAGTGACCTATAAAGGTCACGTTATGAATAATTCTGATGTTTGAAAACGTTTATGTTAGAATCGACGTATGGAAACGTCTCTGAATACGGTGAACACTTACTCCTTCGAGCTCGTTAACTGAAAGGTCATATTTTTCCAGTTTTCGGTTGACTTTCATGGCATCCGTCAAAAGGTCAACAACAGCCCCCGAAATTTTGTTACCGCTGATCATCAGCTGCTGTAGAAACGTAATACAGCTCTTTAGCACTAAAAACAGCGCCTCCGCACCAAGATCACCAATCTCATTGAAGTGCAAGTTCAAAATTCTCAGCGACACTCCACGAACCAATGCGCGTGCTAAGGCCTTGGCGCCGTCGACCCCAACTTGGTTCTCACTCAGATCCACTTTGTTCAGAACTTCACTGCGTTTAATCATCCGCGCTATCACGGCCGCCGTGTCATTGCCGAGTTTGTTGCACTGCAGCTCCAATATGGCCAGATTGGGATGGTCCAGCAGGGCTGAGCAGACAATGGCACCCTTGGCGTCGTTGATGTTGCAGTAGGCCAAACACAGCCGGCGAAGGGACGCACAGATCACCAGGGCTTCCGCTAAGCGGCGGGCATCGTTCAGTGTGAATTGATACAGACGCCAACTGAAATTCATCCCGCATTCGACGATTCCGTATCGCAGTTGGAGGTCCATCAAGTGAGGCATGTTAGCTATTACACATAAAGAAATCCTTATTATAACTTTGCTACTATAATTTTAACTTCCTTATTGATATTTCGTGAATCTGAACTGAAACTGGTCAACAAAATTTTCTATTCTAAACAAAATAATTTCCATATACGCAGTTTTGTACATATAAAAACTGCACTATAGTGCAAGAATACCTAAAAATTAATTTCACACAATTTTTTTAACAAATTGGAAAACAAGTAGCACCTACAACAGGTACAAGGTTGATATGGTCAGCGGCCAGGAATGGGTTCATCGTCCGCGGATGAGCTGGCGTATCATCAAGCTCCCGCGTTATATCCAATAAAACCCTGTCTCCCTCGTCGATTCCGCTATTCAGATCCAGTTCGCGGTTAAGCAGCCGTTGAAATTTAATCTTGGCCTTATCGGACCACGGAGTCTTCTGTACAGCCGGAAACTGTTTATTGCCCTGTACATACTTTTTGACTTCTTCTGCCATGGGAATCTGCTGCAAGACGGAACTATCGCGTCGATGCGTTTCCGGATCCACTTGACTTTCGTCCACCGGTTCCGTGAAGTTAATATGCTTCGTCAACTGTGCGTCAATCATGGCTGCAAAGTTGCCAAAGGTATGTCGCACCGGTGGCAGCAGCTGCTCGATGCGCAGCTGCAGTACGTATTCCCCGATGTTTAAAAGGTCATTGAGCAAGAGATTCGGATCGGACTGAAGAGGGACGTAGTTCTCTATTAACTCCTGAAAGCCCCGCTCGATGTAGGTCAGCTTCCAGCTGCCATGCGTGTGACAGTGCGCAGCAGATCCCCAGCGGGCTCTACATGACCTTTCCCAATAGTTCTCATTGTGAAAATAATCGGCCGCTAAGTATAAATTGATTTCGCTGGCGACAGGTAAATCGGCAATGAAGCGCTGCTGCAGTTCGGTGGGAAGTGCTGCCATTTGGTACGGCATGTCATGAAAATTATTCTGTAAAGAGTTATAAATTCCATCTTATTTTGCACAATCGCAGTAACAACATGATTTTTTTGGAATTTCTTACTTGGATAATCTTCAAGCAAGTTTCTGATAATCGTTCAATAGGAGTTAATTTCCACGCAGGGTCCTCAGGAAATATTCTCCGAAAGGGAAAATCTTCCGACTCTGTTGCCTCATTTACGGTGACGGTTTCGTTCATCCTTTTCTGCAACAGTTCATCTAACTGCATTCGCGGAGGTGCGTGCGAGCCACGACCCATAAACTCATCCAGCAGGTATTTGTCCCGTTTCCAGTTCTCATCCGGAAACTGGTAGTTGAATAGCACTGTTTTATCGGTGACCTTTTTCTTTTCGTTCTTCTTGGTTGCATCGAATTCTTCAAACGGCACCGGTTTCAATCGGTACCGCAACGGCACGGGAACCAAATGGGCGGACCGTTCACGATCCCGCCCATCTTTGCCCTGCAGCTGGCCCTGGATGTAGGCGGTCAGGTCATCCAGGTCATTGTCGGGTCGACTGGCAGCTTTCTTCAAAGGTTGGGTGCTGAGAGCATCCGCAACCGACAGTTCCGCCAGGTATGACTGGTCTTCAGGGCTGAGATTAGCGTAGACATGCGCACGGATGTTGTCATATGCGCGAAAGAAAGGGTCACGGGCGCGTTCTTCACGGCGCGCTTTTTCCATGGGGGACAGGGGGTCTTCCTGGGAAGCGACGGAAACGGCATTTTGTGGTGGCAGATTGTAGCTGCTTGTGGAGAGTGAAGGCTGAGGGGGCTGCACTAGGAAACTCGGGGACTGAAGGTTGGGTGAAAAAGGCTGTGGTACTTCCATCGTTCATAAGAAGCACGTGTTGCAACGGAAATTTTCATCAGCTAGTTGTCAAGGAGCAGTGACTTGGCAGATATGGTGCAGGCTGTCTGATGAATTAAATTATTTTGATCTGAATAAAATTGTATGAGTATTATTGGATTATCATATCGAATCATGTTGATTCGCATTTCTGAAAACGTTGCTGTCTCTGTATTAAAATCGTAATTTCACTCACTGCCTGCACACAAGCGGTGCGGTTAGGCTTTCAAATGCCTCTATAAATTTTATTTTAATCCGCAGTTATGACTGTATTATAACGTTCAGACTTCCGAGCAAGCGCATCTAACACTCACTGTGTCACTATTTGTGCTGACCCAATATGATTTTTTAGTTTATTTATTACTGTCTTGAGGTTGTTAATTACTGGAATGTTGCAACTATGAAACGAACCTCGAACAAAACTGATAAGGCACAAAAAAATATCAAAAAAATAATATTTTAAAGTGTCAAAAATATTGCTTTCTCTAAAAATACTTAAAACCAGACGTATCGAGCAAATATGTAATCAGTAAACATTATGTTGTCCCAAAGGTAAAACTTAATAGTAATTCTTAGTAGCGAGTTCACGCGCAAAATTTGCTGGAATTTATTTAAGACGCAGAAATTGAGAATCGGTGCAGGATCAGCTGTACTGTTGGTGTGATTGCTGCAGTTTGATGCATTTAATTGTAACAACCGGTTTCTTTGGGCGTTTCGCCGGGAACCAAGATGCTGAGTACTTCGGTGTACATGGCATACCGGCGTGTAGCTTTATCTTTAAAGGTTCCATCGCACTCAAATCCACCGTTAATCGCCCGGGTGGTCACACCGAACTTCCCTTCCGCCACACCGGCTTTGTCGTGCACCCGGTTGCCCCAGTACCAGAAGGCCGTGCCCCAGGCGATCTTTTCATTTGTGGGCACTTGCTCGGGATTCCTGGCCAGAAAGAACGGTGCTATCGTATGGCTATTGGAACATAAACTTTAGAAATAAATTCTGCCACTGGTACGGCGGTCGGACAGACGAATGGCATTCTTTATTTGTATAAATCTCTGTTGACGACATACTTCATCCATTTTTGGGATTTTATATCCTAGTGATATGATTATCGCGAGATCTTAAACCGCAGTATGAGCGGTTTAAGATCAGTATGAGCAGTATGAGCGGTTTAGGCTAATGGTTTAGCCACAGCTCGAAATTAAGAAAACGCGTAGCTTGGCTGCACCATGTACTGAATCAATGCCGCGCAGTCCATAAAGTCTGTTGTTGATTTCACTCAGAAAACCATTCGCTGCCATCCTTCGCTAGTACAGCGCTCTTCCTCGTTTTTTTGTAGTGTAGTGTTGAAGTTTCATTTAATCGGGTGCGCACATTTTATCTGCGATGTTTTAGATTTGCTGTTGCATTAATTAGAGATTTATAATTGCCATTTTTGCCTGTAGACGGTATTCACGGTAACCATGTCCTCCAACGAAGCCCGTGTGCCAGATTCTGTTCCGCCATCCTCCCAACCATCGGTCCCCGGCAACGAGCATCCTCGATCACTTAATGATCTTGTGCGGCTGCTGGTTGGAAACAGGGTGCCGGTAGCCATCACCGTCACGGCGGAGCTGGACAACGGGTTGACCGTCACGGTCTATGACTACCAACGAACGTAATGTTGATCTCAGTTCTGCTTCGCGTAATCTTATTTCTAATCTTCCGTGTTAATTTAACTGTGATGAACGTGCCCTGATAAATTTCCTGGTGCATCGGTTTAATAAAGCCACGCGGTGTGGAGACTGATCCTTTGTCTGCGGTCCATAGAGATGGCAAAACTAAAAAAAACTAAACTAAACTAAACTAAAACTCGGTTAAAAGTTGAAGTTGCTAAAATTGACTTGGTTAAAACTTTTAGTCGGCTAAACGTCGGCGACTAAATTTTTTAGTTGTTAACCTGAATTTAGTTAAAAATTTTAACCGGTTAACCAAAGTTAACCGAGACTAAAGATAAATTTTCTGTTAAAATGTTTTCCTTATTCTATACAGTGGGTGTCACTATCGCGGCGAAATGGTCCCACCTGTCGCCATAGTGTCATTAGTTCCGTATAACAAATAAAAACAGAATCAAAATTTATTCGGCCTTCAGAGAACAATAAAATTTTATTTTGAAAATATAAGCTACAGTAGAAACAAATCCGTAATTGTATAATGTACATAATTACTGGAAAAACTGTCAGTACTGCCAGTACATGCATATTACACACTTCATAGGGCCGTTACACAGTACAGTACTTCAATGTAAAGCCATGCAGGTACTGTAACTGCATTAGAAGATACAATACGCCATGCGCTACATTTACGATTAAATTGAAGTACTGCACGCATACTATGCAGTGCGCCGATCTGGTTGCGCAGTTTGTACTTGAAAATTATGAAAAACCACCGTCTCTTGCGGTCCGCCATTGCGCTGGGAATAAATTTCGGTTAACCGGTTAACCGCTGAGTTTTAGTAGCTAAAATCTACTCGGTTAAAAAATTTAGTTACTAAAAAGCTCTTGACTAATTTTTTTAGTCACCAAAGTTGGTTAAACTAATTTTTTTAGTTTTAGTCGAGTTAACCGAAGTTAACCAACTAATTAGTCGACTAATTTTAGTTTTGCCATCTCTATCTGCGGATATACTCGTACAATTACGCAAATGCGGATACAGATTTTAGAGATTTATCAGTTATCAGCCGTCGGTCAACGTTCATCACACTGGGGCGAACTTAAATCATATTTTACCAAGAATACATACATGCATTAAAACACGTATACAAATTTGCTTTTATACCCGTACAAACAGAAGATGGCAGACACAGACAAGCTGGGCGTGCCCGTCTGGGATTTTTGACAGTTGCAGGTTGCATCATGTATTTACAACTTACCGTAAATATCGAAATCAGCGTTTGCACTTTTACTAATCTGGATGGCTAATGCCTATGAAAATGTTATATTTGGAAGTTTATTGTACAAATTTAGTTTACTTACCTGCATATGCCGAATAGTTCTGTTTTTGTAGTGGTCAACATTTTGTTTATTTCATTTCCAAATTCCAATTACATCTTTTTCGGCATATTATTTTTTATTTTGATTATTCAGTCCATTGTTAATTCTACAGGCATTTTCACTGTTCTACAATTATCGATTAAAATTTTTTTCCTCACTTTTTTGTTCCGTCAATCGCTGCACCGATATAATGTAATCAGGAACTGCATATTAGAGGTGATGATATCATTTCCCAAAACAATTTAAGCCTTTTCGCTACATTACTTTTGATCCGTGGAACAGGTATTTTGAATGTAGAAGCCGATAGCTATGGTACGAGACTACTAACAACTAACACGTTGCATTGTCGAATTGAAATAATGGTTAGTCGATACATGTGTACAAGTACCATAAATTTTCGGTATACAGTTAGCATTACATGCACAAAAATAATGTTAAAGTATTGCGTGCGTGTGTAGGATACGTATTTTTTCGTAAAATTCTGCGCTTTTTATGATAATACGAGTAGAGAAGCACTTATGCATTTGCAGTTAATATGGCAAGAAAGGCCAGGCTGCAATTTCTCAATCTTGTTGACCGACAATCGCCGAGAATCGATGTTTAAACCGATACCACAAGGTTTAGGCTAGGTTTCTGTGATGAAAAATTCGGAGCGGGAAGCCAGTTGCGCTTGTCTAGTCATCGTCAGCACATAAAAAGTTGTCAATAATTACTTCACTTTGCATGGCTGTCAGTATCGTGGCGTACTTTTTATCAATCAGAATGACAGGCCATACAATTACATCCACGTCTAAACGACACTTTTCTGGGACCATCTGTAGCCGACCTGCCATAAAGCCGTTTATTCTTCGCCTGTGCTGTACAGTACATTGGTGCCCATGATCCCTGGTGTAAACAGACACGCCAGCACAGATTGCATGCGAAATGAGCGTTTTCTTAATGGATCACATCGTATAATCCGAACGGAGGCCATTAACAAATTGCACACTTTCCAATGTCACTCAAGAGGACCAAATGTCGCCATTCAACCGGAAATGCTCCCGTGACTTTCTTTCTTAGCGGTAGCTGATCCCGACGCCGGATGCATTCACCGACTGCATTCACTCGATCAGCAGCGCCGATCAAGAAGACTTCCTGTTGTATATCTTCCTGTTGTAAATTTCTGTGATGTGTGTCTAGTATCGTGATTTAATCAAACTTGTGACTAGTATGAATAAAACATTTTGTTCGAAATTATTTGCATATCTATATATATGATCATGTATGTGCGTGAGATGATACGATCGCGTATGAGTTTACGAGTAAATATTTAAGAAACGTCTACAAAATTAATATTATTTTTTTCGGCGGCTGCACCAAACTTATTAAATCTGTTGCATTGTTATTGTGTAATTGTGTCCGATATATATGGCATGCCACTTTTTGTGCATTCGACGTAAACAAGAGGAACAAGGAAATGCTTCACTGGGAATTAGAAGCCATCGACTGGAATTCTTTTCACATCACTGCACCAGAAAATGTCACTTCTACTACCTTTCCGTCGATGTGCGTATGGTTTGCCTGTGTAAACTTGGTCAGTTTCGTGGGAACCGTATCCTCTGTGTTATTACTGTATGTTATTTTAAATAACCAGTCGCTGCGTTCCGGATGTGGTATCTTGATTGCACATCTACTATTCCAGGAGCTGATTACTTGTTCCGTACACTATATGTTATTCTCTTTAAAAGTATTTTTAAGAAGGTTGGACGTGTTATGGCTCGATGATTGCCAGATCAGTCCGGTCTTTTTTGTGATCGTCATCCATGCCGGGAATTGGTCATCCTGCTTCCTAGCGTGTAACCGCTTAGTAGCCACAGTATTTCCTTCTGCATACGAAGCATGTATGACCACCAAGATGACGGTGACAATGATTGTTGGCAGCTGGATTATCGGTAAGTAATTATTTGAAGTATTACGGGTAATCTAATAATATTTTGCCGCAAAAAAATGTGAAGAGAAAATATTGGAGCATCATTAAGCCTAAACATGAGAATTACAGGAATTACATATGGCATGTATCTGTATATATTCGTTAATACGTTTTCATTATTAGCCGGAAAGCAGTAACCTTCTACTTTACCAAATGTGAAAACTACATACGCAGTCATTTTTTTATGTTCAAAAGAGTATATCTACAGACGCAAATGGTAGTACGTAAAACCAGAAATTTAGATTTCATTATTTAGGTACAGTTTTAGTAAGGAACGACCGTCCAAGGAAAATGGAATTCCACGGATGGAATCCAGTTTCCAAATCCGCGCTCCACGCGGGCGGCTCGGATTTGGAAATTGGAATTGAGGAAATCCGTGGAATTCCAATTTTTGCTTCAAGATCCATATTCCCTGTATTTGGAATTCCAAGCGCATGGAAATGTCAGAGAAAAACAATAAAAACAAGAAAGTTTTAGTGTTTTCGACAGGTGGCTACAAATTTTACATTACCTTGTCTTCCGGTAGCAACCGATTTATTTAAAAAACAGCGTATTCGCCAGTATATTCGCCGACAACGTTACCGTTTTCATTTTATTTCGCTTGTATTCGCCGACAACATTACCGTTTTTATTTTATTTCGTTTGTATTGTCCAATATTAAATATACCAGGGGCAGAAGTCTTCTTGATCGGTCCGACAGAAAACAATGTTTTTCTTCAAAAAGTTTTCATAATTTGGTCACCTGGTGTTAAAATTTCTAGATTAGTTTTCGTAGTATAAGCTTCGCTCATATATTTCGAAGCATGATCTTAAATCCATAAAAGAATTTTATGAGTACAGAATAGTGAAAAAACAAAATAAAAAAACACCTTGTGCGATCAGCAGGTATTCGCGTATCGCTGCTTGGGGGTGGGAAAAGTGTACCGGTAACGGAAATATGTAACCGTATACTTGAAATTTTATTTAAAGTGACCAAAATATGACAAAAATCAAAGTCATCTTCTTGGAAAGAATGACAATCTTCCGAGCTTTTGTGTTGCTTTTCGCTTTTATTAACTTGCGTATGCATGCCCACTGCAGGGCTGACAGTATCCGTACCGCCTACCGGTAGTGGTACTATACTATAGAACACACTTACGTTAATACTGCCTTGGTTGATAATAAGCAATTCCATTCGTGTTTTTTTAATATGTTTAGAGTATTTAAGTTTAAATTAAGTTTCTAACGACGAATGCGCAGTAATTTAACAGTTGAAATTAATTGAAATAATTTTTTCTTCATAGTTATGTAAGTAGGTAGTTAAATAACGGTATTCCAACGAAAACTACGAAATCCTTGGATTTACGGAAATCCGTTTGGATTTCCGTAAATCCACGGATTCCATGGAATTCCATGGCAATTTCCTTTCCAAATCCTTTCCACGGGCGCGAGCCCGTGGATTTGTCCTCCTTAAGTTTTAGATACAGTACACGTACACGCCATTAATTAGCATCATTTCTGCATTACTGTGCTTACTGCCTGCAAAAATAATTTATGCAACAGTTCATTTTTTTCAGTTTTACTGTTTCGTGCGTTCGTTAAACGTGCGAATACAGAAACAATCTAACAAATACAAAAGAGACATTACATTATAAATTTAACAACCAGCGGAAACATGCGGCCGAATCACAGAGAACCTTCGATCTAAATTAGCCGAGGTTGGTGCCGTTCCCAGGATGGATGTCGCATTTCCACGTTGGATTTCGATGCTGAACCTCTGGCGCAGATATTCCGTTGCACGTTTCTCGCCTGTTTCCTGACGAATCATCTTGCCCACGTCACTGATTAGCTGGGAGGCTCCCGGTCCGAGTGGTCCCAATGTCTCAACGCCTACCGCACGGAACAGGTAGTCCTGCGTGATGTTCTGGTACTCGTACTTCCCGATTTTCTTCCGTCCGGCTTGTGTGTGGATGTTGCTGCGATATGTGATAGGGCCATCGTACACACACACATGTCACATCCCATGTCAACAGTGGAACATTTTGCGCATATACAGTTCATTGCGCATATATTCGAGTACAAATGGAAGCATTTATCACCAATAAAAAAATTCGATGCATTATTTTCCAGTTCCGAATTTTTGGCTTGCTGACACTGGTTGACAAAGTTTTTACGATGTAGGCGCTTTATGCAATATTCCTCCACTTTTTGGATATGGCCTACGATTTGTTGCCTCGCATCTGGGCACCTGTGAAATTATCCGATTCCCGGGAATGGTATTCTCCCTGATAGCCGCCATGGGAGCCTACATCCCGATTACCCTGCTGGGAATAATGCATATCACCATCTATATGCGCATACGCTTTCGGTGGCTATGCGACGCTGGTAATCACAGTGCTGCTGGTTGCGATTCCGTTGTCTGGAAGAAACGCCTTAGACGGAGGATAATGATAGCCAGAATGCTTTTTGCATCATTTATTTGGTACTGCTTATGTTTTCTTCCCGTCCCGGTTTTGTTGGCTGTCCGACCGGATATGTATTTTGGAAACGATTTAGTATTGCTGTGGTCGCGTTTCCTTCTGCTGTGCGGTTACGCGGCTAATCCGGTAAATGTTCTATGCTCAACGTTGACAAAAAGTTTAAAATTACTTACGAGCTACTCGGGTAGGCTAGCAACGTGTATGTAACAAATTTATTACTGACATTATCTACATAAAGTCGCAAGCTGTAGCTTTTCATTTTTGTTCTAGCTCATCTTTATTGCGATGAACTCACAGTACTGCGAAGCAGTTGTTGGATTATTAAAACCAGCGGTCGGACGGGAAATTTTCCAGAAAACCGAAAATCATCGCGATCGGCACAGTATAGTAGAATAACTGTTCACTAATGCACATTGTCAATATGACAAAAGTTGTTAACCTGCGCTCCCGCCAAAAACGGTCGAGCTCGGAAGCAGGTTTTCGGTCACGCAGATGGATGTATCGAAATAACACGGCAAACGGTTGTAAAATTGTTATACACGGTAAAATGAAGTATGACAACATAATTCCCAGCTGATTTACAAAATGCAGAAATTTCCAAAACGATCCACTTTATGGACTACTTATTGTGTAGCATTGCAGATGCAGACAGCGTTGTTGATATGTACAGGCAGTACAGCAACAGGATCTTCTGCACAGGTTTGCCTTGGTTTGTCTTTATCATCCCAAACCAGGATGACGTACGTTGCAATGAGCCCCAAAACCTATAATCATACAAAAGCCAGCCGGTAAAGCGGCTAGTGTAACTAATTATAATATATAGTTATATGTGGACAGTGTAGTATTGCTCAATATACACAAAATCTAAACGACAATGCTGTATGCCTTACGTTTGTGAAGATTTGTTCATACAGTACAACGGGAATGAGACACACAATTATCGTATGTTCTTACCGTCAGTACGAACTGGCGATCAATAAAAACGCAACTAGCAAGGTTCAGCGATACGGGCGTACTACGAATTCTGTGTTGTTCCCAAAGGATTTCGCTTTGTTTACGGTGTACAGGCGAATGTAGAAATAGATTTTCCAATGCTCCCTCCATTTTACGGGCCTGCCATAAATCAATCATAAATGCTTGTCGGTTTTTGGAGAAGGTAATACCTTACAGGGTGATTCGCTCACCTGGTCGCAGCAAAACACCGAACTTCCTACCGTAAGAATGACGTACGTGGCGCTAAAGGTCATATATATCTCAAGTTCAACTTCGTGAAATTTCATGGATCCGCGCACCTGTAGAAGATCATAAATCCAGTACATAAGCTCGCGCAAATACTGAAAGGCCAAAGCCATTCCGCATGCATTTGCCAACGTCAAAAACTGCCGCCGTAATTGTTGGTAATCTTTTAAGACGCAGTCAAAATCTGAATAATCTTCAATAGTACCGCGGCTACGAAGTTTAAGAATAATGCTGCGAAACGCTAAACCAGACATAACACAGCTGATTGCTAAAAACTGATTCACAGCATACATTCCGGTCTGGACAATGAGTTGTAAAATGATCAGAAAATGAGACATGTACGCGCGCGCTAGGCGATGAACGAACAGCCACTGCAGCAAGGGAGAATCGACCAACTCCTCCAGGATGAACCATCGTCCAGAAAGTATAATACGGGTTTGTAGAACAATTTCCATTACCATGTACACAGTTAGTAAAGCGACAAACCCAAGAACGTATGCTCTGTCCGTGCCGGTTAAGTATTTATGTATAAACGGTAATATTCGTCGTACGGCTGCAGTTACTTGCACTGAAGCCTTTACATAAGCCAGAAGAGTCAACAGAAACAGAATATCAGTGATGTAATTAATGCAAATCTTCCATATCAGATCTCCTAGGTCTTCGACAGAGGATGGACCCGGCTTTGCGTATGTCGCTGCAATGCCGAATATTAGGAGGCCAATATATACACCGCAAAAAACAAATGGAGTGCTGTATCGAATAGGTGTTTCCCAGAAATCTTTAGTTTCAAGCGAAGCAGTGGGAAATACATTCTGGTCAAGGCGAAACATTCCGCATAGTTTCGCTATTGTCAAGCTCGGCTGCAGTAGTAGCTCGAAATAAACAGGAGAAAACATCATCTTTGATTGGAATCCCCTAATCTTAAACTGCAAATTTCAGAGCATGTCCGGAGTAGTGTTTGTAAACCCGGTCAAATTCAAGCAGAACTGATGATTCTAGCATATTTCAGTTGGAAGGCACCTGAATATACTGGTATTCGTAAATATTAATCATAACCTTCATTAAGCGTGTCTAACTGACGACATCAGTAATTTCTTCAGCAATACCTTGTCGTATTTCCAACAGATGAATGGAATTATGCTGACGCGTTCCTTTAAGTAAAGGAAAGTAAAGCAAACTACTGCGCCAGATGCTGGTGACCTTGTAATACGAGCCTAGTTATTAAATAAACGTCAGCCCATGGGAGTTTGTCTTCTATCCCGATCCAAAGGTATATTTCACACGATCGTGTAGATTTCGAGCGCCCAGCGGAGCGCTTGGCGAATACCCAAAACTGATGGATTCAAAATGACTATAACTTTATTCAGCTTCTCATGCGCGACAACTATTTTAGTATCAAAATTCTTCCTAAATAACAGACATTCAATGGTACTATTATGATCATGCCTACCAGGGTAGGGATCGCGTATGCCTACTGTTGCTGCACAATATGTGTCTGTGGTATTTTTAAAAGCGTTTTGAACCCGGTGCAATTTGAGCACCGCTAGCGGCTTAGTTGAGGCCGCTGATCTAAGCCACTGCCAGACCTTCCGCTGACCATTTGCTACAGCCAGAGCGGGCCGCCGGTGGCATCTCAGACGGAGGCCGTCAGCAGCCTTCTGGTGGCCAAAAAACATAGCCTTTAACTGGCAGTTTTATGGCTGCCAGAGGCCAGTTTCAGGGCATAATGAAAACTGTTTCTCATATACAGTTTCGGTTTTATTGTGCCAGTTTATCACTACATCCCTATTAACTCTGAGTACCATCCTTAGTTAAATTGTATTGCTTTATTAGATTCATTTGATTTCCATATATACATCCATTTTAATTCCATAGGAATTTTTATTTCCATAGATAAATGTTGAATAATAATCTCAAAATTAATAAGCATTTAATTTGTTTGACGCTGCGTATTCACAGAATCTCAGGCTTTCAATTAGTTGCCAAAATTACCTGGCATGAACCGGCTAATTTAAATTAGCCGGTTCATGCCAGGTAAAAATATGGCAGTTATTTAAAACAAATTGCAGGGATATCAACTAATTCGATAGAAATCTTTCCGTCCTTCTATAAACTGTAAAATTAATAATATATTAGGTACGACAAAGTGATATATAGGCACAGCAATTTCTCAAACGGAAAACTGACTAGATATGCAATTTGTCATGCAGTAATTAAGCTGTTGCATTGCTGCTGCAGATATTGGTTGCCACAATATCTTAATAAATTAATTATCCTCTTGAATATTTATGGTGTTGTTACGGATTCCACACTGAAACAAGGACATTGTTTCGTCGTTCCCTGTTGAGCGTTCCCTGTAAAAGAAGTACCGCGAGTACTTTGCATTTATTGTTACCGTTGGTGAAGCAACTGCAGGGGCTGTGTGCTTGTACTTACACTGTAAAAGTTACGAACAGCTACTGTACTTTTACGTTTTTGCAAAATAAGAGTATGTACGTTTGATTCTCGGTAATGCTTGGGGTACTGTTTGCGGTACATTGTGTTTTCAAAACAACCGGTAAATACTCGTAACTGTCAGCTTAATAATTATTTTGTCTGTCAGTACTTTCAAGCCTATACGAAACAAAACACCACACATTCTTGTTATTCTATCAGTAATGCACAAATTACGGAATGTGTTTATTTTTTGTCAGTATTGAAAACGGAAACACCAAGTCAGTTTGTGATAATTAGCTCGCTCGAGCAGGCCAAAACAAAAAATATTCAACCGTATATAAGCACAGGTTGGTGCACAGCCGACATAATCATTGCTCTAGTCAAGTGTGTGGAATTTAAAAAGAAAGCCTTAAGTATTTTCATTTCATACTATATATCTGATAAAGCAGCAGAATTCCCTATTGCAACCATGAAAGTGTTGTCCAGTTTGGCTTCTGTTTTTTTACTGATAACAGTTTTCCTGGCGGTAAGTGTGGCAATGGCTTACAGTGACTACGATTTGGTCAATTCATGTGATTGATCTTAACTAAAAGAATACTGATTTCGGATTTTTGCTGTACGCGATAACCATAGAATAATGCGATAACCCGGTCAGGTACGAGATACTCGCACAGATACCGTGCAGATGAATTTTTCTTTTGTAGTACGGTGCATCTGCCAAAGATAAGCAGAATGGCGATGGGAGTTATGGTGGAACTGTAGGAAAAGTAAAGATATTTCCTCCTCCTTGTTCTCCGGAGCATCCATGCCCTGCATAGAGACTAGAGTCACCGCTGATGAAACCAGATGACTGAGATGAAGTACGCAGTTTTGTGCATAGTTTTGTTACAAATACTCGTCTGGACTGTTTTATTGTAGCACATTGAACTGCACCATACAACTGTATTACTTATTGATAATAAAAGGAATTATCGGAGATAATGAATGTTAATTCTGGCGAGCGGCATGATTTTGTCTCGCCTTTGACATTAATGTGTTGTCGCGGTTGAGATTTATTGCTGGCCATCTGGGTGGTCAGATAATATTCCTTGAGATTGCTCTGGTTTCATGCTGCCTTTAGCAGCTTTATGTTTCAGTGTTCATTTGCAAAGATTTTTGATGCAGTTCATGTCGAACGCGATTTTCCCCCCCACCCTGTCCCTTTTTTTTGGGAAGGGCTTTGGAAGGGGTATTTGTTTGTTATTGGATCATTGTGTTTTCTTTCATTGTGTCATATTCCCCATGGGGGGCGTTTGTGCTTGATGTTGGATCATTGTGTTTTTCGTTGTTGATTCATTGTGTTCATTGTGTATATCATTGTTTTCCCATTAAAATACCCGGCAAACCCCGTGGTCGATCGGTTACAGTACACGCGAGCAACAGAATTAATAATGGTTAATTTACTTCAATACTGCATAAATTTTGGCTGCCTCGGTCATTATGTATCGAGGCTTAGAGAGTTGTAAATCAGCCATCAGTAATACAGAAACATAAAAAATGTTCGACTTCTCATTGTGAATGGCGATGAATTTAATTTAATTAATGGCACCATACCCAGTAAGCAGCAGCTACACACCTAAAACACCTGCTGTTCATATTTACGATTCATATTATTGTTCATGGTAAGGTATTCATCATTGAAATTCTTGCAGAATGGGTACTGATTCTGGTAAACGGCATAGACGGTTTTTCCGATTACTAGCTTATTCATGCTATATAACTTTTAATGAGTCATTATGGTTCAATACAAACTGTAACTGGCCATATGAGCATATTCTTATAAGCTACAAATCGTATATTATAATCGCTCTTTATAAAAAAATCGCTCGATAGCGCGCCGTTAGTTTAATTTGTGGTATGGTTATCTCAGAACAGATTTAATATTACATGTTGCATTCTACCTGACTGCGAAATCGTTTATGTATTAGGGAAATATATAACAAAATTTCTTTTGTTGTCAAAATGGATAACACGTTTACACTTGCTTCCGCTGGGGATTTTGTGGCGGTTGACCTTTACCAATCCGCTAATTGTTTGTACAGTGGAGCCGGCAGTTATGTTCTATCTCCATTAAGTATTCTGTACGCCGGAGCCCTGTTGTATTTTGGTGCTAATGGTCCAACAAAGGATAACCTCAACACTGCGCTGCACTTCCGTACAGCATTCGGCAACAAGAGCGACATTTTAAAGGGAGTTTTTGAAAACACCATTAAAAATCTTCCGGAAATTGGCCAGTTAAATGACGATCCCAGCTCTAATATGACAACGAATAGGCCGCATATCGGCGTTAAAGCGCCAACGGAAGTTGCTTTAATTAATGGCGCATTCTTCCAACAGTCGTTTCGGGCAAAGCCGGCTTTTGCTCAGGATGTCAGCAGTATTTTGCATGGGAAAATCTATGATGCTGATTTTAGCGCCAAAAATGTTAAACAGGTAATTAAAAACTTACAATATATTGAGAATATATACGTTCCTCCGTTCCGTTAAAGTCTGCATATCTTGTCGTACAAATGCATATTCAATTTTGTGATGTACAAATATTTAAATTAAAATTTGGCTTACAAATCTTATAAAAATAGCAATCCCATTTTAAAATTAGGCGCAACAGTTTATCAACAATTGGGTGACCACTAATACGTTCGGCCGCATAAAAAACATGTTTCCTGACAAGTCGATCGAAAAGTCCTCCGATTTCGTACTAGCGAACACGCTGTACTTCCGTGCCGCTTGGCAGTCACATTTTCCCATTCCGTCAATGGAGAAAAAACCCTTTTACCAACTGGGCGGAAACATCACCAACACCATCTATTTAGAAGCACGCCGGGCTATTCCGTATGCCGAAGACAAAGTCCTGGACGTGCAGTACATCGAACTGCCTTATGCCGATGATTTCTACATGTTAGTAATTTTACCACGGCAGAAGGACGGCATTCGCAACTGTGAACACCAGATCAATACGCAAACCTTGCGGGATCTGCGGGCGAAAATTCCCATGCTAAAAGCCGCTAATCAACGACTGGTTAACATTATGCTGCCGAAGTTTACGATTGAAGGATCCTTCGACCTGAAGAAACTGCTAGCTAAAGCCGGTGTGACCTTTGCAGTCGGACCGGACGCCGATTTCTCTAACATGGTTGCATCTGGAAAGCCTAAATTGTCGGCTACGTACCATAAAGTTTTTTTCAGTAAGTACGAAATAGGTGCTTAAATAATTATGTGTTAATTAGTATGTAGTTCTCTAACGTCTAAAAGTAATCATAGTAATCGTAAAAAAACGTTCCATCCCTAGAAGCAGTGCATTTGCTCAACTGTTCTTCACATCACATTGCATATATTATATATACGTGACGTATAAGCACCTAGCGTGTCATGGCTGTATATGCTGGGCGCAGAATTTTTTGTTATTCACATATCAAATAATAATATTATCGTGGAATGTGGAGTCTCCGAAATTTCTTTCAGTTTCATGATTCATGTAATACTTAAATGTAGAGGGTAGGTACAAAGTGGTCCAAATCTAATTTTAAAACTATTAAAACTAATAAAACCAAACGTTTTAATTACAAAATACATCGGATCGACAGTGATTTCTCAAAAAGCGGTTTTAAGGTTTTTAAGGATTTTACTAATATATAGTTTTGATAGTGATTTTTCAGAAAGCGGTTTTAAGGTTTTAGCAGTTTTATTACGAAAATACAGTTTTATCAGTGATTTTTAAGAAAGAGGTTTTAAGGTTTTAGTGGTTTTATTACTATAATACAGTTTTAGCAGTGATTTTTCAAAAAGCGGTTTTAAGGTTTTAGCAGTTTTTACTAATATTTAGTTTTGATAGTGATTTTTAAGAAGGAGGTTTTAATGTTTTAACGGTTTTTAATGAGTTCTGGTTTTGATTTATGTTTTTTTGAAGCCGGTTTTAAGGCGTTGACAGTTTTCCTTCTGCATATAAAGTTTTAACGGTGATTCTTTTTTGTAGGGGTTGCAAGGTTTACAGGTCTTAACCAATATAGTACGGTTTTAACAGTAATTGTTCAGGAAGCAGTATTAAGCCTTTAGCAGTATTATCATTAAGTGCATATTCGGAAGTAATTAAAATGATCTATTGACAGTGAGACGTCGGTTCACCGTAATTTTGTTACTAAGTTCTGACAATGAGAGCGGGTTTAAGGTTTTTAGACTTTTATTATTACTAAATGTTTGTAGGTATCACGGTTTCTTTGATTTCACACGTTTGGACGGTTTTAACTACAAAATTCCTTTTAAATACTTGCTATTGCATGTGTTTCTAAAACCCATATAAACTTTTTACTATTGTTGTTGCCACAGTCTGCGGCAGCAACAACAGTTACCATAATAACGATTGGGTTCTATTTGGCACCGGTTGATGGAAGATACTAGCACCGGGCATGGGTCACCAGCGCAACCGGGCCGCCGTCTTTTAAAGGATTAAGCTTACATCCTAATTCTGTTTTTGTATCTTGCTGATGTTGAAGGCGGGGAACATACAGGAACTTAGTTACGAATAATTTGCAAAAGCGCAATAATAATCTTAACAGAGTCTCGATCAATAGCTATATTAAAACTTAGAGAAAGATGCTACCGACATAAGTTAGAAAAATATTTGCAAAGGTCAGGAAACCATGTCCCAGCAATAATTTCCCTATTATAGGTTCGTGTTAAACAAGTTAAAGGTTGCAGTCCCATATACAGTTACATACTGCTGTTAAAGTGCAGTACTCGTAAGTCGTACAGACACAGAAGGGCACAGTACTGTACTTACCGGGTGGCTGATCGAAATGGTAGTCTCCAATTTTAAGTTTTATTTCTCGCCAACCATTTACCGCATCGTACAGTATTTAAGACTCGTTCGATAGATAATTTTAACGACTACTATAAAAAACAAAACTTGTTTTGGAAAAGAAGACACTTTCGTTAACAAGGGAACCAAATGAAGCTGTGAAAAGATTTACCATGTCCCACGCACAACTGAGAACTTTGCGACATTTCCTTTCCGTACGAATTTTTTGAATTTTTCCAACTGTTTTATCTAGAGAATGGTTTCGTTTTTCATTCGAAATTCCTTTTGTTGCGAGCGGGTGCGCGGGTGGCGGTTATCAGAACGATCTCCTGCAAAGCTGACCCCAATTTGTATATTTAAAGAACTATTTGAAAAACAATAAACCACTAGTAAGATGCCAGCCTGACAAATTCTCCCTGCTCAGACAGGCGGCTCAGACAGCTTAAAGACAATGGCCTGGCCCGGTCAAAAATGGGATAAATACATTAAAAATTTCGTTTTCGCGCACTCCGAATAACTTTTTTGTAATACTTTGTGCCATTCTAAAGCTAAATGATTTGTATACATTGTTCTAAAACCATTGCGCGCGCAACATCCGGTTGCCGAGATATGGCAAACCAAAATGGGGGAATAGTTTAAATGCATTGTTGTGTACCAAAAGTCTGGTAATTATTTGATCTTTTTGAAACTTTGCTATACAAGACACATGGCCACAAAGTCGAAATAGGCGAATTGAACCAGTATCAGATCCATAGCATTTTTTCCTAATCTATTATGAATTTCAAAAATGTTAAAATTCAATTTAAAATTACGGAAAGTGCTAGAAACTTGAAATTGGCTGACTTCCGACTAAATGGCCAGGTGTCTTATGAAGCAAAGTTTATACAGCAAACCCGTTGTACTTGTATTGCATTAGTCGTGGATCCGTCCACTCACCAAACACCAACGTAACTGTAAACTGTGTCTCATGTCTGCGCTGCAAACTTGAGAAGTTGAACACTTTCTGAAATTTGGGAGACATTTCCTGATATGTACACTGTACAGATAAAATCCGAGGAAATGCTTTTTCAAGAATAAATGAATAATAAATGTTTAAAATTTTAATTGGGTAGAAATCGTAGAGCCACCGTATACGTGCTTTGATTTTGAACTGTTTCCTGGAGCTGTACAGAGATACCGGGTGGCCGAACAAAATGGCCGTCTGATCATCAACGTGCGCTTTACTTTTGATCGACAGTGCGTTAGTTCCATTCGAAAATGCAATCTTTACAACGTACAAATATTATGCTAAACAGACCTTATGCCAAGGTATGATTTATAGTAAAATATTTTGCTAAACTAGGTGGAGTTTGAAGATGTCCCCGAAACAAAAATTCGAATTTCCATATTTTCAGAATAGAAAAACCTGTTATTCACCTGAGCACACTGCTGTGTTTCACATTGCAATTTTTTGGAGAGAGGTTGTTTCTTATGTTTTTACAAATAGTGTTAAGAACTTCGTGCTGTGTGCGACCGCGTTCGGCCAGAAAACAAGAAAGCTTAGGCAACGCACACGAAGTTCTTGTGAAATGGGCGCAAGTAAAGATCTTAAAAATCAGTTCCTTTTTAATGCTTGGAGTCTTTTTCTTGGTCAAATTCGTTAAAAAAAATCGGATAGTAAATCTTTACATTTTTCGAAAAGTTCAAAAATAGATAACCTATATAATTCATTCGGCACAAATTATGTGCATTCGTTAATGCTTTACAAAAGATTGAGCGCACAGGATGTGCTTGCAACCTCCGTCAAATCGTTATCAGAACCAGATTTCAGTAAAAACTGCTAAAACTTTAAAACCACTTTCTGAGAAACCACTGGTAAAACGATATATTTGTAATTAAACCGATGAAACTTTAAAACCGCTTTCTGAAAAATCACTGTTAAAACAGTGTATTAGTAATAAAACCGTTAAAACCTTAAAACCGCTTTCTAAAAAAAGCGCTATCTAAACTATATATTAATATTTTTATAAAATCCGCTAAAACCGCTTTCTGAAAAATCTCTATCAAAACTGTGTATTAGTAATAAAACCGTTAAAACCTTAAAACCGCTTTCTGAAAAATCGCTGTTCATACTATATATGTATTGTTATTTTTATTACTAAAGCTGTTAAAACCTTAAAACCAGTTTTCGCAATATCACTCATCTCATATAGTAATTTATTTTTTTTTATTTTAAGAGTTTTAGAAGTTTTAGTAGTTTTAAGGTTTTAAGAGTTTTAAGAGTTTTAAGAGTTTTAAAGGTTTTAAAGGTTTTAAAGGTTTTAAGGGTTTTAAGGGTTTTAAGGACTTGGACCACTTTGTACCTACAGTTAAATGTAGGCGTTGACGAATGGGGCACGGAAGGAGCCGCGGTATCGGAAGCGCCCCAAGCCATCCAACTGGCCAGTCAAGCCGCCTGGGTTCCCGATTACGCTCCTGTGGATTTCACGGCGGATCATCCTTTCTTGTTTGCTGTATTACATCGACCAACCGAATCCATTCTCTTTGTGGGTCGATTTGAGACTGTTTAGAAATTACAACGCTCTGTATTACTCCACTGGCTGCATTGTGAAAATTAATGGCACTGGTTAATTGCTAATCTTGTTAAAACCAAGTGCACTGATATACCGAGAAAATTTAACAGCAATTAAAACCATTCCAAGGAACACACGGCCTTACAGCAATGTAATGCAATATTGAAGTCTATATCGTTAACTATCTAATATCCAGCTCAATCCTGCCGACTCAGTGCGAAAAAACTTGTTGTTCACATTCTACGTGGGATCAGTTCTCTATACAAAATTTACAAGCACGTAAGTACGCACAATCATGAGAGATAGCACCGCTTTCATTGTGGAACTATTTGTTATTATGGATTGTGTAAATAAACACAAGGGCCTGTACTTACATTCTGCAAAAGTACAGTACAGGGTTATATGTTTAAATTAATAGACCAATGTAGTAACTGTAGGCGCAACATGGCGCGCAACACCATTGTTTAAGGTTATATGGCTTTAAATATATAGTGCAGTTTTAAATATTTTTAAGCCATCGCAGAACTGATAGTGACTTGGCCACGTCTGTAAGGTTTTTTATGATATGAAAATTAAGTATCTCCTTTACATGTTTAATCGAAAGATTGAATTATGGCACGCGGACTGTATTCGATCGCTAAAACAGCACCAAATTTGTCAGTGATTTCGGCTTTAGACATTCCAAACCTTCAGACTAGTCTTAGCCAACGCATCGCGATTAATGTTAGCGGTATGATATTTGAAACCCGACTGCAGACGCTGGAACGATTCCCCGAAACCTTGCTGGGCAACCGCATCCGCCGGCAACAATTCTACGACAAGTCCACTAACGAATACTTTTTCGAGCGCGACCGCTCTTCATTTGAAGCCATCCTGAGCTTCTACCGCAGCGGTGGCCAACTGACCCGGCCAGCGAATGTATCCTTCGTGACCTTTCTGGAAGAAATCCAGTTCTTTGATCTCGGCACCGCTGCACTACATCAGCTATTCAAACAAGAACATTTGTTTGGACATCGCCACCGGAAACAGCCCTCAGGAAACATACAGCGCCGGCTCTGGTTGGTGGTCGAACATCCCAGCAGCTCAAGATTGGCGTTCTTCTACAACATATGGAATGTTTTTGTTGTGCTGGTATCCGTGACGGCGCTGTGTGTGCAAACGTTGCCATCAACACATACCAATGTCACCGTTAATGTTTCCGGTGAGTATGTTCATCTGCGTGCCGACGAGGCAGGATGGTCGCATGTACCGGAAGCTCGAATCTTTTTCGCTGTAGAGACGCTGTGCATTATTTGGTTCTGCTTGGACCTACTATTTCGGTTCTTACTATCCCCGGAAAAGTTGACCTTTTTCCTCCAGTTACGAAACGGATTCGATTTATTCATTGTGTCACCATACTTCCTCAACTTGTTGCTATATACGATTGCTTCACGCGGCCTAATTAGCGCTGCCGTTGCGCATATTCTGTTCCGAGCGGTGCGGGTCATTCGTGTACTGCGGTTATTAAAAATTGCCGGTCAGATCCGAGGAATGCAAGTGCTAGTTTACACGATTAGAGCGTCGACTGGAGAACTACTGCTGTTAGCTTTACTAGTTACCGTTTTCGTGGTGATCTTTGCCACGGCCATTTACTATGCGGAATCCGACTTACCAGGATCGCCGTTTCGGCATATCCCGGGGTCGTTCTACTGGGCGATAATTACCATGACCACGGTGGGTTATGGAGACGAGGTGGCATTTAGCTCTTTTGGTCAGGTGGTATCCTGTTTATGTGGACTAACCGGCATGTTAGTGTTTGCACTATGTGTTCCAGCGGTGGCCCGCACATTTGAGGAAGTTCGTGAAAGTAAGTACTAAGCGCTGATTTATAATTGTCGTATCGCGTAAAAAATAATGTAAAACTCAATTTTACCACTGTCGGATTTGCGTTTTAAAGGCCCATTTGTTTTACTAGGAATGCAGAAGGAAAAGGAAATTGAGAGGATTTTAAACCGCGAAAACGAGGTAGTGGATGCAAATGCACAGGACAAGAAAGCGGGTTCCCGAACCCGGCTATCGGGTCGAACGAAAAGGGAATTAACCGAACCGTTGCTCAGCGGAGAGCATCATATTCCAGCGCCCAGACATCACCATTTAACAGACAGAAAAGCTTCTAAATCGTCGAAATCCTACAGAAAATTTTGAGTCAGATGACTCAGCCTTTTAGTATTCAAGTACGGTGTTTAATAAGTTATATGAAGTAGTTGTGTTTGCTCTAAAATGGCACAAGCTTCTGATTAATGTACAGTGCCCTCCACATCAGTTTAAAACAAAATATTCAGGCAGAATTTACGGTATTACATGCTAAAAAAATCTTATACTAGAGTTTAAAAAGTAAATAACAAATCACAGCATAATAGATGTATTGAATTAGTCTTGTAGCAAAACATTGCCACAAGAAGATAAACGTTCTGCAATAAAAGACAGCTGAATAAGAACATTAAAAAAAACAAACAGTAAATGTGCTCATGAAAGCGAAATTCTATCAATTGCACCAATGCTTCAAGGCCGCACATGTCATACCGGTTTGCAAAGTCTACCAAGCGGATCACACCGAAATGGTCAACTGGAAGAAAAAAATACACCAATGCTCAAATTTGCATCACCACGTTTTAATTCGCAACCGCACTTTATGCGGGCAACACGACAGCCTGGATGAAATTTCATAATCAAAAGTACTTACCGGTCGGACCATCGAAACCGACATATTCTGGGAGTCAGCTTTGATTGAAATGTGTGCTGATCCAAGTGAGCCGCAGCCGGCCGCCGCCGTCGGCGGAAGGCCTGTTAACCCGCTCATCGGGTCCGCCGCAATCAGCAGTGTTGTAAAAAGAACTGTGGTCGACTAAAAGTTTGAATATACCAATGTATACTACAAATAATTTTACAAATAATTTTACACATAATTTTTTTAAATTTATAATTTAGTGTACAAATAATTTTAATCTAGCAGAAACGTAATCGATTTAGGAAAACAATCGCCTTACCTGAAACACAAAACTGCCCTCGACCAGCTGTATCGGGTTGTAATTATTTTCTTCTGTCAGATCCTCTATAATGGTAGAAATTCTTTTCCCCTAAAATATATTCGGGTTGTTTGTGTAAATCCTATCAGGAAAATGGATTGAATCTGCCGCGTCACTTACATGATATCCATCGCGATAAGCATACAGTCTTCCGGTAAATTTATACAGGATCACTTGGAATCGAGAACTCTACAATGTGATTACCGGTCGAAATATTATAAAAATATAACGGAAATTGGAAAAACCTATCATACAGTTAGCTACAGTGATGTTGCAAAGAGGAACAGTTGCGATGTTAATTAAGTCGGGAGCTAACCGTAAATCCCGCCACGAGGAGCGGCAGATAAGGCAGCATTGTCAAGATGAAAAACAGCAAGAGCCCATAACCTCGGCACTGTTGGAGGTATTTATCTTGCAGCGGCTTATCCGCGGGATCCACTATCAGCAGTAATAAGTAGCCAGATGCTATCGTCAGATCCAGATAATAACTTAGACTGATCAGAAAATGGAAATTCAGTTTGAACTGATCGACAACCAAGAAGGCTTTGGATCGCTCTTCAACCAGCTTGCGCAGTTCGCCCTCCAACACCTCCACTTCCGGTCGTTCTTCAAATTTCTTCACACTTTTAGCATCCGTTGGTCCCGGAAACAGTTCTTTAAAAATTTGCCGGCAGAACTGGTTCTCTGTCGCCAAACACTCATTAACACTGACCCCGAACATGGCCACGAAAATGCTTAACAGAATGGACAAGAAAAACGGAAAGTAGAAGAACTGCGTCTGTATGCACGCGTAAACAAAAAACGGGATCGTGATGTTGACTTGCGGTACAAATAGCATCAAACCGGCAACATTCTCTTCATTTTTAACATGAATTTGATCCGATTCCCATGACCTTAGCAGCTTATACATGAAGAACATAACGGCCAAGGCTACCAGAATCCCAATATATATAACCGACAGCCAGGAAATTTTGGCGCGTAATTTTTTTATTCCGGTAACCGTCAGCGACGACTGCAGCAAGTCGTCCAAGTATACCATTAGTTTGCTATACTTCCCGGAAGCGATGCTGAAGGCCTGCAACAACGGCAGGAGAAAGGAGCGCAGTGCGATGACAACGTTTAACAGCGCGAAGAATCCCTTGGCAATGGGCCGCATATCGTACATGATCATGGACTCCATCAAATCCTCGCCTTTAAGAAGGAACACGCCCATAGTGATCCAGTAAGCCACGTTCAACGCGGTACCGAGCAGAAGGAGGAAAAGCACGATCCGCTGAACAACCGACCAGCAGGATGTGCAGCATGACCTTTTAGGCTGAGGATCACCAGTGTGGACCAGCAGACCACAAGGACGAAGAACCAAACCGATGAGCCAAAACAGATTCATAATCAGTCGCAATTAGTCTTCCTGCTGATTAACTACAGAGAAGGTGGAGTGGCAGCCAGTGGCTTTATTTTTGGCCGACTCAATAATTTTTTTCTTGTACTGGTGATAAAATGCAACCTTCACGCCGAACAGCGGGTAAGACGATCTTCTAAAAGTTAATTTTGCACATTCGGCGATAAATAGTTACGCCTGAGAAGATTCCAATGCGTCCAGTGGTTGTTTATAAAATTAACTGTAGATGTTATATTGTTACACGCTGTGTTGAATTTATTTTGTTAGCTTCGAAACATTTGTTGATCAAAAATAGCACATGTGCTTTGTTGTATATGGGATAAGGTATAAACAGTGTAGTTATTTAATTAAATAATTATCTTGCGAATATGATCATGAAAATTTATAGCTGTTGCTGTTTACTACTCTTGTGAAAATTATACTAATCGTGCAAAAACATGACGTAAATTAAGATGTAGTACTCACAATTAGAAAAATTACTTTTTGGTAAGTTTCGGTAAGCTTCAGCCTTTCGGTAAGTCATGTCCATACAACTGCGAGTCAAAATTTATATTGCGGTAAGCTAAGTCTTATATGCAATTGGGATTGTGATAGTGACTCTCGCAGTTCATGACTGTGAAAACTTAAAAATATACAGGAATAAGAAGCAAATAAAACTCAGGCCGACAGAGAATGAAAAACCGTTATATAACGTTTACGTTATTATATTTTTAATATTTATGTATATATTTCAACATTTGTACTCAATCCAGTCCATGTGCGGGATTTCAATCGTTTGACAGACTTCTTGTCGGCGCTATACGAGATCACTGAACACAGGTTTAAAATAGCTCTTAGTTAATGTAGACGTTCATTTTATAATTAAAGAGCATAAAAATAAAAAGTATTACCCGAGATATCAAGTGCAAAACAATTTCAGAGAGAGAGGTTCACAACACTGAAAGTAATCCGAAATCTGTTATCTTCCAGTGCAGTTTATTATTAGGAGGCTAAACAAACTGCAGTAGTTTCTGGACAATTTTGACAACCAGTGCAGTCAGTAGATATGGTCACCTGAAACAGAAATACAGAATTTCAGTGTTTTGGATTTACAAATTACAGTATATTATAAGAAGTAGTGACGGAGCACATACAGCAACACGTAATCGGGGAATTAAGAACTGAATTATATTGGAACATAATAATTACACGAATAATAAAAAAACGAGTCTTACGTTAATCGGCGTGCTAATTGCCTTAGCGTCTCCTGACACTTTGTCTGCATATTTAATACTACACTTGTGCTGCTGGTTGCATAGCTTATACGCATCACATCCCACGTTTCCCGTGGTCTCCACGGCGAAAGTGGTCGCTGTGTTGATCGTTAGACATGGCGCACTGGCTGACGTTTGTATCGGTGGCCAGCATTCAATAGTAAACTGATTAGCAGAATCGGTGAAATCTTTGGCGGCAGTGGGGTCCTTATAGCATCCCTGTAATGTAGGAACCGTAATAAACGGTCAACAGTGCTATTACGTTAAACCAGTAACCGATATTGGCAGGTATGAATGAAAACTAATGCTGAAAACGTGCAGAATGAAGTACGGATACAATATATAAAGTTGTGCAGGCACTGGCAATCAACTTACATCAAATGTCAGAACTTCGTAACCTTTCTTAGCCAGCGCACACAGTGGAATCGTGACCGCATCCGGTGGGTATATGGCATACGCTACGAATAATTAAGTCATCTTTCGAGTCATAAAATGCGTAACGTGAAAATATTCATTCTTACTGTTGGCAGCCAAAAGCTGGCATTCTCCAAACGAACAGTATAACGGTTTGGACGCTTTACTGCAATCCGTTGACCATGTGTACGCTATACTTCCAGCAAAGCCTTCTGCCGGACACGGGGAAGCGCATGCCGGACAAGCGCAGGCACCGCCGCTTGCCGATCCCGGGCCACTTGCCATATTCGCGTATGACCCTTGGTATGCCGGCGGACTAGCGTATGCCGGAGGCGCCGGTGCGCTGTATGATGGAGGTTGATATCCGTAGGCTGGCGGCGAAGGGGCCCCTGGAGTGTATCCATAGGGCTTGTATACTGGAGCAGCGTATGATGGTGGTGTTGGAGCCGCATAGACTGGCGGAGCGGAATACGTTGGCGGTGAAGGTGCCGTTGGTTGGTACGAATATCCTGCACTGGAATACGCTGGAGGCGCTGGAGCGGTGTAGGTTGGGGCGGTATAGGCTGGAGCAGTGTAGGCTGGAGTCGGTGTTTCCGCGGAATAGGAGGGCGGCTGAGCGTAGTATTTACTGGGTGTGTATGCTGATGCCGGCTGGCTGTCGTACTCAAAACTTCCTGGCAAAGCCGGAGTATATGTGGGAGCTGCTACAAGCGCATGTTTTAGAATCGAACAGTGACATAAGTACTTTACGATTTGCCTCGAAGCCGTTCCTTTAGAATTTGGTTGTTAACTATTGTTAAACTTTTTCAAAGTATAAATTTTCAAATTTTCAAACATTACTTCCGCGTTGAACTGAATTACGAGGAGCAATTGCATCGACAAACTTAGAAATTGCTCTACATCGATATTTGTACCTCAAGTATCGTTTCAATAGGTCCGATCCCAAGGCATGATTTCGTATGCTCGCCTAGCGAGCACAAACGGATACAGATTTCGAGCACCCAGCGGATCGCTTGGCGAATACGCAAAACTGTTTGATTCAAAATGGCTATAACATTATTCTGCCATCATGCGCGACAACTTCTTAGGTATCAAAAATCTTCCCAAATGTTTCTTCATCTTTTGACGCTTTGCTTGACAGATCTCATGAATCTGATCCTGTTATAACAAAAGATTTCATCCAGAACCAGATCCAGTTAAAACAGGATCTAGTTCTGGATGAAGTCTGCGAACCAATGCGTCAAAAGATGAGGAAAATTTTGGGAAGATTTTTGACCTAAGAAGTTGTCGCGCATAATGGCAGAATAAAGTTATAGCCATTTTGAATCAAACAGTTTTGCGTATTCGCCAAGCGATCCGCTGGGTGCTCGAAACCTGTATCCGTTTGTGCTCGCTAGGCGAGCGTACGAAATCATGCCTTGGGATCGGGGATTTATATATTATAGTTATACATACATCATTTACTGTCAAAATATAAGCGGAAAAATATGCAGTGCAAAAATAGTGTAGAATGTCTAGCATTTGATGTTAATACTACAAGTGAACGGTGCCTATACAGATACTGTAAAAAGTTTTACCTTTCGGTGCGTATGCTGGTGATTTGGGAGCATAAGGGGTATAGCTGCCGTAGCTGGACGGTGGAACGTATCCGTATAAATAATTTGGAGGGCTGGCTGCATAGTTATACGGTAAGCTCGGAAGGGAACTATATCGATAGGACACTGGTGATGTTGCAGATTGGTACGGGCTGTATGGTGCGTAGGGTACAGTATACGGCGATGGTCGATAAGACGCACCTCCACCGGCATATATACCCGGACTGTACGAGGGGGACGGAACGGTATACGTAGGCCGCGGGGTCGTTGCCGTTGAGTATTTGGGTTTTGCTGGTGGCGCGGGAACAGCCGCAGAATAACTGGTCAGTGTGCCTGGACTGGTGTAGATTGGGCCGTTCCCATTAGCGTAGACATACATGTTGAGACCGCTTCTTTCGGCGCGATATAAAGTGTCATCCGGTTGGAGTGAACTTTGATAATTTGGCGAAAATTCATAATTAAACGAGGTATCGGTGCCGGTAGCCGATGATAAGTCCTGCAAGGGAGCTGCTTGATGCTGATTGACACGTATAATTTATATGCTAATGTTGGATCGTAGTAGAATATGTCACAAAGTTATGATATGACCATACTTTGTACTAATGATGCCATAACTATATCCAGTACTAGCAGCGAAACTGAACAATATACATTGTCTGTTGTTTTCTTACCGGTCCCCATAACATCCATATAAAAATAAAATTATAAACGATGCAAACATATTTAGCTGTTCTCCAGCATTTCCGGGACATCATGAATAAAGAAATATCAGGCCTTCCACGTGAATTAGAAGATTCGATTTATTTGCCACAGTAAATTGCTAAATATTATGATAAGCTTCACATTTTATTATCGATTGCAATTAAATTAACTTGTGTTATAAAATGAAAAAACTTATTCAGCAGAAGACGGAATCGTTTGCATAGAATCAGTGTACACAACGTACATACGAAAATAGCTCCGATGTTTCACGTATAAGAAACCTTGTATTAAATTGCAGATGGTGCAACCGAAAATTAACAAAGAACGATACAATCAGTCGTAGAATTTTACCAATTTCGGAAGTCTGTACAAAACTGCAAATTAATTTTGCTGAGGATTACAGTATTAGAAGACCGGAACCCAGCTAGTGTAAATTAACGAGATAACGGTTACACTAGCATGTGCACGCAACAAGTTAACAGCTGATTAAACACGCGATTTCTTATGAATACATATCCCAAAAGATGGACTTTTACGGTCTTGAAATTAACGTTACAGATATGAGGCACGCTTGCTCGTGAAAGTTTGCTTCCTGTTGCGCAAAACGGTAAAGAAATAGGAACTAACTGCGTCGAGGAATAGGCAGCTCAGAATATCATGCAGTATCTGGCAGTTAGGTAATGCGGCCAGTGATTTTTTTAAAGTTGTGTAATATTGCTGTATTTATTTGTAGGTTTCTGAATTTATGTCAGGTCAGTCAGAACGTAAGAGCACACTAATGAGTTGAATCTGTGCACATTACGGTATTAAGTGCCTACATAATCATTAGGGTCGATATAGATCTTTTAAATAATGGTTGGTAAAACTTTCGTAATACTTTGTAATGCCATAATATCGTTATTCAATTATGCTACGGTTTCAAGGTCTAACAAAATCTATGAAAGTGTAGTGTACACATTCAGTCACACATTGTCCCAAATTACGATATTATATCATTTTCAGGAATTTTGTCGATATGAATTACTTTGCAAACGTCAATTTGAATACTTCGTTATTCGAAATTGTTGTTGAGCAATATTGATCAGTTACTGAAATATTGTTTACCTTTTATCTACTTTTACAGCTAGCCGTTTCTTGTTCTGGAGTTTTCATCGTTCAGTATACCCGTACCTGCTTTGTTTTCCAAAGTACAGCTGGACAATTTTGTTATCACTCGCGCCGAAATTCACAATGCGGGAGAACTGACTGCATCGTTTCGTTCAATTTCCGATGGTGATTAATATTGCCACTAGCCATACTGCACCATGCTGCAGCTGCAGGTATGATTTTACTCCTTTTTATTTTACAGAGTACTGAATAAAATGCCGACATAATCAAGCAGCAATAAAAATTGTATATTTTGTGTATTTCAGGTTTCTCTGAGGACATCGCCGATATTTTGCATATATGCAATCCTATTCTCCGTTTGTAACGCCGATGCAGGGTCATCGTCTCTCTATCGATACAAACGCCAACAATACTCATATGCGTAATAAACCGTCTTTTCTAGATTCGTTAACTGTTTCAATATGAAACTTATATGAAACGAACACTGAAGCTGAAACGGTAATAACCGTAATACTGAATGTGTTTTTAATCGCAGATCATACTCTCCAGGCCAATACGCTGCAGCTCTAGCTCCAGCTAACTACAACTACAGCTCATCCGGCAGCACAGCGGGATCGCCGGGATGTCCAACATGCGCCACTTGCACACCACCATGCACGGCAAACCCATGTTTTTTCAGCTCTTTACCATACCACTGCACCCTGGACCAATGTACTCAAGCACAAAAAGGTCAGTTTTTGCAGATTAAAGAATAAGACTTCAGTTTATTTCGCTTGTGTTGATACCTGCGATTTCGCTGCTGTTTAATTTTGCTGCAATATTTTCAGACAGCAACGATTTTTCTATCTTCGCTCCCAACGTGAAAATCCCGAAGTGTTTCTTCAATCTGAAAGGGTTCAAGATTTTCTCCTTCAATGTAAGTATTGTATTAGTAAAATTTTCCACGCCAAAGGCAAAGCTAACGATAATAAGTGCTTGTAATACAAAGTACTTACTGTAATCTCGTTGCAATATCTGTGTTCACGCAGTGTAGGTTCGTGATGTGTATTTTGGACATATCCTTATTCCTGAGAACCATATGTTGAAGCTGATACACCAAACTATTTTAATTAAATTAATCGAAGCCTTTTATAGCTCTGTGCAAAAAGTACCGCCCAGACTAAGCCGGACGATACAACAAAAAAAGTGGAGTGCTATGGCGGAAATGCTGCCTATGGCGCCTGCTTCAGCATTACAGCTCCGGGGACACCGCCGAATCCAGCCAATGGCTACGTTCTAGTACCAGATATCACTAGTTCTAGCACTACGTGTCAGAACATACCTACTTCAACCACAACAGTAATGCTGACCTGTGCCATCAAAGCCACCGATGCCAGTTCGAATGTGGTTGGAATCAGTAATCAATTTACGGTATGGAGAGCGCCAAATTGTAGAAGTCATTTTATTACAATTAATTTTATCATATTTTATTAAAGCATTTTCTTCAAAAGTAAAATATGCAGTCTAAAAATTTTATATACCAAAATATCTTGACCCTATAAGACGCGCGCATCTTTCATTCAGTGTAACCAGGCTACCTCTGTATATTGTGACGAAACAGGAAATGCACCGTGTATTTTGTACAGAACCGTTACTAACAATGCTGGAAATACGCACAACTGTATGTTAATCAGTTAATGCACTCGTAGTCGGCGCTTTGAATCTGAATGTACGCTCGTAATATGCTGTAATCAGCAGTAATCTGGGTGGAATTTGCAGGTGACCATCTCGACGGACTGTACGCCATGAATTCCTCTGAATGCACCTACTGTGATTTATTTTAAGCTATTGTCCCGGCCCTGGGCAGTGCAATACCAGCGACCGCATTTTAATTAAACTGTAAATATTAGAAATAACGCTGCAGTTGCATGGATCAACTACAAGTACGAGTAATACAAAGTAGCACAAATCCGAATTCACTAGACTTTTAGTCACGAGATAGAAATCCATCGAATGCATGTAATATGTTTAAGTTATGCAGTTCAGGGAACATCCACACCTTTTGAAGTCAAGTTTTGTTGTTATAGGAGTAATATCACAAGTGCATAAAAGAATGGCAGCACAGTATCTACTTACTGAGACGGTAGAAAAGTGAAAGACATAAAATGAAAAACATTGCTTGTTAGCACATGAGACTTGAGACATAGCGTGGGAACACACTACGAAGCATTTCATTGTACTGTATCAGATGTCGCATTAACAAGAAATGAGTGGCTCAGAAGACTACAAAATCTTCGAAATGTTGTAATTGTTTATACATCATAAATAAATTACAATTTTTTGAAACAGAAAGTAATGTCCCGCTTGTTGAACTTACTCCCAGTAAATCTGGGTTACTACTGTTTTTGCACTACTTTACGCATGCCGTGCGTGGACGGATGTAAGCAGCAGACTGCAATTAACAGGAGATAAATTACGAACTAGTATGTTACAGTTAATAAAGTTAGATTAACCAGGGCGCAAGCACGGACTTGAACCATACTATCCAAAATAATTATTGTTCTGGTAAGGCGTCCCACTACTTCCATATAATCGTCCATTATAATTAGTGTTTTGGGTATTGTAGCCGCTACTTCCCGATAATCCTGCGTTATAATTAATGCTTTGGGAACTGTAGCCGGCGCCACTGTTTCCATACAAACCTCCGTTGTAGTTGGTATTCTGCGAGTTATATCCACTGGCGCCGTAGGTCGAATTCAAAAAATTATACTTTTTTGCCAGACACGAGTCCTTGGATTCCGGGCAGTAATGACAACCAGTACAATCCGTGGATAACGTCAGCTGCAAAAATTAACGTCTTGAAGGTACTGATAAGTCGCTCTCAGATTGTTTACAAAATGCAGACTGATAACACATACTGACTCGATAATATTAAAAAATATGTATCAGTAGTCGGTACTGTCTGTATGTGGATAGTACAGAGCTACTTAACCCACACATACAATACATATATAACGTGGTAAAATAAAATTCTGTTAGCACACGCTGTTTTATAAGCTGTATTCAAGCGAGTGACGTACAATATACTGCAGGTGCTTATACAGAAAATAGAACTGTACAGGAACTTCCAAGTACGACAAAGCGAGGAGGACGCCATGAGTGTACCTGGATGTCTTTACTTTCGGCCAGAACTTCCAATTCAGCTGGACTTCCTCCTGCCGCGGCTTTCCTGCACACATAACCGACATTGCATCTGTAGTTGGTGTTACAGGCTTTGTACGCATCGCAGCCCGTTTTTCCCGTTGTCTCCACTATGTAGTTTAAAGAATCCACTTTCAGGCACTCGTCTGGCGTAGGACTAGCTGAATTCTGGAGTGGTGGCGAACATTGTATCTCGTAACCGCAAGTGTAGCCGGTCAAAGGATTTAGTGGCCAGTCTTTAACGTCATTGGTGGGTTTGAAGCACACCTACCCTAGCAAAAACATCAATAACAGTAATCGATCAACAACGAAAGTCCAAGATTCAGAATTATTGCAGAATTACAATTTGTAGTGGTACAAATACAGTGGTACATGGATAATGTAATACGACTGATAGCACCAGTTGCGCACCAGTTGCTAAAGCTGGGATGTTGATTAGCTTGATTGATATTGTACAACTAGATGTTTTTAATTAGGTGATCGTTAATACCTCGTAATTTTCCTACTGTGATGTCTGTGCGTACTTCCAAAACAATAATCGCATAACAATAATCGTAATCGTAATCCATGGGCAGCTTTTTTTAACTATTTAGCGTAACGCGAGTTTTTTTCACTTTTTAACACAACTCCGAAATGGAACTCGCTAGCCATACCACCAAAACTCTAACGAAACTCTCGATAAAACTATATACATTGCCTATGGTAGCATAACTCGCGGTGTAATCACTTAAACTCGGTTTACCTCTATGAAAAGCGTAATTTGTATTCTCCTTGAAACTCTTAACTCAAACGGTACGTGGATGCATTTACCAGAAGTGCCCAGGTCTGAGCCCAGCGCTTTAAAAGGTCACTGCACTCGCTTATGAGAAACCGTGTTTTAAAACGTTTGTGAAGAATTGAGGTGTATACCGAATGAAACGGAAGCACAGATATTTTAGGGTGGGTAAACAAGTCTCAACCTTTTCATATACATATGATTTAGCTAAAGTACAACTATCCGTACTTGTATAAATTCCAATTGTACTCGTATATATGTTCCCCTTTTATAGACATGCGCTTACATCCAGATATATGTACATGTAAATAACTCGTTGATTACTCATATAAAGTGCTAGACTGTAAATATTGTTCGTAATTTTTCGAAAATAAGGCAACGTACCGCAAAATCTAAAACTTCGTAGCCTGCTTGCCCCAGTGCACAAATCGGCACTGACACCTGTTCGGGAGCGTAGACTGCATAACCTAGAAACATACTGTAGCGTGAGAATGCGTAACCAATACAGCAGAGGTCAGTGCAAAGGGATGCATAATTCGTGACCATCACAGTAAGATTAGGGAAATAATTTGTAGGAGCAAAATAATTTGTAAGAGAAAAGCGGAATAATCTGTAGGAGCACGCGCTTACTGACCAGCGTCTTCCAACGCATCGCACTGCGCGTTAGTGCAGTAGTACGGTTGTGTAGGATCTGTATTGCACGCATTGCCTTCATAAACGATATCGTATGCGTAAGTATCACGAGGGCAACTGCATTCTGTGCTGGAACCGTAACCGGTACTGGTAGTGTACCGGTTGGAAAGGGAAGCCGAATTATAGGATGTGCTGCCGAAGCTTCCGCTGTAGCCGAAGCCAGAGTTTACGGGTGACGGGTACCTGGAGCCGGTATATCCAGTATTGCCAGAAAAGGACGCCGATCCTGCAGTGTTATACGGTGCGGAAGGTCTAGAGTATCCGCCTGACCTTAAGCCTGTAACAACACATACCGTCTACAACAAGGAGTACAGATCATTCCGTATGTAGCATCAGTTCATATTTGTGAAAAAATTTTTAAATAGTATGTACTTTTGCTTTGCTACTGCACATTTCAGATCTGCGTAGCTACTGCAAAATGCAAATACGGAAATCAAGTTATGCTGCAGGACGCAGAACCTTGAAATAACGCGGCAACAGTATCGAGCTTTTCTCATTGAGGGTGTGACGCAATAACGCTTAGAACTTTGTTTGCTGCACCACCTAAGAACCGATTAAAATGTTCTGCTGATGCTTGCGGGCCTGCGGCTGATTAAAATCCACCAAATATTAGACCGATATTTGCTGCAGTTTTTACTTAATATCGTCTCCATGCCTTATTGGAATGCGTGATATCAGATGCATGCCCATATCATGCATAAATGATACGCTTTGCAGTAATGATAAGCCAAGACTTTTGTTTTGCTGTATTTCCTTTAAAAGCAGCTAGATAAACAATTTTTTGCTGCTAATTACGGCTAATTATATATGTACCAAGATATTACTGTGTTTGTTGCAGTTTTTACATAATATCGCCGTCATGCCAGTTTCTGTCTGTATGGTGCGTACCTTGGGATACAGCACTGCCGGCGTAAGAATCGCTGTCATCGTCCGCGTAATTACCGATTCGCTGTGGATTATTGTAACCGAAAGATGACGGCGAATTAAAGCTGCCGGATCCATAAGGCGATCCAGAGTATGGCGACACCGGCGGCCGGTACGGTGTTCCCGCGCTGGAAGCAGCTATGCCCGAAGAGTAAGGAGACGGTGGAACATAAGGAGCTCCCGAAGCAGACGATCCCGTGTTGGAGCTGGTGGCGGTCACTGAACTTCCGTAACCAGTATTCAGAGTGCGATTGCTGTTGGAAGGGTATATGGGGCCGTTACCGTTGGCGTACACATACATGTTTAAACTTCGGCGGGAAATTCGATGGTCTGATAGTGACTGGTCATTATCGGTAAACTGAACCACTGAATAACTGATCTGAAAATACAGTGACGATCGGGATATTATTTACTCACGAAATGAGTTGCTATAATGTCGGCGTACTTAAGGTAAATATTTACCTGAAAAATCGCAGAACAGATGCACCAAAGAGTAACCGGCCTCAAAATTTTCATCCTGAAGACTGTCGATCGCAAAGTGCACATCTAAAACTCAGTCCAGAAGTTAATTCAATGATTAAAAATTGCAATAAGACTTTTAGCGGACAACTTTGGCACAACTATAGAACGGCACCACGGATTACAAGAAGGGTATAGTTGCTGTTAATTGTATTGCATTTTGCATAGCAAGCATCAAAATCTTAGTTTGAACTGCATCACGCACTGTAGCTTAGAGGCAAGCAGTTATATTGCATAGTGGAAAAATAACCAATAAACACTGATTATCAACCGTTCAGTATTACTTATTAACCAGCGTAGCTGCGCCGGTTCGCGCGCAAACACAAACCCTGTCTAAATTGTTAGCCGCAATGTTGGCTGAAAATGTCTCACGCCCGAGAGAATAATGAGCCACAAAAATTAGAAAAAACCACGGGCTCTGGATTTAACCATCGTGATGGAGTGGTGGTCGATCATCTGGATTGAAAATCGGAAACATTTTTTCCGCAAGTGCAAAAGGTTAATTTCGCCCTAATCAGGCTGTGATCGGCAAACTGGTGTTCGTTGCTCTGAATAATTAACTTTTAAGTTCAAGTTTAGTACGCTGTACCCATGCGGCACGCCGCATTAATGTATCGATGTACATCTGTGTTTTTTTGAGGCTTCTCCACATAGCTTCGTTGGCATATTAAACTACAAACTCACAAAAGATTATAACAGGACCTGATAACAAACAGCATTAGGTTATAAGCGTATTCCAGGGACAATTTCTAATCGCTCTGTGATCGTTCGCGTTTTTGGGACTAGTTGTACAAGTGGTACTAGTAAGTGTCTAAAATAATTGCTGCAGTTGTGCCCTTTTCCTTTAAATTTGTCTAGGTATTCGTATTGATGTCACTACAAAACTGATACTGGTGTCTATCGTAGAACCTCGAATGGTGCAGTTATAGGATTATGGTCAGCACTGGCACCGTAATACTTTTGATCTATTCTACGTGTGCGTATAGATATTTCTTATAGAACTATTAGTTGTTAAGATTTTTCTTTGTTTTTGCGTAAGCCCGTTCACATCCAGTGGATTCGCGTAAATTTACATGTGCATGTTTTTTTCTGCATGGTTATATGTGAGAGGGGTTTTCTTTTCTCATTCGCCAATATGCGCACAATTTTCAAGGTATCGATACTGGTTTAATCTAGGGTCAACAGTTTTTCATTTTATGAAAAACATTATTTCTCACGAAATGTAGGCAATTTATTTGCATGCCGTACGTATAGTTAAGGAAAAGTTAATTTACGTACTTGTATTTCAGACACGTTTTTTTAACGATAAATGTCCTTCATAATACTATAAGGTTTAATTTCATGTACGTACCACATGATATGTCCAGCCGCATCATTTTGCATGGCTATTAAAGTTAACCAAGAACTGTGATTGACCTGCCCAATATATATTATCTATTTTACCTGCGATTGTGGTACTATTGATCGTAGTAACGTATTATCTAAACTTCTTGCTTCGTATCAAAGACGTGTATAATACTTTTGTAAATCTACTAAAGTTTTAGGTTCTCTTTGTACTCACAAGCGTTACATCTGGCCACATATCGGCGCAGCAAACTGTATCGAGCTCCAACTATGGCGCTTCAAATAATTACTACCAAAGCCAATCCAGGACTTCGTCCAACTGGGGAGCTTACCCATTGTAAGTTGGTCAAATAATGATAATTTTTAAAAAAATTAGGCACAAGATTTTAGCATACATGCATACAAAAAGCGCGCTGCTGTCCGTACATAGTGTTTTTGAAAAGCGAAAATGAAAACGTAGTGCCGTTAATATTAATCAGTTAATGTGTCCGTGGCTTAATGTAACCTAACGTAAAATGCATAATTATTTTGCTGATAGTGCATACGCACTTGTCACTTGTGTTAATTTCTATCTATTATTAATGGCGATGTATTGGCTCATCCCTCTGCAAACGTGCTTAGATCGTCTGCCGGAGCTAGTTCGTACAAGCAACGTCAGGGATACGCCGCGACCAGCAAAAGTTACACCGGTACCTGCACATACTGCAAGGCTAACCCTTGTTATGCCAGTTCCTTACCTTACCACTGTACACTGGAGCAGTGCTACGATGCCATGAACGGTCGGTGATTTTGCAAATAATTTATTTTTTTTAAACCGATGGACATGTGGCCAACGTTGTTTGCGATATTGTCTTACATTATACGTAGTAGATATCATAACATAAATACAAGCACTCGTACAACATAGGATAACATAAACATAGGCGTTTTGTGTAAAAGAATACGGTAATATGGGTTGGACTTTTTGCAGCGGAGAACGAGTTCACCATATACACGCCGTATACCATTACGATCCCATCATGTTTTCTCACCCACAAAGGATTTAAATTATTTTCCTACAATGTACGTAGTATCACTGCTTCTGTGCATAATTAAAGTAATCATTGCTATGCCCATGTACAGTACCAATTAATTTTAAATCAAAGCCAACGACTTATTCTTTTGCGATCCAAACAGTTGTGCGTTAAGGATCCCGCCATGGTACGACCGGAGGTGGAGACAACCAAAAAGGTCATATGCACGATAGAACAAGACTGCTTTATTGTGAGTCCTGACAGCACCGACGATACTGATGGATTTGTGTACGTATCGCAAACGGACAACGCTTGTGATTCCCTGACATCAAACCTTCCACGCACGCTATACTGCGAAATCAAAGCATACGACGCCAGCAGTGGACTGACGAGTATCCTGGGATTCAGTAATCCATTTACAGTACGTCAGAATAAATAAGTAATTTATAACTTCTGTTAGTTCTAAGCTTTATCAACTTAAACGATCATGATGGGACGCAATAATATATTATACAGTCAGTATAATGTACAACAGATAAAATTGTTCCTATTAATCGCTCTATTAATTATTCATAAAGATTTGATTATTGTCAGGTAGTACCGATACCGAACTAAGTGCTTTCTTTTTTTGCAGGTTACTATAACGGAGGACTCTTGCTCGGGTAGCTAGTAACTACTACGTTATAACGGACCGGCGCTACCGGACCGCAGCAACTTCCTCGGTAGTATTTTACGCGCTGTAATTAATTATTAAGACGTGGCTGAAAAATAAAAAGTGATCTAATTTATTTTACTATATTAACTACTGTATATTGCAGTGTAAGCACTATCAAGCTTCTATGTGAAAACAAAAATCCGAAATTAGCTAACTGAAATAAGATTTGATGATGATGAATCACCAAATAAATAATCCCATTGACGATTATCAGGAGTCAGAAAAACAAAACAGTACGTAATTTCTCGCTATCGAAAACAAATGTAATATATTTTCATTACGAACAAGAAATTGTCTTTTTTGACATACGGTGTCCATAACCATACAAGTGAATCTGGCGTTTATTGCGGGGAAGATGGTAGCAACACAGGATACTGGCGGTAAACAAATGTCATGTGGTTGAACAAGCAGTCCATTTCCGATTATCGACCTACACATGCACATGCATGCATCAGTGCAAAATATAATAATTACTACAGTAACAGATTAGAATTGTTTGCGTACTATTATGACTACAGTAATAATATATATGGGTCAAACATTTCGGTCAAGTTCTTCTATCACAATACCTAACAGGTAAATTTTTGCACTGTGTTGGTAATGCATGGACAAACTTAAGAGAAAAGGCAAACTAACTGAAATTACGTTAATTAATTTCATACAACTCCCTATCAGTTTTAGTTACAGAGAGGGTGCCGCCCGTAACCGGCGCACTAGAATGTTGTACAATTCAAATGCGTATTTAGTTTTATCATTTATAATTACATTATTTAATCAACTCCAATTACAAACGTGCAATACACGACAGAGAATGTACCGTTAATGGACTACAAGAGCAGACGTGAAAAATCGTCCCCAGTCCTGTTCTACACAGAACTCGCTGGCTACACATATACATAAACCGAGATTTCGTTTCAACACAAAAAAGTGCAATACTTAATTTAACGCAAACGCCGTAACAATTATTTATTAGACATTAAGTCGAGAAACAAATACAACGTACGTCGCATAGTTCAATGTATACCAGTTTAGCCGCTATACGGGCGACTGTTACCATAATTTCCACCACCGCCTCCGTAATTTCCGCCACCGGAGCTGTATCCTCCTCCTCCTCCGCCGCCATATCCTCCTCCTCCTCCTCCGTAGCCTCCACCGCCATAGAAACCCCCTCCGTATCCTCCTAATCCTCCCAGCCCACCGAAGCCTCCCAGTCCGCCATACAGGCCACCGAGGCCGCCTAAGCCGCCACCCAGCAGGCTTAGCGAACTAAGCCCACCCAGACCGCCGTATAATCCCAATCCGCCCAATCCACCCAGTCCACCCAATCCGTACAAGCTGCTCAACCCGCCGATTCCCCCGAGACCCCCTAATCCCAATCCCAGACCGCCTAATCCCAATCCACCCAGTCCGCCGTACAGGCTACTCCCTAGACCACCGCCGTATCCTCCATAACCCCCGTAACTGCCGCCCCCGTAACCGCCATACTGTCGCGTCTGCTTCTGGACACCGCCGGTCGTATTGGCGGTGGTCATGGAGAGAAAGGTCAAGAGTAGCAATAAAGGTGTCCCCGTTAGCCATCGTATGGCGGCGGTGAAATGTCTTAATAACATGATAGTAATAACAGTAGTAGTACGTAGTCAGCGATGATTTTGTGATGGAAAGTTGCAACAACAATGAATCCGTAGATTGTCAATAAAAAATTGATGGTACCAAATAGCCGCGATGGTCAAACTAGCAGAAACTGATCAATGCTCGACACTGATCATAATTACTGCGACAACAGTACACACTATACCATCGTAGGGCCGTGCGTATGCAAATAAAAAATACACTTTACATAAAGCGATGCTCCTGGTCAAACGTTAATGATCAATGCAAGAGTGAACAATCATTACATGGGCATGGTCCAATTTATGTATGCCGTGTTTGCCTTTGTGGTCAAGCTGTTTATGCTTATAGACGGCAGATGCGCCTGAATATGGTGTTATTTGGTTGGTCTTGTGCTGAATTTAAAGCCCTCTGCATTGTCATTGTAAAGGTTAACGAGACGATCTCTGTGTGTCGTAAGGCAGCCGTGTATGACTCGATGACGCGGTATACAAGTGTTTTACGTGTAACACGTTGAGATGGCGCTTTTCCGCTTAGGGTTGTGTCCGAGCTCGGTAGAGCCGGGACGCAAAGATGATGATGCTCATCACCAAACAAATAATCCAATTAGAAACTCGCACGACCGGACGCTGCTGACCAGACAATGGCCGCCTTTGTTTGTTCTGTTGTGAGCCTGACATTATGCGTGTAAGCAGCTTAAACCTGATCCGTCATGTACGCTAATGATGCTGAACAACCAGAAATTAATTATTACTCACCTCGCAACTTATGGCATCTTTAGCGCAGACATGAGTAAATTTTCTGCATGCCATTCCGATAAACATCGTGCGGTACCTGCATACACACAGTACGTGTACGTATGCACGGATACAGTCATCATCCCGAATACGTTTTGTAACTCTGAATAAAATCTTCTAAATATTTAATACGTTTTGAACGCAGTTTAGGAAAATTAAGGATGCCTGACTTTTGGGGACCGAGGTAAAAACTTCAGCACATGCACGCGGCCGGATACCGCTAACCCTTCAACAAAGTCGAAGGGATTTCATATATTTACAAATTACAATAAGAGCGGACCATCTGCCTGCCTGGTCTCAACGTTGTAATAGACCACAACAGAGATACAACGGATTTAACCCTTGCGAATAGTTTTGGCAACTTTTGCGCCTTTCGGCAGGCACTGCTGCAAATGAACCGGAAGTTCTTATAAAAGGAAACAACTTCATGTAATAAATAGGCCTCTAAACTAACCTAAATAGCCGGCACAATGGAGCGCATCGGCTTTTGTAACCTTTCCCTACGCAGCTACGCTACTACTTATATACGCTACCGTACTACTTATCGTTAGTTCCGTACTATAAAGTGGGAGTAGCTGTATCAGACGGGCTGGGCTGTGTGGATGGAGTTCCGAGTGCATGCTTTGATTTAGCTTCGTTTGTTTTGCACTAACACATACTGTAAAATAAGGAATACGCTCATAATCATCTCGACCTTGATTTAAAACGAAACCTCGTTTTAATTGGAAAAAATTCAAGAACAAGGTTTCGAGCAGCAGTTCTCACCATATTGGCGAAAATTCCTCGCCATAATACTGTACGACTTTAATTATTGATCAGAGGTTACTGATCATACAGGCTGTTTTAATATTATTTCCCGGAAAAGCAGCCATATTTGAATAATACTTTGACGAAATTATACAATTCAATTTTCGATTATCGAAGCGCGTTGACATGGGAACGAAATGTAAAGTGAGATATTAGAAACGCAGGTACGCATGAAAATTAATACAATGATAATCCGTAAAATCGAAATCCAGTCGTATAGTGACCTTGCGTATCTGGTTCCTAAATTCCAGACGGTAGAAGGCATAACCAAAGAACAGAATCGCAAGGTTTAGCAAATTTTACAAAAAGATTGTTTCCGTCAAAATGGCTAATAAAGAACAAATGGACATGTTAGAGTCAATGTGGCGGCTGAAAGAGGAAGTTGCTAAAAAGGTATGACCGTTATAAAACTGCAGCACGTGTATTGTAATACAGTACGGTGTATCGTATATCTATACAAGTACCATAAGTCACGTACAAAAATAATCTGCTTCTGGACTTATTATTGTCATTTGGTTACCAGTACTGTATACAATGCTAAGAATATTCGTAGACATCGTAGTCGATTTGCCATTTTAATGTGATCATAATTTCATCTCAGGGTTCTAGAATTGTTGGTATTAAATATGTAAGCAACTGTCTCTTGCTGTCTGCAGAGAGAGACCACGCCTAAATCCCAACTGAAGTGTGTTAACTGCCAACACCATCCGACGGTGTTTCATAGCGACAATGCAAAGAAAGAATTTGAAGAAATTTCCCAGTTATGCGGGGCATGTTGGGAAGTAATCACACTGCCACCGGATGCCGACGAATACGAAGTGGAGAACGCCAAAGAAATTCTGAGGCTGCAGAGTCGAGAGTTTCATCATAATCCGCGAGGATGGACGTGCTTAACGTGCCAGAAACGTATGAACCATCGGTTCATGCATGACAAATGCAGTTGCCTTTCATCTTGAGACTGCCAAATTGCTAACCAAATTCGAAACTCCCGTTTTTTTCGGAGTCCTGTTTTGGCGAAGGAGTACCAACTTTGACCTTTTATGATTCGCATGGCTAGTACTGTACATAACTGACTGTCACTAGAAGTAGAGTGCTTGGGCCTTTTGTCGATAGAGCGCTGCACGATAAGATATTTGAGCATTGTGCGTATAATTTTACTACAATAATGGCTAAAGTGAATAAAATTATTTTAGTTAAATGAAGTAACCTTTAATTTAAAACAATATTTAAGGCAAATAAAAGTTGTGAACTTTCTACCAAAATTTACTTTGCCTGCAGTGAATGCTGGCCGCAATGACAGATATCACAAAAACTGCGTGCACTGTAGTATAAGATGTAGAACATACACATGAAGTGGTCAAACACAATACGCATTAACACCGCAAACCATTTCGATACAAGTGATGGTATTGTGCTGTCATTAGGTAATTTCGAAATGACGTCGTATTAAAAATACTTGCGTGTAAACCGCATATTAAACAATATAAACTATGTGCTGAATACTTGTACCAGTTTATGCGCATCGTGTTAAATACTACTACATGCACTTGGAATAACCGCTTAAACACGCTACATTTCGATTTTCGAACTCTTGAATGGGGAACAGGAATTCGCAGTCGCTGGCATTCCACCAATTTGCATTCCTCGGTAGCTCGATCCATTGCGCGATGCTAGCCAGACGAAAATCCCTAGGAACGCATGATTTAAGGGAATTCGAGGCAGTGATCTACGCATTAGTCGCATTCGCTTTGTGAAGAACTGTTAAGCGTCCTACAACCGATGTGGCGGTGTGCACTGCGTACGTATACTGTTTTCCACTGACGGCAGTTTTGACGTCAATTTGCTCCGTACATGTTAACACACACCAGGATGAATATTAGCAACCGCAAATCCAGTGGACCGTTCCGGTTTTTGGTGGAACCTGTTATCCTAGGCACCGTTATCCTGCTAGCTGTGATGATATTAACACCGCTAAAGGTGGATGCAATTCGCTGTGATTATTATAAGGACCCCGAGTGCAGGAATAATCCTTTTGATGTTCATAACAAGAACTGCACAAGTCAGGAAGTAAACTGCTCTCCTGAAGAACCCTTCTGTCATGCATCGTTCGCTGTTTTATTATTGGTATGCAGTTTGCAGATTGGTTTGATACATTGGTTCGATTTTGTGCACGCAGATTTTTATTGTAAAACTTCATAATAACTTACTGATATTGTTAGTAACGGTCATTTTACGTTATAGGCACAAAACATTCAGGATCAATTTTTACTACACCTTACTGATTTCTTATGACATAAACCGGCTTCAGTTACAATAAAGTGAATAAACGCAAATAGCATAGTAAAAGTGCGCAGTAGATACAGCGCATTTGCTTGTTATTAGTTGCTTGCATTTTGCTTGTTATTAGTCTGTTGTTCAATTTTTGTAGAACGGAATAAACCGAACGGTGCTAGCAACCAAAGGTTGTTGGTCACCACAGGACAGCGCTCCCTGTAAATCTGGCATGCAGTCTTACTGCACCAATACCAAACCACCGGTGCCGAATCCAGCGAAGCCAGAACTTGGGCCCACTTACTTCTGTTGCTGTGATGGCCCACTGTGCAACCAGCGACTGGAAATCAATAAAGCCTTTGGAGAAGCGGATTCTATTTTGCCTTACATTACCATGAAACAGTATAAACAGTATTTGCTGGACGGGCCTAAACAGATTGTTGCTGCCGAATCGACAGGAACGATTACATCCGATCAGAACACGGCATCGGTGCCTTCACTTCCTTCGCCAATAATGCAGCCCGTAAGTGAGTACTTTTCCCCAGAATGCAGCTGTTGTGAAACATAAACCAGTGTAGAGTATTTTGACTTTGCAGGAAATGCGGCTATCCATTCTGCGCCAGCGTTTCCGTTTGTTGGCGCAGCAGGCGGCCCGAGTTTACCGCCCATGTCGTTTTCGCGGCCGGCGCCCATTCCTGTGTATCGCGAGGACAAAGAAGCTGAGGCTAGAGCACGCAACAGCCAATCGCGGAACGGCACAAAACCCGTCGCGCAACTGCAGCTCTCGGGTGGCCTTGAAGCGAAACCAAGCGAAATTGCGAACCAAAAGGATATAAGTGGGCAGCACAGCAACTTTTGGCTTCTAGTGTCTGGCACGGCCGCGGCGGTAATATTTTTTGCTTTTGCTCTGACAGTGACAATCGCTGCAATTCTTGATTGCTAACGAAGACGCTCGTTAACTTATTGTATTTTTGTACATTTGTTTGCATCTTTGTCGTCATTCCTGACTAATTTCATCGTAAATTTTCATTGTGAAACACGTTTTAGGAACAAAAGTGTGACATGCTTGCCGGCTAGACTCATTTATCCAACATTTGCGTCGCGAACGATTCTTCGTACATACATCGTCAAGCAATTTAATGTTAAGACTCAGAATAATAGAAGATTTCAGCTGATTTCAGTTCTGAGTAAGTAACTTCTGACACAGCAGCACTAACGTCGACAGCTTGAAAAACATAGAATTACGGTCTTGCCTACATTTTGTTGTTTACTCACACCTGCTTGTATTGCTCGTGATTCGGTAAGAACAGTAGGGTCTTCAGCTTGCGGCCCTGCGCACAAGAATCCGACTTCTAATAACCGGTGGAAATCCCGTCATAACATCATTGTCCAAACTCCAAATCCCCGTCTGGAACACCGACGATAGACTGCTTGGCATGCTAGCATTGAACTGCCAAGCAGTCTATCGTCGGTACTCCAGAATCTGAGAATCCCAACCATATTTTCATCCAACATGTACACTATCAAAGCCGCGGCGCCCCGCAAGTAGGCAAGGTCGGAATTACTCTAATGGTATCTGTGCTGTAACAATCTGACAACCACTTATTAACTGTTGCTGCACAAGTGCACACGCTTTAAAACAGAAGGTAGGAAACTCATAATTGTTGATCTGTTATTGTGACACTGACCATCGCCAAAACTCGAAGAATTTATACTGCATCTGCTGCCGATTGCACTTCGTCGTCATACGTCCTAAATATTTTCGGATGTACTTACTGGTGTATCGACAAGAACTAAGAAATGATATCATAATTAACAGTGATAAGCGGTCGTGTAACATATGCTTATCAAATATCGCGTATGGGCACTGACCGTACTAAATCCGTGGCTCCGTACCTAATTTTATCATTCCTCAGTTATTAGTTTTCATGTGTGCTCAGCAATTTAATGCCCAAATTTATGTTCCGCCCGTTTAATCTGACAGCGAGCGAGTCTGGAAAGTTCGAAAAAAGATAAAAAAGGTCAGTCAGTCACAAGATGAGTGCTTGTAGTGTCTAGTTTTATCAGATTTTTGCAAACCGCTACATCTTCCTCTGAAATACATCACGACATCTGATGCAATAAAATGGAATTGAACCCCAGCCTTTAATGCAGGACACCTTTTAACAGTAAAAATGGCAGCTGATGTCATTTTGGCATGTATGAGTCTATGACCAAAGCTGTATTTTAAAACTGGGACGCAGAATCAATCAGGACGAAAAATCTGTCAAGAGCACATGAGCAATCACAATGCATCGCAGCGCTAGGCACTTATATAAACGTACTGTATTTCTAACTATTTTGGTCGTTGTTTATTATAATTTACTGGAAATACGAGTACACCGTTGGCTTTTGTTTAAAATCCGTACCATCTTTACCCTAGCAGCGTGGTAAAATGAATACCTTCCAACAGCCACGTAAGTTTAGCGAAAGTTTCTATAGCAAAATTTTGGGCTTGTCTCATGATATGCACGCTTTTTACCTTAAACTGCTTTTATCTTGCTTCTAAAAAAGCAAGCACTGTCAGATATTACTTAGCCTTAAGCCATTTTTTGACAGTTTTTCTGCAAGACATGATATACAGTTTTGTAAAAAGAATGCGAACAATAACACATACTAAGGATGTAACAATTTAGATTGCAATTTAGGCTTAGTGAGACCGATTTGGGGAGTTTTGGATACCAATATCCTGCTGAATCTTGTTGAAAACACCTTAAAATCTGGTGCCGACACGGCATTACTAACAACTTTAATAGCACTCGCCCACGTTAACCAGGCCACTTTTTGTGTATCAAACGCTGTAAAACACGAGACCGAGAAAATCAACGTGAATCATCAACGACGCACTCCAAATAAATTGTCCAGCGCGAGAGTTAAGGCAACTGACGCCGTATTGTCTTTTCTAAAAGATCTGCCGAATTCGACCACTGCGACATTGTGTCGGCTGCAAGACGTACCCGGAATACCCGCGGTTCCCCTAAAGGTTGACAACTATCTGATTTGGCTAACGGTGTTTATGGAGTGGAGAATGCACCAATGGTATCCTCTGCACGAAGTGGATGTTGTGTTGTTCACAAACGATAAAATACTGCAGATCATTGCCTTGATTAACAACGTCCGCTGCGGCAACTGCGTTGTGAGAGCGATGGATCCACCCATCCTCCAGAGAGCAAAGCAGAAGGTTGACCTTTGGGACATTGCTCTTCTACTGGAGCAGCTGTTCGGTAACACCAAAATTGAGCCTCTTTGGAGAAAGCAACTAGAAAACATCGATGATAAGGAAACCCCTTTAAGCATCCTGACGTTGGCCTTATGCGCTCTGGATGACTTCAAGCACTCTTCAAAATGCAAACATTCCATTAAAAAGAAGTGCAGCGACCTTCACTCTCAGATCGTAGGATTTCTCCCGGTGTCCGCTGCAGAAGATCCTCCTCTTGTATATCATTCAAGGAATTCCGCGTGAATTCCTTGAATGCCAAGAAGTCTATCGTCCGGTTACCACTTTTCTGAAAAAGGTTTATAAGAATCTATTTTTGAGATATCCATAAAATAACGTCATTATGGATATCCCAAAAATAGATTTTTGTCAGCATTTTCAAAAAAGTGGTAATAAGGTGAGCGACAAAAATGGCTTGAAAACACCTTTCCTTATAAAAGCTGTTAAAATATTTTGAGAACCGGTCGCAAGTGCTCACCGTTTTTCCGATCTCGTGTACTTACTCTCTAGTGCGAGTACATAAGATCGGAAAAGCAAACATCGATCTTGACGACTTGATTCGGCTAGCACGTGCTACTATATTTTTGATTTCTTTTCGAATTTGATTAGTGTAATATTGTGTTTTGCAAGTATCTTTGTATTGATGAAACTGTATTTTGATGTTGAGATAAAAATATTGTTGATGTGATTTAAGTTTAATAGATGTGAACTGTTTAATAACTGTGTTTGAGTGAACTGGCTAGCGGCTCTGTTGCGAAACGGAGGTACTGCCTGCGTGTACAAGTAACAAAGTCAAACTCTTGTGTAAAAACAACATTACCCGCATCATATGCCTGCAGTTCACATCGTATTTACCTCGTACATTGGATGCCTCATCATTTGGAGTTTATCTTGTTCTGGCAAGGGTATTCTAGCTACCGCTAAGGTTTGCACCAGTGATTTTGAAGACAGATTTATGTTTGCATTACCATCGAAATTCTGGATAACGAATTTTTCGTTTTAACCGTACCAAACTCGTGTCATGCACGAAATTTTTTTCAAATTTTAAAATGAATTTTAAAATTTTTGAAATTCATTTTAAAATTTGAAAACATGCTAGAACAGTGGATCGGTGTAAAACGTTCTTCGTGATTATGTGCATTACATACAAACAGAAAAGATCGGTCCATAATGAGACTTTGGTACACCTGAACGCATTTAAACTTTTGAATTTTCTAACAGCCATAACTCCCGAACCGGATGTTGCGCGCAAATCATTTGACTACAGATTGTCATAAAACAAGAGAAAAAAGGGTTTGGGAGTGCGCGAAAGTGAAAGATTTCGTGCATGTACACGAATTTGGTACCATGTACCAGGCCACTCCCCTTAAGTCTAGTAGTCTACAAAGCAAAATGAGCAAACTGTATGGTACAATTATAATACATTTCGATTATTTAGGCTAGCTGGTGATACTCGTATAATGTACGCAACTGCGCATTTCCAGATAAACCAAAAGAGCAGATATTATGTACTTAAAGTATTGTAAATAGCTTCAAAATTCTTTGACGTATTGATGCAGCGAATGCGTCATAGCGAGTATAAACACCAGAGTAGTACTTTGAACTGGAAATCTGCATCGCGTAATACGGCGGCAAATGATTGTGCGTTCGCGTGATGATCGGATACCCGCACGTGCAGTGCGAGCCAAGTTGTCTGATTTTTGTCAGTCGTATTCGGTCCACCGAGACGTTGTGCCGCACGCACGCCACGCCGTTTGCAGCATAATTTTCAGTATTGGTACATGGTTATAGTTTCCGCATCTTGACGCAAAATCGAGACAGAAAGTATGTGGAACAGTGCTTTAAATGGGGACCAGTCGTCTGGAGACATACACAGAAGGACGCTCTCCAGGAGGGATGACATTCCAAGCAATCCGAGCAGTGCCGTGGAGAGGCATGTTGCCGTAGCCAGTTCCAAAAGGGCAAACATCATGATCGCGGAATTATTAATCTGCGATTCTTCTAACTTCCGTAATGGCGTCCACGAAGAGCAAAAGTGAGTGACCAACTGTTACCTATTATCTATGACCCCGAAACCACTTCCGCCTTATCTTTGTAGCACTTACGTACTGTACACAGCACGCTATTGAGTAGTATTGTAGTACTGTCATTATCACAATATGTTAAATATTAAGTTTTGCGAATAACCTTTCTTTTACCGCTTTCAAAGAAAGTTACACCTTTCTTTTACCGCCGCGCTTATACATAAAAACAATTTTTTTCGAATTTTCACTCGACTGTCTAATGTTCACCATTCGTCGTGTTACAGTGTAGTTCGCCACCTTATGCAAGCACTTACATGTAATATCTTGGCAGGGAAGCTGTTACGGAAGAAGCGAATATCAGTAAGAAAAGCTCCTTCGGACCAACTCGCAGGAAACGGCGAGGGGTAAGGTGTTTATAGGTGTTTATGGCAAGGGGTAACTCTTGCACTTGTTAGCAAAACCAGAAACCGTATGAAAAATATGTGAAGTTTATGTTTAGATTGTTGAGAAAAGGAGGCGCGATCGCATAAACAGCAGTCTGGTAGAATTACGGAACCTCATACTATCTGCTACTGGAAAGATGGTAATCCTTGTCGATACCTTGACTGCTAGTGACTGATACTGCATTCTGCTATGAGATACAAATGAAAAAGCAGACATGCATCATGTCAGATCAATTTCTCCACTTTAATTGTGAGCAATTCTCTACGATGACGTAACTAACGAAGCCCATATCGACTTGTGTAGGAACTTCAAGACACAAGCAAACTGGACAAATCGGAGATCCTGCAAAGAACCATAGACTATTTAAGGTCACTACAATCCAAAAGTAAGACCTTGCTAACAATAAACTTGTCTAAAGTTATTTCTGTTTGTTCTATATAGCAGTATAAAAGTTTTGTTAACAGGAAATCTTGGTTCAAAAAATGTCGAAGCTTTTATGGCTGGTTTCCAGGAATGCATAAGTGAGGTGGAGCGGTACTTGCAGTTGGAGGGCTTGACCAGTAGCCATAAACCGCACTATTTGAATAACGATTCAATTACGCACTACCTCATATCTCATCTACGTTGTTTCATAAGGCAATGGGGTTACTACGAAATTCCACAAGGGAACGGAGCGATCAGCCATTGGGCTGCACCTGTGCAAGCTCATAATTCGGAACCTTATGGACTGAATCACTTCCGACCGCGGCCTCCCGAATCCGGGACCCTTAGTATAAGCTGCCCGCCAGTGGATTTAAAATCTCAACACATCTGTCAAAACTCAAATCAGTTACCGCACAGCTCAAATTACATCGGTAACAATTATGCAGTTTTCCCTCCTTTATGCACTACCTCTTCGTCTCCTTTCTTGGTTAAGACACAACCACCTGCAAGAATGTGACAGCGTCTACTGAGTGGTCATCCGGAGTACAGCTTACTTTCTAATATAAGCATATTGTACGGATCTTGTGGCACCTCATGCATTATATGTAAATCAGTTTTTACTTTATTGCCATAATTACTTGTTAGTATTGTTGCGAAATCACTAATTTATTATGGTACTATCTTATACCGTACTTGGTTAATCTAATATGAAACACTTTGTATCCAAATTAGGACTGTACGCACCACTAAACTTAACTCGCATTGCAAAATAACCAAAATGCTTGCTTGATTGCTTACTTTCATTACTTATCGTTAATTTTCTTGATAAGGAAATAACTTAAATTCGCTGATGTATGCACAGTCAAAAACACAGTTACACAGACAGCGGCTTCTATGCGTAAAACGCAAAACTGTACACTATAATCATCGGATAATAAGATTATGACTTGAATAGCAGTAGCGGCGCAACAGGTGAATGGCTTCTGTTTAGCAATTTCTTAAAGGTCGCAAGGTTGACTCTATGTATTGCAGTTTTGGTTGCACCGGTTTTTGTGGCACACGTAAGAAGTTTTGTAGTGGTCACGATCTACACGACATTGTCAGTTTGTTAGTTAAGGCATTTCAACGCAGTAGTGAGTCTGCATTAATGTTGATGTGTCAGTTTCCTTTACAATGGACCTTATCCCGTTGCCTCTCGAATAATATTAGTTTTTACGCCGAGCACGCTTCGCACAATTAGCCTCACACCAAAGCGTCACGCTTCAAGTCTTGTAGAAACAACATTTTGATTATTCAAGGACTTTTGTTAAATAGAATCAACAGATTGTTATAAAAATGATATTATCAGTCAATAATTATTTTACACGGTTCGAACTGTGGAACGCGCTAACAGCTAATCCACATAGGGTTTCTGGGGTTCGGTTCCAAGCTTACACTAATTATTCAACTTATTGTTAGTAACATTGTTTTACTTGCACTAACACTATTCGTTCACTACTCTTTTAATTTAGCAGGTAAGTACTTATCTGTAACTACTGTACTCAAGGTGTCCTTAATCCTTAAGGGCTTTAATACTAAGTATGCTAATCATTACTTATGTTGCTTATCTCATTGTTGCCTTGGCATGTGAATTACAGAGTTTCTGGATACTGCATGCAATGTATGAGAGCATTAGTGACGATTAAGATTTTGCCACGTATGAATTTGATCAGTTACACCTAATAAATCGAGCTACTTATACTTAGTTTTTCTGTTAACAATTTATTCCAAAGTACACTGCAAGAAAACGCGCAATATTTGCATGATGGCATTTTTGACACTAAAAAACTAACACTTCGACTGCGAAGTATGATACCATAAAATAACAAACACTTAAGATATCTGTGTAATGTTGTGGCTTAATCAATAGCAATGTCTAGCATTTACTAGTTTTGTATTCACTAATGTTAAAGTAATACGTAAACATTTGCTTTGCTGCATAATGCAAATATAAATAGCATTAGTCACTGCGGGCAAAAAATTTGGTAGAACGATGTTACGGACTAACGTAACTACTCCTTCGTCCGCGCGTGCAGGATCCTTGTCCTCTCAGTACCACGATTCTCATCCATGGAAGCATTTGTCTCCCAGGAGCTCTTGTGCTTCCGCACCGGATCTGGCCAGTAGCAGTTTCCGTCGTCCCTCGCAGTTCTCGTATTTCCATGTTGATTCTCGTTGGTCTTCGGTACCACCCGAGAGCACCGCTTCCCTGGGTACTCTGACAGCAGCACCTCGTCGCCAGCTAACCCCTGCAAGTGACGACGAGGAAGAGGAAGTAAGCACGAAGAGTTCCGCAAAGCTATTATCTGAAGGGGACCAACATGCTCCGTTAACGCTGAAAGAAAGCGTGGCTTTGCATGCTGGAAAGGTCAAAAACCAGCTTCACGCTGAAGACACCGACAGCAGGCTAATTTTGGCGGATATGAAGGAAAGCTTAACGGGATTTTTTGATGTGCTATATAGTCCAGGAGAAAAATGGGAGACCGGCCTCAAAATACGAACTGGGGGACCGTTAGAAATCGCCAAATCATGGCGACTGAAAGATTTGGAAAAGAAGATGCTAGAAGATCCTTTTCTCCACTAAGTAGATATTGTGCACTTTCTCACTTCCATTCATTGCACTGCAAAATTACGCTTCATCTTTTGTTGGGTGATTTCTTAATGCAAATTTACAGTCAAAACTTAAAAGAATTTGCAATTTCCAGATTTTTAAATGCAATAGAGCCAGATTTTTATCTATGTTTTTCATGCTGCAGATTGGTAATGATTAATGGTTTACAACCTGATATACGTTACGTCTTGCCTTACACAAATTATTTATGCTGCTTAGACTTCTGTGAAATTTCCGCATTTCAACTAAACAGCTATCTTGGATTTATTGACTTATAAGATCATAAATTCTGAATCATACTACACATTTGCACATTTCCTACCAATGCCGGTAAGAAGAAAACAAACCGGTTCAGCAACCAATTGTAGCATGACGAGCACCCGTTGCTTCTGTTAATTTCTTGACGTTCCGGACCAAATATAAAGCATGCACGCACCTGATTTCTACTTCTTCAATATCTTGCGGCCGGCCAGAACGGTATATGTACCGCCATCGTCGCATTATATTAAATTTTTTACATTACTTGAAATGGGGTCTTTGCAGGTTTTTTCGTTAACCGTAGGTTTTACAATCAGCTGGACGCTAACTCTTGCAGGTAAAAATAGTTTTGTTTTGAATCGCCAGTTTTGAAAAGTAACACGTATTGTGCATGCATCGGTATTAAACTATTTGGCCGGTGGATGTGCGAGTACGCGCTGATACTGCAGCAAGCTTATAAAGTTTTTGAGCGCATATGGATTCGTTTTTGTAATAAGTTTACTATTACGTATCTTTCACAGCGACTACCGCTAAGCCATCAAAGTGCGAATGCTGGGATATAGAGGCGAAAGACACACTGGCCCATGTATGCGGAGCCAATGGCAAGCAATATCAGGATCCCTGTTGGGCTGCATGCTCAGGTAAACTTTACCATAGCAGCAACGAAGGCGCATATACAGTAACATTGTAATATAAGAGACCTTCGTTAAAGTTAAGACTGTACCGGTCAACGGTTGAATAAAAGCATTGAAAAGGTATTCTTAATTCAAGCTGTATGCCGCTTTGTTTTTAACGCATAATAAAATACACGGCGTCATTGTAGTTCTACCTCTGTGTATTAGACGTTGTTCCGGCGTATTACGGAAATTGCACGTCCAAAGTGAAACTCACCCCGAGCTGCAAGAAGTGCAACGATACATACGATCCAGTTTGTGCCACTGACGGGATTAATTATAACAGTCCCTGCTTCGCCCGCTGTGCCGGTACGTTTTTTTCCGTGGTATTAATTCATGCTAAATTACATGATATAACCTAACTTATCCGGTAAGTTAGGTTCGTCGTATTAAAAATTCAAAGAAAAAAATGTAGCTTAAGTACATATATTGATTCCCATTAAAGGAGTTGAAATCGTCAGTTACGGTCCTTGCTCGAATCAAAAGAACGCCGATATTAAATGCATGTGTCCAAAAAAAGTTAATCAAACCGATGCCGTGTGTGGAACGGATGGCGAAACTTACGGAAACGAATGCTACGCAAAGTGTAAAGGTAATAATGGCTAACCGGACGGCGCTACTAGCCAGTACCTGTACGACAGCGAGCACATGACTCGGCTATTAAAGTACATTAAAACTCGCTTAAAAATATCTTACATCTAGTTTTTTACGAACCTTAACTGTAAACTGACTACAGTATGTATCGAAGTCAGTTTTCTACGCATTATCTAATCACAAACCTTCAAGGTACTACGGTGAAAAGCGTTGGTCGGTGCCCTTTTCCCAAACTGGCGTCCTGTATGTGCAACTTTGATGATCGAAAGACCGTCTGTGGAGAACGGCGCCGCGAATTTTCCAATCTGTGCTTTGCTGCTTGTGGAAGTACGTGCAGTGTATAATATTAGCTATTCTTATTCTAGACTATAAAAAATTAATAGCACCTGTGTGAAAAGCAACTTATCTTTCATTTGAACCGGTTTAGATACATAGGTTTACTCAAATAACTGTTTTGAAAACTGAATTTCATGAGGCAGTATTAACTCTTTCACTTTGCGCTGCTATCATGTTCTTATATTATTAACTTTGCCAACGCAGATTCCATCCCCGTTCACTACGGAGACTGTTTGGGAGTTCCTAGGATGATTACAAATAACTGGATGCGATGGGCATCTTACTCTGTATGCGGTGAAGACGGGAAGGAATACGGCAATATGTGTCAAGCAAACTGCAAAAGTCAGTGTGTTTAGTACGGCCTGTTAAACATAGAGCGTTTTGAAAAGCGGCTGAGAAAAAGAGATTATCCTATTTTTGCAGAAGTGCAGATTAAGAGCCAGATTTATTCGGAATGTGGCGGAAAAAACAGGACAATATGGTAACATCACATTTCGCTTGGATCCGTGGAAGGTGTATTGTAAACAAATGTGGTTTGATTCATGCAAATGGATGGAATTTATAGAGTAAACCTTTGGTGCACGTAACAGGTGCAGCGACAGATATTATCATATTTGTAGTTAATTTTATAGTTATGAATTGTGCATACTCAGTGTTCTGATCAATTCTTTTCGCAAGCTCGTAATAAACTTGCTTTTGGGCTATCATAGCCATCCTGTCTTTTAATATGCCCTTTTCTTCGTCTGAAAACTGGAATATCGGACTCAGAATGTAATAAATTAAATGCTGCTGATTGCTGTTGGTTACGTTTTTTGACATTTGTAAATTTTGTAAAAACAACCAAACTGCCTGGGCATCAATCAGTACTTTGATTAATTTATGTCGGTTGAAGATCGGAAATTTCTGACTGGTGAGTTGCACTGTCTATCGCCTTGTACAGCTACGTACTTTATGCATGTAATATTTACCGCTGCGGAAAAGGTATGAAAACAATAATAATTATTAAACCGGTTTGAAAACCAACGCAGTGCATAAACCAATGTCCTGTAATCTAAAACATTTATTTACGTACGCATCTAATTCGCCTTCCCACAAACAAATACTATATCGTCCCGATAACCTTTCACATTTACACAATTTCACGCGTATAATAAAAAGCTAAACATAATTCAAGATTTTAAGTAACATTACAACCTGCATTTGTTTTGTTTTAGCTACAATACAGATAAAAAACTGAGAGCACAGGAACACGCTGAAATCGTAAGCACAATGAACACAAATTTTTTTCCCACTACAGTAGATATAAATGTTACCTTTTCGACCTAAATTTTGGAAAGGGACTGGTTTCATGATGTTCCTTTGTTGGAGGTTTGTACGCCGAAACGTACATGGTTTCGAAATTGATTGGTGGCTTGATATTGGACTTCATTAGGGCCGCATTACGGGCTGCTAAACGTTTCATCGGCACCAGCCCTTTCGGGCGTGCGTTGAATTGTTCTTCAGCAGTCAACGGTTGAAAATTATCGGTATACTCTGATATTCTATCCATATGTGGAGTTTTTGGAGCGGAAGGTTTGAAACGGCGCCAGTGCGGTTTTTGGTATACCTGGTATTACATACTTAAATTCAGACTGATTTAGTAAAAGATTTAAATTTTATAAATGTGGGAACAATCTAAAAGCGCTGAGTGTAAGCAGGCGTAGAACGTACCTTGCGGCCGAACTCTGTTTGGTACATGGTCAATCCATCCATTCGATCGGTCGGATGGAGCCATTTGGAAACCGGTGGTCCTACAATTTCCACTTTAGCCTAGAAATGACCGGAAATAAAATACCGATGCTTTGAGAGGTAGCCGGTTCTACAGATACTGTCACCGCATATACACGCGCGTTAATATTGCAAAGACGTCGACTATTTCACTGTTTTGGGAGTAATTCAACAGAATCGATGGAGTTAACAAAGATTTTGGAAATTGTCACCTTTGTCGGCAGGTACGATCGTTGATAAATGGTTGGCGGCTTCCATACTCCTTTCGGCTTGACGAAAACATGTTTTGGTTTGCATGACTTAGGTGGCGTCTCGTCCTTTTCCATGAAGTACTGATTTTTATAAACTGGAAATTCTGCGTAGCCAATTTTACATTGTCCACAAGGCGGCATGGTTGTGAAAATTGTATATATTTCTGATGCCTAAATTCCAAACTCAGGTGAATGAATCAGGCAAAAAGCCGGTAGAGATTTTATTACATTTTAAGGTCACCTTAATTTCAAAGAATTTAAACTGAATGTTCGGTACATATACCTGTATCCATGATAACAGTTTTTCAAAAAAATTATGCCTCTAGTGATCTATTCGATTTATCAAGTTAGCATCTCATACACTGGTTAATCAAGCAATTTATGATTTTTATTCAGAATTATGATTATTTTTGGACACGTGTGCACTCGTACTGTATAATTATGTAGTTAACATTGTAAAAACTGTACATGCTACTTAATTAATTAAGAAGGTCTAAAGTGCAATATGTCAACGAAAACTTATAAGCCTGGCAAAAATAGGATACAAGTGGGTGTTATTCGCTTTCTTGCATGCATTGTTCCAAACTTTACTAGACCATGTACAGATTTACTCGATTTTCCACTGCTTTCGCGATAAAATCAACGGATGTGTATCACACGTCCAACAAATTGCTTTACTAACTGGCAAACCAAGCTGGCTTGGCAAAAGCTTCAGTCTCCGCATCAAAGTACTTCTTTTTTCATTCATATTATTGGCAGTGACAGTTACTACGATCATACTCGCAGCTGTTTAGCTGTTTATCTGTCCCGAAACTGTAAAATTATTTATCGACAAAACGTAAAGGGGTAAATATCGATAATAACAATGCCCTTCACAAGTAACAATCGTTACCTTGTTTGTGGATTGGTGGTTGCCTTGCTTGCGCTGTTAAATGGACATGCCGTAAGCATGGCGCGTTCCGGTACGCTCGAAGATAATTTTTTGTTCTATCAGTAATCCAAATGATATTGCAATACATATATACTCATACAGTGTCTTGCTTATTACAGTCAGAAGCGGGAGTTTGAGCTGCGTGAGAGATACCGACTGTTTGTGGGGTTATCGCTGCTCGGATACCGATCCGACGGATGCCATCGATGGCATTTGCCGATCCTGTATCCGACAATGTAATTCCAGCTCCGACTGCCATGGAGGAAGGTGCAAGAATGGTTGCTGTCCTACGATGACGTAGAGGAATCTTTTTGCATAAGACTTACTGTGGATAACAAATCTGTAGTTGAATTTTGGCCAAACATCTTATGCGGCTAATTAAACATTTACATCTCTTATGTATATGGCTTTTCTTCTTCCTAACTTAATTAACTAATCCGGTTCTAGCATAAGGCACAATTTGGTATAATTAAATCTACTACAAAACTGTATTGCAATCCACTGACCACTGACCAGCTCCATGCAAAACTTAAAACTGAAAGAAACAAAATAAAAAATGTGGTATCAAAGTACGCTTTCGTTCAGATAGATTATTAATTACTGCATTAACTACTGCATTTAACAAAAATAGCAGGTTATCAACAAATGTTATAAAAAATAAAAACATACATCTAGGTATTATTTATCTGTTCTTATGCAATTAGGTATCACTAATAAAATTAAAAAGTACTTATAAAAATTTAAGCTGCTGCATAGCTCTAAGCAGAATTACAACTAATTGACACAATGCACTGCAGCGAACTGAATTTCTCTGCGGCTCGCACTTGTATACAAGGCTACCGTGCATTATTGCCCAAAGCGGAAACCGGCAATATTGTAAGCGCATCCTGTCACTTTGGGCGGCAGTATACTGCGATGTCACTATGAATGCGCCTGTGCCGGCAGCGCAACATGACCGGGGCATGAGCAGCCACTTACATGTATGTATCCCATTTGAGCTCCCATCTGATCCAGTTGACTTGTTGGCTGATTATTTCACACGTAGCTTCCCGTCAAAGAAAAGGACAGAGAAAGGGGATAAAAGGCTGCATGGCATGCAATGCCTGGCATGATGGCAGTGCCACAGTGTATAGCGTATTGCGATACACAGAGATACACACACCGTGATAGGCATACATACATATATAACAACATGATGAGTATCCTTTCATGGATCCTTGATTCATTCCGCTCTCTTTATTCCTATTTAATGCATTTTCCCGGTTAAAACACCACACAAGACATACAGGCGCGCGAGGGCGCGCATACCCACACAGGAGTTGCAGAAATATTCCGACCAACTCTTTTGCTGCCATACACTCAACGCACACACAGACACAGTCACATCCGGGACGCGACACTTACACAAGCTGCTTGCATGAGCTGCATTGCCGCGTATAAACTGCGCTATATGGCCAGCATGGCGGCCGATCATCATCCGCATCATCATCATCATCAAGCTCATCATCATCACCACGAATCCTCCGAATTAATTCCCCCTTCATCATCATCATCCACCGCATCATCACCCAACAAACTACGAAACACTCCGCCGGACAATGCCGCCCGATCAGCCGCCAGCATCGATAAAGAAACATTCGTCAAATTCCTCAGCCAGAATAAACACGTTCAAGGTAAGACGACGGCCGTTATATCCGCGATGCGGACGCGCGCGTTTTCGCTTTGTTGACTGAACGCGCGCCGTGTGAAACTTTTTCGTCTTAGCACATTATCGAATTATTCCCTTTGGTTTTGATCGAGTAGAGTGGCGCGGAGTTTGTGGTCGTAGTATGCAGTACGGTACAGTAGGAGCCCGGGCGAAATTGAAATGCAATTATTCATGATCACATGCGGTGCGGGTTTTTTAATTTTACTAAGTGGAATTAATCATCGGATGAGGCCGATGAGTTCGATTGGGCATAGAGTGAGAATATTCCAGCATGGTCCAACTTACTTTAGATTGCTCAAACTCAATACGGTCGACGACTGATCGCGTCCTTTTCATCCCCACCAAAGGCTGAATTTTTGATAATATTTTAATCGTCTTCAACAACGGTCGCCGTCGGTTGCGCCGCACTCTTCCACTCGGGTTGGGGATGGGATGAAATGGTTGGCGCGCCGGACAATAATTGAGTATCATTACTTTCATTTCCTTCCAATATCCTACTCATAGTGCTAATTTATTTAAATTGAAATTCATCAGGTTGATTGCTTCCCTCTTCGCCATAAAATTGTCCTAATCATTCATCCTACTCTGATCGCTTTGCCCGGCGTGTGTATATAAACTTGTCGAATGTTACTCAAACACATCATTTCGTGTTTCGCGAACTACTCGTGTTTTCCCATCTGCAGTATCGTGTTATGAACAATTAGTTCCCAAGTCGATTGAAAAATTTGAGGACTTACCTAAATTCATCTGGCATGATATGGACACTGTGCATGCCGGCGTGTGCCGCCGATCATTCGGCAATTAGTGCTCTTTACTGCACTGAATAGACTTCCAACTGAGAAAATTTGTGCATGCTTCCATTCTTCGACATTTAAAGGTGAAGAGTAGGATTCACCTGTGGATTTCCTGAATGCGGGTTATCATTGTAATTATCCTCAAAGGATTGTATAAAAATCTACAACTGGTACAACAGCAGGGTAAGCAGTCCAGTGTAAACAGGTGTTTAGACGATTTAAAATTGACGCTCCTGTATATAGTGGATGCAATAAGCCTCAAAATCCTAATTTTATTAATCTCTAATAGCAGCAGTTTAAAATATTCCAACCCTTCAAATATTCAAGTAAATTTTTTCGGAACTCTGACCAGCTATTGTAAGCTTCGGCATTTTTTAGTTCGGGCAGTACTCGGTACTATCGCAAGTGTATTTAACTAACTATCATCAAATTTTGTCAAAGGTCATGCAGTGCAGCATGAACAATAGCATAGGACAACTCAACCAAAACTTCCTTCAAGTAATTCTTTCGTCATCGTGGTGTGGTGTTTTTGTAGTAATTAGTGCAATGTCCACTAATCACGAGCGCGACTGCATGAACGTATTATGGATAATTAACTGCCACTAGTATTTTCACTGTATAAGGCAGTTTAAGAAAATTACGAAACAATTTTTCAGGAAAAAATAGCTTTTCTTGGTGCAGCTATGTTGCTTTTGGGGCTGTGATGTATAGACAATGAAAACATCTCTGCGTCAGGTTCAACGTCCGCCGTTTTTTTACAAGTTTATTAACAAATCGTGGCATAACAATTTACTAACTGTTTCAAGAACGGCTTTGCCTTCTTGAATTATAGTTGAGTAACAGATCTAGCGGTAAACATAAGGCTGGTACGTATATGCGATGACGCCCAACATTCAACAAAATATTGGTTCGGATTAAAGATGGTCGTGTTGGCTAATGGAATGGGATTTGAAGTGCACTACGCACTGCACGTGTTAGCCCCTTGGGAAAAAGGTATCGAATCCCCGAACGACCACACAAACAAGCGCTCCTTGATCAGTCCATTATCAAGGATCAACTAGCCAAATCCTCCTATTACCATCACCCACTCTCAATATGATGCATACTGCAAAGTAGCAGACTTAAATAATAAACGCAATGTATATTACGATGTATTGCATTTACGCAAACATACTATGCGCGCCACACTGTTTCCAGGTTTTTACCACCTCAGCAATAATTTTATTGCTTAGTTTGCGGCTTTGCGTTAAAAATTTGCGTATGTTCCAATGGGTGTCTTTCCGGCAGTACTGCTTGAACCAGTTAACATCCAAAATTTAAAATACAGCCTAAATTAGCGTCTCAGTACTGAACTCAGAGAGCAACAATCATTCAGCGGCATGTAAAAATGTAATTTTTAAAAAGGAAATTTGTTGCTATATGTCGATGCAAAAATTATATAATTATATAAATAAGCACGCCATCCCAAGCACGCGTTGTCTAGAGAAGCTTGCTAATGGCACACTTTGTACAAATCTAAGGATACAATTTCGGTATCGCAGTGAATCAATAAGCAGCCCATCTGTTACCGAGATTCCTTCTGACTGATATTGTATTTATGCTGTTTTGCACCGCTTAAATGATTTCCGGCACGCATAATGCACAAGGAAAAACTAGGTGACAGATGGATACTTTCCAGTGCGGCTACTGGAAAAATACACTCGGATGGACATGTCCATGTTCACGGTGGCAAAAGTCAATAGAAAAGCGCTAATGGCCCTCCATAAAGCACCTAATAAAATTCCCGTAAATTCCATTAACAAATCACCATTATAAGAATTCAGTCAGCGTGACCTTTCAGATAATTAATTTTTCATTTGCTATCCGCTGTAATCCTCGACACCTATGCGCGCTACGAGATTCCTTAATCTGGATCAAAATGGCGCAATACGGATTCCTTGGTTTGGAATGGGTGATTTTCTCCGCAGGTTGTCGTGTTTTCTTAATGCCAAGAATAGGCGCTCTCGACTAATTAGTTTTATACGCCTGCGTAACCAGCATCCTTTCCCTGGTTTCCATCCCGCTGGATGGGCAGCACTGGGGCAGCGCTCTGGATGATGCTTATCAGATTAGCAATGTGTCAAGCAGTGAAGAGGAGCAAATGCTGGAGCATCGATTAGGTTGGCGTTATAGGACATATCACAGGCGCACACACAGTATACAGGAAAGGAGAAAGGCTCAGCTGATTGTGATTGGGTGTTTAGCGCAGGCAAAGTGCGGTTGGATTAACGGTCGACTCATGAGCGGGCGCGAGCATTCCTGTAATGCCATCCATCCGCTGTCATATTTTGCACAAAGAAAATAGTGACATTCGTGGGAAAAGCTTTTAAGGCTGAAAAGCCAAAACAATAACCACTGTAACAGTGGTTATTGTGGCACTGTTTAACGTTTCTAGTTTGCCGGATATATTAATCCGCACACCAGCATTACATCCATGTGACCTTTAGAGAATCAAATATTATTACTCGATCATTGCAATGGACAAAGGTCATGGACGATGACAAAGTGCTATGTTTAGAAACAACAGGGCAAAATAAGCAAACACTACCAAATTATGTAATTGGTGAATTGTTATTACTTTGCTGCAGTCATAACAGGAACAACTTTCCATTTTATCGCCAATTAGAATTAATCAAATCCACCGAGGCTATGTGCGAGTATTTAAGTGTTCCTCCTCTGCCCAGGCTGTAGGCAGCTGCATAGTGCAAGCAGTTTATGGCGCAAAGCGCAAACAGTCCTTAAGTGTTGATGCTAAATGTCTCGGGAGAAATCAGTATAAACATACAGGCACAATTTGCCAGTGGAAACGATTCTCGACATCCAGAGCGCAGTGTCCGACCCAGTAGACCGGTCATATCGATAGCGTTTTTGCCTGTGGCAGTGCGTGCACAGGATGACGGGAGTAAGGGGAAACAAGAGAGTCCTGTTTGTTCGCTCTATTGCTTCATTTGATTCAATTAGTTTAAATATTACTGCTCGTTGTCTCTGCCTACCCGATTCAACGGATTGATCCCCATTGATCAAACGGGTTAATGGAATGCTAGCTCAGTTGCCGCATTCTCCCGCAGACTGTGGAACTGAATATGATACAAATACATAGTCAAATATCGTACTTATGTACACGCGCAGTACAGAATTATTATCATTTTCTGTAGATATACTTTCTGTATATATATTTCAGTGAACTTTTTATTTGCAATATTCGCTATAGCTAAACTAAAATACCGTAACTCAGCAGAAAAGACAACCAAACAGGGTGAAATTTAATTAATTAATTAAGTGACAATATTATTTTAATAAATACTATGTGATTTATCTGCGCAAAAGGTCATTTTTAAAGTTTATACCATAAAGAATATATGTACAATGTATCATACTTCTAGCATAATGTTAACATGTGCGCTTTTGTAGAATGCATAGCCTACTGCCACGGCTGCCAGGAACCCATATTCGACCGGTTCATCTGGCAGATCCTCGACCTGAAATGGCATGCCGATTGTCTAGTGTGTACCGTCTGCCATCAGCGCCTCTCCACTAAGTGCTACAACAAAGATGGAAAGATCCTTTGTAAAAACGACTTTTTCAAGTAGGCACACGGCATGCCAGCACGATAGGCAAACTTGTCCGGAACTGTATTTACATCATCTTTTCAGGACCTATGGAACCAAATGCGCGAGCTGCGAGCAAGGCATAGCACCGGATGACCTGGTACGGCACGCAGGGGAATACGCCTACCATGTCGAGTGCTTTGTTTGTTATGTGTGCGCCAAGAATTTCGCCACCGGCGAGGAGTTCTATTTAATGGAAAACAAGAAGGTGGTGTGCAAAATGGATTACGATAATTCTAAGTCCAAAGGTATACTTCTATCTGGCAATACCCACATACGCAGCTCTACGTCTCCCACCTAGTTCAGTTTTGACGTAATAAACCCAGCCAAACGAGATAGAGTGCGCAGTTACAAGTAATTAAAATTACTGTTTATCTTACTCTGAAAAATGTTGTCCGGAAAATATTAGATCAGCGGAGTTATCCTCTGCTAATCCTAAGAAACTTGCTAAAATACAGCTTCATCAGAGACGTCGAACAAGCGGCCAAGGACAACAATTTCTGCCAAACAACTGGAAACGCTCAAACTAGCTTACAATGCCAGCTCAAAACCTGCTCGTCATATTCGGGAACAGTTGAGCCACGATACCGGCTTGGATATGCGTGTTGTTCAGGTAAAATCTACACACTACAATAAATCTTACTTATATCAGTTGGACAGTGTGCCGTCAATTTCATGTGCCGCAAGAAGCGGCTTTTTCTACCTTTAACAAACCACTGAAATAAAACATAGATAATGCGGAGTAACGGTTTATATTTCTACACTTACGTATATACTGACAAGTGACAAGTGAGTAAATTCGACATATCTATATACGTATATAGTATATGTTTTTGTATTTTATAAAGAAACATAAACACAACCGCAGACCTCCAAGTACTGTTTATGATTTCACACTTTTTATTATGGAGTCATATTATACAGAAACTGCAGCGTGCATGTACGATGAAACAACTATGCGTAGAAATATACCAAATAGCGAATTGTGACTTTACTAAAATTAAAATGATTTACACGTAACACGCAACATTATGCGTACTACAGTACAGTATACGTATTGAGACAATAAATAACAGCAGCAATTAACCAAACCATACTAATTGTACTGAAAGAAATTCCCAGCGATACCGGTTATCTGTTGCTTTAGACTGTTTTGCATATTTCGGTTTTGAATGCACCTTTATCTCTTTGTAACACACAAACATTTAGCGGAATATTGGGCCGATTATTTCTAATCACCCAAATTCCGATAACCTGTGAAAAACGTGCGCGCCAATCATGAAATATTTAGGTGTGGTTCCAAAACCGGAGAGCAAAAGAAAAACGCTTGAAAAAAGATGCAGGACGTAATGGGTGGAATCCGTATTTCCACGGCCGAGCTGGAGGGAAGAAATACGACCTGGACGATGACGATATGCTAGACGACGACTCATGTAGCGACAAACAAGCATTTGACGCACGCTCCGGAAGTAAGCGCGACAGCTTAGCAATTCATATTCCATTACTTCAACTAATTAATTTATTTAAAAACTGCAAAAAAAGTATTAGCCGCAAGCTACTTAATCAGTAAATGCAGTAATTAACTATCATACAGCACCTAGTTTGTTTCCCGTTTAAGTGTCTAAATAAGTCAGTTTACGTGCCATTCAGTTTAGTGAGTTTAAAAAATTATAAAACCAACTTCGGCTCTTGAGTACAGATATGTAGCATCAGTAAAACAACTATCGGTGACATGAAAAGCAGGTATACCGATGCACTCATGTATATAACGCTAACGGATGTTTCCTCATTTATAGGTCACCATAGTGGATATGTGGATGATGAAGACTCATCGGATTCATATGGGAAAATGTCAGTCTTCTCCTCCCCCGATCCGACCCGTTCTCATCTCAATCCAGCATTTGTTAATCCTGCTTTCCCGGTTGGTCCACCTAGCGACGCCTACCGTGATTCGCCTAGTTATTTTCCCCAGCGCTATCAAGCCGTTCCACCAGGCACCGGTTACTCATGATTGTTGTAAAAATTTTACCAAAAACTGGATGATCAATAACTTTTCACAGAGTTATAACCAATCTATAATTAGCTCTTTCTAATCTACCTGTAACCAGTTAACAACTAACAACGATTAAAAGGTTTGCCCTCTTCACGCGGATGTCTATGCTGGACAAATGAACTGGTTGCGAAATATTTGTTAAGACCACTCATAGAAGCATCGATAATGCAAGTCCCTAACACCGGTGACTTCTTTATTTTTCACTGTACAAAGATACCACGATAGATATCTGGTTCATAAAAAAATTATTTTTATTAATTATATAATTGTCAGGTCTTTGCATGCCTCTCGGTATGATAGAAACTCCACAGTTCTGTAATATTCGGCTCAAGATGACGAAACTTACTAGTAACTGTTAATTAAGAAGTAGGGTACCTGCTTGGGTGGCACAAGTTTGAGAATGTTTGTATGTGTCGTCACATATTATTATTGAACAGCTCATGAAAATTTAGCTTAATTTCGTTGCATGTTCATACGAGTGCACATGCAGATATTAAAAAACAAGTAGAAAAAAAAGACAAAAGTAGACAAAAGAAAATTTATAAAACTATGATGTAATTTTTTTAAAGCATTATATTTATAGATAGGTCACAGGCCGCGAAGATACTTATCGTCCGTGGCTGGCGATTGGCATGCATCAGCTTATCTGTAAACAATTGGAAAAGAGTCATTTTGTACTTATCGTTACTTGCGTTGAGCCTACTTGTATTGACTTTTGTGTAATAATAATTATGGAAATGAGTATGCCTCATACCACATTCTAAGTCTATGATTAATTATTAGCACAGAGCCGCGCATCTATAGCTGAACGTCAAAAGTTATTCACATAAGAATGACCAATCACAGTAGCCAAACAGGAGGTGACCCTTATCGCAATACAGCACTGCGGACAATCGCATTTGTATATGTACGGAACAATGAATATTTCCACCGAAAAAATTTGATTCAGACGTCCGCTCGCCGTATGGTGTTTACTATTGTTCCTTTCTTTATCAGTAAAGATGTTCTGTCATCGCTGCGGTTGCTCCACCAAATCATACCGCGATACATTTTCGATAAGCATTATAACAAGTATGACTGCAAAAATTGCTAATACCTATCTGTTATCGGCGAGCAACACACGTGAATTTTGTTAACCTTGGCCGTGCGACGTAAATTCGGTATCTTCACAAGAAATACCATATCGGAAACCGTTTATTATCAGAAGCTCTGCACGCTGGCCTATTGTAAAAATATTTTTCTGATTAAATATCTTCATATAGAACGAGAACTGCATTGTACCGATTTGATAGCAAACAAATAAGGCTACCGTGCCAGTATCGCGACAATCACCATCAGAATTCGCAAACATACCGCAGCACATGAACAATCGCGCGATAAAAATGTTAGCAAGAATATCTTCAAAAGATAACGATTGTTTTCCATTTCCCATCAACACCCGCGTTAATAACGGATAAGGTATAAAATGAGGCGCTGGGATGTGCTGATAGTGTGTAGACATTTCAGTTTTCATTTCAACCCCTCCTGTCTCTAAGAATTTCACCATGAATATCTTCGTCATTGTTGCCGCTTTCTTTATTGGTAAGTCTTCTTGCATATAATTTTAATTAACGAATTAAAGGGTCAGGGCGTAATGCTGACCTTTATGCAACATGTGCTGATTGATTATCAACGGCGTCGTTTTTACAGGTGCGGCTTACACCAAGCCGGCTCCACCAAAAATCGTTGGTGGCGACCATGTCGTCAAGGGTGATCACCCCTACCAGATCCACCTTCGCCGCACCATCAACTACTTTGGCATCTTCCAGTCCACCAGCTGGGGCTGCGGTGGTTCCATCATCAGCGCCAACTACGTCCTGACGGCCGCTCACTGCGTGAAGGACTTTGACGGCCGCACCGATTTGGCCGCCGCCAACCTGTTGATCCGTGTCGGCCAGCACGATTCCTCCGAGCAGGAGTCCCATGCCGAGAACTACCGCGTCCGCCGTGTCATCTCCCACAACGGTTTCAACCCCAGCACCCTGGTCCATGATGTGGCTCTCCTGGAGGTCGATCCCATCACCTTCACCGACCACGCTCAGGCCGTGCCCTTGGCCGCCATCAGACCCTCCACCGGTGCTGAATTGACCGTCACCGGGTGGGGCACCACCTCCTCGGGTGGATCCGCCAGCGAGATCCTGCAGTCCGTCAACGTGCACGTTGTGGACCGTGCTACCTGCAACGGCCCGTCCTCGTATGCCGGTGCCATTGTCGATGGTATGTTGTGCGCGGCGGCCAATGGCAAGGACAGCTGCCAGGGTGACAGCGGTGGACCCTTGACCGCTACCGATGCCAACGGTCAGGACAGTCTGGTCGGTGTGGTTTCGTGGGGTCGTGGCTGTGCCTTCGATGGTTATCCCGGAGTATACGCTGATGTCGTCTACTACCTGCCCTGGATCCAACAGAACTCGGGTGTGGTCCCCGCTCCGTCGGCCGGTGCCCGCCTTTAAATTAAGGCGATCCTGAATAAGAGTTTTTTCCGGCAAATGTTTTTGCCGTTTCTGTAAATTTGCACTCTAAATACTGAACTCCGACATTTGTCTATGCAAAGGCTAAATTTTTTCTATTGTGATGGAAACGCAAAAGGGCGCGAGGGCCCGGTCAGAATAAAGATCTCCAACGGTTGCACCCAAAAGCTTAATTTCGTCATTTTACCTCTTGCCAAGTTATTCTGCTAGTTCTGTTATCCCACTCGTGCAAAAGTAAAATGTTAATTATTTAAGCCTTTTGAAAAACCGTTTTCGGTAATATAATAGAGCCTGACCGCGGCAGTCACGTCATCGTGAGCAATTGTTTAATTAATTTTGTATGCCGTTATGCAACTGTGGGATAGCTAAACGCTTTAGCGTTTCCCATTAAAAGCTTCGTGATTTATGCCACAGTCGGGATACAGCGGCATGAGTGTGGTGGAAGTTAAAAATGAATATTTTCTATACGAAACAAGGGATTTTTCATAACATGGTTTATAAAAAGGCGCACGTTTTGTATGGCGCGCACAGCAAAAATTTTGACAGCTTGGTATACCTATGTATATAAAACTGTTGAACAGCATCCGTAAGACCACACGTACAAACTTGCTGAATACCTACACAGATCACCCAAAGCTGGAATACATACATATGATTATGGAGTTGACAATTTACTGAGTTAGAAGTTAGAACTTTGATACAACAATTAATACAAAACGTCGGACTGTACAATAGATACGAGTGGTATACGTACTCGTATGTACAACTGTAACAACTCTCACACATGAAAAGTGCACTGATAGTCCGATGTACAGTGTAACGTCGATTACAGCTCATTTTGCAGGTCGACATTAACAATAGGTCGCCATCTAATAGCACCGCACGCTTTGTTCTAAATCCGTTCCTACAACTGCGCAGGGGCTCGGTGGTGAGCCGGTAGAGCTGGAATCGGCACCGGATGACGTAGATGAGCTGGTGCTTGATGGCTCCGTTGAAGATCCTGGCTCGGTGCTGCTGCTCAGTGTTGTTGCATTCGTTCCCGCAGTGCTGCCACTCGACACCGTGGATCCGGTAGCAGTGGAAGTCGGGTCTGGAGAAGAAGTTACAGCAGTACTACCACCGGTAGACGATGGAGCCGCAGTGCTGGTGGACCGCGGGCCATAAGCATAGCCCCCTGCCGGGGGCAGTTGGTAGCCGCAGGGAATACTGGAGCCATCTTCGGCATAGCACAATTCACTGGGAGAATGGGGTGGGATTCCGTATCCGTATACGCCATAAGGTGGTGGTTGTGCAGCATACTGAGGTGGTGGATTCACCGGTACGGGTGGAACTACATGAGACTGTGGTGTGAAGTATGGAGGGGGCTGTCGATTTGCGGTAACCACTGGGTGGGGATATGAGTTGACCAAAATCGGGGGGGCCGGGATGGTATACCTGCAGATTATATTGTCGTGGCGGAGCTTGAGGAGTACTTTGAGCAGGGACACCTGGTTGATAAGGGTTTAACGCATTAGTCGAATATCCCTGCATTCCAGCATGAGCGTTGACTGCACCGGCCGGTGGTTCCGGTACCGGTGCAGCCAGTTGTAGATTCAAAGCCTTCGGTGGATATGCCGATAATTCAATCCGACTTCTGGTCTCGTCATTGTTAAGTCCACTGCGTCACAAAAATCGTATCAGCAATTGCTGATGCTTGATTTACTACTTTATCCCCCTGTTCGCATTAAAAAACGCAACCGCGGTACCTGTTGTTATACCGAAGAATGTTTGGGTCATTGTGATACACAATGGCACTGGTAGAATCGTAATTTGGTAATGGCGGTGGCAGGTTTATCACCGGTATGCTGAAATTATAAACAGGCACCATCAAGCACCATAACGCGTAGATCCAGAAGAATCTCCCAGACGCAACAAAGCTATCCAAGAGGCAACAAATATACAACTGAATGTACCTTAAAGGTGCCGGTAATGGTGCGGTATTCGTATACGACTGGGGCGGCGATACCACTGTTTGTGGAGCGCATGGACAGCAAGGCTGCTGTGGAACATAATTCGATGCTTGATTTTGCATGTCTGCATATCCTCCAGCTTCGCGTGGGATAATGTTTTCTGGAGCATAACCGTCGAAAGGTGGAGGTGGCCCCTGATAGGACAACTTCTTGCGCCCTTTCCTACGACCACTTTTTGGGCGGTTCTGGTACGCGCGAAAGCCTCCCACGCCGTATTCGCTTAGTTGCCGCTTGGATATTCGGCTCGGGCTGCGCTTATCATATCCAGTATAATAATAAGGGTGAAACAAATGCACGCCATTCGACAGCGGAAAGGATTTTAGTTCACTTCGAATGCTTGCTGCCGGCGCGCTTCGGAAAATTATCTGTAAGGTGTAAATGTGTAAATACCGTGTCAATACTTACGTCATTTACCGGTAAGTTAATTTTAATAACTAACTCGCTTTAGGAGCATTCGCAAGAAATACGGTTAGTTTGCTTTTAGTAAACTAGAAACAATACGTGTAACCTTTACGGTAACTAGAGCTTCGCAGTACGTAGAACAACAATCTGCGTGACCAACAGAGACCAACAGACAGTGTACATCGTGCTAACATGAGGTCGTACAAACCAATAAAACTGCCAGATATTTTCCCTTGTCGCTGCACAACATTTTTTAGAAGATCCCCGAGAACAACTCAGGTGCAGAAAAAGCTAACTGTCAAAACTACGTAAAGATTCTAATTTTTTAAAAGCGAAGTTTTCATAATAGGATCACATTTGTTATTGTGTCAATCAAGATTTGCGTGCATAGTTTGTTCGCCCGGATTCGCATTCTGAACCGCATAAAGTGATGCCGGGCAAGTACGAGTAACAACTTTCAATGCGTTGCTAATTATGCAATATGACTGTGGTTGCCGGAAAATGACACCTAACCTTGTTATGCAGCTTTTGGTAACGGCAGGAAAAAATATCGTTCATTATTGTATAATCACCGGACATTTATCTCGGGCATATCTGAGTTTAAAAAGAGTGAGCACATATTTCAAACTTAAAATATAACAGGAACATATACAATAATTAATATACGAATATGAATGACAATAACAATGATAATACAGTGATACAATATGACATCACGATTTCGAGCGATTGTTGTTTATATTCGTTCGTGCTGCCTACATCTGTCGATCTCCCAATGCTCCGGTTAACGAAAACGTTATCCCAGTGAGCATAATTATAAGATCAGTTAATATAATAACAAATAATATAATAACAATAATGAATAATATAATAACGAAATATAATAACAATGTTTATATATATAACACTTTTATACAACAGTTCCGGTTCTCAGTGAACATTGATTCGTATAATGTTATGACTGACCCCATCTCTAACAGTTATAGGAACTGAGCGTTATAACAGGAATGGTTTCAATAAATTAACGCAATCCTGATTATTCATTTCGGCATTGAATTATGGGTTAGAAAGCATCGCTCGTAGTCACAGATTAATGTTGGTACTGACTGACACAAGAAAACGTCCTATCAGAGATTTAAAGGTGAAGATCCAAAATGTTCGGTACCAGTATCAGCTGATAAGATGGCGTAAGGGAAGGAGCACTGCAGAAAGTGCGACCACCTAAATTTCTGTTGATATCTTTCGAGGTTGGCCTTAACTATGTGTGCCATGAAATTAGCGATAAACAGTGCTTTTGTGTTATTGTTTTAAACTAGAATAGAATAGCGGCGAGAGTATTTATGTATAAAAGTCTTGGGAAAAACAATAAATTTTGAGATCGCTTTAGCCACTTTTGGCCTGGTCTACAGAGTACTTCAGTTACGAGGACGCCGGTTGCGAACTGTACATTTATTTTGGAATTGCGCGTTGATTATATCAGCCAGCGTTTTCGCAATGAAGGCTGACATTATTTTCGTCTTGCTATCTATTGGTACGTTCAAAGTTTCAACAAATTCCGGCATGAACTAAAACGAATTTGTGCATTTGATACTTTTATTGCATTATGGCTTTTATAATTGCAACTGGAAATTATAACTGAAAATCGGAATCGAAAAGTAAAGTATAATTGCGCTTTGTCAGCGCCAAAGCAGTTTCATAGAAGTATTCGCGGTTTGCTGGCCACATATTGATTTAAGCACCTGGCTGCAACTACAAAGTACTCTTAAATGCAGTTACTAAATAGCCGTTTATCTAGGTTTTGTAATTAGCCTAATCCGGTCATTGCAGGTGTCGCATACTGTAAACCGGCACCGCATAAGATTGTGGGAGGCGACGATGCAGACAAAGGTGACCATCCCTACCAGATCCACCTCCGCCGCACCATCAACTACTTTGGTATCTTCCAGTCCACCAGCTGGGGCTGCGGAGGTTCCATCATCAGCGCCAATTACATCCTGACCGCCGCCCACTGTGTAAAGGATTTTGACGGCCGCACCGACTTAGCCGCCGCCAACCTCTTGATCCGCGCCGGTCAGCACGACTCCTCCGAACAGGAGTCCCATGCTGCGAATTACAACGTGCGCCGTGTCATTTCCCACGCGCAGTTTAATCCCAGCACCCTGGACTACGACGTGGCCTTACTGGAAGTGGACACCATCACCTTCACCGACCACGTGCAGGCGATCGGGCTGGCAGCGGTGACCCCGGCTGTGGGTGCGGAACTGACGGTCACCGGTTGGGGCACCACCTCCTCCGGTGGAGTGACCAGCGACATTCTCCAGTATGTTAACGTCCATGTCGTGGACCAGGTCAGCTGCAATGCGGCTTAAATCGGACAGATTACCGCCAACATGATCTGCGCAGCGGCTAACGGCAAGGACAGCTGCCAAGGTGACAGCGGTGGTCCGCTGACCGTGACCGCTGCCAATGGGAAAGAGAGTTTAGTCGGCATTGTATCGTGGGGGCGGGGCTGCGCGCTTCCTGGCTATCCGGGTGTCTACACTAGCGTACCCCAGTTTTTGTCGTGGATTCGACAAGCCACTGGGATTTTTTGAGTGGGTACTATGAAACTAGCAAAACATGTTCGTTGATGTATTGACATACGTAAAATTACGTCTGTGGTTACTAGCTGAAGGCGAGAATTAATGCCAGATATCCCCTGCAGAGTGTGATTTCGAAATTGACTGACATATTCGAAAATGTTATTAAGTCCTTTTGGTTGTATTATTTTCATTCTTCTCGTGTCGTGTACTTGCATATCTAGTGACCAGTGTCCCTATATTCACTGCTCGCTTAATATTCTGCCCGCAGTTAGAATAGTTTCAGGCCATTTCCGGCGTGGGTATGTAAGACAAATATGTAAGACTTGCCGTTGAAGGCATAATATGCAAGTCAATAAAAAAGTTACAGATTTGGTCAGAATGTCCGATTAAGCACTTCGTTGTACTTTATCGCCAAGCCGAGCAGGATATCCATTAGAATAGCTTTTTTTGACTCCGAAGCTAGGTTGGCTTGTTAGTTGTTACTACTGTATTACAGTGGCATTTTTTACAATAATTGGGTGAAAAGTTGACATGCAAATTTCCAAAAAGATAAATTTAATAACTTACCATAATTTGTAGAACGATGGACGCAATAAGCACTGGCCAGTGCCCATTGGCGCAAATATGCAGCTATTGCACACTGCCGAACTGTGTAGTGAGCACTGCGCACAGAATCATACAGAGCCTTTTGGTACTCTAGTCACTAGTGACCTAGTCTACACTCTAAAGTCGTTTTCTTATTTTCTCTAGTTCGGTTTCTTATTTACGGACTTACAGTTGTTTTGCATCCTCTGCTGGTGTCAGGGTTCGATGATTTGGGTTGGATGATTCATCCGTCAGTCCGCGAATCTGGGAATCTGATTTTCCCATGAATCATGGACTTTATTAATTTCGAAGTTCACTTCCCTGGCGGATCGGTACGGGAGTTTCTCCTCAATGCGTCTGTGAGCGCGGATAAGCATAATAAACCATCTTACTCTTTCTCCCTGCTGCGGATGCTGATTGCTGACAAGATACCGAAGGACTTCCCTTTCACCCTAACATGGCAGGGTAATTATGGATCGACATGAGCGATTCGCGCCTGCTTGAAGCGATGACTTCAGGCACCATTGAAAACCTACGTTTTTATTCAGACGTAGAAATTATCAGCGCGCATTCTTCGGGAGCTGGGAATTACTCTTAATTGCGGAATGTATTTAGTGATTGAATAATGTGTTGTAGATCGAAAGGGAAAGAGTCTCCCTGTGGCGCGGCAGCAGGATCTCGACGCCATAATTGACCGAAGCATATCACACAGCGGTTCAGGGGTAGCAGCGTTGACGACGAGTTTTACGATTGCTGTGCAGGTTGTGCGGGAGAAGTTGGACGGCGAGAAAGGCGCAGGTGAGCTGATATTGCATACTTAACTGCAGCACTGAACAGAGAACGGTGATTTTTTGTTTACTTGCAATGATTGCGGGGATATTTTACATCTTGGTCGAACTTGTTTGGTACCTTAAGGCTTAAAATAGGGTGGTAAAAAACAGCACTGAGGGTTCAGCTTTTTTTGAAAATTTTTTTGTGGTTTGAATCACTAATGGTAAGTAAAAGTAATGGAATTATTGTGGAATTTTGTTAATTACTGTTATGCAGACTGTTAGCCCATTTTTGCAATTTGCAGAAAATCAGTCCGAGATGCCTGTTGGTTCGTCGCGTCATTTAACGGCGCAAGCACCCTTGGATCCCGCGAAACGAACAATTCAGACCAGACAGTCAAGAAGACGGTCGCATGGCCAGGCAGCTTCCGATACAGGTGGATTGTGATGTTGTGCTGTGTTAGATTCCACGCTATGCGAAAAATATCCTGCCGCTGAAATGCGCGGTCACACTGTAGCGGATGTGTTCATTTAAAATGCAATTTGTTTTCCTTGCAGAAAAAGTCAACACTGTCCTTACGGGAATTGGTGATTCGAAACCAGGTATTTTAATAAAAGCGTTTGTCACACGAACCACCATCGCTCCATGGATTCTGGAGAAGAAAAGTCGGACGATTAATGGATGATCTATTTTTGTAGGGGGAGCCCGATATTATCCTTGTGAGAAATGCTCGACTAATTTCTTCTCACAATTAGCATTGGATCGACATGTGGAGATTTGTTCTTTGCCGAAAACTGAAGGTTTGCACATAATTAATCCCTTTTGAGCAAAGTGTTAATGTGATACAACGTCAGATGTATGGGAGCTTGCAAAATTACACCCTGTTGTATGTTTTGAACAATCAGCAAGACGCATAGTTTTGTAGATTCCACACCGAAAGACCTATCGGTGCCTGATGAAGAAGCAGAGCGTTTCTCATGTGAAAAATGTTCCTGTATTTTCTTTTCGAAAACCACGCTGGACAAACATGTGACCACATGTTCCCTTCCTAATGCAAAGGGTAAGTTAATAGTCATCATCGACCATCGTAAAGTGTGAATTGTGTTTTCGTATGCGAATTTTGCTTCAGTTATTAAAAACAGCTTTAAAATATGTTAAATTTTCACTGTATAGCATGTGCGATCGGTTTGTGATTTTTCAGAGACAAAATACACCTGTGATAATTGTTCCGCTGAGTTCCTGCAGCAGAGTTATTTGGATGAACATAAATATGCAAAGATATGTACCAAGGAGGTTTCTGAAAAGATGACGAAAATCCCAAGTGTGCATGCTTGTGCGAAATGCGGGTTGAAATTTTCTTCAGAAAACAAATTAGCGGAGCATGAGCTCACCAAGCACAGTGAGTAGCGTTTTATCGACTTTACTGAATTTTATCAATTAATAATTCTTTACGTATTGACAGTTACACGGGAGTTTATTTGCGAATATTGCGGGAAAGGGCTCGATAACAAAATGGTCTTGGATTATCACGCAACTGCTTGCCGCCGATCCAGTGCCGGCTCGGTGTTTTGTCCTCAATGTCGCAGTAGCTTCCCGAACGAAGATGAATTGCGACAGCATTTTAGAACTGATCATCCAGGTATTGCATTTCTCGGTTATCCACTTACGATTTGTATCAGTACTCGTATCTTTTGTTGATAAAATGTGAAACTGTAGGTTTGAAACTCGTTAAATTTGTGCCTCCGGAACGTCCAGAGAGTCCTGTCGTTGGTAAGGCTTAACACTGTCTGTTGATTTGTCGATTTTTATTGCTGGCGCAACAATCCAGAGATTGAATAATTGAATTGAGATATCGACATAACTTCATTTCGGTTGTACCTGCTACGTCTGATACGAAATTTGTATGTTGATGTCAAAATTAATTAATTACTGTCTTTACAGAAAAGGCGGCTAGTCCCAGTATTGACGAAGTGCAGTGCTTGGGGGAAATAAATCGTCAGTTGCCGAAAATCAGGATGGGACCCCGACCAGTGCTTCGTATGCCACTTGGTAATTAAGTTAAAACGTATTATTTGGGACTGTTCTAAGATTATATGAAATTTTGTAGCTCCCCTGACATGTTGTTTGTGTGGGATGAATTTTTTCGATCGGCAGCAGTTCGGTTTCCATTTGATGAGCCATTCTGCATTGCGCTCTCCAGCCGGGAGCGCTGCCCTTCCACTCTCCTTCCCAACTCCGCCAGTGTTCTCTCGTCCAGTCGTTCCTGTTGCTCCTCATCCGGTATATTCGTGAATCTGTTTCAAAATGTCAACGTGGAATTATACTTAATTTTTTAGACGATCGACTTGTTAATAAACACTTTTAGAGTAGATTCCATATTCAGTAATGTGAACCTTTTGATTGTTTTGTTCGCTATTACATGCAGAATGGATATCTCCAGCGACTGCCAACCGTATTTCCTTCAGTGGGCATTGTGACACCAAGACCAGCGCCCCCATTCGTGCTAATTAATTCTGGTAATTACCATACTTCATTTATTCAGTACTCGTAATCGATTAATTGGCAGTTATTTAATAAGTCGTGTCGCATGGTTCCAGTGGATGGCCAGTTCCCTTGCAAAGCCTGCGGCCAAGTCTTCACAAAAAATCTGGACCTGGGGAAGCATCTACTGGAGCATATAGCAGCGGAAAAGAGTGCGAAGATCAATCCCAATGGTACAAACGGCGAATCGCTCATAAAAAAACGATGTGGTCTAATTGCTTTGCCGCTGGTTGTTTTGCGTAGGTGATTCCAAATGGGGTAAGCTCCAAAATCCGATTTTCTGGATTGACTTCATCGGAGTGAAAACGATAATCCTTGCTAAAAAACTTAACCGTAGAAGCCATGAAGACGACGTGCGCTTTGTGCTTGAAACAATGTGGAAGCCCTGCTGACCTGGAAAATCATCTGTTCCAGCATTTCATAGAGCACAGTAAATCTGCCCCTAATGTTCTGGACCCTGCCACATCGACTGCACGCACTGCGCAGGCCCCAGCACAAGGTACTCGTACTTAAATCAGTACTTATTTCAGAATTCACTATTTATGTATAGACGTAGTGAAAATTATTTTAAAGCAACCGACATAACTATTTGCACTAAATTTCATATTCATATTGAATTTTAAATGAAAGTATTCCTTTTGCGCAATATGTTTTGAGTTAGTTGGCACTTTAGAAAATGGAATTTAATTTTCACGTTGATGAAAGTTACTGAATTTCGGTGCGATTTCGGTGAATGCTGTTAACATTTTTCATTAAAAAATGTAGGTCCTCAGGACCAAAAAATTTGCCCTAAGCCGACGCGGCTTATCCTTCCCAATGGAAGACCTGATCTCTGTGTCTCCGCTGCTGTACCTGTGGAAGCTCAGGTACAGATAAATAAAGTACAGTTTTCTTATTGCGATTTTCCCAAGTATCTGTATCTGTTATATGTAAGATTTGGGCAACCCAAACGCTCATAGCCAGTGAACTGATCGTTTTTGATTACAAACCATTTTAAAATGTTTTTTTGCGGTTTTTGTTTCCAGATTTCATCTTGCAATAAAACTCCAGTCATGGAAGTAGATGCAAAGAAGAAGTTACCGGTATACTGAGGAATCGACACACAAAAGCACACAGGTTTTTGTTAAATGTTAAATAATGTTAAATGTTTTTTAAACAGCAGCTAGTGGCGATTCCAGCGAAACGTTTATCCTCTGAAATGGATGAACCACAAATAAGGGCGGGTGGATTGCCAAAGGTTAAAAGAATCTCAGAAACGGGCGAGTCTGCGCGCTCTTCCCTAACGGATAACGGAGGATTAAAAATTGAATTTAGAGCATCGAAGTGTTCCGTGGAAAATGCGGCACTCGTTTTTCGGCGGGCCATCGACTCTGCATATGCAGCGGTGTCCAGTGGGCGCATATGAATCTTGCTGATTCTAAACCAAAAGTTTCAGTTTTTGTGATTATAAATATTGTATTTTTCTCCGAGGATTTTTGGTTTGGTTTTTTTTGGAGCTGGTTTGTGATATTTATTTGGGTTTTTGGTCTGTCATGGCCTCAAGGTTGCCTTGAAAACGTTTTGCAAAATTCCGTCTGTTTTTAGCTAGAAAACTGGCATCTATTAAAATTTATGTTGCACACGTGATCATGTAAGCTACTGAATTGTTAAAGTAGCGTTGCGCGCGTAAATCTTAATAAATCTTATCACACCGAATGGGCGAATTTATTGTTTTATTATCGCAATATACGAGTATGAGTACAAAAAAGTCGATAATACAATATACAAGGTAAATCAGACCACTGTTACGATTAAAACATCGAAAGCATAATTAATTCTAAAATTTTATTTGTACAAATTCTGATGGTTATGCTGTTTTAAACCAGGTGTCTAAATAATCTGCAAGTGCAGTTCCACTCTTAGTAACTTCGTTTGTTGGCTTCGAGGCCTCCATTTTCCTGGTCTAAACTACGGTGAAGTGGAAGTCGAGTCGGTTGCTGCACTGGTCGAATCTGTGGAGGCTGGCGAAGCCGTGGGATCTGTGCCACTGCTGCTGGACGCCGCCGTACTGGCCGCCGTGGACCCGGCATCCGTACTGGCACTACTGGAATCCGTTGACCCCGCCGTGGATGAAGCGACCGTGGAATTGCCGGGCGCCGCCGTACTCGATGCCGGTGTACTGGACACGGGGCGAGGGGAACTGGAAGGATAGTAGCCCGGTCCCACTGGGGCACCGGGATATGTACAGGGAACCACCGTACCGTCCGGCGCGTAACACGGTTGACCCGGATGCGGTGGCGGGTTGGCGCCGTAACCAGCGGAGTACGGCGCAGACTGGGCGGGATAGTTTACTGGTGGTGGTGGATTGTTGGGTGTTGGTCCCACTGGATACGCTGGCGGCTGATTGTATGTGGGTGCCGGTATGGGTGGTGCACCTTGATAGCCATCGCCGTACGGCGGCACGGGGGGAGCTGGTCGGGGATAGTCAGCGGGTTTGGGGTAATCCGCGGCCCCGCCGTACGACTGTTGTTGAATGAAACGAGGAGCGTAGGGTTGAGGCGGGGCGGAGTACTGTGGCGGCGGAGGTTGTGGATAAGGAGGAGCGGAATACGGGTTGGGTGGAGGGTAAGCCGGCATTACCGGCGGCTGTCCTTCTTCCGCGTAAAATCCACTACATATAAGCAACCAGATTATTGCACTGTACGATTCCATGCAATAACGCCGTGAAATTGGACATTTACGGTAAAATTTGCATTTTTCTAAAGAGTTTCTCACACATTATAATCATGGGAAATTACAGTGCTCTTGAAAAACTTTACCTGGTATTACGATGCAGTGCGTTTGGGTACCCGGTGGCATATCCAGCCGGTTGGGTCTGGTATGGAAGTACGGACGGATACGCGTTTTGAGCACTGTATGAACTAAAATAAAAATTAATGCAACTATTTGTTGCACGTATCATGGGCAATTACTAAACTACGAAAAATATAGCTTTTTATATACGAGATCAGTGTGTCTGTACGGACAATATATGGACGTGTATAATTTTACATTTATTTCTGTTTGTGTATTTGCTGCACATGGCGATCACCTGTAATTCATGGGCGGCTGGGCAGGATAGTTGTCGTACGACTTTGGCTGGTAAGTCTGTTCTGGTGCCGGAGAGTAGTAGGGCGGTTGTGAGTTGTATTGGATGGAGGGATCCGCCGATGGATAGTTTGGTTGGTTTGGCGCATTGTTGTAGGATGGGCCGGGATTGTTGTAGGGCTCATTATACGGCTTAGTGGGTCGGGATCCGTCTCCGCCATAGGGACGAGGCTGTGCGCCGGCGTAGGCTGTCCCTGTCTTGTACTTTTTGCGACCTTTCCGGCGATTCTTTGGACTCTTGTAGGCCCGAATGCCGCCGGTTTCATAATTCACTTGCCGCTTTGGTCTGGTGTCAATATTTGATAGGTCATAAGAAAGCGATACTGTAATATCTTGAACCGAAGAAAGAGATTCTTTGTGGACATCATGCCGGGCTAATGCGATTCCTAATGTTATCTGCAATGCAGAAACCACGAGATGCAGACACTCGTACTTATCTTTATGGCTCCGTGCTGTTTTTCTCAACCAGTTCGACAAGGATGTCACTAGCAGAATGCACAAACAACGCACCACACTGTATGAGTACTGTGTAGCATTAAAAAAGTGTTAAACAAGTAAAAAATTTAAATTCCAGTGCAGCATGGTTAAATTTTAGTGCATCAGAAAATACTTTTTGCGCTGTATCACTGCAGTTCTACCAAATTCAAAAGCTTTATCCAAGTCAAAATTAGATAGCTCTGCTCACAAAAACGTGAGCGAAGGCTAATCACATCACACAATTACGATGACCTTGATTTCGTGAAGATGCAACGGTTATCGGTTCAAATCTCTACGCAGCTATGAAATTCATCTTGTCTTTAATGTGTACAAGTTTGTCCGGTAATTTCTGCCGGTTCAATACAGCGAAATACACAAATTTGCGTGTTACGCCAAACGTAGTGTAGTGGCAATCGCTATAGCGCAAACTTCGCGCTAAATGTGTGCTATCTGTACCTTTACGACAGAAATTACCGGACAAGCTTGTACGTGTTCTAACGCAGTACAAGCCACTAAAATTAATTATATAGAATATGTTTGTATATATTCTACTGCTTCCCTGCCGTTGTAATTTTGTACATGTATGAGAATAACGGATAATACATATATCGATTTTACGAATAAATTACTGAACTACAATTGCTCGAATCTCCAGTAGCGTTTGTACTTTATTTAAGTAATTATACCGTTGAGGAAAGTAAATTGCGACAGATTATCTTATTTAATTATGTGCAATGATAAACAACTTACGGTATGCTTGCAATCCATACGAGTATTACAGATACCTTTGGCAAACACTTTTAGAAACACTAAATGCATATGGTTTGTAAACTTACCACAAAAAATATAAAACAAGCTGCAGCTGTATGATAAATCATTGTTGATAAGATGTGGAGGTAATGGGATGCACCCCAGAAAGGAGAAACAGTACCGATCTCCAATTAACCACTACTCTGCTATTTTAGAGCACTGATCCTTAGAAGTAAACCGTGTGCAAGGTTAAGGGAATAAAATTTCCTTATTCAAAAGATGTACAACTAAAAAGTAAACGGTAATGCCCCATGTTCATATCGGAAGTGGACCTCCATGCGTACGCCGCATCAACGTGACAATATATCTCGGAAACCGCGTTTACATAACTAACGATCATCCAAATCAGACTACGGTATTCCAAACGCGTTTTTTCGGCAATCTATTACACAAATTCTGATGTAACATTTTTCAGGATATCCTTGCTTGGGAGGAAGTGATTCAGGTGCAGAATGACATGGATCTGCAAACAGTTTGGTGTTAACCTTTAGCACCCATTACTTTAGATGCCCTGTACCAGCTTATTAAACTTGAACATGTTGTAGATAACTGAAAACTTACGGAAACCGAAACACCGGTACCTTGTTAATGCAGTGCACGATCTATAACAATATCATCGGCCTACCGACCATCGACCTAATACTGACGTACTGCTCGGCATTCTAGTACTCTAGAATAAGGCGTAAACGATCTCCCGTATTTTTAGTATGGCCCGCAATTGGTAATTTTTTACTCCTACCCGCGCAAGACTGACCACCTGTGATACCGTCACAAAAAAGAGTTTTACATACAGTACACCCAATAGTTGTGACACGCACACCACCGCAGGAATAAAAGGATTTTTACAATTTTTAAATGCTTTTGTAATTCGTTTGTCGGGGAAGCTTGGTTGTAGCTGCCGACTATTGTTGATTTACCAAAATACTGATATACAGGATGAATGGTACGCATTCTGTTTTTGTTATTACAGTACGTTTCTCCTGCGCACAGCAACATAAGGGGCGATCCATAAATTACGTACGCAGCGAACTAGGGAGGGAGGGGTCCAAAAAATGTGACAAGCTGTGACGGCCTTGGCGAACCCGGGGGAGGGGGTGGTCCGCTCCATGTATTACGATCGAACGAACCAGGGGGAGGGGTCAAGCAAACGTGACGGACCGCTACGAAGGGGGAGGGGGGTAAAAAATCGTGGTTTTCTGCGTACGTAATTTATGGATGGTCACTAATATAAGCCCTCGTGTGTACTTATACGTATTTTGCCCTTGGAGAACATACTCCTTTCGGAAATGAATTTGTAAAACTATTTATTCTATTTTTGAAATTTATTCAGTCAATTAACACCATTCAATAGAAACCAAAAACTTCTTTATTACTGTTTCCACTCCCATAGAACTGTTGAGAAAGCCTTCAGGTACAAAGTGTATCATACAACAAAGTAAAATACCACGATCCGTCAACAACCTGGACTTATGCTATTAAAGTAGCTATAACTTAAACGGATGCAGTGTACAAAGTATTAAAACAGTACTGCTTTCCGCTTCTGATATTCATCCAGCCGTTTCTTGCCATATGTAAGATAATCAAACTCAATACTGGATGACTCCGCCTGCTGGAAGCTCCAGATAATCCAGAACAGATGCGCCACCAGCGCGAACCGGTTGACCGTCAAATACATTCGCTCCACTTCCTCCTCGTCCACCGTCTCTTCCTCCCGTCCATGGGCGTGATGCCAGCATTGCAGATAATAGCGCAACCAGACCATCTGCACTTCCCGGCTAGGATACCGACTGTAATCCACATCATCCACGCCGCACCATTCGTTGAAGTGATTGCCAATATCGTACGCTTGATAGTTGAGACCGGCGTACTCGAAGTCGATAAAGCGGATCTGGTCGGCGTCCTCATCGTACAGGATGTTGCGGTAGAAAAGGTCATTGTGGCAGAAGACTTCCGGGGAGACGTTGCTCTCGTGGACGGTCTGCAGGAAATTAACTTCGGCTTCGAAGTATTTGTGGTTCGGGAAGTTCAGCGAGCGAAATGTGTTTTCAGTAGTCGGATCGCTGAATGTTTTGGGAGATTGCCGCAGCATGGTGTGAAGTTTGTCGAAGAGGAAGTGCGCGGATGGGATCCCTTCTGACGGTAAATGCAGTGCAATTGCACCTATAGATATACAGATTGTAAAGAGTGGTGAGTCTTAAAGGAAATTTAAAGGGAAACTGGTGATTCATATTCATTTAAAGCGCATACGTACGCACAGAAAATTTAAAGCTAAAGAAAAGCAGGATTTAAAGTCTACAGTAACTATTTGCATAAGTAGCTCCAATATCCAATAAAAAATTAGGTATTGCCCAGGCGCACTAATTTTACTGTGGCAGTATTTAAATACATTGTGCACTTCCTTCATTAAATAGTCCCCCAGTAAAACTAGTGCGTCTTGCATTACGTATAAGGAAATTGTTCATAATGAAAAATTTAAAAATCCGTTAATAATAAGTGCCTTTTTGGAATATTACTACGTACAAGCAGTAATATTCCAAAAAGCATACCTATTATGTACAGAACGCAACAGGTGCAACCATCAAATACTTATGCATTTTCTTATTTGCTGATAAAAAATTGTGGCATTCTGTGCATATTATGTACATAGTGATACATGCAAAAACGCACCTATTTTTAACTGATTTTATTATATTCATAGTTTTTTTAATTTTTTCATGTTAGTATTTTAATTTCCGTTCAAATTGAAAATTTTCCGCTTGTATTTTGATTCGTTTACCAGTTTCTCGATGATGAGCATGCTGATGTGTGGATCGGCCGTCATTTCCTGCTCCAGCGCTTCTCCTTTGACATACTCATAACACATGCCATTTCCAAACACACCGTACACTTTCCCACAGATTTCCCACAGGATTTGCAGAGTTCGTAGCTCGGCCTTGCGGTCAATATTTTTCCCGGTGTCTTCTCCGTGAATCCTGATCAGAATTTTCTCCAGCGGATCCTCGTCAAAATATACCACCACGAGTTTATTGGTATAACCACCGGTGACATCTTCGATTTTTAAGCGCTCACTTTCCAGTCGCTCAAACCAATCCGGGCGGAAATGCTGGAGTATGGTGCGCACCGATGCTTCCGGATCGTAGTGATCAAAATTAAATGATGTGCGCGGAAGAGAGGCCATCTTCACTTCGTGAAGCAGTGAAGTATTTTAGTGGTGTTGCAAACCTGTAGATGTTTTCGGTTAATTGAGTTACATAGCTTAAATAAGCACCATATGAGGACTTAATCACATTTACTGCAAACGCATGCGTTTTTGCGTGCATATTCTATGTGACTGAAGCTACAGCGTTTGCAGCAGGATACTTGTCTGTGTAATAACTAATAACAATTAAAGACCGGTTTTTGAAAGAAAATTGTCACGGTGGTATGCCGAATCTTAAAAGAATGGCTTACTAATGTTTTAATCAGCCTTCGTTTGACAATCATGTGGTACTGTAATTGTAGGTACTAGTGCCGTACATATGCACAGACTACAGGACTACAGACTGTACTCACTGCTTAGCGCATTTGCTACTGTTTCTCAGAAAAGTTTCGCACTAACCAGTAAGAGACAATTTGGCGCTTCGCAAATGGAGCCTCGAATTCACACGTACCGCAGACTAGAGCACTGCCGATAAAAGTAAAAAGCTAAACGCTTACAACCTTGAATGTATGGACTTCAGTCCTAATTTAAAAAAAGATGGATATCGCTGTCGCTTAAATAACAACTGCTTAAAGAGACTGAGAATTCAAAGGTGAGATAAATACCTAATTCCTGAAAATGCCGACAACTGTAGATGCAATCTTCGGCTGAAATCACTGATGCTAAAAAGATGCTCGTATTGATTTTACTGTCCTATGTTCACTTATTATCGCGAGTTTTCATTCATAAACAAAACTAATCATTATGTTTGGATTTTCTCGATATTTACTGATTCCTCTGTACAATTCTTGCAGTATTCACAAAAAAAACGCTTGCCGTAGAAATACGCCAGAAGCATTGCATATACACGCATTATTGGTCTACAGCGAACAGAAACTCTTGGAAAGGGCACGATGATGAAATTCAAAAACACAACATGGTATCGTGTTACGATGACTGTGAACAAGTGTACTTGCACATTTGGTTCTGCGTATAACCTGTGCGTATACATAGTTGCCTTATTATTGCAACATATCTTGAATTGTGGATTCATATGCCGCTTTCATAGTCTGGTAGCAGTCAGATCCCGGAGTTCGTCGGCAAGCCAGTAAGGTGTTATTCCACGGAGCGTAGTAGACGAACTGTCTTGGGTCGAAGCAGAAGGGCTTCACCGCATTAGCGAGGGCTTCGTCAATCTTCCGCTTCTCATTCACACTCATGTCCTCTGGTTTATGGCGTGTGTAGGTGTACAAAAAGGGATCAGCGCATATTCCGTCGTAGCCGTATTCATTACAAGAATGGTAGAAGGCGTAAGCACCATAATCGATTGCCAATACGATTGAGTTATCGATGCCTTCGCGAAGCAAAAAATGTTTATTCTGTTGTTACCACAAGATTAGTGCGCATGAAATTGCTGGGAAACTTTTTTACTAACCAGCTGGAAACGTTTTCGATCCACTGTCGAAATATGGACCAATCTGTCGTCCATCCACGGTAAAGTGGCATACTTCTTGCATGTTTTCGCAAGTGCCATTATCTCTGTCGATGTAATATTGTTCCTGGGTCATTACTGCAGGGAATTTCAGTTGTTGGAAAGTAGCATTTTCCCCAGATTTGTGCAGTAATTGATGGCATTTTGGGACAATTTATCCTGTGTGGCGTTTATATACCAAACGTTGTAACCATACCAGACTCCGGCAATCTAATACACACACACAGATTCAATAACAATGCAAAAAAAACCGGTGAAAGCTATGCGGATAGTAAGAATGGCACAGTCCAGAGATTTTGGATGATTTCTTAAAAGTTTTGTGCGCGTAGCGTATACCTATATTTTTAAATTTTTATATGCTTTTAATTTGATATACATACTACGTATATATATCTTTTTTATACTGTTGTGATATCAAGTGCTTTTACGATCCCAGTAGGACAAATAACAAAGCAAACATACTTTAGCTCCCATGGAAAAACAGTTCATCGAGAGAGCCATCAACACCGTCACAGCCAACCTAAAAGGCTGCATAAAGTTTGAGGAGATCTCTCTTGACCTCACTGAATTCAGGCGCCGGTGACGGATGACGGAGCGGACGAGAAGCAGTGCTATTCCTTTCCCGGAATCTACAAAGAATTCATGTCCGGCAAGGAACAGCGCATGGTGCTGGCGCGCGGAACACAAGATTGTCTGGGCGGGACCAAGTACAATATCCCGAAATACTTTGCTCTTGTCCTCGGCCAGCGTACAGAGCATCAGCGTCCGGATCGCGATGATTTCATCGAGATTATTAAGGATAATATACAGGACGGTTAGTCGAAGACGGTGAAGCATTTACGCCGACGAAACTACTTATATTTTATTGTGAACACCGCAGACTTATTTAAACACATTCTTTCATGCATATCTGAATATATCTCGTAATTAAATCGACATATACAGAGTAGTTTAACGTATTTTCATATAAAAACAGAAGCGTTTCACGTTAAACGTTATGACATACGGGACTTCTGCATATGTAGATGTATTATTTCATGCGAATTTATGTAAGGAGAAACAATCATATGCGTATTTATTGTGCATTTAAAAGTAATTCAGATGAATGATTAATTACGAGATGAAAATACACCTAAATAATTTTAAGTACTGTATTTTTAAAGGAATGGAATTCGCGTATGACAAAATAATATGACTGGAGCACAGCGACCAGTTCGTTCATGTACGACTATTGCTCGGTAAGGCTGGCAGTTTTAAACGGAGGAACATAATATTATCGTATAATTACATATATGAGCACGAGAATTGCGGTTCCTTCGAAAAGTCACGCATAATCAACTGGAAGTGTTTGCCAAACCGGGATTAGAAGAGTTTAAAGTGAAGAACCCGCCGTATCGCATTCCGATGCTGGACTATCGCTCGGAAGGCGACTGCCACGAAATTATGACGGCTTACAAATCCGATAAAAATACAAAATGCGACGCGAAGCAGTGCGCCCCAGGTAGCGTTAATGATTTTTGAGCGGCAGGTAAGGCATTGCTCCACGTCTTGGTGGTTGGCGGTGTGATCGTTGTTTTTGTTTTTGGCGTCGTCGTCTGGGTGGTCGGTTTGGTCGTGGTTACCGTAGTGGTCTTGGGTGTTGTAGTTTTTGGCTTAGTCGTCGTTTTCGTTGTGGTAGACGGTGTCGTTACCGTAGTCGGCTTTGTGGTCGCTGTTTTCGTGGTGGTTGTCGGAGAGGTTACCGTCGTAATCTTTGCTGTGGTCGGTTTTGTTGTGGTTGTCGTTGTTGTCGTCATGTCGAAGTATTTAACTGCAATAGACAATACTTAGCGACAACCAAGTTGACAATGACTCCCACGACTACGAAGCCGACAACAGAAAAAACGACGACAAACCCCACGACAACGCCGACCACAGCGAAGCCGACAACGACGCCGACGACAACCAAGCCGACAACGACAAAAACGACGACAAAACCAACAAAAACACCAGCCACAACGAAAGTAACGACGACATCAACCACCACCAACCCAGCTACCACCTCACTGAAACCAACGGTTGCAACAACCAAACCTACAACAAGGGCGACCACGGTGCCGACCACAACGAAACCTGCTACGACAAAGTCCACGCCTACTACAACGAAGGCAACGACGACATCACCGAAAACCACGGTAACAACCGCCAAGACTTCGCCGGTGACAACGAAACCAACCACATCTGCTACCACAAAGCCCACCACGAAACCGACAACAGCCATTCCCGTCACCACCAGAACTACGACCACCATTAAGCCGACCACCCCAAGCACGACAACGAAACCAACCACGTCCAAACCGACGTCAACATCAACTGTGAAACCTACGACAAGGCAAAAGTCGACCACGAATCCAACGACTCCGATAACATCTAAACCAGCAACGACCGTTGCCACAACGAAACCTACCACAACCACGGCCAAAACGACCACCGTAGCGGTGACGACCAAGCCAACACCGACGACGCCGACAATGAAACCGACCGTAATATCCACTCAACCTACATCGCAGCCTTCGACAACGAAGCCGACGACAGTTAGTGTGACCAGTAAGCCGACGAATCCGCCGACAATCGGGACTCCAACGACCCAAACATCCGTATCGACCGCCGCCAGTACGCAGTTTACTGTAACGACGAAAGCGACAATCACCGCGTCACCAGTACGTTGCCACCGATGACCGTTACGACCGATCCGCCGACACCGATGCTGACGGCAACACCCGTCACCTTTACAACGAACCCTCCCACACCGGAAACGACGACCCAGTTCACCACGACCGCGGCCTCGATGACGACGCAAAGCAACCAAGAAACGACGACAGTCTGCTTCGACATAAACGCCGTGCCATTCGTGCCAACGACGGTTTCGGTACAGACGACGCTCAGCCCGAATAACAACGGACAGACGGCCGTCGTAGCGAATACGCTTTGCTCCAAGCCATCACAAGCTGCGTCGAACTCGAGATCCAATGAAGGACGAGCGTTTTACTAGATGCTTTTTTAGTTTTTCAGTTTTCGAAACTCGACGTGTAATCAGCGGTTTTTAGTAGATTATTTCGTGGCGTCTTATTTCTCAGTCTGAAGCTTATTTATCTGTCCACCGTATGAATCTGAGCAATTTCACTCACAACAAAGTTCTTCAATGTCACACACTCTTGTTGCCAGTTAATGCAAACATCAATCAACAAAAGTCATATACTTTTACATCTTATAATACGAACAAATGGTGAGCGGACACCGTTTAAATGTCGATACATACAGTATGTAATTCGATCTAGTAAGCGCTAGCGTAACCGGTAAGCCGTGGTTGAGCGTTGAATGAGCGTCCCATGGGCATGACGTGCCAGGACGCTTTATCGCACTGTTCGCTGTAGGCTTTTGCGGCAGGTTCATTGAACCGTGACAGGTTCTTATATGCGGTATACGACTAGAATCAGTCGTAGCATATATGAAACTGTAGTTTCGGTTTTTGGTCTTCGATATCCGTGTGTAAACAAAAGTAATTTTTGGCGCCCGTAGAGTACGGAAGGGTCCGGCCGGTTGAAGGAAGCGGTGGGGCCTAACAGTCATGTGACATGAGTCATGTGACATGCGTCGAGTAACGATGCGTGAAACTTGTAGATGGCGTTGTTAGCTCGGCATCTTTTCTAGGTTACATTATATGCTCCTACATTATGTAGGAGCACCTTGCAATGTGCTCGTACATTATGCAGGAGCACATCGCATCGGATAATTATGCAGGAGCACATTGCATCGGTTTCATCGGTTCTTGGAAGAGAAAAACGGAATTGTAGTACCCAAACAAACGTAATCCAGTATGCTCCTGCAATGTGCTCCTACATATGTAGGAGCACATTGAAATGTGCTCCTATATATATGTGCTCCTACATATGTAGGAGCACATTGCAGGAGCCTATTGTATGTGGAGATTATAAGGGGTAGGAATATAAAGTGCTGAATAGAGAATTTAATAATATAGTAAATTATATTAAAGGTGATATATTTGACGAAAAGTGATAATGAAGAAAGGGTGTACTAATCCAGTGTAGCGAAGAAAGGGTCTACATTGAATTTGGGTGAAGATGAAGGGATTTTTACTGTAGTATGGTATAAATATATTCGACTTTCTGGTTGTTCGTATTTGAGTGTTTAATGAAGTGTTACAGGAAGTGGAGTGTGTTGCGGGTTGTAGATAGTGATGGATTATTGTGGAAAATTCAAGAAACTTCGAGAAAGTTGATTGCTTAATGGAGCAGACTATTATGTTTTGCTCTGATAGTCTTGGATGTGTAGGAACACGTGGTTTGTATATGGGCAGTAGGTTGGTAGGTACATTAAAAGGTTGTTCGAGAAAATGTATAGTTGAATTGGTTTATTGACTGGATTTTTTGAGTTCGGTGGGTATATAAGAAGTTGAGGAATCTTGTGTTTGAGTTATTATGGAGTGGACGAAGTATAAGGAGTGAGAAAATGTTTTTCTTTTTGGTTATTTTTTGGTGGCCGGTGTGGATTTGTGGATACTTACTGATTCAGGTTGCAGTCTTTTGTTTGGCTTTGGTAAGTCTTTTTAGGTTGAGTATGGTTTGGTAAGTTTTCTTTCATACATTATTTTCGTTTAACAATTCTTTTTTTAATAAAATAATGGAAGGTGGTTGTGATTGTAAGAAATACATGCGTGAGTATATGCGTGATTACAGAAAGAAATGCAAAATCGAAACTGATGGTAATTGTAGCAGGGAGGATAATGTGGGAAGTGGTGATGATGTTAGATAGAGAATGTAAAAGTTAAAAAACAAAAATGTAATTGGAATACTAAAGGTGGTGCGTTTTCTGGTATGTTTGGAAAAAATTATTGGAGAATTTTTGGACAATTTATAGGACAATTTTTGTAAAGGAAACGTGCTAAACGACATTTGCGGAGTATGGCAATGTGTAATGGTTGTCCGGATCTTTTCTTAAGCATTACTTTACGATTTTGTCTTGAATTGTTGTGTTTTGTTGACCCTGTTAAGTTTACATGTTTGTTTGTTAACTTCACATTTTCATGTCTAACATCATCACAACTTCATTATCTTCCTTGCTACAATTACCATCAGTTTCCGTTTTGCGGTTTTTTCTCTGTAATCACGCATATACTCACGCATGTATTTCTTGCGATCACAACCAGTTTCCGTTATTTTATTAAAAAAAAACAATACCTAAAAAGAAACTATCTATGAAAGCAAACTTACTAAACTATACTCAACCTAAAAAGACCAAAGCCAAACAAAACACAACAACCTGAATCAGAACGCCTCCGAAAATCTAAACCGGCCACCAGAAAATAACCAACAAGAAAAACATTCTCCTTACTGCATATACTTCGTCAAATCCATAGTAACTCAAACACAACGTTCCTCATCTTCTAATATACCCACCGAACTCAAAAAATCCAGTCAACAAACCAATGAAACCAAACATTCTCTCGAACAACCTTTTAATGTACGTCCCGGCCTACATCCCATATACAAACCACCTGTTACTACACATCCAAGACTATCAGTGCAAAACATGATAGTTCGCTCCATTAAGCAATCAACTTCCTTAACTACACAAATTACTACTACACAAATTACTACCACCAAAATGACTGTGTAAACCTATGGAAAGTTACAGATTAAACGCGCAATTTTCAAGGTCTCAACTGTAGTAAAGAAACACCCACAACCTCTCATGTCCTTCATACACTCACAAAATTCTTTCCCCTACTATTATTATTCCTTTTATATACACAAATCCGAAATTATTTTAAATCCCAGTATTCCTCTTTCTTATCCCGTACCTGCCGCTACACAATCGAGATTGTTCACGTAGTGTATATTGGCGGCGACGATACCGTCCCAGAAGGCCACCATGGCTCCGGTGTCGGCTTCGCTACTTTCCAGTTGTCCCGCTTGAGTCAGCTCGAAAAACTGTGGGCGCCGGGTTGAACGGGACCCAGTAATTCTTCTAAATAACCACAATGGTTATTGTCAGTCATAATAATTTTATTAGAACCATCTGTTTTTTGTACAACATTCTAGTACAAGTTTAGCGGCAAATAAATTTTTCAAAAATATTTACCCTACCCGATATATGCAGCATCTTGCAGTATTTTGCGAATACTGCTGATGACCTGTTTATTAGGCTGCAAATGTGGCAACTGCTGGGACGGGTAAAATATGTTGCTGACATCAAATGTATGAAATGCACCTGCGTAATAATCAGTTGTGAATGATTTTGTCGAGTAATATTACATAAGGTTAACATACCCAGGTTATTCCAGCCCGGATTGTAGTTGAGTCGGAAAAGGGTTGTGGCTGGTCCGTTTACATTAGAAGCTCGTTTAGCATCATACAACCGGACCTCCTTGCCGGCCGGGTAGCCCATCAGTGCATCGGTAGCCAGCTGCAAAGTTTCGCCATAATGTAATGTGTTTAATGTACACATCATACATGTATTATGTATATTGTACATACAATATAATTATCGCATTTTCTTTACATAACAATTTCTTTTTTAAAATTAAACTGGTTCATCCTCGATTTAACCAATAAGCTCCTTTGTAGGTAATATAACTGTGGAATAAGATTTCGATACATCTGTACATCTGGTTAGATCGGCATACTGTTTACATAATACAACTTCCACAGCGTTGTCGATCGATCATCAGATGCGGACAAATTGTAATGGTCAGCCACTGTTTTCGCCAAATCCAGATTTGGTGTGGTGCATCTGGGCGCGCCGCCGTTGGGTAGAAACTCCTCGGCGATCATGAGGATGATCTGGCCAAAATTCAGAGGTGTGTTCGGGTTGAACAGTTCTGGATGAACAACTGCAAATGAGAGCAGAGATCTGAGGAACCAGACACCGGCACAAACTGAGCACTGTCATGACGCGGTTGGTACTGCTTAAAATCATCGAAGCGTCCTCGTGTAAATATCCGGTGATAATTCCGGGACTCTTGGCCGCGTCAGCCGCTGCTACTTGGACGGCCTTGAACGGGATGTCCTTCAGGTGGATGCCGTCGATCACTAAAGCGTATGGAAACATCCGCTGAAGATGATCACAATAAATGTTGTAATGTTTATTTCAAACAAACCACCCGTCCATTACGAAACGCTACTCTGCGTACGAATATTTTAAAACTGTACAGATTACAATTACATAATCAGTTACCGGACCAAATCCCTTAAATGAAATTTGAAAGAAACTGCCAAGAACGTGCGTAGTGCGTACGATGCGTAACAGGATTTTATACTCATAATAATAGTACTTAGTTCAGATGTAGCAGATATTCTGTCTTTGTACGTATTTGCAGCGTGACATAGCCGCTTCGCCTCACCGGGTTGCCGGATTCAAACAGTTTCGCGGAGAGAAGCAGTTTCTTCACCGGCTGACTTCTCAGACAGTCAATGAGAGCCTTCGAAGAATCGAAGGGACAGCCAACCTGTCCGGCAAGTTCCACAGCATCTCTCTCTGGTTCGCGAACATAGACCGAATCGATAAGAACACTTCCGCTGAATGATACGGAGGCCCGAATGGATTCTAGAGTTGCAAATAGCCGTATCACTGCATTCAGACACAACAGTGCCTAATACAGATTACTCAACGAAATAACCGCTTGAAGAGATCAGAGATATACAAAAGGGCCAGAACGTATCACCAGTAACCAATATTATTTTATTATGCCGATTTGTTTGACTTACTGCGAACATTGGCATCGAGAAGCATGGCAGAAGTGGCAAAAGCACCGGCACTTTCACCGAATATCGTGATGCCCTTTGGGTCACCATGGAACTTGGCAATATGGTTTTTGATCCAGTGCACAGCCAGTTTGCAGTCGCCAAGGCCGTAATTACCACTGGCAGCATCGTCTCCGGTACTTAAAAATCCTGTGTTTAAACAAACCGTATCAGAGGCTGCCTGACTACGCGTAGGTACTTGTTCAACTTGAAAGCTTCTTCCGTGTAATTCAGCCACATTCACTATGAGATAATTTAAATATCGTCTTTTAAATATCGGTTTTATGAGATATTTTAAATATCGGTTTTTTAATTCGCATTTACCAAAAACCGACAACCGGTAGTTGATGGTGACAACGACAGTCTGGGTTTCTTCTGCCAACTGTGAAGCGTTGTAATCGTCCTTATATCCCCCTGTAACAGTACTGACCGCTGTGTTGCTCACAATTTGTTTTAAAATTTAGCCAATGTTTACACTGGAATGCACCGCCATGGATCCACATCATAACCGGGAAGATATCTATCTGGGATTTTACCGGCGGCACGTAGATATCCATGTACAGACAGTCTTCGCTCATCGTCTTATTGGCGTTACTACCAAACGCCGCAGGCAGTGGTCCTTGAGGGCAAATGGGACCTTGCCGTAATCTCGAAGCATTGCGCAGGTATGAGTAATCCTGATTTTCTTTGGAATGCTGCGCCGCGAAGGGATTCGATTAACAAAAACTTTTAATGTGACGAGTTTTTAGAATTATATGTAACCGTCAACTTTACTTCAAAACGACGAGCAGTTCCATAGCGAACGCCGTAATAAACATATCCGACAGTTTTGGGATTGTTAGCCGATACGTATGGTTCGCCGGTCACGCTTGCGCCAGGGACGATTTCGATTTCTCCGGCTGATAAGCAGTTTACAAATACAGATAAACAGTCAAGCGGTAAAATGAACCGGCATTCTATGTTGTCTTAAATAACAACAGCAGATTCCACGTTTTTACCGCTGAAATTTTTGACAAACATAATAATGGTCATCAACACAGGAATTTAAAAGGGACTAGGATGCCGTTATGTTAACCGTGTTACTTACTTTTCAGATGTCGCTCGTATTGAGAATTGACAGTGTGGTAAACCATCTTGCAATACCGGTATTATACCACACTTAGATACTTAATTTACAGGCTTCATGCAACAATTTTTGCGCAAAACGTTCACAGCAGACTGTGCAATGCTGTGTCAGACGCTTATTTAACTGCAAAGACTAAATGATTCTGTACGGTACGGTCTGGTGAGCACTGGCTTACAGATACTAATGTTATTGATCTACCTCACCTTCGATGGAGTTACACTGCAAGTTGGTAGGAGGTAAATTGGCAACCATACCTTCCGGCGCGTAACACGGTTGACCGGGATGCGGTGGCGGGTTGGCGCCGTAACCAGCGGAGTACGGCGCAGATTGGGCGGGGTAGTTTACTGGTGGTGGTGGATTGTTGGGTGTTGGTCCTACTGGATACGCTGGTGGCTGATTGTATGTGGGTGCCGGTATGGGTGGTGCACCTTGATATCCATCGCCGTACGGCGGCACGGGGGGAGCTGGTCGGGGATAGTCAGCGGGTTTGGGATAATCCGCGGCCCCGCCGTACGACTGTTGTTGAATGAAACGAGGAGCGTAAGCCTGAGGCGGGGCGGAGTACTGTGGTGGCGGAGTTTGTGGATAAGGAGGGGCGGGATACGGGTTGGGTGCTGGGTAAGCCGGCATTGCCGGCGGCTGTCCTTCTTCCGCGTAAAATCCACTACATATAAGCAATCAAATTGTTGCAGTGTACGATTCCATGGAATAATGCAGTGAAACTGCACATTTATGGTAAAATTTGCATTTTTCTTAAGAGTTTTTCACACATTACAATCATGGGAAATTATAGAGCTCTTGAAAAGCTTTACCTGGTATTACGATGCAGTGCGTTTGGGTACCCTGTGGCATATCCAGCCGGTTGGGTCTGGTATGGAAGTACGGACGGATACGCGTTTTGAGCACTGTATGAACTAAAATAAAATAAAACCATTTGTTACTTGATATGTACGTCATGGGCCATAACTAATCTATCTTATAAAAAATGTGGCTTTTTATTCATCAGTGTGTCTGTACAGATAATTTATGGATGTGGATGATTTTATATTAATGCCTCTTGGTTTGCTGTGGGGATTACCTGTAATTCTTTGGCGGCTGGGCAGGATAGTTGTCGTACGACTTTGGCGGGTAAGTCTGTTCTGGTGCCGGAGAGTAGTAGGGCGGTTGTGAGTTGTACTGGATGGAGGGATCCGCCGATGGATAGTTTGGTTGGTTTGGCGCATTGTTGTAGGATGGGCCGGGATTGTTGTAGGGCTCATTATGCTGCTTAGCGGGTCGGTTGTAGGCCCGAATGCCGCCGGTTTCATAATTCACTTGCCGCTTCGGTCTGGTGTCAATATCTGATAGGTCATAAGAAAGCGATACTTGAAGTACTGTAACATCCTGAACCGAAGAAAGAGATTCTTTGTGGACATCAAGCCGGGCTAATGCGATTCCTAATGTTATCTGCAATGCAGAAACCACGAGATGCAGACACTCGTACTTATCTTTATGGCTCTGTGCTGTTTTTCTCAACCAGTTGGACAAAGATGATTGTCACTAGTAGGATACACAAACAACGCACCACACTGTATGAGTACTGTATACTTTGTAGCTTTAAAAAAGGTGTTAAACAAGTAAAAAATTTAAATTCCACTGTAGCATGTTTAAATTTTAGTGGATCAGAAAATACTTTTTGCACTGTATCACTGCAGTTCTACCAAATTTAAAAGCTTTATCCAAGTCAAAATTAGACAGCTCTGCTCACAAAAACGTGAGCGAAGGCAAATCACATCACCATCACACAATTACGACGACCTTGATTTCGTGAAGATGCAGCGGCTATCGGTTCAAATCTTTACGCAGCCATGAAATACATCTTAAACTTGTATTTAATGTTTACGTGGTTTAACACAGTACAAGCCACTAAAATTAATTATATAGAATATGTAAGTATTCTACTGCTTCCCTGCCGGTACCTTGTAATTTTATTATACATATATGAGAATAACGGATAATACATATATCGCTTTTACGAATAAATTACTGAACTACAATGCCTCGAATCTCCAGTAGCGTTTGTACTGTATTTAAGTAATTACTCCGTTGAGGAAAGTAAATTGCGACAGAATATCGTATTTAATTATGTGCAATGAGAAATAACTTAAGGTATGCTTGCAATCCATACGAGTATTACAATACTTTTGGCAAACACTTTTAGAAACACTAAATGCATATGGTTTGTAAACTTACCACAAAAAATGTAAAACAAGCTGCAACTGTGCGACAAATCATTGTGGATAAGATGTGCAGGTAATGTGATGCACCCCAGAAAAGAAAAACAGTACCGATCTCCAATTAACCACTACTCTGCTATTTTAGAGAACCGATCCGTAGAAATAAACCGTATGCAAGGTTAAGGGAATAAAATTTACTCATTCAAAAGATGTACAACTAAAAAGTGAACGGTAATGCCCCATGTTCGTATCGGAAGTGGACCTCCATGCGTATGCCGCATCAACGTGACAATATATCTCGGAAACCGGGTTTACATAACTAACGATCATCCAAATCAGACTACGGTATTCCAAACGCGTTTTTTCGGAAATCTATTACACAAATTCTCATGTAACATTTTTCAGGATCTCCTTGCTTGGGAGGAAGTGATTCAGGTGCAGAATGACATGGATCTGCAAACAGTTTGGTGTTAACCTTTAGCACCCATTACTTTAGATGCCCTGTACCAGCTTATTAAACTTGAACATGTTGACGTATGGGAGTAGGATCATACGCCGGATGTACGTACTGGATGCTGACTGTCCGCCTTCCACCTGCAACATAACGGATAATCTGGTCAATCTCTTCTGTGATTTGCTGTTCTCTTTTACTAGCGATGTATATGATGTCATAACGCGAAGTCTATATAAGTTCTGGTGATGCCTAATATCGGAATCAGTAGTCTGAGATTTACTTCTGAGGCTGCTTCTAATTACAATTTCCTAGTGTTGTGAACTGTGATGTGAATTGGATTAAGAGACAGCAATACTTGTTCCTACTGAAGTGCATAGTTGTTCCCGGATTATCGCTTAGTATACAGGTTTGCTCGTGACACAATCGTCCTAGCTCTCGCCGATCCTCACAGGACTTACGACCGGAAGTTGTGGTTAGCGTGTTCCTGAGGGATTCCTGAGTTCCTGTGTTCCTGATTCGCTCGTCTTATCCACCATAATTCTTCTGTTACAGTTTGAGAGTACGAGTGCCTACCGATTGAGCATTACAGGCGTGGAAGAGTAAAGATTGTTCATGGAGCCTTAACCGGCGTGAACGCTTATACACGACATGGCGCCCACCGGTGTCTTTTAATTTTCCCGATGTAACAGAAAATTATTGCTGGAAAGTTTGGTGGTAATTTACTGGTAAAAAGTGGTCCGTTCAGAAAGGCGTCGAACCGCAAAGGTACGCCGAAGGAGGTCAGCGTTCCCGATCTGGCCCAGTTAAATTATTTTCAGCGAGCTTCCTCGCAGTTGTGAGCTTCCTCACTGGTGAGCTTCCTCGCCAATTAAATTAATTTAATCTAATTTAATTTGGACCGTAGGATTAAACAGCCGAAACCTTAAAGGTCGGCTGTGTAATTAATCGGTGTCTGTATGGGTAATTTCCGGGTTGTCTGCGCAAAGCAGTAACCGCGGTGAATAAAACGTAAACTGCAGTGTCAGTGCACCTGGCCTGCAGATAGAGCAGATAGTAAGCACCGAGCCATTGTCAGTGGCCAGGTGAGATAACGATCTCCAGCAGACTGATAAAGGCAAGCCGCAAGCGGTAGCCAGAATCAGCAGCTAGAGAGAGTTGACCGTGAAAAAAGGTAAACACCGGCAAACGGTGATTGACCTGTGAATTTTAAATTACAGCAGCACGCAAAGTGCAGCAGTGTAATTTTAAGAATTTGTTACAGTCGAAACCGCAAAGGTTGGCTGTGTCTAAACTCACTGAGCAATTCAAACCTAAAAGGAGGATTGGGAAGTGAGGAAACAGTAATTGCACAATTGCAATTTTTGAAACCAGTAGCACAATCGCTGCTGTACCTTTTATTTTAATTAGCCGCAAAGGTTATTTAAAATAAAAAGCAGAAATGTCGGGCGGTTCGATTCCTAGAAATCGCCCACCACCGCGTAAGATCCCAGATAACAAAGTGATTATTGGGGCGTACGATGGATCGAGAGCTCAGACAAGGTTCAAATTTAACGCAAAAGAAATCCCGTTGAATTTAATGTACATCGCTCTTAATGTCGAACCACCAGAAGCGCAAGATGCATTCTGTGGAAAGTCATGGATTGATTACCAGGAAATCAGGCGGTACTTAAATTCCAAAACGAGATTACCAGCACATTTTAAACCTTGGATTGAGTACGAGGGATGTATCCCTGAAGCTTACCTGGACATTACTGATGAGCAGTTTAAAGCTGCTTTGCAGGATGCAAACAGGTGGCTGCCAGAATATACGGAAGATTTGAATAGACGCAGAGAGGCGGCTCAAGCTGCGCTTACAGCGTCAAAAGCAACCGGAAAAACTCCCAAAAAACAAGCAGCAAATGAGCGCGTCACGCGCGGGGCCAAGGAGAAAATGCCACTTCAGGCATCCGGTGCGATATTGGATGAACCCATATCGGAAACCCCAAGTGTGGCTGAGAGCCAAACAGAACCTCAGTCGTCCCAGTCGGACAATAATTTAATAGCGTTGGCGGCTGCGGATAAAGCAGACATATCCGAGGGATCAGAAACAAGAGCAAGCAAAAGCATTCGTGGTGGAACAATGACCTTCCACCCGGCACAGCTAAAATTACATAGTTTTGTGTCAGAAAAAGATTTTGAGCAACCAGATGAGGACTTCCTTATCCAAGCTAGGGAAGTTGATGAGCAGTTAGCTGCGGCAGAAACTGACCAGGACGTGGGCTTGATAGTTCGGCAAACTATGCCCGTATTGATCCAAAGTCTCCGCACACTCATCGCATCTACAAAAACAAAAGTAGATGAAATGGGTAATACTATGTCGTTAGACGCCCGCGTAGATGCGGAACGAAACGAAAAATTGAAATTTCAAAACGATTTCAATGAAATGCGCATCAAATTCGAAAATGAACAAATAGAAAATGACAGATTGGCTAACGAAATACGCATTGCGAATGATAATTTGCACAGTCTAAGACAAGCCAACAGAAATGCGGAGGCCGCATTTAATGCAATGCAAGATGAGCGCGATACTTTAAAAGACACGAATCGTAATTTTGAAAAACAGTTGGAAGATGCCCAGAGAGATCTTTCAAACGCGAAAGCTACGATTGATGGCCTCAGTGCGCAACCAGCACCGGATTTAACGAAACAAATAACTGATTTGAACCAAAAGCTGTCGAAAGCTCAGAAAGATTGTAATTCTGAGAAAGATGCGCATAAATTAACTAATAAAAATTTGATGGATGCGCAGAACCTGGTCACAAAACTTACCAAAGATTTGGAAGATGAAAAGAAACGGGCTAAAGATGCGGAAGACTCTCTACAGCGTGAACTCACACAAGCGAGAGTTCAGCTGAACAATAAGTCTTCAGTTGGCCCGATGCATATTCCCAAGGAAAAGGATGATGCGTCCCAAAAGGAAATTGAGAGGTTGCAGGGTCTGTTGACTACAGAGCGAGAGAATGTCCAAAAGGCCCAAAAGGAATTAAAAGATTCGAAAAAGGATAAAAGATGTGATAATTGTGAGAACGCGATTCAAGCGAAAAATACAGCACAGGCTGACGCATATGAAAAGTCTGAAAGGTGTAATCGACTGTATGAAGAAAATGCGCAATGCCGAAAGGAATGGCATGAAAAACAAGACCAACTTACCAAGATGGAAGTGGATCTAAAGCAAGCGTATGACGAGCTCCGTCGGCTTCGAAATACAGATGCTGTTCTTGGCGGCGGTGAAGGATATTTTCAAAGGGAAGCGCCGGTAGCATCTGGAGATGTATTACGCCCTCCCGCTTTTACACCATTTAATCCCCAAAATTTCTCGTCATACGTGGATCAGCCCTTAGCTACTGGTAGTAATCCAGCTGGCATCTTGAGGAGACCTAGACAGGAATCACGAGTCGAATTTTCGGAGGCTCAGGTCATGCCGCGTTCATCGTCAGAAAGTCAAATCCCAAGAGAAACGGCATCTACGAAACAGAGGAAGAATGGCTCAACAGATTTACGCCAACAAATTCTGAAAAGAACAGCTGACGAATCTAGTCGCCAGATGCGAGGAACAGAAAATAGAGACAGTTCTGATACGGAAAATGAACTGATGGATGATGCCCTAATGGAGGACGAACACGGTCGCCCCAGTAGCACGGCCAGTAATGAGTCTATGTCTAGAAATCCTCAGCTGGAGGAATGGCTAAATAAACAGACCCAAATTTCGGATAGAACGACGCTTACACAAGAAAGCGTTGTTGAGCTTTTAGCAAAAATTGTGGAAAAAGACAGTGATAAAACAGTAGGAGGCATGAAGCTACTTGCCTTTGATGATGCTCACCCGGAAAAAATCCAAAGGTGGCTTATGAATGTTGAACAATGTAGAGCCACGAATAACTGGAATGATGAAACGACGTGTCGCAGAGTAATCGGTGCATTCACCGGTCCGTCCTTTCAATGGTTTGAAAAATTCTGGAAGGACAATAAAGGCAAATCGTGGCCTGATTTCTTTAAGCCGGCTATCGTTGAGCATTTTAACGGCTCGCTGTCTAAAGCTGATATTCGCCGAAAAATGAATAATCGTAAATTGGAATTTTATGAACCAGTCCGTGCTTACCTGGATAGTTTCCTCCCATGGTTTGAGGAACTAAAAACATCTGACGAAGAGCAGGTGGAGGCACTCCTTGATGGCGTACAGGAACATCGGCCGGCATGGTTCCGTGAAATTTATAATGCGGCACCTAAAAATTATGCGAAATTTGAGAAGAAGTTACAGGAATGCGAAAAGTTATGGAAGCGCATGAATAAAGATAAGAAGACACCTGAATCAACTCAGAGAAATGCTCCTGCGAGCCCAGAAGTGCCGGCAATAATAATAATAATTCGAATTATGAAAATCGAGGCGGCCGCGGTGGCTCGTCGCAGAGAGGAAATTATTATTCGAACCGGGGAGGCCGCGGAAATTATGGCAACAATCGCGGAGGATATTCACGTTCGTACACGGAGACAGTGATTCCCCAGCCGCAGAATTCGGTGGCTCCGGTGCAGCCTGTCCTGAATGTGCCCCAGCCGCAGTTTGTCCCTGTCCCGGTGTTTCAACAGCCGCAATACGTTGAGCAACAACACCCGGTGCAATTTGCGCAGACCTTCCCACAGCCAATTCCTATGCAGGCTCCTATGCCTGTTCCAGTTCAGATGATGAATCCAATGATGCCGGCCATGCAACCTCAGTTCCAGCAACCGGTACAGAATTTTGATCCACAGTACCAACAGAATGGCCCTGCGAATAACAACAGTTATGATGGCGGTAATAATCGTGGAAATTACCGAAATAATAATAATAATTACCGCGGACGAGGTGGCTATAACAACAACAATAATCGTCAGCAAAATAACCAGAATTACCGGCAAAATCAGCAGGC